TAGAATAGCTATACTAGACTAACTTTATTATACTTTATATTAAGGTTTTTACTCTAGATACTCTTTAAGATAATACTTTATTATATATATAAATAATTTTTAATAATTAAAAAAGCTCTCCTATCTTATAAACTAGCTTAATCTCTATATTTCCTTACTCCTCTGTTTTTATTACTTATTTAATATTAATTTTTAGTAAATTTATAGAATAGTAATTCTTATCTTTAGCTTCTATTATTTAAGAATAGCCTTTATAGCTTATTTTAGTTCTACTTATTAACTCTATAGCTTATATTTTAAATTTAAAAGATCTAAGGCCTTCTCTATATATTAGAAATAGACTCTATAGTCTAGTATCTCTTATCTTAGTATTAGTAGAAGCTAGTATTCTATACCTTCTAATTATTAAGCCTAATACCTTATTTACCTTATATTAAAAAGAGAGTATTTTTATTTAATTTTTTTTAGCTTTTATTCTTAGATCTAATAATATTATAGTTTTCTAGAATTCGAAATAAGATTACTCTTTCTTAATTATTAATTTTATAGATTTCTTTACTTAGTATAAACTAAGCTATAGTTCTAATCTATTTTTATAAGCTTCTATAAGTAACTATATTAATCTTTATTAGCTCTATAGTTCAGTCTATACTTAGTATATCTTTCTATCCCTACTAGTTTTATTAATCCTCTAAGATAGCTATTTTAATAAGCTTTAATTAATTTATATTAGTATCTAGACTAGATAAAGATTCTTTTTATTTAGAGATTAAAAACTTAATATCTTTTATTCTCTAGCTATTATAATTAAAAATTTAAATAATAATTTAATTTAGATTATATAAATCTATATATTAAAATACTATTACTCTTCTTTATAAATATTATAAATAAGCTATAGAGTATAACTTCTCTGGAAGTTAGATAGAGTATTATTAAAATAGATCTCTTTATATTAAACTAATATACTAGGGTTTAAAATTAATATTCTACTAACTCTATACTGTATTTTATAATAGATATTTAGAAAGCAGTATATATATAATTATTATATAATTTTATATAAGTAATATACTTAGTTAGCTCAGGCTTAGGCAGGGTAGAGCTCAGTCTAAAAGCAGTACTGCTTAGGAAACCTACTGATACCAGGATAACTTTATCACGGGTTATTTCTAGCTAATCCAGCAAAACAAAGACCAACAATTATTATAATGAACTGAACCAGCAAATCCTATTACACGTACAAATATCAACAACCAGTATTCTCAACTAGCTTAATAAAATCCTATCTTCTAAAATATTTATTAAAGATCTTATACTATTAATAATAATATACAAGTACTGTTATCTCTTAACGCCAGACTTAATAGATATAAATATACCATGTAAATCCTAAAGATAAGAAGACCAAGATATAACTCCTAAAGCAAAGCACCTGCAGCTTCCGGATACAGAGTCTAATTATTTACTTATCTCTAGGTTATTAGCTTCTACTAAGTCAGATAGCTAATTACTATAAAAATAAATTAGAGTACTAAGGAATACTAAAGATAGTATTAGTATATACGAATTATTATCTCTTAAGGATCTATTACTAAACCTTAAGATATTTATTAAGAAGATAAAACAGGTTACTAAAGATCAGGGTATACTCTTACTATCTGTAAGAGGTGCTATTACTAGATATTCTAATAAGGATATAGCTGAGCTTAATAATAACTTCTACTTCTCTAGTAATAGAGATATCCTTAGTTATATACCCTTACTGGAAGAAGTTACTAAAATCTATCAGGCTGCTACTGAGTATTAGGGATATAACTATAACGAAGTAACCCGGAACTCTTAGGTTTATAGTATAGTTTTATAATTTACTCTGAAAGAACCTAGTAGTTTAATATTTAGATAAATAATTAGCTATATACCCTGGTAAATTCTATTCTCTTTCTAGGTATTAATATAAACTTATAATCTTTATTAGCTTATCTACCTCTATCCTTCCTGACTATCTCCTATCTCTTAAAATCACTAAAAAGGTTGATTTCTATATATATATCAATCTAGCTTATAACCAGTAATATACTAACTCCAGTACTCTTATATCTAGTATATACAACCGAATAATTAATAGATCTATTAACTATACAGACTATATACCTCTAGCTAAGAGACCGCTTACTGTAAGTATTAAGACTAAGAAGCTCAGTAAAAACTAAAATAAAGTAATATTATAAATAAGTATATTACAGGCAGTACAGTAGAATCTGATCTACAAAATAATAGTACCTAGTACTTAATCTAACGAGGATTTGGATTATATCCCAGGGATTATTATCCAAGGGTATAATTAGTTTCTTATTATTATAACGCAAGAGGGTAAGAAAATAATTTTCTGGAATAAACTAGACTTAGGTACTATAGATAATATCGAGGGTATATACAAACTTATATATAGGCTTCAGGTCTTACATAAGTAGACGAGGGATATATACTGGCCTGCTTTTCACTATTATATCTCTTCGAATATTGATATATATAAAAAGTTACTTAAGAAGGAGGCGGAGGCTCAAGTAAAGGCGCAAGAGGCAGCGCGAGAGGCAGCGCGAGAAGCAGCGGCATTAGAGAGAGAAGTCGTTCTACCGCCATAATGGTGGAGCGATGATGCATTATGACAAGTGTCGATGTTTTTGTTTCCCAGCTTTTTGGAAAAAATTAGTTGTCAAGTCAAAGGATAGCGTGTTTTGATCCTACTGTACAAAGGGTGAATGAATAACGAAGTTTGTGGTTGTTAGCGCAGCCCTCATGGTTGCAAGGGCGGCGTATTCCGGTATGACTTTGGTAAGGCTATTTAGAGCGTTACGTTCTAAGAAACAGGGTTCTATATGATGCAGCTTACCCGGTAGCTCGTATTAACCGAGATGAGGAGGATAATAATCCTGCTATATACTACGGTCTGATCACCAGCGGAAACCAACTAATAAAAGTGTTGCCTCGCCAGTCCGCGGAGCATCTTGCTGAGTTAGAGGCACCCCTCGAACTGCAGGAGATAAATTCATAGACTTAGTATTATGCATATTATGCGTTAGAACCGGCCGCTTGTATGACTACATCTTGATTTATTACTAATTCCCAAATAATGTGTGTGGTAAGACGGGCACAGAAGCAGGTTGACGGGGAAGCCAGGATTCTGCTGGTCTGTTGGTGTGCCAGCGAGAGGACAGGACTTCGGGCAATCTGTGAATGGCTGGTTGGCACCCAACAGCAGCATGGACCCGTTTCCACTAACAGTAGGCTGTGCACTTTCCAAACAGGCATCTTGGCCCGGTAGCTGGCCGAAATTGCCTAGTGTCAAGGACCCCCTCAGCGGAGAGTTTCAACGATCGCGGGAGCTGCCGATCGAGCCATCGCGAGCTGGGATTTAAGCTTAGAAGTCCAAGCTTGCAAGCGAGAACTAGACCGGCTGGCGAACTGACCCTTTCGTAGTTTTTTTCCTGATGCGATGCTTGCCAACTGGCCTCAGTCTCATTTCCCCTGTCTCGGGTGTCCTAGGTCCAGGGCGACCGTCGTGGGCGAACCATGGGCGAACCAGCACAGCCGGCAGTCGCACAAGCCTGAGTCCAGCGCCCGCTTTCAAGCCCTGCACCATGGACCTTGTGATCCAGGAGACCCACAGCACTCATCCCCTAGCCCCCAGCCCTACGTAGTACAGACTCTCCTTAGCGCCAGCACGATCTCTAGGTGGTCTGGTATTACCAGGCACCGGGAAGTTATTAGCACCCAAGACACCACCAGTCTCAATGCCCCGATAGCCATCTATCGGCGCTACAACGGCCTTGGTACGAACTCAGTGTTTGGATGGTGTGTATCGTGAGCGCTCGCTTGGTGGTCGTACTAAAGACGTTCGGCTGGTCGATCAGATGAATTCTCGTCTCGTCTCGTAGTCCATAACACAATATATGGTTCCATGCATGGTTATCTTGGCCTTTCCTGCACGGTATCTCACAATGGAAACAGCTACAGAATGCTGCCACTGGAATGCTTGGCTCTGCCTCTTCTGTGAGGCATCTTGCTGGAGAAAACAACTGAGACAGCCGGCCCCCTCACCCCATCTTTGCAGGCGAGGAGAGAGCGACTGGGTGCACATCCAGGCCTAGACGCGGGACTCTGCAGCTTGGATGGGGTAATATTGCAGCTGGCCAGACGATCTGGTTGGCGTGCGGTCCAAAGTTCCACCGGCAATCGTCTTGTACGTAAACCTTGAGCCGGTGAAGTGCAGTTACGCTGCTGCAAGCTCCACTGGGGCCCATGCACCTGGGAGATATCTATGCATGTGGCCGAGAGCCGGCACGCCTATCGTCACAGTTCTAGCGGCATCAATGCTGCTGAGACAGTGCCGATAACTAGGCAGCTGATATTTCCCGGGCCTTATACCAAAGGCAGTTTAGAGCCGGCGAAAACGAGGCGGGGGCCATGTCGAAACGCAGAAGCAAGAAAGATGATCGACAATAGCCAAGGGAGGGTATATGCATCCGTCCACGGTTGCAATCCGTCATAGTGTTTGATATTGCGGGATCGATGTTTAGTTCCCGTTGTGAACGTGCAGACAGCCGGCCGGTGGGTTGGCAATATTCACCAGCGGTGCTTGAATGAAACACGACACATTTGTCTGGGAGCCGACCTGGCAGCTGGCACACCTTTCCTGCACGGCGTGGCTTTATTTCTTTGGCACATTCCCCTCTTCGCGTTTCTCTCCTCTCACTTCTCACATCTTTATCCAAAGTGTCTTCAATTAGAAGTGTCTTCGAAATTGTAATACATCGCTTCGCTGCCCAAGGTAGCTCCTTTCGCCATCTGAAAAATGGTGAATCTGAACGGACGACCGTGGTGTACAATTTGTCGGGTGGAGTACCAGATTGGAGGAGAAGTGGTTACTCGTTCGTTCGACAGCTTCCCTCTGCATTGATCTTCTCTAACTCGTGGCAGCACGGTTAGGCCCGAACAATATGGGTCTCTTCGGATTCATATACCCTGGCCCCCCTTTAGAACATCCCGACCCTGCAACCCAGAACGACGACGGCAACGACAACGACGACGACGACGACAATAACCCGGCTAATAATGTGATCCGATACTCTGCCACGCGCTGGGACGGCATTCGGATCGACGAAACCTTCCATGAGGAGTGTTTGAGAGGAATTAGCTCCAACACTCTCCGCAAGCTCCTCTACCAGACAGCGTATACGTACATCCCCTTGCCACGGGAGTTTGAACGTCGGCTTTCTTGGTTGAAGAACAAGTTTTCCCAGCCTTCAGAGGCTTTGTACCCTATGCCAGATGAAATGAGGCACATAGTCGTGACCCACGGCCTGCCCAGGCTCACAACAGTATACGTGCTGTCGGGTAATAGTGGTCCCAATGGCTGGACGCCACTATTTCTCACAAAACCCATCTGGGCACAGTACATCACATTCGAGGGCCGCTTGTACATCTCGGCTCTGACAAACGAGGCTCCTGTCACTGACGATACCGGAGCCGGACCCAAGGGCATGGTAAAGCTCCGGAAGCCGGAAGGACCTCTGGCCGCCATCCACGTAGCTCTGGATCATCTCGGAATTCGAAGAATCGTTTTTACTGATACCAGAAAAGTCGATCTTTCCGACTATCCGGTCGACACGAGCATCGGCGGCTGGGTGAGCCTTCCACTCAGTGGACAGACTTACATCCATTGCGAGAGAGACGTAGGTTGACATTGACGAATGCTGCATCTTGCAATGCGTAGTACCATGCTAACTGGTTGGCAGGGTCATAAACTCCGCCGTATACTCTATAACGGACTCGACCAGACTCTGTGGCGTTATCTTTGGCCAGTGCCCCAGTCGCAGCCCAACAATCTGAGGCTCTGGTCGCCCGACGAGCGCACATTCCAGGCCCCAATGAGGTATCTGCACCTCAACAAGCCGAACACCCGCGGATATAGCATCTGCTGGTTTTATGAGCTCATGACAATCTGCCCCAAATACGCTGGCGGCGACCCGCCCTACTATGACGGCTGGGATATTGACCGCCCCAAGACCATCTGGGCGTATCTACCTATCGATCAGGGCGAGACGATTGTTGAACTCTGGGAAGTAGATGCAGCGACCAGCAAGGTGTTGGTTGTAAGTAACCCCATGGCACCGCAGAGATCTACCGCTAACGAGGCGCAGTTGACGACAAGCCACGGCCGGACTTTGACACTGGGAGTCCGACCAAAACCGGTTCATGGCGGCCGTGCATGGGTTCTCCAGGATCGAATCGAAGGAGAGCGCACTCTCCTGGCCGAAGAGTCATGGTCCGGCCTTGGGAGGATCGCGTTCCCGACCCCTCGTCCAACGCAGCAAGGAACCCCTCCGACCATCCTCCCCCCCGTCAAATACCCCGAGAGCAAGCAGGAGCTCTGGTATTCATCAGCCGAGCTGACCGGAGTAGTGTCCATGAGAATCTGCAAAATGAAGGCCGTCATCATCGGTCTGCTGTTCTCGTATGAGGACGGCCGCGAGCGAACCCTGGGTGAAGTCCGCTTTGATCGCCTCGAGCCACAGATTGAGACCAAAGGCACGCGAGGGGTTGTATATCAAGTGTCGGAGTCGGAAGAAACAAAGAGAAAGACTGTGGTTGAGCTTCGCACTTGGGACCCGGAGGAGGCCGAGTACAGTCTGGAAAACGAGGAGACTGGACGTCACTGTGTGCCGTGGCGCGGAACTTGGCACTGGTGGTTCTCGTACTTGGAGTGCATGCTCTCGCACGAGGACGAGGTCGCTGCGTCAATTGTTGAGGACATGTAGGAGATAAAAGGAGATAGCAATCCCAGAATGACAAGTCGTTTTCTTTGTAAAGGGTTGCATGACGCCTCGGCGATTTCCTATTATAAATGTGAAACAATCGTGCCGAGCACATGTGGCTGGGTTGATCGAGGTAGGTAGATTAAATTAATTTGACATGAGCCGAATGGCATTGGATCGAATGTAATTCATTTGGGAGATCTCCGGGAAGGAGCGACGAGATCGCCACAAGGGCATTCCCCGTTCACGGCAGGTGCTTCCCCCCACAGCCCGCAGCCTACAGTGCAGGGCTCGGCTCGGCACTACTCGAGTCGACCAGGGCAGGTGTTCACTGGTGGTTGCCCGGTTTGGCCATCATCTCGTCTCGACTTGGCCCACCACTCTCCTTTGGCTTCCGCACAACGTTGGACAGGAACAAGCGCTTTCCTGTTATTGATTGGAATCAACGCGATAATTGAAATCAAAACTGTGGCCGACAGAAACGAGCCGTAGCTAATGCACGGCACCAATTAAAGACGCACGTTGGGGATAAGTTGCTGCAACACCCAGCTCGGTGGTGAATACCGAGGCTCCCGAGATTTTGTGCCTGGAGCCACGGAGCATGCCAATCATCAACAGCACAATCGGGCGTGCATTGAATTGTCAACACAATTGATATGCGCATCCTTCACATTCAGTGTAGCCTGCGAGCATTCAATTCTGTGCCATCACACACGAGCGCCAAGACAGCTTCCCCATAATACTATTTGTCAACCCCAAAGACAAGCATCCACGATGCTACCAGATAAAAGAGATGCCAAGGTCCCCACTTGCGCACCTCATCGGTCACGACATCTACCGCGCCTGGCGATCCCAACACTTACACCACTGGTTCCATTAACCGTCGCAATGCCGTTATCGCCCGTGTGTATGTAGTCCGACCAGGTTAATTTAAGTCCCTAACCAGCCATCTCCACATCTCCCTCATTCTTGTGAACGTGCTCCAGGTTACATATGAAGGTGGGAAAGTCAGCAAGGGGTCAAGGCCAGCCCTGAGCCAGTGGCCTCTGCCGGAGCCACACCATATTCCATCTTCTACCCACATCCTCTGCCAAACTTGGGATCAGCTGTATGAGGGAGTCGTCGAACCCGTGAACCCGTTTCTTTTGCTAGGCTCAACAAACTGACTCTCGGGTGTGTCATCCGGACGTCCTTCTATGTTAATGAACATAGGTTGTTGCCAGCCTCCACCCCAACAGGTATGAGTCGATATACACCCCTCCCGTGCACTTCCGCGCCATAGTTTTACCCCATATAATTGCGCACTGTTCATCCCGGCACGTGGAGAGTCCAAAAGCTCAGGTTAAGCTTAGTATTTGCTAAATCTAAACTTATTTTGGGTTGTTTCCGATCTTGGATATCCGCAAACCCTTGTACAGCTGAGGTAGCGTGCTTGATATCCATAATTCTGGAATGCAAGCGGGGGAACCATATGAGGTGAGCCACCTCGAGGCGCTGATAGCGTGCAGCCACAAATCATCTAACTACCTAGCCTTGCCCTCCGCGGCTGGTGGTGACATGCTTTAATGTCTAGAATAACCTGAATGGGTAGGCTACTTCTCAAGTTCGCCACAACGTAGCTAATGCTTGCCGGGATGATGCCACAACGGCAAAGAGTAGCCAGCATTCCCTTACAGGATTGTAATGTTGTCTTGTGAGACTATCTACCACATGCCAATACATCTTGTTCCTTAGGTATCCTGCCACCTCCTTGCTATTACTTTGGCCTCAACAAGGGCGAGTTCAAGACCATAAGCACGCTTAGTCCATCCGAGTTCCCAATCCATAAGCCTTGATTGCTGACACAACTGTGGTACGGTCATTAGATGGCAACAATTTAACATAATCAGAAAGGCAGCATACTCGCAGTACCAATATAACACCTTGTCGATGATTCAATAACGTATGGTGCCGCTGGCATGCATATTTCTTTCTTCCACAACATTCAGTCACAGGAATAAATCTACTATGGAAACGGGTCAAGATCAGTACATTGGAAGTCAATCAAATTCAAGGTGACAACATACAAACCTGCTTCTTAAGGGTTGCCATCACGTTCTAGTGCAGATGGTAGTAAGAACGAACAAGAGCCCAGAGGATAACACCTGAAAGAAGTAGCCCAATTAGACCATAGGTTATCACGAATGTTATGCCTGGAGCCATAATGGATAGGTATAGATTGAGTACAAGTGCAGAAGGCAAAAGGTAGATACTTTGGGATCACAGGTACTTGATTGCTAATTAATATTCCCATCTACTACAAGGCAGCTCATACCACGAAACGATTGATTTACGTTAATGATACGAAACTCCTACTCCAGGAAAGTAGGTTTAGTTAAGTAAGTGGACATTGGCAGGGAGGATGAATTGCGAATCTGGGTTGGTATGAGCAGACGGTATAGCTGAGCTGACCAGATGTCTGATGGATCATTTCATCCCTAGCTAGCGGGTCTAAAGAAGCTCTGCTGTTATCCTCCTTCCCTCTCGCTACCATGCAGATATGTATTATTCAGGTAAGTCAGCGCTGCAGGTATCTGATCTAGATGCAGCTCGATCACTCTCAGCCGCCCCACGTTTTCCCCCATTTATTCCCATTCTTTGCTTTTGCCACACAGCGGTTTTCGCCGTCCACTACAAATCATTTCAACGTTGAAATTGAGCCAATAATAGTGTTCTTCGGTTTTAGAGTGTCTGAGATATGGCAATCGGGGCACACTTCCAATCTGAGGAGGCCGCTTCGCGGGGGACCGGCTGGCAGGGGTGCGTGCAGGCTCGCTTACTGGCCAGCATGCACAGAAGGTGCATGTAGCTGAGGTGAGCTCTGCTGTTTGTTTGGAGTCTCGTCCGGCAGTGCTTTTTGTACCTACCCTAATGTTGGAGACTACATCTAAAACGGCAGAGGCGAATAGATCAGGTATGCGATGGTATATCAAATCTCGTACTTACCTCACCTACCATTAACTCAGTATCAAAGGCGAAGGGGAACTGAGCTAGTAGTAAAGCTCAACTGGCCATCACCATTGCCAACCACACCAATTCGAGTCGCCAGGCCCTCCATCAGATGGGGTGCGGTGATGCAAGGGGCACTTTCAGAGGTCTGCGTTTACTACTGTACAGTCAAAGTTGATCTATTAGAGGCTAACATCTTGGACGTGCGCAGGGCGAGCATGCAACATCTCTTTCCACGACCATACGCCTACGGTCGCAGCCGGCTCCGAACCCATACCTCGACATCCCGAGTGCCCATATCCCCGAGTCGTGTCGGTCGACGGAGAAGCATCTTTCGTGTAAATTCAAAAGCACACCATCGGTAGATTGTCAGCTAGAACAAGAATCTGCCTGCGCGGTGGTGAGGACTCGAATACCCACGGAGAGACTTGCCAACGCCGCACGCACGAGAGCTCTGCATACGAAAATGGGTGCCCCTTTTCCGCGAGGACATTCCGTTGCCGCCGCTTGTTCAATACAGACGAACGAACTTCGGTCGATGCTATAATACTATCCTACATGGTTACGAGCGTAGAAAGGTTCATTGGGGAGCAATTCCATTCGCCATGAACCAGTTCAGGAGGAGGCTGACCGTCAAGAGTTTGCGCTCCGCCCCTTGGGCTTCGCTTTTGCTCCGAGCACATTAGCCCAGGGGTAATTGCTCCGAAGACAGACCATTTCGATATCGTGACTCGTCAATACCAACCGTATCAGTTTGGCTGTGGGCTAAACCACACGCTTGATTCTCTGTGGGAAAGGCCTTCACGCTACAGCCACCGTAGGGCTACGAATCTCGGCCGGACTCATCGCCATTTCTTCAACGAGGAACAATGGCTTCGTAATGATAGATTATAGCTCTACGCTTCAATCTTTCCGCTCAGAAGTGACTGTTGAGCGGCATATCTTTCGGTATCTATAGACATACAGGGTTCTTTCTGGGATCGTGGTCGAGAGAAGACGGGTTGAAAGTCTGCATTCTACGTCTCTAGCCCCAAAGAGAGTTCAAATGAACTGTCGGCTTCGAGGCTAGAATTATTCGAGAACTCCTGTTGTTCAATTAACCTCTGACCAAGGTGCCGATGGAAAACACCATGGACAACGCGCCTCGTGTTAGTAGTCTCATAGAGGCAAGTTGGCTGAGTGCAATCACCATGATTTCCCATACTCGCCGTGAGCTGCAGGCTACGGCGCGCTCCGTCGCTTAGTTCGACATCTTACGCCCCATGCGATTTGATTACGTCCCAATATAGCCCTGCCAGCCACAATGAACTAGGCGAAGCCAGTGGCCGCTCACCAAAGACTGCGATAATCTCACAAGATGACAACCCCTGTGCTCTCCTGGCGCCCTAGGGGCAGGCGGTTGCTCACAAAGCGAGAGTGACTGTGTGCTTCTGCGGCCAAGACCTCTGAATCGCGCCAGGAGCGGCCTCCAAGGATCGACGAGCAAGTGGCAAACGCACGTGTTGAACACTCCGGCACGATCGAGGTTGCAGCACTTACGTGAAAAGAATGATACAACATTACACGGAACATTGCAGATGGCCGGGCTAAACAACGAGAGGATTTTAAGCCACCGTATCTGTCAAATGTGAGACATGCCATGTGGGAACCAGCCAGAAGGAACAGTAACTCTCCTCGTCTCCTGCGTCTCTTCTCACCCGTCTCACGAGTGATGCGACGCACGATGGTTGTTGGGGGCTGCTCACTTGTCTCAATCAAGACACGGGAGAGGCGTTTTAAGAAATGGCTGCATGCGCCAACAGTCGGGATGGATGCCACATTATTGTCACGGGCACTTTGGTTCGACTCAAAATGTCGCCGATGGCACCCAAAACCGACGTTTGGGCAATCAAACGCTGCAGGTACGACCAAAGGATTTCCACGCCGCAGGCTACGAAGCGAGGAGCAGACATTCCAGAGTCGAAGAGGCGCATCTCCCCCATCCACCCCATAGCCACAATAGGCATGAGGTTACCATAAGCAGACTCTAAATGCAGCCACCTCGTGCGAAGGAAAGTGGGGGAGCAAACCCTCCCTTGCTGACATGGGGGAGGCGGGCTGCGGTATTGCACCGTACGCTCGAGGCGTAGCCGGACAAATATATATTGTTTCCAGCACAGATTGGGACAAGATCTCCTGGGGGGCCCGGCGATAATGTCACCATCGCGGCAGTCCAGGACCAGGAGGCATTCGTGCAGGAGGGGGAAGAACTTTAGTCTCAACCATAACCAACAGCATAAGGCATGACAAAGCTACTTCCGGAATGTGGGCCAAGCAGACATGGGACCAGGCCGTCGATGCCATCCAATCAGGCACGCCAGACCCCAGAGCACCCTGGCGCAGACAAGCAGCCTCGGATGGTGCTAAAGAAAGACTTAGGGCTGAGAACAAGGTGTGGTCCGGTACGCGGTAGCTTATGTTTGACATGAGCGCACGCGGAGGGACTTTGTCATTACCTGCCGTGAGGTCCAAAGTGCTTCGGGCAGGTCTCGGGCCCGGGACGACTGAAACGATGGCGCCAACACCCGAGAAACCGGTATGATAAGGCGGATGCTATTTTTGAGACTTTCCAAATCACTTCCATGCGTGAGAGCGGCGCTCACTCGGGAGGCAGCCAGCGGTGATCGACTTCGACAGCAACTCGTGAAGCCAGGGCAAGCGGATTGGGATTGCTCAGACGGAAAGGGCGCAGCAGACCAGTGAGACCGACGAGTCTGGAGGCCGCTGGACAACAGCATCAGTCTGATGGCAGCATCAGATCCACGATGGACCACGAGGCTATATAATGAGGCGGTTTCCCTCCCTCGAAGAAAGAAGTTTTGTAGCATCCAACCCAAAAACAACACAAAAAACAATACAGAGCCGGTCTCTTTTTCGATTCTTCTTCACCCCTTTTTTTTTTCAAGCCACTTTACAATTGCCGGTCAATTTTTCCAATCTTTCTTTCTACTTCTTGTTCATATTCTTCTTTTCAAAAACCTATTCTTTCATATTTTTACTAAATCCGCAAAAATGGTTGCCATCAAGAACATCTCCGTCGCCTCCGCCCTCCTCCTCGGCGTTGCTGACCAGGCCCTCGCCGCCCCTGTTGGCGCCTCCCTGGACACCCGAGCCCCCAAAGGCCGATTCGGTGCCGCCGTCGGGCTGCTGAACACTGCCATCCAGGCGGGTGGACAGGTCGGTGCTGCTGCTGCCGGCCGTCCCCGAGACCTCGAGGACGTCGAGGAGCGAGATATCGAGGAGCGAGCCCCCAAGGGCCGATTCGGTGCCGCCGTCGGGCTGCTGAACACCGCCATCCAGGCAGGTGGACAAGTAGGTGCTGCTGCTGCCGGCCGTCCCCGAGACCTTGACGAGCTCGAGGAGCGAGACATCGAGGAGCGAGCCCCCAAGGGCCGCAAGCTGGCCGCTGGCGTTAAGCTCGGAAACTCCGCCATCCAGGCCGCTGGCCACGTCGGTGCCGCCTTTGCTGGTGCACCTCGTAGTCTTGAACAGCGAAGCCCCAAGGGTCGCAAGCTGGCCGCCGGTGTCAAGCTCGGTAACTCTGCCATCCAGGCTGCAGGCCAAGTAGGTGCTGCCTATGCTGGCGCTCCTCGCTCCCTTGAGGCTCGATCCCCCAAGGGTCGCAAGCTGGCCGCCGGCGTCAAGCTCGGAAACTCCGCCATCCATGCCGCAGGCCAAGTAGGTGCCGCCTATGCTGGTGCTCCTCGCTCCCTTGAGGCTCGATCCCCCAAGGGTCGCAAGCTGGCTGCCGGTGTCAAGCTCGGAAACTCTGCCATCCAGGCTGCAGGCCAAGTAGGTGCCGCCTATGCTGGCGCTCCTCGCTCCCTTGAGGCTCGATCCCCCAAGGGTCGCAAGCTGGCCGCCGGTGTCAAGCTCGGAAACTCTGCCATCCAGGCTGCAGGCCACGTCGGTGCCGCCTTTGCTGGCGCACCTCGCAGTCTTGAACAGCGAAGCCCCAAGGGTCGCAAGCTGGCCGCCGGTGTCAAGCTCGGAAACTCCGCCATCCAGGCTGCAGGCCACGTCGGTGCCGCTTTTGCTGGTGCGCCTCGCTCCCTCGAGGCCCGAGCCCCCAAGGGCCGCTTCGGCGCCGCCGTCGGGCTGCTGAACACTGCCATCCAGGCCGGTGGACAGGTCGGTGCCGCGGCAGCTGGCCGCCCCCGCGATGTCGAGGACGAGGACCTTTACGCCCGCGACATGGAGGAGGACCTCGACGAGCGCGACCTGGAGGAAGACCTCGACGAGCGCGACCTGGAGGAAGACCTCGACGAGCGCGACATTGACGAGCGCGACCTCCTCGAGTACATCTACGCTCGCTACCTCGAGGATGCCGAGGAGTTCGACGCATAGAGCGTCCAGGCTCTGCGCGATGTGCAGCTCCGGTCCCAGGAAGCCTGCTCGATATCCTGTAATACTGGTCTTTGGCGAGGCCTGCGACCCCGCCTCCTTTTTTTGTTTCGACTGTAGACTATTAACTATTCCGGGCTGGGCACACTTAGAGGCAATTAGATGTATATTAATATGGGAATTGGTTCAAGTAGAAATAAAGATTTACTGGCTTGAAAATCCACCTAAAGTTTTAGTACACGAGTGTGTTCTTTTCCAACAGCCCCTGAGTGACTGCCTAGTTTCCTGAGAGTTCTTACATTGTAGTATACTTGGTCGCCAGTCGCGGCTGTTGCTGAGTATTAGCACACATACAAGGCTACGAGAGGGGGGAGATCGGTGGACCATGTCCTGGAACATTTACACCCTTCACATTCGGAGATGGTCAAGCGTTGGGATAAATCATAATCAATTGAAAGGTTTACACTGGCCTCTCGGGTGAATGCCCAAAAGAACGAATCGAGAGTCAGGTATCATCAAACCCCCTGATACAAAGGAAAGATCATCATAACGTCGTGAGAAAATTCCAAGGGGAAGGCGGCTCGTCATCTCGGAGGTCAGACGCAGTCTCTGGCTTGAGACGTGGTCTCTCGACTTGCGAGATGACGGACGAATTCCCAAAGGAAAGATCAAAACCCACAGTGTGCCTTTCCACATTCCCAGCCTTCAAGGCCCCCATGAAACAAATAACAAATCTCGAGCAAGTACATCAAACGACGTAGCTGGTCCTGCGTTCAACCAGACCAATGGTAACTTGAGGGAGTCACCCAGCCCTTTGCTGGTTCCCATATTCCTGCGCCAATCTGAAGACCCCAAGCCTCAGGGTCAATAACAAACCTCAAAAAACAACCCAACCCATTTCCGCCTGAGACGCCCTGCATAGGCAAAACCAAACCTCAAACAAGTGCGCCATGGCGGCCTAAGTGGTACCGCTGGTTCCTGCATCTAATCCCTATAAAGTCAACTGAAAGCCTCAGCCAGTAACACGACATGTTGCTGGCTTCTTACAATTTCTCCACCTTGACGGCGTTCAGCCACTTGTAATTCCCTAAAGAAAGCGATACAATGAAAGTGATCTAGGAAAGCAATATAATGAAAGTGATAAAGAAAGCAACATAATGAAAGTGATAAAGAAAGCAACATAGTGAAAGTGATCCATGGCCGCAATTTCTTGCAATGGCCATTGAGTTAGACGCGACCGAACTCAACGCCTCGTCGCCAAAGGTAGTGAAGGCCACAAGCAGGTCGCTGTGGTTGCTTATACCGATGGACTGCTGTCGGAGTCCAAGTCCTACAGTAAGGTATGCTATCCCTCAGTTGGAGGGTTGCTGGCTCTTCCAAAGTTTATCTTCTCCAAGGTAGGGACCAACATCTGGACGAGGTGGATTTTCTCCGTCATGGGCGCCCGGAAGTAGGAAATAGTGGCCCAGTCAGAGGGCGTATGTTTAGATGGCTCATAGAGCTTCTGGAGGAATTTTAGGGGGAAGGTGGCAGTATAGCAGTACAGGCATTTCGCCTTCTCCGGGACAGCCACGACAGTAACCTTTGATATAATTAGCAGGGTAATGATGAACTATATTAAGACTCGACTTACCGTGTAGCAAATATCTGTGTTATTGACCTGGGACTTCGGTGTCTTGGACTTAGTGCGGAGTCTGGATGTCCGTGGCTCGCCCTGGGTTGCAGCATCACGCTGGCGTCGAGGTCTTCGGTCCTCGTCTTGCCGCTGCTTTTGAGCCAATGCAATCAAGAGTGCCACGATGTATGGATCCTCTGCATCGTGGCGCGGCTTCTCAGGAGACGGCTGCTTCAACCCGACAAAAGCAGAGGCGTGCTGACCGTCTCGGAAGGAAGGCGGTGCAGCCCCCAAAGCTAGTCTGCGGTTGGAGCGTGCGTAGTCGAGGTCGACATAGGCGAGCTTCTGGCCAGTGGTATGCGTGAAGATGGCGTCTGCGGCGACCTTGGCGTATGACTTGTCGTGATAAATGAAGGGCAGCTCGCGCCTAAAAGGCGACACGAATAATGTCTCGGGCATATCACGATCATCTCCCAAAATATTGAAGTCATTCTCATCAAGGACTTGCCTGAGCGTGTTCAGCTTGCTGTCTTGGGTTTTGAGCCGGTCATGTACATCTACATGTATCTTGCACGCATCTTCGTTGCTCAAGCCCGGGGCTGCCCACCAAGTGGGTGGAAAGAAACGGTTTTGCGCGACCGTGTCGTGCTTGAACTGACAGCTGAGAAGTCGGCATTGGGCCTTAGTCCACAGCAATGGATCGATGCATAGGGTGTGCTTCCATGCTTCCTGCTGGACAAGCTCATTGAGGGAGTTCCTTTCGGCGAGACCCTTCTCCTTGTTTGGAATGCAGTTAGACCACAATCGCGGCGGTGTGGGCACTGGCACCGTGAGACGGGGCTCATTGCCCATTCTAGTTCGATCAGACAGCTCAGCCAGTGTCCGAGGCACTGGTGTTCCAAGCCGGCGAAGACGCCGACGCTTTCTCGGAGGGGACGAGAGAGTATCTCGAACCTTGCCTTGATTATTTGGCGGCGTGGAAGAGCTGACTGGGGGGGAACTAAATCGAGCCCGCTTCTTGACTGGCGAGCTTCTCGATGGTGTGTCAAGGCGAGGCGGGACGTCATCTTGGTCTTCTTTCTTGACAAATACCGGGGAAGCTGCCGGTGGTGGGAGCGGGCGTTTCGGGCGATTCTTCACATCAACGACAATTACGTCCTTGGCTTGTTGAGGTTCCTCGACTTGGTGAGGCTCAGGCGAGTCAGACTCACGGCGACGCTTTCTTGAAGAGCTGGGAAGGGCACCGCTGGACAGAGCGTCCAAGTTGGAAAGAGCAGCCCTGGGAGGAGAGGCTCTGGGAGGAACAGCGCTGGAAGAAGAAGCTGCAGCGGTACTTCGTAGAGTCCGCCTGCGCGTGGAGAGCGACATCGCGGGCGAGTGCTGGACGGTGTGTGGCTGCTCTGGTGTTGTCGTAGGCTTTACAATGATTCAGTACCAGGCCTCAAATGATGGCTGGTGATGGTGAAGGGTGCAAGAAGATGCAGCAGCTCAGCTCGTCGGTCGCGGGGTATCGATCCAGTCGGGCGATACAGAGAAAGTCGGGCCCAGATTGAGCCTGACCTAAACCATCAAATCAGATCGACGGATCAATGTCGAGAGCCTAATAAGGCACTCCCACAGCAGATACGGCGACGGGTGAGACATCCATCCACCCTCTGTAGGACAAGCGCCCGCAGTGATGCACAGAGGCCAGAGAGAGCAAGGTCGGGCAATTTTGCCAGCCTTTTTGTGTAATTAATTGCCCAGACATGCAGCTTGTCTTGCTGCTCCTTGAGAAGCACCGCCTGTCTGTTCTCTCGGTGCCTGCAACGCGGAGGACAGACGCTTGTATCGCAGAGGGCTGAGGCGATTGAGATTGCGCACTTTTGCATGCATGCGCCATGTTCTGGATGTGCCGCTGGTGGCTGGAATCTCGCAACATCGTTGGTGCAGAGGGTTGCACATTGCCCCGAGCCGATACCTGCGAGTACCAAAAGCTGTCGGGAGCCGGCCTCGAAGCGGTCTGGGCGTGGTGAATGCAGGTAGAGATACTGGTCGAGGCACTTTGATTCAGTCATGCTGCGATGTACCGGCTCTCGCATCTACTTGCTGCAGCCGTCGCCGGATGCAGTCTGCACTTTCCTCGTCGCTCCATGTCGATGCCGCTCTCTCCCTCAGCTCTGCGCTGCCCAGGCCGATCGATCCCACACCCGGAGATGTGCACCCTCCAGCCGCACATTTGCATCGTTTCTCACCGCCAGGTGGATGGTCTATTGACGTATGTCTCACGGTGCAGCCGCTGCTAATATTATTTTGGGCATGTTCAGCTCATTTATGCTGGCAGCATCATTGATCGGTGGCTTTGTTTTGTGGAGCTGCTGGTTCAATTGCGATGGGCCACTCACAGCTCGTCTCGTCTCCATGTCCCTTCCGCTTTGCAGCCTCAACGCCTCTTCCATCTCCTTCAGCTTGGTCTCAGTGACGCCCAATTCTGCCAAGATGAGGCAAGCTTCAATGACAAGACTACGTACAAAACAGTCCATTTACGAGAAGACACAATGCACAGGATCTGTTTGCCCCCGAATCAGTCCCGCCCGATGTCCGTCGTGCACAACCATCAGCTCCTCGGTGTCATGTACAACCTCACACTCGGCCAGGTCAAGGATATCGGGAATGGGCGCTTCAAACCGACGGGTCTTGCTTTCTCAAACCAGACAAGCCTCTTGACATCCACCAGCGCCTTGATTCGCTGACCTTGCCAATACCCCGGTTCAATTGCGAACGCTTTTCCTCTTCCCTCTTCCCTTGTCTCCATTCCCGCCGCGCAATCCACACCGCCGCCATCTCCATCCGCCTTCCTTTCATTTCCCACTCTCCTTCAACGTTCCGCATCTGCTTCTTGCCTTGGTCCCCTTTGCTACCTCCGGAAGACATGGCCCCGCCCCTCGGGAGCCTTCCCACTCCTCCGGATCCCCGCCGACCACCTCTGCCATATCACAGCGGCGCCAGCTTCACGATCCGTCCCCACCGGGCCCCCGTTCCATTCGGAGCAGGCTATATCACTGAACCGCCGGCCCGGGAGCGGTTTACCTCCTTGGATTTCTGGGCTGGAGTGAAGTCGCCCCAGACCGATTGGTGCCTGCGCGAGCATCCCCTAATTGAGACACCACCGGCAGATGGGCCGCCACATGACTTCCACATTCTCAACCAGATCGTGTGCAGGGACGGACGGGGTCCTCAAGTAGTGCGGTGTTATCTCGATGAATGTAGAGCTAAAACCTATGTTGCCAAAATATTCGACCCATTGTACTATCAATATCCCGGTGATGCCACCTGGTCTGCCGACCATGACTACAGCCTGGAGTCTTCCGCATATACGGAAATCCAGAATTCCAGCCTCGACGGGCAGTTCACCCCCAGGTACCACGGCTCCTTCACACTTACCCTCCCCCTGCTGGACACACCCCAATCCAGCGGTCTGACTTACCCGGCGCGCATGGTTCTCATGGAGGACGTACCAGGAGTGTCGATGGAGACGCTCATGACAAACGACCTGTATCTCAAGATACCCCTGGCGCTCCGCCTAGACATCACAGCCCAGATCCTGGAGATCGACTGTAAACTCAGATTCATCGGTGTCATACAAAACGATCTCGCCCCGAGGAATGTCATGCTCGGCATGGACCCGGACGACTGGGCAAGTCCCCCTTCTCGCACTGTTCTCCTCGACTTCTCCTACTCCCATGTTCTTACTTGGAAAAACTCCAAGAAACAGAGACTTCTCCAGCCGCGCGGGTCCATGCCGAAAGGTCCCGTCTGCTTTCACTGGGGCCAAGGCTCGCCCCGCGACTTTGGTCCCTGGGTGCCCCAGCCCATCGGGCTTTTCGGAGAGACGGAGGCTTGGAACGGCTGGCTCCTCGAGCGATGGGGCGGATCAGATGCCTGGGCGGGCAGGGAAACGTTGACGGACTTGAATATATGCAACGCAAAATGTAGCAGTTCAGAGCTCGACGACAATATTAGACAGTGATCATGCCACAATCCGCCTCTTGGAACAGCATCCTACCATGAAATGACATACCTTCAGCCCATCTGGAAGAGTGAAAGGTTTGACACAAATGCATTCAAACTCGGCTTGAACTTGACTAAAACATATAGCATTGTGAAGTCGCACTCGGATTGTCGCATTCCAAAACACCCACGCTGGTCTCAAAAGGCCACTCGCCAGTCTTGAGATCCCAAAGGCCAATCCTTGGAATGGCATTGAGAAATGTAGCGACCATGCCTCAGTGATAAGTAGAACCATCAAAAAGCCACTAAATCTACCCTCTGGTCAGCTTTAAGCACATCGAAGCATTTGCTACTCGCAAAACATCTATATACACGTCGGATCACGTATTGTTGACTCCCATACCTACATTGAACAAATGTATAGTGACCAAAGCTCGCACAGATGCCACCCGTTTCGAACCATGCATATGTTTCCATGTCCCATTTCGACTAGCGAGCCTTCTCCTCAAGCATCGAGTGATACTGTTGAACCTTGGCAGCCATCAAGCCAAGTTCCTAACATAAAGAGGCATGAAATAAACTCCCGAGTACAGAGTGGAGCTTGATGAGACGCTTGCCCGTGCGAACGACATTGATCCCGAGTGTGAGCCAACCTCTGAGGTCCCATGCAGAATGGAAGAGGCGAGAGCGTGGCCTGCCTACTACTATTTACCTAGTAGATACATGTTCAGCTGATACACTGGATACACGTATTCGTCACCGTGATGCCATGATATTACCTTGCTTAAGTTTGTGCCACTAAGCTACAAAAGTCATTGCACGCCAAAAATTGTACACCTTTTCCATGGAAACCTGTCAAACTTTGTTGACATAGCAAAACAGATTTCACAGATATAGCCTACTGCAGTAAAAGGGAATCCCTCAATCTGGTTAAGGTGAGCCCTACTATGTAACTCTGCGTGACATTAAAAGATTTAGAATTTTAAGATATCTGAATATAATCGAATGTGTTTAACAAGAATTGGCTATCACTTTTGGGCCCAACAGGCCGCAAAGGCAAGGGGCCTAGCAAGGTCGGAGGTCAAAGTAGTGTTCATGGCACAATGTGTCCTGTCAGCCGTCCTGTCAACCGCGACGCGAGATCACTCAAGCTAGGACGTTGAGTAGGGTCCTCATTAACGCAGGACAAGATGAGGTCCTTGAGTTGGGCAGGAGTTGATGTTGCGTCGCTGAAAGACGTCTGGGACGCCTGAGGGGTCTCCGGGTTATTATAGATAGTCTCCATTGCAATACCTTCCGAAACGAAATACATTGTCCTCCCGATTGAGTAGACCTCTGACTTCTCGATAGAAGCCAGAGGCCAGTCAACTGGGACTTCGAGACTGCCACGCTTTCTCGCTTCTATAAATCAATATTGCCATTAGCTTCAGGCCCATGAATCTCAATCGGAGAGTTTGAGTCTTGCCTTTGAGCACCTCCGGGCTCGCGATAGAAGTAGTGGTGTATTTCCCCGCTAGGTCGATCAGTATAATTGCTCCCGATGACTCGACGACAATATTGTCGGGCTTGATGTCGCCATGCCACGTCCCAGCATCGACCAGGAACTTGGTGGCCGAAACGAGCTGTCGAAACCAAGCCTGTAGGATAAATGGAGTCAGCTCGCCTACACCTCGGAGTTGTCGTGCGTAGGAACCGAGGTTGCCATTCTTGTAGAATGGGATAAGGAAGCCACAGATCCTCTTATCGTCGTCGGAGAGTCCCACGAGAGCGACCGGAGGCGGGAGGATGTGAGGATGAGTGTTCGCCATTTGTAGCGACACGAGGCTCACGGCTTCCCTGAGATCGTCGAGGACCCTGGTGGCAGATGCTGGACCCTTGGCCACGAAAGTCTCACCATCATACAAGACGGGCCTCGTTTGGGGAAGAAAGAACGTGCCGTTGATGGCTTGGACTCGTAGCTTGGATTTCGGTATGATATGCAATGGGATTTCCTTTTTACCAAATAGGACGTCCGCTGTGGGTAGTACTTCGACAATGGCGGGATCTGCCTCTTCTATGATTGTCGGGTGGCCATCATCGTCCACGTTGGTTAAGCAAAGGTTATTCCCAAACTCTGGGAGCTCGTGCTTATAGCGCTCGTGGCATGACCCTAAGACCGCGAGAAGGAGCATTTCGCTCGCCCTGGCGTCCGACGTGGGCTGCTGGGTTCGGCGGAGGAACCAGTCGAAGAATAGAGTCATCCATCTTTTTTGGCATCCTGTTTGCTCGATGACGATATTGATCCAACAGGACTGATGAGCCTCGACGAGTACCAGTAACCGGGAATCTTCAAGCAAATGGCCCTTGAGTTCCCAGTCTCCAACGCACAAGGTCGGACAGTTGGCCATCACGCAAACTGGGGCGTGATTTTTGTTTCCCCGTCTTGGGCTCGAATTTCGAGTGCGATTGGGATGGGTGGATAAGTCCGTGCGTAGGTTGTTGTACGCACCAAAGAGAGTTTTGATAGACAGTTAAAATAAAAGAAGAAGTCAGACCCAACAACTCAACACAATGAATAGTTGTGTGCACAATTCCGTGGTGGGTTAACTTGCCTAGTCGTAGAGGGAGAGGCCCGTGCGTCCCGGGTCACGTAAATATCCGAAAGCTTCGTTCGCTCTTCCCTTTCTCTCACTGGTGTCACCTTTTTTCGGCGCCCAACTAGCATTTCGGCACCCTTGATGCCAGAGAACTCAGCATGGAGCCGCCCGACAATGTATTGCCAACAGTTGACGAAGCTGCGCCGCTTCTGGCACGGCACGAGCCAACCGCATCGACCCATGTGGGCAGTGGACCTGCCGATCCAAGTGCCGACGATACCACGCCGAGCGATGGAATGAAGTCGCTGCTGTATCCTTCTTCCGTCTTCTTTATATTTGTCCTGTCCTTTGTCGCTGACCTTGGTGGCTCCTTGGTCGATATCCCCGAGGTCCGGCTGCTTGAGATGGCTGTCTGTAGAGACTACTACCGCGAGCACGACCCGTCTGTCATTGGCCCGCAGCCAGGCTCCTACGTGGACGAAAATCTCTGCAAGGTCAACAAGATCCAAGCTGATTTGGCCTACATTAGGGCTATCAAGTCGTTGCTCATGACGGTTCCAGGTGAGAGCCCATCAAACTGAGATCATTAATGGCGAGTTCTACAGCTGATGTGTTGATTTCCTAGGTTTGTTGCTCACCATTCCATATGACCACCTAGCGGACAGAATCGGCCGCAAACCTGTGGCATTCTTGGGCATGCTGGGCCAGGTAATGGCGTACTTTTGGATCGTCCTAGTCTGCTATTTCCATCAAGCCTTTCCCACGCGTCTTGTTCTGCTCTCACCAGCCTTCCTCATCGTTGGTGGCGGATCCCGGGTCTTGTCCGCCATCATGGCGACTGTCATCGTCGACGTAGCACCTGAGAACATGAGAACTACAATATTTTATGCTTTCGGTGCCGGCCTCCTAGTAACGGACACTGTGGCGGCTCCATTTGGATCATGGCTTCTATCCAAGGGCCTCTGGCTACCGTTCAAGTTGAGTGCTCCTATCATCTGCCTCTCGTTTCCTCTGATCCTCACAATGCCAGAGACTTTGATGGCCCGAAAGAAGGCGGAAGCTTCCAACGGCCATCAGCCCATCCAGGTACGGCACTCCCATCCGCGCCACTTGTCAATCATCTATCCATCTAACTCCAACTAGGACCGATCACCTATTTCCCTCTTCCGACGGTGGATTAGTGATATGCAGCAAGCCTTACGGAGCCTGCACTCTATTGTCATCTCTAAGAATATGGTGGTGTGCCTTTTTATCCTCTTCTTATCCGCATTCTCTGGCATGACGGGTGTGTTGTTCATACAGTATACTTCCAAACTACTGGACTGGTCCATCTCTACTGCGGGATACATCTTGGGTGTGAAGTCTTTAGTCACATTATGCACACTGATTGCTCTGGCCAGCCTCACGCAGATCCTTGAACGAAGAACTGGAGTGCGGCCGCTCTACGTGGATGTGTGGGTGATTCGCTCCAGCCTAGCAGCACTCGCTGTTGGGGCAGTTTTTGTGGCGGCAGCCGAAGAGCCTGTGCTCCTAGTCGCCGGTAAGTAAAACCCTGACTATAAACTCTGCAATGAAAACCACCTTCGGACTGACACTCTCCGGTTTTTTTTCAAGGCTCTTTGCTGGGCTCGGCCGGAAATGGCGTTTCACAAGCGCTCAAGGGTCTGTTAGCTACACTCGCAGACACGTCATCGACGGGGCAGCTGTTTGCGGGGGCAGCTTTTCTCGAGTTACTAGCTCAATTCGCAGGGAGCATGACCTTTGCCGCGTTATTTGAGGTCGGCCTGAGTCTTGAGTCTCTATGGGGGCTGGGACTTCCGTTTTTCATTAGTGGAGTAAGTTTGTGCATGAACGCTTCTGGGATTCCCATCCCCCCAGCGCATTAGTACTGACCCATCCATGCTTAGATACTGGATTTCCTCGCTGCAGCCCTGTCCTTTACGCTCCCAGTTAGATGAACTCGGGTTTACATGCAAAAGGAGAGCAAACTGCTTTAGATACATCCTCACAGCTACGCGCTTTAGGAGGATTTTAGTCGACACGGTAACTTGGGCTCATTAGATGTAATTTTAAGAATATTCCAGAAGAAAGGAAATACTGAAGAATATATTCAAGAACTTCGTCACAAAGGGGACTCCACCACGCATCACGAAGGGGCCTCCACCCTGACAGTCCCTGAAAGTCATCCCCACGTCAAACCCCTGGGTAGTACCCCGACAACCCGGCAAAGCTATTATAAGCCCCGCCGCCGGTCCGCTCCGAACGTGGAGCCTCTAGCAAATGATCCAGAGGGGATCTTCCAGTTAGTGGGGCCATGATTGCGTCCAACATAGAGCCCAATGCGTGAAAATCAATCGACGCAAAAGAGGACCAGTTCCTTCGAGGATCGTAGGAGCCTTGATCAGAAAGACAACCCTTGTAAAGGATCGAGCTACCAAAGTCGCAGAGGAACAAGTCGGCCTGGCCACCCAGTCGTTGGAACCAACAAGTTATTGGGCCGTAAAGGCTGACTCAGCTAACCTGTGCGCAGGTTAGCTTAGTCAGTGTGGACAATACACTCTATTGCCTGCATGCGTGGACACGCCTTTGTGCCGGCCCAGAAAGTGAGCATCAATGTAAGAGAACTATGCCATCGTCAGCAGATGCGACTTGGCAAAAATGACTATACTTGCCTAACGGTTCGAGGATGGCCTCCAAGTATCTTGAGCATCGCCTCCTCCACCAAGAAACTAGCCCTACAATCATCGGAACCTCCAAATACTGAATCATCCCCCCAGTACCCATCGCGGGGATATTTGGCTATGATGCCAGGCTCCAACCTCACCACTATCACGTTTGTGCTGCGAGTTGAAACGGCTAGCTAAGCGGGTAAACGAGTGGGCAAAATCGACGCCTTGACAGCTTGTGCCCGTGCAAGCCATCTGAAAGAATGGACGTTAAGAAAGGGATCGCCAAGGATGCCAGGTGCCAACAGACTTCATTACAAGCTTTGCACCTATTTTTACATCCAACCTGAGCGTTGTGCCTTCAACAAGCTCTAAAGGCGACGCCAAGTTACCACGCAGACCTCCTTCCCTCGCAGCTCGATGGTTCGTACGAGTCCTTGCTGCACGCCTATCGCCCGGCGATGGGCTGGGTTGGCGGCGTGACATGCTCTCCGGACGAAGGCGTTTCTGCAGGGGTTGTTGCGGGCAAAGATGTTCTTGTTATTGATACGCACATGACTTCTGTGACTACATGACTGACGCAACTAGGCTTACTCTCTCTTTATGCCGCGGTTGTGACAATAACAACTATCGACCTTAGACTCGCCCTGGTTTATCAATAATTCATAGTCTCTATATTTCATCCTTGGTCTATTATCTCTGGTAGGCTAGGTCAGCCTCTATATAATATAAGTGGCTATTCCCTAGCGTTATTATACTGACACCTAGAGGAGTACTCTAATTTTTTTGTATCAGGCTGCTATACCGCATGGACTAGGGAAGCGTCCATAAGGCTATCTCAACCCGAGGCCTTATGTATGAGAGTGTTAAGAAGTCCAATGCTGCTGCCCTCAGTCTGTCTGGGTTCCTGCTGAGCGATTTGGGTACCCGAATTATGGCTCACATTGCAGGTCACTGTTGTGTCCAGTTGGGTTGAGCCATGATCGCAGTTTAGTTGAGTCTGCTCTTGTTACCGCCAATCATGAATTCTTGGCGGCTTCTTTTAAGGGACAGTTAGTTCCCTGGCAGCCCTTGGCCCTGCTGCTGGTCTGTTTGTATTGTCTCCCGCGCGGCTCGTGACGCCGCTATGATGGCCTCGTGGGATGCGAATGTCCGTTATTTGGGGGGGGGTCGACGGCAACCGCATCCGCTCCGGGTTGAGGAGAAAGGGATGGTGCCAATCTGTACGCAGACAGGTACCGCTATATCAGCCACAGACAGCAGGCATTTATGGAATTAAACGCAGCATCCAGAGACCACCCTAGGATAAATGGTGGTGCGTAAATTGTATCGATTGAAAACGATTTGCGGGGGAATATCTGCCTACTTTCAGATACATCTGCATCCGTAAAGATAACCAGGCCCTTGTATACTAATGATTCGCCAGGCCCCTACTAATATCATCCTAACTTGCCCACCGCGGAGCTGTGGTAGGTCAGCTACATACTCGCGACCAAGGCTTGTAAGAAGAGGGGGATTAAGTGGTGGGATTGGCACATACGCGAGTGGAACTATACTGATCAAGATGGGGTTCTCGTGGAATCCTTGCCGCATGTCTTTGGGGCTCACGGCGATGGCGAAATTACTGACCTCCCTGAGTGCCCGGCGCAAGGATTCCGACACTGGGAAAATGGATTCAAATTGGAAAATGTTGAGTGAATTTATTATTAAAGTTTCAAAACTTAGAAAACGCCTCCTCCCCCCAAACTAAAGAAAAGAAAAAAGGGGGAAATATCTTCCCCACTGGGTTCAATCTAGAATTATCTAAAAGCAGTATTGTTATAAGCTTAGTACCTAGCATATGTCAAGATAATTATTCCTTGCTCGGTGAAGTGTCGGTTGCATCGCTGGGGAAACTGCCGGGAATTGCACGGTTCACTGAGTAATTCGGGCCCAGCGCTTGACGGCGACGGTTTCTTGGACCATTTAGCGGTCTTAGCCGTGCCCGAGCGTTCTCAATACCTGCGGCTGGATACTGGTTTGTGTTCCTCCGCCAAGCTCTTGGTTGCGCTGCCGACGACCCGTGGACAGCTGCAGCGGGAGCTGCGCTGTCAGTTTCTGCGGGTGCGATGAGGGGTGGAATCTGGTTTTGTGGTGTCGAGAGCCCTTCCCCTTGGAAGCACTTGACGAGCATTTGAGCTGCAGAAGCGCGCTCTTCTGGATTGACTATTATCATTTCCCGAATGTTATTCATCATTGGGGCTGCTGCAGCTGCCAACATTATACTTCGGGCGTCCTCGAGGGTATCCTGCCTGTCTAGTTCCTCGCGGAATCCGTTCACATTCAACGTCCACAATATTGTGACAAAGAGGGACCAGACATCTGCTTTGTGTGTCTGCTTCACTCTCTGTTTCATCTCCGGAGCCATGTAAATTGGGCTGCCCACCTCAGACGTCGCGAAATGGGCCTGTTTGCTGAAGCCAAAATCCCCGAGTTGGAAGTGAGGTCGGTCTTGACCGGATACGTAGAGGATGTTCTCTGGTTTTATGTCTCGGTGAATAATGTCATTCATCGCCAGACAGTCGATCGCTTTGAGCATATGATGTAAGACAGTGGTGGCAAGATCATGAAAGTCGGCGGAGGGCAGGCTGAGGATCAACGAGTGCAGGGTTCCTTCTTTTAGACCCATGAAGATTTCTACCTCGGGCCCGTCCCAGCCCTGCGATGAGATGTACTCAACAATATGGGTCTAGGATTGAGATCAATACCCTGTATATCCCAGAAATATAGAATATCTTCACTTACGTGTTTAAGTCTAGAGAGGATCTGCACCTCACGCTTCAAATTGACCCACTCTTGTTGCATTGGCCCGGCCGGTCGCCTGATAATCTTGACAGCCATGAGCTTGCCTGTGTCCAGATCAAGGGCTTGATGTACAAGTCCAAACGCTCCGGATCCGAGCCTCTCCCCCTTGTCGTATCTCGTCTTCAAGCGTTGGGGGCCCGAGGTGGTTATTCTGGTCTCCCTTTGAGACGGCAGAACTGTGTCCGCTTCATCGATGGTACGGGCGAGGCGAGGATTCTCCGCGAGGATTCTCCTCTCTCGATCCTTGACCCTCTCCATCGTGTTACGAGGGTTGCAATGCCATATCAGTTGGAACTGTATGAGGTTCCGCCTGGTCCCGCCCATACCAATGATAGTGTTGACATTGTTCTGCACGACGGCTTTACGAGGTCGCCCATACTCGAATGGCGTTGCGTTATCGCCGGAGACCTGACTCGTCTGGCCGTGCGATCTATCGTAGAACATTATGACTTTAGTGTCTGGATCGATTTCGAATGAACACTGGATCTTGGAGATGCTGCAGCTGTCCACTGTGACATCGCCGTTCCGTCCCAGTGTAGCCAAAGTAGCGTTGTCTCTCGACATTGAGCGGACATGACCAATGTTGAGGCCGAGGCGACCGTCCTTCACCTGTGATACAAGGTGTTGATTGGACAAGTGGGCGAGTACTCTTTCGGCTCGCTCGTTCAGAGGGACCAAGGAGAATAATGCTAGATGATGAGGCTCGGGAGGAGACATTTTGCTGGGGCGATGAAATCTAGCGAAATCCATAGAAGAAGGAGAGAGATGTAACGGAGGGGGAAATAGGCATTTAAAGAAGCCAGTAAGCCCATTCGGCCATTCGCATAACGACATTGTCGCTTTTATGAATTATGCTGGGGTGACAGCGATGCCCGGCCTAATTCGCCGCCTGTTGGCCAAGCTGCATCTCATGGCTTTTGACGATGTACTGTCCCGCACGCTACGAACAGCGATTAGTTGACATCAGGGATGAGACGCCAAGGTCTTGTGCCTTTTTTGGCTATGTACCACGGCAAAAGAGACGGAATAAGACTTTAAAACCCATACTCCTTCGTTCTGTAGCCTTTGAATCATCGTACAGTCTTCTCCTCAAGTCTTGAAGGCGACTTATGATCCAAACATGAGCCTCCCCGGTGATGGACGCTTGAAGTGCTATTTTGGTGTCTCATCCCTTGTGGCGCCCACTAGATTGTGAACTAACGGATAGAGGTGGGTGCAATCAAGGCCAATCAACCATTCAGGTAGGCCTGGAGCCAGAATAGTTTCAGCCCTATTCTCCTTTCCGTTGTTCCCCGCCACGGTATACATATGTATATTGTATATACCGACCAGGACAAAGGGGTTATTCCCTCCCTTGTCTATGCGCCGATCGCTGGCCCACATAAAATAGCACTCCCCGTTGGCAGAATACGCTCCAAAACATTTCCCATGCATTTTTACTTTCTTCCTCGATTCTCAACGCAAACTCATCCATGGCTGATTCTGTTCGAGGGGATGGAGTGTTTAGGCTCATGTCGGCCCTAGCAGCACTTGTCGAAAATCCAGAGCGACTTGACCGTGAGAGGGAGCGGTTCAATAAATCTCCACCCGCGTATAGATCCAACTTTTCACACAACTCAACCCTATCCCAGAGTCCTGAACTGCGCAGCGAGGAACGAAAATGGCAGCTAATAAGAGAGCGCTGGGCTTCGTTTGCTGGGACCCAATTCAGCGAAGAACAGGATGAAGAGAGGAAACGGATCGAAGAAGCAAGTCTGAATCGAACTGGCAGTGTTCCGATAGGGAAGAGTTTCAGCGAACTTGCGGAGGAAAACGTCAAGGCGCGCTGGGTGGAGCAGGGTATCTGGAACGAGAAGTGGAAGGATTCCTGCACGATTGGGAAGTGGAAGCACGAAGAACCATCCGAGCTTGAGTCCGAATCGGAGGCCGAGAGCGAACCTTCATGTTCTCCGTTCTGCCCCCCTCCCCAGAGAGCAGAAGCGAAACGGGGACGGCCAAAGCGTGCCGAGGAGTTGCAACGGTCTGCGGAGCGACGACTTGTACGAGAGCGTGAACGCGAAGCGTCACGCCCATTTCATCAGTTCGTCTATCAAGTGTCAAAAGAACGTGAACGAATCCAAGCCGAGTTGAATCCTCCCAAGGTTCCCTCCCTGTGCCCCTTTGATTTTCACCTGACGTGCTACGGCACAGCTGATTCTTACCGTCATGTCTGGGCAGCGGACAGACAGGCCCAGGACGAGCCAAACGAGGAAAAAGCCAATGCCGAGACTCCTCGCGACATTAACTCGACGGCCTATGAGAGGGTGAAGAATAAATGGATAAAGAGAGGAATATGGAATGGAAAATGGGGTGTGCTGCCTGGGATGTCCTGGAAGCATGAACAGCCTCAAGAGGACATGCTTCGCGAAGAGTTAGGTGATGACCCTATCTCTGTTCAAGCGAGCCCGCCTCGCGACAATGGGTCCGAAACGAAACGAGTGTCTCCGCGGTCGATATCTGGGGCCCATCTACCTGCCGAGGGGACTGATGCTCTTGTCCAAGCAAGCCCGCCCGGCGACAATGGGTCCGAAACGGAACAAGTGTCTCCCCGGTCGGTATTTGGGGATTATCTACCCACCGAGTGGACCGATGCCCTTGTTCAAGCAAGCCCGCCCGGCGACAATAGGTATGGAACGGAACAAGAACCTCCCCGGTCGTTATTTGCGGAGTATCAACCTGTCGAGTGGACTGATGGCAATGGATACGGAACGGAACAAGCACGTCCCTGGTCGTTATTTCCGGACTATCGACCTGCCGAGTCGAATAACCAAGCGTCCAGTATCCAGGACGCGTCCCAGCAAGAAGAGCCACCGACGAGCACTGTTTCGGGGGTGCTTGAGAGCCACGGCTATGGAACCGGGGGTGCCCCTTCGGGCCCAGTGACGGGTAGCCCAAACTCGTCTCCGCAAGACCTACTCCCGGCCCCTGGCCCCGAAGAAGTGCTGGATAGCGACATCAGCCACCCTTGCACTGCCTCGAATTCACGACGCTCGGCGAGAATAGTAGCTCGTCGACCTACCCTGTCGCAGGGACGACGATCTGAGGACGGACAGGCTCTACAGATGGCACGCGCTGCTCTTGGTCCAGTCCACTCGGCCAAGGTGTCCAAGTCTCGTCGAAAGAGCGCGCCTGGGCAGCGACTCCGACCGAATGCCTCTGAATTGCTGTCCGAGGCTCGTCAGTCTTCGCCTGGGCTAGACGTCCCCGCTCCCCCCGCAGCCGCAGCCCCTGCGCCGCTACGAAGGAGCAGACGCTTGCAGGAGGCCGCACACAATGGTGGCTCTCAATCAAGACCCGGGCAGACCAGTGCTCCTGAACCAAAGCCTTCACTTTCAGCAAGACCTCGGGGAGTATCCAAGAGACGTTCAAGCACAGCTAGGCACAGGGCGAGATAGAATGCCTTCTTTTTGTACAAATGTTCGGTTTCCGCTGGGGCTGGAACTACTCGGCCACTAGCAGGCGGCACCGACGTATATCGCCGCGTATTCTAGAAGTATTATGCCTTATCTTGATAACGTAGCTATACATATATTGCAAAGACATTTGTATTTCACTACAGCTTGAGTTTAAAGTACATGTATGACTTAGTAGCACTCCTCACCGTGTACGGCGTCGTGATTTAGAATAGCGTAGACTTGAAACACAAAGGCTTTACAAAGACGACAGTAGGATAAGTATCAAAATCATGGCAACTAATACTGGTTTCGGTTAACGCTTGTGCTGTGGAGTAGTTGATGACCATATAGTAACAATGAAGGTGGAGGAGCAATGATTTTGGACAAGCTAACTCAATGGCTGTATAGGCTATCTGTGAATCGGATCAGGTCGGCAATGCAAACGGATAATGCACACATGTGGTTGTGGCTTTGTGTTGGAGAAAGTGTTCTTTGTGACCAGGTTCATATTGCCGCAACCACTTCTTACATAGTCACCAAATATAAATCATCCGCACAGGACCTCTCGGGGTCTGTGGGAAGTCAGTGCGTCGCTCCTAGAATAGCACAATACAACTGATTCATGGCAACGCCTCAACGCGGTGCGCAGTTACGTGCGCGACACATCACCCGAATAAATTTCAAAAATAAGCCGCCCGTTGCAACATCCCGCAACATCCAGCCGGTCGCCTAGCTCATTGGGAAAGGAAGTCCTCCTTTCTTCCGTTCTTCACTATAGAGAAACAACACTCCCCGGAGCCCTTGCGAGCTAAGCTTCTGCTTACCCAAGAAGAGCAAGGTCCAGCAAATCCACCGTTAAGAAAACGGCAGATAAACAGCGATAGTAATATTGACGATAATCCTCAGCTAAAACGAGCCCGATTAACACGAAGGAACCTTGCACACTTCACTGAGATGGAGACAGGCACAAAGAAGAGTTCATCATATTCTTAACTTCAACACACCTCTTGCTTCACGGGTCTAAAACTTCCCACCCTCTTCCTATGCGACTGTTTTTCGAGGTGAGAGTCTTGAAGGCTTGCGTGCTCCACTGACTAACACCTCAGGAGTGACTGCCGTACCTCGCTAGCGTACTTTTGGCGGATCTCATTCTTCGTGGCAACGGAGTGGTGATGTTGAGAAATGTCTGGTCTTCTGGTCTTCTCATGAAGGAGGAGGCGGATGCAGGAAAAGAGTAGGTGGAGCTGAGTGGCTGGAATAAAGCATGGCTCGCTAAAGCTCTTGTCGCGTGAGGCAGGGACCCTCTTCTCTTATCAAGAATACCAAACACAAGAGAGAAGAAAAAGGATAAGTTAGCCTCCAATGTCTAGCTTGATGCATGTTGAGTACTGGGTTAATTGTTTTTTATACTACCTCAATATTGATATTATTGAAATTCAACGCTGGAGGTTCTGGGTGTGCCGGTCGCTTGAGCCAAGGAGCCAGGCAGCCAGGTAAAGAATTAAAGCTCGCCCACAACTACATCATGTAGGTAAGTACTTACGGCTACAGCCACGGGAACCGCTATTTGTAGGGAGCTGGCCCAGCGATAGCTCGGCGCAACAGTGGAAAGAATGCAACAGGTGTCTTCTGTAACCGACAATTCTTAACAAGAAATCAAATGCGAATACGCTATTATTCGTACATGACTAGAATAACTAGAATATGGATTGCGTGCGTAGAAAATGAAAATGCGAAGTATCAGCTAGTCGTCTCAGCAATGGCCTTCCCTAAAGCCACTGTACCCATGGCTTACGGTGCACCATCCAATATTCAGGCACACGAGGCTTCATATTGGGATCATAATTCGTGATGTTGCCGTCTTAAGAGAAACAACATTGCGCAAGTGACATGTTTACTACCAAGGGAGTGACTAACTATAGAAAACGAACGTAATACAAATAAACACCAAGACCACCAGGCGTGCGAACAGCGGTCTTCTGAGACTGGTTCTCACACTTGAGTTGTTCATGGCGGTGAACAGTGTTTATCTTTTAAAGCGGTGGGCGCATTCTGATTCAACTCTTCCATGAGTATGAAGACTGTGGTCAGCGGCCGGTAGCGCAAGTGATTAACCAGACATTGTATGATATGGCGTTGACTTACAAAAAGAAACAATGGGGCGGCAATAAGAAATGGTCGCCAAATTGGCACCACCTAAGACAGATCTGCTAGGTAAAGCTCCGGCGGGAAGTCCGACATATCGATTGTCCTGACTGGGGACCGCCTTGGATCGTCCCTAGATACTCCTAGTTGAGGTAAGTCCCCCAGAGCTTCAAGCGGAAACACCCAGAAGCCAACGGCGAGCTTCGGCAAGCGTTCTGTGTTCTCCACGAGGTCGAGCGTTGCAGTATCTGCCAGACGTGCCACCAGGTCTGGATACTCTGGTTGGTTTGCCAGACGTAAGCTAATGTGGCTGCTGGCAAATTTCGCGGCCGTGGTTCTGTCGACGATGCCTGTTGATCCAGTGGCAGTTTGGAAGATTGACCGGAACATTTGTCCTACGCCCCGTTCATTATGAAATTCAGTCGTCATTTTGATGACGGGGGCATTATAAACGTTTGCGCGATTGCTGAACTGTGAGACTAGGAAATGATACTCAACGCTCCCATCTTGGCGATGGCAGCCCCAGTCTGCCAGGAGCTTGAACCAATTATACACGTATTGTCTCGGCATGATGCATCCTGGAAAGACGTATTGCAAATCCGCCGAGATGGGACGGGGATCGCGGGGAAGCCGAGTAAACCCAGAGTTCGACCCGAGAAGCGGGCGGGAGCGAGAGAACTGCCAAGGAGCCATGGGCGTCGCGGCTGGGTCGAATGGCAAGCACAGACGCTCGTTTTGTTCGAGGCAGACGAAGAAGATATGCCTAACGTTGGAGAAGGCCCGGGCGAAGAGCTCACGACATTCGGGATCGTCTACTGCCATGTCCTCCGATATAAGCTGTCGGGCAGAGTCTGTTGGAAGTGCAATCTTCTCCAGCCCAATGTGATGGGGATCACGTCTTTGGGTATCCAGAAGGAAGTCCACAATACACGGCTTTCGGACATTGGGAGGGTGGATTGATGGCCCGGCGTGAGGTGGCAGAAAGCCTATGCGCAGGATATCTCTCTCTGGGTTGACGTAGAGAAAGCCCACGCTGCGAGTTCTGCCACACCACTCATGTCGACAGGGAATGTGCACTCGGTAGAAGGCCAAGGCAGCGTGCCTCGCGTCTCTGTTGACACGAAGAAGTTTGCTGTGGATGTTGCGTCCCTGGACATTGACAATGTAGCGGTTTCCGCTGATGCGGTCCTTGGGTCCAACGAGCTGGTCATCTCGTTCGAGCCAGAGTTGGAAGAATCGTTCGCGGAGCAGGGACAGCTTGAAAATGTGGACACGGATTTCGAGAGGAAACTTCGAGAACTGGGGGAAAGATTGCTCGGAGCCATGGCCTAGAATCGGGTTGAAGAGTTGCAGGTGCTCAGGGAGAGAAGACATGATCGGTCAAGTTGGTCAAGGTAGAAGCGCAGAAGAGTAAAAGTGAAGTAAATGAGGGGTAAAATGATAGGCAGTTTCGGGAACACTCTATTGATATAAGGAGTTCTTGCTGTTGGGTCGGCACCTAGTGCTCTGATGTGCTTTATGTCACATCGACTAACACGTTGGTCGGGGGCCAAGAGGTCGAGCCAGAGAAGCTCACTTCAATCGTCCAGTGCTTGGTTTAAATGCCGTGATAGGCAGCCAAGCTGGGGAAAATAATTCAAGGCGATGTGAGAACCAAAGGCATGGCAATAACGCAGCCGGTAGATAGTTCAGGGCCACACCACAAGCTGAGAAACGGCAGGCAGGAAAAAGAAACGACTGTTTCAAATCAGCTCCTCCACAAGGCTCGGTAGGGACGCCGGCGGTCTGCCTTGATGCAGGTGCCAACTAGTCTGCCTGCTCCGTCTTCTTGGAAACAACTCTAGCAGGCCAGGTGCTTGCAGGCTGGAGCAATGCGTGTCCTTGGGCGAGCCGAAATGACCGTCACCGACTCGACCGACAGCAAGCATTCATGTTCTGATGTGTGTCAGCCACCAGCATCACCCCGCGTTAGTCCTCACCACCTTGTCTTGCGCCGCTTCAGCTTGAAAATTTTCCCCTCTCTGGGCCAATCCCAGGGCGCGGTCATTGCACATCTCGCTATTGTTTCTGATGCCTAAGTATGCGAGGGAAAAGTGACGAATGTGCGCCGGTTGCGCTGCCTCCCCCGCCGCTGAGCAGGCAGCACACACCAACGTAAGGGCCATGGTTTTCGAGTGGCAAGAGGCCAAGATGTGCCGTTCGGGCAGCTGAAGGGGTAGCAAGTTGGTGGCTGAGCGATGCGGTTGATTTTGACAAGGCCGCAGACGTATGCCAATTGAGGCTCCCTGGTGTGTGGATGGAATCAACTCCGTGTGGCAGGCGCTGGCACTTCACAGCTCCCCACCTGCCCTGCTTGCCTACATCCACAATGGGCAGTGGCTTCGGGCAACTCTCGACTGCTTCGGCGAGAAAGAGCTTCTTGCATTTAATTGGTTGATGTTGTGGGTCATGTGGTCACACATCCTCACCTACCCTATATCCATCCTTGGTACTGTCCTCGGGCATCTCTCGATTGCTTCGGCGCGGAGAGAGTTTCTTGCATTTTAAGAGGTTGGCATTATAGGTCATGTGGATCGCGTATTTCCATCTACCCTACATCCACAAATGGTACTGGCTTCGGGTATCTCTCAATTGCTTCGGCGAGGAGGAGAGTTCCCAAGATTTTTTAAGTGGTTGGTGTTTTTGGTCAAATGGGCCGCACATGCAGATCAAGCGTGTCCCACCTGCCAATGGGCGAGTTTAGTCCAGTGGGCCCTGGACGGTAGATGCAGTAGATTTCTAACAGGTAGAAAGTGCTTTGTGTTGTCACAATAGAAGGCAGAATTCGGGGAAAGAGGAAACTTGGCAGGCAGCCTAAAATTTATTCAGGCTCTCTGTAATTTTCACTAGCCGTGATCACCTCGTAAGGAGTGGCAATTTGTATCCTGGCTTGACATGGCTTGGCTTGTGTTGATGCAGCTGTAGGGTAGGCACCTTGGATGGGAGAACAGTGAGGCGAACTGAACTTGAGGCAGACATTGAGGGGAGCCGTGAGTCTGTTTACTGAGCGATGCTGCCCCGCTCCTGCCCCACCAGCACCCTTGGCACCACTTACCAGTGGTTTCTGTTTTGGGCCATTAATTTGCACGTGAGTCCGCGATCCGGAATGAATCCACACCACCGTGTAAGTTGACCGGACGCGCATTCATTCACGAACCATCTCCCATCGCGCAAACAAGAAAACCAAGCCTTCACTTATCGTCTCGTCTCGTGCAATTCAATGGACCTGGATCCCCAGCATGGACCTTTTCCGGGTCAGGCTGAATTGCATCGATCACTACCAAGCAACCCCGACGCGTTATGATCCGCAGCTGCGTAACGACGTCCGCCCGTTCAACATCTCCAAGCAGCCCAAGGTCCCCGTCATCAGGGTCTTTGGCTCGACCGAGACCGGCCAAAAGGTCTGCGCGCACATCCACGGCGCATTCCCCTATCTCTACATCGAGTACGATGGCCATCTGGCACAAGACTCCGGTAGGCCCCCGTTCCCCCTCCCTTGCCCCTCGGTGTTAGCCGTGCTGACTGACCCCATCAACAACACAGTCGGCGCATACATCTACCGCCTGCACCTCGCCATCGACCAAGCCCTTGCCGTGAGCTACCGCCGCGATCAGTTTGATAACAATGCGCGATACGTTGCCCGGATCACCCTCGTCAAGGGTGTGCCGTTTTACGGCTTCCACGTCGGATTTAAGTTCTACCTCAAGATCTACATGTTCAACCCCGTCGTCATGACCAGGTTGACCGATCTCCTCCAGCAAGGCGCCATCATGAAGCGGCCCTTTCAACCCTACGAGGCCCACCTCCAATACCTGCTCCAGTTCATGACCGACTACAACCTCTACGGCTGCGAGTTCATCGACGCATCCAACACCAAGTTCCGCGCTCCCGTCCCAGATCCAGTTGGCGAATTTTCTTCGTCGCACCTGTGGCATAGCCAATCCGTCCCGAGCCAAAATGTTACAAACGAGTCCGAGCTGCCGCGCGTGAGCCATTGCTCCATCGAAGTCGACATATGCGTTCAGGACATTACAAATCGCCAAAGGGTCGATGAGAGGCAACTGCACCATGATTTCGTCGAACGCAGGCACCCCATACCCCCCGATCAGAAGCTGGTCTTCAGCATGGCTGGCCTATGGAAAGACGAAGTCAAGCGCAGAAAGGGACGGATGCCCCCCTCCTCGGAGCCGGGAACCAGCCCTCTGCCCTACGAGACTCTCGTCTCAATGTCAGCAGAATCTCGTGCGTCGCAACCCGACCCGTGGCTCCAAGAAACAGAACTCCGTGAGGCCATCCACGAGCTCGTCGGCGAGGAGCTGGATTCGCAGTGCAAGCCTCTGGAGTTTGATTCCTTTGTGACTAAGTCCCCATTTGAGGATTCCGTCAAGACAGCTCTGCAATCTGTCGAGGACCTCCACCCTGAAGTATTACTGCCAGCCCTGGGCCTTGCCCCTGAGCCAAAGACCGCCGCCCAGCAAGAGCAGCAGCCAGACAAGCAAGACGAGCAAGACGAGTTTAACTTTCCATACGACTCGGACGAAGACATATTCCAGGCGCTATTCGAACGAGAGCAGGCCAAGGCTAAGGACTTGTCTGCCCAAAATACTGCTGCGATGAGTGAGGAAGATGCTGGCCATGTCTCAGAAGACTTGTTTGTTCCCCAGGAACCTCCGCCTTCTGCTCAGCCTGTGATAAACCCGGATGGATCTTTTAGCTTGACTGACTTTGATGATTGGACGCCGATTTCCCTACCACCCTCCCAAGAAGCGTCTCAAAAAGCATCCCAATCGCGGAAACGTCCCTTGTTTGACTCCTCGCCAATCTCACATACGAAGCGGGTAAAACTGGGATCGCTAGCGGAGAGCAGCGCAATTTACGACGAGCCGCCGCCAGGGGGTCAACCCCAGCTCAACAGCTCGCAACTCTGGCCATCATCAAGTCCCGCTGGCTCACAAGGAACCCAGCCATCGTTCATGTCGAGGATCCAGGGCAGTGCGGACCAGACAATCAACTTCCCCATTGTCAAGAACGTCTCCCACTCTCTAGCAAAGCCTGACCTTCATCTTCCAGGCCAGCCAAGCCGCGGGTCGGTGCCTGAATCATCGCAATGGGATGTGCCCGAGCCGTCTAGTCCTAGTTCTGAAGCTTCTTTTGATCAGGGGCTCTCGACACCCCGCGCCGCGATTCTTTCGTCTCAGGATGATTCTTCACAACATGATGTTTCTCTGGACGATGCATCCCTGGACGATGCTTCTCTGGACGATGCATCCCTGGACGATGCTTCTCTGGACGATGCATCCCTGGACGATGCTTCTCTGGATGATGCCTCGGGGGACGATGCTTCACATGACGACGCCTCGCTGGACGGTGCTTCTCTGGACGATGCCTCGCTGGACGGTGATTCGCTGGACGATGCTTCTGAGGAGATGTCTTGCCAAGACGACGACTCCCATGACGATGATTCTCAGGATGATGAACCTCAGGATGGTGATTCACAAGATAAATCCCTCCAGGAGGGTCTGGACGAGTTTTATGACGAGCTGGATAGTGACCCAGACCTCTTGTTAGACCTCTCGTTGGACCTCTCCTTTGACCAAGGCCTCTCGACACCCCGTCCAGTAATCTCGTCTTCTGAAGATGACTTGGAACGCTTTTGTGAAGAGCTAGATGGTGATGACCCAACTACGCAAACCCTCGTTTATGCGGTCCCGCCACCGGGTCCCAGCGAGCCCTTATCGTCTCAGCAGGAAGATGATGTACCGACGGTAATCTACCAGGAACCATTTTACAGTAAGGAGAAAGATGTTCCGACGAGAATGCGAGAGTATGCTGGACGGGAATTCCGTCTACGAGGCAACACTCTACCTTATCTGCCTGACTTTGATCCCACAGGGGGCGTTTCCTCCACCACTCGTGGCCAGAAGTCGCCTTACCCTCCTAATAGCGCTACGAAGGAGCCCTGCACACTCCTTAGCTGGGACTTTGCCAAGTTGCCCCCTTCATACGAGGAAGTGGAGACTTGGTGGTCACAGAAACAGGAGAAGCAACAGGAACAGTCTTTGAAGAATTCATTCGAGTCGACTCCGACCCATTTCCTCTCGCAGATTGAAGGCCCGACTCCCGACAATAAACACGGCTTCAAGTACTCCCCGAGGGCCAGGTCAGACAACGTGAAGCTCGAGGGGTCCTACATGAGCACCATGAGCTTGGAGATTCATGTCATCACTCGCGGGAAGCTCGTTCCCAACCCCGAAGAGGACGAGGTCCAGTGCATATTCTGGTCGTTCAAGTCGGACGACCCTGCCAACAGCTCCCAGGACTATCTTCAAGCTGGGCAGTCTGGCGTGGTTGTTCTCAGCGAGGACGGCGTTCTGGCACGACGCATGCAGAAGCTAGATTTTGGGGAAGTGCATGGCGAGACTTCTGAGCTTGATGTCTTTGTTCGGATGGTGGAGATTGTCCGTTTCCACGACCCGGATGTGCTCACTGGCTTCGAGGTCCATGCCAGCTCTTGGGGGTTCCTGATCGAGAGGGCCCGGCTCATGTATGACTTCAACCTGTGCGACCAGTTCTCTCGGATGAAGTGCGATTCCCATGGCAGGTTCGGCAAGGAGAGCGATCGTTGGGGCTTCAATACCACCTCAACCATTCGCGTTACCGGAAGACACATGATCAACATCTGGAGAGCAATGCGGGGAGAACTCAACCTTCTGCAGTATACCATGGAGAACATTGCGTGGCATCTGCTGCATCGTCGAGTGCCTCATTACCCCTGGGAGGTCCTGACTAGGTGGTACCGCAGCCACAATATCGCCCAAGTGATTCGGGTGTTGAGGTACTATCAGGCACGGACTAGGACTGACCTGGAGATCCTGGAGGCCAACGAGCTCGTGTCGAGAACCAGCGAGCAGGCCAGGGTCCTCGGCGTGGACTTCTTCTCCGTCTTCTCCCGCGGCTCGCAGTTCAAGGTCGAGTCCATCATGTTCCGGATAGCCAAGCCGGAGAACTTCATGCTCGTCTCGCCGAGCCGCAAGCAGGTCGGCGGCCAGAACGCGCTCGAGTGTCTCCCGCTGGTCATGGAGCCGCAGAGCGCCTTTTACAACAGCCCCCTACTCGTTCTCGACTTTCAGAGCCTGTATCCCAGCGTCATGATCGCCTACAACTATTGCTACTCGACCTTCCTCGGACGCGTCACGGACTGGCGAGGGATGAACAAGATGGGGTTCACGGAGTACAGGCGGGAGCAGGGTCTGCTTGGGCTTCTGGAAGACGACATCAACATCTCGCCCAACGGCATGATGTACGTCAAGCCTGAGATTCGCAAGTCGCTCCTGGCCAAGATGCTCAAGGAGATTCTCGAGACCAGAGTCATGGTGAAGAGCAGCATGAAGAAGGACAAGGAGGACAAGGCGCTGCAGCGTCTGCTGAACAATCGTCAGCTTGCGTTGAAGCTCCTTGCGAATGTCACCTACGGCTACACGTCAGCATCGTTCTCAGGCAGGATGCCGTGTTCCGAAATTGCGGACAGCATAGTTCAAACTGGGCGCGAGACTCTGGAAAGGGCAGTCGCTCATATACACTCTATTGAGAAATGGGCTGCACATGTTGTGTACAGCGACACCGACAGCATATTCGTCTACCTCCCCGGCCGCTCCAAGGACGAGGCGTTTGACATTGGTAACGAGATTGCCGATGCGATCACTAATATGAACCCGCGCCCTATCAAGCTCAAGTTCGAGAAGGTCTACCTCCCCTGCGTGCTCCTGGCTAAGAAGCGCTACGTTGGCTACAAGTACGAGAGCCGAGACCAGGTCAAGCCCGACTTTGACGCAAAGGGCATCGAAACGGTTCGTCGCGACGGCACGCCCGCCGAGCAGAAGATCGAGGAGAAGGCGCTCCGGATGCTGTTTGAGTCGGCAGACCTGAGCCGCATCAAGTCGTACTTCCGCGAGCAGTGCCGCAAGATCATCCGCGGCCACGTCTCCATCCAGGACTTTTGCTTCGCCAAGGAGGTGCGACTCGGGACGTACTCGGAGAAAGGAACGGCACCCGCCGGCGCTCTCATCAGCTCGAAGCGCATGCTCGCCGATGCCCGTGCTGAGCCGCAGTATGGTGAGAGGGTGCCCTATGTTGTGGTCAGCGGTGCGCCGGGTGCTCGGCTCGTGGACCGGAGCGTTGCGCCGGAGGACTTACTCGCAAACCCGCACTGGCGGCTGGACGCGCAGTACTACATCACCAAGAACATCATCCCGCCGCTGGAGCGCATCTTCAACCTGGTCGGGGCGAGCGTCCGGCAGTGGTACGACGAGATGCCCAAGGTCAAGCACCACAACAGCCACATGTTCGCGGCGCAGCGCGGGGGCCGCAAGACGACGCTCGAGGCGTACTTCCAGTCGATGCACTGCGTCGTGTGCTCGCGCAAGTTCAAGAACTACCAGAACAGCACGGTCTGCCGGCGGTGCATGGGGAGGAAGCGGGCGCCGGTCGCGCTGTACGCGCTGCAGACGAGGTTGTCCCACGAGGAGAAGCGGTACCGCGAGGTCATGACTCAGTGTCGCCAGTGCGAGGGGGGCCGGGGCGTGCTGGGGGACGTGCAGTGCGACAGCAAGGACTGCCCGGTGTTTTGGAGCCGGGTGAAGCAGGTTGGGAGGCTGGAGTCGATGCGGGCGTGTACGGAGCCGGCGATGCAGAGCCTGATCCACGGGATCGAGCGAAGGGCCTTGGAGTGGTAATTGGTTGTTGGAGTTTGGGTGTTTTTGGACAAGAATGGGTTTGGGCTGGTTGCATTGCATGAGATAACGGGGCTTGCATTTTGGGTATGAGTATGACTTGTATGAGTGGAATCCGGATAGAGAAACAAAGCAATGACATGTGATTATGGGCTGGCCTTTGTTCGCCAATGTGCTGCCTGGGATGAACAATTGGCATGGATCCGAACCCGTGTGGGAGTAAATGCTGCATGGAAGTGGGAGGCCGCAACTTCCTGATGCAGGTCGAGGTGCGCTCCACCATGCCTACCTATGACTGGCTCAAAGTCCGGGTAAAGGTGGAGCGCACCTCGATTAAGTGTGCGACATAGAAATGGCTCTGGCGACCGCAAAACACTTGCCCATATATGCCACAGTACAAGTAGTGTTACGCTCAAACTGGCCGTAACCAGCCTGGCGCTGTAAGTGGTTATTCGTAGTTGGCTACAGGGTAGCTGGAGCCGGATAGCTTGTGGTTGAAACCTAGGTTCACGATACCTTCACTTGTGTATGAGATAATATGATTCTTAAGGCTTGAATTGCTTCTATCTGCTGGCTATTTCCAGCCCTCTTATAGGGGGCTCCGTACAGCCCCTGCTTGTAGCATGACAGCCATGTACAGCTGCAACGATCGCCAAAACTGACGGTCCGCAAACTTGAAGCAAACGTGTGGCTAGTGGGGGAGCAGACTTAATTCAATCATTCGTGATTTCTGGAACGAAACCAAAGTTTCACCTGTTCTCATGATTCATGAAGTTGGAACTGGAGGGTACTTATACGCCACCCAGGCCAAAATAAGCTGAAGTAACCCAACAATGAAGGATAACAATCCAAAGAGCACAGACAAAAAGAGGCCCACAATAGCTACAGTCAGCGCGTTCCTCTCTGATGTATGCCTCTCAAACCAGGCGACTATAGCATTCGCTGGCGGTGGTCGTTTCACAACATCGCGGAGGGTCGATAGACGGTCGCCCCAGTAGTCGAACGTCATATCTGCGGGAGCAGTCCGAACGAACTCAATCCATCTCCCCTCCACATCAAAGCCATGCCTTTGGATCATAGTCTCCAGGGCTGCACCCGACTTTTTGTCGCGTACGCTGGCAACCGGAAACAAGACATCATGAAATGTCAGTAGAGTCTCAAGGAGAAGCTTCGGTGGCAGTGTCCCTCTACCAAAGCAGTCAGTAAAGGATGGTCAGCTGTCTTACGGAGTGCCTCGCCTTCTTAAACTCTCCTCAAAATTGAGGTCGAGTGGCTCCTGCTTGCTCTTCGCCAGATGTGCCCTTAGAAATGATACTTGATGGAAGACTTTGAGCGTCATTGTTTTGAGGTCCAATACAAGATGTTCCAGCAGATTATCTGTGCCCCTTATCTTGATGCCGTATCTCTTGGTGAGCTTCCAAGCCTTAAGGGATGTCTTGTGCGCCATCGTTTCTGCGCGCCGCCGCTGCTGCTCAGGTGTTTGTATTTTTTGTGATCCCAACTTAAAAGCATTCTCGATGAAATAGAGGAAAGAGACATCCTCCTCCCACTTGACGTGGTGAGAACCGCCATCTATGAAATTATCCGAGTAATAATCTCTGAGCGTACAGTTGATGGCAAAAGGAACCTCGGCTGCCACTCTGGCTATGTGTTCTTTCTCTCTCAGACTGGCTTCTGTAGACTTGGAATCAACTGCCTTGGCGACAAATTTGTTGAATGAGATTTCTGGGTCCTGGACGATGATTTCAATACAACTGAGAACGTCGGCGTGGCTCCTAAGCGCCGGAGTGTCGAGCTCGATCACAGCATCCCCTGAAGAGGCCGGGCAGACAACGGAACAATAGTGGTTGAAGTAGGCTTTGAATCTGGAACTGTTGGCATGGTCGGTTAGACTCTCACCGAATACCGCCCTTACTATATCTTGGCGTTCGGCCTCATTTGGTGGGAGCATTGCTTAACTTGTCGTGGACGTGCGTGAAGATGGAGATGGTATTACGTCTAATTCCAACCTCAAGCAGTGAGGTGACGTGGCGGTGTTTGATGTGACCTAGAGTTGATTGGCGGAAAGAATGAGGCGGCTATCACTCCGCCACAACTGGATGCATCCCACCACTTCTTACCTGCGGGGTAAGCCCTGAAAAAACACGAGTCGGCAGCTTGGGCATACCTAAGAATCAGATAGACTGGTCACTGAGTCCTGCTCTGCCATCGCTTGTAATCAACAATGTCTCGGAGTGAGATCACTATGGTGGATGTTCTTCGAGGCCCGGCGCCAACAGAGAGGTCGGTTATGTAACAATATCGAGACTTCAAGGTTGATCCTAACAAACTACAAATAGGTCGTCTCAGCTGCACAACGAGAAGCCTTTCGAGAAAACCTCTGATCTACTGCCTTCCCTTGAATCCCTTCAGAGCCAGATCCAGCGATTCGCCATTTCGAGGCGCGCCTTATCGTTGTCTTCGACTCGCCAAAACTTTTCGTCTGGCACACGCCCGCCGACCAAAACGACCTCTGGCTGTGAAGAATCACCTGCGGTTGTGATCTCCGAGCCCCGAAGTCCTGTCGCTGCGGACTGCGCGGGTTACAATACTGTCCCGAGCAACACACATGCTAAGTCAGACGTTAGAAATGGGGAAAACGGAGAAATATCAAGCGATCGCCTCTGTGCTTCTCAGCATTCAGGTGTTGGCACTCCGACACCGAACCCAACTCCCCCATCTTCCTTGGAAATTACGGGGAGCGACTCTGGGACCAATTCCAGCACTGGCCATTGCACTGGCTCCAGTTTAGGCTCTACTCTTTTGTCGTTCGGTGAGGGACAGCCTGAAAACGGTATCTCCACGGCGTTTCGCGAAATATTCGCGAAACTTCCAGACGACCCTTTCCGGGGGCCGGTCCAAATTCCTCGCTGCTCGCCGACAACATTCGTTTACCCCCACAGCAGCGCAGTCATCGGTACGGCGTTTGACGAGAGGTTTCGAGAAGTAGTCAACATATTTCGGCACAACACCAAGGAGCATCCTCGGCTAAGGGAGAACCTCCAATACATTGACTACACCCTCAAGTTGTGCGGAACCTCGTCCAGGGATTCGCATCCGTCGATACTTGTTTTCTGCCGCCACAGCGAATTCAAGGACCTGAATGGGCTCTTGACGAGCAAGGAACTCAAGTACCAATACTGCCTTCGACGGCCGGCCCGGAAATATCCATGGAGTGGGAGCCAGGCGTCGGCCAATGAGGAGGGCCATAGGCCATTTTTTAACTTATACTTTTGGCGTCAACGCATACCTAGGACTCTGTACTGGGGTCAAGAACCCGTCCGGATACATTCTCAGCTGAACATGGCGACACAACGTTCAGAGACTCATCCGCACATGGTGCCTGGATTAACCATGTGCGGCTCCGTCGTCGAACTTCACGGTACTGAATCTAGCTTCTCCACCCTGGGTTGCGTGATCAAGATAGACTTGGAGTTCTATGCCATCACATCAATGCACGCATTCAGACTATTAGAGCCGATGAAGAAACTTCATAGCGGAGAGATATCCCATCACCGATCAGCCGACCGTTCGGGCGCTTGTACTTCCGCGGACGAGGTTGCGGAGCTTCCTGTCTACGATGAGGAGCCTCTCTATGGCTCTGATACCGATTCTTCCGATGCAATGATGGAAGATGGCGACTACTTCATCGACGATGTCGAGTACGAGAGCCTCGCAGAAGATGAGGAGGAGGAGATAGATCCCGTCGACAGCCGCTCAACCGTTGCGAACGACTCCTATGGCAATCAAACACAGACCAGTGGCCAAATGAGGGATGTCAAAGAGATGCTCGCTTTGTTCCCTACGCCGCATGAGCTCGACGAATCTGGTGAACTGGACCTGGATTGGGCTCTTATCAAATTGGTGGACCAACAAGACTGGCGCCCCAATGCCTTCGTTTATCCCAGCATCTCATCGAGTCCCGTGTTTCTATCGAAAGTGGATGAATCCCAACCGACTCAGGAGACGCCAGTTTTCATAATCACGAGTGAAACAACACCTCAGAGAGGGATGCTCCAACCCGGGACTTCGCTGTTAGGCGGTATCAATGGGAGAACGCCATCGACAATGTGGACTGTGGTTCTGTCCGAGCAAAACAGTGAGTTCACCACTAATCCCTTTCTTGGACTGGACCACGTATTAGCTGATTCAGAGGCTCCATAGGCTTAAAACGAGGCGACTCTGGCTCAATTGTTGTCGATGCCACAACCAACACCATTTACGGCCATGTTGTTGGTTCGAACCCCATTGGAGAAATTTACATCAGCCCCTATGCTGCTGTCCTTGAACAGATTCAACATCGGTTTCCTGGATCGACAGTCGCGATCCCCGAGCCGATAAGTACATTGGCATGTCTCGTAGATTTCTACACCATGTTGGTTCGGGACGAAAGAAGCTTGGAGTCTCTGCGACGCCTCGAAGAGGCGTATAGAAAGGCTGCCGCCGGGCTTGATGAAGTCGAACGGATCTCTCCTCGCATCTTCCAACCCCACTCCTCTGATGCCGCCGCTGGTGTCTCAGGTGATGAAGAATCTCCCTCAATGCTCTATGGGATAAAGGCCTACGACGAAGTCTGCAGCCAACTGGCACAAACGACCAGGGAACTCCAAGACAAGAAGCAAGATATAACCGGCTTGCAGGTTGACATTGGAGAGCTCAAGAAGGAAAAGGACACGGCGTTTCGGATGTTCCAGGACGTATTCAAGACCTGGGATGCAGATAAGAACCTACACGCGAGTGCACCACCAGCCGGCGCATCGACAGTCGCGTTGCCAACTACTGAACATTCCAACCGCGCAATTCCCTATTCGACCTCATACATCACGGCTGCCCCAGCTACCACCGCGACCACGTCCACCACTATACCTGCGATTGCCACTGCCTTGGGTTCCATGGCTACGCCGGGTTTCCTACCCCCACATGCCCTGCGATCCGTCATGCCCGCCTCAACTCACTATCCCTCAAGCATGCTGTTCGGTCGCGAAGCCTCAAAGCCCGTCGGCACCCCCTGCTCCCACTCTTCCTCACTCATGGTTCGCGTCCTCATTCGCCGCCTACCCTTGAACACCTCGGAGGAGTCTCTGCGGCTCATGGTTGTCTGGTCCAAGGAGCTCGCCGACGTGGAACTTCTACCCGTTGAGCAGTCTGAAGACGCGGGTTTCCGATCCGCGCTCTTGAGATTCCATACTATGACTGGCGCGCACGAGGCCATAAACATGCTAGATGGCCGCTCAAATATTTCAAACGATGCCGAGATGATAGTTGAGATCCTCGACAGCAGTCCCATTTCGGCGCGCCGTTATCCCACAGATACCGGTTCGGCCAACCCTTCCAGCTCCGCATCCTCAACTGCTTCTTCAGGCCCTCTCTCGCGACAAACCTCGCGGTTTAATTCCGCCTTCCAATCGCTCGAGAGCACCTCCCCACCAGTAAATGGAGTGTATCCTGGACACGAGCTGCCTAACCCAGACATGAGCCTTCACTATCAGAATCTATTCTCCCCGCGGCCACCAATAGGCAACTATCTGATGTCCGGAAAGCCGCTCATCGCCCACGATTCCATCGACGACGACGAGACTAGCGATCTCTTGAAAGACCCCGTTGCTTACGCCGAGCATCTGTCTACCAGCCAGAGACGAGCAACCGCGCCCCAGATTCCCATCAGCAGGATGGCTGGTCTCACTCTCAACACCAACAAACCACCAACGTCGAGCCCTGGCGTCGCTTCCCCGACGAGTAGCCAGCACTACCAACGACAAACCATTCCGCCTGTCAACCCCGCCGACCAGAACCCGCCCTGCAATACACTCTACGTTGGCAATCTCCCCATCGATACTTCGGAAGAGGAGCTCAAGGCCATGTTTTCCAAACAGCGCGGCTACAAGCGTCTCTGTTTCCGTACCAAGCAGAACGGGCCAATCTGTTTCGTCGAATTCGAGGATGTGTCATTTGCGACCAAGGCGCTACATGAGCTCTATGGGCAGCCCCTGCACAATAGCGTCAAAGGTGGCATTCGACTAAGCTTCTCCAAGAATCCTCTTGGTGTCAGATCAGGGCAGGCTCTTGGTCAGAACAATGCTGCCGCCATTGCAGGCATGAACGGTCTCGGGTCTGGCCGTGGAATTTATCATGGCACATCCAAGGCATTGAATGCTGGGCATGGCCATCCATACGCCGTTGCCAACTTCCCAGGCGCTGCTAACAACGGCTGTGGCGGGCCTGTGTATGGCGGCCAAATGGCGGCACCTCCGAACAGCGTCCTCAATAACGCACCGGGATGATGGGGAATCCGAATATGGTGGGCATAGGAGAATGGAAGCAGGACAATTTTAGTAGTGGCGTTCTGCTGCTCGGGAGGGAATAAGAAACGTGTCGAACTCCGATCTAGATTGCTCTAATCCTTGATAATGCGATGGTAGATATTTTCCTTCGATTTTCCTTTGTAAAACTCTGGGCTGAGAAGCTGTACCAGGCGCAGTCCTGGAAGCCTGATGGTCAACGTCTGTCGAGCGACCCTCCCTGGCTTGACCTTCGCCACCGGCCATCTCACCGTCGGCGGCCCTTCTTCGCTTCCTTTGGCAAATCGGTCGCCCAAAATGCCCGTCCTATCTTGGGGTTTGGCCAACAGAAGCATTGGGTTTCATCTGCTGCCGTCTCTTCCATCCAGTCTTTCTCCTCACCGTCGCCGCAAAAATCGCCGGCCACACGACGGACACCAATCAACTCGCCCTCCGAGCCGCACGTCAGAGCATTACCTAAGCAGGATAGAGACTTGAACAAAAGCTATTGTAGGCTTCCGCGATTTATAAAATAAGCATAACCTAATAAGATTCTGCCGTTATGGACTGCCCCGGGTGACTGACTGAACGCTCAAAGGACGCGATGAATTGCATATTGGCAGCTTCATTGAGGAGACGTTCGTTCCCAAAGCGCGGCACGCAGACGGTTCCAGCCACAGGGTTGATCTGCCATTCCGAAGGACGAAGACTGCGCTTGACGAACGAGCCGTTGACGTGGAAGTACTTGCGCTCAAGGGTAATGCCCACACAGTCCTTTTCGCGACGAATATCTAACATTTGGCTCGTTACCGGCGGCATCTCAATGAATCGTGTTATAAACGGGCACTATTGACTAACTTGCCAAGTGAAGACAATGAAGGGAATTACAGCGGTCAGGGCGGGGCGATGGGCAGCATTGGATCAAGGAAGGTGTTCCAAACGGGGTGGGCTTGTGGGCTAGGGTGATTGTGGAAGCAACCAAACCATGTACAGGCCTAGCTACAGTATGGTCGTTGATAGGGCTAATCCGCTTATGACGTGGCCTGCACGATGCCTGTCGGTGGTGGGCACCAGTGGATGCGCGGGGCGTCCCGTTGGATCGTTGATAGCGTGATCCACTGTGGTCAGACCACCCCCGCATGCTCTACGGTAGCAAGGGTAGGTACCTAACCTTAGGTAGTTAATCGTTAGCCCGCCTTGACTCGACCATCTGTGTGCAAACATCCAGCAACGTTGCCGCTGTGACTTCGAATTTCGCAGAAACTGTCCACGTCTCTGACCTTTTTTTCTGATTTCTCTCCGCGATATATCAACACAATGTCAAACAAGGTGTCAATCATACCGGGGGAATACAGACTGATGAATCGTGGCGGCGATGAAGATCGACGCTGCTTCCACCCAGCCAAGAGAACGGACCGGCGCCGCTTCCCACCAGCATTCTGGGACAACCTCTCCCGAGTCTATCTTACACCACGCGCCTTGAAAGAGCACGAACGTCGAAACAAGACGCATGCTTCACCCAAGCGCAAAGCCCCCGACGATTCCTTTCACAATATTGCCAAGTTTGCTAGACACGGCGGCCCAGACCTTGGGGACATCCGTGGTGTAAGTCTAGACTGCCCATTTTTTTTTTTTTTGCCTGCGCCTCACCCGAGCAGGATCCAATTAATAGACAATGAGATAGTATTCTCGCCAGCGAGCCGGCACTCGTGCAACGAGCCCCGATGACTGCCGACCGGATCTATCCAGCCGGTCTGTGGTTGGAATGACTGAAACTGCCGACAGCGGTCCGCCTTCCCCTTACGACCACAACTTCGAGCAACATCTGCGCGACAATAACATCTGGCTTTGGGGCCCCTCATGCTCATGTTCATGCTGGAGGCCACTAAACTGGCGAGATCTCTGGCTCCTGGTGCCGGTAAGGGAGAAGTCCTCGCTCCCGCAGGAATATTTTCGATGGAGTCATTTCAACCCCTGTCACTTCGAGATCTGGCACGATGAGATGAGATCGGAAGGAGATGTGATGAACGAAATCATGCCCAAGATCGCCGGAGACGATCATCCTCTCCCGAAAAACCGCAACGTTTGTTTCAGCAATATGGATAACATGACCGACGGAATAAACATCCGCCCGAGACCCATCTTCTACGACGGGGCCAGCCCCAAGGATCTCCATCCATCTGTCATCAGCGACCTCGACAGCCTGATCGTGCCCTCCAAACTCAGGAGCCACCCGGTAGCCCCCAACCTCTTCTTCGAGACAAAGCCGCTCTGGCGCGGTACTGGCGTCGCTGTGCGGAAAGCCTGCCTCGACGGCGCGTACGGCGCCCGCGCGATGCACGCGCTGCAGAACTACAACAGAGATGTGCCGGTGTACGACGGCAACGCATACGCCTATAGCTTCGTGTATAACCCCGTCAATGCCGCGCTCAAGATCTACGCCCACGGCATCTCGGCGCCGAGGACTCCGGGCGGGCGGCCCGACTGCCATACGAAGAAGATCAAGGGTTTCTGGATGACCATGGATGTTGAAACATGGGTCAACGGGGCATTTGCATTCAGAGCCATCAGAAATCTGGCAAAGGCTCATCGTGATCGCTTCATCGAGGAGGCAAACGCCAGAGCGTCGGAGTTGACTGCAATCGGGTCAGAACATGTCGAGTAGCTGAACTAGGTCAAAGCTATTGACCCCTGCGCAGTCTACTTCACAGTTGGGGCTGAAGTTGGAAATGTATTGTGCAAATATCATGCAGTAGCTTAGCCTACAATTGAAAAACAGGGTTATCTTCCACGGTCTCGATTTGCCGTAATGGTTCACTGGAGTGCATCTAGTTCCTTGTGCCTCAGTTCATTGTGCCTGTCTCAAGAATCATCTTGCGACCCTTTGCATACTTACAAGGTACATTGGTCTGCGTACTTATAGCACTTTAGTAGTCTATATAATTTTAAAGCCTTTTTAATTTCCTCGACTGGAGTTGACTACTTGACTGCCTCTTACCGTCATCACGGCTATGCCTACAGCCGAGAACCCTCTCAATCTGGAAGCTATAACCATAAAGGAGGAACAGGAGCATGTGGCTCAGTAAGTCTTTGATAAGTATTCCTCGGTGAATAACATCAGAACAGACAAGGACCACAAAGAGTTCTACACCTACACTATCATTCGGAAGTAATACTTCCAGACGTAACCTATCGTCACCAACCCGGAGCGTACGCATAAAATACCAGCCACAGGACAGCCTTGGAGGGCTGTAGCCAAGAATCCCGAGCACTGGGCCAAAGCTACTCGATACCTTCTGAGCGAAATGTACCCCCGATATCTGCCCCTTGCCCGCCTGATCAAGAGAGACCGGCCGTCGCGGCTATACTAAAAGGGATCGTTAGGCCCGGAATCCCGCCCCCCCTTCTCTCCTTTGGTTACATCAAGCCCCCCACGGCACTCCTGCTCCCGCCGAAACTACAGGATCTTGTCAACCAAACATTCGACAGAAAGGGGACAAGAGTCTAATGCTCACAAGGCATGATGACTTCAACGCAACGTTACTGTCAAACGCCCTTTGTAAGAGGTTGCCGAATGCTAGTGAGAGGCTACTTGGCACGGTCGTGGAAGCGGACGTTTGGATTCACTCCACACCACTAGAAATGAATAGATGGATGCTGCCTACTAATGGAGTAGTGTTTTGAGAGACCCTCCGGTTGACTGGTTGTTATATGAAAAGAAGAAAAGCTACACTCGCGAGAAGAAAGCGAGAAAACCCACGTCATGAAGCATTTAGTGTCTTTTCGAAGGATTCTTGATTCACGGGCGTATCAAGGCGGAGATCCTGCTTCAAACGAAGGAGTTATATGGTGATATGCTCCCTGAATCTCTTACGTAGCCAACCTCATAGCCGTGTTGCAGGCTTCAATCCTTCAATAAAGAAACCATCCTAGCCATAACGTACGTATGAAGAGGTGCTTCGAAGTCAGAACATGCAATATTAATATGTTGACCTGGCAAGTTCCTAAAAGCATTCGTCATATTAAGCGAGTCTGTGAGCAATCTCAAACTAACAACCTCCTAATACATAGCTAAAAACATCATTGAGCTTTTTTTTTTTTTTTGCTGCATTTGTCAGGAAATTTCACGAAGAAAGGCAAATCCTAGAGACCTCGAGAGCCTCTCAATCCACATCCAGTACAAATAGCCCAGTCTCGGAACCTCAAGAAAAACATAACACATAGCATCTCATAATCCAGCCTCGCAACTTCCCTTCAGTTGCTCATGCCAGGTGAAACACCCTTACTTTTGAGTGTTCATACTTTGTCAAGCCAAGAATAGGCATCATCATATGCCTGCCGAATACCTTCATTGCCTCCCAATGAGTGCCAAGCTTCAAGACAATGTCTCGTGCAAGGACTTGGTTGCGCATGGGAGGTTTATTCTCCGAACAACAATGAGCGTGATGTTGTTAATCTCCGAAACAGTAGTGAGTGTGATATTAGCCGGAGGGAGGGGGGAAATCAAAAACTTTTTCGGGTTCAAGGGGGGTGGGCAGAAACTTGTCTCTGCCAGTTAGACCGCGAACACTAGGCAGAATCAAGCCCTAGTCTCACATCGCATGTCGTCTTACACTTGGCATCAACACGTCTTGCCCGATTTTTTTTTTTTGGTTTGGGGGGGGAGGGGTTTTTTTTCCTTTCAAAAACATCGAACCTCAAGTGAGTCCTGCTCAACATCCTGAACGACCTCTGCTTGCTGAAATCGCAACGCGCGCAATGCAGGGATCGAACCGCCGACGAAAAAGAAGAGGAGATTGGGAGAGAAGAAAGCATTCTCTACCATACAAGTCCATAACGCGTTCCAGTCATTCAGATTTTCTGCGAAGCCATTAAAACATCCAGACCATATCTCTCGTGGGGCAAGGGGAAAACAAACAAACCAAACCGCTTAGCCAAGGGCCAAGGACGCGCTTGCATTCAAGCGGGCTCAAGGTAGCCTTCCTCCCGATAGTATTTCTGCAGGCCGACATATTTGCGTGCCACTCCACCCTGGGCACAGACGGAGTCGAAATCAAGGAGAATCAGGTCCGGGTGGTCCATGACCAGGTGCTCCAGGTCCACCATCATGAGGCGCCGTCGATCAGGCGAAAGGACAAAGTTCCGGGTGCTGGGGTTGGTCTGGACTGCCGAGAACTCGGCCAGCTCATAGTAGCACCGCTCCAGGAGGTCTCTCATCTCGTCGTAGGTTAGCGTCGCGCCATCGGGATTCGAGAGGTACGCGCCGGGAACATCCTGGAGAAGCATGGCATGCTTGCCGCGGCAGATGGTCCGTCCCAGGAATTTCGGGATCGCGATACCTTGGAGATCCTTCAGTTGGCTGTAGGCCATGATCTCGGTATCGAATTTAGTCATGAAGGGGGGCTCGTGATCAGCTGGTAGCCAGTTGACGCGCTCCGGGTCATTTCGGTTCCGGCATTTCACGATCAGAGTGGATGGGAGAAACCATTCGGGGAAATGCTTCTGGGCCCAGATGGTAGCCGCCTCTGGAAGGAAGCGAAGCATTTTCAGAGGGAGCCTGACGACTAGCGGGGGCGGTTTTACTTCAGCATGAAGAAGGTTTACAGTGTCGCGGTGGACTGGGCGGCTGAGAGTTCTGACCCAACGGGTGCGGAACCAGAAGCTCTGTATTAAGAATTAGCTTCCGAAGAGAGGCGTCGGACATAGAGTTCAGTCTTACCATTCGCTTTCTGGGAGGAGGAATTGGCTGATTTGCCGTGAGACGGTAGCGCTGAGGCTCGCCCTGGTAGGGCTTAGGCATATCGATCAGTGCCTGGGAGATCGAGGCCCGCCGCATGGGAAACGGCATTAGCGACATCGTGGGAATGTCACTTGGAGTGAGCGATGGAAGGATGTGGCACACTCGCAACGGTCATCAGCGGATGGTGGTTTGGCTAAGAAGTACGCTTAGAAGTACGCTTGAATTGTTTAGGTTCCAACATCACGCGTCGTCGCACGCGGGAGGCAGGCACAAGTGCTCATAATGCTCAGGCAACGGACCAAAATGGCTCCACCTCTTATCGGGTAGCAGTCTACGAAGCCCTCCTCTACAGCGGGCAAGAGCGGGGTCAGAGGGCTCTGCTCCACTGGCCGGGTCTCGCCCCCAGCAGGTCTAAACTTTAAATGCCCGGGCTGACTCAGCTAACCTGTGCGCAGGTTAGCTTAGTCACTCCCGTCGGTCCAGGACAGGCACCGTACAAGTGATGCTATACAAGACAGTCTCGGGTTCGAAATTCTGCGGGCGGTTCGTGCGTCCTAGGGCCGTCGGACCTCAGCATGCAAGCGACCGCAATTTTAGGCAGCAAAGGAGGGTGGATGGGTTTCATGAGTGCGGCCTCCCGAAAAAGTGCAACAAAAGTGCAACCCTCCAGTACAGTCCCGGTGGTACCATTTATTACCTGCAGCTCTCCTTAGGCTCGCGCCTCATTTTGGCCGCCCAAGCCCGAGCTATCTCTCCTGGCAGGCTTTGGTGTAATTATCATTGCGATGCAAATACATGGCAAGAAAAATCATTCGTGGCACTGGGTGCGATATCTCTAATTCCATAGACCCCTTTGCGTTTCAACTCGTGTTCTACGCCTTTCCGTCCAGTCTGGGGGNAAGAACAATGAGTACCACCGCATCATCAACATCACATCAACCCCGCGTCTGTATCCTGCATAACACGTGACATCTATCTTTACCAATTAGACTTCGCCAATCATTTATTCACCAGATTTATGCACTTTATACAACCAGTGAAAAAAGCAACTCAACTATCACGCACCAAAGAGTAGCCATCATGTTCTGGTATGCTAAGACTCCCGCAGAATCGTTAGACTATCACTAACAGTATGGCAGTGAAATAAATCCCCTAGTCGAGTGGTCGGTCGGCCAAACTCGTCCCGATCAATGGATCATTGGCTCCAAGATAGTATGCGAGAGAGTCCAAGATCAAGAGTCTAAGCCGGTCGATGCCCTTGTCAGCTGGGAATCTGGGGGACAGACCTTCTATCTCCGCAAACGAACTCCCAATGATCCAACAAGAACGGGAAACACCGAGACTGATAGGGTTCGTGGCTCTGGGGCTTCAGCCGCCGTCTGGTGTATTGGAGATCGCTACTTCAAGGCCCATGCTTGGCATGGAGGCATGGAGCTCGAGTCTACCAACATCCGCTTTGTCAGGGATAAGGTACCCAGTGTGCCAGTCCCGGATGTGATATATGAGTGGACGGACCCTGACTTCAACAGGAGCTTCCTTGTCACAAGAGAAATCAGTGGAAGGACCCTGGAAGAAGCATGGCCGGACCTAGGACGTCTTCACCGTGAGCTGCTTGCTGAGCAAGTTGCCAATCATATCAGCGAGCTGGCCAAGCATACATCCTCCAGCTTCAAGACAATCTGCGGCTCTGGAGTATTTGAGCCGTGCCTCCTAGAAAAGCGCCAAAAAGAGCGTCCATGCTGGCTGCCAAGATTGCTTGGCCCATTCAAGGAGGAGGATGACATGCGAAATTACATGCTGAGGATCTCGAACGAAGTGCCCCCGGAAATCGACCAGGAGTTCTGCTTCTACCATGCCGAGCTTGGACCAAAGAATATCATCCTCAATAACAAAGGTGCTATTGTCTGCATAATAAACTGGGAGTCCGCAGCGTACTACCCAAGTTTCTGGGTAGCCACCAAACCCTTGCTCGACAGTTTTGATCTAGAATCTGATACGGAGACACCGAAGAGCTGGGCGCTTATTCTGAGGCGCAAACTCGAAGAGCATCATTTTACGGAGCAGAACCGCAAATATGATCGTTGGGTCAAAGGTATGCTTTGAAAGTGTCTCAGAGGTGCAATTATTTCCGAAGTAGCGAGCTATAGAGGAAATATTATGCTATATGCGATTCATTACCCCTCTTTAAGCCATTGCTAGCCGTACTTCTCCAGAAAATTAATTCCAATCAACGTCGTGTCTTCGTAACGAGCTGCATCACAGCTGTAGTGTAGAGAACCCGAGTTTGTGTTCCCTATTCCTCTTAAATTCCTGCTCATGGCCTTGAAACCCTTGGCCTAAGCTTAGACTAGACTTATATTATAAAAGTAAGTAGCATCGTGAGACGAGACTATCTGGACGTTATTTGGACATAAACATTTCACTGCCCGCTGAGCTGCTCCTCAGTTGCCAACCTAAGCAAAGACTGGAGAATATCGCCTAGACTATCTTTTATCCAGCCCCCGTCGTCCCTTCTACGGGCCAGAGTAGCCGTGTTCGGCACCTCTGGCAGCAGTCCCTGGATCACGGCATTCTCTTCCTGATTGCGGTATGTCCGCCAGGCGTCCTATTTGGTAAACCGTATGCGCACCTAGCTCCTGCGATTAGTCATAGGGCATTTACTCTTCGCAAGTTGTGTCTGCATAGACAAGCCCGATTCATCTTGCCGTGGAAATTTTCCATCCATGCAGCTCTGCGCAATCCGAAGTCCTGAACCACACAAACATCAACATTACCTCGCACTGCATTCGCAAAATGGACCTAACACCATTCCCCTTTCTTTCTCTGCCTTGGCAACTCCGCAGGCAGATCTACTTCTTTGCCCACCTTGTTCGAGAGTGCCCGGTTGCTATCACAGCACCTGCAAATGTCATTGTTCGCCACGACGCCCCTCGCCGCACAGAAAAAGAGGGATGGGGATGGTGCTGCCAATATCAGCAGCGGAAGCAGCTCGGTCGTCATAACATTGCCTATGAGACTCGAGAATGCCGCTGTCCTGAAATCCCCAAGCAGCTGCTTCTCTTGAGCAAGGCTCTGCACGCGGAGGTCGAGGCCCTCCTCTACGGCGAAAACAAATTCATCATCCGCGCGCATCGTGCAGAGGACCTCGACTTGTTTGAAAAGCTCTCCGTTCGTGCTCTCAGCCAGCTGCGATATCTCTTGGTCCGGCTCAACAGCTGGCCTTGCTATCGTGGGCATTCCCGCGCCAGCTTCAAACATGGCGTGTGTCTCGAGTGTCGCGCACCTGTCTCTGCAAGTGATGCAGAGCTCGGGGCAGACAATGCCGAGTCCGAAGCAATCATCGAGCAGTGGTCGAGGGCGTGTTCACGCTTGTCCTCACACGTTATCCCCGGCCGCTTGAGCGTTGAATTCATCTGCGATGTGATGGATAAGGCGACGGCAGAACGAGTCTTGGGGCCACTGGGCACATTGCCCAGACTAAACGAGTGCACCATAAGGCTCGGGCGTAACCAAGACGCTGCCCTTCGGTCACTAGCCCGCTCCGCTGCAATCAGGCTCACCGAGGATCTGTGCCCTCCAAGCTCTGCAGCAGTGTCGTCGTTCTTCCCCTTTCAAAGCTTGCCTCCAGAACTCCGACTTCGGGTCCTCGGCTTCACCAATCTTGGACCAAACGGCTCTTTCAGGCCAGAGTGGAGCGATATAGCCGTCAAAAACGGGAGGTTCGAACAGGCGATCTGCAGTAGTCTAGCCGTTGAGAGGGAATGCTGCTTGAGCTGCTCATTCACCAGGCTAGACTGCTGCTGTCCCTTGAGAAGCGCGTCCTACTCCCTTGCCTGTCGCTGCAGAGACCTGCCCCTTGAGCTGCTCCTTGTTAATCGACAGACACGTACAGACGCGGCCATGGTGCTCTATTCTACAAACACGTTTACCTTTACCGGCCCCTTTCTTGACAGCCTGCGCATGCTCCAGTCGCTTCGACCAGACACTTTGCGGCGCTTTCGACGCATCTGCTTCCAACTTGAGACGAGGCAGACTGTTCGGTGGAAGGACCTCGCAGATACTTGGGGTCTTCTTGTAGCATTCATTGGCAAATTCTTTGATATCTCTCGTCTGAGTCTTATCATCAAGGCTGACAGCAACGACTACGAGGAATGTACTGATCCCACTTATAACGAACCAATGCTGCGCAATCTCTACACTGGATATCGCACCTTAGTACTGGGGGTCAAAGCCCAGCTGCCGAATCTGTTGGATTTCCATCTTATGCTGGGGGCTTTCTACAGCCTTGAACCTGTTTGGGAAAAGCACGTTATGGGTTCGGGGTATGACAGCACAAACGGCAACCAATTCTCAAAGGAGGCTCACAGTACGGATAGATGGCCAAATCTACCCAAGGATCTAACCGAGGCACCACACTGGCATCAAGAGTTGTAGTTTTATAATAAAATTATCCCTCTCCGAGGATATGTAGGTGTCTTGGAGAGGTGGTCGATGTTTCAGTGGTTTGAATAATGTATGTTGGACCATATGGTCAGGAATTACAGAGATGTATGTGTATTCTATGCAGGAAGATAGCCTGGCCAGGCGACTTACGCCCCCCTCTCGTTAAATGTTCCTCCAGCGAGGATTGAGATCAGGCTAAGAGCAACATAAGCTCAGACGTAAACTCGACACGGCGATCCCAACTATGTAAGCATTAGGCACCATTGCGTGACTAGCTGAGAATGAGGCGTCTGTAAGCTACTGTAGTATACATGATTATTCCAGCAGTAAGCAGGCTGCTGAAGAGAAACTCTAGCCGTACTGTGTTATTATACTTTGTAGAGGCCAACGATGTTCTGGTGGCAAACTGCTTTGGCTATAGTAATCTCTTGTGATACCACTTCCGTACGAGCTCGATTATTATTTGTCTTAGACAGCTATGGAATTTTCAACTGTAGTGTAGAGAAGTCGAGTTTGTGTTCCCTTTTCCTCGTAAATTGCTACCCATGGCCTTGAGACCCCTAACCTAAGCTTAGACTGGACTTATACTAATGAGCCATCCCAAAAGCCTAGCGCTCTTAGATGAAGGCCTTCCAGAAGGAAGCCTATTCATAGAACTATAGTTCTCTATGTGTTTTCATGGCAGAAACTTCCAGCTTTTGTCGTCTCGGCACAGATTGAGCAGGACAACAACCTCTTATCCCCCATTCAATTGTACGTAGTATGTTTCTAGCCCTGAAGAGGGTGATTTCGATCGCCAAATCCCCGTCCGTAAACGTATATTTTGTCCTAGACAGTCGTCGGTTTCGTCACTCCTTGTTCGACTCGGAGACTAGGATCGTGGCATTCTTCCGTAGAAATCGTAAATTCGAGCTTCGAAGTTAGAGTTGGTTATCGGTTCGCTCCCTGCTGATCGAGTTCAAGCCTGTTAGCTATAAGAATCGATGCCTCACTGCGTAACGGAAACTTACCTAGTTGTTGCCCCGACAAACTTCTGGGGATCGTTTGGCCAGCCCCAAACAAATAAGATGGTTGGTCAGCCACTCAGTAGCAAGAAAAATTGATCAATATACAAGAAATCAGTGCTAAGGAATAAGGGGATTGAGCTGTGGGCGTTTGAACACGACAGGCAGTTATCGCGAGAGCGTATGTATCGATCGCGTCTGCGGCACAGAGCCCTCTGGCGTCGTATCACGTGGCAAGACATGCATTCAACGCAGCCTCATACGGCGGGAAGGTACCACCAACCAATCACTTGCAGCTATGCAAGCGCCACAGCATCCAGTCTTAGTGCTAATGTGCCATTGGCCCCGGCCTAGATCCTCTGAAATTTGGCGATGTTTACAGTTGACGCCTTGAAGCTGTTCGAAGAATCTAGCCGGCAGCATTAGTACTTACCTAGACCGCATCGCGACAACTCGGTGGTGATGTTGAGACTGAGACTGTGAAGCTGCACCCTGTGAATTTATATTAGGAATCAAAACAATTAGAGTCTGCAGTACGGAGTATACATAAGCTTATATGGCCCCCAGGCACAGAACGATTAGCTAAAACCTAATAGGGCGTAGTACGAACAGAGCTGTGAATATCCCATGTGATTTCGTGCTTGGTACGCGAAACATGAATGACGTAGATGTCTTGAATACCTAAGATCAAACCTTAGGGCAACAACTTACAAGAAGGTTGAACTACATGAGAGGTTAGAACGATGGCCGCACAAGTTTGAACAATAAGCTAGTTACAAGGATTTATTCTATGAAAAGCCACCTCGACCCTTGGAAAACGAAGAGAACAGGCTCAACCAAGGACGCCATGCCTTGGGAAATATATATATACCGCTCGAGTATACACGGTGGTTGGTAAGATGAACAAAGTAGATACAAGTGAAGAAACCCGACTAAGAAAAATGAAGGCTACCAATGCCATGCATGTATGATGCTCTCTCTATACCATTACGCCAGAGGGGGTAAAACAAAATCCTGTCAACGCCAAAAAGAAAGAAAAAACAAAAGAAGAAGAGAAAAAAACACAAGAGGAGGGCCACTTTGAAAAAGAATGGGGGCCCAGTACTTCCACTCGTCACTCATTAGGTGCTTTTGAATCCAAGCAGCTTTTACGCGCTGGATTGAATTGGTTCTTGTAGGGCTGTACTTGAAGCTGTTGTTGCCCTGTCCATGCCGGCATCGTGCCCGTTCGGTCCTTCGGGGTCCTCGGCCTCGTCCATCCAACCCGAAAAGTCCTCATTGTCGTCATAGTTAGCGATAGCGTGTGGTGAGGACATATGCTTGTGCATGCCCTCGCTCTGAAGGGGGTTATTGGGAGTCAGGGGCGGCCGAAGAGCAGAAGGGCTGAACACGCCTAGAGCCCCCTTTGTCTTTGTCGCGGTCAAAGGGGCGGACCTTGGGGTTTGCTTCCAGGGACTGAAAGGTGCTCCGTCTTCATCGGCAGGCGTATTAGGCTCCGAGTCATCAGGTGCAGCGATAACAAGCAGTTCTGCATGCCCTGAGCCATTTGAGTCGCGGCTCGCACCGCGTCGTCGCCGGGCTTGGACGGAGGATGTTCTATGTCGAGAAGATCCTTCCCTGGGAAGCTGCTCAGACGACCCTTGCTGTGAGCTCGATGATTTCCTCGAACTCCGGAAGGTCCCTATTTTCGTCTTCCCATTCGGTCCTGGCAGTGGTTGGCCAAGAGGCGGGAATGGTTGTCCACCACCCATGGGCTGCGTAAGATCAACTTGGTTTGCTGCTTCGGCTTGCTTCTTGGCTTCCCTTCTCTGCAGAGCATTCCATCCCCAGTTCTTGGCTTGCGCTGCAGCTTGCGTGACAGCTGCAAATGTCGTGCTTCTCGGGGTAGGTGTCAGAGAATCCTCGCCCTCCTCGCCCTTGGGGGACAATATTCCCTTTCTTGGTGACAATACCGACTTGACTGGAGACTTGAGCGAGCTCCCGGTGTTTTCTCTTCTCAAGAAAAACGTCCGTCCTCGCGATGCACTGTAGCTCTTGCCTGAACCCCGAGACGACACCGAATCCTCAGACGCACCAGATGCCAGTGATTCTCGTGATGATCCCGTGTTGTGTCGTCCCAGCGTCAACTCGGGAACGTCCTCGAGGCTCTCCCCAAACCCAGCTGGGTTGTCCAGTCCCTGTCGTAGAGAGGAAGTCGACGAGGCCGCTGACTTGGACAAAGTGAAGTTGCGGGAAGAACCTGGTCGCGAATTCGGTGTCCCCATGATTACCGCGTTCAGGCTCATATTGTCCTCGGAGCCCGAGTCTTCGTGGGTCACTTCCACGCCACGCAAACCCTGGTCCGACTTCTCGGAGTCTCTTGATTCAGGTCGATCAAGCTTACTATGCCTACTAGCCGAATCATTTTCCACAAGCTCCTCTCTGGACCTGGAAGCGGGCACATTGTGGATAGTCTTCGCATCTTCCTTCTTCGATCCGAGACCAGAAGAAGTACCAGATTGCGTGTCAATGACGGGGAAGCTGTGGCTCTTCTCGAGGGGAGGATGATCTTGTAGCTTCTCTCCCTTTTCCCTGCCCCGTTGGACAACTTCGGGGTTGTCAGTACGGACCCCATCGGCAACACCCACTGCCGATCTATCAACTGCGTCATCTCCCTCGAAGATGCCACCTCGCCAGCTCTTGTGCTCCGTCTTGAAGAAGGGCACGTCATCCCAGAAAGGCTGGACCAGGGTCTCGGCAACAATTTCCTTGATGCGGTTCTCAATCTGTCGGAGAATAACGGTGTAGGTGATCTGCCGAGAACTGACAATGGGCTCTATGGCCAGCTCCATCTTGGGCATGGTCTGGAAGGAGAGCCACAAACGGTTGCTGGGAGGCGCCTTGATCTTGAAAAGCATGTGACCCTCAAGCTTCTTGACTACCACTGCGAGGACAATGTTGACCTGTCTCTTCTTGAACCGGGGGCCCAGATCGATCTTAACGGTCGTAGCAACCTCAATTCGGAAATTACCATTGTATCGAACGTCAGCATCAACCAGACACTCGCCATCCACATTCAGGTCCTTGAGCCTTAGATTCGTGAAGAAGGGGGCCGCGTCGCCAGTGTCGATGGCATTGATCTTGATATTAGACAAGAACGATGGTCGCTTCACTCGGGAGATCTTGATATTCAGCTTGTCTCGGATATACTGCTCTAGATCGGCCGTTTTGTAGACACCCAGGAAGATGCGCCCAATGAGAGCGTTGATCCACCGCGAGTGAACATTGTCGTCAGAGGAGTGCAATTTCTCGATGAGGGAAATGACATGCTTGACGTTGAACTGTTTTGGATCGGGAGGCGCATCGGCCGGGATCGCGGCGGTTTGCTCTTGGTCTCGAAGGAGGGCAAAGTAAAAGTCTTCCTTGGCGGAACAATTCTCGGAGAAGAGGAAGAAGGGTTTGGTCGGCTGTGAATCGGGCGCGGATTCGAGACCAGATGTTTTCCTTGTAAGGCAGAGGGCATTGCGTTTGATGAAGAGTTCGCCTTCGGGGGTAACGCCTCCGCCTGAATAGATTGTAACATCGTGGTGTGCGAGTGAAATCACATGTCGAACTTCGATTTGCTGCTCATCGTCGAAGAGCATCAAATGACCGTGCCTACAACAGATAAAGCGTGTCAGCAAGTCCGGCAAGAATGCGATTGGACTAGGCGAGAAGGAAACGCGAAGAGGAGATGGTGCGCTCGTCAAGACGGCTATGTCAAGAGATGTGGCCTCATCTTGACCAATGTGATGGGAGCGCATTGCAGAAGATGCGCGGAGAAGGGGCAACCTCTCCTGGCCACCGTGCAGCTCGCACTCAAAAGAAATGGGATGAATGTGGGCTAGAAGTGGTAGTGGTCTCGCCGCGGTTTCTGTGTGCAGAATGCATGCGCAAAACAGCGCAATGCTCGTAGTCTTACCTGAGGATGACGAAGAACACATTGCCCGCATTCTTTGGCCGCTGGCTCGCGCTCGTGTTTTCTGACTGGGACGAGTTGGCGCCCTTGCGCTCGAAGAGGCTCTTGTACATGGCCTGGTAGACGCTCTGGCTGGGGGCTGCAACGGTGGTAGAGCCAACTGGCGTGGAGCGTTCGATGGGCTTCGCATTTATCCCCATGGGCGTGTATTCTCGACATACTGCGAAGTACCCGCAGGCGGCATCGAACTGGGGGTTCACGCGCAGCATCGACTTCTCTCGTTTCGCGGCATGGAGGAGACTGGTGTCGTCGCCCGGCTGGACGATGGTGCCGTCTTCCGAGTCGGTGACTTGGACATCGTGGCGGTAAGGAAAGGTCTGGTGGGCGTGGAAGAGGACGGCGATGACGACAAGAGGAATGAATGTGATGCCGCCCAGGAAATAGGCAACCAGAAATCCCGTCCAGCTCATTGCTCCGTCCTCTGGCAGCGGTCTGCGGTCGGTTCGCACAAGAAGCAGTTATCGTTTCAAAACAGGCATCGGACGAACCAGCGGAGGTTCTGAGGGATCCGTAGTCGGTGTGTTTGGTGGAGAGTCGCTCGCTGCTACGCTCCGTGCGCAGGCTCGGGAAGTTGCATTCGCTTTGCCGGAAGGGCAGGAAAGGTCGGAGGAGGGCAAGGAGTGTAGAATGAAGGAGAGAAATGTCAAAAGAGCACAGGTATGGATTGACTGTGCACAGATGCAGTGTCGCGCCGCCGGGACTACCAATCCATTCATCAATTAATTCATCGGGTCGAATAATGCATCCCAGCTCTTCAGCGACCGGTGCGGTGGGCGAGGGTGCAGCTGACGGCGGGACTTGGTGGAGCGTGTTCGCTACTACGTCATGTGATGCCACGGTGGCTGTTGGCAGCTCCTAGAGACCTGCAACCTATGACGGGTGCATGGGGGACAAGTCGTTGTCGCTGCTTTTTCGCGGGCGGGAAACTTCAGAGTGGGACTTGCGCGATGGCACGTAGGTACCGTCGCTCAGGTCCTCGGCCGTGGAGGTAATCCCTTTTCTGAACCGTGCACCCGATCGGGTCAATCCCAACTCACATAAGCCAGGCTCCTGGACCACAACGAGCGCACCAAAGTCCCACCTGCGCTATTCTTAGCGTCTCCGGGCTGAATTAAGCAGAGCTGTTGGTGGACTTGCACTCACTGTCCAGACTGATTTGGTGCATTGCATGCTGACCAGAGCACCGGCCAAATTCGGTCATTATCAGCACGACTAATAAAATATCTCGAAGCGGACGAGGCAGCCCTAAGAGCCCTACGAGCCCCTGAACGTCTTCCATCACCGGGCGCGGCGTATAAGATGGCGCGGGATGGTGTTGCTGGCCTGTTGTCCCTTTTTGGTCACAGCAACGTGGGACTTGGTGGATGTTGTGGCCAGCGGGTGTGTAGGGTAGGCAGAGACTCGCTTAGTCACGTTGTGCGTCGGCTTGCGGAAAAGAACAACGGTGCGATGGCCTTGCTGGTCTGTCAGTCCCACATGGTTGGTCTCTCCCGGACGAGGAGCCAGACAGGTCCTCTAATTGATGCCAGGGGTTTCCCGACTCGCCCACCGTCGGAAGCCTCAGCTGGCGCACAGTCCCGGAAGCCTCAGCTGAAATAGCATCAGTGGAGAATTTGCTTCTATACATAGTGATGGGGAGATCGACCCTGATCTGACCCTGCAGCTGGCTTCCAAGTTCTTGGAATGGTAGAACGGCACGAGACAGGGTTCGCAGGGTGTAGTCCTCGTTCCACGGCGTCTTCTTTTACGACCCGTCGATGGCGCGCTTGCAACCCGCCTCGCGCGCGACTTGTCCTAGAACCATGGCGCCGTCGCGTTGGGAATTAGCGGGAAACGTGTCATGCCGGGAGGTCCGGCAAGTAGGTCTGCGGAATCTCGATTGTATTCGATTCGGTATGCCCTCGCTTCTAGCTGTGTAGTTTGCGGCTAGAAGGCCAGGCTTGATGCGGGCGTTCGAGCATGTTGCTTGGGAATGAGTTCTGTGGGCCGTGCACTTCCGTCCGGCTCTCGTTGCCCACCTCACAACGCTCAGATGCTAGAGCTCGTTCTCATAGGTTTATGTGATTATCTTTTCTCTTTGCCATCGCTCTTAGTCTTCAAATCCAACTCTCTTGATGGGCAATGATGCAGCGCACCAGGTTAAGCGCGGTGGTTGAGACGAGTTCTTCATCGGCTGCTAATCGCTCTAGGGTACCAACACCACCGGGCGGGACCTGTAGGGACACTGGGCTTGAGAAGAAAAAGTTTCCATTGTGGCTGTCTGCCTCTTCTCGTATTCATCACCTGTCACCAGTTAGACCGTAGGAAAAACAGCTGAATTCCATGTGTAGCTGGGCTTGGGGGACGTTGCCGAGAACCTGCTTCCGCTGCTCCGTATTCAATAACCCTTCGACCTTCCAATATCGAAATCACAGAATGATCCAACGACAAGGCGCCCACAGCACACAGACACAGCGGTTTTGTACTCAACGAATCTTCCATTACCGCAGATCTTGCGAGCTGCGAGCTGCTGTTGGTCTTGAAATTCGATGCGGATGGGCGTGATGGGAGATGCATCGCTCTTGGAAAGTGAGCATGACAACCACCTATTGTTAGAACCCATATTAGCCAGGTTTCTCTTGAAATATCCGCCTTCCCGCCTATGACTTTAGCATCAGAAATGCTTTGCATGGGTATTTTCTTCACTGAGTTATATATATATTTATTCGTCGGAAATGAATTGGCGACTCGCAGCGTCGGATTTTCTGGAGCCTGGGTAACCAATGGAGATGTACAGGACGAGGTTCCGTGGCAGATCTACTGTCAGCTCGGCTCAATGACTCAATCTACAGTCCCACAGAGTGTTAGTCACGAAACACCCACGGCCCATGGAAAGAGAACTTGGGGACCAAAACCATTTGTGTCCCACTGCCGACGGCGCAGTAAACCCCCCACGTCGATCCGTGGAGCTGCATGGATGGGAACGGCGAGAAAGCAAGAGTAAAGAGTAAAGTTGCACGAAAGAGGATTAAGGGGGAGTGGGATACGTGGCTATGGCGGGGACAAGGCCAGAAAGCTCTTTAGAACATTGTTCCCTTCCGTCTCAGAGCGAGGCTATGTGTTGCAGAGAAGGAGCCTGCTCAAGGTCAGTGGTACTGGGTATGGGAGGGAAGGCGCGAGCCCTCGTCAGCATCTCCTTACCACCGACCTCCCAAGTGGGTGGTAGGAGATATGAGACATATAATGGAAGAGTAGTAAGCGACAACATGTGCCATCTTGTCCCTTCAGTATGTAATATTAGCACTCGATAATGGGATACTACCGCTCGCAGGCTCGAAAATAAGCAGCTTAATGTTTGAGTGTCTCAATTTCAATGTCACCTACTTGCCCCATCTAGAGATCATAGGATGCACTTGGCGTACAAGGACTTTGGCAGAACTCGGTTAGGAAATACTTCCTCACAACCTACAAGCATGCCGAGGAAATCTTGATCTGGCCTTGTATTACGGATAACACTGGCTAAGTATCCAGGTATGACATGAAACACGACCTGAACCGATCTCAGATGTATCCAAATCGGCTGGAAGCAAGGCTGACCGAATAGAACAATTAGATATGCGAATCGAGGATGGTAGGGTGTGGTAGCATCTACAACTCTGTTTCCCTCCCATGCCATGTAGCTTCATATATAACTTCTCTCCTCTTCTGGAGGCTGGTTAGAAATAAAGCAATGTCATTTCGCCTCACTCATGTGTTCACACAAAACTATTGGGTCCTTCCGGACCTCGTGGAGGCATATTCATCGAGGAATAAAGCTCCGGAGATACCGAAACCGATAACGGCGATCCGTATGATATGTGGTTTAGTATATTTTTGGCTCTAGGATAGGTCATCGGTTGTTTACGAGCTCGAATTAGTATAGTATATGTAGATAGTGCAATTGATTACTGCCAGCCTTGCGGGATATAGTCTACGCTGAATCGCCGCTTCAACCTTCAGAGGCATACTTAATGCTTATTCCCCGCGTCCGCCGTCCTTTCTGCAACCATTCCATTAACTCTGCCACGATCCTCCGTTCCCTTCCTTTTCTGACAGCATCTTGGGAGCGCCAACACCTTCTGACCTTTATACTCTGATACATCGACTTTGAAAGGAAGATACTGATTGGCGTATGCTCCTTCATCATCCTCGATTTCTGTAATATTAATTTGAAGCACATCCGGATCTGTATCATCTGCTGGGACGCAGTGATCAAAAGTAACACCATAGTAATCGATGCGACTGTTGAAGATTAGCAGACAGACAAAAATAAACAAATTGGGAGCGCCTAGGTCAATATATATGTACCGGAGTGGGATTTCCTGGACCCAACCAAGATATTCGTCCCGTATAATTATATCGCCAGGGCCGGGATCTTTGCCGTATATTGTAACATATGTCAATGCTGCAAGCTTTGGTGCAACTGGCTGCGGAAATCCATTAAGCCCAGGCTTGTCGGTGTGCCAAAGGATGCCTGGGAACAGCCTCTCAATCGCGATTGTCGGGCCCTCGATCTGGATTCGGACTGGCCAGTCAGGTGGGGGGGGGGGTGAAATGAATGGGCCGGGCTGCGTCGGCAAGGCGGGATGTACAGCTTGAGGGCATTGCGGCCGTAGTTCAACTAAATTAATAGTAGGAGATGAGAACAATTACTGCTAGGATGCTAAGGTCGGGCATGAAATCAGGGGAGGGTTGGTGGTCGCCTAGCTCTGGGAGGATCGGACTGGGGAACTTTTGCCCTATGCTCATCGGCTCAAATCCCTGCCTCCATGTCTGTTGTACCGTCGGAGAGCCTCCGCTGGCGTACAGAGACTCACTGCCCAGAGTGATTTCGTGTATTGCATCTTGACCAGAGCACCGGCTTAATTCGGCTATTACCAGTACAAATAATAAAATCTCCGAAGCGGACGAGGCAGCCCTCAGAGCCCAATGAGCCCCTGAACGTCTTCTATTATCAGGCGAGGCGTCTGAGAAGGCCGTGGGATGGTATTACTGACCGTATAACTTGGTGGTTTCTTGTGGCCTGTGGATGAGTAGGGTAGGCAGAGATACGCCTAGTCACATTGTGCGTCGGCTTGCGGAAAAGAACAGCGGTGCTGTGGTCACCGAGGGCTGTGAACAAGATGCGACTGGTTGTCTTTGCACTCTGTAATCTCGCTGTCTTCACCGTCTTCGTCGCTAGTCTTCTTCCATCTCATATTAGAGTTGTTAGTTGACCAAGCCTTCTTAATGTACATCTGTTTATGATGCCTCTGTGGATGTGCGGATGAGAGCTGTAGGAAACCGGCCGCCCAGAGAGTAGGAGACTGCTTGCTAGATGACAGACACTTCTGTCGTAGTCCGTCGAGAGCCGTGGCATCAATGCCCAAAGCCAGAGGTCTGTGATATAACCGCTCAATGATCAGCCACGGCAGCACTGCTTATGCTCATCTGTTCAGGAAACCTGGAAATCCTACTCCGCTCAATATGCTGCCACAGAGGCCCGTCACATAGACGAGCTATGCCGTCAAATAGATGGTTCTAAACTGTGCTCCCGTGCATCGACCCTTCGGGAAGGCATCTCCTGCACCGTTGAATTGTCCTGCAAGAGCCTGTCAGCTATGATGGGGAGCCAGAACTGCCACGCCGAGATCTCCTTCCAAGATAACGCCAAATGGCTTGCACGTTTTCGCCTTGTCAGGAGCTCATCACCACCTGGGATTGTCCGTGATTGGATCCTACGAAGCGAAGCTGCCACTATGACTTACTTGCAACGGCATACCTCCATTCGTACACCCAGAATCTTCGATTGGGTATGCGAATTGGATCCGGAGAACCCGATTGGAGTTGGCTATATTCTGATGGAAACGCTGGATGGAAAGCCCTTGGATTGGCAGGCAGCAACTCCAGTGCAGAGGGAGAAGATTATGCAACAGCTGGTTGATATGTTCCTCGAAATTGAGAAGCATCCCTTCAATATATATATAGGATCACTCGTCTCGGTGGGAGATACCATGGACGTTCAAGGTCTGGCACATCACTCAACATTTGGAGTCGGAGAGGGTCCGCTCGGTCCCTTCTTTTCCTCGCTAGAGGGATCACAAGCTCTTCTCAAATCCTACCTCGCAATGATAGCCAGCGGCGAGATTGATACCCGCTATCCGGTAGACACTTACCTCGCCCATCGCTTCCGCCTGGATATTACTACCGGCCTCTGGGAACACGTACCATTAGGCGGCAAGTTCTTCCTCAAGCACCCAGACGATAAGGGGGAGCAGCTATAACCCCCCCTTTCTCCCCCCCAAGAAAAGAAATATGGCTCAGCCTGGACCTTTAAATACTCTTACTCAGCCATCGGGAGTGTGCGTCACGCAGTAATGCTCTCGCGCCTATATACGGGCCGAAACCATTGAGTCAAACAGGATCATTAAGTATCTCTGCCACTCATACCGAGCCAGGCTAACACACTTGTCCGCTTTTCTTTCCTCAGCTCATCAGGCATTGATTGAGATCCGTGGCTCACTTCAGATTCCTCGCTGATCGAGAATTGCTCACTTTCGGACCCGTCTCCTTGTTTAGCCCCAACCATAGTAATATCTTTAAATCCCTCCTCCAGCTGGCTTTGAGCCCATGAGAATACAGCACGCGTTACTTCCATAGAAGCCTCAATGCTATTGAGACTTTGATTTTCGCCAACACACACTCGTTTCCGGCTTAAACATCCAGACTCCCCTTGAGCGAAAAAATGTTCTGGTGTCTTAATTTTGCCGTGTGGGGAGAAACCGGCATCAGTTGAAGCAGGCCAAGTCCAAACTGAATACACCCAGTGATGGGGACATGAGATGTGTTGTCGGATCTCAAGCTCAACATCCTCCTCTTTCATACGCCCAAACGGTGGCCAGCTATATTGGAGAGGATGTTTGAAGTTATCCTCCTCATATACCGAGTTAAATTCACGCCGCAACCGCCACACATCAGCCCTAGATATAGATCCACTACTACAGGGCTGTATGGTATAATCATCTAAAAATGAGTGTGGTATGCCCGTCCATGCTGCTGCTGTTGGGTCTGGCCAAGTGGAAGGAACCACTCGGCCAAGATTAAGATAGTCCTTGATTCTGCCCACAAGGCTGGTATGGCCTATGAGAGCACTCCCAGCCCAAAATGGTGCCGCTTTAGAGAATGAGAGGACCTGAACAAGCGACTTCATATCGTTTTTCTCAATTAGAGGGCAGAGAAGAGCTGCAATTGGCCCAAACCATGCACCAACATGGTTGCATGGGATACCATCAGCCCAGAACACACTCCAAATTGTGCAGCCCATGGTTGATGTATCAAGGCTGAGAGTCATATAATAATCGATTAGCTGAAAGTCTTCTGGGATGAATTCTTGCCCTCCTGGATTAAAACTTGGCTGAATTATTGTAGGCTTTGGAAGCTCTATTTTTGATTGTTTCATAGGGAGTAGAGAGCCTTGGAGAGGAATACACATCGCTGCAGCTAGAGATGCTGAGAGTTGGTTTCCTAAATCATATGCGGCACAAAACCGGCCGAGGTATGAGGCAGCCTGAGTAGATGAGGGTGGTTTCTCAGCTGTACAGATGTCGCTGCTGATATCCACGCCTATGTTTTCAAGTGATAGAGTCCAAGGAGTAATGATGTCTCCCTCAACCTTCCATCTTTGAGTGAGAATTGCTTTCCACCATGACTTCTCTGCTGAAGTTGCATACTTAAGCTGAAGTAGCTGTGTCTTCCGGGGGGGGGTCCTCTTGTGCTATATAGCTTATTGTCCTTTGCTGGCGTTCAGCAAGATTCACGCTTAAGATATAAGCCCATCCAATTGTAATCAATGCGATACCATTATTAAAATGCCCCTCCCATTTCTCAAAGCTAGTTGAGGCAGAGATTCGACAGATTGTTGAATTGCGTTTTCTCAGAGGTAGTGTGCGATCCATTGTCTGCGGTTGTGCAAAACACGTCGTACTGGTATTTATCCAGGTTGAGGAGCCCACAATACAGGTGTCATCTTTGGGGATCTTGCTTGGCAGAGCTGGAACTCTGCACAATAGCGCTTTAAGGTCAGCAGGCGAGACCTCAATATGGGAAGAACGGCCAAGTTTGGCAAGGCGCTTCCAGTGTGCTTGACCCTGCAGCATTATGCAGGCGGCGGCAGAATCGTTGAAATGCGTTTGAGCCATGTTGGACTCAAGGTTGGCTTTGACAATGGTTCGAATGGTTGGTGACCTGTTGGATTTAAATGGCTGATGAAGAGTGACGTAAACACAGATGAAAGATCACGTGAACAAACATTTGAATGGTAGCTATAGGTAGGTAGATACGGCAACTGGCATGACAATTGGAGCCAATACAATACCCCTTGCCTACCTACTTGCGGCGTCCCTTGCCCTTTTTATCTTTGTTGCTCTTGCTAGACGATGGCTCCCCTGCATCTTCCGCATCTTCCATGACAGTAAAAGTGTAAACCCGATCCTCATACACGAAGCATGTCGCCCAAGTACCATTATGATCAACCAGGGCCTCTTCCCAATCCTCCCCCTTAGTTTTTACCTCCTTCTTGGTGTGGGGATCCCTGAAACAAGTTTTCCCGTTCTTGAGGTATACTTCAACGAACGCATACTGAGAACTTGAGATCCTCCGGACATCTGGCTGTTCTTGGACGCCCAACTGGACAAAAGATTGTGTGACGGAATCCATCCCGACCTCTGTTAGAAGCCCCTTCGATGACCAGTCCAATGCATCCGGGAAACCAATGGTAGTGTCTCCGACCCCGCTCTCCCGGCCCCCCGACATATCGCCGTACCTCTTGTAGGTGACGTTGCCATGTCCGCTTGTCTGCCACTCGGGGTACCCACCCTGCAACTCATCAATCGATGTGTTCCCGACCTCCTCTTCTTGCGCCGGGCTTGCCGCTGATAATTGCGCCGGCAAGGCAACCCCTACGGCGTCCGCAGTATAAACTTTATACCCGGTATTCTCGTCTGATTCCGTGTTCTCGAAGCCATGTTTAGGTGCCCCCCCAGGGTGAGCCGGGCATCTGGCACAATCAATGTATTTAAACTCGTGGCGTATGCATCTTGGTGGCCCCCAGTTGTGCAAGTGAAGAGAAGTAAAACAAAGAGAAATAAAGCTAAGCAAAGCAAAGCAGAGCAATCCAAGCAGAGTACGGGTACATAGGTACACACTCGTAAGTCGACTCGCAGGACGAGCGCCTCGTAGAACCAAACAGCAGAAGAGACCGGGCAGGATCTGCAATTGGAATAATAAGGCTATGGGTTTTCTTAATCTTATCGATGTTGTCCCGCGGCATTAGATGCGCTGGGCGGTAGTCCGCAGCTTTCCTATTATCGACCATGCTGGGTATTGTTTTGAATATCCTTTTATATCCTGCATGTCTGTGTTCTGGCCCGCTTTAAAGCCTGAAAGCTCCCGGACACACCAGCTTTGACTTGGCAAGCTGTCCAATGCTCGGGGAATTAGTCAGCTGCAGATCATTCTGCCCCCTGAGTCAATTCAGATTTCCTAGTTGGCGTCCTCACATCGCATACACCTGATCTTTTCCATACTTTACCAATTCATCCTGTCGCAATGGAGATGGTACTTGGCGTGTACCCTCCAAATGTGGAATGCGCTGCCGAGCCTCAGTCCGCGGCCCGACCCGTCGCACCTCAGGCGCCTCAAGCCCCTCACATCCGAGCAGTACGAAGAACGGAGGAACAAATTCATACGTGCGATTGACGAAAATGCCATCTGCACCCTGGCCTCAGCCCACAACAAGAACCTCCCGTGTCGTATTGCCGAGTCGAGGACAGCCAACGGGAGCTTCAACATTTGCTTCTTCCTCCACTTCCACACCGTTGACAAGACATGGGTTGTCAGAGTTCCTCTAGAGCCTGTCCTTCATAACGCCTGGGACAAGGTCCAGAGCGAGGTGTGTACAATGCGGTGAGAACTATCATCCTCTTCACCTCTGATATGGTCATCCAGTAGAGTCTAACACGAATTTCGCACAAGGTACATTCGAGAAAAGACAAATATCCCCGTTCCCCGGGTCCATGCGTACGGCCGCTACCGACTTCTCTGCAACGAGTCGACGAAACATCATGATAATGGATTGTGTTGAGGGCGGGTCACTTACCGATAAAAAGATCCTCGAAAGCCCGCAGGAACGACGTCTTCAGTTCTATACGGAACTAGTCGATATACTGGCCCAGTTGCGGACTTTGGAATTTCCTGTTGGGGGGTCGCTGATGCCGCATTGGAGTGCCTGGTCGAAGCCTGCTGTCTCGGAGGTATTGTCCATCCCTCTTAATCAGTTCCAGACGGATGGGTACCCGACCTCGGTAAAAAGCACAAAGTCAGCGGTCGAGTTCATCAATGAACAGTACCGCATCCTTTGGGAAACATATCTATTGCCTGCCTCAGATATGTCACGGAAAGGCTTGGAAAAGGAGCTATTTGCGCTTGATGCCATCAAGAAATGGCTGCCCAAATTGGATGATAACAATACCCGCCGCCAGTTTGTTCTAGCACACACGGATCTACGGTATTCCAACATCATGGTGGATGATTTGCTCCATATTCAAGGTATAATTGACTGGGAGTGGGCCTGTACAGTTCCAACGCAAATGTTCATACCGCCAGCATGGATCATTACTTCAGACGTCATGTTTTCGGAGTTTCGTTGCGCTTTAACTTCGAGACGCGACTCCTCTGCAGGTCGCTCTTTGCTCATGCACCAATGGACGCAGGACAACGAGATCAATCTCCATATAACCAATATCCTACGACAATCAAGCCAACTTACTAGCATCTTTTATCGCCATATCTACCCTAAACTGTTCACAGAATCGCGAGACGTCATATTGAGCGAATATTCAACGACCAGGAGCGGAAGATGGAAGTGGAAAGGCGGTTGCGTACTTCAGAGTGTTACACCCAATACCTCAAGGATAACAATCTCTACGTAGTTGGCAAGCATCGGCAACGAATGGCAGTATGGATTAAGGAAGGGGAAGCACTGCTGCACAGGATAAGAGAAGCAGAGCTCTTGAGGAAGATGAAAATAGGCGAGAACCTCTGAGGAAGATAATAAAAAATACGCATCAACCCTATTTCTTCTGCGCCTTTTCCCGTTCCCGAGTCTGCAAATCCTGTATCCTTGTCCACAGTAGCGCGATGTTCTCTCGCTTCCGTGCTGCTTCCTCCCGGTATTTTCTATCAAGTTATCCTTAGTGGACACTTCGCTTTGCTGATCTCTTTGTTCTCTGGAGGAGGAAGCACTCCTCGTCATCTGGGCGGCAGCATCTGCGGGTATATATTGTCGATGAACGCTTCAAGGTCTGCTAGCTTGGTTTCTTCCCTTAGGTGCTCGGTAATCAGCTCGGAGAGCCTCTTCTTAATATCATACATATCAGCCATCTTGAGCTTCCAGTTAAGATCGCGGATGTACATATGTTTTGAAAGGGCTGCTACTGGGAGTAATGTTTGGTCAGCCATAATTGCTAGTAGGGTAGAGAAGGGGGTATGTAAAGTATTATAAAAAGCCAGCGAAAGGCTTTTGATTAAAGTATCGAGGATGTTTTATTTACCATTTGAAATCCATGCTTTTCAAGAACCGCTCAACACCCGCGCGACTCTTGGCAACCGCCAAATCCAACGCCGTCCTACCGCCTTGGTCCCGTACACTCGCATCGTCTCCGGCTGCAAGAAGCTGCTGCACAGTAGCCAGATGGCCTAGCGAGGCTGCCCAGAGAAACGCTGTCCGGCCGCACCTGTCGTGCAGACCCATGTCAGCTCCGGCTCCGATGAGCTGCCGCATCAAAGCATTGTCTGCATTTCTGGCAACCCAGATCAGCGCCGTGTTGCCGTCCCTGTCCTGATGATTTATCTCGGCGCCGGCTCCCATGAGCAGTAGCACAAGCTCTCCGCAGCTCTTTCTGGCCGCAAGCTCCAGCGGCGTTCTGTCACGCCTGTCCCCTGTCCTTATATCCGAGCCGGCTGCAATAAGATGCCGTACAACGGCTTCACGTCCTTGGGAAGCTGCGAGGTGCAGCGCTGTCTGGCCTTCGTTGTCTCGTACACGAATGTCGGCGCCGGCGCCCATCAACAGTTGCACGAGATCGATGTGGCCCCTTTTAGCTGCCCGCTGTAGCGCTGTCTGACCCATGGTGTCTTGGATGCTGATATCCGAGCCGCCTGCAACGAGGCTCTGCACAACAGCCGAATTACCGCTGTCGATTGCTAAATGCAGGGCCGTTTTGCCGTGTGAATCCTGTATATTGGCAGTAGCACCGGCTGCGAGAAGCTGCCGAACCATATCGGGATGGCCTTTAGCAGCTGCAAGATGTAAAGCTGTCCTTTTTAAGTTATCAAGAGTGTTTATATTGGCACCAGCTGACACAAGCTGTTGCATGAGGGCCCTATCATTTCGCTCAGCTGCAAAATGCAAGGCTGCCCTACTGTCTTCGGCCCTCAAATCTGCATCAGCACCTGCTTCAATGAGTTGCTGTGTAACACCCCTGTGACCTCCTCTAACTGCCCACTGTAGTGGTGTGAAGCCGCTGGATTTTTCGTTGACTGTTTCAGGGGCGTCCTTGGGAAGTCGCTCGATCACTACTCCGAGCCCGAAGTATGCGGCAAGCGCCAGCGAGGTAGGTTTATCAGGGCCAATGTAGAAGTTTCCAGCCGTTTGAAGTATTTCGAACCATGCCTGAGAAGCGAGCGGGCGCGCAGTGAAACAATCCATCGCAGTTTTGATGATGGAAGCTTTGTGCATCCCGTCGCCTTTTCGAAAGTGCTCAGCCCAGTGCTGCGATGCGTAGCTCATTAATGGACATCCTTTGAGATCGTCCCTTATCTCCGTATTACCCTGATATTGGTCAAGGCGACACTCACACAAGGCGATCCGCCTAAGGCATATCTCGGCAAGAATCTGATGAGATTCTTGAGGCTGAAATGTAGACTTCCATTGCGACGAAGAGGCAGGCGATATACCGTCATTGGTATCTGATGGCTGTACTGGCGCATGTGAAGAGACTAAGAATTCTCTGGCTGTTTGGTGCACTAGGTATATCTTGGAGTTGACAATTCGCACAAGGGCACCGCACAGGTCTTGAATGTCATTACAGACTTTTGTCTCCGAGATCAACTTATTGTCATCAGGCGGCTTGTGGCCGGGTCCTATTGCCAGAGCGAATGACATCTCCTTGAGTGTGAGTGGCCTTTGAGCTGCCAGAATTATGTGTAGAACGCGCCGAGTGGATTCTGCATCCCTGGCTTTTGCTAGTATGTTCTCATAGGCTCCGTCTACTGTTTGAGGGAGTTTCTGGACCTTTGATCGAATATCGTCTTGATCGAGAAGAATGTTGTCGGCCTCTTCCATGACAAGATACACCCACAAGTATGTGGGGTAAGGATTTCGACAGAGTTCTGCGATGAGGAAATCGCCATCTTCCGGACCTAAACGGTGTTTCTGTATTAATCTTCCTGCTTCTTGTTGCAATGCAAGTTTGACCTCACTGATCCTGCCAACCCCTCTGTCACTCTCACCGCTCAAATGGAGGTTTACTCTTTGCTGTCCTAGTGAGGAAGTATCCAGGCAAGGTCGACTTGTCACGAGAAATTTCAGTCTCACTGCTCTGACTCTTGATTGGGAGTGCAGTTTCCCCAAGGCCTTGATGAATTGACCCCGTCCTGGTTCACTGGCCTCGTCCAAGGCATCGAGAATGCAAAGAACTTCTTTGAGTTCTTCGCGCTCTGCCACGGAAAGCAGGATGTCCCAGAAGTGGTGGAATAACTCTAGAGTCTTGTCGTTATTTTTGATGATCGTTTGGAGTGCCTTTGGGGAGAAGTCGGCTGGGAAGTCCTTGAAGACTTGGTGTAGTATGCAGAGTAGAGCCCCTGTTACGGATTTCTGATCTGAGTAGTCGTTATTGAAGAAGAAGTAACATGTCAGCCTACTCTTGTTGCTTGGTAGCACATTTTCGGCCACATGCCTAGCCAGGACCGACTTTCCATATCCGGGGTCAGCTGAGACTAAGAGAACATTGGCCGTGCGAGAGTTGCGCCAGTATTTATATAAGGCGTGGTTTAGGAACCACTCGCATGTTCCCTCTGTTTGAGGCGGGATGGGCTCATCTTTGCGTTCCCAATAGGGGCAAGCCAGCAGCTTCAGAAACCACTCTCCTTGCACTAGAAATTCTTTTGCTAGAAGTTAGCGGGTGGGTTGAACGAGACAATGGTTCACATACGTTTTTGTATGTCCCTCTTATCTTTCCTCTCCAGCTTTTGCTTCTCTATTTTCCTCTTCCCATCGTCGATTCTCTGAAGTGCAAGGAGTAATTGACCTCTTAGCAGCTGATAATTGGAATCATTTGGTGAACTAAATTCACACATGGTTTCGTGGGTCCCTTCAAGCGTCTTGGTTTTGGCCCACGACGCGTTGAGCAGAGCGGATTCGACTGGAATAGCCTTTAAAGATTAGTATATCTTGCAAAGCTCGAAGGCGGACAACGTACCGGATAAGATATAGACCCAGCAGGTCCACCCACGACGGCTCCAGTAAATGTCATAACGAAAGGCTTTTTGTTACTTGGGCGATATAGCATTTTCTCGAAGACGTCTCGAATAGCCTCTAGCTCCTCTTCGTTGAGTTGAGAATCCAATGACGTAAATAGGGTTGTATTTGTAGCGACGAACTCGCCAGGAATCCTCTTCAACAGTTCGCCCCATGATTCCCCGTGAGGTTTGCAGTGAGGGGTTCCAAGGAAGATGACCCCCTTTGTTACATTCCGAATTGAGGCGGTAGAACGAGATAAGCCCAGAGCCTGTGGTCAGTTTAGTTCAATTTTGTCCGTCTTCGAAAATGTGCTGCTTGCTACCTTACTTTCTTTACAAGGATCCCACCAAGGCTGTGTGCTATAAAAACTATGGGACGGCCCGACTAGGTTGATATAGTTAACATGGAAGTATGTACTTGATGATTGGAGAGGATAGGCTTACCACACCTCTCCGCTCACTTTCTAGTGTAGAAAGAAGATGGTTGCTTAGAGATAGAAGATTTGCCTGGAATGATTCCTCCTGGTCTGGCTGATAGCCATAGGTCATAACTCGAACATTGGGAAAATCCCGCCCAAGCAAATCTTGCGGCCAAAAGACTTTCGAAGAGGTGTGGGAAGAAACCGAGCCGGCTTGATCCAACTGCGAGCTTTCCACGAAAGCATTTCCGATAGGAAATATGGCCGTCCTCGGTGCATTTTCTTGTGTTTTCTTCAATCGTTCCGCGTCATGGAAGCGATATCGTTTTCGGCCTCGAGTTTGAATTTCATCAGGGACTCTCTGCTCGTCTTGCTCGGTTGATAAAGTACTCTTTGACCAAGTACTTTCCGGATGTCCGCCAAAGCCATGTACAAGGACGACGCTGCGTGTAGTATGTTAGTTGGAACCGAGCCTGAGACGCGCGGCGAATGAACTTCAGGGAGCAGTACTCAGCGTTCAAGTTCTCCCCGCCGTTGAAGAGGCAGGTGAGCCCAACATTCGAAGTGCGTGTCATTGTTAGTGTCGCTCAAGTTCATATGAAACTTTACTAGAAGCTGGCTCACAGGTTGCAAATAAAATCAAACTGGTGCTGAGGGTCTAGATGATTCCTAGAACATCGTTTACCTGCCCGCAACATAGGTGTAGGTTCCCCGCCCCAACCTTGATACCCAACGATGGACTTGCATGAAATCGGTCGAATGTAACTCCGACCAGCCAACAGCCCTGGTCATTTGCAGGTCGCATCCCAGATGTGCTTGCTGCAGAATAGACTTGCTACCGGCAGGACAGAGTTACATTATTGACAAGAAGGACCGGTTGTGCCAAGAAGCTTGCGGTACAAGGGACTGACAACTGGCACTTCAGTTATGGCTACACGTAGTTTCCTCTCCACCGCTATGCAACCCAAAATTGCTTTAAGGTTGTCTGCAGCGTGTCTTAGTATGCGAAAGTGGCATGAGCGTAAGGTAGATGGTCAATGGTCGATGGTCGATTAACAAAGTACGAGGTGATCTTATCCTGAGAACAAGGACAAATGCCCAAGCAAGGAGAACGAGATTCCTAGCACTGGGATGATGTTAAGTTAGTTCTTCCTTGATGATGCGTATGACGAGGCAAAATATAGGTTCGGGACGGGAAAATGAGGAGAGAAATATCGCAGGGCATCGTGTTGCTTTCCTAGATGACAGTACTAAGGTATTCAGTCTGATTCTTCGCCTGGGTATCGAACTTCTCTTCCTCCTCCCACTGAAAACGCTTTGATAATTCGAGCCTCATCATTCCCTCAAATATTTTCCCAGCGTCACTGATCTTCTGCATGTGTTCTTCGTCAAGAGAACGGTGGAAAGCCTGCAGCTTAGCGTCAACACTCACAAGATGATACCAATCCTTTTTCTTGATATCAAATGGGGCCTCGTTGTCAGGTGTCAACAAGAGAAAAGGCAACAGACCCTCATAAGGCCCACACAGCTTCATCCACCATCGCCCTTCCTCAAGATGCCGTCCGAGCTCCTTTTTCCCCATGCCATGCTTCTCAGCGATCCCCTGCATTTCACTGGAGTCGATGCGTTTTAAGCCGGTCCGTTCCTTGATCTTCTCGGCCGCTTGAGCAAGCCTCATCTGGCATAATCGAACGATGAATTTCCCCAGTGCAAGATTCTTTGTGCTAGCTTGCAAACATTCGATCTGATATTCCACACTAGTCTTGGAGTTGTCGCTGCTGCACGAAAACACATCGTCGTGTGAGCTTCTCCATTCGCGAACAAGCGACACAAATTGTGCAATAGCCAGGGAGCTTTGGATGGCCGCCGCCATTACCACGACATCAGAATGCCAAGGGTCAGATTCGTCGACCTGAGGCACAATACAACCAGGATCCGCTTTCCTGATAGATTCAAGAACTTCGGTCACTTCGGTTGATTGAACTCGCTTCGTTGGCCTCACAACTGGCAGCGACGCTTGAGCTCCTCGTTTTCGTGATTGTTTGGGAGGCGCAACACGGTTGTTCGAATACTTCCTTGCGAGTTGAGTTAGACCGCACAAGTTACAGCTAGCAAATGTATTCGATACCAGCCGGTCTCCCGCCAACTTGAAATTAATCGACTGGGCAATACAGAACCCCATGTTCACGACACAGTGGTACTGGCATAAGTCAGGGACGATCATTTTCCCAGGGGTGGCGACATGAATGGTAAAGTCGATGCCTTCTCTTTCAAGCCTCCAGGGCGCGATCAGGAGACTTCGGTGACCGACCCGATGGCTGCACGTGTTACAATCCCAGTGGGTGGCAACAAACTCCTCGAATTTCGTTGTGTGATGCATTGCGATCAAGATCCAAAGCTTGACGCCAAAGAGCACCACGTTCGCTGAGCGTAGACCGTGACGTGTCGATAGATCGCCTCCGTCTATTGAGCTCAGATCCTCCCAGTGAAATCGGTTTGCAGATCCGTCTACACCAATATGGTAGTATGGATCATGCAAGTCAGCCAAATACTCGTTGGCCAACATCTCGTGCCCTGGATGTAGTGGAGTCTTGTGCGGAACGCTAAATGCATGGCCACTGTAGTAAAAGACGGGTTTGGTTGGAAGATTTCCCACATAGTGATTGAGATAATTCCTTGCTTCCGTAATGGTTGGCGTCTTAGCTGCCTCGAGGTTCTCTGGCAAGGCAACGGGTTTTCCAGTTGCTACGGGGGCGCAAACAAACCCATAGCCCTCCCCTTTTGGGCCTCTGTGGAAGGTATTGGTGGTGTATTGGCAATCACTGGCGCAAACATCCAGATTGGCCCGAAACGTAGCTGGGTCAATGGGATTGTGAGGGACTGAAATCTCGTTGTGGAAGTCTGGATGCGGGATGATTTTTTCGAGGGCAGGGATCAATCCTTCGCCCATCTCAGCAGAGGTAAGCGTGAAACCCGAGGTAGAGCCATTGGGGGCAGCAGCAATTGTAGATCCGTTGTGGTCTTCAGTGGGTGTTTCGGCAGCGGGTGCCTCCTCATCTTGGGCAGACGAAGCCGCCACGACATCTGAAGTGTCCGTCGCTTCGGTTGCGCGCCGGGAGGATCTCACAGCTACATCTCTCACGAGAGCGGGTGCATTCAGGGCGGAGTTGGAGCGCCGCTGTGTAGCTCCCCCGCCCGAAGCCATGCGCGTGCCCTGCGCAACTTTGCCACGACGGCGACGTGAAGCGGGGTGAAGCCTCACATATCGAGGTGGCGGCTTTGCTCTCGCGGCGACTGGTGTCTTCTGCTGGGCCAGAGCCTGCGTTTCGGAGCGAAGCGACTGGGTCTCACGCCTCAACTTGTTTATGAGAGACGTCACCTCCCTAAGCCAAGGGGGGGCTTCGCTATGTTCTGTTCGCCCGGGGCCACGAGAATGCGGCACGACTCGACGGCTTCGGCGTCGGCTTGATTTGTGCTGGACATAGTCTAGCACGGCGTCGAGGGTCTTTTCTATGCGATTCGCGTGCTCAAGGAGCACAGCAAGGGCTGGGTCTCGGGGAGCCATGATGCGACTCAATTGTGCTGGAGAATGTCTTGTCGGAGTACGTGCGTGCTCACGACAAGATTGCGACACCTGGCTGAATCAACCACGAACTCAGCTTGCGCCACATGCAGCTCGCTAATGGTTGCTGCATCTGCATCTGGACGCGGGCATAACGGGCTGCCAGCTGAATTGAATTGAATGGAAAAGGCCACGACCTGCGTGCACAAGTACAACAAATCAGAGGAGAACCGAAAAAAAAGAAGAAGAAGAATTGGCCAAGGTCGTAATTTGCGTACGTTGTAAGAAGGGCAATTGAAGCGCTCGCTCACGAAGAGTCGAGTCTACCTCGGGAGGTGTTTGCGTGCGGGTGCCTCCTTCTTCGGTAATGGCTGCCCCGCTGTAGGCGCGAGTTGGGGCAGGCGCTGCTCTGTTGGCGGTCCTACACGACATGCCTGGGTGGTAGGTAGGTAGGTAGGTACACCTGCGTGCCAGAGGTGAGCTTGGGTGTTGGCCAGCCGAGCACGCTAACTTCAATCAAGATCCAACCTTGAAGGAAAACATTCGCCTAGAAACAGGGCAGGAATACATAGTACGCTTTTCAAATGTAGTAAACGGGCGTGTTATTTGATAATTTGATTAATCAAGAGGTTTCTTGTTTGGCTTGTGTCCTTTTTTTTTGCTGGTGTCAATACAATCTTAAGTGACATTCAGAAACGCTACCGCTGCACTTTTTTTTTGAGCCAGCTCCTTCACAATCCCATGACTCGCCGTCTCACCCTATACATCTTCTCAGCCTGGCGAACAATTTGGTTTCGGCCTTCAAGTACACTTCTCACAGTCCTTTGGATGTCCATTCTCATCTAGGTACTCCTTGCACCAGCATTCCGGGCATTGGTACGAGTACGAACTCCTCATACACCATTCCTTCATTATCTCGCCATACCCTTCTCGAGCGCTGCAGCCCGACTTGGCATTGACTTTGTACTGCTTCCCCTTGGCAAGCCAATAGGCCTTCTTCTTGGGGCGATAGGAGTAGCAGTCGCAGCAGAGCGCCCATGCCCTGTTTGCCCTCTTCCGAGCGTCTAACGGCCGCAGATTGTGCAGAATCCGGAGCATACCCGGGCAATCCGCGCCGCGCTCGCGATGCTTTGCGGCGCTGGGGATCGATAGGTTGAAGTCGGATGCGACCCTGAAAAACTGCCTGCAAGTCATAGCCAGCCGCAGTTTGTCCACCGGACGATCTACAAGCTCGAATATCATGCGAAGCACTTCGTTCGGAAGAACCTGGATCCCCGGGTCCCTGGCACCGATCGGTCTCCCTTCGAGAACCTGGCCCATCTTCCGATTAGCAACGAAGCTCCATATGGCAGGGAGGGGACGCTCCATCTTACCTCCGGGGTCTTCAGTGGGGCCCAGAGCCGTTTCCCATGCCTGCTCTGGCACCGCCAGAGGTCATACAGAGCGAGGTCAATGATGCCGGTCATTTGCTTTGGATGCTGACAGTACTGCCCGGAGAAGGCTTGGGTTGATGTTGTTGGATTGTTGCCCGAGGTGGCGAGAGTTGGGACGATGCAAGGTTTGCCAGCCAGGCGAGATGGGATAGGGCTAGACCTACCTACGCAAAGACATCACTTTTGCACAATTGCCATTGCTCTGCTCTCTCCGCTCGAGGCCAAAGCGACCCGTGCCCTGAATTGGGCATACGCAACTTCAAGGCAACCCATCCTGCCGCCAACCGGCCGTGTCAGCTGCGGCCCAAGCGATGCTTGCATTAGTCGCTGGACTTGCCTTCCCCTCCCCTCCGGTTACACAACAGCTTCCGATGCGAAGAGGGCAAACGGAAACTAATGGCCCAATAGGTTTCTGTTGTTCTCTGATGCAAATAATGCATTTGCCACCCCTAAGCGATATATCGGATGCAGCAAGCACTCACCGACAGTCCACGTTGGCAGTACCATGTATGAAGCCGCCTGGCCACCTCCCATCCATAAGTTTCCGTGTCTCAGAGTAGAAACCACCCCCCCTCAGCCCATGCCACCCCCCCGAGATACCTGTGAATGATCTCGTCCTCGAATCCGAGCACGGTCTTGACCTTATCAGGCGCTGTCAGCTTGATATCCCCCACCCTTGAGATCATGCAGCGCCTGCATTCTTGCAAAAAATCTACTTGTACGGAAGAAGGATGCCCAAGACTTGGGTGAGCCTCGGGGCACCAGCGCTTGGCTGCCTGTCGTATACCTTGCATTTTGGCGCCCGATCTCGGTTGCGAGCTTACCCCACTGCTTGATGTCGGCATACGGTGCATAGCGAGCCTTCTGGATGGAGGTTGACAATGCTACAGCGCTGGATCCTGTTTGCTCTCAAACCAACATATTCAGCAGGGTCGTGGGAGGCGACCCTTCCTTGATACGAAGGACGCCTCGGCCCCACCACCGTACACGCCGACACTATGAGTCTGAAGGCTAATTACATTTGTACTCTATTCTCACATCGTAGTATATGATGCACAGGTTTTAGCTTTTAGGATATTTTTTCCGATGGGGCCTAGACGATGCAGTAATTGCACTTCGGGTAGCTGATCAATAAGAATATGGTTCGTGTGTCGAAGACATAGATGGGCTAAAAAGAAGTCGAAGGATATTGTTAAGTAGGCAACATCGACATCTCATGTCCTCAAGCTCATAAGGTAGCTCTATTAGAGGTCCTTGCAAACAAATAAAGGGGAAAGGCGTCGGCATTGTTTTCGAAGCGTTGAAACGACTAGGGATAGAGTTCCTGGGTTTGGCTATTATTGCCAAAGAACGTTCCTTAAGAAAATAAGATTATTCTGGGCTTCATAATTTGCTATAAAATTACAAGCAGATGTCTATAAGCGTAAGATAATTGTATCACTGTGCGACACAGCGCAAATCTAAGTGTAGGACATTTATAGATCAGAGATTGTTGTGGCGAGTGGCAGGTAAGCCTCACCACGATGCGAGAGTAAAATTTCTCCTCATACATGACCGAGTGTGGACCGAGTTGTGTTTGCTGGACTCTTATTGGACCTGTTGCTGCCACACTCACAGAGCTGCATATGCAAGCTGAGGTAAGAATGGCATTTTTGCAATTCAGCCGCACCGTGTTATTGGTTGCTGCCTGGCGCGGTTCCGTCTAGATTCCAGCCTCATTCGCGCCCTCCTAGGCCAGTTCTGTCCTTGCCAAACGCGCTCAGCCGATCGACGCAGATACTGCAAAGAATCATGGCCTCTATCAAATGGTCCAAAGTCCACAGAGTCACCAATCTTCCTGAACATGTAGACCGCCTCGCAACGACCGAGCTGTTGGCTGACTGCATACCCGGACTTGGGGTCGGAGACATCCAAGTGTGCTCTCTCGCCACTGCTGTTGACAGCCAGTCCAAGAAGATAGCAACTGTCATTTTCAGGGCTGAAACGAATGCTTTGAGTGAATCTTCGGGTAAAGATAGATGGGAATTTCGGGTTTCTGGATGCGCCGACCCCATCGTCTTGGATGTTCACTTCTATGGGCTGACACCTTTGAATGATGTTCATTACACAGCTCACGCGAATGAGTAGGCCTTCCTCATATTCCTTGAACTTAAAATCCTAACCCTTTATTAGCTGCGTTGTTATTTCCGGGCTAGGGAGTCATCCTATGGGATCCTGGCAGCCAAGGGGAGACAAGACATTCATGTGGATTCGAGACTCGTTACCCGGCTTACTGGATGATATCAGATTCATCCTCTACGGCTATAATACCAAGCTGCTAGACAGCAAATCCATCCAAGCTGTCCCTGATTTGGCGAGATCATTCATAGCTGCTCTCCAAGCTGGCAATTGGATGTCAAAGCCGCTGATCTTTCTTGCTCACAGTCTCGGTGGTGTCTTAATGAAACAGTCCATTGTTGCGTTGGAGGGAACACAAGAAGATCAACAGATTTTGGACCTGATCAGAGGAGGTATTTTTTTTGGTGTGCCAAGCGTCGGAATGTCAGTGCAAGACCTTGAAAATATGATCGGCGAGCAGCCAAACAGGGTGCTTATTAATTGTCTGTCGGATAATTTTAACTTCGTGCGAAACCTCGAGGAGCATTTCGAGCGGGTCTCATCTCCGCGTATGAGGGTGGTTTGGGCTTATGAAACGCAGGAAACTCTTGGTCTTTCTGTGAGTAGTGAGTGTGCATGAAACTAAATATGATAGCTGACAAGTTCTGTAGAAATCTGATGGATCATGGAAGAGATCTGGACCCGCAGCCGTCATGGTGTCGCCGTCTTCAGCTACGGGAGGACGGCATAAATTTATACCAGGAGACCCAGCCCCGATTAGATCAAATGATGAATGGATCGTACAAATCGACGCCGACCACTCGAACATGGTCAAATTCGCCATGGGCGACCAGTTGATAATGACTATGGCAGACAAAATACGACAGATTTTGGGCAACAAGATTCAGCACGCAGGTGAGCGTCGCTTGGATGACAGGCTTTTCCACTCCACTGCTGCCCATGAATCAGACTCCTCCTTTCGGAAACGCTGTAAAGACCTGCATTCCGCTCTTATCCATATCGAAATCTTACCAGATGATATGGTATCAAAGTTCGACATTGATGATGACATTCAAAGATTAGTCTCGGCAAGTTTTAAAGTCATCAGTATGGGCAGGCATATTAGATATTTAGTTCGGAACTCGGAGTCTCAGATCTCAGAGTGGATCGAGGGCCTGGAGGACCTGAAATGGGTTTTCCAGGAGATGCCTGCTTCTTTGATGGCACAGAGCACTAGAGTCGTCAATACCCTTGCCAGTTGCACACACTCCTGTTTAGATATTATCGACATTATCGAAAGCACATGCTTATCTGCTACCGGTTTCTTCAGAAAGCCGCCTAACGAGCATTTACTGAAGCAGATTCTAGCTTCAAGTAACAACAGAGATGAAGAGATTCGGGCAGGGTTTGAAGCATTGAAAAGGAGCAGATCCGCCCTGATAGGGGAGATTGAGTTCTTGATAGCGTGTGTGGCAATTAGTCAACCTTGGTCGGAACGGTTGTTAACTGTTTTATAGTGACCTCACTCCTGACATGTTTCCGAAGCTGAGAGACTCCCTCGATTTGACTCCTGAAGAGGCCAAATGCATTGGGGCGCTGCGTATGACAGACCCAAGTTATGATCGAGAGGGTATCACGGCTGATAAGGGAGAAATCGTCAAAGGTACTTGCAAATGGATTTTGTCAACTCACCAGTTTGAAGAGTGGATACAAAGCCCTGGAACTTCACGCACACTTTGGATATCGGCGCCGCCAGGGATGGGGAAAACATATCTCTCCATATTCCTATCTCGGCGCCTGCAACGCCTTTGTGGAGTTCAAGAAAACAGTATTTCCATCTTTTTCTTTTGCGACAACAGGGTGGACACACGGAACACGAGTAGTGGCATACTCCGAGGGCTCATATACCAACTGACGCACTGGCGGAAAGAATTGATCAAGTTTCCTTTGCAAAAATGGAGGGCTCAAGATGGAGTATTCTCTCAGAATACCTCGTTCCAGTCCTTATGGGAATTATTTGAAGACATGATAGACTCTCTGCCCGACACTACAGTATATTGCACTCTAGATGCTCTAGATGAGTGTGAAGCAGAGTCGATGGTGTCGCTACTCAACAAATTACAACGTCGTGTCGAAACGAAATCCAAGTTTAAATTTATCGCCGTGAGCAGAAGACACCCGGAGCATATCGCAGAAGCTCTATTTTCATCTATAACAGTTGAGATAGATGATTCTGCTCATGCCAGAGATGATGTTAAGCGTTACATTTCGCAGAGAGTGCATCATTTGGCTCGGATCAAACGATTCCTGAATGAGCCATTGCATCATCATATTGAAGAGGTATTTGATACAAAAGCGCAGGATACATTCTTATGGGTCAGCTTTATGATTCATGACTTGCTTCAGAAGACCGTGGTTCAGATAGAAGCCTCGCTGGAGAAGCTACCGACTGGTATTAACGCTGTATACGATAGAATCCTGGCTCAGATTGGTACTGAGCAAGCAGATACTGTATCAAAGATGTTGGGCTGGATCACCCTGGCTGCAAGACCACTTGCTGTGTCAGAACTCTGTGAAGCATTACGTATCCAGTCCACGTCTCACCTTACTCGTGAGCGAGTTTGTTTGGATTACATATTATCTTGCGGAAACCTACTTCAAGTCACTGAAGTTTGGGCTCCGGATATCTGGTGAGCGGAACTGTATCACAGAAAGCGATGCGTGCTAACTGATGCGCCAGGACTGAGGTCCGCAAATCGTACCAAGGCATTGTTTCGGACAGCTCAGTGGAAAATTCAGTATCGTCTGATCAGAATAGAGGCAAAAACGAAGGGGATGTTCAACTGCGGGTCACTCTTGTTCACCAGAGCGCCAAGGACTACCTCCTAGAAAAGCAATCTCACATTGGATCGGCATTCCACATTGATGACCCAGAAGCGGTGCACGAACAGATTGCCACTAGATTATTGCTCGAGATGTCGGGAGGATGTTTAGGGATTTCTACATCTGTGGAGGATTGGGAGTGGGCGAGGGTCTTTAATTGGCCGCTTGCCGTTTACGCAATCCGAAGTTGGGATTTTCACTTCAACCAGATTGCAGACTATCAGGGGTTCGCTCGGAGGCATGACGCATTCTTTTCTGCATCATCTTCCCTTCGAGAAAAGTGGTATCGTTGCCGCGCCAATCTTTTTGTTAGAGCCTGGGTTCATGATTCACAGTGCGATGATCCGATTCCTCTGTTGCACATGGCGGTCGAACTTGACCTGGTAGGTGCCGCACGCCAGTTGCTGTATCTACAAAAGCAGCAACTCGGGAGCAGCGATTTCGAGCGCTATGTCAACAGGCAGTGGGGCAACTTCCAAGAGACTGCGCTCCATATGGCCTGCGCCATTGGGGGCAAAGATATGATACAACTCCTCATTGAATATGGAGCAGACGCGATCGGCATCAGGGATGGGTACGGCGGCGCTGCGTTGGAGATTTACTGTGTAAATTTCGACGAATGCGACCCTTTCATCGAGATGTCCAAAAGTGAAGGTGGCAAAGAATTTTTGGGAGAAGAAGGAGGTAATCTTCTCCGCGCTGCCGCAGCAAGAGGGCATCGCAACATCTGTCGCCTACTTGTTGAGAGTTATGGAGTTGACGTGGACGATACCGACCAATCTGGAAACACACCTCTCACATCGGCCCTTGAGCATGACGAGCTCGAAATTGCGCGGATATTTGTCAACGACTGGCATGCAAGTCTTGAATCGCACTGGGAGCTAGTCGAATCCGCAGCACAAGGATTCCTCAAAAACGACAATATTCAAATTTTCACCGAACTCGTCAAGGTCTGGGGTGTTAATATTAATGCATGCGACCCCTCGACTGGTAAGGGTCTCATGCATGGCAGCCTCTGGAGCAGTATCTCCAAAGAACACACTGCAATCCTTTTGAGACTTGGTCTCGACCCATCAATACAAGATCGACGGGGGACGTCAATTCTACATGCCATAGTCAGCTTTCCAGATGAGATCAACATAGAGGTAGTGCGACTGCTCCTCCAGGATGGGCGTCTTAGACTCCCTGTGGCCGATTGTAAGGGTCGAACCATACTGCACAAAAGCTTCGAATATGTGAGAAGTCGCTATTATATCGAAAGAGTCACACCATTCGATTGCCAGGTGATATGCAGAAATATTAGACACATGCTAGACTTAGGGGTCAACAGGACCTCGGTGAATATCGACGGTGAAACTGCTCTGGATCTAGTCAACGATCTGTTAGACTACGCCTGGGAAGACTGCCCAGTGACATCGGAGCCTTGTTCAACAAATCAAGAAGATGGTGCTGAGCCGGACAATAAGATTGGTTTCATGCGCTATGCTGAGATTGATTTTATGCGCTATGCCAAAGTTTTGCAAAATTATACAACAGTTCCTCTGTTTTCTGACGGGCCGCCACTAATTGAGGCAAGCATAGAGGCAACTCGTCTCCAACAGGATATAGACTCCCAGAATCCGAGAAGCTTGAGTACAAGGGTCATGAGATATTATTCCCCAAGATATTATGTCGGAAGATATTATAGTGAAAAACGATGGAAGATTTCACCTATATTTAAGCGGAGGAGACCCTGCCTAGGCTGGTTGCGGTGACGAGTAAGATAATTCAGTACAGGAGTTGAAGTCCTCTGAATAAGTAATTAGTCCTTAACAGTATACGAGAAAGAAAAGAACACGCGGATTGAATATTAATCTAATAATGGACTAGACTTCCAGCGATATTAGTTACTGTTGTAAAAAGAAAATAAGTTAACCTAGTTAAGTAAACTCGTAAATATATACTATATTCTTACTACTAATAAGAGAATTAGTACTCTATAGAAGCTAGACTTATAATTCCTACTATAGATAGTAAAAAGTTTTTACACTTAATAGTAATCGCTAGTACTACAATACCTCCTCTTGGACGATATATATAATTTTATTATTTAAATTTACTCTTTTATTCTCTAACTTAAGAGAAGTTTATTTATTGACCTAATATCTTATTATTACTATCTCTCCTAATATAATATAACATTAAGGCTTAAGCTATACTAGTCCCTCTATAGTACATGCATTTGGCTGGGGATGTGTCATCTGCTTTCGGTATTTGAGTTGGTATAAATTGGGACGACGTGACGGTCCCGAGCAAGCAAGAGGTTTTGGGTTCTCTCGTCTATCTTAAAGAGGGCTTCCAAAAGATAATCCCATTACCTATCAGGGAAGTTTGAACCATGATGGACGAGCCTTTGTGTTAGAGTATCTTCTTCTTCTGATCTTCGGCCGCAGGCCTGTCCCGACATAGATAGGTCTATCTTGCATTTGGGTGCCCGATCTCGGTTGTGAGCTTGCCCACTGCTTGGTGTCGGCATATCGTGCATAGCGAGCCCTTCTGGCTGGAGATTGCCAATACCACAGCACTAGATCTCGGTTGCTCTCAAGCCGACAAGTTCAGAAGGGTTGTGGGAGGCGACCAGCAGCGCTGTTACCATGAACTTAATGAGTCCTTCGTACCAAGGACACCTGGGCCCCGCCACCGTAGACGCCGGCACTACGAGTCCAACGGCTAACCGCATTTCTGCTCTACTCTACTTTTAGAGCGGCGTAGGCAATCTACTGCACTAACTGTGATATGCCAGAGCATTGCCGGCCCCCTGAGCGCGATGCTATCGTAGCAATACACAATTTCAGTTTCTGAGATGTTCCCTCCTGATGGCGCCTAGCCGACTTAGTAATTGCACTTTGGATAGCTGATCAGTAAATATATGATCTGTGGATGCATTGCAGCGTCCGTATGGGTAATCCACGGTTAGATCCATGGGATCTGAGCGGTTGTTAGTTGTGCAACCGCTCAGGAACCTGGTATATAACCGACTCGAGTAATCTAGCTAGCTGTAGATAACTTTTACAATCAACCAACTTCTACGAACCTTGTTTCTAACAGTGATCGATCACTGTACCCTTCCAACAGATCATTATTACGGATCCTGCTCACGATGGAGGCGGCTATGAGTGGCCCCGCTCGATTCTAAGGGACTGGCCAGATACTCAAATGGTTAGGGACTTACAAATTCGGCTTAGGTTTTGTTATTGAACCAGGGCGAGTAATAGGATATTGTTAAGCAGGCAACATCAACATCACGTGTCCTGAAGCTTAGAAGGTAGCTTTATTAGAGATCCATATGCATCTACAGGCGATCCCCTCACCAGGTACACATTAATAAGGGAGTGTACCTGCACTGATAGATTTTTAAGAGTCACAAAATCATGATATACATGTATTTATATAGAATACTCTATATTGAGGCGCCCAAAGCGATCTGCATGACTTGTTTCACAGACTTGTAGGATCAGTCAAGTTACAATCATTGCATGTTGAGGCCAACGCGAGGAGTCTATCCATACAACTATGGCTTCGGTGGTTCTACCCAACGAGCGACAAGGCTGTGCGAAGATTCAGGGCGAAGCTCCCAAACATACTACTTAAAGGAACAGAAGCGTCTTGGCATCTTCAGAACAGCTTCTCCAAGACCCTGTCCTTGAAGCTCTGCGGTGCATCCTCGCGCTCGCGGCGGTAGTGCTCCGTCAAGGCCTCGAAGAATTCAAGCCCCGACTGGAGGTCAATCTCCTTGCTGCGGTGGAATCGGGTGCGCTTGACGAGCTTCCACGCGATGCCGATCACGGCCGCGAACGCAATGATGCCGTAGTTGAAGATGAAGGTAGACACCTGCCAGTTTCCATCGAGGAAAACTGCGTAGCCCTGCAGCCAGAGGAAGAGGAACGACCACCCAAAAGCCCAGTAGCCTGCAAAGGGCTGCCAACGCGATCGGGTAGGCAGGAAGGTTTTCCTATCAATGCCCTGCGCCTTCATGGCGGAGTTGAAGCGGATCCACGTCATGGACATGATGGTCCAGTAGAACATGGCAGATGCGGTGCTGAAGTTCAACAGCCAGTTGAGCACCTCCGCGCTGCCGGAGCCCAGAGCCAGGTAAGCCAGGCAAGATAGGAGGATAACGACGATGACGGCCATGTCCGGGACGCCGTGCCTGTTGAGGCGGCGCAGAAACTTGGGCGCCTGACCGTCTAGTGCCAAGGCATGCAGGGCCCGCGAAGCATTAAAGGTAAAGTTGATGCCACCGGAGACGACGAAGGTGAGCAGGTAGCAGGTGACGATGGATGGCATGATGGGGATATTCAGGCGTTGCATGGCGATGACGTACGGCGATCCGCCCGCAAAGCCCCCGGTGCCTGCGGTCAGTTTCGGGTCGTTGGAAGGCACGAGTATGCCTACGCAGATGCAGCCGCCGATGCAGAAGAGGACCAGGCGGTAGATGATTGTCTTGAACGCTCGCGGGATGACCCGTCGGGGATCCTTGGACTCGCCGGCCACCATCGAGAGGTACTCCGGCCCTCCAATGCAATATCCAGCGACGTTGACGCCGTTGACAAACGACTGGAGGCGTGTTGGCGCCGTGTTGCCGACCCATGGCCCAGGATTCTGCCAGAACCGGAAGCCGAATCGACCGTGCGCGGGGTTCCCGCCCAGCATGACGATGAAGGTGAACAGCATGAGACCGATAGCGAGGAGGATCTTGACGAATGCTACCCAGACTAGGACCGGGGAGAAGAGTTAGTACAACCAGTACAAAAACAATAGGGTCAGACCGGGTTGACATGCATTCGAATTCACCAAAGAGATCTGCTCGATATACGTTGATCAAGAAGAAGAATAACAGCGTGGCTATTACAATGTTAGCTCGATACGGCGGTCGACCCAAAGGAATATGTATTCTTCTACCTGAGATAAGGATGGCAGGCGACTGGTCATAGCCCCAGTAGGTAACGATGGTGTTTATGATAGTCGCTTCGAACATGACATAGGAGATCATCACGAACTAAAATGCACTGTAAGCTTCTCGTCGAACAAGTGTGCTTAATCACGAGAACCAGACTTGACTCACAAAGTAATTCCAGCCAGCAGCCACTCCAACCGCTGGATCAATCATGCGCCCAGCGAGGCGGATGGGAGCGCCATCGATGGGCAACAGTGACACGATCTCGATCTCTGTTGCGAGCAGAAGGGTCACCATGCAGTACCAAAAGTATGCTCTAGCACGGAGGAACTACTTACGGCACTGCGCCATGCAGAAAATGACAGATACCCAGAGGAGGAAGCCAACTAGAAGGGCGAGCGGCCCGGCGAGAAGGCCCTTGCCGATGCTCACGAAGAGAGTACTGCGACAGTAGAAGACTTTCATCAGCAAACTGAGATGTGTACTTTTATGATCCAAAGTAAATGCTTACTTTCCGACAGCACCGGCCACGGCAAACAGCTGAATCTGCCTCGAGTTTAACTTGCGATGGTTGACTGATTGCTGGACTGCCCTGTCCAAGTCCTCGTTGCCCGCATTAGGAGCCGTAGTTTCGCCCTGGGGTGTGAAAAGACCTTGTCAGATAACTCTGGAAAAGATATTGCAGCCGAATAAAGGAGGGGAGGATAGGCTTACCATTTGGCCGTTGCTGATGGACACACGCTCGTTATGCTTTGATCCATCCTCCTTCGTGTTGACGTCCTCGATACCATCGTGAAACTTCGGGGTGTGTTCCATTGTGTTACGTGTGAGCATGCGAGGGGTATGGATTTCAATCAGGTGGAATGTTCAGGTCAAGATGGAGGGACAACATCTGGCAACGGGCGGCACGTAGTCATTTTATGTTTCGCTACAAGTGAGCGGGCAGGAACGACGGACGTCCCAATGCACAATTTCACGAGCCACAACTAGCGCTGAACACTATCCGGAGGTGGTGTGGGCAGCGGTGCCCTTGCCCCATTACCTACCTTAACATCCATAGTTGGGCTCGCGGAGGCCAGCCCCGATCTTGAGCAAAGAGATTGGAGTCCTGCCACGACCGGTTTAGCTAGATAAGAAACGTCTTTAGTTGACGCGACCACAGAAGTAGATAGGCTACGAACATCAAGTCTCTGGGCTCCCTCGCCCGGTATTCTCCACAGATGGAGCCAACATCGGCCGCTACGGTGGTGGGGCCTAACAGTGGACTCTCTTCCCTGGCGACTTGGTTGGAGAAGTTGAACCAGGGCCAAGTCTCTAATTTCGGGACCACCCAATACCGTCAAAGCTTTCTTGTGTCGGCCGCTACGGCGTGCCTCCGACATATTGTGGCACTGGTTTCCTGGCAACTATACGAACTGCCTCTCAATTTCACAAGAGTCACTTGCTGTATCCAATTGCATTAGGTTGACAGAGAGAACTTGGTCGTGGAGCAGGGAGTAATTTCTGGACCGAATTCGGTGTTCCTATCCACACAGGGATTCGAAGAGGCTTTGATATGAAGCTAAAAGCTCAGTAGAGTCATCACTAGCTATAAAAGCTTCAAGTAGAAATATCTGCTGGCATACTTTGCAGCTTCGGCGATTCTAAAAAAATATCGACATCTCATTGACCATCTGTCCCTTGGCCTTCCTACTCTTGAGTATTCAACCCCACGATTTCCAACTAAGCAATGACGCCGAAACTCACTACTATTGATGCCTCTGAGCCCTTGGATAGGATCCTGGACGCCATAGCTCGGGACGGCGGCGTGATCGTGTCCAACTTCCTTGAACCTGGGCTTCTCGAAGAATCCATGCGTGCAAGTGAGTGCACAAAACTGGATGGCCAGCCCTCACCAAGTACATGATGTTCACTAATGTTCTTCGTTCAAGGTTGAGCCATTCTTCTCCAGTGGAAAGCTTTATGACCCCAAGTCTGCCCAGAAAGACCTCGGGGATGACTTCTTCCCAGCGTGCCTACGTGCGTACATCAAGCCACGCGGGTTGCGACCCCAGTGCGCCCAAGACTAATGCGCGATGCTTGCAGGGTCTCCTGGCCAAGATGCCAGAGCAGATAACTAAGATCATCCGCCTGAGCGTCTGGCAAGGCGTGATGGCTCACTTCTTGAAGTAAGGTCTGCCGAAAGACACAAAACTCTGGCTATGAAGCTAAATCAAAGCCCCCCTGCAGCGGAGAGTTCGTGGGCTTCGACGGCGCGAACAAGACAACCCGGAAGAGCGGATACATACTTTCTTCAACGGCAGCCATCCGACTGGTCCCGGGAGCTGAGAGACAAGCACTGCACAGAGTAAGCTGGGATTGGACGCTTTGATCACCCCTCGTATTGTTTGCTGATCAGCTTTCAGGACGATGTCAATTACGGCACTGGCAGCTTACACGACCCTAAGAATCCCCTATTCACCCCCATGGTCGGCGGCCTGATCGCCGGCTCGAGGGCTACGTATAAGAATGGCGTAAGTTGGGCGGCCACCCCTTCATCCATGGCATTGATTGATGGCTAAGGGTCATACAGGCGACCGCCGTCATTCCTGGAAGCCACTTGTGGGGTCCTGACCGCGCCCCTAAAGTCGAGGAGTGCACGTACGCGGAGATGGAGCCAGGGTCAGCGCTCTTCACGCTCGGCAGTAAGTACTTCGTCGGTCGTTGATCCCAGGCAGTAACGAAAGCATGCGAACTGGCAACTGATACGCCACTCCTGTTCGTAGTAACGTATCACGGAGGCGGCATGAACCAGTGCGAGAGGACCGACCCAGATGCGGTGCGTACCTTGTTTCGCCATCTTTGGGTAAGTTCTCTGCCTGCACGACAGTGTTGGTTGGTTTTAGCCAGCATGGTTGATTTGTTGTATTCCTAATCGGCGTTCATCCGTTCCAGCCAACGAGACTTTTACCGCCAGGACCAGCAGGAGATTTTGTCCACTCCTATAGAAATTGCTCGCAGCCTGCCCGACGACATCCTCAGGCTGACCGGCTACTGTAAGAACAGGCCGCCATACCCTGGGATCCGAATAGGAGCTCGGACTGATCACCTTTTCTTAGATAAAGCAGTCGGCGGCGTTGGTTTCATCGGAGATCACCAGGACCCGGCAGAGTTTTTGCATGTTGATACCAATGGCGTGGGAAAGTTTAACAACTAGTCGGATATGCAGACTGCTTCTTCATCTGTTGCTGTGGCCAATCTGTATGGGAGCAAGTCCTGTGGGGGTTCTTGTAACGAAGTGTCAAAGATTCGTAATGTATGCCAACCACGTTAGAACTTGAACCATAACTACTTCTTGCCAATTCAATCTGAAGAAGTCCGTAGTGAAGTGTGACCAAGCGGCGCAAGCCTCTATTGGGCGGCCATCCAGGCCGAGCTGTTTAGAATGGTCGGACCTGGTAATGACGGAGTAACACGAGAGCCCGAGTTACTCCAGGTTAAATTTCGACTATAAGAAAGCGAATGGGTCAACCCCAACACCACCGGCGGCCTGATCAGACATGCTTCTCAGTGATGCCCAGCCCTCGAAATCCAGCTCCATTTCTGTGGTCGCCTCGCCCGTCGACACCGACACCGGTATTGTATCGCTCCCGGCATTCAGCGCAGAAAGTACGGTGCCGTGGCGTTCCACCTCTTCAAGCATGCTCAGATGCTGTCTTGAGGCCAGGTTCCCTGTGTACGCCATGTGCACGAGTACGGCCCGTCCTTTGCTGTATGTGTCCGCGTCGCGTGACATGTCCTCTCCGGTGCAACGAAAGGCGTTGGGGTGGTGGTTGCGCATGGACTGAGCTATAGTGAGAACGGCGAGGCTTGAGAAGAGGTGAGCCGAGTCCCAATAGCCATATTTGACTGTGGTGGAGCAACAAATTATTAATGAGGCTTTCCTCTGCAGCTGTGGCAGGAATTGAGAATGAACCTACCAAGTTCACCTGCTTGAGCCAGCTCGAGTAAAATGCAAGCATTGCTTCGCGCAGCTTGAAGACATATATTGCTGATGGTATAGAGCTCATCTGAGAGTGTTATAACTCTCTTGTTCCGTAGCATAAACGTGAATTGATGAAGCAGAATAGGCCGTAGAAGCATAATATAACACTAGTAAACACAGAGGAGACTATATTAGCAAGATGCGGCCAAATAGAGAACATAGTAACATACCTGATGGTAGCGTAGCGCAAGAGAGGAGCATATACGGCTCTCTGGCAGCGAGTCGCCTCCAGAAAACACTCTGCCGGGCAGTTCTCTCCCGCATCGATCCAAACCTTGAAGGCATTGACGTAAGACTTGATATGGCTCCGTGATGTCGTTTTGCTTAAGCCGACTAACAGTATTCACAACATCGCCCTTGATCTCGCATAATTTAATTAATGCTGTCAGTAGCACTGGGCCAAAGAATTGCTCCTTTTCTTCATCTGTTAGGCTAGAAGAGTCTGGGTAATCAAGTTCCGATCCGAGACCAGTATACGCAGGGTGTAATGCAAGCTCTGTGCTAATCATTCGATCCACGCAGAACGCAGTCCACCAGACACGCTTCCTGTGTTTGCGCTCCAAGTTGGATAGGGACGTAGGTGCTGGATGGTCCAGCCCCAAGCCGTGGGCTAGTCGTACGCTCTGCCCAGCGTACGCATAGGCTGACATGCGGCGGTTAAGAATGTAGCAGCAGTGTGACTAGAGGTTGCGAATTCTTGGTTAGTTTGAATCAGACTGAACAATTGGAGAGCCACTCACAGCCAAGTTTAAAGCCTCAACATCGTCAACTGTGGGTTCCTCGTAGGATATGTTCAGCAGCGCGAGTCCATGCTCGAAAAACCCCAGTCCAGTAGACAACATCTCTTCTGATCGGAGAGAGCCTTCCATCGAACCTTCTATTGGGATGGCCTTAGCTACTGCTCCATCTGAGGAAGCTGAATTGGCCGCTTGGTAGTGGTTGTACACTCCGCAAGCGCCAAAACGAAGAAGAGACGGCAGAGCCATTTTCGATCATGGGTCTCAGACTGATGGCCATTGTATGTGGCATGGAAACGCCTTAAGAATGACTTGCGAAGGAAAGTATGGCAGTCGCCGAACTCTTGTTCTGCTCTGGCCACTAGTTGCGACGCGTATTCGTATGGGGGAAGCGGCAGGCTTTCCCTGCCCACTGTAGGCAAACCGGAGTTGGATGTGATGTGGTTCGTCTCTTGGCTCACAGTCGGCGTGCTGGTGGGGATGTTCTTTTGAGTTGTTATCACCCACGGCCTCATTCAGTTTGCGGATGAAAGCTTCTACAGTTGATGCTTCAACTAAAGAATCGGGAGGACCTCGCCTAGCGGAGCACGCTGGCTGAGACTGAAATTACACCCCGGGTCTTTGATCATGAGCCCAGGATGGTCCGGTTGAACTGGAACCAGCATGGCGGAACTGCAGCATGCGGATGGAGTCGGTCAGTTCGTTCAGTGAGCGGTCCAGGTTCTGCAGGTATGTTTCCGGCACAGGAATGATGTTCCTTTGGGCTTCGGGGTACACTCAAGCCTTCTGGCTCTTGGAGCATCGCTGGCATGGTTGCTCTGCGCGGGTAAGGGCATCAGCATGATGGCATCTGGTAGGGGTCTCACGAAGGCGCGTTCTGCTGTCACTCACCCCCGGTACATTTGACCTTTTGGCGATGGCAATTGTAACAGGCCGAAGCATTGCGTCCTTGAAACACTTGCATCCTTGATAGAATTGTCAAGTGCATCCATTAACATGCAGTACCTAGTAGTAGTGGTGGCATTCGGAGCGATCCGATCAATGTTCAAAGGTTGGGAGCGATTGGACTGGCTGAGTTCGCTGTGGAGGCTACGGCTTGGTGCTTGCTGGTGGTCGCGTGGGTCACCCGAGGTCTGTGGCTGTAGCTGTGAGTCGCTATTGGTGGGCGTGACATGGCCGGACCAATTCTGCTGGCTGCTGGTTGTTTGGCAACTGGCTCCCCTCATTTGGTCTGGTATCAATGTAAAGGGCCTCTGTTTCTATAACAGCTCGCATTTCCTCCACGTTCCTCGACCGGTTCCATAGGCCGTCTCAATATTTTCCATGCGACCCAATACTCATTTCTTATTACCGTATTCCGCTAGCACCGACGTCGAGTGTGGAATCGATGATGGGTCGGGCAATTCATACCGTGCGCGGCAAGATGTCATGGTGGTCAAGAGTCAAAGAGCAACGGATCAGCTATCTCCATGAGTGACAAACAGCCCTACAAGTTGCCTCCACCAAAGCCTAGACAGCAAACTAAAAGTCTAAAATTAGCTAAATAACTATTTAAGAACAATGAAGGTGGAGGAGCAATGATCGCGGGCTGGCTAACTCAATGGCTATACAGGCTATCTATGAATCGGACCAGGTCGGCGCATTATCCCTTTGCATTGAACTCGTGACCAGGTTCGTATTGATGCACAAAGCATTGGTTGATGACGCCAACCCTCCAGCCCTGGTCATCCGCACGGCACCTACCGGGGTCTGCGGCAGGGATGCCACTGATTCATCAAACGCCTTAACGCGGTGCGCGGCGCTAATTCTACCTCATTGGACGGTTACGTGAGCGACACTACCTACACTTCGCCCGAGCATAATTCAAACACAAGTCGCCTTGCAACATCCAGTCGCAATATCCAGCCGGTCGACTAGCTCATTAGGAAAGAAGGCCCCTATTTCTTTCGTTCTTCACTATGGATAAGAAGCAAACCTCTCCGGCGCCCTTGCAAGCTGAACTTCTATCAACCCAAGAAGAGCAAGTTCCAGCAAATCCACCGTCACGAAAACGACAGATCGACAGCGATAATAATGTCGACGATAATCCTCAACTAAAACGAGCCCGATTAACACGAGAGAACCTTGCACGCTTCACTAAGATGGGGAAGGGCACGAAGAAGATATCGCTGTCTTCTCCTTGCGACTCCACGAGTGAGTCGCAGAAAACGAAATCCACGTCGACAACAACATCAGGTTTTGCTATCCAAGCCCGAAGGAACGGTATTCTTGACCCTAGTCACTCCAAGCCTCCCGCAAATCTCAAGGACATCCGCGAACGACACTCCATATCCCGCGCAAGCGTTTCACCTACCGAGTCAGAATATACGAGATATGCTCGTAAGGTTGCGAGGGTCCCTAACGAAGCGACCATGGTCTTCGAGGCCGGCGGGAGACTGTTGAAGGGCTATGATGACGATGGATACAGCCGAACTCTCAACCAATCTTTCACACGATTCCCAGATGTTGGTTTCAATGATGGCTTGTCCGCTCCCCAGCCTGACTTTATCGAAGGCCTCGAGATGGAGGAATATGATCCGTTCCCTGTTGATGAGCAGGTTGATGGAGCTGTTCTTTTTAAGGATAACCCTTCTTCTCTGACTTTACCACATATAGCCGGAGAATGGAAGGGCCCTAACGGAAATATGGGAAAGGCGATGCTTCAGAGCTCTTATGATGGAGCAGCCCTTGTCTACGCAAGAAACCAAGCCCTTTCCTATATGGGGAGATCGGATCCCCCGGGCCATGCCGAAGTTGTAACCTTTACCACTGATGGCACTACTCTCAACCAGTACGCCCACTATGCTGAAGAGTTGGAAGATGGTATTACTAAATATCACCAGTACCGTATTAAGTCGACGAATCTTATAGACTCCTACCAGGAGTTTAAGGATGGAAGAAGAGGCCTTAGAAATACCCAAGACCATGCAAGAGATCAGTCATATATATTGAGAGATGATCTGAAAGAATATTGGAAGCAGCAACGCAGCAAACTCCAACCTATCACGGAAGGAACCTCTCTGCCTGTGCCCGACTTGCAGGCGAAGCCATGCGAAAACACGAACCCCTACCAGGCGGGTTACGGGACGAGCGCATACAAAGAAACCGCTACATACGAGGACTCAGCTGAAAATGAGGTAGCCGACCAGCCCCATTCGACGCCTCAACCGTCATCGAAACACTCATCATCCAAGCAATCTTGGTCAAAGTCTCCTGACCAGGCCCCCAGCAGCAATGGCCACAAGCGGAAAGCGTCACAGCCGTCTCCCCTCGGATCCGGACATGCAAGCAAGCACGTGGCAAGCACAAGAACTACTGGAAGTCAGACGACTGGAGTGGAGGTTGTACCATAAGCATTCGAATGGCACCATCTCTTGGGCTATTTCGAAAGATGACACGAAACACCGACTCGAGGGGCCTAACCATCAATTAACAGCCGAGGAAATTGAAGCTCTATCGAAACTTGTTCCATCCTAAGATTATAGCTCATGCTACGTCTGGCTATTTCCTATTCCATTGCTCGTTTATTTTGTCATTGTCTTCTTCCACTTTCCTGTTTCTTTGTGTCCGTCGCTGTTCTAGACTTTTGCTCTCTTCCTCGGTGCGCTCATTGTCACCTAAACCTTCCCTCCTCCGGATAGCATTAAGACTGTCTATGATACATTGAAAATCCAATGGATATTTCTCGATTTCTTTCCGGAAGCCCAGTGCTGCAATGTGCTTCAATAGCCTCGTGCTTCTGACGTCTTTACGAGTTTGCGCCGAGCATGCCTTGCACTCCATAACGTGGCATCAATCTTGTGATGAAGCACAGTCCAGCAAGGCTGGCTCTAGCTGAGGACCAGTGGCCTGCAGTGGCTGCAGTGGACCCTGGGTAGAGACAGCAGCTGTAATGTCCAACTATGGAATTACTGATGCAGTCCTACTTAGGGTTAGAGACAGCAGCTGTAATGTCCAACTATGGAATTACTGATGCAGTCCTACTTAGGGTCCACTGCAGCCACTGCAGGCCACTGGTCCTCAGCTAGAGCCAGCCTTGCTGGACTGTGCTTCATCACAAGATTGATGCCACGCTCAGGGCAATGGTTTCCCTTTTCTCCTTTGCTTCCTCTGTCGTCTCCGGGTCGCACTCTTGCCCGTAACGGTGCGGCGTGGTGTAGGCAGCCGGAGATGCCCACTCGGTCGCTAGAGGAGCGGCGCCCCATGCTTCAGGTCAACGCCTGGCCCTTGGTGCGTCAAGCAAGAGTAGTTGGAAGCCTGCACCAACCCTGCGTATTGTCTTGCCAATCTGCACGTTCCGACGGCTCAGTGCATTCTCCATCGCCTTTCTCAATGCCAACGCCGCCCAACTTTGTAGAACAAGGCTCGGGATGTGTCACCTGCCCCCAGCTGGCGCAAACTGGGGCGGCGTGACGGTCCCGACCAAGCAAGAGCATTTGGGCCCTCTCGTCTATCCTAAAGAGGACTTCCAGAAGGATGATCCCAACCCATCGGGGAGTTTGGAGTACCTCCGTCTTCTGATCCTCAGCCGTAGTTTGATTGATTGGTCCTGCTCATCCCATTAAAGTTCTTTTTGCATAAGATACCTATTATCAGTGGAGGGGCGACGCGTTCTGTTATTGGGCTTATGTCATACCAGACTTGATTTAGAATGGCAGGTATTGCGATTGATGCGTGGAACTTTCAACTGCGGCTGAGAATATGACCTGTAGACTCTCGCCAGTTGGGTTGGGGTCCACGCCCATGCATGCCTCCTCCTTACTATCGATTCAGCGGCAGTCCACGAGTGAGGCGACGGCCGAAACTTTGCCCACCACCGAAAAGGCAACGAAAAGGCAACCATGGCGTCTCGGCGGAACCACCATTCCCTTGCATGTACACCACCAAAGGTATCGATCGCATATGCCCTTGTTCGATCGGGAGCCTCGTTTCCACTTTCCTCCGCCCTCGTGAGGTAATCGGTCGTAATGATATGCTCAGCTAGCTGCAATTTGTTCCTCAGCCGTGGCGTTTTCACTGTCTTGGAACCACCGACAAGAAGTGCAAAGACATGTGGCATTTCATGGACAGGGAACGCGAGCCGAAGCCAAGGGAGCACGCGGAAGCTTGGCAAGGCTGGCAAGGTTTCACAATTGGAGCCACCTCAGGCCAGGATCGTCCTGATGCATGTCGGGAATCTGAGATATGAGAAGTTTCCGGTTGCAAGAGAGAACAATACGGATGGTGAAATGCTTGGCGTTTGTTGAGCTGAAAGCCGGAAAAGCAAGCATCCAATGAACCCGCAGATCCCCACGGCCAATTGGCCCATCTAACCCTCTTTTCATCAGCTTGCAGCGCCACGATTGCTAGGTGTAAAGACCGGCCTATCAATCATATTGGATTACTGCTTGTCCACGTAATTGCAATGTCACATCACGGATGGGTCGTGTCAATCCGGAAAAAGAAACAGGCTGCTGAGTGGCTTTTGTTCGACGTCCATGAATCCAGTCTGTTTCGGCTGTTGACCGGTCAGTCTCTCGCCCACCGCCTCTCCAACCCCCGCGCCTGAAGAGAGGGGTTCTTTTTCGGGGGGGGGGGGTTTCTCTTGTAGCATCTGGAAAATGCAATTTGGCAACAAGTTTGCGAGACAGTAACCCGATGCTTCCATGGAAAGAATTGGCGTAGAAACGGGCACCTCTGTGAGAATTCGCCTTCATGTTGACCGGTCCTGGGTGGTGCCTTGGTACATTCCCCCCTCCCCTGAGCTTGATCGGAATAAACGCACCATTACTTCATGGATCTTCTGTCCCCCCAGATCCCCTCTAGCGTGACGGGATGGAGGTATCCCCAAGGCTGCGAGCTGCATCATGCAGTTGTAGGGGCCCACTCTGCGTTCCTGGCTGAGACAACTAATTACTATCATTTGCCACGCTGAGAGACGACAACGAGACAATAAGCAGAGAAGGGGGCGGTAGTAAGGCTCGGAAAGTTGACCAGAGCCGAACGCTTTACAGGTATTCTCCATAAACGTGTCTGTAAGGCCTCGAGGCGGGAGCTTTTACCCTGCTCTAAGCAGCCGGAGGATCTCTTCCTACAAGCAGAGATTCATATATACTTTTTCCAAATACATGGCATTATGAGGTGTTGTGCAGCTTGTGACCATGCGGTGGCCAGGCTCCTGCAACATTTCTTCCGGAATTGGCGATTTGATTTCTTTCGGTGACCAATCACTCGACGACTGTTCAACTGAGGGAAAAAAAAAACAATAGCGTGGGTGAGCAGATGCAAGCCCAGGCCTGTGTCTCAGCCTTTCGGATAGTGTCGAGGTGCGTCTCGACTAGAAATTAGGCCAATGATAGACATCTGGGGCATTTTGTCCGACAATCTAGACCAGTTTGGTAGGTGTGCCAACACCCTTGAGGGCTGGCTTCGGTTAGACTCAGTTAGATTGTCCCGGCACCTGTTTTGCTTTTTGCCAAGGATGATGAGGCCATTTACGGCTCAATGTATCTCCAAAGTACCCCTGAGGAATCTTGCGACCAAGACAGGCTTATCGGGGACCAACATGCTACCCGTGGAATAGAACCCAAGGTCTCAGGAGATTGAGAAAACGAAGGTAACGGAGCGTAAGGAGGGCCTGATCAAAATGTGATAGCCTATGTCCCCTGGTCGCATGACTATGGCCGATCACAGGTATCTACCCAATGGGACGATATGCTCGATCGTGTGTCCGTATTGAATGTCATATTCGATAAGGATCTGATCCCGAGCCTTATGATGGTTGACCGCATCTAGGCTGTGCTTGCATGGAACCCCCTCTCAAGGTGATTTTTGGGCTGCCGCAGTCGCAGAACCCATAGTTGGCTGGCAGGTATATTTAAGCCGCCAGTCCGCCGTCAAGGGGCCTCAACGGCAAAGCTCTTTGTTCCCCTCTCACTCTCAACCCCTTCTTTCTTCCTATTTACTCGTAACCATCTTTTTGATCTGATCCACCATGGCCAACGAGGACTTTGACGAGTCTCCCATGCTAGATGTCATTGACGAGTCGCCCATGTCAGATGACCTTGATGAGTCTCCCATGTCAGATGTCAGTGACAAGTCGCCCGTGCCAGACGGCTTTGGCGAGTCTCCCGCGACAACCTTCCTTGAGGAGCCTTCCGAGCAAGATTCCTCCGACGAGTCTGACAAGTCAGATGATGGCTATGACTTGTATGCTGTGCCCGAAGAGTTTGACGATTTTTCTGTGGAAGATTTCTTTGATGAGTTTCCCACGCCATCACTTGAATTTGCATTCCGTGGGAAAATCGTCCAATTCCAATGGGACGGAATCAGGGCCAATCTTAAACAACCGAACCAAGACAAGGCGACGGCTCTAGCGCTCATGCGGATAGCCGGTGACTTGGCCTTAACCCACTCAGGAACCCTTGGTCCTTGGGCCATCAAAAACAAACCTCTCGAGCCGCTTCTTGATTTCTTCAGATTCATGGAAGGCCAGAAGCCCGACATCTTCTACGAGACTGCCCTGTTCATGACATCCTTCTTGATGATGTCAATCCTTGAACGGAAAGCAAAATGTGTCTCTTCGCTCGGCACAGAATGGAGCTCAGCACAAGCCTATGACGACTTTTGGCAAGCGTACTTTTTATCTGGGGGCTATTCGCGGGTGGCCCCGAGTTTCATCAAATTTGACCAGCAGGGAGGTATCTTCTTGGGCGAAGACGAGACGACGGTCTGGAGTGGTGCCGAACGTCCCGGAGCATTTGTCCTATTTGATCGTCATTGGGTATTCGACGGCGACGCTGCCCAGCAGGGGAAATTGCGCGTGCGCAGGTATTTCGATGTGGAGGGTGCTGATATTTACAAGGACTATTGAGACTTTTCGTTGGGTGGGATAAGGACACCGTCGCTCTTTTTGTTGTCTTCCTTTGTTTGATGTGATTAGGAGAATAGTCATTGACATTTAACATGTCTTCCTTGTTGCTTGGCCATATGGCCAGACCCTGTGTGACACTCCAAAGTGCTATGTAACGCCGGTGATTTCTTGTATGACGACTTGACGAAGATTGCACGAAATATGTAGGCGGCTGGCAAGAACTGCCAAATGTTCAAGTGTTTGATCGTTTGCTTGTAGTTCGAAGTCTGATAGCGTCTTTGTTGGTTTGGTATGAGTCGATGTTTGGTCGTATGTGTAACTTTTTAGTCGTCTATGTAGATCGCTAGGTGAAGTGACGGCTCGAGCTGAAGCCACGGAAACCCTTGAATATGGTAGAGGTGGCGTGCTGGGCTCTCTGCAAGTCTAAAGTCCTCGGCATAATTCAAGATCATCTCGTGGTCTCTGCCTTCAAGCTGTGTCTCCCGCGTGCCAAAGAGGTGCTCTATAATAGATATGGTAAAATCCAGTTCCCTAGTGAGAAATTTAGCTTGATAGAAAGTTCAATAAGGTAGTGGCTAGGTCTTACCTTCAACGTCTCGGTAGTTGCGACACATCGGGGTTCGTTCAAGAAAGGCCTTAGGAGGAGGCCCCATGAAGGAAACCATCTCTGTAAGGCGCTGTCCATCATTAAGTACCTATCCTTAAAACAGACCATTGTCTTGAAAAGGGCCCCAGAGCCATTGTGGGTTAGTTTTCATTGTGAACTGCTTTGATCAACGTAGTGAGCCTAGCAACCTCACTTACCAGCAGGCCCTTACATCATATATCGGTCTTTTCGCCCTATTCTATCCCAAGAATCACTTCTGGCACGTGGTAAAAGCTGGGCATCCCACTCCCTTCATCCTTTTGACCAGGTTTCCGCATGCGAGATAGATACGCCGAAGTCGTTCATGGCAGGAGCACCATGAGTGGATCGATAGTTCATCGGAAGCGGGAATGTTATTAGGAGACAGATTTATGTCCAGAGTTAGGAAACAAAACTTCCTGGGTAACCAACGCACAGGCTGCACCTACATGGAAAATGACAACTTGCGAAGAAGGTCCAAGACGAAGGATACTAGGAAAATGTACTTCTAGCATAAAGTTCATGCTGAGGAGTGGTTGTACCAAGCATTGGCGGCTCCCTTCAGGACCTGAGTTTGGGCGTGATCATGAAGAAGACGATACTTGAGTGTTTAACCTGGACCGAGCTGAAGAACGTAGGTATGGCCGCTTCAGCCTCTGCGTGCGGGGAAATGCTGTGTTTTTGAATATTGCGCAAGTGTGTAACTCACGGGAGCAACAAATCCTCTAAGAAGCATTAGCGAAGAGCTAGGTAAGAGATGCTTCTCCAGGCTTTGTAATACATTTACTTACTTCTCGGCAGAGCCATACGGGTGTAGATTTCGCAAAACCCAAGCTCGAGACAACGCTATGGCGTTATTCGAAGGCATCTGCATTTCTTGCGGGGAAAAAACTCTTGAATCGTACGTTGGCAACTTTCTCTTCAACCAAGCAGGATCCAACGGGGTGGATATTTGTGATAGTCGGCGCCGTTGCGCAAAAAGTAGAGGTTGACGCCGAGTATGTGTCTGGAAAAAGGGAATTGAATTGGAAACAACATGGGATGAAAAGACAGAACAGCTGAGAAAATACGCATGTTCAGATTTGCAGATATATTGTGCGGGTGTTTAGAAGACAACGCGGAAGGAAGTGTGGAAGTCGCGCCTTCCCGAATGTTGAACAGAAGGCGTGCTGTTATGGCTCGCTGTTACATTGCTGTCACAATAGGGGGTTTTAGTGACCTTTGAGTGCGCTGGGGCGGCTGGGATGCCTACATCACCCACCTAAGAGCTGCAATAGCAGCCTAAACTCCACTGAGGAAGCGCCTGGGGCAGCCATCCCCTGAGATTACTGCTCTATTACCATCGACATTTGATGTTTGCAACGTCTTTCCTCTGACACTGCCTTTATTGCATATATACACTTGAGTCCTTCCTCTCATTTAAATCAAGTTAGATCTACGTATCCCTTGTTTCTGAGTCGGCCGTCAACCACTGATCCGGATCTGGCCGTGACGAGTTCTGACACCAAAAACCAAGTCTGTGGGATGGGCAAGGTTTCGACTTTCCACGTCCCAAGGTATATAAATATCAGGAACTATTGATTTACCCAGTGGCCTCTTCTTGACCTCTTAAATGGCCGTGTCAACACTCCAAGATATCAAAAGAATAAGTAAAGCATGCTCTCTGTTGTCGCTTTGGGGGTCGTGTGTGTACGGGAGCCTCGAGGGATCTAGCAAAAAAAAGAATAAAAAGTGCAACCACATGTTTCAAATTGACAAACTTAGCAATATTGAGGATCTATATCAACGATGATATTGTTCTCAGACAGGGGCATGTTCTTCTTCGATGCACGAGGCCCTAGGACTTGGATATACGACTTGCTTAGTCGTTTCCATCACCGAACTAGGAGGTATCAGGAGGCTCGAGGGTCTGCCAAAAGTATAACACCACAAGCTACGAATTGTTTCTTCGACATGTTGATAGGGTTCTCTCTCAAAGGGGTCTTCTCCGAAGGATGGTTGTTGAACTTGATGCAGTTGACAGACTGTTGAAAGTATGCGAGATCGTGTCCAAAGCCAGAACATCGTTTTGGAATAAGAATGCTTGTATTTCAAGAATCGAATCGGTTCAATCTCGTTCTTTGGTAGTTCTTTTGTTGAGTATAGGGATACGGAGGCTCCAAGGCCGTCGGTGGTATGCTCTCTCGAAGAGTTCCCTTGATGAAGCAGAATCCGCGTTGGCAGTGTTCCCTCTCCACAGCTAGTCGTAAACCGCGATCTTCGTGTATGGTCTTGGCTTGATCTGCATCTCTTGTCGGATTAGCGATTGATCATAGCTACTTGTGGTTGTCCCCATCTAGGAGTTTGTGTACGTTGATGCGAAAGGCCTCAGCTAAGTGGAACAAAATAGCACGGATTAAGTCGGGTTCTTGAGTGAAATATATATTCAGAGTAGTGTCACAATGGAGCAACAAGAGGCGAAATCTCTGTTTGATCGTGCTGTGTTTGTGTGTTTGTCATGTGAATGTGCCACCTTCGTGAAGAACACTTCGCAAACAAAGGCGAGCCATCCAAATCACGTGATGCTTCTCCCGTCATAACCCGCGGTAGCCCATTCTATCGGTTTGCTTTGCTGACAATTGTATTTACTGGTAAATCTCTTGCCTATTCCTATTTGTTGCTGACGATGGTTATAGACTGACCAAGTTCATCGGTAGCGCCGTCGGTTCTTCAATACTCTCACTACTTGCACTTCCGCTACATACTCGCAATCACGCCCTTCCTGTACCTACCTCGCCGAAAATCTCAAAGTTGCACTCCACTTCAAGATACAAACCTGCTAGGCAGTCAGTGCAAATAGATACATATTGTGTTGGTCTACCTCGCTGCAAATTCTTTCCATGATTGCAGACTCGACCGTTTGGTTCAATTAATGACATTGAGGATGCTTTTACGTTACTCCATCCTAGCTTTGGGCACTTCCAGCTACACAGGAGAATCGATTGTCTATGGGAGTGATCTTACTCTAAGCTTTCCTTCCAACTAGCCCGATGTTCGGCTGGCTTTTTGTCCTTCCAGCACCATCCAGTAAACCGGACCGTGGTACGTCTACTACGCTCTGCTATACAAGCCTTTTAGAATGACAAGCTATCATGTAACGCAAACTCCATGCCATGGAGGTGTAAATTAATGCTATCTCTACACTTCTCATCTCTTTTGTTGGCGCTGAACATGGATTGGTACAATAGACCATCCTGTATTGCGGGGATGTTGTTCCGCACAAGCAACATACGAGCGCCCGATGTCGGTGGGAGCAACCGTCATATCCCCCAATCAAACCCGATCCAACTGGCAACCTGATATCTCAGGATGAGAAAGATATGCGTGAGTATGCAGATATATGCTCCTTGTGATGATGAGATGACGACACTGGCAGCATGGAGTCTACACGGACTCATTGGGCTTGGGAATCCTCAGATAAGAAACATGGCTAGCTTCATTGGAGGCTCTGTTTCTTTGTGGCAACGGACGGAGCTTGGATTCACCCCGAATTTCTTGCTTGGATGGAACGTGTTGCGATGGCATCTCAATTTTGCGGTTACCGTGTCGGGTCGAACAACGTCTTTCTGATCGTAGCATCCCACGTAAGAAGAGAAACAGTAGCGCGAATACTCGGTGAGTTATTATGCAAGTACCTATGTACACTGAGACACAAATTGCCTTATCACGGCTCGCCGCCAGACTATTGGCAGCCTCTAGATGACGAGTCGTGTGGTGTTGCAAATAAATGAGCGGGGTTAATGCCCAGCTGCTACCTAACTGCGCCTTGGCTTATGCATTTGGGGTACCGAGCGATCACTTGCAAGGAGCACGACTGTCTGGTCGGTAAGTCAAGCAGGCAGTAATTCGGGCAGCTTGGTGGCTTCTGTCTTGGACCGTCCGCGGGTATCATGTCGCCTACGCCCTCTCCTAGAAGGCGGGCGGAGAGAGCGGTGCGGGAGAACGGAGATAAGAAAAAAGAAAAGAAGAGAAAAAAGAAAGCAACTTGTGGCAGGTAAATGATCGAATCACGGCCCAACGTACGTCGTAATATCGGAAACGGATCGCGGGCTGAAAGGCTGGGAACTGCACTTGTCCAGCTGGTCCTTGGCTAGGGGTGGGGCAGAAGTGCAACAGCATATGCAGCTTACACGGATCAATTGCGAGTTGCGACTGCCCGATGCAAACTGCCTACAGGCGACCAGAGCAGCTGCTTACTGTGCAGCATGTACCCAGTGCCCTACTGCCCAACAGTTGCCTGGACGAAGTCCCCGGATCGATTGCTCCTCTCCGCTTCCATCAACAGCTTCATTATCCATAGCTGGTCCTCGAGCACACTTCACCGCGCGCTGAGAGCCTGTCCGTTGGTGATAGCCAGAAGAACGCCCCCAAAGCATCCATAAATCATACCATTTGCCGCATACCTACCCGATGGAACTTCATCGTTTGCTCGCGCCCAGCAACGGCCAAATGGATCCCTGTCCAGCGGACAGTACTCTTGCAGAGGTATGCCATTGCTTACACACCACGACCACAGATGCTGATTTGCCAGAAGAGCTCCACGGCTGCCAGCAACCGCGGCAAGAAACGGCGTGTTGCACCGTTCGATGATCTGAACCTCGACCATGATCGAAAACGAGGTTGCAGATCCCCAAGGCTATCTAGCCCGAACAGCCCCGCAGAGGAAGAGGTAGCAGAAGAAGAGGAGGAAGAAGCCGTCACTGAGGCCGGACCATCAAGCCTTGCATACAATCCGGTTGAATTCTGGACAAAGCAGGGCACCTGGCCGCCACCACATTATTCTGCACCGAACTTCGACCGCATCCTTGCCCGGAGGCACTCGCATTCGTCCTTTGTCCGCAAGATATTGGACTCGGGCTCTTCCACATCGTCTAGCGATGGGAAGCTGCCGAATCGCAACGCAGCACCCTTTCGTGACCCGCTCCATGGCATGTTTTTCAAACCCAGAGACAGCACCATGGAAGAAGCAGCACCAGAGTCCGGGATCACGGACGAAAGCGAGTCCCAGGTCCGTGACCTCCTCACCAATGAACAAGTATTCCCCACCGGTACAATATTCGATGATGGGGTTTTCGCCGCTGCTTGTCGTCAACTGCAGGATAAGAGCCAAGCAAGAATCGTCCAGGACATCTCTCGTCTGATCGTCCCCTCGGTGGAGACACTCGCCCTCCGGGATGGAAACCTCCGGAACCTGGTCGAGAGCGTCAGGGAGCGCTGGGAGAATTCCATCCCAGTGACAACCATTCGCCCTCAGCCTGACTACTCGGTCGGCTTCAGACGGGATGCATTCTCCGAGCAGCAGCTTATCAAGCTATCCCCATTCCTCGGCAACTTCCTCGGTGGGGACCAGTCCTTCTTCATGGGCACCTCCTACATGTATTTCCCGTTCCTTACGTGCCAGGTTAGCTGTGGGCCTCATGCACTTGATACTGCGGACAACCACAATACGCACAGCACGACCATTGCGGTGCGGGCTGTCGCCGAGCTCTTCCTGGCGGTCGGCCGCGAGAGCGAGGTCAGCCGCAAGATCCTTGCCTTCTCCATCTCCCACGATCATTGCTGCGTCAAAATTTACGGCTACTACGCGGTCTTCGAGAACGGGAAGATCCAAAACTTTCGCTACCCCATACATCAGTTTGATATTACGGCAATGGATGGCAGTGAGAGGTGGACAGCATACCAATTTACAAAGAACGTCTATGAGAAATGGGCTCCGGGCCACTTTGACGCCATCTGCTCGGCTGTCGACCAGCTCCCACAGGGATTGGATGTTGAGATCTTCGCCCTCCGGAGCACAGGCCTTTCCCAGACGTTCGATCGCCAGAACTTATCGCAGTTCTCGACCGACTCGGTCCAGGTTGACGTATGCGCCAGCCAGTCAAGTCAAGCCATGGAGACGAGCAACACCCCACTCACGGCCTATACAATCCTTTAGATAGATTCAGGNGGGGGGGGGGTTAGGTTGTAATTTTCCTATGTTTCTAGTACTATGGTGTCGTTTCGCGGTCAATGTCACGCCTTTATGAATGATAGTCTTCTAATGTCAACTTTTATTGCTACTTTGTTTTCTTTCTTTCATCATAAAGCTATTATCTTCTTGAATTACTTTGTAGTCTCTCTAAGAGACACAGTGTCTGATGCGATTAGCACTCGGTGAGCATTGATGTAGATATTCGCTCATAACCCCCAATTCATGATTCAGTACCTTTCCGCGGAGCTTTTCCTTGGGCACAACCATCCATAAGACTAAAATTTCCATTGTAACTGCAGAAAGGCTCTTACCCTTAGGCCCGTAGCGCGTAACAGGCAACAGGGCCGTATTGACGAACGGGGTCCAATCCTTCATCCAGGCTTGCCACAGCCACAGATCCGCCACCAAGAATTCGAACGCACAAAAAGAAATAGTAACAATGACCGAGCCACAGACTAACAAATGAAATAGTACATAATCAAAGCAGATTGAGAACTTGGTTTGATAGTCCTTTCATCATGCGGCGAGAACAATCAGTCAAAAACATGCGGCGGGATCTCATCCTCGTCACTGAGCTTCCCTCGGGACTCCAGATACTCATCTCGGACATGACGCGAGTTAACTCGTGACATGACGTTTCTCTCAGTCACGAACTCGTCATCTTCAGTAATGAGAAACCCCAAGTCGTAAAGATATCCCAGATCATTCTGAAGAACTATGTTGAGCTGTACGTTGGCGAAATCCCTGTTCAACTTGGTGAGTTCCGGACCATCGACATCCATGTCCATTCTCCAGGCATTAAAAACCAGTCGTATATCAGTGAGCTTTTTGAAACGGCCACCACTTTCAATGTCGGCGAGAAGCTCTTCCATTTGGTCCACTATTGCCACCCCACAGTCGCGAACCAAGAGGCTTTCCAGCCTCTCCGGAAGACACTCAATGATGCTCCGTGCTGCTTCGATTTTTAATGGCATCTGCTCCGAGTCGTCATGAGGAACGGGCTGAAAAGCAAGCATTCCTGTGAGGGCTTGCATCCCTACGGTGAGCTTCTTGAGATATCGTAGTTGGTGGAGCCTCGGCCCCAGGTACAGCTTCTCAGGGCTCTTAACCCAATCCCAGTCCTTTTCACCATTGTCTTCCAAGTGAATGTAAAGTTCCTCAAGCGTATCAGCATGAGGTAATAGAGCCTCGATGATATCTCTGGGCGTCATGAGATCAGGAGACCTCACAAGCCTACCGTAGGTAAATTCAAATTTCTTTAACGCCCTACAAGCGCCCACCATACCCGCGAGTGCATCTGGGCAGAGATACGAACAATGCAAAACTATCTCTTCCACTGAAGAGGACCTGCGCGGCAGGGTTTTGAACATTGTTGCTGCGACAGAATCGCCATTGGCCAGGATGCACTCGTAGAAGCGTATTCGGGGAAACGCCAGAAGGTCTGGGGCCTCAAGATAGAAGGTCATATAGCCATTCTTATAGTTGGGCGTCTCATGGAAGACATCTCGGACATTGGAGAGAGGGACAGCCATTGGCGCGTGGTCTCCATCTCCCCATTCAGAACCTGGAGTCTGGATCGCTTTATTAATTGCGACTAGATTGCGAGCAAAACGGAGCAATTGACCAAAATGTCTTGTACCCTCCGGTTCTATATAGACAAGAGTCCGAATGTTTGGGCAGGAGAGTAAAAGTAAAGCGAACTGGGAATCTGAGGTACCGCTTCTCAGATCGTCCATCCACTGCCTGAACCATTGAAGGGTGTAATTAGAAGGCAGCTGTCCTAGGAAAAACTCGATGTGATGCCCATAGACGTCGACTTCGTCGTCTGTCGCTCTGTCAGATCCTTTTTCTCGGCGGTTGAAACCAATGTATTTGTCGTCATAAACAGAACACCTTCCTATGATGACGGTTCTGACATGCTTAGCCAGCCAAGGCTTTTGAATGAGAATGTATCGCAGGAAACGAACGTTGCGGGTGCGAGAGCATGAGCTTGACCCGCTGTAGCTGTGTATAGTGTTCCGAAAGACACTGACGGAGATTGGAAGGGCAATCGCATATAGACGCTTGCAAGTTCTCAAGGCCGCTTGAATGTCTGAGTTGCCCTCTGTCTCGTCGACAAGGTACGAGAGGATGTGAGAAGTGATCTCGGGCGGTAAGGTTAAGAGAGTGGTAGGCGGAACTGTTGCAACTTTTGATTGCTGCTGCATGGCTTCTGTTGGATTTGGTTTTTGGTTTTACTGGTATTGTGTTCCCATTGGTATCAGATGTGCTCTGAAATTCGGGCGATTGACGGTGAGCTGATGATGAGGCCAAGGAGTTTCAGGCGGGTGTCGGTTGGGGCAATCAAAAATAATGGTTGGAAAAATCGCTAATGCGATCAAAATTGAGGTTAGCGGTGCCGTGCGGGGTCAGAGATCTCTATTGCACTTCTGAAGAGGTGGTGATGATGGGGATTTGGATGCGAGGAGGGAGGTTGGGCTGGGGATGGGTTGGAGGGGAGAGGAAAGGAGGCAAGGTTGGGTTGGGGATGGGTTAGAGAGAAGAGGAAGATTGTGCTGGCCCACGAAACCAGGAAGAGAAGCAGGCAGAAGCTCAGGTCGGTGGGCAGTGGCGGGCGGTCGATGGTTTGTTGACGCAGCACCTACGGCAGAGCCTTCCAAACTCCAAGCACTCGCGGAAGGTGCCACCCAGAGACCACGGCCGACACCAATTGTCAGTCCCAGTTCCAGTTATTCTGTAATTCAAACGCTCCGTTCTGCCAAATTGCTTTTATTAATGTCACCATAGAATATGATAATCTCATTGCACATAGGATATCGTTTCAAGTGCCCTGACGGTGCGGAGGAATCAGATGCGCTACGGCATATGTATGATTGTGCAGCAAATAGAGTATCAGTTGGTGCAATTTGAAAACAGAGTCCCTGCCTTTCGTCTCGACTCAAGACATGGCCGTGCAGGACCGAGCCTACGTGACCCTTTCACCCCAATCGCATGCAGTTGCCAGAACACAATCGCTGAAGACGCGGCTGACGATAGTGCACCTTGCAAGAGGCAAGGTACCTAGTGCTTGTATATAGGTAGGTACCTTCCGTGCTGCTTGACCATTCACCACTAGGACAGTGCTTTTCGCTGCGATTCGCTCTACACTTCACATAGAACTACTGCGGGCCTTGCCTAGGTAGGGGGCTCTATACCTTAGGTGAGGTGCCTCATCTTCTTCTCACCACAAATATTCTGACCCCTTATCAACGCAGACTTCTGCCTGTAGGCTCCCACCCTTGGACCTTTTTTTCCCTTAACCTGTACACGTCGTTGTATCTCCAGCTTTTCGAATCCTTCCCTCGATTTTCGCGATTCTGACCCACCACACTCGCTCACCCACCAACACATTCGCCGTGAGAACTTGGGCGAGACACACATCGTGAAAGACGCCACGACCCCCATACCGCTTAAGATCGCTAAAAAAAAATATTACCCAATTTTCGAACGCATGATACAAGAAACAAATCTGTTATTAGTGGGGTTCTGTTCCTCGGCAGACCGGAGAGGCAGCCACCGCATAGCACCCCACTAGAACTCAAGGTAAATCATTATAACCCCAAGAAGCCAACCAATAATCTGATAAGACCAGGCACGGATGCAATTATCGGCCATTGGCAAAGCTACGCCAACCTTTACTTTAGCCTCGGCTCCGACTACACCCACGATCGGAAGAGCAGAACCGAGTTTCCACCTTAGACACACCGGTTGGTATATTGCGCAGGCAGATTACCAAGCTACACGATAGGAAGCGGCTCCTATGGGTATTTTAACATTAGAGCACCCTCAGCTTGAATAATGCGACCAGCTAGGCCGGTCTTGTTACCGACGTGGGCAGGAGTCACGGCACCGAAGATTGACACATACAGCGACCATATTCCGTGTTGCTAAGATGGGGCTATCCGAGAAACAGAACAACATTGTTGCAGGATACAAACCCCTTCGTGCGAGCGAAGTATGTGACAAATCAAAGACCACAGCTTCACTGCTTCCCAGATGAACGAGTCCTCCGGCGACCCTCCAGCGCCCTCATCCCATACCTCGATGACATCTTATATACCTCAGTGTCCACTGACGTGGTGGCACCCTGGTCGCCTGTCCTCTGCCCCATGTGGAGCTGCCAGGTCCACGGCGTCCCGGACTCCTCGAGCAACTCGACCTACCGAGTGAACTGCGGGTCACTCTAGCGGCCCAAGGCGGCCCAAGAGGATTCGCGGGCCGTAGTGGCACCGAAGCTCGCCACCCTTAGCAGGATCGTCCTACCTGTTTCGTCGTGGCGTGGCCGTTGCCCCGGTTGATCACGGCCCCGCCCAAGAGCCCAGCTAAGATCCAGCACCACCCTGTTAATGGTTGATGAAGGGCTAGACCCGGCGCTGGGAGATGGCTGTGTCATGCTAGGTCGGCCGGGTGGCGTAGCCCAATATGGTTATGATTAAGGCATTTCCGGCAGCCCCTTAATCACAGTCCGGCGAGTAGTGCCCGGGGTTCCTTACCAGCTGTTACTCCTAGAGATGGAATCAATAGAGATATTGGCCTTCTAGAAGGCAACGCTCTCGTCGCCAGAATAGCAACCAACTCGTTTCTGCAAGTATGCCAACCTGAATGTAAATGTAAAGTCTTAGAGTTCAAGGGTCGATGTTTAGAGGTGGGCCCTTCACAACATGAGGCCTCTCTGCATCACTTAGAACATCGTAGCAAAACCGTCTAGTTTTCCATATCAACTGTTGTATGCATCAAACTCTATCGTCCTTAAGGTTACCTCAAAAGGGCTCGGCATTCGGCTGTGCGGTCTTTCTTCGACATCTAACCGCCCCGCTCTGGCCATCTCAACTCCAGTGCAGTCATCCCGCGACTCTGCCAAATTTCCAGGCACTATTTTGTACAGCCCGGTGATTTCAAACTTGGAAACCTCTTCTCCCTTCGAGCATCGTTGTCAAGAAACTTGAGAATCGCAATGTGATTGGTCGGCTCATAAAAACCTTGCCAGGACCGTACGGTAATTGGCTGTCACTGATTTACCCGAGGTAGAACTGATGCTGAGTCATCTAACCTGTGCGCAGGTTAGCTGAGTCAGCTCCTGGTGCAGCTTTGGGGTGTAGTCTTGGGGACTACCCTACACGCACGATACGTTTGGTGACCTAGAACAACTTTTGAGAAAAGAAGGCAAGGACTTTCTTGGCTTAGAGTTGGACATCACGCGCTGTTTTTATTGGTGTCGCCTTGGGGGGGAATCTCGAAGCGAATAAGCCTGTCTGTATCGAAGTATTGATTATCTGAAGCTATTCACCCTCTTGCGGCTTTGAGGTGCTACCACAGGACAGAACGAGACACAACAAAGGTCTACGTCGGCGCAGACTACCCATCTTAATTGCTACAATGGAAGAAATCCATTTACCAGGCGAAAAAAGCCGATGTTCTCCAATTTCTCGATAGACTGAGTGTGCGAAAACTCGATTGGGTAGATCCTGGACGGTACTATTCGGCGCGTTTAAGGGGCTTGAGGCTATGATTCTGAGGTGCACTGGTCAGATGCACTCACTGATCAGGCACTGTAAAACATGCACACCCACTTTTTCCTTGGCGGTCCTGCTCGACCAAGAGCGAAAATACTTGGGCGCCTACCAAAGCTTTTCGCTTCATTCTCATAAAACGAGAGAAAATAACGAATGCCGAAATAAATTTCCATGAACATGTGATCACTTGCTCAGACGAAAATTTAGTGCCGCTGTATACCTCGGACGGAACAACTGCGCAGTGGAGGATTCTGGTCGGGCATGCGCTGGCTGCCTGGATTTCTGGGCTCTCCAAAGTTTCAACCACCACTACAACGGAGGTCTGCCGAGCTGTCATATGGCAGAATTCTTAGTTAGAACTAATCTGGGCGATAATGCATGCGATTCTCTGATTCTACTCAAGGAATTGGCGTTTCGTTCGAAGTATCACAGTTCTCTCCGTAGAAGAACCCCCTGAACACTCGCTCTTGCCTGACATCTGCGTGCAAAGTGAAGAAATTGAACTCGGCTCAACTAAGGCAAGCGATGAGCCACATGCTGCAGCCACTTTTAGTGTCCAGTGGCGCTGTCCTCGCAGTTGCAAATCAACACCTTGTTGACGATGTTGCTAGAAACAAGCAAGCAATAGCTGATTAGAACAGTAAGTTCGCCTGGGCACCATGCAACCCATTCAGAAGTCCCCATTAACGATCAACTTGGCAAATAGCTATACATTCTCTTCTATCCTCGATGCGCCGAGGTCTTCGATCCTCCTTTGAAGCGATTAGTATCGAACCGCGGCGAATCTACTCCAACACCGTCCTAATATCCTGCACCATTCTTCGAATCCAAGGAAGTTGGCTACTCTCTACAAACGACAGGTGGGTGTAGGCCGAAGTGGTTCTAGATACCGTGCTGGGACATGGAAAGGCAGTTAGTGTGTTGTTCTGAAGACTTGTGATTCTCACTAACGGCCAAGTGACATGATCACATCTTTACTGCATCTAGATCTCTCCCTATACGAGCCCGATACCCTCTCGTTCTTCGACAACTCCTCGCGGCCGGCCGCCGTCTCGATTCCACACACACACGAATAGCAAAGCCTCTGTCGGCCGGGTTTCAGTTGGAGTCGTTGGAGGTTGGATCTGGCAGAACAACAGGTGGCTCTCTTTCTGGCTGATGAGGATGCGCCTCCGTGCTCGATGCCTTTGACGCCGGCAGTCCGTCATTCTTCCGCTACGATTCGTGCTATGTGTGGGACGGTTTGCTTTGAAAATGCTGGGAGGTGGGTTATCTGGGTATATCAAATCATGCACACCAAGCACTATAGTTCAATCGAATCAATTCTACATGCAATAACTTGGTTCGCTATACACCAACTCAATACTGAGACCAGATCATGATGGGATACTCGGTCAGTCAGTCAGAGCCTACGCCATGATGGACTATCTGTGTATGGCACGTAGTATACTGTGTGGTAGGGGTAGAAACGAGAGCAGGTGCAGGACTCTATCGAACCCGTGTAGCTACCTGGCGTGGGAGGGCGCCCTCCCCCCTCATGGGCGTCGTCTTCAGCCAGCTTCTCGACAGCATGAACGGTGCAACGTGCGCGGCCCAAGGCATCCTTGCCTAGGTACGTCTTTCGGCTCGTGTAGCTGTAGGACTTTGATGATCCCGTGTAGCCATAGGCCTTTTTCAGAATGTGCTGCATATAGGAAGGCGGCAACGGGCTGGAGGAAGGAACACAACGTCCAGTGAGTCATCGCTGGCGCCAGAGGAGGTGGTACAGAAGCTAGGCAGACACGTAGCAGGCTCGTGTTCACAGAAATATCTGCACGGGAAATGAAAGACTGAGACAAAAAGACACGACACGGAGACACAGATGCGGGCTGCCGCCGCTGGCCCACCGGGCTGAAGCACTTCGATCCGCCTCCTGGCGCACAATCGCCCCGTTCAATGCCCGCGGCTTGCAAACGGGGAACACAAGCCCACTCAACGACGCCCCCTTGGCTGCCTCGTCATCGAGCAAGACACCTTCGTGCTGCCGCTGATCCTTTCCTCCCAAGCATAGGAACGCACTCATCCGCGCCGGCGCCGTGCCTTGATCCCCGCAGGTCTCCACCCTCCCGGGATGCCGGTGGGTGAGCTGGCCCGTCACAGACGTCCACTGGCCATTGCCTGTGACGACGGCTCGTGCCTGGTTCGGGAGCTTGCTGAGAATTGCAATTTGCGAACCAATATGGGCATGCGTATCTGCTGGTCAGGACCTGTGACGACGGCTCCTGTCCGTCTCGGGAGCCTGCTAGGAGTTGCAATTTGCGAACCAATATGGGTATGCGCATCCGCGGCTCGCACGGCTGAACGCACGCAACGTTCGCCAACCTCTGCTACGACGACCACGACCCGTCTGGAGCCTAGATCAAGGCCTGAACAGATGCAATCGCCGATGGCCACACTCGCTCGTCACACGGGAGATGCAACGAAAGGCTCGGCGGGCGCAGTCCACAGCCAATAATGCCGTGCCGACAGCCGTGGCAACTGCACGCTCCCGCTTTGCCTTGCCTCAAGATGCAGAGATATTCCTATCGAGACGAATTGCACTGAGACATCAGCCAGCTTCATGCTGTGCCTCAGTCACAGCAATGCAGTCTTTCCACCGCCGGACTGTAATCTCCGCGGACCCAGAAGCAGCGTACCAGCGTATTGTTTCCATTGCCGCTCTTTGTACTTCTACTTCTGCTAATTCTGCTACTCCTGCGGCTGGTTATGTTGCGGACCAGTTCTGGAGATCTAGTCAAATGGATACGCCTGAATGGTGGTGACTGTCAAGGAAATTCCATATGCAAGACTAGCGAGATGCACCAGCCATTCCGGAGAGCCAGTTGAGCTACTCAGTAACAAAGTACACGAGGTAGAGCGGAGATACGTAACGTCTTGCCTCTCACTGAAGCCCAAAGCGCGATCGGGAGGGTCACCTTGCATCCGTCTTGGCGTTTCCGAATATATTGACTCAATGTACTGACCCATGTTGGTGGCCCGTCGTGATACCCGATGCTCGCGCCAACGCATCGCAGCCATCGCGATCCTGCATCTTGCGTCGTTTCGAACGCCGCCACCAAATTTTCGTGTAAGTAATGGTCGGCGTTAAGGGGAGGTTAGAGGAATTTGGTGTTGAAGCCTGAGGAAGAAAGAGGAAGAAAGAGGAGGAAAGGAGGAGGAAATTCGGGTATAAGAATGGCCCTCTTTCCCTTCTTCGAGCTCTTCTTTTTTTCCCTCATCATCATCACCTTCTCAGAGCAGTACAAGACTGGCTCTTCCTTCATCGAATCTCTTCTTTTTCTCATCACCATTATCACTCCTCCAGAGCAGTATAAGACTTGCCCTCCCCCCCCTTCATCAAGCTCTTCATCTTGATTCCATAATCCTCACCACCCTCTCCTGAGTAGTGTAAGTCTGACCCCCTTCCATCAACCTTCTTCTTCTCTGTCATCCCACCCAAACCTCTTACATCTTTCATCTACCCTCTTGATCTGCCATCGGCATCAAAAGATCACAAGACTACCACTCTTTCCCACTATCCTCCTAGTGCAAGTCACTCCAGTTGTCTGACCTTATGCCACTTAGTATCTCCATGGCCTGGCATATCGGACCTTTCCTGTGCAGCATGCCTCGCAAGCTGCCCACCACCTTTCCCCATCCCCCCGCCGCCTCACACAACCCTGCAGCTGTCTGCACTCATTGTCTACAAGACAGTGAGGGAACACACCATGCTGGTGCCATGCAAGACGCAACTTCGGTGGCTTCCCAGGTCGTCGAGACTGCAGACGAGCATGCCTCAGACACTCTCTCCTCAGAGCCAGTCATTTTTGACATGGAAGATGTGGAGAGTGTCGGCTCCGACACTGAGAGCTCCGGCTCACACATGTTTGCTACCGCGCTGAGTCCTTCAGCCTTAGCTGACGCCCTGGGCTGGTGGGACCTTGCACCGCCAGCCTCCGGTGGCACTGCCGATGTGAGCTTCCCGCTTGGCAGTTCCGGCTCTCCCCCGGCGCCGCGCCGACAAGACTCGGTGTCGCCCAAGCCATGGTCTGGCTCTGCCCCTTCCTCCTCGGACCTAAGCGACGCTGGCTTCACGCTTGTTCCCCGCCCGGCTCCTGCTGCGCTCTCGAACCAGGAGTGCAGTGATGACGTTGGCTTCGTCGACTCCACACAGGGCGTACATGCCGTCTGTGGCATGTTGGACGCACTGCACATCTCGGCTTCTCTTGCCAAGTCCAAGACCGTAGTCAACAGGCTCGAGTCCATTGACCGTACAACGAGCAAGGCAGCCTCTCCACCTCCAGAGTCGCACCTCCCAGACTCACCCACCCTGCCACAGATGTTCTGTGACCTTCCACAAGGTGACGGACATCTCGCTGTCCCGAGTCTTGGCACTCCGCTTGGGGAGTCTGACGCCGACGCCGACGGTTGCGCCGAGGGTTCCGGTGTCTTGGCTAGACGCAGGCGCCGCCGCCGCGCACCTCGTGCTCCGAAGGCTTCGATGCGAGCCCCCACCGTCCCGGGTTCCTCGTTGGAGCCCGCCTGTTTGACTCGTGACGAGGGAGCTCCGCGCGTCCTTTCCCGCCGTCGTCCTGCCCCCGAGGACGACAGTGACGAGGCTCTGAACGCCCCTCCCAGGCCTAAGAGGCGCCGCAGGGGACAGGCTGCACACGCTTGGAGAACCATCCCCCCCCTGCCATACACTTCCCTTCGGCCTCCTCCTGAGAGTCGGCTGTAAGCCTGTCGGCTGAAGTCGTCTTCTCCCGTCAGCGGAGGACAGCCATGGCACCCGAGCGACTCGAGCAGCAACACGTTTCGACAGACTGGAGACTCGTCTCCTACCTTGCTCCTCCTCCCTCGATGTGCCTCCTCTTGAGCGCACGCAGAAACTCTGTCGGCTGGCACGGTCCTCTTCCGTCAGCAGACGACAGCCACCTCGTTCCTGACCTTAGGCTGGATCCTATGGGATGACGGAACACTGTGGTCCTCGGCTTGGTGACACTCCTCAACTCCTCTGGTTTATCAGGCTCCGCAACCGGCTTCTCTCCTGAGGCAGTCCGCTTGGCCTCGAAGCGTTGCTGTGGTTGTCTTCCTCCTCCTCCTCCTCCTCCTCCTCTTCCTCTTCTTTTTTTTTTTCTTTTTACGCCTTTGGTCAACGACAGCCAGCAGGCTTCTGGCTCTCCTCATTCTGGAGTGAGGGATGCGAATTGAGTTGGTGTGGTTTTATTTCTTCGACTCCCCCCAAATACTCAAAACCAATACGGTGCGCTCGGTTACGATCCAGAAATCTAGCCATCTTGTTTCTTTTATACGCCGTTGGTCAACGACAGCCAGCAGGTTTCTGGCTGTCCTCATTCTGGAGTGAGGGATGCGAATTGTAGGCGATTGTGTGTCGATGGCTTGAGGGACGCATCACGCCTTTTGTCCGGCCTCGCAATTCTGCTTGACTTCTCTTGGGCATACCGCGAAGTCTTGAAGATTTATGTTGGTTTGTGAAACTGGGGGGGAACGGACTCTTCACGGTGCCATCTTGCATCATTGCTGCTGCCGGGGCTACCATCCAGCATGTGCGATGCAAGGACCACGATGGCACAACCAGGTTGGATATGTACAGGTACGTCGACCCTGCATGACTCTTCGCTTCTGTCAATCCGATATGCTTTGACGAGTTCATTTGACTGATCAATTTTTAACAGAGGCAACCTGGATCATGGGACGGCGGTCCCGATCGTCCAGACCGATTCGGGACACAGGGGGGCCCAAACAGGTTGGATATATACAGGTACGTCGACAGTAAATGACTCCTCACTTTGGTCAATCTGGCATACGTTGAAGAATCAATTTGGCTAATCAATCTTTCACAGCGGCAACCTGGATCATGGGAGGGCGGCCCCGACCATCCACAGATCATGGACGACTCGGGGCCCGAAAAGCTTGGAGACACGCCACGGCTCCTCTTCCCAATCCAAGCTTTTCTTTTTTTTGGGGCAGAGAAGTGGTTTTGATTTGGTTCCTGATTTTACTACACCAAACCCTCAGAGTAATTGGTCCGTTGCCAACTTGCCCGCAATTCCGCTACGGAACCTGGAGAGCGCAATAAGGAGCGAAGGGAGACAACTCAACAATCTCCGGGAAGCCTAGAAGCATGAGTATATTGCAAGGCTTCCCGTCCACCCTCTTCCGTCCGAGCCCCTTGTCGGCTGCAGGCTTGGTCGATAGAAGCCCAGCTGAATCATTCTGCCCACAGCGTCGACCTGTACCATTGGACCCCAACCCGCCAAGCAGCCCGAGGTGCTCAAGGTACATCGTTCCCTGCCAATCCCCCGAGCGTCTGGAAACAACTACGCCTTTTGTCCGGCCTCCTGTCTGATTTCTCCTGGGCTCACTACTCGCCGACCACGAAGCGCTGATTTGGGAACGTCAGCTCTTCGAAGAGCCTTCTCATGCCATGGGGCCACCGAGAACACGTTTCTGATTTCCGTGTTCCAGCATCCTCTTTTATGTTTGGAAATTTGGAGATATACTGCGCCTGAGATATGCTTCCTGTATTACTCCTCCCGACCGTCTGACCTTCAATCCTTTGAGGAGTCGATTTCGGCTTGATGGTGAAGATCTGCTCATCATTGCGCCTTCCCACGCCACGGTTCCGCTCTTGCAGGCTTCTGGTCGAGGCTTGCCCATCCACTTCCATCCTAGGTGCGCGGCCGGGGCGTGGAATGCATCCACAATGGTCAACTGTCATGATTGCGAAACTGGCTGTTTGGTGGATGATGGGGTCGGTTCTGCCAGAGCAGCGTAGCTCCGGCAATGATCAGATGGGGACATCGTTTCGCCCCGTGGACTTTCTTCCTATCATCTCTCTCGGGAGTTGCCTTGAAGGCCGCGACAAGTTGGTTCAAGATGTCGGTATCTTTTCAGCGTCGTCCCTCGTCAGGAATTCGCTGCCATTGGGCGCCTGGCTCTGCTGCAGAACCAAAAGGGCTTGAGGCTTGCGGCAACATGTCCGCCCAAGGAGGAGGAGCCGTCGGACGCTTCCAAATCAACAATGACGCTCCGTGCGTGCCGACATTCCAAACGTGTTCCACAATGGAGATAGCCCATGGCTCAGCAAAATCCCCCAGCGATCGAATTCGGGCTTCTCGGGTGTCATCGGCCGCCAAGACACGCACAGGTATGGTACCATTTTCCCTAGCACAAGTTATTTGGCTTTGAGTGCTGACCGCTTACAGGCGTCTGTTCGCTTGGCTATCGGTACAAGCAACTCGCTCGTGTCGACCGCCCACCCGAGTGTTGCTCTCCCGGTTCTGATACCGGATATATTCGATCGGCCGCCCGTGCTTCCACCTATCAACCATCCCACTTTAATCCTTACACCACTCATCCGAGCCTGCCTCAGCCCGAGATCCCTCATTGTGGAGGGGTTTTGTCGGCCTTTGGTCAACATCAGGCGGATGCTGAATCTCCATCCCTACTCCAAGCTCATCAAACAAATCCTCTGGGCGCTGGCTCTGTTGGCCAAGCCGCCCAATCATTCAGACCATCACTCAGCAGCTTGGATGCCGTTCCCCACAGGCCTGAGTGGGACACCGCTATTCTGGAGAGTTCTGGAGACTATCATGGGGGGCATGGGCGTCTGGCGTTTAATCCTGCTTGGAGTGAGATTTTTGGCTGAACGTCCCGTTGAGATGGAGCGCATTCAATCTTTTGGGACGACCAGGATGCGCTGAAGAACCTGAATCGGCGGCGGGATCAACCACGCTAACAGGGCAGCGAGGGGACGGCGAAGGGGGAAAATGGAGGTCCTTGTTCTTTCCTCCCAACTGGGTGGCACTTATCATTGTGAGCATTGTGGAGAGCTCACGATATCTCGGCCTCTCCCACGTCCATCTCCCCGCTATGGAAGAGGAAACAGGGATGAAGGTTGGACAAGCAGTCTGCCTATCAACTTCCGAATCGATACATGCCTACGTTTTCAGCATGTGGGCTTCGGGGCGCACACCTCTTACACGTCCCCTCACCTCCATCTGTTCTGCGAAGACGACATCGGCAAATATGTGGGAGGTCGGGTCTTGATAGGCCATTTGGCAACGGAGAGCCATGCCTGAACTGGCCGACGAGCTGACCCAAGAACAAAGTGCTCAACGGGGGAATGGAAGATGGGATGCCCAACGAAGGGTCGACGAGAGTGTTCGCACCGAACACAACAACCTAATGTGGCGGATCGTGAAGCGTCCGCAAAACGACCGGCAGGGTGGCAGCAGCTCCAGTATATATAATGGGGAGAGCGAGCGCCGCCAAAACGCCTGATGAGGAGGTGGTGGGCTTCCCATGTCGCATCACGATCAGGGAGGAATGGGAAGCAGCATGTCCATCAGGGAGCCTGCGAGCTCTCAAGGACAGGGCCATCTATTTAGGCTGGCTGAATTCACTGTCGAGGGAGAGTAACCGCCCACCGCAGAGTCGGACGACTTTGAATTCTCATAGCCATCACATTCGATGGAGGGATGCAGCGCAAGATGCGCGGTACTGCATTGGTGAGCGTTTTCAATGTTGGTTCACTATGGAGCAGGCTTGGACTTTTCCCCACGGACCTATCTATCCTCAATGGAGAGAGAGGTGTGTCAAGAGCCTCCCAATTCCGAAATTCTTTCGGCGAGCCTTCTACCACCCGTTCTACCACCATTGGAGCAGGACGCCCGACAAGAGCCGGCCAGCTGTCCCATCCGCAGCGCGGCCAAGGCAGAGGGTGGCAAAGGCCAGCACAGCAACAACAGCAGCAGGCTTGGGGACTGCATCACTCTCACTGGGAGCTGAGACTCGGGGAGTGAATCACTCTCACTGGGGTCTGAGGCTTGGGAGTGTATCACTCTCATTGGGATCTGAGGCTTGGGAGTGTATCACTCTCATTGGGATCTGAGACTTGGGGACTGTGTCACTCTCACTGGGATCTGTCCGGAGAAGGATGATACATGAGGCGGATATGAAAGAGCGGGCCGGCTCTCCCATTCGCAAGACGGCCGATGGGCAAACATTCCAAGAGCCATTAGCGGAGGACTCGGTGAGCATGGCCCGCACAGAAGAAAAATCCTCTTCTGTTGGAGAATTATAGGCGCCCACAGGATATTCAGGACTTATCGCCAACACAAGTCATGGAAAGACAGGCCACGATGTGCGTTATGAATGGTTGCCAATCGCAGAACGACTAAGGGAGAGAGATGTGACGCCAGCAACACATTCCGACCAATGCTGGGCCGGGTTGGCCGCACAAAAGAACCCCCTTTGAATGAGATGGAATATAAGCTGCCTGCTCCAGTGCCGCCAAATCTTGGACCAGGCAGGCCACAGAAACGGTGTGGTGGGAGAAAGAGATGATGCCTATCTCTCCCTGGGGGTAGTCTCGCCGCATCTCAAGACACGGTGTCGGGACTGAGGTGGAAGATGAGGGCATGCGAGGTGTTTGGTAGATGTGCACTACTACCCAGATAGGGGGAATAGGTCGATCCTGCCCACCTCGAGTCATGGGGTTGGGTTTCCTGCTCCGAAGCGAAGATGGGAGAATACTGCAGCGTGTGTGCGAGCCTTCTAGGTCGGCTCCCTGGTGGACCGTCGAACTACCATTGTTGGTTATCATTCTGCACGCGAACTTCTCTCAATCGGAAGAGGATTGAGATCGAAATAGGATTGAGATGCTATGCGTCCTCTGTGATGAACTCTTCGACACGCACCAGTTCATCAAGGGCGCCATCGAGCTTTGCAACGAAGGGGGGGGCGAAGGCATGTCGGCCCTTCAGATCTCCCCTACTTGGACCCGAGAGCGGTCTTCCGGAAGAGAGCTTGTTCAATTTGGGATTGAGTCGGACAGAGAAACGTGGTTGTCGCGCTCGCCTTGCCAATTGCCCAAGCCCAGGACGTCCCCTCGATCTTGCCGTTAATGGGTGATTGGGCTTCAGGCATGGACCTTGATGGTGTGTCGCGTTGAAAAAATAAAGGATGGCGAAGCAGATGAATCAGATTCCTCTGCGTCAATGTCTTGGGGATATTGCACTTCGACGAGGACAACAACATTGTCCGGGGATCCCAGTACAACAACACTGTCGAGGGATTCGTGCTCGTTTACGTGGGTGTGGTTGGGTCGTTCGCATTAAGGCCTCTCCCGACAAGAGGTTGTGGATGAGGAAGAAGGACATTCCAGGGCGGTTCGCACGCAGGCGGGCGTGGGTGGTGGGTTGGGAAGTCTTGTCGCTGGTGGAGGATTGGGTTTCAATTGTGTTTTCTTTTCAACTGCCTCGTGAGTGAGCGAGTTGCAGATTCTGGGGAGGTGGATGGCAGGCACAGACCAACCGTGACCTGCAAGATGTGCGCTGCCTTCCCAGCTCAAACCTGATGCATCTTGCTGCTGCTTGCTTCCACCCGATGCAACTTGCCCCAACGCTGTTGGCTCTGTGAGGGTGTTCAGGTGCCTCTGGCGAACTTGGGGGTGTTACAGGGTGTTCAGGAGTGTTGCAGCGTGTTACAGGGTGTTGAAGGGGGTGCTACAAGGTGTCGCAGGTCTCGAAGCACCAAAAAGCGAGCAACTTTCCAAATCCGGCAAGGACGAGCGCCACGGTGGCGTTTTCCCAGCCAATGAGAACCCGTTATTCTTGGAAAAAGCAGCACACGCTCGAGATTCCACCTCGCCGTCACTTGGTCCGTGAGGAAGACATAAGCCGTATGTCAATCAACATGTCTCGTCTTGACTCTCTCCTGAGTGGGTGAGATCGAATTCTCGGGCCTATGGTGCAGTCCAGGCTCTCTCTCGAATACGCTGCTGCCGGATCCCGATTTACTCTAATTGGGGTCGCGGTCGGCATCTTCAAGTAATGTGTCTGTCAGGCTTCGTCACAACAAGATGGATTCATAAGTAATTAGAGCTTCCATCCCTGGCAAAAAAAAAAAAAAAAAAAAAAAAAAAAAGGAAAAAGGAAAAGAAAAAAGAACAGCACCAAGAAGAAAGAATCTCGACTGCTTGCTCCCGATTGAAGACTTTGGAACGATTCTGGGGTGGGGGAAGGGACTGCAACACCAGGAATGTTGCTCTGTCACGCAGACTAGTTCACCACGACCTGCTACATCCGTCACGACGGTGGGCGGGTGGCCAGCACGTGTTGATGGAAGTCGCATCGATTGCGCCTGAGTGAGGGACTGGTGTATCACAGCCCAACATTCGCCCTCATGTCTGTGGGCTGCGCTCCATTTAATTGACTTCAATCTGCGCTCCATTTGATTGACTTATCTTTGTGGAGTGTGCTGCCCTTTCCTTGACTTTATCTGTGGCCTCGGAACTATCTACTTACCAGTGAGCCCATTGGGAGGCGCTCCAGCCAAGCCAAACCCAGAGGACAGCACGATCCGAGACACTATCTCCCTCTCCTCTCCTACTCTGTTGGCTCTCCTCTAAATGTACTTTGATGAGCCGTTCATGGTCTATTACGCGGTGGACAAGTAATGGACGCTTAACAATTTTGTTTCTCTTTTATGTCGTCGGCCGGGGAGCAAATGGCTCCTCAAAGCATGATGGTGTAGCGGGCCTTCCCTGCTTGTTGCGCTCAGCCCTCTTCTACGTTGGGCGAATTCTATTCTATTCCGAGCCGGTCGATCTCGATCTACCCTCGGGTGGTTGGGCGAGCACTCGATTTCGCCCTCATGATGTTTCCTTGGCCGACATGGCAGCGAGGCACCATACAGAGTCAAAGTTCACATTCACTGAGAGGGTGGACATGGATACCCCGATACGTCTTTACAACGAACTTTGGAGTTACAGACCGAGAACTGTCCTTCATAATGTTTCTCTTCGACTGTGTTGTGAACGAAGTGGTCCCTCATAATGTTTCTCTTCGACTCGGTTGTGAGCAAAGTGGTCCCTCATAATGTTTCTCTTCGACTCGGTTGTGGAGCGGGAGTGGCTTCTCATCGGCTAATACAACCAAATACCTTGGCCGTGGGAGAAGCTGGAAAGGTTGGAGAGGGAGTTGGCACTTTCAAGACTCAGGTCGCCGACTCCTTCACCGCCGAACGGTGCAGACTCTATTATCCTGCTGCGGGCTGATCGCCATCATCTCGCAGGTCACGTTTCTTCTTCGATTCTCAGCGATGGACGAGAGATTGAAGCTCCATGGCCCCTTTTGCTGTCAATGGGGCATGGTTGGCACGTCGGCTTCTCTACGTCGTGGACTGGGCCGGCGGGAAATTCTTGCCGAACTCTGCTCCGCGCGCCGAGAAGCCACAATAGTGGGCTGGGAGCTTGGGTTGGGAGGTTCAGGATATGCAATTTTGACGGATGGGCCCCTGGGTCCGCTTGCTTGGAGACGACGAAATTATGTGTTTTTGGGCCCCTAGCTCCCTAATGCTATAATGTTTCAACCGCTATCGTTTGGCCCCCATTGTCAAACTGCCCCTACTCTCTGCCCCGGCCCCAAGCATTTGACTGTGTTGGGGTGAGGTTTCTCCGAGTGTCCACCTTCGTCACACTCCCTATCTACGATGCTGCAACTACTACGGGAGGACCCTTGCTGGCCTTGTACTGTGGTTGTTTTGCCTCAAAATGTTGGATTCTGGGCCCAAGACACCTTCCGCAACAGTATCTTGGAGGTGGTCTTTGGATAGATGGGAGACTTTATGCTTCATGTGCTATTGGATTCCTGGCGTGCAAAGTCTTACAATGCTCAGGTGCAGGACGTGACGCGGCTGGGGTTCCTCTGCGGCTTCGAGTCCTACAACCATGTCACCGACTCCATATCAAGCAACTGCTGGCCGTCGCTTCTATTCACGATTCACGTGCCTCGGGGGTTCCTGGTGTCTCGACATTGATAACACCCGACTATTTCGAGACCAAACTAACTCTGGAGTATGATTTACTGGATTTAAACTTGTGTCTCAATGACGGAAAAGCTGCATCATTGCTGGCTTTTCTTTTGCTGCTGAACGGATCGGATTCTTCACCCCTACAAGCTGGTCCATCTCGCTCCAGCGCCACATCCCTCTTCAAACTTACCACCTCCAGGTTCAGCGACTCCACTGTCGCCCTAGCCTTCCGGGGGTCTCTACGCTCTACAAATGCTTTAAGCGCCTTCCGCCGTCATTGATGATGTTACAGGCTGCTGGCGCTCTCTCCTTGCAATTGGGTCAGTCATATATCTCTCTGCTTGGTCTTCTGGAGGTCACTACGCTCTATAAATGCTCTAGGGAGCCTGCTGCCGTCGCTGATGATGTAGCGGGCTGCTGTTCGCTCTCGCCCTGCAAGTGGCTTACTCATGTATCTCTCTGCTCTGGCCTTCTGGGAGCTGTTTCCAGTTAATTGGAGGAGAAGGGCTCGGGATCGTTATCAACAAACACCGCGATGTGTAAATGGGCAATATCGATTTCCCCCGCAACTCCGTTAAACTGATCATCCCTTTTGATGATTCATTATCATGTTTCGACCAAGGTTGGGCCCCTAGAAAGCATTTCTAGGCGTTGTCGGCCTTCTCGGGCTAGCAAGTTCCATCGTCAACACGGTTCAACTTGTTAGCAACCTCGACAACTTCAATGACAACTACCTCATTGAAGCTTCAAGGCTCAGTTTCACAGCAGCCCAGTTCACCCGCTGGAAGCATGCTCGCATCACACATTCCTTGAAAGGGAGGAGCTACTACGACAGGTTCCAAATGTTGAGAACACGGAAAGTCCTACGGAACGTCTATAAAGGGGAACATATGGACTCACTCACACATTTCTAACTTGCTGAAAAGGGCGATTTGATCTTGTGGTGAACTGGCGGCGGCGCCTGGACGAGGGGCACCGCTAACAGATTTCCTCATATGCCTCACAGTGACGCTGGTGATGACGCTGGGGTGATTTTGGAAAAGGAAAACGACAAGAACAAGTCACCCAATCTGAGCCTGAACATCCAGGAGCACTTGCACCCCAAGTTTGGAGATTTATATCTGTTCTTGGCCCTTGCTGGTTTTCTTTGACTTGGATTTCCCTTGATTCTTCTCGGTGTATGCTTGGGAGTCAGGAAGAGTACAGCGCCATCCTCGGGCGTGGTTTGGGTCGGTTGGGCATCTTGCAAATGATCTGCTTTGGGGAGCCGAGCTCCAGGATATGAGGATTCCCAGCTGCGGCTTGCCAGATTTGGATAGGCATTACCGCATCATCTTTCGTGGAGTGGAGGGTTGGCTTGGACTCGGAGAATCTCATCATAGGTAATCTCCTATCGGTTGGATGTCTGCAAGCGATGTGCTGTAGTGACTGGGTCCCTCAATTATCGGGCTGTGTTATGGCCCTTGATGATTTCGGATAACTGTTGCTGGACTTGAATAATTGGCTTGGAGTCGGAGATGGCGGCGCCGGTATCAGATGAACATTGGTTGGATGTTTGCAATTAAATGCTCGGGGATCCTGGTGTCCAGGAGAAGGTGGACCGCGAGATTGGGGTTCTTCGTTCTGGAAAGTCTTATATGATCAACATCTTGGTCGGAGATGTCTTGCACCTCGAACCTAGAAGGCTACGATGTTATGACTACTTAGTGATACCCATAAATAAAACTTACATAAAACTGATCCTCTGTCTCGAGTTCCATCTTCAATTGAGAAGTTGCGCTGTGTTGTATTGCGGTGGAAGGGAGTGTTCACAACTGATGAGCTGTTGGTGAGGGCTGAACATAGCGGCTCCCGACACTGCAGATGCCTGATAATGACCCCTTAACTTTCTCTCTCCCATTGGCATTGCGCAACGCTAATAGCCCCAGCCCACTGGTAGCTATCATCATAGTATAAAATCTTTATTTCGATCGATCGATTCGGGACGGCGTCGGTTTGTCGGCTATCGAAGGCAGTGTTCGTTGTTCGGTTGGCAGGATATGCTGTCTCTAACTCTATTGCGTTCGTAGCCTGCGGTCTATCTTCGTTATATTATTTGTCGAGGGTGGCGTTTCTCGCTAAGTTGTTGGGGTAGTAACTTGGTGTGGTTCGTTGTGCAGGATCTCGTTGGTTGGACGTACAACTCTAACTTCAAGCTTAATTTGTGGTCAGCCAAACATGTGTAAGTTGTGGGGAAGGGAATCACCTAAGACTGGCAAGACTTTCAGGTAGACATCTAGTTGAAGTAAATCGTAGCTTCTAGATAAAGCTATCCCGTCGCATTCACTAGACTGAGGCTGTGAATTTCCCATATGTATCTATATGCATGCGGCTTCGAGATAGTATGTCGTTGGGGGCGGTAGGCGAAAGACTGCCTCTGGAAAGTTCACCATGGTCGGTTAGCATCGGAGAAGGTGCAGCGATCCACGAGGAAGAAGTACTTACAACAGGCCAGCAGCCTCATTTAGATCAAGAATAGTCGCAACTTAGGTCCTTGCACTGGACCACCAATTGCACCTCAAGTTGCAATCTCTAACGTCCGGTGACACTTTTTGCCTGGTGCCCAAGCACTTGCTGCCCCAGCGTCTCATAAATGAAGCTGGTGCTTGAGACTGGCCAAGTCACATATGCGGTGAGGAGAGGAATTAGGCTCAGTAATGCCCCAACTACCCCCCTTGTATGTCCAATTGTTCTTCCCACCGTCAGAGATCTTGTTTTGGCAATGCGTGTGAAGGAATATTTCATCGGTCGGCTCGTTCCCGGTAGGATCTCGTCAGGTACCTTGCTCGCTGTGTCACGGCGGCGGACGTAGGTATTGTTGCGGAGGTGTTTGGTTCGTATGCAGACATTCGCGGACATCGATATGTTGGTTCATCCCCTCTAAGTCGATGCAGGAGACGGTTCGCGGCGAGATTCGGGGTTTCTAGAGGTCATGGTTGTTTGGGGCATCGGCGCAGAACAAGACGAGTGCTAACATGATGTCAATTGAAGTAAATGCTTGTAAGATGGTAGGCCAAAGCCTCTGCCGGTTGGGAGTACTCACCTTGCTGCTTCAATTTTGAGCAACAGGCGCAGGGCTGGCGGGGTAAGGGGTCAGTCGGGCGATTCTTCAATGCAACTTGACTTGTCGGAGCGGGAAAGTAAATGCGACCGGACACAACTGGTTGAACGAGGATGCAGGCGTGAGTTCCATGTTGCCTAGCAGCACCGGTCAGGGGAAGCAGATTGGCAAGCGAACGATGCGAACAGAGCATCAGGCAGTAGCATGGTGTACGATGCAATGGTGCAAGACATGCGGTGTATGACTGTGAGGTGCTGGACGGTGTAAGGCTGCAGCCCTACCTACCTGTCTGTGGCTTGGGAACCCGCAGAACTCTCGAGAAAGGCGGCTGACCATCGCAATCAAACGTCGATGATTAGAACCAATGCCGCTCAATTGCATGCCTAGACGAAGCAGCATTGATGGGCACAACCTGTGAACTAGAGGCAGGCCATTTCCGACGAGGCATGCTGATGAGTCTCGGGAAGGAGCCGCCGCAGAGCTAGGCAAGTACCCAGGCAGGTATCTCTTTCAGGCTGTTACGATCTGCTAGAAACAAGCAGCGTTGCATCCCAACCCAATGCTAACTACCTACCTACCTAGGTAGGTATTGTCGCAGAGCATGCAAAGGCTCTGCTCTCTAACGGCAATCAATCCACAAGAAGCACAGCGCGCTTCACCAAGATCTCAATCAAGCTCCGACCCATTGACTACTTCCCGATAACACCGCGGCATCAATCTTAGCTTTCTGGTAAGCTACGAATATCTCTACAATTGCATTTCCCCTGTTAACCCTCCGTTGTGCTACATAAAAGCTCAGGCTCGCCGAGAAACAAAAGAACGACATGCCATCACGCTCCCTCCTAGCTGCCCACACTCGAGGGTCCCGTTCACGAACGACTGCGATCGATTTCGGCCGATACTATAAAGAGAAAGATACAAATTCAATCCGTCGGGTTGTTTTATAATATAATTACACGGGGAGGGGAGGCAGAAAGGAAAGTTGAGCATGTCGTCGACCTTCCGTTGGCTCGAGCCTGCTGATGCCCTAGCTACGGCTCGCACTCTTCCCGTTGGCATTCTACAAAAGTCACCTGTATTCACTCCATTCTTTGTGAGTTTGCCTGAGCCTTCGGTGGAATGGGTGCATCAGTCGGCAGGATGCTAGAATCCAGAGCCCGGGCTGCATGGGCTCGTGAATACTACACTTCTAGGATTCGCAAAGCAAGCGACGAGAGGAACCACCGGACTGGGGCGAGACTTGATAGAACGCCATCTCGGGCATTGCAAACTGTGCAAACAGACAATGCCATACAAACTTGCTTCGGAATGTTTCTGTGCTGGGCATGCGTCAGGCTCTGGGCCAGAATCAAAGGGAGTTTTGGGGTGCCTTGTAGGAATTAAAGGGCAATGTTACATTCGATTTAGGCGGCTATTACGTTAAGCTAGCTAAGGGAAGTATCTTGGAAGCCTATTCGTAATCATACTCGTAATAATAGTGGTCGCCATCATCATCCTCATCATCCCAAAAAATCTCAACCCCCCGATTACCATGCTCGTACTCATCATCACAACCGCGAGACATAGGCACATCTGACTGGCGGGCCACCTCATCATCCGAAGTATCGGCCTCATCAACATCACTTGGCTCCTCCTCCTCAAGTACACTTCCTCGCCTGTCATTATCCGGGTCATAATGGCTTCCCAAACCACCCTGCAGCTCAGCTTTGTCATACAGAGAGTCGGGCAGTGGGACACCCTTGGGCGCCTTCAGGATGCCGAACTGGCAGCACTCCCCATCCGGCCCGTTCATCCCGTAGAAGCCGATGATCTCCTCGTTCGCATTTGGCTCTGAAATCCTAGTCAGCAAGTCGGGTCTCCGATGCGCAAGAAGAGAAAGGGGAAACAAATCGGCTCAGAAACTTACTCATCTCTAGTGTGACCTTTGAAGCGCCCTCGTTCAAGGCACCTATGGCCTCTCCATTCGAAACGTGTATCTGCATACCAACAAAGCAGGTTGGTTCACTATATGCCACCTCGACACTGCAGATTCTCCCCCTCTTCGGAAGGGCAATCATACGAGCTGGGGCGTCTCGGCCAGCGGGCCTTCCGCAGTCGACCTTGATCCCATCCTCGTAGTAAATGCTCACGCCCCGGAAGCGAGAGTCAACTCGCATGTCAATCTTGTGCGCTCGCACTATCTGGCCCTGGTCATCTCGCTTCTTCAACATGGCCGCCCACGACCTGTCGGTCTCTGTTATTGGATAGCCGGCGTTGACCCTTCTGAGGTACATCTCCGTTCCGGGAATCCTCACCGGCGCCTGGGAGGACACAACCTTCCACACCGGGAGATCCACGTGTTTTCCATTCATTGACAGCACCTTCAATCGCAGCGCCTCTTGCTGCTCATCATCATCCTTCTGCGTCAAAAAGCTAATGACAAGCTGTCGGAGCGGTCTCGACGTTGGCATACGGTGTATGGCCTTACCGTTCATATACGCCGCCGCAATGCCAGCCCTGCACTCGACGGCCAATTGGTCAAAGCCAGCTTTTCCTCGAACATAGACCGTCGGCGCGTGGCAGTCTCGCTCTTTGTCCGACGGGTGTGCGAAGTGACGCTCGCCTAGGAGGCGGAGCTTGTCTTCCAACGACCATTTCCACTTGACATTGTTATCAGTGGTCAGTCGGCCCTCGCCCTTTGTGGGTGTATAAGGAAGGAAGTGCTTGGACCAGTCTTGCCAGTGGCCTAGTTTCATGAAGGTGGCCTCGAGAGGGATGCCAAAGGCATGGCCAATCTTCTCGAAAAAAGATCCCTGGCTCATGGCGCACGACGCCCAATTGGTTGTTCGCACATTGAATTCATTCCCTGTGATATCTGAGAGGCAATTCGCAACCTCTTCAGAGAATCTTGGCCATGTGTACACGAGCTGAGAGCCAATCACGCCAAAAGACCTGGAGCTGGGATCGTGCTTCGCAAACGAAGCGTGGCCCGAAAGGATATCTTTGCTTGCGTCGTAGCTTGAGTCAAGAACCAAGCCGGCAACAACGCCCTTGGGACCAAACAAGCCCTCCTCGGCCTGCAGAGCCTTGTTGAATATCTTGAGCAGCTCATTGTGGTCCGGAGTGCCTTCTGCTCGGCGAATCTCAGCGACTGTCTTGTCCGTTCTGAGAACGTGGACTTTGATCGTGGACCGATACAATGCCGAGCGGCGAGTATCATTCATGGACTCAGACCTGAGAGTGTCTATTCCGTCCTCCAGCTCCAGACGGAACGAGCGACGCCCAAGACCGGCGGCATGCATTTCCTCGGCTAGCAGCGCCTGACACATGGCTGCCGCCATGCGCAGCTTTCTGATAGCAGCCTCCAAGGTCCCATGATCTGCCATACTTCCCGCTTTACAAAGCGGAAAGTCGATCTTCTCAGGCGAATCACGGGCCACAAGTATGGCGAGATGAAGTGGAGGCGTCTGCGCGACAGGCAGATAATTGACAGAGATCTGTAACGTGTCAGTTTATCATCAGCACGGGGGATTTGGCCCTTGGCCAGGCGGGACATTCTGCTACCTACCGTGGTTAAGCCAGCGCTGAAGTTGCTTATAATTATATCGTTCTTGCCAGGATGCAGGATCACAAGGGCCTTGAAGCTGCCTCTGGACATAGGCCACTCCTGCTTGCGACCTCCTCCTGTCTCACGCTCAGATTCAGCGCTAACAGAGACAAGGATACTTGTGTGGTCGACGTCACAATCACGGGAGAAGCCTTTGATGAGCAAGCTCATCTGATGCACGATCTCGCCGTTCTTGATGTTCTCGATGGTAAACATTTCGAGAGATGCTGCGATGCGTGGATCATTCAAGGAGATAGACGACGATGTGTCAACCCAACCAGGGCGAGGTATGATGTGAAGTTTTGTGGTTAGCTTTGGTGATGCTGTTGATGATGACAGGAAGGGGGGACAGAATGAAAATGTCGGTGGGACAAAACAGTACCTACTTCTCTGGCAGCCATCAAGGCTGAAAGCTGACAAACATGACGGTCCAATCCCATGCTCAGCTGTGAGACCTACATTTGTGTGTCGCACACATGAAATCACTAGAACGGGGGCTGGGCGGGGGGACCTCAAGCGTCTTTCCACGCAAACCTGACTTGTCACAGAGATAACACAGCTGAACACGGTTGACAATGTTTGCTTTTGCCAGGTGGCGGCGGTGATCTCCGAGGGTGTAAGTCGCCTAAACGCCGACACATGAGACCGATCAATAGATTGAATACCGTGCATAAAAAAATGTGCCATTCCATCAGCTATAATGAATGTTTCTTTTTATTAATTAGCTTGAGAGTTTCCTCGCGATGTAAACATACAAAGCCCCAAACGGGACCCAAAAAGTAGGGAAACGCCCCAAACGGCGTCCAAAAATAGGGGAATGGAGTAGGTGCACCAAAAGGACAATAGGTAGGTGGTCTAGCAAACCGATGGCGGTGTAAGTCGTAGAGCCAGCAATCAAGCTTGGTCTCCATTTTCGCTGGAGAGGAAAATAGGGCCAGCGCTTTCGAAACGAAGCTCCCACTCATCCTGCATCGCCATAAACCACAACCCAATGCACGGCCCAATGTCCCTGACAGGCTGGAATGAAAAGACAAACCTGCGCTCCCCTTCGACTTTGAGCGCATATTCAGACCGTTTGTCTAGTTCGAAGACGGCCGCCAGCGTTTCGCTATCCTCGCTATTTTCTGGAGCTCGTAAATGCTTGCCTCGATCAGTGTGCAGCTATTGCCCAAGTATTAATTAATCGGCGTCTTCAAGAGACCGAAGGGCCCAAAATCAAAACTTACCTCCAACGACACAATTTTGTTTTCTTCTTCTTTGACAGCTAGAACAACAATGTTCTCGCCCTCGTCAAGAGACAGGCTGTAGCATTCGCCTAAGACCGATCCCAGACTAGTCGTAATCCCGAGATCGTACACGAACTGAATACCAACGAGGGCTTTCTCCTCAAAAATTATATGAATGAGAAGGAGCCTAGCCCACCGACCATCAGGGGACCTTTCCTTCTAGAAGAATGTCTCCCTCAGAGCAAGTCGCCTCAGAGCGGGGCTGTTCAGTCTTGGTGTTTCAGCTCCACCGACTTCACGGTAAACACGAGAGGTCCTGGTCGAAAGATCGGGTGGCCGGCGCAGCCGTGGGAGGTCATACAAAACCAGACAGGAGATCACATCTGGAAGCAATGACTCGTGTATCACTTGGACTTCATCGAGGTCTGAGCCGAATGCCCACATCATGTCTCGCTAAGATGACATTAGCAACGCCTGTCCCATTCTTTCAGATGCGATGCAGCTTACCAATTCTTCATACGGTGTCGAGCGCCAGTGCATATGTATGAAGTCGTGCTGAGAATGAATTCGAAAGTTGCGCTGCCGGCCGAAAGATGTAATGAACCCAATGCCGACGACTTTCCCAAAGCTTTCCATCCGCAAAGGCGTTTCGGTTTCCAGAGTAGACCACACTCTGATGTGCGTCAAGGACTCGGCCGATGCAAGGTCAAAGGATCCCACCTCATGAATCCACTGGCCAAGAACAACATCATCACCTTGATAGTATTCAATCCAGAGTCCGCTAATGTTTTTGGCAGACCTGGAACGACCCCGAAGACCGGAAGAGACCCGAATGCGCTTGATCCCGCGCAAGGAAGCGCCTCCAAAACAGCTGCCGCCCGATCCAAGCATCCAGTAAGCTGAATATTGAATCCAGTTTTTGGTCACATCTAAACGATTGCCGGTGCGGAGAGATTGTTGATTTTCTTCGACTACAATTGTACAGTGGTGCCTTTCAGTGCCATTCAGGACATGAAGACTTTCCCACGGAGTATGTGGTGGCTATTGTGGTCAGCAAAGGTGGTTCGAGCACAACATAGCAGCGCATATTAAGAAGAAAACTGGATGGAGCAATACTAACTTCACAAGTAGCAACTATTGCTATCGGTAGCTTGTCATCCGATGCACAGATACTTAGAGAGGAAAGATTCCCAGGAGGTCGGGAAAGGCTGTCGTGTATTTGAAAGTTCATACACCGACCGGTACTTGTAAAGACCTAGAACAAAAAGAAACATTAGATAACACTGAAGGCAGGGGGCCATCTAACGGTAGGGCCATTGAATCACATCACTTACCTCAATGGAAAAAATGATCTTCTTGCGGTATGTCGAGCTCCGTGTACGGCGTACCTCAAAGGAAATTATGCGTTCACCACCCTTTCCGTCAATGGCGAATGTGGGTTCAAGACAGGGCCAATACGTCCCATTTTCCTCCTCGAGAACGGAATCCCTCCCAATGAATATGTCTTCGCTATTGTCATAACCAAAGCGAAAGCCGTGGAAACCTGTGCGAGAATACACATAAGCTGTGATGCGATTCAAGGATGACAGCTTCTGCCCGTTGTCACCACCAAACGCCATATATAAGCGAAGAGGAAACCCGCTCGGGTATTCATAGATGCCAAGCAGAGGAGGCTGCAATTCTGCTCTCCTCTCCAGATTCAAAATTGCTGGATTCCAAAGCATGTGCGAGCTAATGGCCGTCGGAAGAGAGCCGTCTTCAACGATCTTGATCGCCACGGCCTTAAATTGCTACCAAACAGCCAAAATTAGTTAATATCTCAATAAATTCCAAGTTAATGTATACTAACATCGAAATCAATCTCCATGCCTGTGGCGTTCTTTCTCGCTCGTAGCACTGTCTTGCCAAACGAGCCATCAAGGCATGTGGTGGCTCCCACGGCCACTGAAGTCGCCTCATCGCAGTTTTCAAGGTGGAATACTAGGCCATGGATGCCCAGATCCGAAGCTGTGACTTCGACAGAAACAATCTTTTCAGTTGACTGTATCTCGATGTGCTCTTCCGTTAATGGAATGATTGTCCCAATGCTAACGGGGCCAGAAGCTTGGCCGGAATGATCTAGACAATAAGATCTAAACCCTGAGATGTACACCTTGCCGTTAAAGTGTACAAGAGAAACAGATAATTTTAGCGATACAGCAGGAGGCGGCGCAACAAGATTGATTTGCATTCTCGCGATTGGCTGCACACCACGTCTTAGTTGAGGCTCACGGAATTCCGAGTCAATCAACCGAGGACATGAGAACGAAAATCTGGTCGGAGCATTTGGAGTTACATCTTGGATAGAACTTTTGAACTCTTCGCTGTCTGTGAGACAACGTGTATCTGGATGAAGCAGGTGCTCAGTCGCGAGGGCGAAATCTTCCACGCAAAGGTACATGCGCTGCCGATTCCGGATCCCTTGAAGTCCCTCCTCAGTTCTTAGAGCTTCGGTATACTGTTGATAGAGGAGGCGCCACGGTTTCCTGGTCTCCGATTCGTGAGGCTTCTCGTGGGCGAAAACAAACCCAAACTCCTGAGGCGGCGCAAATCTGGTCGCCCAGAATTTCTGAGGTAACAACATGTGAGTAGATACTGACGCGACAGTGCGACAAGCCAGTCGAACATTGGAGAAGTCCTTAGAAGATAGATTTCCAAGAATCTGGCAGATGATTTCCTGGGGAATTCGATCAAAGACATTTTCTGGGGAATCATGCTTGACCAAATCCAGGTCTGAACAGGATGCTTTGCCAAGCCTGGCACTGTTGCTGGGGAGGGGCAGCACTTCGGTTGGATCCTCGAGCAAAATTGGAAGCTCGTCTTCATCCTTTCTCAGGTTTGTCGCTCCATGATAGTGGTTGTCAGGCACCAGGCAATGAAAACTGGCCCTGGGCAAGTTGTCAAACTGCCAAAACAGCGTCTCAGCGAGCTTGGCATCTTCCGACTCGGCTGGCAGGTTGCATCTGACACGGTACTTGAAAAATTTCCAGCAGAGGTCATGCACTCCATAGGCCTGGGGCCGATAGGTGTTGGGATCGTGAAAGAGCGAGACTTCTTCAACCTCATCCGATTCCTCGTCCACCAAGGGCGGAAAGTTGGTGTTGGGATCTACGTCTCCATTGTTGTTGACTGAAATATGGAACTCATGTGCGTAGCCAACCGGAGACAGCGTAACATGGCAACGGCTCTCGTCAACACGGACTTTGCTTCGTTAGATTATTGCAGATGATCACTCATCAGTAGCGGACGTCTTACCAGCTCGAGCCTTGCGATGCCATGGCACCGGATCGAATGTCGGTTCGGTATCGTACCTCTCAAAGGGGCCCCCACAACAGCCGCAGAAAGCGCCGACCGACATGGAAGTAGATGTTTGCACTTTGAGCCGAGGATACAACAAAATGCCAAGGGGAGTAGAGGGTACAACAAAATTACAAGGTGCGAGACACTTTGGAGATGTGTGGGAGGTGGACAAGTTATTGAATGCAAGGACTTGCAAGCTGGGTTTCTTCTGAGAACCGACTCTGCCTCAGGCCAACACACTTCCAGATGGCAGGTGCCGCCCTCGGGCTCACATCAGGTTCACACTACGCGCGAGGCAGGCACCAGGCGCAGGAGAGCAAAGCCCTGTGGACCACCGGAGTCCCTCTAAAGGAAACCAGGCAGGCACCTGCCTGCTTCAGTAGCTGCCTCCAAGAAGATCAATGCTCTTGGCTCCGAAGCTGACTGACATCGCAGTGTGCCGCCAGGCTGAGGGTACTCAACTCTCCTAAATTCATCACTTCCAGCAGCCTATCAATTTCCATCCAATTGGCATTCTTTTCCCTGGCTTCCAGATAAACAAGCCCCAAGAGTCTATAACTCTGCGCTGGATAGTCATATTACAGATTGGAGTCTTGACCAACATCTCAAGAACAGAGGTTGCAATGTTCCAAGCGGTGGCAACTGCCCCCTTCGCTTCATGATGCAAGCCACTCAGCTAATTAAGTACTTGCAAGTGCACAATCGGGAGACGTACATCCGTGTCATGGAGTTCCTAGGCTAACCACTGCTCATGGTGGCGGTTTTCCAATCATCATTACGCAAGTCTCATGTGGCCAAGGGTTCTGCAACTTCCGGTTTGCTCGTGAGTGGGAGCTTTGGCATCACAAGCGGCGCCCTCACCTGCGATGGAGGGAAGTGACGGTGGAAGAGATGACTCTGAGGCTTGGTAGACTCGTTTATGTCAAGACATATGCCAGAAAATTGAAGTTGGGATGAGTGCTCCTTCCACCACGGAGAAGTTCGCCCGCCAGCATTCTCCCTGGCGGATAATAATACGTAAAGATTGAAAGAGAATCGCCGAGATTTCGCCTCATAATCGAATCATAGCGTGCTCTGAGCTTCAGTTGACTGGTTGATGAAGGTCCGCAACCTTGCCAGACAGCCATGATCAGCTACTCTCACAGGCCGGACAACAACAGTCAACAAAGCAAATCATACCAATATTAGACTACAGTGACTCTGCATCTTCAGGACCGAGTAATATGGCGGGTTTAGGGTCTTCGGGTCAACGAGAATGTTGGAAAGGCGAAGGTGGTCACAAAAAGGTATTGGTGTTATCAGTGTCATGGATGCACTACTTCAAGATGACTTAAGTAAATCGATTCTGGTCTACGAAGTGCGACTTAGCAATCGCCAGTTCACCTATGAGATTGTTTAAAACAAAAAGATGTCCCAAATTCTCGCATGCAGCAGACTTGAAGCATTGACAGATCGAAGATTGAGAGGTTTGTTATTAGATCGGCTGGCTACCCTACAGCTGTCGCCAGCTCGTGCGTTCACGTTCTACATCGACAAGTTTTCTAGGGACTGACCATGTTCCATCATCCTTAGTGATTATTTAGAGTTACTCCGTCAAGTGAAAGGATAAATTGAGAGAGTTGAAATATTAAACTTCTTGAACATTGAGCTATCTGTGTTAAATCCAGAGCACTTGCACGCTGTTTCTGCTAGACCAACAACCAGAACATCCATCCATCACATGCAAAAGAACATTGAATTCTTCCAGCTCAGCCTCGTCGAAAACTCTACTTGAATAGGCTCTGTATTGACAATCACCGTTCATCTCCTCTATCTAACTGAAGCAAGCCTTGAGCGTGCATCTATTACAGTATTGGTCATGCCTTCGGGGCTTGACATAACCTCCCCCGACATGTGCTTACCCTACATGATGCCTACCTATGACGACAAGTCGGCGGCGACATCTCGGTGGATGTCGCCACTAACACAACACGCGCTCCACCTGCGCCCACCTGTGGGAGCGACGATCAGTTGTCTAGCATCTGCCTCACAAACCATGCTCTCTACCGTTTAGAGCCAACGAACTCCTCTCCTCGCAATCGCAGGCGACGGGAAATACCGAGAGATTTCGCATGTCCTATCATCTCGACAAAGACCGCCCTATTCCCAGGCCCTTTCGCCGCCCGCCGTCCAACGCACCCATGGCGCCCCCCTCGCTCGGGCAGGGTAGCCTTCGCGTCGGGGGTTTTGGCGAACCTGACCAGGCAGCGCCCGTTCTCAGGCATATCGCCCGAGGGGGGATCTCGGCACTTGCGACCGCTTTTCGGATTCGTATGGACCTCGCAAAATAAGGAGAAGGGGAAACAAAGACACTTAAACAAGAGAGGCCGAATTGCTGGGCTTCCCTTCCAGGCGGGAAATGCGTTCAGGTTCAGGGCCTTGAAAATCATGGCAAGTCCCCGAGATGAGACGAGCTGCTGCCATGCCCGGCACTAGCCTTGCGGGAAGAGGAGGGGGAGAGGGGAGCTCGGGGCACAATGCAGTCCAAAATCCTGCCCCCAAGTAAAGTGAGCGCCAACCAGGCATTCGTGCGTTGCTAGCTCCAGGTGCGCGAGCCAGTTGTGCAGCAGGCCCGCGGAGCCCTTCCGGCCACCATTTCCCAAGGGAGGTAAGGTTTTGGCTTGGGCCCGCAGACGAAACCTGAGTCGGGTGTGCGGCCAACCCAACTTGCCAACCTGGGGGGCTCCCCTTTTGCGATGGCTGCCAAGTTCGAACCCACCCTGCCAGCTGCTACCGTTTATCCGGTCAAGCCTGCCCAACACCCCTAGTTCGCTTCTTGGCTCTCTGCTTTCGCGTCGTCGTCTCCTCTCTCAATTTGGGGCTGGGGGGTCAGAGGCACGATAATGAGGCCACCTTGAGTAGCATTATGCGCTGGTGGCAGCTGCGGTGGTCGAGAGGCGGTTACATTGGGGGTGAACTGGCATCGTCGCATGCCAGAGCGCCAATGCCACCGGACGGCTCGGTGGCTACCGTGTGATTTCTCCATGGCAGTCTCACGATGCCCACATGACCGATATTTCCAATCGAAAGCAACCTCATCTCCCCCTCATAAGCCCTTAAACGGGCAGCGCACCCGGGGGCCGGAACCGCCTCCCACCCTCCCTGGAGAAGTTGGGCGGCTGGGACGTTCGAGCCAGGCTGCATCCGTGATCCCTCGTTGCAACCCTTAATTATAGAATTTCCAATACATGTACTATCACCGTCCCCTCCCCACGGACGCTGACCTGGCAGCCTGGTACGTTTTCTCGCCCCTCGGTCGCATCGCAGAGCGCCCATCGTATTATGGGGAAGCGTGGCAGCGGCCCAGTCGCGGAGCATCCGAGGTTAGGCTCGAGTTGCAGATGCAATGCATATTTGGCATCCGGGCATCTCTTCCTCCCCAATCGTTCAAAAGGAGGTTCAAGGCCGCGCACGCACTCCCCAATTTAACTCGCTTCCTTGGGCCCTGGCCGGGGCTGATTGGAGAGGGGAGACCAGTTCAGGCGGCGGGTTGCGGTGCCCAGCCGGTTCTGTCATGGTCGCTCAGGGTCGTAAGGGGGGGAGAAGTGTGGGGGAAAAAGACCACATCACAGCTGCGACACGCTACATGAGACTAATTGGCACGTCGCTGCGGCCCGCGGTGTTAGCTGGCACAGTGGCATTGGCACCGCACCCGCTGACCAGCGACGGCGCCCTCCATCACAGTGCATTGACTCGCGCTGCATGAGGGTGCTGCCAGGTAACCTTGCTGGCCGGTCGAGGTGGAATGATTGAAAACCTTTGAGAAGAACGAACGGAACGCACGCTCGCAAAGCTGATGGGCCTCTGCGGAGCGGGCTGCAAGTCGATTCGTCTGCTTCGAGTGGTCCGACCCCACGGAAGATCGTCCCACTGTAACTGTACAGTTCACATCATGCGTCACAGCGGAGAAGAACAGCATCGATTTTTTTTTAAAACTCACAAAGAAAACTTGACAGACTTGCCCCAAGCGACCCTCCCCTGCTCCCCCCGTCCGTGTGCCAGCCGTCGTGAGATGCACTACTACCGAAGGGCCTAAAGACCGCTCCTGGTTGTTAGTGTTGTCACACAGGCCCGTACCTTTTGGTTTTCCAATTTGCCCGCTTATTCCCTGTTAACGCCCGCCTCGTGATCCAATCCATCCCGGCTCAGACCAGGCAAAGTCCTGATTCATGCCTGAAAGCAGCAGAATCCCCGCCCCCAGGTTCGTGATGGGGGAATAACGCCCGTCTGCCGTTGTATGCCTGTCCAATCCAATCCAGTCCAGTCCAACTCCTGATTCATACTCAAGATAGCTGAATCCACACCCTAGGTACATGGGGAGCAAACGCCCTTACCATCCAAAGATAGAAGAAATAGAGACGCTCTGAACGTCCCATCCATCCATCAATGGAAATACATAAAAAAGTAGAGCAAGCCGTCAGCCCTTAGCTAAAGAAAGAAATAATTGAGAAATGACCACAAGGAAATAATAGGAGAGCAACACTGTCGTAAAGTCAGATACTAGCACCTAGGCCACAGAGAGTGACGGCACCGGCAATGACCTCAGATTGCTCCTCTGGGGTGCCATCTAGCTCAAGCTCCGCGGTGACTGCGCCGTGGTGAGGTGCATACCCGAAGAGCCGCTGATAGGCAGCGCGCAGTGTGGTGGCTACCTTCTGCGCTTTGGCTTCGTTGGGACCCGTGAAATGAGTGTACTTGGAGACGAGATCGCATAAGTAGTTCGGGTGGATTGCTTTAGGCTCGGCTAGCTCCAGGAGGAGTTCAAGAAGCTTACGGGATCCGTAGATGGCCGCATGGCAGGCATAGCCAAGTGCAGACGGGTCGCATTGGCCGATGGGGTAGCCCATCTGGACGAGCGTGGTGAGGATTTCGGCCTGGCGCGCGACAGATTTATTGGTCACGACCTTGGTCTTCCACCTCATGCAGCAGTACCTCCATAGCATTATCGGGTCGGGAGCCATTGTCGCCTTGGCACCCGCCGATATGAGCAGTCTCATGCAATCGATGCTTTGGGCGCCCACGGCGGCATAAACTAGGGGCAAGTCATCGAACCTGGGATGGTCGATGTTGTAAGGGTTGTCAAGACCGACCCCGCGTGCATTAACGTCAATGCCGATGTCGATGAGATATGACAACAACTCAACTTGACCTGGGCGTTTTGCCCCCAGTATGCCCTGGAGCAGCGTGAAGCCCTTAGAGTCGCAGATGATTGTGTTGTTAAGAATCTCGGCCGTAATCGTCACGCCAGCCTGCAAGAGGACAATAGCTTGCTCCAAGTTCATCATCTGGAGACAACGAAGCAACAGATCAGGCTTCTCGATCCCGTCGGGGTAGAGCGGCGCTCCGACAGAGATCAGGTACCGAAGCACCTCGGCGGAGTCTTTGCGCCCTGGTCTCTGGCAGGCTAGGTGGAGAACCGACTCATCGCCGATACCAATGGCTTTGATGTCTACGTCGGCTTGCTCTACAAGCAACTTGACCATTCCTAGGTTGCCAGTACCGGCAGCCAAGTGTAGACAATTTAGACCGTAGTAGTCCAGCTCATGGCCATCGATGGCGGGGTGGCGGAGTAGCATTTCGACCACGGGCACCACGCCATATTGAACAGCTTGCAGAAAGGCTGTGCGCCCAAAGCCGTCTACGGCAGACACATTAATGTCCGGGTGCTGGCAGAGAAACTCTACAGTGTCTACCGCTTCCTCAACACTGGCTCTATGGGGTCCGGGCGAGCCGACAGCCAGGTGGAGGGCCTTCTCTTGGGCCGTATTGGTGGCCCTGGCAAGACTGACGCCGGGCCTGTCGAGAAGGCGGATCAAAAGTGGCAGATCCTTGGTCGCCGCAGCAAAGAGGAGCTGGGCATCTTGCGACACCGGGTCAGTCCTGTCCAGCAGGTACTGCCGGACGAGGTCGATGTGGCCGCTTCTGAAGAGACCGAATATGGCCGATACATTTTTAGCAACCAGGTATGCTCCGTGCTCCACAAGGCAGCGGGCATCTTGACGCTTGCCGTGGACAAGGGCCGTATGCAGCGGGTAGACTGGCTCCAGAGTGTCTGTAGACATGTGATGATACAACTTCCAGTCTACGTCACACTTTACACAGAGCGTAGGACTGGAGGGTCCATGAACGTTGGCTCCGTGCTCCAGGAGGAATGAGACCACATGGCTGTGTCCATTGTGGAGGGCGCAGTGGAGGGCGTTGACTTCCATGGCATCGTTGGCCCTCTCATTCTGTTGGTCGATGTCGCAGCCGTATTGCCAGGCTTTCTCCATCGTCGCGAGGTTGCCAAATTCGGCAGCCCATCTAACACATGATTGGATGGGCCCGTCATACTTCCTATTGCGCTTGTACAGCTCCGGTTCAAGCAGTTGGTGGAAACGAGTGTTCACGCGGGCTAGCGTTGCATGATGTCGTGCGTAGCCGGCCGGGTGCTGCCAGTCAGAGGGCTGCTCATTCCAGGTGGACACCTCGGCGATGTGGATAATGATTTCAGGGGGCACCCTGTCGAATACGCTCCCGGAAGTGGGAGCATTGTCTTCCTCGTCGTCTTGGACAATCTCCATCTCCACCACCTCATCATCGACCTCCACACATGTGTGACTCTGCTTCAGCTCCGTTGTCTGCGCCTGCGCCATCTTATGCAGGGCTTGTCAGAGCAGAGTGCTCCTGAAATTACGACGAGAGGGCAGTTAGGGTGGGAGACTTTCGGCGCTACGTAACATGATCGTCAGCCCAAGGTCCATGATTCAAACAGTTAGACAGGGGGCAAACAAGAAACAGGTGGGAACTGACCGCCGGAGTAGCTCAGTAAGAGGGCAATTGGGGATGTGTGTGTCTGTGTGTGTGACTGCTCGTGTGATGTGTGTGTGCTCGTCACGTCTGGTTCGTTCCTCTCTAGGTTGCGGCCCCACCGTTCCCGAGAGCGATGCGACTGTTAATTGCCAATTCTACGTGAAGACTGTTAGCTTGAGGGCACTAGGCACTGGCGGCTTTGAAGATGGGATGATGGCCATACGTGACAGGGGGCGTAGATCGCAGAAAGGTGTTAGCTCCTGGCCCTAGGCCGGATTATTGCACTTGGCCAGCTTAGCAGATGCTGTTGGCTGGTCTCATCAGCAGCCTAACAGGGCCTGGTCAGGGTGCTTCACAGGGTGCCGGTGTACCCCTGGCGTGTGTTGACGGTGAATGGCTGGCTAGGGCCAGTTAGAGCCATGAGAGAGCAGACGCAGGTACAGATTATCGACTCACAAGCTGTGATTCTGGCTCCTGAGACTGCGGCGAGCTAGCTCACCCCGTCTAGGGCGGGAGGAGGCTTTGCAAGATTAGGTTTGGTCAAAGGTCGGTTGGTCCCAACAGCTGTTAGAAAGGGACAGGATAGGCTAGGGTAGGTGGTAGAGGAGGAGGAGAAAGATGGGCATCAGATCAGGGTAGACTGCACCAAGCAGGGGGAGGACGGGGGTAATAAGGTAGGATGTTATGCAGCACCAAGGGTCGTTGGATCTCCCCGCGGGTCGGAACAATCACTCTCCGTGAGTAAGCCTCTGGGCTCGGGAAAGTTGCCAACTGGGGGGGAGAGAAAAGAACGTTCGAGTTCAGGTCGGTCAAGGAGCATGAGGAGACAAGATGAGGGAGTACGGCGGAATGTGCAGTTCCAGGCTGCAGCCACCCTCCTCCTTGTCCAAGTCGACGACGTATTGGTATCCATCGGACCTCCCGCTTCCGACCTACCTGAGCGATGTACATACATGCACTGTACCACAAGAACTGAGAACTCACATTGGGGCATTATCGCAATTCAGAATCCATCGCGGACCGCACCTTGGCGACCAGTGGAGGAGGTGGAGAGACCCGCCTTGGCGTGGTCAGCACCAGCCGTTGCTACTACTGGCCCCGTTGCTCGTGACAGATGGCGTTTCTAGAGGCCTCATGCTGCAGCTCGTGCAGCCATGGAGGGCGCGTACTACTGCAGCCATGCTAGCCGGTAGTGTCGGTGGAGGCTGTCAATAATTGTCGGTGTCGAGCCTTGTTGTGAGGGTGGTAAGTCCATCTCTCCGTCGCTTATTTGTCCCTGCCCCCGTCTGGCCAATCACCCGCAGCCCAAACCAATCGCCCACCAACTTGACTCCTCACAAGACACCCCCTGCACTCCCACCGATTTCCTTCACCTCTGCCATACCCAACCTGGGCTGGAATCACTGCCACCTGAGCTGGGATAGGCAAGGAGAGGCACGTACTCTCTGCCACTCGTCTGTACCATGTAAATAGTGCTGGGCACCGACAGGTCGTGTGTGATTTGATTATTACGCACACCACTCGATGAGTCAAGGCAGCTTCCGGTGGCTTGCGCTCAGGGCGCTTTATTGCAGTGGTACAGGCGACGGCCTTTCTGACATGTCACCTCGAGGTGCACAGGTCAGCAGTTGATAATGCTACGGAGACATTAACCATGCCACGCCTGGGTGTAGACATACCCCGGCTCTGCTCCTCTCATGTGGGGAATTCCGGGACGCGGAGGCCATCTCATACCCGAAGGTAGAGCTATCTGAGACGCTTTGGGAGGAACTTCATGCTTTTCCCAGAAAAGTGATCTGTCGATAATGGCACTTTCAGGCGTGTCGAAAAGGCGGTATCAGTACACAGTGCACCTGTCTAAGTCGTGCTTGAGGGAAAATACTTCGAGCACTTTGGGAAACGGCTTGCAGGAGGGGTTGTCTTGGATAATGGCCAAGGGCTTGGCTGCGTACAGCGAGGTCGCCTTCAGGTAGACATTCGACGGCAGCTTGGGGAGAAGATTCTTGCTCTGGTACTTGCTCTGGTACTTGTTTTGCCCGTGTCCTGGGCCCCGTGATGGCAAATCTAGGCGTCATGGAACGCATTGAAGACCGTACACAGTACAGCTGACGCCTGCTGGGAACATATCTTTGTGCACACCATTCCAGACTGGCCAAGCCATCCCACCTTACACAACTCAGCGTTGCCCGAGTTCTGAAAAAGAAATGACACAAAGATGAAAGAAAGGAGAGGGGGAAAGGAAAGGGCTGTCTGGATGTCCCCTCGAGCCCATATCAGGTCTTCCCATGTAGTGGCGTGGCCTTCGTCAGAGCCAAAGCGATACCTGAATACCCCCCAAAAGCTGTCGAGAGTACAGCCGTGTTGAGAAATGTGACATGGCCAATGCCCTCCTCCATTTGTTACTGAGTAGATACACAAAAAAGCAATCTTGAGCTTACTATCCGTCCAATTCATGACCAGAGCCCTGAAGCTGTTTGCGTCGAGGGAGGCCAAGGAGGCGATGCTCAGCTGCCCTCCTCTGCCACGGTCTTTTCGTAAGACGGCACCGCTTGATTTTGCACATGGTTGCTGCGGAGTAGGCCCAGCACGCTACTGCCGCGACGATCGATCGCATAAAGCCGCACGGAGCTGACCGGTGTGTTCTCGTTATAGCCGGCCATGCCTGCAGGCGCCCGGTCAAGGAGCTTGATCAAGGCGGCACCTACCGTTAGGAATGGGTTTCAAGAGAGGGGGACGATTCTCTTCACGGCGATCGCCCGGTGATATTTTCCTGAAAGAAAAAAGTGGCTGGTTGATGCAACGGGCGTTGGAATAACAGGAATTCCAGCCCAATGCTACTGAGCGGGAGCATGGCTCCTGGGCGTCGGTTGATGGTCGTGTTGACGAAAAAGCTCCCTTCGGTCAAGCAAAGGCGTGGCACTGATTGAGACAAGGGCCCCTACCCGCCGTGACTCCGGAATTAGATAGCCCATAAATAGCGGTCGCGATTCGCCGTTCGTAGATGCACATTCCATACATCGTATGCATCTGGTCGCTGTGAAGGAACTGCATCCCTCTAATCTTCCAGGAGAGTACGTAAGACAGCCCAGAGCTTTGCGTGCTGCCTAAGCGCTGATCATCTTCCGTCTTTGGGCCCCACCGGAAGCCGTTCCCCATCACCCACCAATCACTGTGAAACATTCCAGGTGCCATTGTTGCTGGCTACCACCATGGACGGACTGCTCCATCAGCCAGGCAGGGCAACCAGAGTCGGTCTCAGTAGGTACTGGATAGGAGAACCTGGTTTGGTTGCCACACCCCGTCTCAGTCGAATGGAACACTGCCACCGCGCGCTCCATGTATGTCTCTGTTGCAGCCATGCAATAATCAAATCAATCCAGCACGCCTGCCAGCAAAGGTCACCCGGAACCTGGGGGCGTGCTATCTGCGAGTTACGTAGGCATGTACGGAGCAGTACATCGATGGTTGACCGCTGCGTTATGTGCTGAGAAGGACCAAGAGCCCTGTCGACGGGGGGGGGGCTAGGATCGGAGGGTTTAGCAACTCGCTAGCCAGCCCAAACACCCAACCGAGAGTCCAGGGGCAACCGTTAGGCTTGCCTGCTTGCTTAGGCGCTCTAGATGACCGAACCCCTCTTGCATTGAAGTCTAGGGATGCTGGCTGGCCACTCCACCGTATCAGAGATCTGCTTACCCGCCCCGACCGGCTGCGCCCGCGGGCATCCACCACCCCCTCCCCCTTCATCAGAGTTCCAGCCTGATGAGATTGTCAAGTCTGCACGCCCCCAGGTTTTTCCCAACCGCCGGCATGCAGGATGACAGGCAAATGCCTTCACCACCGCCGTGCTATTTTGCATACCTATCACATCGCATGAGGGTCTAGACGCCGATTGGGCACAAAGGGAGGAGGACAAGGTCCCGATGAAACATTGAGGCTGGCGCCTTTCTGCAAAAGGTGACGAAGCGAGGTTAGTTGGAAAAGAAGGCCGCTCAGCTCGCTCGTGGCTGCTGATCGGGTGATATCTCGTATCTTTCTGCTTCTTCCCATGTCTGCCTACAATACAGTAGCATGTCATGATGTAGCCATGGGCATACTGTAGTCGAAGATCCATCTCGCTGGTCACTTCCTTCTTTCTGGATCTTATCTGAAAGCGCTAGCTCCTTCGGCAGTGCGTATCAACTCTAGTGAGCTCCTCAGCTCGATCTGAGGAGTCGTGGTGGAGGGATGGATTCATTAGTCTCTCCTTGACCACACCCACTCTTTCTTCCCTGACCAATAACGTCCATCCTGGATGTGTGTCTGGTGTGCTTGCGTGCGTGTGTCTCCTCCTTTTGCGGGCGCCCCCGCTCCGTTGTGCAACCCCAGTTAGGCTGGTATCATGAGAGAGAAGTACTTATTTTTACACGAGAACGGCTCCTTGCATTAGGTGGGAAACATGGGGGGCGATACCGAGGGTTGATTTCGATTCGATTCTCGACCCTTGCGAAAGATAGCTTGCAGCCGACAGCCGCAGCAAGCCCAAGATGCGGTGGCGATATTGGTTCTGGCTTGGGCCAAAGCAGGTTGCTGCTGCATGATTATGTTGTAGCGACGAAAAGGAGAGGGAACCAACATAAAACATGCAGGACCATTTGAATCCGGCTCCAAGATGGCCCCATCCATGTACACACGACATGCTGCAGGTCATTTGAAAGGGAGAACCTAACCTGCGTTGGGCACATCCACGTATGTAGCTTACACGCAAACACATGGACCATGTAAAAACCCGGTTCGACATCCGGACGCACTTGGCGGCGTCTTGATGGCGGCGGCACAGACGAAGCTAGCAGTACAAATTTGGTACTACCAATGCAGGTGATGAACAACATTTGCTTCACGCGAAAGGGTTGGGCAGCCCAGCTGAGACGCAGCTTCCCGTCTGACGGGCTGGGGGCAGCTGACAGTTTGGGAAATGGAAGCTCTGGGTTGGGTCGGATGTGACGGCAAGCTTATCCCGGGGGAAAAGGAGAGCTGTAAGCTAGATTGAGGTATCACCGTGCCCGAACTTGACACCAGCGTTGTGATGGCAAGGGAGAAGAGAGATCGATGTGAGACTGGTGATATGAGAAACTTGGCCACGGTCGATTATGGGGCCACCCGTGTTTGAGTCCGGAAAGTTCCCTGCGGTCAGCACAAGATAAATTTGAGTGAAGGCGATCAGGGTCATGGATGCCAGCCGTCCCCCCGTTCCCCGCCCCGCTGCTCCGATCACAGTCTGAAAGCTGGTTGGGATTCTTATTGCATGGTGAATTATTGAATGGTCGTTTCTTTTTGGAATGTGCAACCACACGGAAGTCTGCCTGGCCTTGACCGGGCCGTGTCATGTATCTATGACGCTCGGTGTGCACCTCATCTTGCTTTTTTTTTTTTTTATGAGTCGGCTGCAGTGGCAGTTGCAGTGAAATTAGCCGTGTTTTGAAAGCAACAAATCACGGCCGGCCCCGTTGCGTGTGACGCACGACTGGACACTGAGATTGATGGCGGGGGTGAGTGGCATTACCATTAGCAGAGAGCGGTGGCAGGCTCCATGGACATTGTTGCGGTGCATGAATTGTGATGCGAGCGAACGAGCGATGTCCGACCGTGATGGATGGATGGATGGAGGGAGGGATGGATGGATGCCTGGCTGGTCGGCTGCCGTTGCTGTGTACATCGAGTTACATGTAATTGCAGGCTGGGCTGATTGGACGTCTGCATATGCAGTGCCATGGCAGCTGCACGCACCGTCGTCGAGCTGGAGCACACCTGGCACAATCATCCAGTCGTCATGGGGAGCAGCATCCAGGCATGATCGGAGCATGTCGGTGGCATTGCGCAGCTGGCGTCGTGTGTGCATTGAGACATGGCGTCCGGATGCTGGCGCGATTCGCTGGCGGGTGGTTTGTTGGGGGATTGATTTGCACATCACGCTCAAGGAGCCATGGCGGCGGGCGTGTGTGTGATAGGCGTGTTCCATCCAATCCAAGTTGTGTTGGTCAGCCCGACCGGAGGGTGTGTGCCAGTGAGGGTACCTTGGTGCGTAGTGTGGGTGACATCCTGGCCCAAACAGTCCCTGGAGGCACTGGGCGTACCCGCCGCATCAGCACTGGCCGGGGCCGGGCGGCGGATGATCGTTCCGCCGTCTGCAGCTTGCTGGCAAGGACCTGACCAAACCAGACAGGGACAGGAGAGGGGGAAGGGGAACTAGAGCCAGGTCCAAGTCCAGGAGCCCCCAAGCACCAGCCAGCCTCCAGCTATATAACACAGAGCGGGGCTGCCTCAGAACGACCACTTTTACCCCTCTGGTGCTCAAGCTTCATCCACTCCAACCAAGAACACCACTATCAACACCATCACTTCTCATCTCACCATGATCATCGAGACGCGATACAAAGGGCCGCCCGCCCGCATCAAGGGCAATCCAACGTGAGTGAGCCCGTCACTGTCCAGTGCTTTCTTCGTCAACCCCATCATTGTCGTCCAATTCGCCCTTCTGTTCTCATCTCATCTCATCATCTCATTCAACTCTGTCGCGATGTCATCATGCCTCGGCGTGCTTCACCCGGCCGCCATCCACACCCACGCATCACCAAGCTTTCAGTCTTTCGTCTCGTCCAGTTCTTCGCGCAAATCTCGACCTGTTCTCAAACGGGCCATCCATCGCACAATTCGTGATTTGTTTGCCCAGCTCGCATTTGCCTCTCATCTTTTCATGTTGTAGAGTGGGCTTTGGTTCAAATGTTGCTCTGTTCCCCTTTCATTTGTGGTCTTGCATCAACGCGTCTTCAATTCCTGCTGTCACCATGTGGCCTTTTTCTTCTCCTTTGACCTTCTTTGCTTTGCTGTTTTGAGTTGATTTAAGCTGACTCGCGTTTGTCCCCTTGGGCCTTAGTGAGATGCCAGGCACGTCCATCTGCGATTCTGTCGTTCAGGTAGCCCCCAACGCTTGGAAGCTGGGCGACCTCATCATCTGTGAGAGGGTAGGTACTGGACCTGTCAACGGCGCTGCCGTCACCAGCTGGAGAGATGAAGAGGGAATCCTGTGGTACCTGCGCAGAGGAAGGAAATCCGACACTAGGTATTTCGGAACCGGCCGCTACGCACCGCCGTACCACAGATCTGGAACCTCCGGAGCCATTTGGAAGCTCGGCGGCATGTATGTCAAAGTCAAAGCTTGGAGCGATGGCTTGGATCCTGAGTCGGACACGCTCAAGATCATTCATGAGACGTGCCCAGGTGTTCCTGTCCCGCAAGTCATCGCTCACTGGGTCGACAAAACCATGTCAAGGTCCTTCATCATTCTCAGACCTTTGGCCGGTCAGATGCTTCTACACGCATGGCCCTCGCTGACGCCTGATCTTCGTCAACATGTCGCCAACCAGATCGCCGACGCTTGCGAGATCATGGCCAAGCACAGCGCCACCTACATGGGCAGCGCTGCGGAACCCTTGAACGGCTGTCGTGACCATTACCTCTGCCCCGAACGCCCCGTCAGTATCCCATCTTGGAAACCCATCTCACTTCCCCGCATCGATGAATGGAACGGCCAAGAATACTTCGATCCCTTTCAGATTGGTCGAGTCTTCTACCTTTATCACCCAGAGCTGGAACCAACAAATATCTTCGTCACGCCCGATGGCCGCGTAACCGGTATTTTGGACTGGGAGCGCGCGGGCTACTTCCCAAGATGCTGGATCAGCACCAAGCCTCAGATTGCAGACGAGTTCTTGTTGGACGCAGGCCCTGGCGTGCCCGACGTCACCGAATGGCAACGCAGACTCTCGACAACCCTCGAGGAGAGAGGCTTCATCCCTGAGCGCGAAGAATGGGAGGAGTTTCGCGGCAGAATCTCCGGCACCGTGTCGACAGCTGTGTCTTTTATCAAGCATTTGCAGGCCGAGAACGACGAGGCGGAGGACGACGATGTTCCCATGGACGAGCCGGGCGAGCCAAGCGGCACAAACGGACATCATGATCCACATGATGCCTGGCACTAGTGAAGAGGTTTATCGACCTTGTGTTCAATGGCTTTGTCGCATGTTCCACTCGATTCTTGTACCAAGTGCCAAGCTGCCCCATTTGTGATGGACTGGGGCCTGGGCAGCTTTCGGGTATCACCCTCTTTTCCCCATGGTTTCTCTTTTCTTCTTCTGTTTCCTTTCATAATTATCTTCCCCTCAGCTACCTTTTCCCTTTTAACATTTTCTGGCCAGCTCTTTGGATATGATACTCCCTTCGTCTTTGAGGACGATATGTTTTCTTATGTTATTTCCTTGGGAGGCGTTTCGATCGGAATAAATGGCGCGGAAATATGGCAAGGATGAATCAATTGTATGGTAAAAAGCAGCAGGAAGCAACCGGTATTAACGGGCCGAGCCAGAAAGGTAGCAAAATGAACTGATGACTTTTTCTTTGGAATTGTAACCGAAGCTCTTCAGCCTTGTATGTTTCTTGTGAGTGGTGATGGCGTAAATGAGAGAATAATGCCATCAGGGACCTGCCGGTCGTAGAGCTCTCCATAGCAAAGGACTTGGATGTGGACATGCAATCGCATCAAGGCCTGCGTGGGGTGTGCGTGCTGATCCGTGACGATGCTTAACCGTGTATTATTAGCCAACCAACGCCATGTTAAGTAGAGTCGTATGGAAGAGGGTGCAATCACCTTGAGGTGCGGTAGCTGACACACTTGCTAGGCTTGCTAAGTGCTTGGAGATTTTTGAATCGTGTTACAGTGTATACTGTAGGATCGTAGATTGCGAGGTAGACTGTAGACTGACGTGATGAACTGCGGCGGAATCAGTCCCGATTGGGTTCTCACAGCCTGGCGTCGGCATCGGATTTCTCGGAGCTGCATTCTCCTCCAGACGCCATCATTGCTACCAGGGTGCCATTGTGGCTGGAAAATCTGCCTGCAGTCGTTTGTATGCGGGCTCTTGCGTGGTGTATTAGTTGGGGCATTCTGAGAGAAGTGCCATATGTGTGTAGGCCACTCAACGTACTCAGGTAATCTGTCAAGGGTGTCGTTCTTCCGCGAAGACATGGTTGCGTCACGATTTGCTGCACACATGCAAGCGTAAGACCAACAATATGTAAATTGTAATACCGGTGGCTAGGACGAGAGGTGCGCTGGGCCGCTGGACGGGATTGAAAAGCTCGATTGGCCTGTGTTGTTTGCGACTTTTGTGATAGAATTGAACGGTGAGGCTTTGGCGATGGGTATATGTAGGCGCCCAAGGTGGAATCTCCGAGCGCGGCTCACAAGATAATCGCTGTTGACGACGAAAACCACTGATTCTGGCTCCTCGAACTTTCTGGAAGGGAGCGGTGGCATGCTAACAACGGAAATGGAGCGACAACACCATGGTGGGAGAGGCAGTGTACGAGGTGGTCGGTGATGGAGATGGGAGGAGTTGGCCTCGTTCTGAGACATCGGGCAGCCTGTCAGCTTACCTCCTTCCCTCTGAACTTGTCGTGCGAGGAGGGACACCGATACCGCAGTGAGGAAGGTCCAGTCTGTTCTCGACCTGCGCACTTGCTATGGCAGGCACGAGTCACAGCCTAGTGACGTACGAAGGCAACAATTGAAGGTACTGCCTCTACTAGTCCCTGTAGTAGTTGAAATGGTGGATACGAGTAGCCGACCTTTAGGGTTCCGGCTCGGAAGAAGATCCAGTAGCAAAGGTTAGACAGTGCCTGGGACCAAAGTACCCCAAGAGGTAACGGCGCACCAGATCGGAGGAGCAGGCCACCTTGCGCAAGCTTGTTCTATCGCCAAATTATCTTGATCTCGCGGAGCACATTCGATTGTGACCGCTCGTACCGGATTTCCAGGTGTCTCGGATTCGAGAGACATTGATTGTGACGGGGTCCAATACCATCCTCATCACCATCCATCATCCTCAGGCTACCATTACCAATCTGCACACGGGTGGCGCATTGTTCTCTTCGGCCGGTATGTTCTTTACGCCGACACAAGACTGAGCCACAGCTCAAGATAGCCGCTCTTAGTTCCTTTAGCCTTTGATCCGCCTCTAACAACATTCCAGTAAAAGCTTGTGATGCTGCCAGATAACGTCACACATTTACCACCGAATCCCAAACGAAAGCGAGCATACGACAGCTATTGCACCGAAAGCACCCCCAAGACGCTCCGGTATAGACCTCGGACACTCTCGGCGGACAGCATCTCGAGGGGGAACGACAGCATCTGCGTGGACTGGTGACCCTCTGCCTTGAAGTTGAAAGGCTATATCTCGTATTCTCTGTACTATGAACTCTATCACCTTATCGCGAGGCGGGAATCATAGATCAATCATCGCCGCGGGTGTCAGGCTTGGGCTCACACCCTTCTTGGGGTCACAGACTTTGTCAAGAATTGGCATCACGACATCCAGCAAGCATTGAATAGCCCATCATACGGCATTTCGAATACCGCACAAACTCTTATGGAGCTACTTTCTGCGAGAATCCCATGGCCGACATGACTACGCGTGGGCTTACCTTTCTGAGCCACCAATGATCAAAGCACGCGACTTGTTTTGAGGCAAAGAGCTCACATACATGTTGTTGAATATATGTACACGGCAATGCGCGTCGGTCTTCGTACCATACTGGCTGGGCAAGGGCAAGCCTCATTCACACTCGATACGAAGCTTGGCGAGGCTACCTACATCTTCACTCACACAAGAGGCTTGGGAGGAGCATTGAATTCTCCAAAGGAAGGTCATTAAATTGAAGCTACCGAAACCGAAACTATCCCTAAAGACCGACTGCGACATTCAGCAGAGAGTGAGAAGACGAGAAACGAGGGGAAGAAAAGGAGGGACAAAAGATTAAAAGAGAGAGAAAAAAGAAAATGAAAACAAAAAGGGGAGAGAGAGAATGAAGAAACAGAAGGGATCTGCCACTGATCACACGCTGCTTTGGGGTTGACAGGTAAGAAAGCACGATGGTCTCTCCCCCATTTCACCACACGGCTGCTCACAAAGACCCTGTCCTTGGGGCTGGGGGGGTTTGCTCGAAGGAAGCTATCTCCTCCCTAAAAAAGTCCAATCGTCATCCTCCATTATATATAATAAACCTGAGTGGCCTTTTCGGCATCAACAAAGGAACGAAGCAAGCACCACTATTGCATGAGGTCCGCGCCACCGAGAGTCCGCGCCAGACGGTATGTCGACGGCACACCGGGCATGGCAGCCACAATCATGTTCAGCCCAGCCGCAGCAGGCCAGTTCATAGTGTTCGCTCGCGGTGGGCTATCTTGCACCTCGCCCGTGGACGGTCAAGTCTATGCAGGAATAACATAGATCTATGGAAGAGGGACATTGTGAGCTATGATTACAGACCGGGAAGATGTATTCGGGGGATGAAGTTTGTACTCACAGTGTCTTGCGGCTCCGGCGAAGGCGAGTCCCTGGCGATATGTGGCACCTTCTCGCGTTCTAGCCTCTGCCGGATGGAGTTATGGGCCGCCTTGGATGCCAGGGACTCGGGCTTTGGCCCCGAAGCTGGTCCGGACTGGGTCTTGTGGTACTTCCGACTCTTCTGGGGTCTTGTGACGGGTTGAGCCACGCCGGGTCTTTTCGCCGGTGCTTGGCTGGTTGGCAAGTTACTTCGGCTGGTTGACGAACTACTTTGGCTGGCCGGCAAGTTGTTTCGGCTGGTTGACGAACTGCCTTGGCTGGTTGGCAGGTTGTTTCGGCTGCTTGATGAACTGCCTTGGCTGGTTGACAAGTTGTTTCGGCTGGTCGACGAACTGCCTTGGCTGGTTGGCAGGTTGTTTCGGCTGCTTGATGAACTACCTTGACTGGTTGACAAGTTCTTTCGGCTGGTCGATGAACTACCTTGGCCGGCTGGCAAGTTCTTTCGGCTGGTCGACGAACTACCTTGGCCGGCTGGCAAGTTCTTTCGGCTACTTGACGAACTACTTTGGCTGGTTGGCAAGTTCTTTCTGCTGCTTGACGAACTACTCTGGCTGGTCGGCAAGCTATTCTCGCTGGTCGGCAAGTTGTTCTGGCTGGTCGGCAAGTTGCTTTGGCTGGTTGACAAGTTACTTTGGCTGGCCGGCGAGTTACTTTGGCCGGCCGGCGGGTAATTAGCCAGCGGCGCCAGAGTATTCTTCTTCGGGATGATCTCATAATTGTCTTCGGGTCGATGAGCTACAAGTCTAAGGCGTGCCGCCGGCTTAGGCGGCTCCGCCCGGGCTTTCCCCTTGGCTTTCTCACTGGGCTCAGGTTGGGGCGACTGAGGCGGCGGCGGCGGCGCCCCCAGCCGTGGTGCATCAATCAGCTGCAATTCAAACTTCGAAAGTAGGAGGGATGGATGCGGGTCCATCCGTTCTGGGTTCTCGACGCCAATGATCTCCCAGTACAGCTTTAGACCTGCCTTCTCCATAGTCGGCAGCCCAAGCCTTGGATGCAGCGTCGGGATCTTAGGCTCAAGGGTCCATGCCGGCGGCTAGAACTCGTCAGTTGGCTGAAAGCTGGTGAAATTGGCGAGACTACTCTCACCTCAGTCAGGTCAATGTAGACTGGTGAAGGAGGACGAGGGGCCCGGCCGGCGCGAGCCGTCCCGGACATGATCCATTCCGAGGATGAATCCATTGCGAAAAAGGAGTGTGATGAGACGATGTACAGGAGAAGAAGAGGGGATGGCTCTCTTCGAGCGATTTTGGATGGTGATGCCTCCTGCGGTTTTAGGGGAGAGACACGTGTGGCATGTGACTGACTCTTGAAGGGCGAGGGCGGGATATGCTTGGCCTATTCAGGGAGCGGGCAAGATTGCGCAGAAATGTCTGGGCAGACGGGCGTGGAGCAAAGGCTTATATGATGGGCTCTGGTCGATTCTCAGCGACTATGGACAAGGATGAGACTTAATTGACGCTCGCGCGGTGACGGAGAGCCCATTCTGACGGTCACATCCTGAGGTCACATTTCATTTTTGAGCTTGTCGCCACAGGACACTCCCAATGTGACATCGACAGGCGATTGGGTCTCTCGCTGGTTGGGTATTAGGTACTTCATGCGCACTATTATCTTACCTGCAAACTGACATAACCAGCCGTCTGATGGTGTGCTCTCGCCTTGCTTTTGTTTCGCCGCTTCTCTCTCTCTTTGCTTTTGTCTGAGGCTTGCGCCGTCTCTCAAATGGAGCAGGCGGCAGAGACATACGTCAAGAGGATTCAATCGATAGTCGCTCAGCTCAGGCAGATCGATCATGGCGATGGGTTTACCCCCCCCTGCTGTTGGGCAGAGCAGAGCCTCTACCCGACGTGATGAGCAAGCGCCTGCTGCTTACCCCATCCAGGACGCTATCCGCTGATCAGAGAGGCTCAGCTCAGGGCCGGACAATAGGAATGCATCTCTCTTCCTTGGGCCCCCCCCAATGCCGTGGTGGAGGAATCCCTGCCCAGCACCCATCAAGACAACCCAATCCCAGCACGGGCACCACATCGCGATGGCTAGCGTTAAGCGCCGCAGAAGCAAGCTGCTGCATTCTGGGACATTCAGTCACGGTGCAAGACGCGTGCAGCTGCGACAGCCAATCCACACGTCGCATCGGCGTGCAGCATCTCCGCTCCAGAGGCCACGGTGTCTGAGACAAAACACACACGGCTACAAGGGAGCTCCCAGTCGCTCCTCCCAGGTTTTGCTATGATTGTCCGAAGGGAGCGCATTGATCTCTCATGCACGGGCTACTTTCCTCCTACCTACCTAAGATGTGGGCCAATGTTCAGCCGCAGGTCGGCTCCCTCAAACATTACTCATTACCCCTCACGAGCAGGCTTGGCTATTGATGGGTTATGACTGTTCGACCGAGCCAGCCCCCCCTCCAATCCAATCCTGCAAAGCCGCACAGGCCCCTTGTTTCCCCGGGTGGCCGACCAGTGCGCATCAGCACAGATATTGGGACATGCACATCAGCACAAGTGTTGGGACAATTGGTTTCGACTGTACTACTCCGCCGGAAAATCTCCGCCCGCATCTGAGCGAGGGTATCTCATGCTACCTATGTCCCATGGCCGTGCATGGGGGAGAGCCTATTTCGTTAGGGTGCGACTGCAATTTGGGCGGCCTTGACTATGATGCATGCAGCATTCCGCTGTGTGCGAGTTTCGGGAGTTCCGTCTGAGACTTGCCTTGTCCGACAGTATTTCGCAGCACGGACTTTGGTTCGCAAATCACGGAAGCCCGCGTCAAGGCAAATGGTGGCGTATATGCAAGCCATAACAGACATGGAAACAATCATCGCCCGTCTCTATGTCGGCTTTGATCCTGCCACTGCCGGTTTGTGTGTATTCACACCGTTGTCGTGAAATGACGATGGGAGCACAGCAGGTGGTTGTGGGCTAGCAGCTGCCCCTTTGCTCCAAGTGCAAGTCGCACAAGAGAACGCCGCAACAGCGCCAATGCATCCGTTCCAAGCTTTCTACATGCTGCCCATGCAGAGGCAAGTGGTGACGGGCTTGTCTTTGGGAGGCCGCAGACAGTGGCGTCGGTTGGGACAGTACCTCGAGCTCGGGGCAGAGTTACCAAAATCGCTGAGTCCCAGAGCCTTGTCCGACGTAGAGAGATGTAGATGTACAGGTGAGTTTAAACGGCCGGCCAGTCAAGCATCACCCAGGCAGCGCCGGTCAGACTGTTAGGTCGCTGGAAACCCAATGTATAAACCAGAGCCAGTCTCTTGCTCAAGCCATGGTTCGCATGCTCGAGCATCTCTTGCATCAATTCCCCAACTTGCTTGCATTCCCTATATCCCCACGTGTTTTGGAACATCCATATCAACACTCAACGTGATCAACACTCAACGTGATCAACACTCAACGTGAGCCACCATCACCATGATGTACATCAGCCAAACGCCTGGCAGAGACAGAGACAAGCGTGGTGGACAGAACACCAAGAACTACTACCTTACCTGGCTATACATTCTTCTGCTCCGTCTCGTCGCCCCGGCCAGTTTTGTCTGCTGCCTCGTGCACTTGTTCGTCTACATCTTTGAAGTCTCGTGCCCCGCCATCACCGGCCGCCCATGGCTTACTCTTGCCGCGTCCTCTGAGGTGCTCTTCTTCATCAGCGTCCTGCCGAAGAGACTCCATCTTCAGAGTGCCCCTCCCAAGGCTGGCTTCAGAACACACTACGAGCGTGATGATCTGTTCTACAAGTGCTGCGAGTACGTGCCAAGCCTCGAGAAGTTCCTCAGCAACTGGTTCCAAGGTGCTAGTGTCGAGGAGCTCCACCGGGACGACGTCAAGGACTTCCTCGCCTGGACCTTTGCGAAGAAGTCGATCAGCTTCGAGCACTACGACTGCGAGCTTGACCATTACATTGCACACATGGAGGGCGTTCTGGGCAGGACTTTCCCCCCGGGACGAGGCTGCCATCAAGCCATGCGCTTGTCGCTGGATCCGTTGCACGTTCAGCACAAGCCGCTAGTGTATTACCTGGTAAGGCAACTGTTTCTTTGGTCCTGTTACGCTTTGGAAGTGATACGTCATAGTTGGGCCCTGATCAACACGCATGCAGACCACGTGATCTTGATATCGTGGGGCTTCTTTGAGATGTCAGTTAGATGATACTACCATCGCAGTGCCTCTTTGAGATGAATTAGATGATACTACTATCGCAGTGCATCGTTGGGATGCGAATCAGAGATATACATGAGCAATGGCTAATTAGTCTCCAGTTCGTCGTCGGTTTTAAAGATTTCGTTTCATACTTCCGACTCAGGCTGTGTGGCTTCGAACACTACCGACTCCCTGTCTACAAGCGCATGTCTGTCTTCCCCTGGCGACCACACACGGTCTTATCAAGGACAATCTCCGTCTCAGAACACCTATCGTACTTCTACCGACCACACACTCGACGCGGCCGGCGACCCGTCCTCTTCATCCATGGCTTCGGGCACGGCATATCCAGATACTCCCGCTTCCTCAAAGACTTTGACTGCCAGAATGGTTTTAGTAGTAGCGGCGTGGGCATCATCGCCCTGGAGATCATGCCGCTCACCACGCGCGTCAACGACGACGACATGCTCCCCATGGACAAGCTGATGCGTGAGATCCGGCTCGTCCTGGCCCACCACGGCTGGAGCGAGGTCACGATCCTGGCACACTCGGTCGGCACCACCATCGCCACCCAGCTGCTGCAGTCCTTTGGCCACGCTCTGACCGTCGGCCCCATGGTCCTCGTGGACCCGGTCGTCATGACGCTGCACTGGGGCGAGGCGCAGCTCAACCTCCTCTACCGCCACGCGCAGCAGCGAGCCCGGACGGCGGCCGAGCTGGAGATGCGCCACCTCTTCGGGGCGGACATGACCATCGCGCACAGCGTCACGCACGAGGTGTTTGGCTGGCAGGACAACTTGGCCTGGCGGACCGAGTTCTACGGCCGCGAGGTGGCGTTCTTCGTCTCGGGCGAGGACTTGCTGGTCGACGCGCGGGACACGATGCGGTACCTCTGCACGTGCGCCGAGGTGCCTGTCGCCGCCGCCCGCTCTGAGGAGGTTGCGGCGAGCCCTGAGCGGTATGTCATCGACGAGCCACGTGCCGCGATCCTGCACGAGGGGCTGGGCCACGGCGAGGTGTTTGACAGTCCCGAGAACTGGGGAGTGTTGAAGGGCGTTCTCCACCAGCACTGCTGTATCAAGGGTGCTTGAGCCTGGAGCTTTGAACGGGGCCGGTGACCCCCCGGCACGGCATGGCAGCGCTGCTCTCGAGGATGCCATTGCCCCCGGCACGGCCATGCGTTCACAAGGAGGAGGAGGAGGAGGAGGAGGAGGAGGAGACGGATGAATCCCGGCCCACTGTTTTGCGGCGGCGGGATGAGTTCGCGCCCCGGCCGGCAGTTTGGCGCATGTAATTTAGAACCGTCAATGCAGCAGAGGTCAATTGAGCGCGCAAGGACCGCGAGCATGGTGCGTCTTTGCAGACTACAGTGAACTCCACCGTGATGAAGTCCATCGATCTCCTGGCGGGTCGGGCCGTTCCATGCGCATGGGCCATGATGGATCGATGCTAAAGATGACACCGGCCGTGATGAGGTAAGATGTGCTTAGTCTGGCTGGAGCTCTGGGCTTGGGCGAGGGTTTAGATCATGAGGTTGGTTTGCGCTAGAGTAAGGGATGCTATGTAGTGGTGGTGATTGCTGATTTAGCTTTTGGCTCTTGTGTTGTTGTTTGGAGGTCGACCCTCAAGATGCAGCCACCGACGTGGCGACGCACTGCTGGCTGGCTGCTGCTGACGAGACCTCGGTCGACAGGTACGGTAGGGAGACGAGGAGCTGACCTAGGCAGACGAGGAGGTACCTGGAAGGATACGAGGACTCAACCAGACGCAGACCCACCCAATTGTGGGTTTGGGCCCAGTTTTCCGTCGTTTGTGAAGGCTCGCCAGCTCCCGCGTTCAGCATCAAATAACACACAAAGATGGGAAAGAATTGGTTCTATACCATATCTAATTGAAAGTTTAAATTGTCTCTGAGGGAAATCTATGTTCAGGTGCTGTGCATCTTGCGTGGGGAAAGATGAGGGCCCGTGGCGTAGCATCGTGGTGCGCGCCGTCGTGCCGGACGTGAACTTGCGATGCACTTTGTCGGAGTTGCTCTTCCTGCGCTGCACTCATCGACTGACCTCCAGGCACAAACAACAGGTGGCCAACGGCATAAAAATTGGAATGGGCATTTTCTAGTATCTAGGTATCTACTAATTTTACCATTGGTCAATTGAATGCAAGTTCAATAAGTGGTTGGAAGGAAATACAACGCAATTGTGCAATGCCGAATTTGCACTCGTTGAGCACGAGCCAAGGAAGAGCGACGAGCCACCAGAGGACAACCAATACTGCTGAATTGGATTTGCAGCAGGCGCTATTGCCTGAGCATCGCTATGATTTTGGGGCACCCTCCGCCTTACCCATCGCTAAATTCTAGGTATTGTCTAAATCACGCTTCGGAGCATTTCATCGCCCTTGTTGCTGATCGACCTCTGCTCGCCGCTAGTGGAGCAGGACAAAGCCTCAGAAACAGGCTCATCGGCCGTCGCTCTGCCCAGTCGCATCAACAACAAGGGAAAAATACAACATGGGCCGACCAAATGCCAAAAACGACAGACACTGCATCTGCTTGTACACGGTGCGAGAGACACTGGCTGCCATGGTCCCTTGTTCTTGCTCTCCATCCCTGAGACTTGGTGGCTTCTACTTCCGCCTCACTCTCTGCTTGCAAAGTCCCTTTCCATGCCCGACCATATTGACGATCCCACCCTGAGTCCTGCAGGTATTGTGATGATACCTACCTCCTCAGTCCCTCCATCCACACCAAATCACGCCCATGTACAGCAGACTTGTCCATCCATCCGACCATGCCCAGCCGAATCACAAGCAAGACAAAAGCTCGGTCAAAAAGATGAGGGGTAAGGCCGGCAGGGATAGAGCGCCGCATTGATTCCATCCGTCGAATCACACATGCCCCCTTAGACCCGCTGGCTTGACCGGTTTCTGCTCGAAATTGCTGGCTTGTCTGGATCCAAGACATTGCGGCCCAATGTTACGCACACCATGGCCGGCTTCCCTTCCCGGTATTGATCCGTCGCAGAAGGATACAGAAACACCTGGGCAAGGAATGCAGCAGTCTGAACCAACCATGGCCGGCCACCAGGTACAGGGATCGTCTGATGGCGGGTAAGATAACGCGTTCCGCGGTCCAGCTCGTTTTAGGTTATGGGTACATCTTGTACATTCATTCTCCGTGGTAAGTTCGCATGCTGCTCAGTACCCCTTTTCGGCTGTAGTACCAGTCAGCAAACTTTCTTCTTTTCAGCTCCGATACGCCAGTCAGCAGAACCTGCGACGCCGTTTGGCTCACTTCTATCGAGCGGTTCGAGCGTGCATGCGGCGCATACATGCATGCACGCCTCTAGTCCAACGAGAGATTGCCAACAAAGCAAGTGCTCGCTTCCGACACACGGCTGGGAAAGTGGAAATGTTACATCCTGCAAGCCCAATGTTAGCCCCCCGCGGAGGTACTGACACGCAATGGTGCAACCGAACCCCAGAGGGGTTCAATGTAAACTCACCACGACGACCAACATGCATTCGGCTGCATTGCAGCACACCATTATGGAGAGGGAAAAGCAATGAATGACTCTTTTTGTACACCGGTGCATGATGAACGGATGGGCAAAGCAGGTTTTCATGCATGGACAGTACTACCTCTCGATTATTGCTGCTACCCACCGACTATAGTTTGTGGTTGCAGTTTGGGCTCTTTGGCAACATGCCTCCTTGCCAAGGCTTGCCAACCCCAGGACGAAACCTCGGTCGCTGGCCAATATCCAAGCTCCAGCAGAGACGATTGGTCGAAGCCTTGGGAGGTAGGATATATTGAACAACTCATGCTGCTGCATGTACAATCACACTGAGGTTACCATCGCCTAGTTGCCCAATGGCCAACATATCGCAGTACCAGCCACCCTCCACTTCGCGCATCGGTCTCGACAACTCAGGCATGTGGTAGCACGTACTTGTGCCAACTCAACCCTCCGCCGACAAGACAGTTGCACCACCGAGACATGAGGAAACACACCGGCTGCACCTCTCGTCACTTGCATCTGGTGGCTGAACGACCAGAGACACGGAGCGTGTCTATCAATACACAATTGTGCAGCATGCCCCGAAACCCGTTCGATGAATCAAAATCAACCGTTCGGACATGGGCATCCCTTGCAACGTTATAGCAACAATCCCTCCCCTCTTCCCAGCCTCACACCCGGTGATCGTTGGACCAAGTGGATGACGCTATTCTCTCAACGCCACGGCGCCCAATGTCTCATTCCATCCCTGGATAGTACGATACACCATTGGTGATGCCCACAACACATTCCGAGCCTGTTATCCTCCGATACCCCCAGCCGCACGAGAAGCTTTGTGTTACCACACTCAACATTCAGAGCTACGAGCCGCTCGGCTTACATCCCCCCACATGTCTCAGTTTCCATTGCGGCTGCATACTACGCTCATACATGGTCCTTTTGCTCTGCAACTTGGAAATACACGTTTACTCTGTACAATGTCGCAGTGGTCGGGCTGAAATTAGTCTCGGTCGCCCCCCTTTACAGCGAGTCGACGAATCACTCAGCCAAAAAAAAACAAGTTTTTGGCTTGCATAATATTGTTTCAGTCAAGAACAAGTTCCATTGCAGTTGTTGAATGCTACGGTTTTCTTTTTACAACGATCAAGGAGCGCTCACACCCCCCTCGACAAAAGGAAATGTGACAGCAGGACGGCGTTAAAGTCAGTATACACGTACACACCATCATGGGGATAACGGGACGACGAGTTGCAGCCCGCAGAAGGGGCAGAAACAATGGAGATTTTCCCACCCACCTGTTGCTCCGATCCAGCTCCGGACAAAGGGCGACAACTCACACTTGATACCTGACCGACGTGGTGTGATACCACCATCTCAAAGCGATAGCAAGACCGGAGGCGACCTCACACCCCCCCTTAATCAGTTTAGATTTGGCTTTCCGTGGTGGAGAAGGTTTTCAGCTCGGGTAGTGCACTGGAAACTTGTTTTTCTTCCGATGCCCGTTTGACAGTATCGCCGATCGGCGACAATCTCCGCGGGGGGGGGTTGATCCCACGACGACGAACTGACGTTGTGCATTGTGGGTAATCACACTCATGCTGGTATCTTCCTTTTGGGGTGGCTTGGGTGGACACGCCGACTCAGTCGAACTGGCTGTCGTTTGTACGCCGTACCACCAAGTCGTGAGCGGAGAGCTCCGGGTTGTGCTCGCTCGGGAGGCCGTGGCTACGACGGGTGTGGTGAACTACGCACACCATCTGGTGCGCTGTAACTCAGCACCTGGTGGCACTGAAAGGGTTCTCGTACGGTGAGGTGATGCTCTATCCCTTGGGCCCTCTAGCAGGCTTGTTGATGTCTACAGGAGGTCTGCAAGGCTGATATCGTGAACGTGCTTGTCGAGTGATTCTGCGCAGGCGTAGGCCGTTGGTGCTCGGCACAGTTTTGCCATTGTAGAATTCACTGCCTATGACCGTAATGAAAACACTATATTGATCCTGTATGGTTAGAGTAAAGGCAATGCATACTTGTAGACCGTCAACTCCAACCTGTCGTCCTGGTGAGTGCTGATAACGCGGCTCTGCCTTTCGTTCAATTGGCGAATCATGTCTCGTCTTGGAGCTAGGCTTACCTCTGGACGGGCCTGGGATTGAGAGCTGCCACAACAGTTAGCTGATGAGAACAAGGAGTTCTACCCTTCTCCGTGGGTTTTGAGTTAAGATTTAAGTCAATTGGGAATTGAATGGGCTTCGGGTTGAGTTGAAGTGGAATATTTGACTCAAAAGTGCTTGATCGCAGTGGTTTTGTACTTCGTAATGGGTTGACGAAGCGGCCGTGGCATCACTCAGACATCAGCGGCGAGATATCAACCAAGCCAACAACTCCGTTCATGCCGGTTTGATCTCTCCTTAACGGCAGAAGCAACTAGATTATGATTTACGTATAAGTCACTTAATCATTACGGCTCCTTGTTTCATTTTAAAAGATTAGATAAATGGCTTCTATGCGCGCGACCGTGCGGATTGAAAAGCCCAACCGGATGCTGGAGACAATAGGGTAGCACATGTTCCCAGCCAAAAAAGACACCATCACCAGGTCAGATTATCAATTGAACTGGTATCGTCCCCTCTAGAAGCTTACTGTTACGTGAAGGCATGCAATTGATCTAATGGACAAAGAGAATCTTTTTGATTAGGATTGGTCGTGAGTAACAATCGCGGAAACTGGGAGCAAGGGACGCCAGGTTTGGATCCCATCTACGCGTTTGCCCCTGATACCCCTGAAGGGACTTCGTCTTCATTCCGTAGCTGGGCTTCAAAGTCATCTAATGACTGTTAGCTAGCGGACTATGCTTTAGATAGCTTCAATAAAGGTTGAATACCATCTCTGGCCCGATATCTTCACATCCATTGGGGTCACGCGGCGAAGGAACAGGTGATTGAAGCCTTTTCACCGACGTTATTCGCGACGATTGTTGTATAAATTGAAGTATCACACGGCTATTTCGATAGTCTGAAGCCCATCCATCCCACGTCCATTGAAGTCACCTCTATAGTAAAACCCGTAGTATTGCGAAAACACTGTTACCCCTGAGGCAATGACACCTGTTCCAGCCCCTATCCGGCGCGATCCCCTACGCAACACGTACGCCCGTTGTCTTGCCCTTGCGAGATGTCACGCCAAACTTATCGCGAGATCTCGGGTCTTCCAGCGGCGAACACAGGTGGCGCAATGACGCCGTGTGCGTTCTCTATGTGAAACTCGAATCGCCAAGGCGTCTCGATCGAATGGTGGGCGGACATAACGCAGATTGCTCAACCGATCTTGCTCGACCACGTGGAGGTTGTAGGTTTCGGGCGCTCGTGAGGCTTGATAAAGGTAATCTCTTCTTGTTTTGTTGGGTTTAATTGAGGTGCTGAGCGCGTTGAATATCTGGTTGTCGAGTGTTTGTAGAAAACGGCAGGAACCTTGGGCACTAACACGTTCGTATCATGCCGCACCTTCCTCGCCCAAAACTTTGAGGAACTACCGCAAAGAACGTCTCCATTCCTCCACCGGCATTCAGCAGTCCTCTATATCATGAATTTGAAATTTCTGTCCATGGAGCGCAAGCAGTCGTTGCCGTGATCGCCTCCCCCGGAGATTTGACTATACCTTCTTCCTCAACATTATTGACGAGATGCGCTGCTCGGTCGAGATATGGCAGGAGATCTAAGAGAATATTGAATTACGCATCGTGAGTTCTCTCTCTCCTTTTGCAGTAATCAAATAGGATGACAAAGTGCTTTCTTACGCCACGTTTTGCATTGCCCCTTTTCTGGTCTCCTGCCACTCCCTCGCGGAGCCAGTAACTCAACGCTACAGCACGTACTTTGCTAAACAGGCGAGCCATATCCCAATGAACTCTACCTGGCATGAAAGGTCACTTCAATAGTTTGATTCTCCACGATAGCACCATCTGCGCTGCTCGAACGAACGTGGGAACGGAGAAGACGCACCGTTCGAAGAAAAGCTCTTGCCCAACACAGCGAGACCGAACAGGACGAGTAGACCACTTGGAACCAAGAATGAGGCCCGAGCCGACAAAGATCCCCAGACGATGAAGTGTCTTCCACCAACGGCGCTTGAGGTGTGGAGGTGACAGGAGAATGACCTTCTCCGGGACCAAGATTCATGCGAGCAGGCAGCATAGATGATGGGCTTAAGATGTCGGCGAGCTTCTCCCTCGGGCTGTGAACCATCTTTTAAACATTTGGCCCGAGGTCGAGCCCTAAAAGTCTTTGATTGGCGTGAAGATCGAGATGGCCATTGGCCATCGAGGTATGTGAGCCCTTGAGCGCCACGAGGTTCTCTATTTCTCTGATGAAATGGCCCGATGCTTGCGATCCCTGAGGCGTATGCGATGCCCAGTATGTTATCATGATGGCCGTTCTCCTATACTCTCCATAGAGTTATCTATGACAGGCAGGCTGACAAGAAAATAAGGCAACAAGCCTTCTCTCCTTAGACTGGAAGCCTTTCAGCCAGTTCTCAATTATCCACGATTTTTACCCTTCAACGCACGACTCCCCTGATAGAAAACGCCACTGGCCATACAATTGGACGAAATTACTTCCTACACGTTGATTATTTATTATTTGGCTTCCAAGGCTCAAATTCAATGGTAAGAGTGAGTCGAATAGAGGCAATGTTGAAGCAAGAACTCCCAGAAATGACCATCTTCGTTTCACTAATTTGGAGTCACAGGCGGAGAGTGTCACTGTGAAAGGACAAGTACGGGCGATGTTAGCTTTCTGAGGGAATAAAAGAAGCAAATCAGAGTCTTTGTTTACAGAGAACCTTTCTTGAAACTAATGGACGGAATCTGAGGGGGGACTACAGAGGTAGGCGGCGCAGAACCGAGAGCCATGCCATACGTGCTCTGCAGAAGAATTGTGATAACAGATATATCTTTCACGAAAACACTGACTAGATATTTAGTCAGTTCTGTTCCCATTGAGCAACCAAGGTTTCATATTACTGTCAGAATTGCTGGGGCAACACTAGACGACCTTACCATCAAGGCTGCAAGGGTATTACGAAGGTCTGGGTCGAGACAGGTGGGAGGTCTTGATGGCACTGCCCATTTCCGTGAACGAGCCACGGCGAATCCATCTGAAACCAGATGCAAGAGATCACAAACATCGACAACATGCCGTCGGAGAAGTCGGAACCCAACGAAGACAAGCGATGTGAAGCAACGAAAATGCTTCATGCTTTGAGAAGCTGTTCCCTCTAAGCAACTGGAAGCTGCATCAGAGACTGATAACATCGAAGATAAGAGGGATCGATTGGTATTATTGATGGTGGAGACTGAGCCCCTGACAACACTTGGTCTCCTTCATTGAAAAATCCGACGGATACTTGTACGCTCGATTGTTATTCTTTGTATGGAAACGGACACAGCATATGACTTCAGCGCTGGCGCTGGGTGTGGAAGTGGCCGTGATGGTCAGGGTTAGGGTTAGGCCCCTGAACCCATAATCGAGGTCACAATCGAGTCTCCAAAGTCCAGCGCAGGTTTAGCAATGCAATGGTACCTAGGAAAAAACAACAGACTTGCCATCAAGGATGTTGAAGGAGACTGACGATACATCTATGTCGATTTACGAAGCTGGCTGTGATAGTTGGCGGACTTGTTTTTGATTAGTTGGCGTTGCAAGCTTCCGACACAGTCACTGAGGCAGCAATTTTCCTTGAGGAGGCGAAGGTCTAAAAACTTAGTACAACACGTCAAAACATAACAGGTCATCCTGGGAACTGCCGAATACTTACCTGCCTGCGTTGTCTGAAAGTTGGTTTGAGGACAGCCATGTGAACGCAAGGATAAGATCACTGGTTTGGAAATTGTCTGCGAGATCAGAGACTGAATGCGATAGATTCTTCTCGCAGCGTACTAAGATTTGATGGCAAGAAATCAAAATGTTAGAGCTCTTTTCACGCCTTTCTAGCACACTTTGAAGAGAGGGCCGCCAGAACTGTCATGCCTGAGGCACAACCGCCGGACCGTCTACGACTGCCACCACCAGGCTGTAGTTTTTTTATGGCATTATCATATCTACCTCGTCGCACCGCAAGATGACCTGCCCAACTCAAGATTGCAAGAAGATCAACGCCTCGGGTAGAGACACCCGTGAATTCTGCGGCACGCGGCTGCCTCAAGCCGTTCAAGGTTGCTTCAAGGTTGGCTTGTCCTTTGTGAAGTTAACACGAGCTAACCATTACCAGACGAATGATTGCTCGACTCTCATCGGGATTGTGACGGAGGTCTCTCGCGTACAAATAGCACAGGAACAATCGAGGCCCTGTTTCTACTAAGTACTGCTTCCCTCATTATCTAGCTCTAGCTCTTTGAGCAAGTTCACACCACGTTCGTCCAAGTTAGGATAGCTTGACAGAGCATAGTAATCCAACCAGAACTCGCAAGCATCCGTATGGTCCTCCATGTGTTTCCGAAGCAAGGCCTTCCAGTCTCGGTCATCCTGTCCCTGGCTAATCCTTGTGGAGGCGAACTCCCACCACACTGGGAAATAACCACTCGCCTCCCAATCAATAATGCCTGACACGTTCCCATCTTCAACCATGACGTTGTCGGTCGTCAAATCCCCATGTGTAAATGTGTATGGTGCCGCAGGGGGCATCCGGCTTCGCAAACGATGACGGGCTTTGTCAGGGATTCCTTGTAATGCCTTTGCCATCTCTTGCCAGAGTTGATCATCCGAGCTGAGAGGGCCGTGCGGAAGACCGAACCCATTTCGAAACAAAAAAGCAGAATACAGAGGCTGGTCATGAAGACTCTGCAATTGGGACGAGTTTAGCTTTCGAAGTTGAGCCAGATATCCGGCAGTCTGCCTCGCAAGACGATCGCGATCGGGTTCCGACAAATCAGGCCAAGCTGCGCTCAGAGGCACGCCAGGAATGCGCTTCATGACCAAAAAATAGGAGCAATCGCTTTCGGTCCATTCTTGGATGATGTCGGGAACTGGGATGGTTGTATTGCCTTGTAGAAATCGTGCGTTTCGAGCTTCGAAGTTGGGTTGGGCATCAGACCGCTCCTTGATAATCAACTTCGAGCCTACAGACCACACTCCTCGATCGCTCACTCCGTAGAAGAGCTTCACGTGGCTCTTATAACGACAGGATTCCTGGCGATGGGTTGACCAGCTACAGGCAGCACAGGCAACTTCGTTGGCCATTCTGACTCTGGAGCATGGGCACGAAGCAAAGGTCGCGACTCAATCTTTGTAGTTACTGTTGAATCGCATTGTGTGAGGTGTTGCGCCCCTGGTTCGACAGGTCATTGCGCGCATACAATGGGGGATGCGTATCACGTGGCAAGAGCTGCATTCATTCAAAAAGTCAGTTCACACGCTTGAGGCGAGAGGACAGGTTCTTTGAGGAGTAGTGTATAGGTATCATCCGAATAATCGTAGCTGTATACATGCATAGGTACAGAGAGGTAGAATTCATTGAATCCATCCATATGTACAATCCGTGCAGTGTAGGTTAACCTGGGCACAGGGCCTGGGCCGGCGTAGCTCCACTGGAAAGGCTGGAGTTTAGGGTGCGCTCTGCCGCTAACGACATGGACCAACTTAGGTAAGGCATGTGACATGCCCGGGCTTTGGTTGTAAATTTGTCTCGAGAGCGTATCTTGATGTGCTACGCAACACCACAGAATTGAAGCCCATCTACAACGATGACGTACGAATCGACCGCCGTGTTCGAGGGCAGAATAAAAAGCCGATGTCCCATGGGAGCTTATGATATCCCCGGACACACCAGTTGAGCTACATATTCTACAAAACCCACCCGCCAGATGCTCCCAAGATACTCGACAATTTACCACACCCTCGAAGACTCCCCGTGATTGCTTCTACGATGTCTCTGCGCTGACTCTCGGGCCAATGCGATCGCACGAGCCGCAGATGGCATCGGCCATGAGCTGTCTAACATTTATTGGAGGAGGAAACGGCCGAAAATGCTGACACGACACTGCTTTGTGCGGGAACTTCGGCCCGTTGTATATTGGTCCTCGGTCTGGCTGAAGCCCGAAGCTGGAGGGCAGCACGCGCCTCGACTTTAGTTTGCATTGGACAAGGTACCAACCCTTTGCATTTTATGATAACTCTAGCCAATCATTTGCGCTAATCGTCGCAGCAGCTCCCCTACTTCGTTCGCTCTGGCCGCGCGATTAACCTGGTGCCTATTGACGATATCGACGTCCACTGCGACAATCTTGCGAAGCGACGGGCTGCACCCATCTAAATCGCGACCTACGACGAATTGATTTCGTTAGAAGAATGCTTGCGATGCACAAAGTACACTCGTATACGGTCGACCACATGGTTCACGAACTTTATATTATGGACGGCGGGGTACTAGCTTTCTTGCCGGGCTGGCGACGACCGCGCTCAGCTGCAGGTCGCCGAGCACATTTCGTGAAGACCTCAGCACCTGTATACTCGAACGATCGCCACACGTTGGCGAGGGGCTGCTCCACGGATTGCTATCATCATGCTGCCCAGGTCTTGCTAGGCGCATGAGTTGGCCTAGATTCGCAGGATAGCTCTATACATGGCACTATAGTATTTAGAAAATTAACATCGAACCCAAAGTAAAACCAATCGCCGTAGTTCTGATGATGCTCTCTGAACAACCAGCAGCGCGTCGGACGCACGCGTGCTGACCCACCAATCAGGACCGGTAAAGCTCGGAAATTCTGTCCTAATTTTTCAGGCATCGAATGATGTCATGCTGTGGGTTGAAACGCGCCGCGAGTCCAGCAATTGATGGAAGGCAGCGAGGAAGGTGCTGAATATTTTTCGAGGAAGCACGACTGACAGAGAGACTCATTGCCGTAACATTTGCGCACGTCTGGTCTGTTCCTACCCCCACTCTATGGCCCGGTCCAAATAACCAATTGGCTCAGAGGTTGGTGAACACTCTAATAATTGGCCATCTGCCAAAGTGTGCGATCGAACACAGGCTCTTATTATCTACCTTAGATACATTAGCGAACGACAATTTGCACACCCCACGGCGATACTAGCCCGTTCCCCTGGTTACGACGACCTCGAGTTGCCAGTTCACCAGCGAGACGGGAAGAAATAGCCCCTCGTTGCCCCTCTACCCTACAAACAACCCCTTTTCGAGCGCCGACATTGTCTACAAACTTGAATACATCGATGACAACGAACAAAAATGCTCGACAATCCCCTCATAACCAATTCTAGTATTGGCTCGGATGCATCTTTGCTGGCTCCATGTGATGGAGGAGCAGGGTGAATCCCTGAGCTTGGAAAGAACGTCGTTCCCCAGAGCCACCCAACGAACCCAATTACGATGCCTCGAAGTTTCGTCTCGCTCGAAGATATACTACACACAGCTGGGCTTGACAACTCGCCCCGCGGCGCTGTTAACGAAGCTTTGAAGTACAGTCATTGAGGTGTCCTACGCAATGAACAAGTCGAGTTCCTATGCCCTTCGTTGAAAAGGGGGTTGATGAAGACCTATCAACTATCCTCGGTTGCTCTGAACTACAACGCTCGATAACACTACCCTATACGAGCCACTTCAGCAAATAGGCGGATGCCCCCGAGCGCACATGCATGGATGCTGGAACTCGAGGCATATCCCTTCGTGCGAGAATACTGCCGATCGAAGCAATCGAATCTACATGGGGTGTGGTTATGGGGTATCGCATATCCTTCCACACATAGATCTGACGCCCCCACACGCTTCCAGAGCGTGTGCGGCTTGAAGCCAACCTGCTCTGGTAGCGTGATTTTCCGGCGATAGGCGTATGGCAGAATGATGTCCCTCGCCACCCGGATTTGTAGCGAGGACCGTGTATTTTGGAGTGTTGCTGGGTCGACTTAATGCCGAAGCCTTGCGAGCTACAGCGAATACTTCTTCTCAGCCTCCTATAGCGACGAGTCTGATGGGTCGTATAGCTGGCTGTCTGGTTAATATGGTGGATAAATCTACCACAAGGTTTTGGAGTTGAACGATGGCGCTTGGCAGATCACCGGGGATCTCTTAACGATCCTCTACTACTGGTGTTGAGGGCCTGATCATATTACTATCGACCAGCCACATGCCAACCCGACAATCAGTTTCTCGCATATGCATGCCTCGCGGGTGCTGGTTTCCCGAGTACATGCCGACGACCTCTTCTGCTCAGTTAACCCCATGGGGGCCTTTCATGTACTCATTAAAAAGCACCTTGGGAAGGCTCTGGTCTGGACTGGAGCGGTTGACACAGCCTTGGGGTAGATTTGGAAGCACAATTGTATGTTGTGACAATGAGACATTGGATCTTTGTTCCAAGACGACATCTTGGTGGCCAATACAAAGCTGGAAGCCAAGGCCATGCAACGACCACACGATGGACAAGGCTTTAGGCATGTTATTTATGGAAGCGAGAACAACATAAATGCCATCATCTGGCACTGCAGTTTTTTGTCTTGCCTGCATTGTCACCGTCAATGTCTTGGAGGTCATAAAGTAAGGGTTTATTTTGGAAGAGCTAAATCGGTGTATGAGCTTGTGGCTGATACCCCTGACTAGATAGTTCGCAAGCCCGAGTTCTTATACTCCTCGCCCCCGTTCTGTTTCCTTAGCATGCTCAGAGAAAATTACCATAGCCATTCGCTAAACAAGAATAACTGGAAACAACAACAATGAGAGCCGAAGAGTTTACGGACCTGGTAAAGTACTGCTATATAGTCCGTTCCGAGAGCGAACGTCCCATCTTCGAAGATGGACCTGAAACCAGCAACTACCAAATCGAAGACCGCGACTTCCGGAGATTCGTGGATGGCCTCAAGAAACCGCCTGGCCAGGACGATGCACCCAATGACGTTTTGATGAAGCAAGTATGCTATGCCCAGTGGGCAGACCGCGCGCAGAAGCTCTGTCTTGTACGTCGTACACTTTCCACCACTTACTGTTGGACTAGCGACCGCCGTGATGATCGTTCAGAAAACGCGAATGATACGTTATATTTGAATGAACTCAGCAAACCGTCTGTCTTTGACATGGAGTTTTCCAGGAATGGTCGGCTATTTACTGGATACTTCCAGGAATACCGTCCTAATCGTTCCTCATGGAATGAGGAGGGTGACTCGTGTGTTGGAGCCGTTACAAGGAAGGGGAAGCTCTTGCTACGAGAGAGCACGCCTATATGCATCCCAGAAATCGCATTGTTTACCGTCACTCTCCATAGAGGGGTTTTGCGTATAGTCAAACATTACAGCCCCTATATCTACACTGACCGTCAGTGGTCTCAGATCATCTATGCCGAGATCGACATGGCATCAAATAAGCAGAAATTTGAGAGGGGTATCCGTACTGTGCACAAACTGCGGATGGCGGCGGTGGAGTTCTGGGAGTCGGTGGCTACCAGTGTCGGTGATCCATCTACCTGTGATGTTGCACCCGACGATTGGATACCGCTTCAAGAGAGGCTATTCAACTTTCCCGCGGCCAATTATATTTTTGAGAGCCTTAGCCCCCGCATCAAAAGAGGTATCGATGTGAGTGTTAAGTCGAGGATCGGGGACGAAGAGTTCCGGACATTCAAGGACTCTCCCTGGACGACCGGCTCAGACAGCGTCAGGATATTTGCCAAGTACGCGTCTGATCACCAGTCACCTCCCCCGTTCGCGACCAGTATACCACTCACGCAACTGGGGCTAGATCCAGCAGACCCAGAATACGAGCCGTATGATGGATACGTGCCCTCTAACTGTTACATCTCGGTCGAAGAGGGTGATCCTAGGGATTACGGGTTACGGGAAAAGGTCATCAACCCTGCAAGGAGCTTCGCAATCTTCACGAAAACGGTGATCCGATTAGTGAAGAAGGAACTCCCCTTCTGGGACAGTCTAGTCGCGTTCGGTGTGTTCGTTACGAAGCGAGCCATGGAAATTTACTTGTTTTACCTTTCGGATTCTAGGCGCGATGCCTTGATAACACGCGCCGTTAAACACTTCCCCCTGTGTCAGGATAAGGAGGGGTTCGAGCAGGCTCTTCGTGCCTTGGACCTGGTGCGCAAGACGGCGGCGGAGATCCGGCGACGGCTATGCGCGGACGTCGCAGCTCGCCGTACCGGGGAGATACATGTGCCTGCAGAGCCCGACCTCATGGAGGTATCGAGGAGCGAAGACGAGGAAATATCCAAGGTTAACGACACAATGGCGCGGGTCGACCTCCGTGCCGAGGCTCCGTCGGTCGGTTCGGCACCCGCGGAAGTCGAGACGAACGCTGCCAGCCAACGTGGCCAGAAGAGAGGCCGGGAAGAGGACGAGGATGAGGCTCCCCAGACCATGAAGCACAGGAGAATCATGAAGATGATGCCGCAAGCTTGCCTGGGTGCTGATGCCGGATCTGTTGGCCTTGCGGCTGCGGACACCAAGGCAAACTTTGCGAGCCAAGATGATCGGAGACGAAGGCAGGATGGGGATGAGGGCGAGACTGCCGGGACCAAGCTAGAACTCCAAACAGGTGGTGGCGGCATGTTTGGTGGCCCTGCGCCCGTGGACAAGAAGGCGGATCCTGCGAGCCAAGATGCTCAGAACCGAAAGCAGGATGAGAATAAGGGTGAGACTCCCCAGACCGTAACTACTGGGACCACGGGAGAATCCCAACCCAGTGGTGGCCCCGCGCCCATGGACAAGAAGGCGAATCCTTCCAGTCAGACTAGTCGGAAGCGAAGGCGGGATGAGGACGAGGACGATGTTACGCACTTAACGGAGAAGTACAGGAGACTTGGACTGGATTCCTCATCAAGGAGGAAAGTGAAAGTGGAAGGGGATCACGATGCTTAGAAGCTGCACGGCTGGGCGCATTGGAGTTTTTCTTTTTTGTTAGATTTTCAGGAAGCAACATGTAGAAATCATTTTCATTGCAGAGAGCTACACTAAAACTGAGTCCGAGGGAGCCGTGATAGTTGAACAGATCATCCCATACCTCCAATCCATTTTTTTGGTTGTATTTGTCTTATGAAACGTACAAAGGGAAGAAGATATCATCAGTCATTACAAGCGCACACATGAGAGAGCCTGTAGCTCAGTATTAAAGAGGGAAAGCCTGCTGTAGGCCATGGCTAAACTAAGATGCAGCCTTGAAGAAAGAGAACAAAGGGGCAACAAAGCGAGAACAAGGAAGGAGATGGTGAACAACTTGGGTGGTGTTGAACTCATGGTACCAGAGACAAAGCCTTCCGTCTTGAGGGCTCTGTGGCGTCCAGGAGGGAGGGGGCAAGGTGGGAGGAAAGGGGAAACAAGTTAGGGACAGAAGAGAAATGAAGAGAAATAGTAGTGAACAACCGAGAGATGTTGGCAAGCAAGTTGCTCCGGACAGGGGAGAGAGCCTGATCATATTATGAGGCTGAAGAGAAGGAGGACGATTCTCAAACCTCATCGGTGATGGTTGGGTGATCCTCAGGTGCCTGTGCCCCAGACAATGAGGTCGGCATCCTCTAGAACCACTCCCTTGTCATCAACCTGTTGAAGAAGCTGGTCAAATACATTTCCCTGAGCCTTAGCCAGGTCGATGAACTTGTTGTAGCTTGGGTCATGGTCGCTACCATGCCAGAGGAAGCCATTGAGGTTCGTGAGCACGATACGGGAGCCAACACCGCCCTTGTTGTAGCAGTAGGACATGGTGAAGTGCTTGGCTTGGAGCTTGTCATGGCGCAGCCGGGTAGCATTCGTGATGACGGTGTGGACGGTGCTGATGATGGTAGAGATGGTGCGTTGCCATAGGTGGCGTGGGATATGCTCGCAAAGCTCATCGGCGGTGAAGCCTGGAACGAACTCTGTGACAGTGCCATAGACGATGAGCGGCTGCCCGTAGACGCTGGTGGATAGGTCCAGGCTGACGCTACCCAGGTACTTTGAGAAGCATGACCGTGCAGGCTCGCCGAGTCCCTGGACGCTGCTGTAGGCATGATCATAGGAACGGGCGTCCTTTGTTTGAAGCATGATCAGCAGTGCTCGGAAGCAGGCCTCTCTATGTTGCAACGGGCCCCGACGGAGGTGTTCGAAGAGCAAACTTGGTTCCCTAGACCAGGTGTTGATATCAGCGTCATACCCGTCGGCCGCCATGTATGCGAGCAAGCTCTGTTCAGTTTCCACTGTCCATGGCTTCAGGCCCAGCTGCTTGCGTAGGTCGCCGGCGTAACGAGGGTCACGCATGATGATTTGAAGCATTGGCGGGAAGTCGAGCTCAGGGTGGGCGAAGGCGGTATGCCCAGAGATGATGACACAGTCTTCGTCATATTCGACTTTGACTGGGTATACTTTCAAGAGCTGTTGTTGGTTTCCAACGAGGAAGTTGAGCTGACCGCTCTCGTAAGTGATCATTCTGGAAGAGGGCATTGTGGGTGGTGAGTTTGCGAAGGCAACGACAAAGAGTGATGGAGGATTGATGATAGACGAAGCCGAGATGAGAGAGTTTGGAAGTGGAAAGTTGTTGAGGAGCTTGCGTTGGAATGGTGTGATTGAGCGGTTGAAAAGTAGAGGTGATGGGATGAAGGAATTGGAAAGAAAAAGAAGCCCGAGATTGGTGAGGATGTGGTACTTATTCTTGCTGCATGCTGGCCGCCGAGTTGAGGTGGCAGTTGGGCACAGTCGGCGGCGGCAAGTGCTACCCACCTCACCTCCAAGACGACCACCATTTCGGAGCTTTGAGACAACCTATGCAAGAGCAAGGCTTAGCTGAACGCTGGCGGGTGTCTGGATAACGGATGCTGGCCACAGTTGCATGTGATATGCAGGATGCGGACCAGTCTTGCATCTGGAAGGTCAGCATGGCGCTGCGCGTCACAAAGGCAGCCATCGAGGGAACATCAAAAGGCGAGGTCGCTGACCGGTCTGCAGTGCTATGCATGCCGCTCAGTGGTCACAGGTACCCACGGTTACTGCTAGGTACTACCAATGTACGATGTATTATGTCGGCAGGTCGTGCAGCCTGCCTACCATCGGAGCTCATAGCTTTCTCCAATACACTGTGGCAGAAGGACAAGCATGGAAGAGCCCAACTACACAGCTCATCCACCCCGATACATCCATCCACCTGCAACGCAGAAAGTAGCCGCGGACTCGGGCGAAGTGAATTTCAATTGCTAGACTAGATGTCCCCTTCTACGATATATGGCTGGTACAAAATGGTGGCGGAAATAGTTGGGTAGTTCGGGTTTCACGACGCAGATGGATCCATGATAGGGAGGGACTGTGTGAAGGACTGTATGAGCTGGCAGCCATATGGGAGCACCGCAGCGTTCCCTCGGGCTGATTACTGGCCGTAGGACAAGAAAAAGCAAAAGAAAAGAAAGACGAGACGGAAGGAAAAGAAAGGTGGTAGGCGGAGTGCCGGGGGTGACTGTGATGCATGATTTCGGGTGCGTTCCTTTGGGTGTGTGGCCCCGCGATCTTAGTCGCTAGCCGAGACTTGGCCAGGGAAGACCAGGTAGCTATCCAAATCCCAATATGCAGGACGACAATCCGTACGACAAATTCTTCCATGGCTCATCAAGCTGTGATCCGAGTTCATAGATGGAAAAAGAAAATCCCACTCGACCGATGTAACCCCCCTTGACAGAGCAGTGTCATTCACCTGTCTCAGGTTTCAGAGAGAAAGAGAGCGATAGAGAAGCAGAGAGAGAGCAAGACACGCACAAGTGCATGATGGCTCTTCTACAGTTGGTGATCCGCAAAGTCTCGAACCTGTGGACCGCACCCGCATACCGCGCAGTGGGTGGTGTAGCATTGGTCTCCTTCTAGGTAAAGACTGAGTATGCCCTGAAGGATCGCTGCCGGCAGTGGTTTAACGGGTTAAAGCAAAGCAAGGTGCCTACATCTTAGTCATTTCCCCAGATGTCTATGGATTGCAAACCAGTGACCAGAGTCCATGCATCAGAATCGACCCTATATGGGAGGTAGTGGGATACGGCCCGGCGCTATCTACCGGGGCAAATCGCTGAAAACTAGCGGGTGATCTGACGTTACACTCTTGGCCCCCCTACATTTGCAATTCGGTAAATGCTGGAGATGATGTGTACATATCAAACCTGACAGCCAGATTGGCCGCTCATTCCACTATTGTGGACAGTGTCATTGAGCTTGGGCAACCCATGAAACAGCACTCCGTCTTGCCCGACCATTGAAAATCCCGGCTCGAGAGCAATGTGGCTTTTTCTACTCTGTGCCACTAAAGTAAAAAGCAAAAACAGTATGCAGGTAGAGCCTGCTGGAGGAACATAGGACGGGAGACGAGACCGAGTTAGGCTGGGGCATCAGCATGGAACGTATGTGAGAGAATGGGCTAGGCACATGCTACGACAAGCGGATAAGACCCTTGACGAATGGCAGCAGAAGCCGATGACCGACTTTGTTGGATCATCGTTTCTTGGCAAAGATAAATGAATGCCAGTGTGAACCTTGTACCAGTAGAGCAGACCAATAGCTGGAGAGTGGGCATTTGAAATCAAGGCAGCCGGTTGCCTTGCGTAGGCCGCTTGCCAGCTGAAAACTGAACGGCAAAAGCAATATCATGGCTGGCCAGAGACCCATTGCTGGGGAACATCAATCAAAGACAACCATGCTGAAGATTACAAACGGTTGACTTGTTTCTTGGATGGCGGTGCTTGCCACGAGAAAGTCGATGAAATGTCACAGGGCATCGCCTCTACACCTTGCAATGTAGACTTTTGGCGGGTGGGGTGGGTGACATATTTAAGACATGTAAGAAAAAGCAATGAGATGCTTGTGAATGCAATAATGCTGCAAGACGCCGAAATGATGACAGCCATTCTGTTTTGGGGGCACGGCACGCTGCATGCGTTCTCGCAAGAGACTGATTCGCGGAGTGGCGGTTGTCTTCGTCTGAGTGGAGCTGAGCCGGTGAGGGCAAGGAGGGTCTCGTCCGGGTCGACTACGAGCGGTCTGATATACGGCGAATGTGATAGAGTAGAGATAAACCAGATTCTGGGCCCATGGAAGAGGGAGGGGAGGGAGATAAAAAAGAGTTTAGTCGATCCAGGAACCTGGATGTACTAAAGTGACCTAAGCTGAGCCATCTCAGTGTTAGCCAAGCAATCTTGAAGGCATGGACACAGACACAAGGCTGCTTCAACCGTAGATCAAGAAGACTGACATTTCAAGATCAAAGATGTGCACCGAGGCCTTGATGCTGAAAGCCTGTTTGACCTCGACAAAGAAAAACTACCGGTAGCTGCCATGCAGAAGCATGTTGTTGTTGTCACTGCGCAACTGCAGTCGACAATCTGGCGACAGCAAATAGGAAGTCGGGCAGATGTGCAGATTGCTGTGATCGGCCATGCAGTATCCGGTTCTGAGGCAGTCAGCCGCTCGCTCAGGCCGTCGCTCGAAATCAATGAGAGGAGGGATGGGGTTCTTTTCCTGTCTGCTCGATGGTTACGGCTGGGAGGAAACAGTGGCGTCTTTGCTGCAGCAGGACGGTTGCAGGAGGTGTGGCGTGTAGGATGAGGTGTCGAATATGCAACCCCCTCAATCTTTCGCAGCACGCCCCTCATCTAGGCCTCGAGCGGGCGACAATCTGCAGAGGATAGAAGACGACGGGAGGTGCGACGGCGGACCGGACATAGGAGAGACATTCTTGCAACCTACATGAGAGGAAAATTGAGAGGACCGATGCACTCGGCCTGCGAGGAGCAGATTTTGTGATGACGAGAAAAAGCGACGACGGCACACTGCAGGCATTGTTTGAGAAAAGAAGGACTGATTGGCTGACACTGGATCTTTTTCAGGCAGACCGTCTGCGTGCTTCCCCCCTCAATCGCACTGAACGGCCTGAGGCCCTCCCCCTGCTGCCTTGTCGAACAGCCAGTGCATGGAAGATGCTGGTAATTGTGCAGGCCGTCCAGAGACTGAGCGAAGGTCTAGAACTCCAGATGCAGCGCAGCTTCATTACAGTGACCTCATCGACCAGCCACGGCTAGGTCCCCAGGGCACTCCGAGCTCGCGGTCGACAGCCCTGACCCCGGTTTCTAGAGAGCAGACAGGGCGCTTCACTATAAGCCATTGCTGGATTCTTCTTTTTTCTTTTCTTCACTTTTTCTTTTTGAAAATTTACATTGTCTGTTAAGTGATGGACACCACGGAAGTGAGGCTTCGATTGCATCCGTTTGAGCTGACACCGACATGTGCAACATCGGTCCTGGATCAAGGTCCCTACATGCCTGCGGGTTCTTCTGCTATCAGTTTAGCGCCCATGCAAGTATCCTATCGGCATATTTTCAGCTGCGGCGATCATAAACTTGAGCTAAGTCGGGTGCTTGGTCCAGGCCTGAGCCAAACCGAGCCTCAATCTACTCCCCCCGTCTGCTGCAACAACGCAGCTCAGCCCAATCTGCAGGCTCCCTCCAGATCCGCTATCCTCTTGGCAAAGTGGACAATAACCTTGAAACCAATTTACCTGTTCCAAGTGCCATGGCGTGCGAATGGTATCCCCAGATCACACCGCAGAGGGTTCACCCAGCTAGCAGTCTGTAGGCCGCCACCCTCAGCTTGCTAACCTCTGGCTATGTCGCCCATTCGGCCTCTGGCTTACCCTTACTCACTTCTCCGTGAGGCTTCCCTCATTTGTGGGAGTGATATCTGCTGTTCCTGGGCAGATGTCCAACTCGCTGAGATGTTGAGCTAAGGGACAACACATGTGACTCCTTCGACGGGGCCCTACTCATCCTACCCCGGTTTCCATTGCCTTCTCCTCCCGTCACAGAAGAGAACAGGGCTCGCCTTATGTGACTTGCCGCTGCAAGATGTACCTCTCGCTCACCTCTATGATGGGTGGCGTAAATCAGTGAGACACTACCACTTTCCACCCACACCTCCCCCTGGTCGTCCTCGCTGTTGATTTTTCCGACTATGGTCGACGCTGCAGCTCTACAGACTGTTCATTTTTCTGATGCTGCCACTATCCGGAGTGTCGTGTACATCATTGCCTGTAGATGAGTCCTACTAGGTGAGTGACGGGCTATATATTTGATGCCTTGCTTCCTACAGATCTCTCTCTCAATTCTCTTCTTTCCATCACACTTCACAACTTCTCAAAGTAAATTCACCTTTCGATACATCATTGACTCAATTTATATCATCTTGTTCAAGCTCGCCATATCTAATCATGCCTTCCCGAACAAACTCTACTGCCCCCTTCAGCCGCGACTCTGAGGACACTCATAATGCTTTCCTTGCGGACGAGGATGAGTCCAATTCCTCCATTGAACAGAGCCATTACAATGAGCTCCCAGAGAACACCCAATTTTTTCAAGATGCGATTGCATCCGGCCAAGAACCGGCCGCCACGTTCCCCGAGGAGGTCCAGGAACCGCGTGTCGATCACTCAGACACCCGTCCCCGGCTTGTACCATTTCCGTCTCGCAGCATTGCCGTCAGTTTCCCTCTTCTTGATCTACCTTATGATCTAAAATCCTCGAGATGACATCTGGCTAATAGTTACAGTCACAGGATTTGCCAGATGCGTTCCGCCCAGGATACTTCGACAATGCCGCCGCCATGCCCAACCCGTATCGCTTCCCAGCTGGCGCTCCCACGCAGCCGGCCGAACGACCAGCCCTGTGGGATGACACCTCATCATCAACACCTCCATTTCCCACGGTCTCTCCCTCCGCAACCTCCTTTGCCGCCCGGGCATCTAGGCTGAGCCCGCACCACATGCGTACAGTCGACTTCTCACCTTCTCCGCCGTCACCTAGTTGTCTGGCTTATTCGTCCACGGCTCGTGTTGTGCGTGGTAATAATCCCTACCAACGGGGCGCATATACGGCCCAGATGCTCAGCAATATCCGACTATCAGCAGGCGCCGCTGCTGCCGCGGCTATCGGCCCGGATTATCTAATGCCACTCTTGGAGGGAGACATGATCGATGCTCTTCGGAGGGAGCGGGAGCGGAACCGTACCTACACGGGCGGTGACGGAGCTGAGCGTGCGGACCGGCTTCGAATGAACGTAGGTCCAGGGGCACACAGCGTCCGTCGCCGCAGGCTGGCTCACCGCCCCCGTAGGCCATTCGGGAGCCTCAATACATGCTTTGATAACATGGTGCATGAGAACCTGGCAACCGTCGGCGGCGAAACGTCCCAAGAGGCCGCTGCCCAGAACCTGGCCCTGAGAGAGGCCCAACGCTTCCTGCATGAATGTATCGATCAGCGCAGAGCAAGGAGAGAAGCTCAGCAGCAGGACGAGGAGGACACAGAGGATGAGGAGGAAGGCCAGGAGCCGGATTCCACTACTGATGGTGAGCACGAGGACGAGGACGACGAGGAATACTAGATGGATATCTCTGAGACGTCCCTGAGCGTTCTTCAAAAGATGGGTCTGCCGTTGCTGCACTCTGGCCGGCTTCAAAGTCGTGGCCTTTCCACTTCTTTCTTTTGTGTTCACATCATTTCCGTCTCTCGTTTTGGTACACCCTTTTTCTTTGTTTCGCGACCGGATGCTTTGTCACTTGGGTCACAGATCGGTTGCGACGGCCCTTGCTTCTCGATTTGAATCTCTTTGGTTGGTGTTTGTTTTTTAGTGGCTTATTGATTGAAACTAACAATGGTCCTCCTTGCCAAATCACTGGCACATCAGCTGGCAGTGGTTGTTGGAGGTAATGATCGATGTTAGTTCTTAAAAGTAGTATCAAGAATGAACTTTTACTTTTTCCGGCCGAGTTTGCAAGCACCCGTAGACAGCTTGAGGAGCTGCAATAACCCTAGTAGTATTGATGACAGCTAAAGCCTGCCCAGGGTAGAGTGAAGCCATGTAAACGTAGCTATTATCCCACGCCGCGATGCATGAAGAAGATGAAGCCCCCACGGCCGCATTACGTCCTGGGTAGCGATGACCAAGTAGCAATTAAAGGGGCGCATCCCCAAAGAGCATTGGCGAGCCAGTTAATCGATTGATTCTCGTGAATTGTCTTCATTGGGCGTAATTCGGTCTGTGTTGGCATCGGATCGGTGGGCGGATCGGAGGGACACGGTAGGAGTTCGCGGCGCACAATGGCCTCTCTGAGCCCTCGAATCCGCAGAATAGAGAGGAAATGAAATGAAAGAAGTGAGATATAGATCATCGCAAACAATCTGCATGTATTTTTGTCCGAAGGGCGTGGAGTGGATGGTCTTCTGGGGCGAGTGTTTGGGAACGGTGATGGTGGTGAGTGGTCTGCATCGGATCGGAGGGACGAGGCACGCTGTTCTGGAGTGGATTGTGAGCAGTAAAATAAATAATACCTCGATGGCGAAGGCGAAACGAATATCTGTCATGGCGTGTAAACTCAATACGTAGTTAATAGGTAGAACTGAGGTCGTTTCTGACAATGCGACCGTGATCCAATATCATCCTTCACTCATTGCAGTTGTTGCCAGACGGCAGGTGCAACCCAAAAGCCGCAATGATGCTTGCAGCCGACCTTGTTCCAACTAGGAATCCGGAAAAATATAATTGCCTGCGACGGGCTATCCATGAATTGATAATACAACTTGCTAATTCATCATGGTCCAAACAGCTGCCCGACCGTCTTGTTCCAATTGTCCGGCCTGGCCATCTTCCGCATCGTGTCAGCCATGCACTCGCAAAAGTCCTCGACCTCGATGTCGTTCATCTGCGCCGTGTCCCAGGATGCGACAAAGTACAGATTCTGACTATCAATCATAAACATGTTCCAGAAAAAGCCGCTGTCCGGGTCCCAGTTAGCATCAATGTGATCACACAGACGAAAACGAATAAGACAAAGCTGCAGGAACAGCAGCAGAAGCGAGCGCCACTTACCAATCGCCCCAGTCCAATCTGCTGACAAACTCCAGTAATCTCGAGTCGTTTCTGAACTCCTTGGACGAGCCGAGCCCGAGTGTCACGTCCCAGACAAACGATTGACGGTAGCTGGCTGCGTCGGCCACCGCACCTTCGTCTCGCAACTCTTCAATCACCTTTTGCCACGGCACGTGGTCGTATCGAGTCTCCTCGTCGCATTCAGAGGCAAACCGCCCAAGAAAATCCAACACGGTCTCGTGCTTAGACACCGTTGCCATCCGGAGAAGCCACGACGCCGTCGGTCCATCGATGCTCATCGCCGGCGGAAGCATGTTGTGCATCCACTGCGGCACAAATGGCCACGTCCGACAACTCTCCCACGTGTTGAAGATTGCATGCGACGCCCCCGTCTGCCTTGTATTGAATAATACCAACGCTGCCTTGGCGAACAAGGAAGGTTGAATGCCGTGCATTCGCTGCAGCTCAGCCAGATGCGGCAGACAGACAATCCGGGCCTGTCGCGGGTACCGAAACGAATTCGCATTTGCCTCCCAGTCGCCCTCCCACACTTGAGCCCTGACAAGAGCTCGCTCACGCGCACGATGCGAGCCGGCGTCATTGGAGACCATCCAGCCTGGCGCCCTTTGGGGAGGCCACAGTGCGTCCTGGAGCCGTGAGATGCCTCGCAGCTTCCTCGTGTGGAACAGCACGGCTTGTCGGGCTGGCTCACTGTCCTCGTACTGGCTGAATAAATCAGAGAAGAGTCTGAACGGTGTAGACGGTGACAACTTGGCATTAGTGTCACTCAAGACATACTCGAGGTCTCGATGGAAGGGCCAGAGGGACAGTGCATCTATGATGGAGTGACTGAAGAGAACGGACAGGAACACGACACTGCTCTGCCGAACACTGATAACATGGCCTTGGAACATGAAGTGAGAAGAATGAGCCTCATAGGAGTCATCGCTCCATCTCTCCTGAGCCTCTGCCTCGGTCTCGACCTCTACATCGTGAATCAAGTGGTGGAGAAGCTCACGGCTCGCCTTGATGACGACGTGGGATGCCTTAAAACCGTACGAGTCGAACAGAATCGTTCTCATCATCGGTCTATGCGCCACACACCTTTCCAAACTCTGACGGACGTGCTGAGGCTCAGAGCGTGTCGCCCGAAAAACCATTCGAACATGATACGATTGAGGGCGTTGGCCAATGACAGTACGATGTAGAGACTCTTTGATGGGAATCATGTCTTCGACCACGCATTCGCTCAGCCCTAATATTTCCAGCTGATTCTTCAGCAATCTGTGATCGGGGAAAGCCGAGGAGGAAACAAGATTGCTTTGGAGTGGTGCTAGAGTCTTCGATCCGAATGAGGATGGGAAGACTGCAGCGCTGCTCCCATGGTTAATTTCAAGCAATGGAGTTGGTAGATGGACGAGCTCGCCGGCATCGGTTTTCGAGTTGGCACTTCGTGTCACTAGCAATTCGGCTTGCTTGTCAACTGTGTCGCATGTCACAACATCTTGAAGATAAAGTCTCTTGCCCGTCGATCTATACACGGCATCGCAATACCGGAGCATGGAAATGCTGTCAGCCAAATGTGTCATCTGCGTATCGGTTTTTGGCCTCGTCCCAGTAACCTGTTCCCAAGCATCTACTAGCTTATTCAATATTTCATTATGATGAAAAAATGAATAAGAGGTATCGGGCTTTGGCGTGCCATTGAATGCCTCATCTGTTGGGGCTTGACGGAGGATCTCGATGGCCTTCTTCAGTTCGTTCTTCTTCACCTTTCCCATCGAGGTGAGTGGGAATGCCTCGAGTCCCAGGTCCTTCAAAGTATAGACCCCTGCCAGCATATACTTGGCGTCGAGCATTGCCACACGGTCACTGACCATGGATTTTGTCACACCTTCGGGGAGACTTGCTACGGCTACTGGGACCTCACCGCCCATGTTGTCTGGAACACCAATGGCAGCAGCCTGCGATATCGTCAATACGAATGAACTCTGTAGCCTCGAGGGGAACATTGGATTTCTTACTTGAACACCGGGAATTTGCGCAATCGCCGACTCGATTTCAAAGGGATTGATGTTCTCTCCGCCCCGGATAATTATATCTTTGAATCTCCCGCAAACATAAAGAACTCCGTTGCTGTCCATGCAGCCTTGATCACCTGTCATGAGCCACGTACCGCAGCCATCTCGGTAGAAAGACTCGCTCTCCGCTCCGTCGAGATAGCTAGAGATGACAGAGTATCCACTGAGGTGAATCTCACCGAGCTGCCCATAGGGAACAACTTCTCTCGTCGCAGGGTCACATATTCTTACCCACACGCCAGGGAGGGCTTTGCCTACGCCTGGATGAAAGCCATCGACAAGGAGCTCGTCACTGCGGGCCCAGCTCAAAGTCGGCGCTCCTTCACTCATCCCATACGCTTGGATCGCGTCTTTTGCGCCTAGGCCTTGCCGACACATGTCAATGTCGTCTTGTGTGATGGTTGTTGCGGCAATGGTCACAACCTCGAGACACAGCTCCGAGGGATCTGGAAACAAGGGGTCTGCCAGCAATATTTTGACCAAGGTTGGAGTTGCTGACATTATGGTGATTCTTTCATCTCGCAGAGCCTTTATCGTTGACTGGACGTTGAATGTCTTGGATGGGAAGATGGCGGCGCCTCCGTACCTCCAGGCCCGTAGTGCATTGTTGATGGCAAAGATGTGCGACACCGGCGTGTGTACAAGCCAACGGTCAATCAGGGAGGGGTCAGGGTTCGGGTCGTATCTGGCCGTCTGGGAGATGATGCTCTGATTGGTATGCGGACAGCCCTTCGGCTTGCCTGTCGTCCCGCTGGTGAAGACCATCACGGCCAGCTGATTGGGCTGGTGGCTGTACTGCTCGGTGTCAAGATGGCCAGTCTCAATATTGGTGAACATCTCACTATTCATCACGTGCTGCTCTATGTTACGCTCGCCCCAAAGATTAATCCAGTCTGGCTGCGAGGTATAGGAGCAGCAGATGCGGATACACAGAGACGAGAATGGTTGATCTAGCTCCGGATCATCGATGATGGCGATGCCGCTATCATCTTGCACGACAATGACGTCGGGTTTCAGGACCTGTAGCATGCTCTGCGCCTCGCTTGGAACACGAGGGTCGATGGGAGCGAAAACCATGCCAAGGCTGGCAGCGACCCAAAAGAAAAGTCCCCATTCGGCACTGTTCCAGACCACGGCGGCCAAACGCATGTTATGACGACAGCCCAGCTTCCTCAAGCAGATTGCGATACGGGTGGCTTCGACCAGGAGCTGCTGGTATGTCCACCTGAGACAACGGTTATCATCCTCAGCTTGGTAGTCACTCTCGTAACCATCATCATGTGGCTGCTGCCAAAGAGAGACAATGGCGTCTCTATTCGGATATCTGGCAGCTGTGGCTGTAAAAATATCCCACAGTCCAAGGTCCATGTCCGTTGGGACGGCACCAAACCGCTCGCTTAGGCTCACATCGGGACAGGCCATCGAGGCGGCGGTTGGGTTTGGAATGGAGCCCAACGCATTCAAAGTGCCTCGAGACTTCGATTTTAGCCGTGACATCACATTGCGTATTTTCCTGAAGACGCTCTTCTTACCAGGAGGCGCTCCGACTTGCGTCAGATACGGCATTCTGGTATCAAGTAAAGGGGGGAGGGGGATGGAAAGGGTTGGAGGAGATGAGCGAGCCTGTCGCCTTTGTGTGTCTGTTTCTCGTTTCTGGGAACCAGTCCTCAGCAACAAATTAAGGATTAAGGGGTGCAAAATATGAATCAATATCAAGCTCTAGATGGGATATCTTTCTTGAGCTTCGATTGTCGCGGGGTCCGGATGATATTGTAGCTCGACGGTTGGGTTTTGGGCTGCTCGGCAGCAGCGAGTCACAACAACGACTGCACTCAGTCACCGCACGGCAGCAGCAATGCAGCCTGTCATCCGATTCATCACCTGCTCTGGCATCGCCTGGGAGGTCTCCCTGCCCAATTCCAGCGACTCGACGGTTGCTTGCTTCCCGTTTCGGGTATGGCAGGGCGCCCGTCCCAAGGCTAAAGGGACCTGGAACAAGCCGCGAAACACCAAAGGGGGCTGCACCGTGAGGCGCATTAGCAGCACCGGGATAAATTCATGCGGAGCCAGCGCTGTCTTCATGCCCAGCAATGCAAATCACCGGGCTGGACCTGGTGATACTCGTGTTGACGGACGAACCAATTTGCAAAGCTATGGTGTCACGGCATTGCTGGGCTCTCACAATGGGCAATCTGAATCCTGTTTGATGCGACGTGGCCGTCTGTCAGGTCGTGTCAGAGCGAGCGTCAGACTTGACAGACGGACATTCTGGCTGGCTGCATGGTAGGATCTGGATTTCGACCTGGCACAGATTCGACCTGGCACAGACACGACCGTTGTCCGCAGAGAGCGTCACCACCACACACACAACCATGACCACGCGCTCTCCCTCCTTGGGACAGCTGCATCTGCATCTGCTCGCGTAGCCGTTTAGCAACAGCCGTCACCGCATCGCGACCCGAGAGAGAGGCACGAGCCCAGAACCCATCAGGTTTAGGCTGATGCAGGGGCCGGCCCTACCTCAACGGCACTCACAACCCCCGTGCCACGCCACTGGGCTGAGAGTACGCAAGATTGTGGCGGTGAGGGCTCGTTCGTCGACGTTGTTTTGATCTGATACTACGTATATCGTACAAGCCAGCGATCATATGTATTCCAAAGGATCCAGCTGAGATGTCCCACGTTCGCAAGAGCCTAATTGGGCATAAATACCACGAACCAACCACGACAAGACGTCACCGTTGCATAAAGAAGGGCGAAAGCAAGGGGCAAAAAGTCAATCTGGCAGTCCAACCTGCCGCTGGGAGGCGATTTTGGGTCTCCAGGACACCCCTACCCAAATCCCCGGGTCAGCCGGGGTCATCATGCCAAAGATCTTGATCGAATGGGTCGCTATGCACCACCCCATAGAATGATTCATGTGGGTTTCAAATCCCACATGTTTTGCAAGACACGGCCATCTTTCAGTAGCTCCGGCCCTGCTATGATTCCGAGACGCAAGCGCAGCTCGCCTTTGCTTTTCCTCTCACTCAGCCAGCGCCTCGACGCGCCAGGCATGTGAGACATGACCAGTGTGCTGGGTATCTACCAGATGAGACGCTTCCCCCCTGGTGCCATGGGGCAGAAAGGCAGGAGCAAGACACTGGGTGCAACGTCCATCCTTGCCCACTTGCATTGCCGGACACGTGTGATCTGTCTCCATAATGCAAGTACCTACCTAAACACCACCGTCCAGATCCCTAATGCGTCTGGCTCCTTCTGATGGAAGGCATATCCCATCTTCATCGGACCTTCCCGGCAGTTCAGCCCATTGTCAGGTGCGAGATCTGGCATAGCCGACGCATGACCCGCCCAACCCCTGGAAGAAGGAAATCCTACCCATCTTGCTCCAGTCAAGATGACAGTCAGCACGGCCACACATTAGACGACTACCATCTCTCTCCGAGTTATCCATCCATCACAAAAGTTGCGCCCGCCTTAGACACTTACCGCTCCTCTGATACTCATCGTGCGCAAGCCTAGCGTCAATATATACCTAAGAAATTGGTGATATACGATCTGGGTGGGTTCAGCCCCAGCCCATTTTGGGGACCTGCATGAAAGATCGTGTTCTTTTCTCCTTCTTGCTTTTTTCAGGTCTAAATTTACCCTTCTGCAGCCAGTTTTTCATCACCGTTATATGCTCACCACTCCACACCGACACGTACTTCGGCGTATGACGGTCGACAGCCGCTATGACCGGTTTCCCTGCGCCTCAGATTTGGTGGATTACCAATGAAGACGATGAGGCTGCCCGATGTGGACTCTGCCTGACCTGCGTGTCAATATGCCATGTCAGAGCAGGATCTGACGGGTGACTCGGACCGGTGAATCCAGCTTGGCAGTATTCCAGTACGAGGTATCAGGCGGCTCTCACGTCTTACCCACGGTCAGGCATAGCCTACAGATACTATAGCTCATTCCCATATCGACGAAGCTGAAGACTGCGCCAGACTCGGGTTGATAAATCTGTTGTGCCCACCGTGGACATTGTCCTACCGCCTGTTTCAAGAAGACCGCACACTTTTACGTCTTTGTTTTATTCACCATTCTAAACCTCTTCGATCATGTTGTCACTCTTGGCAAGGCTGAACTGGCCCTTCCTGGTGTTGTGGGCGGCCGTTGCTCTTTTTGGGGTCTGTATCGACCGGTACAGGCGAAGCCTCAAATTTGGGAAGCTCAGGGGCTGCCAAACCTCCCACAAGCAGGCCCTGGTCAAAGATCCTTTCATCGGGCTCGACTTCATCCACGAGCGTGTCATCCGCGGCCTGTCCGGACGAAGACTTCTCGATTGCATAGAAAAATTCAACCAGTATGGCTCGACGTACAGCGTGGATCGCCTAACCTACCAGGTCGTCCAGACCTGCGACCCCAAGAACCTCAAACAGGTTCTAGCGACTGGATTTGACGACTTTGAACTCCCGTCTTCTCGCGTATCCGTCATGGGAGAGCTTCTGGGGAGTGGTATCTTCACCCTGGACGGAGACTCGTGGTCACATGCCCGTTCGATTCTGCGACCATCCCTGATGAAGCACAAGATGGATGGCCTTCCTTCTATTATTGAGCACCATGTACAACAGTTTTTAACACACATCCCACGACATGGCGAGGAGGTGGATCTCCAGCCGCTTTTCTTTGAACTCACCATGGACATCGCTACCGAGTTCCTCATGGGCTACTCTAGCAATATGTTAGACCCCAGCCGCAAGCGTGAGAAGGAGCAGCAATTCTTTGACGACTACATGCTCTGCTCTGAAGAGGCCATCAAAAAGATGTCGTACGGGCCCTTGAGGTTCTTCCGGCTCAACCTGGCGGCAACCAGGGCGAAGAAACGCGTGTTCAAGTACATGGACGAGTACATCGAGGAGTGCTTCGAGAGGCAAGACGGCACTTTGCCAAGGACAGACGAGCAAAATGCCTTCCAAGAGATTGCCAGCGCTGTTACGGATCGGCAGAGCCTGCGTGATCAATTACTGCATTTCCTGTTGGCAAGCCGAGACACAACCGCCAGCCTGCTGAGCAATTTGTTCTTTGTGCTTGCGAAGAACCCCGAGACCTATGCCAGACTACGGTCAGAGGTGCTATCCAAAGTCGCGTACGAGAACCCAACCTTCAGCGACCTGCGAGACATCGAGTATCTGCGCTGGTGCGTGAACGAATGTAAGTCCCTCACCCATGATGTTATCTTTAGGTACGAGGTTCTAATCACTGCCCAGCCCTTCGACTACATCCCGTTATCCCCTCGAACGGCCGGGAAGCCATCCGCGACACGACCCTCCCCCGTGGTGGCGGCGCTGACGGCAAATCACCCCTTTTCCTCCGTAAGGGCGCCGTGGTCCTGTACAATGTCTTCTCCATGCACCGCGACCCGGCCATCTTCGGCGACAGGGTGGAGGAATTCGTTCCCGAGCGATGGAGCGGGCTTCGCCCAGGCTGGGGTTTCCTCCCCTTCAGTGGCGGCCCCCGAGTTTGCGTTGGCCGTGAGTGGAAGATCCCGTGAAGAGCGTTGCCCACGCACCATGCTAACCCCGGATGAATAGAGCAATTCGCTCTTGTCGAGACCTACTATGTGGTCGCGCGGGTCGTGCAGACGTTTGAGCGCCTGGAGTCGATGGATCCTCGAGAGTGGATGGAGCTGCCTGGCCTGGCGATGACCTGTAGAAACGGCAACAAGGTCGGCCTCTACGAAGCTTAGATGATGGCGGGTTTTCGAGGGGAGCTTTGGGGGAGCTGAACACCGATATAGAGATGGACACGCAGAACGGTACCTAAGAGTAACGAGTGAAATGAATTGGCTACACGGCTATAGAACAGAGAAGCCCTAGAGGAAACACATGGCGCATGGGCGCATTTGATTCAAGATTGGGAATTGGGAATCCCATGGTACCTAGACAACATGAATAGATGAGCATCGATATTGAATACTCTTAAACAAGTAGCTTTGAATCATCGCCATTCGCGAAAGACATGTCGATTACGGTGGCTTGAGAGCTTTGATTCCTGACTTCTCCACGCCATCAGATTGGAGATGACGGTGGTGCAGGCTTACGTGCGTCGCCGCATTCACGTTGTGATATTACGGGCATGCAGCGTATGGCTAGTGTAATTTCTCCTCAATTTATCCCGAGTCTAATTTAGAATACGTAGGTCTAAGTGCTATCAAGAGGACGTTGCCGTCAAGCACCGTGGTGCGATGGCCACGCCGGCGTAGACTGTCACTGACGACATGATGTCTCAGCCCGTGGGAACATCTCCTGGAGCCTCAGTTGCGTTGCGTGTCACTGCCATGCGCCGCATTGCCGCTCTCGTTGACCACGAACGTGCAAAAAGATTCTCACTATGGTTCGCCTCACTTTGTACAGGTGATTGCCGGTAGAAATAAGCTGCCTTGGGCTGATTTTGGCGTGCCGAGTCATTTCGGACCCCGAGTTGGGGAGTGTGCCTCTCTGCATTTAGATGCATCTACTTGCATCGACAAATTGCAGCGTCATCGGAGGCCGTCAGGAAGAATGGTCCATCCTCATCGGTTGTGTCACTTGATCAGGCCGTGTGGTCGGGGCTCTATCGACACGCCCATGTTTCTTGTTTCTTTGCTTTTGTCGGCCGGCCGATATTCTACGTGCTTCTTTTTGTTTCTTGCGCCAAGGCGGTCGGGTCGAGGGTCTGCATATAGTCATTATAGACTCATATCTTTCCGTCTATCGCGCTGCTCAAAACTGTATAGGCGAATGGCATAAGTCTAACGCGCACTCTCTTTCATTAGCCGCGGCCGTTGTGTTGTTCGAGTGGCCAAGGGGTGGATAAAGGTAGACAGCAGACGATGCTTGCGCATCAGGGGGCCTATACGTACGCTGCCACTATTGCATCTCGGCTGAGATGCATGCCAAATCCTTCGTTTGCTTCATTCGGTCACCGGCTGCAGCCAGGCGCGAGCCCATTCAATTGGTCCGCAGCGTTAAGTCAAGCCTCCCTCGGTATCATGCAAGCCGACTTGTGCAACTCGACGAACTGGGGCCAGCGTTCAGCATCTCAGCTGGTGACGTCAAACCAAAGTGTTCCTTGGAGTGCATGCCCAAGTTTTCAGGTAGCTTCCCCTCTCCGCATCGTGTGAAAGGCAAGTTGACTTACCCAAGAACACTGCTTCCCCTTCTTTCCTCCAAGCCTTGGGTGAGACTCTGTCTATCTTATATCCCGTCGATTGCCATAACAACTGACGTCGGCCTTCTAGAACGGACGTCTTGACTTTCATCGAAGCTCTCTTGTCACTTTCTTAACTTCTTGCTCGACAATGCCCACCCGGAGAGACCCCGATGTTAATGATGTGGTTGAAACGAAGGTTGGCAGTGTCACATTGATCGTGCGGATACTTGATATTGAGTTCGGCAACTATACGAGAACCGAAACCGTCGAGGTCCTTCGGGCCCCTCAAGGTCATGATTTCCCGGAGGTCATCACAATCAAGCGACTCGGTCGGCAGTATGGCCCTTCAGAATCTTAGTAAGTCCCTCCATGAATTAGGCTGGCCGAGGTTGCGTTCTTGACAAGCCATGGCATTTGTCGATTGCATGTAGAGTGCTTGTCTATGGTAATAGCAAGCTAACAGCTTTGTCCAGGTGTTCTACTGAGCGAAGGCGTACAGTCGAAACGAAACGTCGAATCGAAGCTCTCCCCGACACTAGCTCCGCTTGGGACTGAACGTGATGTGCCCGGCGTGGTACTCGTTAATTGTGTACTTGTTCAGAATATGGTCGTGGGTCTCTGCCATCAATGGGTGGTCGCAGTTAACAAAGTCTAAGAGTTCGGTTAGGCAACGTCAATGTAATGTCGAGTGACTAGTTTGCCTACCTCTTTTGTCCACCGTGACATGATTCAATGCAACTCGGGGTTGGGGACGGCTGCCAAAGTCGAGGAGCCTCCTGCCCCTCCATCGTAGTCGGAGATTGAATCACAGCCCACCGGAGTGACTTGTAGTCGATCGCACTGGCCGTTATTCACTGATACTCACATCCAGTGGGTAGTAACGTGCGCAAAAGTATGTTTGATGAAGCAGTCTTCGGCCATAGCAGCTCCTTCACTGTGATGTGGGTCAGGTGAGCTGGGAAGAACAAGTGATGGGAAGGCAGCAGACAGCCATTGAGTTGTTTCCCAGCACGCTTCGGGGTTGAAACAAAACTGAGTCGGGGCTGGAAGAACTCAACAAAAGCACCAACTCTGCCCTCCCTATCGTAACTTTCTCATCCACACTCTCCACCATCAACAACTTGACAGTGGCCAGTTCATCTTTCCTTCATCCTCTAGCATCGTCTGCCACATTCCATCCTTCAAAAGCTGTCACTTCGCTCCGAGTTCCAAGCAACTATGCAGCTTGCATCGGGCTGGCTTGGCAACCTCGTGTTCGCCCTCGCCATAGTCGGTTTTCTCTTCGGTGGCCAGTTTGTCGATAAGTCCTTTGCGAGAAAGGCAGGCCACACCTACTTTCCGGCATGTTTCTCATTCGGCTGGTTCGGGTACATCCCCGTCGCGCTCTACCGTCTGCTCTATTCTCGCACTCTCATGCCAAAACCTGGAAGCCATGTGCGCGTGATCAATCTCGAGACTGCGACCGCGAGTGGTAATAAAAGCTGGCTAATAGGTTATTACCTGCAATCATGCATGCGCTCCATGAGACGTCAGTTGGGAAGCTCACCGAATCAGTTTCGCATTTTTGTCTTCACGTCAGAAAGAATCAAACCGCCAAGCATCTACACCGTCTATATGGACGACGTGTTCCGCGCGTCCTTTCTTATCGCCCAGTTCGTGGCTTCCTTCACCCTCGGCTTCATGCGAAACGACTGGGGTGTTCTGGTCATCACTCTGTACGGCACTCTGCTTTCAGGCTGGATCGGTTGCCTGTCCCAGTGGAACACCGAGAAGAACCCGCCTTTGGGAGACTCGGGACACACCTACGCGCTGAGATCGACAGCCCATCCCTTGGAGCTGATGGTGATCAAGTCCGGCAGCGAGGAGAAGGTGGTTTTGAGCTTGGATCATCTTGCTCAGTCGTATCGTCCCGCTTCGTCTAAAGTGCTGTCAATTCACCTTCTCCCCTTCATCTTGTCCTTGTTTCTTCTCCACAAGGTAATTACGCTCGAAACCAGCCAAACTGTTCTTTGGATCGTTGGTATCCTCGGTATGTTGGACAACTTCATCTCCAGCTGGTGGACTCGGGACCCGGAGGAATGGGATATGGGCGTGAACCTAAAGGAGGTCATTCTTGGCCCAAACATAATGCATGCTCTTATGGCCTACCAAACTTCTTACGGTCACGGCATCGCTCTCAGGCGCGAGTACTTCCCCGACAAGGTGGATCCCATGGTGGAAGACTGGTGGAATGGAGACACGGCCGAATACGATGCTGCAAGAAAGAGGAACGACAAAACTGTGGTCCACTCAATGCAGTAGCTGGAATGCGTCTTGATGTTCGTGACGGAGGATAAACGGCGATGTTGAGCTCGATGTGGAAGGGGCCGATCAGGAGTTGAACGAAATTGAACACATGGCGCACAATCGTGCTTTGCTCCTGGTACGGCGGGTAAGATAGGGGAAAACTGCAGTCCTGTTAACAAAAGCATTGTCTGCATCTTAGTTTTGAAGGTGGAGGTTGTCTTTGATACGTCTTTGCACTTGGTTGGGGGCGAGTAATAGAGGTAAAATGGTGGCAGCTTCGCCCTCATACCACGAGATAGACTTACAACAATTGAATTATTGGCCGAGAAATCGAAAATGGCACCAAAGCCGAGTTGGCTCCTTGGGTAGCCTCGTATGGACGGTTCGTGCATCTTCCCATGCTGTGTGCAGACGTGCCCGTCTGTCCACAATGTGTAGCGAGGTCGCGTGCCTCGACGTTGGCGCGCCTTCCCTCACCTCACCTCACCTCACCTCCTTCCTCGCTCCTTCCCTCACTTCACTTCACTTTCTTCCTCGCACCTTCCCTCACTTCACATCACTTTACTTCTCCACCAACACAACTATAGTATCGCCATTCTTCGCATCACTGCCCCATTTCCCCCAAGCCACATATCAAAGTAACATATCTTTTGAACCCAAGAAACATGGCTTCAAGACCTGGATCTCCGTCAGATCGCCCTCTCTCGCCAAAAACCCCTCCATCTTCTCCGATTGCAGGGCCCTCTTGCCCTCCTCCCAGCCCCTCTGAGGGAGCGCCACTTGAGTCAACTCCACTTCTAGATGGCGCCCAGGACATTGACATTTCTGTTCCCCCTTCCACAGCGCCTTCGGTTGTCTCTTCTGCCAGCATCCGAGTTATCACCTACCGGCCATCCGTCCTCGTGCTCATGCTGGTGGTGCACTACCTCTTTGTGGGCGTCCTGGTCTACATCGTGTACCGTCTCCTTGGCGGCTTCAACTCCGCTTGCAAAGATGCTCCTGGAGGTTCTGGCCCAGCTGGGGTCCAAGATTAAGCCAGTCAGTACTCATCCTAAGCCCTAAGTAGGCTGACCATGGTACTAATACCTACACACCTACTAGATGAGAAGCCTCAGTCAAGGCATTCAGTCTTTCCTCTTGTGTACCGCGTTCTGATCGAGCTCACCTCGCCAACCGCCGCGTTTCATGAGAAAGTCAAACTTAATAGCCTCAGTACAGAGTCGGTTACGCCTCAAAAGGTACTAGAAGAAGGTCACGTTCGTCATTGCGCACCAATCTCAATTTTCTCCACATCCAGTGCTTTACACCAGGATGTCTTGCTCAAGTAAGTTGAGTTACCGCAATAGCTTCTGTGGAAGCAACATTCACTACAGAGACATGGCTCTAATGATTTCTCCAGACATTACATGCGAATTCTTTCACTGGGTCAACACCGCGGCCATTCCTTGGGGCTAAGGATCGAGCATGCTGAGCCACTAGGGAATCACGACAGAGACTTGTCGAAGCAAAAGGCCCAGAAACTGCATTGAAATCTGTTTTTCCGGCCTCGCCTATGGGTTTCTCTCAACCGTCAAGTCCGATTACTGTGCTTTTGGGGTGGTTACTCCGAGACTGGAGATGGGCCTTGACTTTGAAGGGAAACATGGAACATGCGACGCCTTGCCTTTCTTTTTTCCTCCCCAACATCTTGCATGCGGTTATTTAAACCAAGTTAGCTGATGTAATAATTACATGCATGTTTCTTTAACATCTCAAAGAGTATTCCAATTGCATGCCTAGTGAATTGTTGTTCTGCTGCCAAGTCCCTTGAATGTAGCATAAAGCCTTTGAGTACAGGTGAAGAGCCCTTGACCAACTAGTCATGCCAGCTAAACCTTGTCATTCCTCTCTATGGCGATTATTAGGTATCGCCAGTTTTAAACCACACGATCTTCGAGGTGGCATTAGCGGACGCATTAATCATGCCGCCGCGGACGAAGGCCGCCGGTTGCTTGAAACAACTCACGTACGGACTCCTTGGGAGTAAATACGAGGCAGCTCTGACCTTTCCAAATTCATTGATGCACTAACGATGGAGTCTTAGCAGGGGTTGTGGAGGAGAGGGGTTTAGAAATCCGGAGGCCAACCCAAACAACAGGAACAATCAATCCTTCTCTTCGATGCTATCATGCCATGGCCTCGCCTCGCCGCTCTGCCTCTAAGGCCACTCAATCTCGATTTTAATCGATTGAGAGACTTCCTCCAGGCCATCAGTGCTGGTTTCTAGAACAGTTGTCTGATGCAAAGCTGAAACGTCGCGGAGGAACCAGGGGAGCAGCCCAATTCGGGCGGCGGGAGCTCCCTCCGAGTTTCAGAACGTTGAACTGATGATGATCATCGCTAAACCACATATATAAGGTATTCTTTTCTCGTCGAGCCTGAAATGGTCCAAAGGACTCCTCTATTCATCTCTCTAAAACTCTCTACTAGTCGGGCTGCAGCTCCACCATCACCATGAAAGCCTTCGCCATTCTCCCCATCCTCACGGCCCTGGCCTCCGCCAACCCGGTCGACACCAGCCTCGTGGAGCGGCAGAGCTGCCCAGGAGTCTACGTTTTCGGTGCTCGAGAAACCACCGCCTCGGCAGGCTACGGCACCTCCCTGGGCCTCGTCAACATGGTCCTGCAGGCCTACTCGGGCTCCCAGTCGGCTGCCATCAGCTACCCAGCGTGCGGCGGGCAGTCCAGCTGCGGCGGCGTCAGCTACGACAGCTCCGTGCAGCAGGGCACGTCGGCCGTGGTGTCAGCCGTCACGACGCTGAACAGCAGGTGCCCAAACACCAAGATCGTGCTCATCGGGTACTCGCAGGGCGGGCAGATCATCGACAATGCGCTGTGCGGCGGCCAGGGCGGCGCCACGCTGTCCGGGAACGCCCTGAAGGCCGTCAAGGCCGCCATCTTCATGGGGGATCCTCACTACAATGTCGGGCTCTCGTACAATGTCGGCACGTGCCAGGCGGGCGGTGTAAGTTATCTCCTCTGTGCCTGTTGTGTGGAATCATCTAACTCTCGGCAGTTCGCGGCGCGACCGTCAGGCTTCACCTGCTCTCCGTACAGCCCGTCGCTCATCCAGAGCTACTGCGACTCGACGGATCCTTACTGCTGTAAGGGAAGTGACGCAAACTCGCACCAGCAGTACGTTACCAAGTACGGCTCGCAGGCGTTGGCCTTCATCAAGAGCAAGCTAGGGTAGGCGCCAATTGGGCTGCATCAGGGGTGGGCGAGGTCTTGGATTGCCGCAAGGCTTAGGGCACGGTAAAAAAAAGTTCTTTGTTGGGTTTTGGAAAATAAATAAATACAATTGGCATCTATTGTACCGGAGCTGGCGTTTACGTGTCTTCTCTACCTGGTGTGAGCTGCTAAAGACAGGCTGTCGGCCAAACGCCTCAACTCGGCTGCCCAGCCACTAGCGCAACATTGTGAATAGGTGCAATACGAGCAGAGCAACATCGCCGTAGGACGAGCGGCCAAGACGGCCAATGTGATCCATAGAAATCTGCGGTGTGTAGCACGCCTGGCAATCCATACCAATCCATCTGCACATCATGGAGCTCTGCAATTAGGCTCCAGGCAATTTGATCCTTCTAAGTCAGCCTGGCGACATCGACCACCGTCCTAATCGTCTCCTGGATTTTTTCCCATTAATAAATATGCTTCGAACCATCGATGCCAGGCCATTGCTTGCAGCTGGTGTTGATCAACCTGTGGCCCATTGACCTGGGTGCGCTGTACGCTGCGCTCCGCAACAACCTGTCGCCCCTTCCGTACAACGGCCTCTACCCAGAACACGGCATGCGAAGAATAGGTTATTCGTGTAATTCAATGGCATTCGAACAACGGCATTCGAACAAGGCGCAGGTCATTGCGACAGAATATTCGGCTTCGCAGATTCGAACCACCCGACGAATTAGTCCCGTGTCTGCCGAGTGTCTGCCGAGATTGGCTTCTCAAGGCTGAATCCCTCAGTTTGCATCTCTGCCCACATCCAAGCTTAGTCGATGAAGCTAACTCTCCAATACTACCTACAGGTGCCATGTCCTGTTCTCTCGATTGACCTCCGACCTTGACTGCGATCGTACTGCTCGCCGAGCCGGCTCGCGATGGCGACAAAATCCAGAGGTGCCTGTCAGCCCTACCCGTCCCCTCTGTTCGACGCGGAGTCCTCGAGCGAGATTCCGATGTCTATGCAACACACAAGGCGAGCGAATGATATTTACATGCAAATTGGTTATGTATAAAGAACCAATCCCCGGCACTACCTAGGCCCTCAACAAGCCCGGCAATGCGGTAACAAGAGCCGCCGTCTGCAGTCTCCCTACGCCGGTTGCAAACACGATAGCCGAGAATATACACCTCAATTATCAATAATAGTCATACCAAGAGTTACTGTGTTCTAAATATATGTCTAGCTATGACGATGGCAAAATTCTAGGCCTACTTCGAAGGTCTACAAGCTAGGTCACTTTCTCAAGGAGCATGGACACCTTGCTTGCCAGCAGCATTGACCGGGATGCGGTAGCCAATTCTTCTCTGAATAGCCACGGGGAGGATTCTCAGTATTGCAAAAACGTTTCACGCACTAACAAGATAGCCCAAATAGATTTAAAGGCCCTGCATTCCCTGTCTGGATCATGATGGCTTTCCAACCCCCAAGCCAGCAGCTCTGGATCACATCTGGCACGCAGCGTTGGCATGACGGAAAGGATCCTCCCTCAAGCAACAACTTCAAGCTACACTGGGGCCATGTATCCCATGCGACAGGCGCAGATCTCTAGACCTGAACCCGAGAGGTGGTGTCTAATCATCGCCCTCGCTTGTCACTCTCGTCTAATCGATCCCAAGCCTGTTCGCCCTGCTTTATACTCGGGAAGAAGGCGGCGAAGATGCCCTTCTCGACTCGGTAGCGGCACTCGGCGGAGATCCTCTCGGGGAAGAAGCAGACGGCAATATCCTGGTCGAGCGCCGAGTTCTGGATCTCGTCGAGGAGCGAACGGCTGGATCGTCGTTGGCCGGCACATCTCAGCAGCACCGGGAGCCACAGCTCTTGCTGCTCGGGGGTCAGGATGGGCGCTAGTCGAGACTCAAGTTCGTTCCTGGCGGGGACTTGGAATGCTTGCGAGAGATGTGTTAGTGACGGAACAAGGGCAGCAGGGGATGGTGTGTTGCAGTTGGCAGAACATACTCTCGGGCATCTTGAGCGAATGCACGAGCAATCTCGTCAAAGGTAGGCGGTGTATATTAGATATTTCTTCGAACTTGTCGGGGCGAGTTATGGGAATCTTGGCGGGAAATTCTAGATGCTAGATGACTGGCGGCCATTGCCACTGGCTTCGCTCCGCAGAGATTCCAAGTGTATAGCAAAGAGAATTGAGGGAGACTTGCGAAACGAGATTCACACATTGACTCACCGGAGTGCTCTGTTTGTTAGGCTCGCGTGAGGAAGCAAACTCTCGCGATGCAGCGAATACGGATGGTGTTTGCATGGTTGAAGCACGGTCGTGAGGACCCCGCGTGGGGGTACAGAATCCCGTCACGAGCAACGTTTGTCTGGCTCATGGCAGCCAATTGATCTTGCCATGGCGAGGAGGGGGGGGGGAGACGCCAATAAATACCTGCCCGAGCACGTCGTAGCTTGTCGGAGTGCGTTGGGCTGAGGCCATCCTGGATGGCATATGTACTGCGACGTCGCAACTGTGCGTAAGTAGGAGCAGCTGCATCTCTCTCTCACCATTTTGGAGCTGAACGACGCCATGGTGGCATTCGCAGCCGTGGATCACAAAGGCAGTCAGTGATTGGGTCATGCAGGCTTGCACAAGCTCCTGGCTGACTTCTTCGCTTCCCCAAATGCAGAGTGTCTAAGATTGATTGATCACGAAGACCACCAGCAGTAGCGGACTGAAGGCAGTTGCGGCTAAGTCCCGGCCAATACCCAGTATAGCGAGCGCTATGTCTTCAATTAGTGGTCATCTAACGGTCGATGGCGCGCCATGGCACAGGCTAAAGTCGCTAGAGCTTAGCCACTGCAGTCTATGTAGGTACCTTGCTCAAGTATCATGAGAACCCAATACGATGGAGGTGAGAGTGCCCAGGTGATGTGCTGGCAGCTCTCCAGCAGCACCTCAGGCACCCGTATCTGCCTGGCCCAGGCCCTAATGAGGCGCTGAGAGAGGGAGCGAGCGCTGTGGGGGGGCGGGAATCTCGGTAAGGCTAGCGCTGTGATCACCTGCCGATGGCTCCTGCTAGTACCAGCGCAATAATTGCCAACTCGTCCAAGAAAACAAGGAGGCAGATGGGATTTTTTTTATACGTCTCCTGAACATACTTGGGGCATAGATCAACGTATGTCAGCACTCCTACCCTCCCACCCATCCGACGACCGACACCGAACACGATCCGAGATAAGGAGAATATTCGGATCGCAAGCGGGGTACGACGAGCAGTCCGACCGCGCGACAATGCATAAAAGATGGGGAGCGAGCATAATCAAGGAAGAACGTTACACCAAGTACACGCCTGCCCCAGTCCCCTCCAGTCCCCGTCAGATTTGGGATCATATCGCTCCCGAGGACGATCACTAAGTTAGTGATAATCCTTAGCTTGGTGCCGGCAATCGATCGTCTGGAATAGGTAATTTCAAGGCTTTGCTACTATCTGATGTTTTGCTTACCCACTTGTCAGCCATGGCATAACATGCCGTGAAGGTGCAGGAATCAGAGACAATTGATCGATACACAGCCAATATTCGGTGTGACGAATTACGGCTGGCTTACTGGCCAGGCCTGACTTGCCCACACGGCACAAGAGAGGAGATGGCATCATACATGTCCATTCACAGCACGCAGATACTGCCACAGCTACCCCCGTGCATCTGACCGGTCGATTCTGCCAGCCAAGCATACATCTCACTCGATCCTCCATTGGCCTGACAGCCAGCGCCGCTTTGATAAGGTTACCCTCAACGCGCGACTCACTTATCGAGAGCCTTCGATGGCATCTACCACGTGATTTTCAGACACCCGTCCAAAAAGCAATGGTCAAGCCTGCTCCCAGATAAAAAACGAAGTTTCGCCCTGCATATCTTTGCTTGGGCCATCTGCTCTCTCGTCCTACTCAGCCAATCACCAGGCTGGTTGGGCTCTTCACCTACCTGCCCACCCACCCGAGCAGCCTCCTCGCTTAGCTAGCACACCACCACCCATAGCAGAACGACCATGCTCCTCCTCCGGGCCAGCCCCGAGGTCAAACGACTGGCCTTGTTTGTCTCGTATCATGTCAGAAATACTGTCCTTCTTCGGGCAGGTCTCAGGAGGCTCCCGCCGATGCTACTGTGCGCGGCCACTTTCTGGTTGCTTGACCATCTCTACACAGTCAAGGTGGGTGGCAATGACATCCAACACCAACAAGCACCCCCACCATATCAGTCCCTCCAGTACCTTCATCACCTACCGCTCCATTCCCCACCCTTTCCTTTCGCGCGACTAACATACATATCAAAAATCAAGGAGCACGCGATCACCAACTGGGCCCGAGAGAACGGACTGGTCATCGAGCGCCACTGCAGCTCCTTCTGCGAGATCTTCCAGCTCGAGACCGGGAACACCGCCCCCGTACAGGAACAGAAGATCAGAATCATCATCCTGGTCCCTACACCCGACGTCGCCGAGGACACCGCCGACAACATCGTCGTGCCCCCGGAGCTCGTGGCGGCGCCCGGCCAGCCCCCACGCGAGCGCAATATCGAGGAGCACCCCTGGTGGAGCACCGCCGGCCTGTACAAGCCCCCTCCACCCCCGCGGCCCGACACCCTCTACAAGTTCGCCATCCGGTCTCCCATCGGGGGCGGCCTCAAGGTCGACTCCATCGTCCAGTGCTCGGTCGGCGACGCCATCGTCCTCGGGGAGGGCCAGGAGATCAAGGCGCTCGAGGGCGACCGCAGCTACAAGCCGGTGTCGTTCATGCACGCTGAGCACCGCGCCATCCATGCGCCCTATACCCCCAATTTTGTTTACTGGCTCTAAGGGGGCACACGTTGGCTCAGATTGACGGGTTCATCTGGCCAAAGATGTATGGTAGACTGTGACAGCGATGGTGCTTAATGACTTGGTATTGACGGCGCAAAGACATTGACTAGCTCTGGGATTACACGGCGCAAGAATGGGATAGCGATAGCGATTGGGAATGGTAGAAGGACAGGCGAACGATTGGATAACATTTTGGATAAGTTGTTTGGCGAACGGACATGACATAACTTGGGGACTAGCGGGCAAATTGTATGGCGAATGATGGATTTAGCAAACAGATTGATGAATTGACTTTTCCTTGCTGCCAGGATGAAGTTTGGCCCCTTTTCACGTCCCATGCAAGCCCGCAACCTGGTGCCGGAACCCCACCACACATTTGTAGGGCCGAAGTCTAAGGCAATCCAATTCGTCCCGGCTCGCGATGCTAAGCTAGATGATGTTGCCTTGGAGTTTATTTGCCGTAATAGCTATGTGCATTTCGTGAGACTTTGGGCAGATGGCGGCAGGGCGCGGACGTGGTCTACGGTGGCGTGCAGAGGAAAGGCAAAGTGAAAGGGAAGCCACACCGCTTAAATTTAGTTAGATTTCAGGGTCGCTCCCAATACTACCATCTAAAAGTAAAAACATCCCGATTGCCAAGATCGATGCTTCGTCTGAAATGTGATCTTGTGACCTGCAGACCTGCCGCACCCTCACATGACCAGCAAGTCGATCTTCTAACTGCCAAGGAGCAGGCCAGAGCATCGCACATTCTTCCCAAATACGGATACTCCGCAAGCGCAATCCCAGCAACAGCAACAGCAACAGCAACACGGAGTGCGATGACGGGCGATCCTTCGAGCTCGCCGGTTTATCCTCCGATGGCTGCCGCTCGCGGAGGGGAATTATTAATTCAAGATGAAACCCCCACCATTCCCCCTCCCTCCCGATGTTTTCGTCGCACGAACTCGCAGCTGTCTCTGGAGGACCCAAGACAAACTCAATTAAGGCTCGCAAACAATGTCGACCTGCGCTACCACCGTCGTGGCTCCGGCCATTGAACTCTCCGAGATCGAGAGCAAACCGGCCGTCTCGTCGGCCCCTCTCCACCGGCTTTCTCACGATGCCGCCGCCGGCTCCCAGCAGCCGCCCAATCCCACACCGCCAAGCGAGATCCCGTCGCTAGTCGTGCCCACCGACCGTGTCTTCGATGCCGAGCCGTCCCCGATCTCCCAGACGTCGAGGTTCCTCATCATCTTGCTCGTCGTCATACTCAATATTGTCCAGGTCAGGGGCAGATGCTCCGGGGGGATTGAACGAATGTCGCTGACTTTCTGTGCCACTAGTTCATGTCAGCCATCACCACCGTCGTTGGCGGATTGGCTTTCAGCGCTGCTCTTGGGCACGAGGTAAAGCCCGGCCGGGCAAACTGGATGGGGGCTTCATACTCGTACGTTTCCTTGATTAATTGATTGTCCTTTTCGTTTCAGAGGTACACCTGGAGCAAATTGCTTACTGTCTCGCCCAGTCTAACGCAGGGCGCATTCGTCTTCATCTCCGGCCGTCTAGGCGAAATCTACGGCCACCAACGACTTGTCCTCGTCGGCTCCGCCATGTTCACCCTGTTCTCTTTAGTCAATGGCTTCGCAAAGACCTACGAATCCTTCGTCGCCATCCGCGCACTCACCGGCATTGGAGGTGGCATCTTCATGCCAAACGCCGTCGCCATTGTCACAACCATGGTTCCGCCCGGCCGCACACGCAATATTGCGCTCGGCTTCTTCGCCGCTGCTCCGCCTATTGGAGGTGTCTTGGGAGGTGTTCTGGTCGGCGTCTTCATCGATCTCGCCCCGTGGGTCTGGCTCTTCGTATCAACGTAAGTGTCGGGTCGGTCATGATTGCTTTGCGCTTCTTCTTCTAACTGTTCCTTTGTTTAGTGCGATCATTTCCGCCATACTCACGGCATGGCTTGCGTATCTGGTACCCCCCGAGCATCCTGTCGACCGATCCGGAACGATTGACTACATCGGTGCGGTGCTTGGAGTGAGCAGTCTCGTTCTGTTCAATGTCGTGTGGAAGTAGGTGCTGTCCCTCCACTCAACTCTATTTGGGTCATATACTCACCGCTGGACAATAGCCAGGCACCTGCTGTCGGATGGTACACGCCTTACGAAATCGCGCTGCTCATCGTCTCCGTCCTTCTCTTTGCCGGCTTCCTCGTATGGGAAGATCGGTTCGCCAAGGAGCCTGTCATGCCCCTGAAGCTCTTCCGTGCAAGCACCTTCACGGCCCTCGTCTTTGTCGTCTTGTTGAGCTACATGAGCGTCGGAGTCTTCGTGTGGTACTCGGTCTCGTGGCAGCAAATTCTTCGCCACAGCTCCGTGCTCGATAGCGGCATCCATTTCATCCCATTTGGCTTCGGCGCCGTGGCTGCCGTCGGCATCGCGGCCTGGCTAATTCCTCGACTCGCAGCCCAGTGGATCATGGCCATTGGCATCGTCACAATCCTCGCCGCGAATCTCCTCATAGCCACGATGCCCGTGCAACAAACCTACTGGGCGCAGCTCTTCCCTGCCATCCTGCTGTCGAGCTTTTGCCCCGACTTCGTATACGTCGCCGCCCAGCTTATTGCTAGCAACAGCGTCGGTCGTCGACACCAGGGAGTCGCGGGAAGCTTGATCGGAACCTTGAACCTCTACGGCAACAGCTTGGGACTCGGCTTTGCTGGCACAATCGAGACCGAGCTTACAGATGGAGAGTCGCCTAGCCAAATCGTCTTTGGCTTCCGTGCCGCCGCATACTTCGGTGTCGCGCTCGCGGTTGCTTCCTTGATTTTGGACCTGGGATTTGTTAGATTGCCCAAAGATGAACGTGAGGGGTGGGAGGAAGATGAACCTCTCAGAGGTGACCAGTCAACAGTCGTTGTCCACGCTTCTGCAACTGCTGTAGAGAGGCAGATCTAGCCTAACAGACCTCCTTGTTCAGCCTTGGATTGGACTTGTAAGGAGATCGGCTCGGTATTTGACAAGGGACACTTGACGTGGGTTAGCGTAACGCTCTGCAGTGCCTGGACAAACAGTAAGTGGTCGGTCAACATTACCCGGGTTGTCGCCCTCGAGATTGCATTCTCGCCAAGGACTAGCCTGAATCATGGTTACGCAATTCCTGTTTTTAGGATCCATAGAACTCATTCATCGCCACCGGGGCCAGGTTCCAAGAGGATTGCCACGGTAGGCTTGAACGGATTGACAATTTCTAGAGGTTACCAGGATCTGGTTCGTTCCTCGCAGTTCTGACATCGACGTGGAGACGCTGTCCATTGCCTGGAATCTATCACAACCAGTTCAACTCTTCCGTTTGGGATCAGCTGTGAACCTGCTCTTGGAGACTCAGTCCCGTCTGCCTATCAACAAGTCAAGTTAGCCAACCAATCTAGTGTATTCGTCGAACAGTCTTCTCTCATTCAGGGCTTACCGCTAATGTGACTGCTCCGATGTGAACCCTACATGGCACCAGGGAACTTATACTAACATCATCCGTTAGGGAAATTGAATACAGCATTGCCGAAGAGTGATTAACGCCTCATGGAGGCGTTGGAAAGAGGATATTCGACAGCTCTTGTCTTACCTCATACCGGGTACGCAACCAACAAATCCAAGTGCGTCGCATTGTATAACTGTTGGGGTAAAGTTCCAAGAAGGCCGGGTTGTATTGGCTCTCGGGGCCATGCCGGGGTCCTTTCAAATCCTCATAAACGTCGTTCCCCATTCTCAAAGACTAATTCAAGAATAGAAAATCTTCGTGAAAGGGGATTGTGATCCCAATTGGAACTCCCGTAAACCGGCCATCTCGAAAAGCCTTGATCGGATTGTTCGGAATGATGTTTCGATCAACAGATGTAACCCCAATAGTAAGTTCCATAAACATGTTTTCTCTAGAAGTCTTCTTGCTTCGGCGACTCTCTCTCAACATACCGAGAACTGGGACGGGAAACTCCCTTGCTCACTTCGAAGTTTGGCATTAAGGCGCCCGAAGCCGGCCGCGGTGTTCCTCCTTGTCGTCGTGCGTTGGTTTCTACCGGGCGTACTCTCCTATTTGAAGTCGTCAGACATTGTGTAAGTTCCAAGATTAAAGCCCTCATGAGCATCATCCAAGTACTGACCGGAGATAGTGCCTTTGAACACGTCTTTAGCTCTCCTGTACCTCATTATCCTCATCATCTGCGTGGTCACAGGTCGGGTCTGACTGACCTCCGCCGCGGAGAAGGCCAATACTGGAAGCATCTGGAAGATCGGAAAGGTGGGCGTTCGTATGTTTATCGGCCGTTGATCCTCGGTCCGGGATCGAGACGTCGGTATCGCTCCAGATGGTCTACTTTGGAAGCAGAACGTATCGTGCACCCAGCCGTGGGGAGGTCAGCTGGTGGCTTCTGGGGATTGATTGGGATCGCCACTCACCTACTAGCGAGAAGATGATGCGAGTATCGATCGAGAATTTTCATTGCTTCTGTTGCGGTCGTCCATTATCTGACGGCTAGTGTAATAGGGAGGTATGTACCCGTGGGCACTCGAACACAGGCAGGTGGGTTTGCGCCGACCTTGACGGCCTGAGGCTCCTGCCGCTACCTCACAGGTATGCTACAGTTAGGTGCTGAACATGCAAGGCACCTCAAGCTTGTAGTGTCCCCCGTGCCTCCTTGCCTCGAATTAGACAATGTACCTACAGGAACGTGATGTAGGTAAACATCAGGTGGCATGGCTACATACCAACGACATAGCCCGTAGTCACTCATCCGAGCCTGACTAATGCAGATGACCTCCAGGCAACCCTTTTTTCTTTCCGGGACATCGGCTAGAAAATGTGCACGATCATGATTCCCGATGCTACTCCAGCCATCACGCTTTGCTTGAAGAGAGGTGCTTCGCTTGTAGGGAGGTGATTCGCTTGTAAGGAGGTGATTCACTTGAAGAGAGGTATTTTGCTTGAAGAGAAATACTTTAGTTGAAGAGAGAGGGAATTTGTAATGTCTCCAGCCATCGATTGTACGAAGTCTTCGGATCGTGTTAGTGTAGAGTTGGGCGAGCCTTAGATTCTGCGGATAAACTGACGTGCAGGTTCATCCCAAAGATCATCCACGTCCCAACACCTACTGCAGTTGCCTCTCATCTGAGTAGTCGAAGTGAAGATTCCTCCCAGCTACTTTAAAGCCAAAGGTCTTGAGTAACGTGCGCTAAAATCCCCTTTATCCTCCTGAAAAAATCATCATGTACTTCTCAGGGCCAAAGATCGCGGTGGCTGCGCAAGGTAAACAAACTACATATGATTATTGTGTTGATTATTTGGCACAGAAAAGTAATTTTGGTATGATATTGTATGTTTATTAACATTTTTTAATGTAGTTAGACGCAGCCAGTAGTAGATGTTCTTTCCTCACCTCAACACCGCGTCATTCATCCGTACCGTATTGTTTTCTTGCATGTGATGACTGATACCAAACGTTCTTGAGAATACTCATGTGCACTTTCCAAAGTCTGGAGGGATTGTCGGCAAGTGACCTCACGGCACTCCAAGACCAAACCACCCCAAGTAGGCCCTACCACTCGAACCGTCAAGTATTCGACGAAAGTAACAACTCCACTACTTCTTCGCTTCAGAACGAATTTCTCTACACCATTTACTCGTTTCCCCTCTATGAGACGAGAAACGCATGTAGCTAGCTGATTAATTCGACGATTCGACGCGAGGCCAAGTGATCTATAGTAGCTCTACTATAAATTATTCAGATTATTAAATATAAAGTATAATAGACTAGATTAATATTATCACGGTTGAAACTGAAACACTCAACAAGTCACTTGCCTTCAGAAAGAAAGAACACTATAGATAGTACATTCTTATTGTCAATGCAGTACGTAATTGTGGTTCCATTCCTCCTAAAATGATCGGGGTGTTTCGTTCCTTCCGTTCCTCGATAATACGCCCCAAATCTGTCGTCCTGAGGCAGACCGATGCCCAGGAGCCCAACCTACCCTACACCAGGATTTCATTACCAGTCGGCAGACTTCAATCATGATGGACACAGGCAAGAAAGTGTTATGTTCTTCAACAAGCCCGCGGCAAGGCAATGACACTCCGTAAGTAGTAAGAGACAATTTCAATCGTGATACAGCTTTCCCCGACAGTGAGACCTACGATCCCTTCGCCTGCGAGTGAATGCATCAATTTCACGGTCAGTGTGCCGATATGGACACACGTACTGCCACCGTAGGCAGAAATATCATCAACAGGCTGGGGCCATTGAACAGAGACCTGTGTGACTCTGCGGCATGTCCCACTTGTTGCTCTCCGTATTCATCGCCTCATGGAAGCAAGTCTGAGCTGCCTGGTCCGTCGTGAGACTCCTCCAACTCGGCAGACAAGTGGGTGCAAAGCATACGTATCCAAGCCGACCCCAGAAACACCATGTGCAGGGTCCTAAGGATATTCTTCTACGGTGCCCCACGGCAGTGTTCCAGCTGGGCAAGGACAATAGCAAAGCGACTCTCTAGCTTATGCACCTAAGGTAGGATCAATGATGTGAAGACAGATATCACGACGGCCTGCCCCAGTTGAGACGAGCACGCTGAGATTACACTGGTTACCGAATTGGGATGGATCCGGGCTAAACCTGAAAATCCACTAAAATACAGCGACTCGAACTGAGACAGGGAGGACTCAGAGCACTGGTGAGACCCGAGGCACCTGCCTGGAGCAAACCTTTGGGCCAACAGCGAGTACCTGCACTGCTTCCTTGTTCTTACAGTGTGTGCTGAATATGCACAGGTCACCTTGAGCAGCTTGAGCTCAGCGCATCTCACGGGCGGAGGGCCGGACCTTGCCCTCGAGCCGAACGCAGTGCTACGGAGGCCAACACCGCTCCTCTCCGACATCATCCCAACACGAAGGGCACCAACCCGGCCCACCCCGACCAGGACAATCACAGCCCTCCGGCCCAAAGTCAAACCGACGAGCCTAAACAATGGGTATTGACGCGCGGGGCCCAGACACGGCCCAGACAAAACAAATCCACCGCCCATGTCCCGACCGTGTGTGTGCAACCAGAACTGGGGTCCAGGCCTGCCCTCCCAACTTAGACCGCCCTCGAGCGAGCAGCACCCATCTCATGCCATGCAGCTCTCGATGAACCCTGTCCCCTACGCTGGCCTCTCGCCCACATGTCAAAAGCTGAGAAAATACAAGAGCCCAGAGCCCAGAGCCCATGCCTGCCTGCCGTGGCCGAGAAGGTACGACCAGACGGCAAAGCGAAACGATAGCCACGACTAGCTGCGGACTGTGCTTGAGACACTGACGTGTATGGCCTCAATGGCGGCTAGGAGGGGAGGGGGGCCAGCGTGAAGGGGGGGCGAGAAAAATCAAGGGCCCACGCTGAAAAGGGAGAAGTGACGGGCACTCACCTGCCAGCAGAGGATAAATACCACGAGGAGGGCCATGGGCATGACTACGAGGAGGTCTCGACGACCCTGTGAATCACCTCTCCCACGAGCGGTTGAGCCTCTTGATCCCCTCTGCAATTTGCCAGAATTGAATTGAAACAAACCCTGCCCCTTCCCCCTCCCTACTCCTCTATCATACAAACCCACGCAGAATACCAAAAGAAATACACCCCGCTGCCCATCATGATGTTCGTGCCCGGCACCGGCCCTGACGACCAATTCAACGACATCGTCCGCGAGCTCCTGGAGAGGTACTACGACACGAGCCACTACAAGGTCAAGCCCAAGGCCAAGGAGGTCGTGGACCTGACCCGCGCCGCCGCCGCCGAGATCGAGGCCCTCCGCGGGCGCGCTGACCACCAGGGCATCGACTACGAGCCGACCCGGGTCGTGACCCTGTGGATCGACAAGTCCGAGGACGTGTGCCGCGACGACTCCCTCACGGACGACGAGAAGCACACCCGCCTCTTCTACATGGTGCCCTTCATCACCAAGGAGGTCGAGAACATCACCGCCATCCTCAAATTGCTGCGCAACGACGTCGACGGCCCGATGGGCGTCAGCGTCATTGAGCTGGAGCTTTTCGTCTTCGAGCTGATAGAGCTGCTCGACGACTGCACTGCGGTTGCCATGAGGGGCTTACGAGGTTGATTTGATGGGTGCGTGCCCTGTACCCATTCTGGGTGGTCGCTTTCGCTCTTCTGCGGCCATTGTCGTGGGATTTCCAGTCGAAGCCAGATCGGGCTGGCTTTGACCTGACTTGATTTTCCCTTCTTTTCATTGGCTTCGGCCTGATTTGTGTGTTTTTTATAATTTTTTTTATTTTTTTTTTTGGATTGGCCTGGGATGAACCTTGGATATTGTGATTGGCTTGGGATTGAAACTGGGCACAGGTAGATAGATTGTTAGATCATGTCACATCGGGTTGTGCCCTGTTCTTCTTCAGACATGCCGGTCGGACCCAACGCGGTGAATACTTGCCTGCCTGCTGTCCCATGTCCATTGCCTCCCACGGGTGATGCTTGCCTGCCCACTACCCCGCGTCCAGGGTCTCCCACGGGTCGGATTTCGGCAGCCTGTGGCGTGCTGGGAATCATTCATTCGCATTGAGCTTGCTACACACCATCTTGGCCCCCTCCCTTGCCTGTTGCCGCCGGCTGCTTCGCTGTAGCAATCTCGATCAAGAGAGCTCGTATGCCTGCGCTCGGTGGATCGAGCATTCGGGGGCCAATCATTGTCGCAACCCTAGTCCCAGATTGATGTTCGCCAGGGGGGGGGGCCTATGTCTCCGGAGGGTGCAAGAGGGGTCCGAGCAATCAATGGTTGCAACTGGGCGTTGTGGGCTCAACGCTCAACACGATGCAGGTGCGTGCAGCTAGTAGATAGTAAGCCAACCACCAGAGAGATAAGAGAGAGGGAAGGGGAAGCTGTGTACCAGTGGGAGAGACAAGAGCGGGAAAAGTTGCTCCAATCATTCCATGTCTCAAAAGATGCTCTCGGATGGGCGGTCACCTCTCGTCTTGCAAGGTCGCCTCCACACAGAAGAGACCACCAAATCTCGGCCGTTCGCCGAAGAGCTGAAAACCTGCCAGGGCGTCAGCTACATCGTCCAAGCTAGTAACGTCTCAGGCCGATTCCCCTCTTGGAGGACTCAGAAGCGCGCGTCCAAGAAAGGCAAGATGGGATTGCGCTAAGAAAGGGGAGAAAACGTTCTCACATACTTCTCCCCACGATATCCCGCCTTCTTTCAATAGTTTGTGGTCCTAACGTCCCTTCTCTGCGTCCCTGCCCCATCGTTGGATGTAAATCAATTGGGCTCCAATGCCGAGCGGTGTGCAATCGAGAGCCATTCGATTTGAGTAGCTTCTTTTTGCCGCAATATTTTTTTCATGCCGTGTCTCTGTGATGTGCGGTCAGTAGGTACGTTACTCCATACATCCGGAATGAATGCCCTGTTTCATTGGTCAATCTGGGGGATATTGATCCTGCTGTTGCAATACATTTGACAGACACCTGAAAATTCTTACTTGGCGAGAAACCGCCGGTGTGCGTGTGCCGCCCATGAGAGGATATCATCCATGCTCTGATATATCATCTGTCAAATTGGCCTACCTAACTCAAGGCTCTAGAACAAGAAATAGTATCGAGAGGCTTTTGATTGCACTGATAACCACATGCTCCGTCGACAAAGCATCAGCGAAGGAACGGCCCAAAAAAGAAGTAGAGAGTACCCAGCTGGTGAACGGCAGTCCGCCAGCCATAGAATTGGGCCATCTGTGCCTGCAAGCAAGGCACTCTTGATGCGACCAAAACAAAATGACACCATTTTCCCTCGGGCGGAACCTTTCCATCTTCGGTTTTCTTCCCTTTCCCTTTTCCTCCTTTCAGCTTGAGCTAGCTTTCCCCGTTTCGTTTGTTAGCCTTCGTAAAAGTCATCGTCATCACTCTATTACAATCCTTTACCGTCACATATCACATCCTTTGAGTCACATACTCGGAAGCGTCGCCGACCTCATCCTTGGAGGTCTCACTAGTCCCGTCCTTGGAAGATCAGCCAGACGAGTCCGTGCAAGCCTTGCCAATAACGTCCTTAGAAGTCTCGCTGGTGACGCCCTTGGGGGACTCGCCTCCAGCGTCCGTGGCAGCCTCATCAGTGATGTTTTTGGCAGCCTCCCAGGTGATGTCCTTGAAAATCACGCCGCTGGCGTTCTTGGTAGTATCGCCAGTGGCATACTCGAGAGCCTCGTCGGCGACTCCTTGAGGGGTTTCACGTGCAGAGTCCTTGGGGGCCTCGTCGGCAATGCTCTTAGAAGTCTCGATGGTGATGCCCTTGGGATACGTGTCGGTGGCCTCCTCAGGAGCCTCAGCATTGGCGTCTTTGGGAACACCGCCAGCGATGCCATTCGAGCTTTCACCTGAAGTGTCCTTGGCAGCCACGCCAGTGACGTCCTTAGCAGCCTCATGGGTTATGCTGCTGGATGCCTCGTTAATCAGATCTTTGCGGACGTAAATTTGTATGTCGCCAAATCCCAGGCGATCTTGGGGAAACGGGAATCTATGATACCCCTTGACCATCTCTCGCGTACGTGGGGAGTCGTGATCGGTCGAGTAGGGTCTGCAAACACCACATTTAGTAGCTGAAAATTCCAGTAGAATAGTTACTGAACCTTAGAACCAAGATAGTTCAGGCGAAAGGGAGGGAAGTCGAGTTCGGAAATAGTTGGGACGAGAGGGAAGGGAAAAGACTTACGAGAGTAGGCCGAAGTTACCGTCTCTCTCAAACACCCTCCACTTCTCTTCGCCCTCCTCTTTGACCTCGTTGCAGATCAAGATAGCAGGCTTGCCCAGGTCAGCAACAACTTGCTTCACAGGAATATTAGGGTGGCAGCTGAACACAACGGTATTCTCATCGATATACGTAAACCCGAGGCCGCCACGGCCACCCACGACCTGGATGCCGACTTCGGCCAGCAGACGCTTATCAGCGTCATTGTATATTGGGTCCTGACAAAATACAGTCAGACCACCAACATCCAGGCGCTTGCCAATGACTTTGGCAATTGTGAGCGCCGCGGCGTGCTGGATGATGGCGGAATAGACCCTGTCCTCCGGCTCGTATCTCTCATCCTCAATCTCAATTGACCAGCCGAGGCTTCCAAGTCCGAAGCAGACTACTTTGTTAATATTCTTTGAGATTGCGGCTTGTTCGGCCAGAACGTTGGTGATCTCTGCGCATGTGTGGCTAAGAGGCCAATGATGGTTCATGATGGTATCCCATTCCCCTCGGATCCTGTCGTAGTTGATAGAGCAGGGAGCATAACTGATGAGCGAAATGGACATGGCGCGAGTGGCCAGTGTGCGTCTTGTCTCGTCACTGAGGGTTGCCACTGTTTCGCCAAGGTTGTGGTCATGCTCCTCCTCTCTGACGATGGCTTTGAGGTCTTGGTAAAGGAAGTACCGGATGTAAGGCAGCCTATAATAAGTTTAGTGACTGTTTCTATTGCAGGTTGGTGGAGCTGTACTCACGGGCGGCCCATGGAGCCTCCTCCAGGGCGTTGGGGAGAGACTGGTGGTGCCCGCGGAAGCCGCTTCTGCCTGAAATTGCCGTTCACTATAGGTCCAGGTCAGCAGCGGAACAAGAAACAATATAGACGAAGAATCGTATCGAACAAGATGGATGGAGAAGGGCATGGAAAGGTGGTGAGGTGGGCGTGGCATGGCAGTCGTAGGAGAGTTGACATACTGCTTCGAAGCTCAATAAACCTCGGAAGGGGTTGCTTGGCAAGCTCAGCCTCAGCCGAGACGAACATCTCCTTGGTCCATAGCTTAGCACCGGAGTTGTACAAGGCTTCAATGTACGCGATGTCCTCTTCCATCGAGGGGGTGAGCACGGGATTGTTGCGCCTGTCGGCCTCTGCCTGGAGGTCATCAAGGGTCAACGCTAATGTCAGGGCCTGACTCATTGTATCTCGGATGTGTCTGTGTGTGTGTTGAACGAAATGCGGGATGCGATATGTCTGCCAACTTGGCTGGATGGAGAGAAGGGTGTTGCAAGAAGAGAGGGGAAGAGAGTAGGGACGACAGGCTCATGCAAGCTGAATGCCTGGTCGAAATGGCCTGGGCGTCACGTTTGGTGGCACAAGGACGGCGGTTGTGGTTCTTCCGAAAAAAAGATGAACGCACAAGTCTGGTGTGTTCAAAGTGTGAGGGCGTGTTTCTTTGTTCAAGAGGCAGCATCTATTAGTGGTGAAGAGAGAAGTAAGTGAGTGCACTGCACATTGATGGCTGCCTGAGGTGAGAACGGGCAAGTGGCTGATGTGCACCTTCCCGACACTGGCTGCCAGCAATTGCAGCAGCCCTTCCGTCACTGCGGCATTCACTCGAGTGTCTTGTTCAAGAGTCATGGCATGCGGCATATTTATTTTTCAGTGCCATTGACGGCTCAATTCCTCTCGATCCCTCCTCCCATGCACGGCTCCAAGCATCACCTCAAAGACGTGCCTTTCCGGCTGGGAACAGGAACTCGTCGACAAGCCCGGCCGCCTCTCGTGCCACGCCGAACCCGAAGATATATCCCCCTCCAGTGATCCCTAAGCCTCCATCGTCAGCAGGGTCCAGCCTCTTCCCATACGATACGCACGGGTGCCCTACCGTAAGCATGCACAATGTTCTGGCCTTCCTTGACCTCCTTCTCGATGCGCATTCCCGTCGATCTGTAAGGCCGAATGCCCACATTGTGCCCGACAATGTCGTAGTCTGCTGGGTCGGCAGAGAAGTGCTCCGGCAGGGTTTTGTTCACCCTTCTCGCAATCTACGACAGGTCAGCACCCGCCGCCGCCGCGAGCGACAGCTCGACTCACATCCTTGTCAACCTCAAGATCGACCTTCGTATTGCTGTTTGCACCGCTGCTGTCAGTCCAGCCAAGGATCAGGTCCAGCTTTCACCGTACCTGATATCCGGATCTCGAATGCCGCCCAAAATCACCGTCCCGTCCAATCGCGGGATGACATATGTGTAAGTCTCCCCATCGTCGCGCATCATGGTTTTCTTGTAGTCACTCTTCACTAGCATGATCTGTCCCTTGAGGAACAGCATGTCCTTGTCCTGAACATCCGCCAGATCCCTGGGCCCCAATCCAGTCGCATTTACAAGAACGTCGTGCCCGAGATGCCGCGCATCCGAGAGCGAGCTGAGATCGAGCCTCTTGAAGTTGACCCCTGAGTTCTCAAGGTTGCGTCTCATCCAAGGGAGGAAGATGTTCGGGTTGAGAACGACTGTCGTATCTGGAAACGGTCAGTTGACGCACTGAATATTGACAGGTCCAGACACACAGGAGTATCCCCCATCGGTCCCTTCTGGAAGCTCATCGTTTGCGAGGAAGCGGAACTATCCAGATCAGCACTAATCACACCTCTTCTTAGGTTTTCTGCATCGCATACATCGGGCACAAACTCCCTGAACCACAAGTCGTCCTCCGTCCGCTCTCCGTTGAAGAACTCCTCCATCGTAATCTTCTTGACGCTAGACTCCGGACACCTGCTGGCCAATCTCCACAACTCGCTAAAGGTATCACGCTGCCTTTTCCTGTCGCAAGGTGAAGAACAGTATCCTGCCACGAAATTAGCGCCCGCCCACGGGCTTGCCCATTCAGTCGTCGGGTCATCCCCTGGGAGATTCTTGGCGACCACGGTGATGTCGTGGTTGCGAGAGAGCTGTGCCGCAATGGCAAGTCCGGTAATGCTATTGTCCACCCATGTCAGCCGTCCGTCGTCGATGAGCATGAAGCGTCCGTGATAGCCTACCCAGCTCCGACAACGGTGATTCGTGCCATGGGTGCGATTTGGCAAGTGTTATTTCTTCTGCTGATTTTGCTGTTTATTTGGGTTTCTGGAGGATCTGTGAGGTACCCAGCTGTTCCCAGGTCCTTTATCTCGTCCGTCTATTTCCATACCCCGCATCCAGCGAGGAGCTTCTGATAGTGAGGTCTCGGATGGATTCCCGAAATATTGCTGAACCCTTATCTGGGAGCGGCCTGTCGCCCGATCTGCTTGAGTTTAGCCTCGGTAGGTACACGCTTGCATGGCCAATATGTATGTGAACGCACATTGCATATGGAGCAGTGCCAGGGAAGATGGCAAGGGGATACGCCCAAGAAAGATTCATCCTCTGGCAATATACTTCCTAGGATAGAAGAATAAACGGCTTAACGGAAGGTTCTCTGTCGAGGTGCATTTAGTCTCTAGGAAAATAGTCTTCAGAATTTGAGGAGGTTTAAGCGTGGCCAGTCTCAAGCTCTTATCGCTTGTGAGCTTAGGAGAATGAAGATTTATACTTTCCCCTTGCCCAGAAGAGGTATCCCTAGGATCTTGATTGTTTAATCCTATCACAGTTAAAAACGTCTGCCGTATTCTTCAACTCCCAGGTCGCCTTTGTCCCATCCGAGACTGATTCGAAAACGCTTTGTCAAGGCAGCGGGATTTCTCGCCTGTTACGAAGACGAAGCAATAACAGTCAGTTCGCAGATTGTGCTAGACTGTATAGGGGGAGGATGTATCATGCGACGTAGCAAACAATAAAGGTCGGGGATGACTCAAACAGTGAAATATTCTCATAGAACCTGAAGATCAAGCCTTAGATTAGTGTGACATACAACATCAAGAAAAATACTGGAGAAAAGAGTGTTCATAAATAATCTTTGGATTCAAAATAGCTAATTGAAGATCACCAAACCGACACATCTTCGAAGGGTCTAACAATCATGCCATGGGTATCATAAGCCTCCGCCACACCAAGCCTTTCAACAATCTAGTAGTAGTACTCGTCGTCGAAGTCGCGAACCTCAATAAGATCAAGGTCGTCGTAGACGTCACGAGCCTCGAGGAGGTCGAGGTCGTCGTAGATGTCGCGGGCCTCGAGGAGGTCGAGGTCGTCGTAGATGTCACGGGCCTCCAGGTACTCCTCGATATCGCGGGCAGCAAGGAGGTCAAGGTACTCCTCGATGTCACGCTTCATCACAGCGCCGCCGCCGCCGTTGAAAGCGCTGGCCACGTTGGCAATAGCATCCATGCCGTTCAGAGCGTGGTTGAAGATCTCGGTCTTGCTGGTCTTGGGCTTGGCAGGGGCGGCCTTCTTAGCAGCGGCCTTGGGAGCAGCCTTAGGAGCAGCCTTCTTGGCGGCGGGCTTGGGAGCGGCCTTGGGAGCAGCCTTAGCAGCCTTCTTAGCACGGGGCTCAAGGTCACGCTTCCTGGCACCATTGAAGGCTCCGGCGACGTTAGCGATCGCGTTCATGCCATTGACTCCGTTGTTGAATGCCTTGGTCTTCTTGCCGCGAATTTCAAGATCACGCTTCCTGGCACCATTGAAGGCACCAGCAACGTTCGCGATTGCGTTCAAACCATTGACCCCGTTGTTGAATGCCTTGGTCTTCTTGCCGCGGGGCTCAAGATCACGCTTCCTGGCACCGTTGAAGGCTCCAGCGACGTTGGCAATCGCGTTCAGACCATTGACTCCGTTGTTGAAAGCCTTGGTCTTCTTACCGCGGGGCTCAAGGTCACGCTTCCTGGCGCCGTTGAAGGCTCCAGCAACGTTGCCAATCGCGTTCAGGCCATTGACTCCGTTGTTGAATGCCTTGGTCTTCTTGCCGCGGACCTCGAGTCCGGCCGCGCCGGAGTAGTCGGGGACCATGGGGGCGGCGATGGCGGTCTCGGCAATGCCGAAGACGACGGTGGCAGCAAGTCCGAGGTTCTTGTAGGCAACCATTTTGAATGTTGTTTGAAAAGATTATTTAAGAATGAAAAAAAAGCTTTAAAAAATTATATTTAAAAAGAGGATGTTGAAAGTATTGACCAGCAATAAAATGGACAGAGAAGCGAAGAAAGGAAAAAGAAGAAAAGAAAAGAAACAGAGACCGGCTCTGGGTTTGTGATACTGTTTTGGATTTTTTGGGTTGTTGATATCGAAGAAAGAATCGGACAACTGGGCGGGCGATCCCATCTCCTTTATACGTAGAGATCTCATGAATCTCTCCTGCCACGAGCGGACGCTACCGCAGCTTGAGCAAGCATCTGGGCTGCCCGTTTCAGACGGTGTCAAAAATAGTGTTCGGGACGCGCCCACCACATCCCATGACGGTGAACCTGGCTCCCGGATCCTAAGTTAGGAGGGCTGCGTGGAGTATCGCACCAGTGTGCCAATGAAACACGGGAGGCAGAGGTTATCTCACGCTTATGGTATCAACCACTTCCCGGTAGGCCAGGGCAGGAGAACCTGGTCCCTAGTATCCGTGTCCTCTTGCGTGGTCAACAAGGCGTGCAATGCCCAAAACTGACTCATATCGTACCTAATAAGGAGACCCGTCAGTCAGCGTTTGCCCATGTAAGAATATGGACTGGAATGTGTGGGGATGGCCAGAGTGGGCAGTCAATTACCAAGTCATGGAGGGGGTTCGCTCCGTCTCACATACCTTAGGTCAGAATTTGGTATCGCCAAGTCCATTGGAAACAGCGAGGATCAGCATCTTGACTTTCTTGGTGTCTGAAAGGTCCACTGCAATTCCATGGTGCCCTCACATCCCAGTCAAATGTTTCTCTCAGTAGCGTCGCCAAGGTAAACGGCGTCCTTTTACTAACAGATTTGAAGAGGCAGCAAATCTCAAGTTTCCTCGTGGTTGGGGCTACCCTACAAGATGCAGGCCACGTGACAGTTGTCAAGCAGATCTATGTATTGTGCTAGCACTTGAAGAAAGAAAGCACAGCCGGTTTATTAGGCGTTCACTGTGGGCAGGTGCAGCGGATGTTACTCGCTAAGCTGCAGTTCATCATGCATCATTTCACGTCATGCACTCTTGCGGCGCATGGCGCATTGCGTGAATTGAGAACTGTTATCCAGTTCCTCGGAGAGAAGTACGTTGTAATAGCGATATTGCTTGCAATCAATCGCAGACCAAAGCGCCTCTTCGCTTGGCAGGTAAAAATATCCTCATGGCCAGGGGCCCTGCCATGCCAGTTCCAGGAGACCCCCGAAGTACAGGGAACGCTAATGAGCCAATCCACTGGAAGCTCGCCAGAACGCCCAGGAGCGAAGGATTCATCCACCAATATGGCAGATGCAAGATCCCCTGCCTGGCCACTCGGCACCGACAAGCTGCCCCAGCAGCCTTGATCCCGGCAATTATGTGCTGTGCCTTTGGCATTTGCCAGAGTAGTAGCGGATGCCCCGGAGAGATAAGACGAGGTCACGGTGCCTAGCCGTCGCGCGCGGGCCCTCTCGCCTGATACGCAGCTATGTGGCGAGGCAACGTGGGAAAAGGACTTTGGATGGCATTTGGGAACCTACATTCGACGACATCAGCTACAGCTACATAGGTAGTAGCCCTCCATCTGAATCCGGGCATTCGATCGGGTTTTTTTTTTGAAACATAGTCGACGGTGAGAGGATCCTATGCAAGCAAAGGGCTACGGGCAGCATGGATCTCAGGGCTGTTCCAAAACACTGAACCAGGAGCCCCATGCGAGCCACTTCCTGCTAAATTACCAGCTAAAAGCTCATACCATTACGGGGCGATGGATCTGATCGGCGCGGCCTGCGCATGACTTTTTTGCTCCTGCTAAAATAGTATGCATGTAGGAAAATAAAGAACAAACTCTATCGCCTTTAAGAATCTTGAGTTGTTGGTCGAGATTGACGAGGGCGCCCATCCGTGCGACACGAACTTGCCGGCCGAGGCTTGGTGAACCTAAAGTACATGGCTATGGAATCTTCAATTGCACCTAGTACACCTTATCCAGCATACGGTCAGTCCTCAGTCAGCGCCTTGTAGACATGGCAGCCTGGGAATAAGCCTAAATTACCTTAATTCCGACGAGCCTGCCAAGAGCTTCGCTCCGCTGAGGATGCTATTGATAGAAGGTGTGCGTGGCTGGCCCTCCACCGAGTACGTCATGGGATGGGTCGCGCACAGGCATCGCCATCCCAGTCGGTCAGACAGTCCTGGGGCAAGAGGGAAGTGTTCTGCGACACAGGATTCTGGTTGACCATTAGGCGAAGAAATATGGAGTTGGAGGCCTACTGCTCAGCAAACGTGCACACGAGCTTGTCAAGACATCACGACGCGGGTACACATCAAAGTTCAGCCTTCTTAGAGTACAACTACCTGCGTAGTAGATCACTCGAACTTGAGGTGTGCTCCAATGCCTACCTCTGATTGGCTAGCACACCACGCCTCACCTGGTCGCTCGGTCACAATGAAGCTTGCGTCCAGCCGTATGTAAGGTTCAACACCAGCAATAGCTTGTACGTGGCAAAATAGATCTTACGTATGCATGACTTCCTCCATGAACCCAAAGGTTAGATGTATTTGATTCCGAAGCTTAGAGAAATGAAACAAATTATGTCAACGGACTACACGTGAACGAAAAACCCAATGAAGGCGTGCGCAGCCGGGACAGTGATCAATTTGTTCATCAATGAAAATTCTGTTCTGGTTGCCCGACGCCCAAGCCTGAACCCTCCCCCCCCCCTCTCGAAAAAGGTTTGATCAGACGCTGCTGCAAGATTCAAATGCTTAATATATTAGACCATTTCGTTCTCGCGATACAGCATATTCTTGACACTCACGAGAGCGCTTCGATTGCGGCCAAGAAACGAAGGGCAACTTTAGGGTAACAGTGGTGTACCAGAAAAAAACCCAGCAAAGTCAGCATCGGCGTGCACCTCGGTGATGGCCGGCCGAGACCCAGCCTGATCGGCCTTTGACCTGTGAGGCGGCAGGACCGAGCCGAATGCTTTTTTAGGGGCCATCCGTGATTGTGATCTTCCTTCCCTTCAATATGTCATAATGGGGCAACCTGCTTTCTACTTCAAGTGGCTGATCAGCCGCGAAGCAAAGTGCAAGGCTGCGATTTCCAAACAGATGCCCGTCTGATCCGGGAATATACCCCTGAGATTCACTCCGGTAATGGGGCGAGGAAGCTCACAGCGACACAGGAAATTGGTCAGCAATTAATTATGTATTTACGCCAACGTTGAGTCGTTGACCCAGAAAATCATCAAGGTGTTGCTTTCAAATTTTAATTACCATATTATAAACCACCCCCTGTTACAAGACAAGTGGGTGACCAGGAGAAATGAGACACCCACTGGAAGAGTGGTTCTGCTTTCCAAGATGAATCAAGAAATGTAGTAGTACAAAATGAGATCAAGTAACAAAATTTGCCGTGTTATCCCTCAATTATGTATTATTGGCACTCAACCATTTGACAACGTCGGTCGCAGACTCGAGAATAAGCAGGTTAATGTTTGAGTGTCTCAAATTCAATGTCGCCCGCTTGCATGGCTATGCTTCCCTCGTCCGGTGGGATGGACTCGATCCAAAGCTCACTTGCTAGGCGACTAGATTGTTGGCGTTTGGTCCTATGCTATTGGTCCCGCCGGTTATTTTGATTCCTTTTTTCTCTGTGCTTGCCGCCCATTTCCAAATTTATGCCTTGTCGATTTGAAAAGGGGAAACACTTTTGAGATCTCCCCAGGATGCAACAAATACCAAACTGTTTGTCCTACGGAGAGAGAAGATATGTATCCCTGAAGAAGCGGGTTGCGTTGATGCGCTTGAAATGTGAGTGGATGACGATATGTACGGATCGGAAGATGCATCAAAGTCACACCTATCCACAACACGAAGAACCTGGGGATAATAGCTTGAAATATTCATGGATAATCAGAGCTGCTTTGTCCTTGTTGTGTCAGTGATTTGTTCCAGCAAAGACAATTCAAACCGTAGGGCGAGATCAATAGTAACGCTGGTTATTGATGTGCTTGAGGAACCTTGGCTTCCCTCGTCGTGGAACTGCACTGTCGGCCTGGAGTCAACGGTGTCAGAGAAAGAGTTCTGCAAACTCAACAGGTATTAGCTGCCCATTTAACGGCTTCTGTAGACAAACACCCATTGAGAGTTTGGATAAACAGTATGTTCGATTGCCGAAGACAAAACATGTGGATGTTGAATCGTTGCCAACAGTTCCACCCAGGCCGTCACGCGCCCCAACAAAGCAAGTCTCGCGAGCAGTAATACACAACACACAAGGGGAGTACCAGAAGGCAATAATGCTCACCCTGGAAACCCTGAGGAGCCAGACAGCAATTCTGAGCCCTGGCCATCCGTCATTTCTCCGGAGTCGAATCCGTCTTGCTGAAGCATATCGGCATCAGGAGAACCTTGACGAGACCGAGAACCAACTTCTCTCACTCCGAGAAAAAGCCATGCACAGCTTAGGGCAAAACCATAATCCTCCAATGTGAATTAAGGGGTGCTTATCTAAGTTGCACAGAGCTAGGGGAGACCTCGCTGGAGCAAAGGCGTGCCAGATCGAGCTCTGCCAACTGCAACAAGCGAATGGGGGAGCTGACTACCTGAGAACCATTTGCAGTGCTGATTCCTTGTTGTTTTTACTCTACGAAATGAGGTTGTATGAGCAGGCAGAGCAATTACGAAAGACAAATCTACGCGTGGAGACTCAGATGCTCTGGAGAGGATGTTTCCAAAATCGCCTCTGGGCTGGTGATATCAAGGAACCAGGGAATGTGGGAATATGCGAAGGGGCTGCTGAGGCAAATATGAGTAGAAAATAGGAGATATTTGGGCGAGGGTCATCCCGCTTCATTCTTGTGCGAGAGGGATCTGACTATTGTGCTTCGGGAGCTGGATTTGTTGGAAGAGGCGGAAAGGCATGGTAGAAGCGTGCTGGAGGAATGCGAGAAAACTCTACGGACAGATAACAGCGTTTCTCTAGCTTCCAAGTATGACTTCTCCCGGACATTGGCCGTAAAGGACGATCTGTGGCGGCAGAGAGCGGATCGGACTGAAAACTGATGATGAAAATAATTATTACAATAGATGATTGTGATGGTGATAATGATGGTGATGATAGTACTAACAGCAGTTTGGTAGCAATAATCATAGCAATAATCATAGCAATGACAATAGTAATAGTAATAATTTTATTAACTAAAGAAAAATCAAAGCAAACCAAAAAAACCAAATAAATCAAAACCAAACAGATAAATCAAAACCAAACAGATAAATCAAAGCCAAACAGATAAACCAAAACCAAACAGATAAATCAAAGCCAAACAGATAAACCAAAACCAAACAAATAAATCAAAGCCAAACAGATAAACCAAAACCAAACAAATAAACCAAAACCAAACAGATAAATCAAAACCAAACAGATAAATCAAAACCAAACAGATAAATCAAAACCAAACAAATAAATCAAAACTAAACAACATTATCTCAGCCTGACCCGTGAATCCAGACGGGAAGATCAATCCCCAGACCAGAAACCTTCCACTTGCTCCATGTCTTGTTACTGAACATTTGCTCCCTCTCGATGAGGGCATTGGATGTCCAGTTGTTCACCAGGTATTGACCGACGTCCTTCCTGTTCGCGACCCAGTCAATCCGGTTACCCATGTAAACCTGCAGGGCAAGGTAGCAATGGGGCAGTGTCCCATCGCTCTTCATCTCCCCGACCGGCATGGCCTCGAAGACATCCGGAACCGTGTACTTGGAGTCCTTGGCGCAGTCCCACAGATGGCGGTACACGGAGTCGGTGTTCATGTGGAAGTCGTCGACGAGGAGCTTCTCCTGATCCAGAGTGAGGGGTTTGTACTTCTTCTGCTGGAAACCAACACATGCATCAATGCCGAGCCCCATATCCATGATCTTGTGACTGATGTACCCGTCTTCAGCGATTTCACCGACGCACCAGTCCCTCAGGTTTTGGGCATCGACAATCATTGTGGCTCCGCTGGAACGGAGCAAGTCGACCAGGAATTTGTGCGTCTAAAAATGGATGTTAGCGCACTGCAGAGTTCGTTGGGTAGGTAGGAGAGGCGAGAGAGGCGAGAGAGGCGGGAGAGGCAGGAAAGGCAGGGGAGGAGGGAGAGATGGGAGAGGTGGGAGAGGTGGGAGAGGCGAAATCTTACCGCAAGGAGCATGGTCTGGTCCATGAAAGGCTGCAGGCCGAACGAAATATCCTCGAGGAGCCACTTTCCGTCACCGAACAACTTGCCAATGTCAGTCTTGTAGTCATCCGTCAGTAGGTTCTGTGGCAGGCCACGCCGGTCTTGATGGCCCAGCGCAGACCACATCAGTCTCTGCAGGTGCCTTTCCATGGCCCCCGAGTAACGTTGGCCCAGGTCCTTGAGAAGGTCGTCGAGCTTGTGGCTCTCGCCTCGGTTTTCAAGCTCGGCAACGAACGCCGGGGAGGTGCTCACCCCCGCGAGAACCTCTGTGGCAAGATCGAGCTTGTTGACGGGGTTGAGCGACTCGGTGACGCCAATAGCATCCTGGGCCACTTGTGAGAACGTCTCAATCGGGGCTTCCGCTGAGTTGGAAATGCGAAACGCTTGGGCGATGCTATCGAGAGCGTACTTGACAGTATACTTGTGGTCGCCAGGCTTGAAGGATTCCACCAGCTTGTCCATATCGAAGTATTCGTTGTTGATCTCGATGGAATCCTTCAAGTGACGCAGAAGAGAGTTCATGGAGGTGACAACCCGCAAGACCCAGTAGTGGCCAGCCAGGCCATCCTCAGCCATCTTATCTATAAATGAGGTTCAGGTTAATATGGAAACGGTGCTTTGGATCGTAAGAGAACAGAAGAGTATCGACATACTGCACATCTGGTGATCAATCTTGCAGGTGTATCCACCCAAGTTGTCGCAGTTCAGGTAGTTTGGATCACCCAGATAAGTCTCCTGAAACTGCCTGAGCCACTGAGTCTCGTTGTTGGCATCCATCTCCTTGACCCAGTCATCAAGAACTTTCCCTGCTCCAGTCTCTTCCCACAGGCGTTGGGCGTCTTCGGCGTCGTTGACTCGGAAGCGGCACAGTTCATGCCCCAAGTCATAAGCGTTTTTGCCGGAGGAGGGGGCGGGGCCGGAGGAGGGGGGGGAGCCGGAGGAAGGGGAGGAGCCGGAGGAGGGGGAGGAGGGGGAGGAGGGGGAGGAGTTATTTCGCTCCGATCGCTCGGCCAAAGGCGACGCGCTGTCGGAAGGTGTTATCTCCACGAAGGGCAACTGCCCCGGAGTCCAGGGTCGTTCCGGTTTGTCGTAAGTGCTGCCAAGGCTGGCGTAAATCTCAGCGGCGGAAGACGGCTCGGGGGTCAAAGTCGGAACGGCTACGGTGGCCAAGGTGGTAGCTTGGGCCAAGGCGGCGCTGACCAGGGCAGACGGGTTAGGGAGTCTAGCAAAGTAAAGTATTAACAGTTAGTCCCGCAAGTATGGAGTGATCCCAGAGGAATTGCTTACATGAGAGCCATGGCTAATCGTTTTGGAGTGTGCTTTGTGCTGGTCGTTGAAAGTCAGAGGGTTTGGTAGGAGGATTATACTCGGACGATACTAGGACAATACTAGGATAATACTAGAACAATACTAGGATAATACTAGAACAGTGCTAGGAATTGTGAGGAGGATTTTCCCATTGAATGGGAGAGGAGGGGGGTTTTTATATCCGTTCAAGTGATCCCAGTGGGCCTATGTGTGGTGCGTGAGTTGGGAGAAGAAAATGGCTTGGAAAAGTTTCATATCACACGGTACACAGCCACCTCAGCACAGAGAGGTAAGTTTATGTCAATTGAGCCCGGTGTGTCTATGTGAGTTCAGAAAAGTAGGGTTTTTTTAAAAGTTTTGTATCACATGGTACACAGCCGCCTCAGCAGAGATAAGTTTATGTGTGTTCAATTGAGCTCGTGTGCCCGTGTGGGTTCAGAAAAGAAAAGATTTAAAAAAGTTATCTACCACAAGGTACACAGCCACACAGGCAGCGATAGGTAAGTTTATGCCTGCCCAATGTGCCTATGTGTGAGTTTAGAAAAGAAGAAAAGTTTGATACCACATGACAGTCACCTTGGCATCGAGAGGCAAAAAACCAAAATCAAAACCCCAAGTAGCATCCCAAAAGCTTGTTAGAAGGTTCACGTAATTTTCTTAGCTGCATGCACACAAAGTATTTCACGACTCATTCAGAGGGAAGATTACGGGTCAGCAATTGAGTTAGGAAGCGAAAGAAGCTGGAGCTTTAGTTTACCTTTACTTTAACCCTGGTTTAGGAGCCCCTGAAACAACAGCAAAGACTGACACATGCTTTGCTAGAGGCTACTTGAAAGTGCGAAGGGGAATCGGAGACTAGATTATGAGATGATCGATACCAAAAGGAAAAAGTTAAATAATGTAGCGGACCAGAGCACTGATGGAGGCGCCGCAGAAGCAATAGCTGCTTTTCAACCATTTCAGCAAGAAGAGAGACGAGCAATTGCCTAGACACTAGCCCTGCGATAATGGCAATTGAGGAGAGGCGACGAGAGACATATTTGGTCTCTTTGATGGGTTGACCTGCTGAGTCGGCCAAGAGCTGCCAGTTTGATGTGCCCAACGGCGTCCATGTGTTGTACTCCCAAATGTCATGCACTTGGATTCAAGTGCTCGAGTTGCCTAAGACTGTGGGGGGAGTCAACTCCCCCTTTTCGCAAAATTATATTCCACCGGACTGGTCGTTCTCAGCGGCACTACCTGTCCACCTGTCGCGACGGGGGCTGTCCACCAAGTTGCGACCACGAGACAGGGGATGTGCTGGGTTTTTCTTTGCGGGTTCTTATTGGCGGACAGACCCTACCGTGGCGCCGACTACTTCCGTATTTGGACAGATGGTGCTTGACGGCCCTCGAGACCCAAAAAGTGAACTGGAGCTCACCACTTGCACAGGTAGAACTGCAAGTTCCCTCAACAACCCTGCCTCCACCTTGCTTGCTTGCTTGCCAATTGGTACAAGCAACGCACACCTGCGACGCCCACCCGAACATGCACAGGTAGAGCTGCAAGTTGAACCCGCGACGCCCACCATTTGCACAGGTAGAGCTGCAAGTACACCAGAGCAGCCCCCTAGTGCAAGCAAGCACACCACAGCCCACAGCATTGCAAGACCCTGCCCACCCGAAATTGGACAGGTAGAATTGCAAGTTCCCTCAACACCCTGCCTTGCACAGGTAGAACTCAAGTTCCCTCAACAACCCTGCCTCCACCTTGCTTGCTTGCTTGCCAATTTACAAGCAACGCACACCTGCGACGCCCACCAGAACTTGCACAGGCTCCTAGTGTTATTGGATGCAGCGCCCAACTTTGCAACATCCCTGGCGCTCAACCTTGTTCATATCAGGTTTCCCCCTTCTCTGAGACGTGGTAGATGGCCACATCCGCTTCTATTGATCGATTTTACCTCGCACGTTTTCATACCAATAGCTCGATAACGTTACACCCTCTTGAAGTCATCTCCATTTGCTTTGCCATGCTTTGGAATATAAAAGTAGCGCTCGATCGCCAGGTCTTTGTTCTTTTTTCATACTTACTGTAAGAAAGCATTCAATTTGCCAACTCATCCAAACTTGTACTCCCAAATCTCCGAGAATAACACGGCCCCAGTTACTCTTCCTGAGCTAGTAATTCCCGTCAACTGTCCAACGTGTGGTCACAGCAATGAATCCGGCAACACTGCCTGCACAGGAATAGTTGCTAGAGGGGGCACCTGCGGTACAGCTCTCCCCATTGTGGTCAAACAATAAGGTATATCGCATATACATGGACATAGAAGTAATGTTGCTGACGTTGCATGTAGCAAGGACAGGTTTATGAACCCGTCGTTCAATGCAACTTTCTCTTGTTGTTACACGCTCATTCTTTTCAAGACACACTTATCGCCTTGGTAAATGATACCGAGTATTCACAATCGCGCTCTTTTTGCCATCAAGACGCACACTCGGTGTTCGTCAAACCACCTCAAACTTTCACAATCACGCTCATTGTTTCGCAAATGTTACCTGCCACTCCCTCAGTCCCACATAACCTTTTTAAGTTGGTATCATATTGGAGCTGGCCCTCTGTGCTGTTGAGAAGACAAATTAGCAGTACCTTGGTTTATGTTGAGGTAGCTTGTCGCTTAATATCATCCCATTGTCAACAAAGCCTTCTCAATCATCATTCCACCATGTGAACCACTCGTCAGCAACTTCGGGATATCCCTTCTCTTTTAAGCGCCGAGAAACAAACCGTCTCCAATCTGATCGAGTGCCTTCGTCTCCAGTAGGAAGGTCCATTCCTGAAGAAATACAAAATTTAGTTCGAACCCATTGTCTTGGTACAAACCTAGCTGTCTCCCAGTCTAGGATCCCTAGAGACCCAGAAGGTTGAACAATAATATTTCCAGGACCCAAGTCGCAGTGATAGAAAACAAATGATGTGCAATCCATACCGATCGCCTGACAGTTGCTTAGGATCTTTTGGGGGTTCACAGTTCGTCTCTGCTCCTCGCTTTGAGAAGAACAGGTCGGGTAGTTGTCGGCCATCAACACCACCGATGCTCTCTCCCTCCCGTTCAGCCAATTGATCGCAGATAGTAGCAACACGGTCAATATACAAACTCTTCATCCCCTTGCTCATACCAGGCCATGCTTCAGCCAAAGTCTGGCCAGGTAATCTGCTTAGTATAATATAGTATCGACCATCAGCCTCACTGTAAAAATGGACTGATGGGATATCAAATCCAAGAGGGCCATGGCTATGAAGGTAGTTCAGAGTGACGTGCTCGCGTGTAGCATCTGGTATAGCCACTTTCTTAGCTTTAACAAAAGCTTCACCGACTTGCCAGACGGCGGATGTGGCCCCAGCATCATGTACCTTATTAAGTTCGCTCGTCTCAGACAGTGGTCGCGATTCGGGCACTGGAGCTATAGCCTCGGAAAGAACAAAAAACATGCCCTTGCCATCACCCCAAAACCATTTGCCGGATGGTAAGCATTGGCGAGAGAGAATCCATCGGTTAGCAATTAACCAACTGTCATGGCTAATCTCACGGACTGACTCGTTAATGGGAAGTATCTCAGCCATGAGAAATTGGTGAGGATATTCGAAGAAAGAGCTCGAGGGGCGCTGGGAGCGAGCTGGTATGTGGCACTTTAGAAATAAATGGTGTGCGGTTGTAGAATGGATGTGACCAGACGAGTATGTGGCTGGACGACAACAAGGGGGCGATAGAAAGGCACGACTAGAGGAGAATAAGAAATAAAAGCGGCATGATCTGAGAGGCGGCCACGGCACGATGATATAGATCAAGGGCTGACGATGACGGCGTGTCTTGAGGAGGCCAAAGTGGCATCCGGCTTACTAAGGGGCAGGCGAAGGCATGGATGACCAGGTGACGCTGGATGCAATCCGGCCACGCTCCAAGTTGGAGTCGCTTGGCAACCCCGCCCATTGGATTCCGTAGATTGACTAACGGTCTATCTGCGCTCAAGAGATTGAATGCGCTTTCAAGTTCCTATACCAACATCAATGTACTTATATGTATGTCCCTAGCGCAGTGAGGCAACCACAAAATACAGGTACCTAGAAAATATCAGCGCATTCCCCAGCCGCCATCTCGGGTTTAGTTCGGATGTGGATGTGGCTTGATACTGTGGCTTTTGCGTACGCCACAACCTGGAGCTGCCTAAGTTTAAGGCAGGTATGGGCTGATGTCAACACAGTACCTCTCGTAGTTGGACGCCTTTCCCCTCTTCAACAGGGCACAAAGAGCTCCGTCTGCTCCCATGAGTTTCTATTCTCGCCGGCCTCTGTGGATGCGCCACACCCCATACGCCGTGGCCTCGAGACCAAGCACCTCCGTTCAAGAGTTCCGCCAACTGCTGCAGTCTGGTACCCGAATCCTCGCCCTTTGTGGCGCTGGCCTATCAGCCCCTTCCGGCCTCTCCACATATCGTGGCGCCGGTGGGCTATGGCGCAACCACTCACCGACCTCGCTGGCAACCCCTGAAGCCTTCGAGGACGACCCGGCGCTGGTGTGGTTGTTCTACGCCTGGCAAAAGCACATGGCGATCAAAGCTTCCCCGAACCCTGGCCACTACGCGCTCGCTGAGCTGGCCAAGCGGAAGGAGGGCTTCCTATGCCTGACTCAGAATACTGATGGGCTGTCGCCTCGCGCAGGCCATCCGCTGGGCCAATTGAGAATAATGCACGGTAATATTCTGGACCTCAAGTGCTCTGACGAGTGCGGCTACGTTGAGAAGGACAACACAGATGATCCGCCGTGCGCGGCCCTTGCCGAGGCCGCGAAGGACTACCCGCCGGATCAGACGATGCCTCTACTCGATCCTCTGAAGCCGCTCCCTTCCATCAGCAAGGAAGACCTGCCGCATTGCCCACAGTGCAAGACGGGGCTGCTTCGACCCGGGGTCGTCTGGTTTGGCGAGGCGGTTGATGAGGGCATGCTGGAGGGTATTGACGGCTGGGTATCGGAGGGCAGCATCGACCTGATGCTCGTCATCGGCACCGGGGCCACGGTCCAGCCAGCTGCGAATTATGTGCGCCAAGCCCAACGAGCTGGTGCCGCTGTCGCGGTTGTCAACCCTGACGCTGATGCTCAGGCGGGGCTAGGTAAGAAGGACTTCTTCTTCCAGGGTGATGCTGCTGAACTCTTGCCTGTGTTGTTTGAGGGTGTGATCGGGAAGCTGCGTGAAGAAGAACAAGGTCCAAGCATGGGATGATTTCTACTGGTTGACTTATTCTCACTCGTTGTTGTACCTGTTCTGCGTAATGACCAATACAAGAAAGTATCCAAGGTTCATGCTAGAGGGAGGTGATCAGACGAGGATGTACACTCCTGGGTAAGAAACTCCATCAAGAGTAAATGAGCAAGATGGGCAGCACCCCTTTCTAAATTATCTCAATCACGGAAAACTTGAAAGATGAGGTCCCGGGTGGGCTTTTTTCTTTGAGCCATGTTCCAGTCGCAACTGTTTCGACTCTAGCCTATGGAATATGCATTCTATCCACCCACAAACCTCATCTACCCCTTGCCTGTGTGCTTCGTCGTTGCAACAAGCAATCTAAACATGGCGAGCAATGCGCTAAGAAGACTTGGGACATCAATCTCACAGCTTTTAACAATTATGTCTACCTTCCTCGAGACATCCTGCAAACTATCGTCCCAGTAAACTCTTCAGAGGCCCAAATTAAAAAAATATTACACCTACCAGCCATAGGTTGATTATTGCGCCTAGAAGCGAATATCTCCCCTCAAAATCCAGAGCCGTTTGAAATTCACATGAAATAGTCCTCCTGGCCAGACTGATTGCCCTCTTTCTGTTCTTGCTTCTTCTCTGCTTCCTTTCTCTCCGTGTCTCTCCCTTTCCCTTCTGTATCACTTCCTGTGTCAAAATGCGTAACCTCGGAATCTTCCAACACCTCCCAGTCATCACCCAAGGGCGTCTAGCTCGAAGGTAGAATGTAGGCAATGTCCAGTCTCAACGGCAGGTTTACATTCATCCACAATTCAAGATGGTCTTCGTCTTCCAAATCGTAAAAGTTGAAGAGCAAACGAAGATGGTTCAGCTTCGCACACTGTCTGCCGGGGCCAATGTGCCGCAGAAAGTCCTGTATGAGGTCGCCAAACATCAGAGTGCAGTTGCGGAGTTCGAGGTACTCGAGGGACGCTGGAAGGCATTCCGCCAGACTTGGGATGTCCTCTAGCTCGGGGTCTCCATTGGGAGGCCGCAACACCCTGGACCAATTCTTCATGTTCCTAAAGTGTACGGCGGTGACTGATTCCATGTCCGCAACAAGTGTGGTGAGCGCCGTCATGTCGGCAAGCTGCCGGCCAAAAAAGGACGCTCCAGCCTTAACCTCGTCCATGTCCATACTTCGGAGGCAGTCGAAAGTGGCACAGAGGTATTTCAGAGTACCTGCGTGAGGCAAGATGGCTTGCATGAATTCTCTCGGTCTGACCTCTGGGACGATGTTCTTGCCCGAGATACACCCGCCCGACTCGAGCGTGAATTCTTCAACAGCCCTGCACGAGTTCAGCAAGGCTTGCACCATGCGATAGGAGACACATGCTTGGGATAGGCTGATCTTCTCGACGGGCGAAGCTCTTGGCGGTAACTGTTCAAACTTCTGTGCCATCGAAGTACCCCCTACCAGGTGGTTCTTCAGAATAGACCGAAGGTCGGGACGCGTGAACATTGCATGATAGATACTGTTAGGTCTAAAGTGCCAGATCTCGCGAGATGAAAGTCCATTGTCCCAAAAGCCAACATAGAAGAGAGGGAACAAAGTGGAATGAAAGCCACGTATGGTGGCAAAGCTTTCACCTATCTCGCCAGCTCGCTGTGCATCAGCGTCTTGGTCATTGCCGGCGGGATTATAGGCTACCGTGCAAAGTTCGGGGAGGCAAGTGACCAGAAACGCAAAGTGGGCGTCGCTACAGCCTTTTCCAAGACTGTCGATCCATTCAACTGCCGAAACATATGGAAGGACCAGCTTTAGCTTGTTCACCAAGAAGTCCGCATAAATTGTCAAGTCGGCCTCGCTGTGCTCGCCAAATGAATTTGGAGTCGATCCCTGAACTCGCAATGCTCTCAGATCAATGTGTTGAACATGCTGCGCAAGTTCGGGTTTTTTGATAAGTAGGTAGCGTAGAAATCGGGCGTTGCGTCTCTGGTACCTTGCCACTTGAGCCTCTGGTTCGGAGTTGTCATACTCAAGGCCAAGGGGATTCTCGAACCTCTTCACGGTGAGTGGAAGAGCGACATTGTGCATATGTTTCGAGAGTAGAAGAATGTTGAGGTTTTCAGGCGAGCCCCATGGTTTGATCAAGTAAGAGAGTATCCTGTGCAAGTCTTCTATTGGAACCTTAAAGATGAGCGTCGAATCGGATCCTTGGACCGTGGAGGGATCCATGACGCTCATCCAGCTCAGTAAAGGCTTGATTATTGGCGGGGTAGGCAGCTGTTACGGGAAGCTACCTGCGCGGACGGGCAGACAAATAGTTCGCAGAGTAACAGAATAGACTGCCCGAGCGATTGATCGCTGGCTAGTATGACAGGACGTCTTCGTCTCGGCCAGGAGCACAGAAAATTCGATGGAAAAGATGCCGTGGTGCGACGGTAAGAAGAGAGGGGAAGAACAAGTGCAAATGTAGAGGAAGGCTCGACTCAGCCTTATTGAGAACCTGCATCTTGATGCCCGAGGTCACCTGATCACCCGTCGGGAGCAGGCCGTTCCGTCAAGCAAAACCACAGCGCTTATTAGCCAAGTCTCCGCGTTAAGAATTTCATACGAGTTCACCTCCATTACTCCAATACGGAACCGTTGCAATGGAGTGTCGTTGACAACGGCTACCTTTTTAGGCCTGGTGTTGGGGCAATATAAACTATCATATTATAGCGCCGGCAGATGTCCCACCTTCAATGCTGCCGTCGTTGGCAGCCCGAAGCGCTTCCCTATCTATACCCAACGCTCCACGCGATGAGCATGCCCATGTTGCCCGTCATGGCAGATAGCAGCAGCGAGGGTTGCTTACTGACAGTGTGCAGTGCCCAGAGTGCGCCTGGAGATTGGCACCGATGCCCGAAATGCCGTCCGAGTTGATCGGTGGTCGACGGCACGCACAACAGCAACCGTTGCGCCATTCCGGTACGACTACACCAGTTCAGTTCAAAGACAGTCATACACCCCATTATAGTGCTGTTCGCCTATCGGGAGATTAAATTGAATTAAGTACTACCCACGTTGCTAACAAATACGCTTGCCCTGTCTGATGTGCTGAGCTGACTCCCGTACCAAAAGGAAAAAACATCAATCGTCACGCCGTACCAGCGCCCTCCATCTCGTTGCAATCGTGCCAAACGGAAACAACATCGTCTCATCAGAGAGTCAGATCAAACATCCAACAATTCCATGCCCAGAACGGGTCGAAAACACCCCAAACCAGCCGAAAGCAGCGCAAGTGACCAGTTAAGGCGAGCCCGGCCGAGTCCAACATTCGTTACATTGCCTCATCAAGTAGCCACCCCGAAAGATCAGACGACCAGGTCGCACCCGAGGCCGTACCCCTCGAGCGCCGAGAATGGCATGCCCTTCGAGCGTAGCGCCGACCTGACCGTCGAAGCCCGGCCGAAACCCGACCGAAGCCAACCAGACATTATCGTACCTATCGTATAAACCAATTGAATACCCAAGCAAACGCACCCACCGGCGCCAACGACAAGCTAGGCGTAGGCATCCGTGCGGGACGAACAGCGGGCGACCGAGCTCTGTCGAGGAGCATCCGATCGAATCATACAAACATTACTTCGCCGCGTGGGTAAAACCAGAGCGAAGAGCCAACATGCGCTATTCCCATGCCCGAGCCCAGCCAAGCGCAGAAGCTGTCGCTACCGACCTGCATCAAGGACAAGATCGACGGAAATAAAAAGACATCGCGCGCTGTCTTATGAAAGAACCAAATTATATTCAAGCAACCGTCCCAATTTCCACGTGCTGTATATGCGAGCGACGGGACAGCCTTGGGGCGTAAGGCCATTGAAGGCTGTCGCAGAGAACCCGACCGCGAGCCGAACGTGCACGATCCGAGCCCAACATCACATCTAGGCGTAGTAGCCGCTCTGAGGGGGTGCGCCCTGGGGAGGAGCGTACTGGCCGGTCGGGGGAGCGTAGTGGCCCTGGGAGGGAACGTAAGGTTGGCTCACGCCGCTGTGCTGCGGCGCCTGGTTCGAGTACTCGGTGGACTGGCCGTAGGGGCGCATGGGCTCGGCGCCGGCGTTGGCGTCCTTCTTGCCCTTCTTGCCGCCCCGGCACTTCTTCAGGCAGACGCAGCAGATGATCAGGGTCACGGCGATGATCACCACCACCACGACGGCCACGACGATGCCGATGATGGCGGCGCGGCTGAGGCCCTTCTTGGTCGACGTCTTTTTCTTGCTGCTGCTCGCGCGTTCGAGGAGGGAGAGGCCGTCGTCGAGGGAGGGCAGGGCGAGCGCAAACGCCGTGGGCACGGCCCAGACGAGCAGGAGGAGGTAGGAGAGGAGCTTGTTGCGTAGAGCGGTCATTTTGTCGCAGATTCAAGTTGTCGCAAGTGGGCGATACGGGGGGGAAGGTTCACGATGCAATGCGGCGCAAGTAGTCGGTTTGTAGGCGGGGGAAAGAGCAATGACGGTATTATATATGCCCAAGGAAGAAAACCTGCTTGTGTCTGTGAAATCATGACGCGTTGTTTGTGCGCCAAGGGTGGCCGTACATGGGCTAATGGGCATGGATCTCTGGACCCCTGTTCTGGATGTTTTCTGCCGACCGCTCCAACGCTCCATCGTACGGCGTAAGTTCACAGCGTTGTAGCCCGTAGCTGTCTTGCCTGTCTCTAGTACCCCTGCCAGCACCGCCTCTGATCGGCAAGTCGGCTCGCCACGACGAGGCCAACGATGAAATGGGCCTAGGCGGGCTGGCTGTGTTGGATCCATGCCTAACTGAGCTCGCTTCTAGCGTGTTTGAGAGAGGGACGAACCTTTCAAACATGTCATAGGGGCGCAGCCGAGGAGCCAGCTTTGTTATCTATTGACGGGATGTGGTGGATGTTGGTCGCAAATTTCGGTATGTCTTGTAAGCAAGAGACTTACCCTACACCGCTCCTTGTCCCTCCTTGAACCAAACAAAAAATACATGTTATTGAGTAGCTATGAAGCTCGAGACGCCTTGAGTACAAAGAGTAGATATGCTACAATACTACCCTTACAGTCGTGCTACACGGTGGTATCGCATACAAAGCCCCCGCATTCAGTGAATGAAAGCCGGAGAAACGGCATCGCTAGCTAATGAAGAGGTTCAGCTCCCCACCAGGCCATCCTTCAGGCCTCCGACTTTAGATCAAATGTCATCTGGATCTAAGACGGCAATGAATTGGCCCAATCTTAAGGACTTTCTTCCTCTTCTTCTTCTTTGCTTGATGCGCCGAGGACTCATGCGACAACGGGCTGATTACCTAAGCAATAGTTGCTTATATAACTACACTTTCAATGATCCGAACAGTTGCCCAGTAGCTTGCTCATCCGAGTTCGTTTGGCCGGATCAATGTTTCATGTTGATTTCGTGTACGGCTGCCATTGAAATAAGTCGACTAGTCGGACTATCGAATTTCTCGAGCATATGTATGCCGCAAAAATCCAGCGAATTGTCCACCCAATTACCTGATATTTTAGCAAAATGTCAGCGCACAGCGTTGCAAGTGCAGTGGGTGGCCCTGCGACACCCACCATTTGCGCAGTTAGAGCTGCAAGTGAATTGGCGCCAACAGGTTGCAAGTACAAGCAAGTGAACTGGAGCCTACAGTTGCAAGTTAAAACAAGCTGAGCCTGTGATACCCAACCTAGCCAACCTTTGAACTTTTACTAGAGCCAATGCAAGTCAGACCTGCGACGCACACCCAACTGGCACAGGTAGAGCCTACAGCGCTGCAAGTGGAAGCAAGCTGAACAACGATTGTGGAGTACCTACAAGGCAGTTATCTGACCTGGTATCAGACCCCTCGTCTATTCTATAATTCCGGATTCCACGGATCAGATTGATACAGTGAACTGTAGAGTTTGAAATAGATCTGATAGGTTTAGAATAATAAAACCGATAGAAGACTCGTAAGGTCGCAGCGAGGTTATCGGCAGAACATGAAGTGCTACGTCATTTAGCCGTCCCTGCGTTAGAGCCCTTCTGCCGAGCTCGCCGCATCATTCTCAATTTCCTCCTTTGCAAGACGCCCCAACAAGTCCGTTGCTACAGCCAACTACGGAGCGAGACCACTCAGCGCGTTTTCGGTCGCTATTCAACATGCTGTGGCCCTGGGTGCCTGGCGCGAAGTGGTTTCTCCCGCGCCAGCTCAATCGTGGCGCGCCGTCCCCCTGCGGCGTCGAGCAGCACGACTCCCATAAGGTCACTGTTAGACCTTGCACCAACTCAATTAGATTCTGGGTACTGACCAAGAAATCGCGTACCATAGATCGAAACGGCGCAGTCGCCTTTGGGATCCATACAGCCAGGTAATATGATCGTATACCAGGCTGCTAATGTTTATGACCCTTTGCCAGCCACGCCTCGACGATATCCGTCACGGATCCGTCAAATATTCCGGGTGAATGGGAGCAGAAGCTTCACCCAGGCTGGCCCCCAGAGTCGACCTTTCAGATTCCGGACCCCATCCCAGATGCACATATATATTATGTCAGAAAGGGGGATTACGTTCGTCGTGGTGCAACGGCACTGGTAGAGCGACTGCCCTCCGGTCACATCGCTAAGACTCCCCTCCTAAACCCTTACGACCCCGATGAGGAAAGAAAAGCTCGTCAGAGCACAGAAAACGAATACGAAGTCTATCGTTCCATTGGCTCAAGTCCGTTCATCCCAACTTGATTGACTGGGATAGCAAGTCCAAGACATTGGTTCTCGAGGATCACGCCAATGGAGACCTTGACACCTACTTGAAGAATCATTGTGATACGGATGCCGGTACTCGTCAAAAATGGGCTCTGCAGGCAGCACAAGCGCTGAGAGCTCTTCATTGTGCTCAAGTAATCCATCAGGACGTCACGCCCCGATATTTTCTCCTGGATGACAGCTTGGATCTTCGGATCTGCGACTTCGCCGGCAGTTCGTTTCCGGGACATACATCTTCAACTGGCGCCCCTGGATCAAGGTATCAATCCCGGCCATGAGATCGAGGGTATGTTCCTACTCAGGCAGATGGTATTTTCAGTCTTGGTTCAGTGTTATACTTTTTCATGAGTGGTAAGGAGCCGTACAGCACGCTTGGTGAGGATGAGGTAGAGCGTCGTTTCGAGAATATGGACTTTCCAACATCAGATCACCTGGGCTATGGCACGGTGATTCGAAGTTGCTGGGATAAGCGCTTCACTATAGCAGAACAGGTTATACATGGTTTAATTCATGCTAATGAGGTGAGCCTGGTTAGGACTGTACATGTGCGAGCGCATATGCTATCAATCAGACTATTTTCGTCTTCACGCGTAACCACTTCTGCCCGTCTCTTTCCATTGTCCTTGCACGATGGCTGGCAACCAAACCTCAGCGATTATTGATGGCTCCATACCCCTCGTCCCTGTGTGTGGGACACTGTGTTCTACTCATTGAATTGCCCAAGTATGACTTGATCGGATTTGCACACTGCTGCCCAGTCGCAGCATATTGGGTACAGCCGGTAGTAACAATATCTTCTGTCTCGTGGTTGCAACTTGGTCGACAGCCTGTGTACGTCGTCATTGTAACAAGCAATTTATACAACTTTAGGTAGATAGTAAATCAAATTATGCTCACCCCTCCTACTGTATAACTACCTACTAGGTAGGTTTGTAATCTGTGTCTTGCACTTGCTTGGAGCAACACCTTGATGGTCGCTTTCGGAAGATCAATGAGCCAAACTTATTCCGACATCTATTCACACCAGGCTGTATTAAGCAAATATTTGATTTGGGGTGCGTGATGTATCCATAAAATTGCCTGCCACTTCGCTTAGCTGTCTTGGGGTTGAGCTGTGGGACTCACTGGGAAGTGCCTGCCTCTGCTTCTCTTTCGCAACTGAGGACGGCGGGCGGAAAAGTTCCAGCTGCCATCCCAAACGTCATTCTCGCCAGGTTAGCGAAGGCGAGCCGCCATATGACGTAGGTGCATTCCCCCCATCAACACCACAACTGCGTTGAAACTGGGTTGCCTTGGTAGGTACCTAGTACCTTGTTGCCTGGGCATTTCGAAGGCGTGTATTTCAGCACCTCGCATTGTACCGTACGAAGGTTGATTTTCTGAACCTTTAGCTTGTAGATGTAGAGAACAGCTGGACTACCTGAAATCCTGAATCGCTTTTCCAAATGTTTTCTAAGTGTTCTTCAAGTCTTTTGGTGGGAATGCTTACAACAAAAGCTGCTTTAATCAGCCCATTAATAATTGAACCTGAGGCCCTCGCCGAGGCAGGTACCAGGCACCAAGGCCTGTGGTGAACGGCAACTGAGAACTGCGAAGTGTACATCTGGTACAAGATGCCCCTCCTCTGAGCAGCATGATTCACGGCAGGAGGCTTCTCTCTTTCCTTCTCCGACAACCACCTAGACCACCATCTGTACCGATAATTCAGCAAGAACATTTGCCAACCATCAAGCAATTGCAAGACAAAGGAACGTCACTTGCAAATCTCTTGACATGCAGCACTTGGGTGTGTTCGCTCAATTTCTCCCTTTGAACTCGGTCATCTACTCATACTTTACAGCTTCATGATCAACGCCTCTCCTCCTTCTGCGTGGTCCCGAGGCATGTCTACCCAGCTTTCCCTTACGACAGAGATCGAGCATTAACATCTTGCAGCTTCCTAATCCTCTGAAACATCCTAAGTTGCACCGAAGCTGACGTACGTCAACCTGAATACGTGCCCCACGAAACCGCCCACTCGCTTACCATTGACTCGCAGTATCTTTACCACCTCTCTCGGCTTGGGGCGCGGCCCTCAGGTATGATGACTCAAACTCTCCGAGGTAAATCCCATGCTGATACATTGCAGTCGTTTAGAAGCGCAGAATTTGATCCATCGCGATGAACGGATACAAAAAGGACGCGAAGTTGACCCTCGAGGTTGGGCTCGATGCAGTGCCTCTGGTGGTCACCATCAACGAGGTTAAACACACAGAGCAGGGTCCAACTATCTTGGACGTAAACTCCGAGCCATCAGCCGGGGCTGAACTTGTCCCCGCTACCTTCAAGATGAAGATTTTTGATAGGCGCTACGCCCACGAGCTCCGCAAGAAGCTGCAAACTGGGACGTGGAATGCCGATAAAGACCACATCCTGCTCAGAGATGCCATGACCGGCAGTGTCGACACTTTCCTCACTGAATGGAGTCGAGATGCCAAGATTCCTTACAGTCCAACCTCTATCGAAGCCACCAATCGCGAGGCCATCATCTGGGAGATGATGCGACGCCAGTACAAGTCAGAACTCGCAATGCACCAAGCTCTTAAGATAAAAAGGAAGAAGACCGACCCGGAATTACTTGAAACTGCCACGCTACGCACTGGCACCACCACGGACTTTGTATTGGACTTGATGTACACCAGCAATCAGTATTTCAATGTCTCCTGTCTCCTCGTCCGGGAAGTCAAGGGCGCCAAACCGTTTTCCTCATACCCTACAATGCCACTTGAACAGGACTACCATCTTGGTCTCTCTGTCTTCAATGACGCCGGAACCGGCTATCGATTCAGAATCCCTGAGATCATTCTTACCGAAGCTGAAGAAGATGGTGCCTCAGACTCTGAGAAGACCATTGCCGACGATAAGGCAATCACTGGGGAAGCAACGACATCTGATAATGTTGGCGAGCCGAAACCCTCAAAGACAGCAGGAGAGAAAGGTAAATCGGCAACCAAACACCTTCTGAGCCCATATGCTCCACTGCCCATGGAATCCAGAGAAATCACAGTTGGGACATCAGAAACGTTCCCCTAGCAGCAGCGATATTTCTGTCCCCCACGCAAACAGCCGATTATCGATATCTGGAACCGACGAGAGGACCTCACTCCTAGGTCTGCCAAGCCCTTTGGAGGAAAATAAGCCCGAGGTTGAGTCTGGAAGTTCAGCAATGCTGGAAACGGCTAGCATCATTACTTGTTTGCCACATAATCTTCCTGTTGGTCTTGGTCTGTTGAATCACGACAACTACTTGTGGTAACTACGCTGAGCAGAAGTGCAGTTTTGGACGCTACTAGCAATTATAAGAAACGGAACCCTGAGCAGAAGTACAGTTTTGAACGCTACTAGCAATTACAAGAAACGGGACTCACTATCAATTGAAAATTTTTGCGCTACATGATTTACGCTTGCTATCCGTGGCTCTCCCTCTAGCTTCTCGCAATGCTAGCCCCCCTAATTGGGCGTGTGCTTGTTAGAGTATGCGTACATCATCCATTTACAGTTATCGTTTCCTCAGATAACCACACATCGTTGATTGGTTGGCATGTGCTAAGGGCCCTCAAACACAATGAGAACCTATCATCCCCGAGGTAGGACCTTTTTCACTGATCGGGACTAAGAAAGGGGGAAAAGGGTCTGACGTGGCTCTGAGTGTGTACCTCATGCATGGCTGCTATTGTCTTTGTGGAGAACTCATTTTAATTTGGAACTTGCTATGTATTATCTCCCTGTATACCATGACTGCCGTTGCCCACGCATAGTCGGTGAGGCGTATCAGCATGTTAGGGCCCAAGTCGGGCTCCAGCAATGTTTCGGGAATCAATGGAAAGCATGAAACCCTGGTAGAAACAACCACATCAGACCCCGTGACTATATTCACCTTACTCAAGGGAGGAAAACAAAACGAGAGAGACATGTGAAAAGCTCGTCGAGGACGCCGTATCTCTCTGGCAACTTCCACATCCCCCTCGGTTTACTCTCGACATCACCGTTACATCATGTTGCCAGCGAAGTAGTACCGCGACCTGGGACACCCATGCTCGCCAGCAAAGCTTTTCCAACCAAAGTGGCGCTGTTCAATGACCATTGTTTTGCAGCAGGTGGCTAAGACATTGCATGCTGGAAAAACCTTTGTGGTCAGTCTTGCGAGCTCGAGGCCCTCGAGAATTCGCTAGCGGCTGGTGATGGGGGAGGGGTCCCGGCGGCCTGACCGCATCAGGGGGAGTGTCGACAGGAAAGGAGAGCAGTCCGAGAGGTTGCTGGTCGAGAAGGGGATGTGAAAGCTGGAGCGGCCGTGGCGGAGAGTGTCTTGAAGCCTTCAATTGGGGGATATCTCAGCCGACCCACAGGCTCACACAGGCCGAGAAACACCGGGAAAACCGTTGTGTGTTACACACAGGCAGGACAGGTTGACAGGGTCCGTTATCCTTGATGGGGATGGGGTGTCTCTGGTCGGATGTCGGTATCATATGGGGCCCCAGCGGCTGGAGGAGACCGAGCTGAGAGGATTGGATCATCGATGGGATCAATGGCGGTGTACTTGCTTTTGGTGTGGGAGGGTGGGAGTCACCTTGTTGGTCGGGAGGCGGGCTTTGCAGGCGGGCTCTGCGACTGTCGTCGAGTTAGCATGGCTGCCATGGCTGGGCGAGATATTTCGGAGATGTGAGGTAGCATTGGATCGATCTATGGCTAGAGTGCGATTCACAGAGAGGACAGACACCTGCCTAGATCGGAAAGAGAGGCGAAAAGGGTAGATGGCGGAGGCGGAGAATAATGGAGGTAGAGGAGCAAGGATGGTAACGGTCGGCCTTGGTCCTTGGAAGCTTGTGTGGATCCTCGAGGCACGAGGCCCTCTGGATCTTGATGGAGGGGAAGTAGCCAAGCAGCCTTCTGAGCTCAGGTTGGACTTCTGGTAGTCGGTTGGGTCCCGTTGTGTGAATCCCCAAAGTTCCCGGCCCGTCTTGGGCACGATGAGACGGCTTGACCCTTGCAAGCAATGCCAATATCGCATGGGTGGATCGTATGACCGGGGGCAGCTTTGACCTGTTCTAAGAATACCGTCGGATAGTTTAACTTGTGGATGAGCGGAAGATCGATGATGGGAGTAGCTTGGGTACAGCGGGGAGACTATCTTCCCCTATGCAAAGAATGCCTCCGCGCGATGGATACACGATGAGACCATCCATCCGGCGCATGATCCGGGCTTGCACCCGACAAGCCGATGCAAGCAATGGCCGTTGGCAAGCAGGGCAAACCCAAGGCGCATCGCACGCATCCGCTTGCTTGTGACACATGCCCCATGAATTGAGGAGTGAACGATCGCTCCGGTGCTGTTCTGGGGCACGTGTAGACGCCTTGGTCTTGGCTGCTCCAGCGAGAAGACGGGATTGGCAAGGTGCTGAAAAGGGCTGGGCAATAGATCCTGACGCTACTGCACAGCGACCAACAATCGACGTAATTTGATACTCGAGATGAGCAAGCTGGAAGGACTCGGACAGGGGACCACCCACATGCAACGCAGGCTAATGCAGCGGCTGGGCAAGATTGAGGGATGGGATAAGCGCCTCGAAACTTAGTGGCTGCCATTTACAGTTGACTGCAGCTGGGGGGCTTCTCCACTGGCTCGCCAAAGGGTCGATTGCAAACCCCCGGGGATGGGGCTGGCTGCAGGCTCATTCGTCAGCGTATTGTTCCATCATTGTGCAGCCTTGAGCTGATCCTAACTGTGCCGCAATGGCTCCATAGCGGCACGATGAGACCCCAATAGCACCCCAGGATCGGCCAGGTGAGGCGTTGAGACACAACCAGTCATGGACCAGTTCAGGTATCATATTGCGTATCCCATCCCAATGCATTACTATTCAACTCGTCATTCAGGAATTCCGTTAGCCCCATTCCCCGAATTACTAGTCTATCTGCCTGCCCACACCTCGCCGTTTGCCCAGGCCCCGTGGATGTGCATGTGCGGCGGCCCCATGTCTAGGAAAGTTGATAGGTCGATAAGACCCGCCAAGCGGCCATCCTGACTGGGCAGACACGATGAGACATTGCTTCCCAAGTGCATAAGGCTTGAAACTCAAAAGGAGTCGATACGGGGTCACCGCCTCTCCACGAAATACTGCCCTCGCCGTGGGAAGGCCGGTAGAGTCTGAGGTATCTACCAGCCTGCCCAGGTACATTTCCACCGGTCGTAATGCCTGCCGCTCGCTTACCACTTCCCGCGGCAAGCCCTTGTCAGGATGGAGGGGATGCAGCGCGGCCTGAGGCATGTACGTACACCGTCCCGTTGTGCTGGGTGCACCAACGCTGAACAGACAACCACCATGGTCGTATTCTGATCTCTCAAACCGGCGTATACGCTCGCGCCTTGATCGGTCTCTCATTGACTTGCCTCTGCAGCTTTAGCATTGCGCCTGAATCACGTTGAACCAACCAACGCCCGTTTCCCTGGTCCACCGCCGCTTGCCCAAGTGGCAACCTGTGGTGGCCTTCCAATTTGCCCACCTGGACGACGCACACTCCCTCCCTGCATGTGGATGCCACATCGCCAACTTGCTTTTTTCCTGGCCTAGGGAAGCAAAGAATTGCCTCCGTGCGTTCACAGCTTCGACCTCTGGGGCCCCGTCGACCTTCTTAATCCGGCTCACTTCCCGTGCAATGACGATGACTTTCTCTTCCGTGTCCTTCAAGCTTTGAGCTGAGAGCATCCTCATAAGCCCCTCAGACAATCCGACACCTTGAGTTATCATTAGCACGACGGCTGGGTCCTCTGTCGCTCCCTTCCTCTCTAGTCTAGCCCTCCATCGCTCTTTCCCTGCCTTCTTTGCCCATGATGAGAAGAGTGAGAGGAGTTTCCACAACAACAAGTGAGCTGCTCTCCAAAATAATAGGCGGAGACGTCGACGCTGCGTTCGCCAGAGGCCCCGTCAAGTGTCACTTCTGCGGCCGCCGGACGCGCAGCTCCCACGGCATGTTGAAGCATCTCCGCCAGAACGCAAAGTGCCACGAGAGGAGAGCAGATGCCTCCTCCCCACCCGGCCATCCGTTCGTTATGGAACATCCAGGCGGGGAGGCGAACCACCTGCAGATATCGCTCCCAGACAGCCCGCCGTCGCCGGCAGAGTCCGCGACCAATGTCCCAGAGGACGACATGGCGTTCAGTGACCCTGCCCCTCTGGAGGATCAGATTTCTACGCCTGCTCCTCTAGAAGATCAGAATTCTATGCCTGCCTCTCTGCAAGATCAGATTTCCATGCCTTCCCCTCTGGAAGATCAGAATTCTACGATGGCTTTCAGTAACCCTGCCCCTCTGGCAGATCAGATTTCCATGCCTTCCCCTCTGGAAGATCAGAATTCTACGATGGCTTTCAGTAACCCTGCCCCTCTGGCAGATCAGATTTCCATGTCTTCCCCTCTGGAAGATCAGAATTCTACGATGGCTTTCAGAAACCCTGCCCCTCTGGAAGATCAGAACTCCATGAAGCACACGCAATCCCAGCATGGACTCCTCGAGAGCCCAATGCCTAGCGACGCACCGCTGAATGCTGGCGATGTGACCTTGCAGCAGGGTCCGGATTGCCTGATGCTTGCCAACTCGTGGTGGCCCGGTGTTCAGGATCCATCTGCTGGCTCCGACTTCCTGGCGCCGAGCCAAGAATTCAGCAATGCTCAATTGATGGCCGTTCAGAAGGCCCATTCGTCTTTGGTCCAGCAGATTCCGGTCACAAATGCCGACGCTGGATTCATCTGCCCGAGCTACCTGACCGCTGTGCCTATGATGCAGCAGCCACCACCCATTTCCATGGGGTTTGAGGCACCGCTGCTGATAAACCGTATGTCCCCTATGGCACTGTCGAAAGATCAAACCTTCCCTCCGGCACTTGAACCATTCTCACCAACGCCTCAGCTACTTGGACCGACGCCAACTCAGCATACACAAGGACCGGAGGTCCAAGGGGAATCCAGCAGTATTGATGCGGATTTCTATATGGGCAACCAGCCCTCCTTTAATGTGCCCGTCCCGAGCGGAGATACTCAGCTCTACTTTGTTAGAACTGGCCTGTTTGAACCCAATGGCGGCCCCTTCTCTAGCGTCGGGAGTATTGGACCTCCTCCTTGCCCTTCTCCTCCTTACAATTCTCCTCCATGCTGCGTTCCACAAGCATCATCTCCGGCTGCTACCCCATCTCGGGTCGAGGAGGTGTCTGACGATGCGGGCGCTGCCGTGCCTCTGAGCCCGAGCACCGTGGCTTCCATGAACCCTCTCAATCTCCCACCGGGACAGCTCCCATTGCCTGGAGGCCCCGAGCTAGGCTCTACGCCAGTCATCCATGTCCCGCAGAGATCAGGGACGCAAAGACCAATCCAAACAGCGGCGGCCGCAGTTCTCCAGCGGAACCGGGTGCCCAAACCAAACGCCCCGGCCGTCATACTGCTCATCCAGCGAGGCACATGTCCCACCTGCAAGAAAGATAAACCGCTGCCCGGCGAGCGCGACATGAAGACGCACATCCGGTGCGAGCTGCCGTACCGGACCACCGAGGGCCAGGTCATCATGCTCCGCGGCTACAACCCGAAGCTCCCCGACGCCTTCACCATCGACGGCCACGGGCACAGGAACGGCATCCTCATGTGCCCCTTCTGCATCAACAGGGTGCAGGTGGTGTGCGGCGTGCACCCGGACGACAAGTACCTGCCGAGCTGCTCCACGTGCAGGAGCTTCATGCAGACGGGCATCGCGCACCTCGGGGCGCACCTGAGGAGGCTCCAGGACCCGAGGCAGTACGTCCCCGGCCACCACGAGTCGTGCCCCGGGCCTCAGCGCGGGTGCAATTGCGTCCCGCACTATTGGAGAGTCTAGGCTATCATTATCATGTCTAAGCTATCATTATCATGGTCTGAGCTATCATTATCATATGCTACCTCTTATGTTACGAAGGAAAATTTGAAGAACCAATGGAGAAAAAAACTTGAAACGGGCTAAAACACACAAAATATCCAGCAACACCCCCATAGAATTACTTTTCAATTCTCTCTAGGTAGTAGGAATAACTTGGGCAAAGCGGTGGATCACAGAGAGCTAGGATACTTTATGTTAGGGTAAACACATCAATAAAACAGTATTGCTAAGTGTTCGTGGGTGTTCTCCGTGATGAGCATGTCGTGGTTTTTGAACTTGTGCTGGGTTTTTCCAAGAATCACGGGTTCTCATTGGCTGGACAGACCTACCGTGGCGCCGCCCACTTCCGTATTTGGACAGATCGTGCTTGGCGGCCCTCGAGACCTAAAAAGTGAACTGGAGCTCACTCCAAGTTGACTCGAGCCCACAGCGCTGCAAGTGGAAGCAAGTTGACGCGAGCTCACCTGCGACGCACACCCAGCTTACCCGCCCGCCAGACCACCACTGGAGTACGCTCACCCTTGCACCAAGTATTCGCATTGAGATTTACCAACTAGTAGGTAACTAGGAATTTTCCAGGCTTAAAAATGATATGAAGTATTTCAAGGCTGAAAATGACCTATACCACCTTTTTAATGAAGAATAGAGATATTCTGCTGTATCTGGTGGCTGCAAAGGAGCCTGTCTAATTTGGTGTTTCATCCTTTTTTCAACACACTTGCCAGCCTACCTGGAGTGCGCCACGGTTGTGCACCACACAAATGTGTTAACGCGCATCCATTGGTGGATGGCAGCCACCCTGCAGCGAAGCCCTCAACGTCACAATCGCCTCCCAATAAATATGTATGCCCGACGTGATCGTGAAAGCGCATCGCGTTTGGGCCCCCTTTCCCTGCACCAAGAGAGGCTATTGGGTATTTCCACGCATCATTGACTATCATGTGTATCACAATCCACAACGCCGACCACAGTAGTAGCGTCATTACACCACGACGCAGCCACTACGTGTGCCAAAATAACCTTTTTGGCCGTAGCGGGCCTCTGCCGCTAATCTCCAATCCCGTAGTGACAAAAGAGCATGCATAAATGGACCCCCGCAAGCTTGCATTGAAATGGGAAAACAGACTCGCGAGACCCTCAAGAAGCAAATCCGAGACAGTAGAGGGGGGCCTCGGATGGCCAATACAGACCGCAGAGAAAAAAGTTCCCTGCAATTGCATGATTTACGTATGTTCAATAGTAGTATGGATGCGACCCGCGCACGACCACAACCCAAACGCATCGCTTCCTCGTGGGTGCCAGCGAGTGTGGGGGGGTTATGCACCTCTCGCCCAACGAGATGCGCCATGTTTTGCAGGATGCAGGCCTGGCCGCTTTGGATTTTCCAAGTCCTCGCTCTTGCAGCAGACCGAGGCGAAGCGAGGCGGGGTAAAAGGGCTCGACCTGTGTGCTCTGGCCCCTTCATGGTGGCCTGCCGTGTCCCAATGTTTCAGTGGGTTGCGAGTGGCTGGCGTAGAACGGGTCTCGTCTCGTACTGTCTGAATATTGAGACGCATCATGGAGTAAGAAAAAAAAATTGCCCTCTCCAGCCAGCCCAGACTCCATCGCGGGCAGGGTGGATTCCGCTAGGATTCTTAGTCTTGCGGCAAGTGGTCCCTCCGGCTGGGCCATGCGGCCCAAAATTAATTTGCGGGATACGAGCCGGGGTCAGCTTGAGGCCTAGTCCCATATGATGCTAATTCCATTCATTTGTGCGTGTGTACATGTGTGTAACCTCATCGACACCCTTTTGATAAACTGACTAGAGCGAAGGAACAGACCATGAACCGGCAAGACATGAGTGAGCCTCTAGGGTAGTATGGAATCAATTCGCCTACATTTCGTACTGGGCCAAGTGCCTGGAAAAAAACTTGGCACACCAAATTCAGGGGGGAGCACACCCAAAGACACCAAGAGGCTCATTACCTCTAGTTTTTTAACGTAAAATATCTCCTTCTATATTAGATAAATTTTTAAAAAAAAAGATCTCTTCTAAGAAAAAAACAAAATTTTTATCAGAAGGTATTTTTATTTTTATTAAAATATCTCTTAGTAGCTTATACGGGCCTGAGTATTTACGTGTGCTATTTTTCCCCCAGGCACTAAGGGGGATGGGACAATGAACCTCCGGGCCTTTTGGCCCGGAACCAATCGCAAAAAAAAAAAAAAAAAAAAAAGAAAAAACAAGATTCTTTGGGGGCGTATGGACGAAAATCTCCAAAGAAAACCCAAGATGGACAAAATTACCCAATATTTGAGGGAAAATCATTGGCTTGGAGTTGCGCGGGCTGGTGTAAACTGGAAAGTGGAAGATTGTGTAGTACGGATTAGCATAATGGGAGTGAATAATCCTCGATTTTTCTTGGAAATGAATCTTCCACATAGATCACCGGAGATTTTTTGGGAGAAGGTGTGATAAGAATACTGGTTTTTTTTTCTTGTTTGTGTCTGTGGGTTTTTTTTGGGGAGTTTTAAGTACAGATAATCCAAATGAATAATGATATATCTTATCCCTGGCACGAGACCTGGATGCGATTCAGGGCAATGTGAGAGACGTCATCTGTCACATCACCACGTTCCCGGACAACGTAACCAACAACCTTGAAAAGAATGATTCATTGTCTTGCCTCGTGCTCGCTTGAGCTGCCATCTATGATGGTGTTCCCAGTGGAACACAAACATGATAACCGGGCGACCGACGACGGGTGCTGGTCCAAACATATCAAGCGCATTAGACATCCAATATTAGGATTAAGCCATGGGGCGCATGGGAAGATCGAAGGAGACGGCCAGTTGCTCTCCCATATCCGGCGTATCAGCAAACTCTTTCTGATACTGTAAAGCTTCCTCCTCGTGGCCGTCTTCCCATTCCCGTTCCAAGGCACCCAGCTGGGCCCCACCCCCTCCACGGACACGCCACTCATCCCGGAAGGATTGCTTGCGAGCGGCAGCGCTGGTGATGGTGGTGGGTTCATCCGGCAAGGGGCCCTCCTTGCGCTCCACGAGCTGGGGCTGCCCCACGGGCCACTGGACGAACCAGTTCTCGGCAACAGGGGTGATGTAATGCTTCACTCCAGTCTCGTCGACAGTCTGGAGCTGGGGCACGAAGCAGACCGTGTTTATCGCGGTACGGAAGCACCGTCGGGTGTCGAGACTGACGACGCTCAGGAAGACGGGGACGGTATTGGTGGCATCGATTACCCAGAGGCGCTCACCACGGTAGTTGTAGGGGCCGCGGAAGATGGCGATGCCGTGGGAGTCGGCCCAAATGCGTCTCGGGGCCCGTATGGACCTGCTGATGGTCTTGAGGACAGCACGCCCGGCCTTGCGGCCGGTCTTGTAGCGGATGATCATGTGCTTGCTCAGGTTCTTCTGAGGAGACTGGAAGATGTTGTTCTCCGCATCCTTGAACAGCCAGACGGCCGCGCGGCAGTTGTACTCGACCTCACGAGTGCCCTTCACGTTCACCATACTGTTCAGTGGGGCTTGGTTTGGTTTGGTTTGGTTTGGCTGGTGAGACTTGTAGGTAGAAGTATGTAGAAAGTTGAAGGCTTTGTGAATGATGAAGACGAGATAGAGGGAAGGGTGCAACGGGGGAGCGAGCAGCTTTACTACCCTTCTTTACCTTCAAGGAAAGAAGAAACGAGCCGCACCCAACTGGTCAGTCTGGTCGGGCGTGGATGTCTCAAAACTTGCACTTTGCAATTGATACCGGATGCCGGACGGCCCAACACGCAACATCGCGTATGCATGGCGCTGCACTTACATGGCCATGGCGTCCGATCGAGGGGACTGCAGGTGGCTGCAACCACCACCACTGCCAGTCGGATGCTGTCGGTGGCAGTACCAGTACATGCTTCATGAGCAAGAGGCCAAGACAGATATTGACCGACCGGCCGCTGCTGCATGCACGCAGAGTGGAGTCTCGATAGCGAGCGTCATGGGTGTAAGGCTTTGCTCGCAGAAACCTGAATGTCGCCCTCATTGATCAATGCATGCAACCCTCATGCCGTTCTGGAAGACCAATAGTCGCCAGTCAGCACCGGGAGCGATCTCTGCCGTTTCCCCGTTGTTTCTTCCCCGCTTCCTATAACTAGATTGTGTTATTGGTGGATGTTTGGGGAAGCCAAGAGAGAAAAGAGCGACCAACACCACAAAAGTACAATAATATCGAGGAGAGCAAGGAAGGGAAGCGGGGGGTCTGGGATGGTGTGCTGGGAACGAGTGCGGCTGTTGTTTCAAATGATGACCTATAACGAGGTGTCAATAAGCGGCACAGGACAACAATAGGAAGACAAGTTGTAAATTTGGAAGAGAGGAAACACCACTTCAGTCTTGAGATAACAAGCCACCGCGGGAGACTTACGCGAATGAGGTAACGGGAAAAAAAAGAAAAGTGGTGGCAAATACCTGAATATTTTCAGGCATACCTTCTAATCCTTGTGTGGTACATAGGGGCAGCAATTTAGTACTGGGCTCGTCACATTAACACCTTGCAGTACGTTGGGTTGCCCTGCTTTCATGTTGCATTTGATTTTGAGAATAACTTGAATCTGCATGTGAAATGAAGATGGTGACAGAGCATCTTTAGGGTCACTCTAAGAGGTCGATAATGGAGACGGCCCTTCTTTCCTGGACCAAAATTGCGTTTACGTGTACGTTTTTGCTTTTGCCGGTGGCTTCAATCCAAGTAAGACTAATGAGAGCCCTGGAAAGTACACAGTGTTACTCAACTCTCGCTGCACGGGGATAGAGCGTGGCATTCTGGATGCATGGATGCGAGCGCGAACCAGTTAGGATCGCCCTTGATATCCGGTCAACTCCGCAAGATCCCAGGACGAATAGGACAATTTTGTGCGTGGTGTGGTGGGCCAAGTGTTATCAGCTTGCCCCAGCGGCTCAGCCTGCGTCCTCAGTTCGGAGGTAGTATCCATTGTCTGTCTTACTTATTATTATTAGTTCTGTCTCGGAGCAGGCGTTGAGCGGTGACAGTGATGCAAACTGTAGGTAGGCGGGGTTATCGCTGGCTGTTAATGCCCAGCTGCTGTATCACGTGTATCGCTGTGCTGTTCAGCTTCTAGTGGCTGAACGAAGCCAGCGTTGTATCCCAAACATTGGCCCTCCCTATTTCGACCGTCTCCTTTGTACCGACGACTTGCCATGTCTACCACCCTCCAAACGAAAGCTATTGGTGATCTCATGATAGCCAAAGAGGCGTTTACCCATGGGACGCTGCCTCTTGGACACCGCTCACGTATCATCAGTTGGAACTCCACCCCCCCTGGAACCAAAGTGGCTGGCTGACTTCTGTTAATCGTTTCAGTCTCCTGAGCCTAGACTCGTACGCCTCCAACGAACGGCCCACCATGCCTGTGCATAGCGGTTGTCGCTACAACTCCCACTACAATGTCTCAGCGCCTTTCAAGCAACGAGCTGTCTGTACGGACGGAACGGTATTGGATGGGCTGGCAAACTCTGAAGCTATTGATGCTCCTCCGAAGGTTATGTCTTGTGGAAGGACCCCTGTTAATGGGAGCAACAGCTAATCAATACCCCGACAGGAAGACCTGCAGCCGAAACAGTCGACCCGAAAGATCCCATCCGATTACGCTCGACAAACTCAAATCGAGTCCGACAATGATACCCCGCCATGCATTGATGCTATTGTCACCCATTCTTCCAAGACACGGCCGAGCTACGGAGCCACGACAGCAATACCACCCAACACACACTCCGTTGTGATGAGTTGCCCGACACCACAACTTCTTGTTTGCTACCCTATTCGTTGCTGTTACTCCGCGACATGGTGACCCAACTTCAAGAGATGCCCATTCGACGTATTCATCATGGGCTTGCGCGACAGTCGCAGTCCAGCACACATCGGTGCCAACCCAACGCTAGTGCTACGGCTGAACAGTCGATCGATGCCGCCCCCGATTGAATAAGTTGGTGTGCACACATCACCCTTCGTCACATCACCCTCGCATAATAGCTACTGCAGCATCGGGATTGTTGCCCGGGGGCTAGTCGCTAGCACAGATCATCTGAACGACTGACCTTCGTTTGCACTACACCACCTCCTGCTTGGACGATGCCTGGATTGCGTGATTGAGGTTGGAAGAGACCATTTACGCTCGGCCATTTGTCCGATCACAGAGATGACACCTCGCTCTGCGTTATCACATTGCCCGCGAGTGGTGTGGAGCGATCGCATCTTTAAGGACTCGTGGCACTGCAACAGGCCTTATCTAGGTGCTCTACGCATCTCTACACATCATCAGATCGCATGGTCTCATGGCCCAATGGCAAGGCGTCTGACTACGAATCAGGAGATTGTGGGTTCGATCCCCACTGAGACCTTCTCTTTTTGCGTTTCGGCCTCTTGGTTGTCCCAATTCTTTTTGCGCCTAGCCAACTGAGTTTGCTATTTGCGTGCTATTCCCTTGTGCCCTCTTCTCTCACGCGCGGAATTCTTCCCCCGAGTTTCCCTTGGTGCCTCTCCAATATCTGGTATTGCATGCTATCGCTAGTTGGATTGGGACCTGGCTGTCCTTGAGCATGTGCATCTCTGGGCAAAAGCAGATGTCCGGCTGTCCGGCCTACCAGGCTACGCCCGCCATTGGCCCCCTGAATTCCCTCTGATTGACTCATGGAGTTTCTTGGAAATGTTCGTTGTACTACAGCCTAGGAGAGCCTTTGAGCTTGCTATCAATCGGGCAAAGGTCCAGCCTCATGATGTTCGAGGCGAATGATGTCGCGCGTCGTCATCGAAGCTACTCTTAGCCTGATGCGCTTCTTGCCCAGCAAGCGCTGTTGAAAATTCAATGGCTGGAATCTATCCTGGAGGTCGCTGTCTGATTGTCAAGTGACCGAGTCGTTCCCTTGAACCATGTTCACCAACCCGCGATCTCCTCGCTATACCCATGATTTGATGTCTTCGTCTCCAAGTGGAAGACGAGGTTGCTAGCCGCGATCGACCTGAACAATCTCCCTAGTTTGTTGATGCATATTCAACTTCCTGGCTTGTTAGAACAGGCAACATCCCTTATTACGTGTGCCATTGACGATGTCAAGGGCCACTTGATCAGTCTTGTCACCTGCATTCAAGCTCAAACTCTTCGTCCTCGCCTTGCGCTAGGCACTGGCGAGACGAAGAAGTCCTGCAACTTCGTCCCTTACTTGCTGATCTCATGAGAGTTTACATGAACCCTTTCCCCATATGCCAAGGTTACTTTGGTACCGCGAAGCATGACTGTGGGATTGTCACCAGATCCGCAAGTGAGCTGCTGGCATAGAGCACTTAGCTGGAGAGCAACCCATTGTGAAATCCTCATTCGGGCGATCACCAACCTTTCATGCCGCTAGGGGCTACGACTTAACTTCCCTTCTACACGTTTTTGTGCCTCGTCACCCCACCGGATGCCCAGATGGAGAATCGCAAAAGGGTGAGTCTTGTCTGTATACGTTTACTGCAGAGTTGGAGTAGCCCTGATCATCTCGCCATGCTGCCCAATACACTAGTCATTATGACAAGTGTAATATGTATGGGTACGCCGTGCCACATCGCAGTGACCGTTTGGTGGTATGAGCCCAACTCCCCGGTGCAACCCTCGAGTGGCGGTTACCCCTGGAGGCTCTGTGCGGGGGAGAGGAAGAGGGAAACCTTACTTTAAGTGGAGTAATGAATAAAGTTGAAGCCTCTTGCCTCTCTTGGTGACTTGACTGTCTGGGATTTGTCCTTAATGTCCGAGATCGTCGGGAACACCGTGGCCTTGAAGAACGTTGGCGCCACATGGTGGAACCCAAACAAACGAACCAGGCTCGGGTCAAAGCAGTTCGCACTAGTGAAGTAAGGGAGGAGCTGGCGTCCCACCCTGAGACTGGGAGTTTAGATGCCCTTGACGGTGTTACTCTCTGGCGTTTGGTGGTTACAACTCTATCAAACCGTTCCGGCTAAGAGGGCGGGTATCTGTCTACTCCCATAACATGACAACCCTTGAACGATGTACACACATTGCTAGGAGCATCACGCATGATGGGAACCGTCGTATGTGTTAAGTTTGTCTTAGTCAGTCATTACACTACTGTGGGTTAGTGTTTGACAAAGCAGGGCTGAATTTAGATGGCCAAAGTCAGCGCTACCCTTCTTCTTCGTTTGCTTCTATATGGCCGGTCACACGTAACAAATCTGGAGAAATGTTTGTTATCTGCACCCTTTCGCTTGATTGAAGCCCAGCCTGTGCACTCTTGAACCCCTTGTAGTCTGCATTTGGCTTTCACAAGTGTTACTCAATGTTGTCTACCGTTTTGCTCCTTTTTTAAACTCATCTCTGGATGTATCCCACAATCCAGATATAACTGTTTCTTGGACGCCAAGAACACAGAAGAGATCCCCTTGTTCGCTTGACTTTTGGAAAACATGACGCAATGTTGAGCACAACTCCGATCTGTAGCGTGGTTGAGAACCCCCAAGCGCACGTGACGGGTCGCGCCCATGGGAGGAATGACCTCGGCCCACCGCCGGCATCGCTGGTAGACTGGCTTACTTCAAGACACCCTTTGGAGGTATGAGATCCTTTCTTCCATCTGATCATTCTTAAAAAAACTGCCGCCATTCGTTTCTACCTCCCCGCCAGAGCCATTTCAACAAACCACGACCACCCGTTATATTTAAATTGCCTCGACTATATACCGTTTACCTCCGCCGTCGCTCAACACCAACGTCATAGCCAACGAATTCGCTTCGCATCGAGTCGGGTCCCTCGGGGCAATGCGCATGAACACCTTCCCTAGTGGTGCTACGATCACCCATGCCTCGTCCCCTCGCTTAAATTCATACCGACGAGCCGCCGGCAGATATCAACCGGCCAACAAGAACAAATGTCACTTCTGCCGGTCAAAACGCGCTACACCCGCTCGCTTGCATCATTCTCACGAATTTGCCGGTTTCCATTGGTGGGCTTATTCAACCTTGCTAGCCTCGCGGCATTGCGGGCCAACGTTACCCTCATAGGGCCATTTCCCGACAACTTCGAATGCGGAGACAGGGGCAGCTGCTTTTAGCCCTTCCCTCGCTTCCTACTGGGTGGCTTATGGAAGGCCTGTCAACCTTATGTTGAGGCCATTCCAATCTCAAGCCCGGCTTCCCGGGTCTTCAGTGCAATGAGCGGTCTGGCAGGGTTGTATAAATACGGCTACTCGATCCGCATTTCCCATTGGCAAGATGCTCCCGCTAATAGCTCGATCTCGTCTCGCTTCTCGCAAAGATGAAATTCTCGGCTATTCGAGATCTACTTACGTGGGCATCCATTGTCTCCGTGGGCTTCGCACAAGAGTCAAGGGAAGAGAGCGTCAGCTCGTGGCCACTCCACGACAACGGGTTGAATAAAGTGGTCCAATGGTGAGCTGCGTTGGAAGGGCAGGGGCGGCAAAACAACGTTTCTAACATCTTTGTCAAGGGATCACTACAGTTATCATGTCAATGGCCAGAGGCTCTTCATTTTCTCGGGAGAGGTAAGGAGTATTCCCCCCCTCTGCTTGGGAGCATGGGATACTAACTGGAATAGTTTCATCCTTGGAGATTTCCGGTGTAAGTATCCAGAGGGCACCATAATGGATATGCTTTGCCCTTGCAGTTTTGACTAACACAATTTCTACGTCAGGCCGGAGTTATGGCGAGATCTTCTTGAGAAAATAAAAGCTGCTGGGTAGGTTAACCATTTACCTGTTCCGCTTCCGCTAGCTAACACGCTCAAGCTTCAATGCCTTCTCCATTTACAACTCGTGGGGTTATCACAGCGCCTCTCCCGATGCTCTGGATTTCACAAGCGGTGGGCACAACTTCACATCTATTATGACGTTGGCCAAAGAGCTTGGCATGTACATCATCATTCGCCCAGGGCCCTATGTCAACGCGGAGACGAATGCTGGCGGTTTCCCGCTTTGGCTGACTACCGGAGAGTACGGCTCATTGCGTAACGACGATGACCGCTATACCAAAGCATGGACCTCGTACTGGCAAGCAATCTCCAAGATCATCGAGCCACACCTCATAACCAACGGCGGAAATGTCATCATATTCCAGATCGAGAATGAACTGAATGGCCAATGGAAGGACATCCCCAATCGTGTCCTGAATCCTACTATTGCCAACTATATGCAACTTCTCCAGGATAGTGCAAGGGACAACGGAATTGACGTACCTCTTGCGCACAATGCCCCCAACATGAATGGCTACTCCTGGTCTAAAGACTTTTCGAATGAGACTGGAAACGTTGACGTGGTTGGAGTGGACAGCTACCCGTCTTGCTGGAGCTGCAATATCAGCGAATGTACTGGTACAAATGGCCAGTATGTTCCCTATAAGGTTCAAAACTACTATGACTACTTCACCGTCCAGTCTCCTACCCAGCCCAACTTCCTCCCCGAGTTTCAAGGCGGATCTTACAACCCCTGGGGAGGTCCCGAAGGCGGTTGCCCTACTGATATTGGCGATGCCTTTGCAAACATGTTTTACAGAAACCTCATCTATCAGCGTGTCACAGCCATCTCCCTGTACATGCTCTTCGGTGGGACAAACTGGGGCCACTCTGCTTGTCCTGTTGTTGCAACAAGCTATGACTATTCTTCACCCGTGTCGGAGAATCGCGCTCTTTGGAGCAAGTACTCAGAAACGAAGCTCCTTACTCTCTTCACGAGGGTAGCCCATGACTTGGCTAAAACGGATAGGCTCGCTACCGGAACCAATTATACGACCAACGGGGCGATTACAGTCTCTGAGCTACGAAACCCAGACACCAATGCCGGGTTTTACGTCGTTATGCATGCGGACTCAACTTCTAGCACCACGGAAAGCTTCAAGGTTCACATCAACACGTCCGAAGGAAGCCTTACCGTGCCAGAGTTCAGCAAAGATGTTGTCATTGCCGGCCACCAAGCCAAGATTCTTGTCACCGACTTCAGCTTCGGTAGCAAGACACTCCTATATTCGACAGCGGAGATATTGAGCTTCTCTATCATTGATGGCAAAGAGGTCTTGGCTCTCTGGCTGCCTGAGGGGGAGTCTGGAGAGTTCACCATCAAGGGAGCAGGATCAATCCAGGACGCAGAATCGATCAAGGCGTCCAGTGTCGGAACCTCCGCCTTCAAGGAATCTTTGTCTGTCAACCAGGCTGATTTCGGGATTACTGTATCTTGGGTTCAGACTGCTGGTCTTGGTACACTTGAGCTCCCAGATGGAACGCATATTTGGCTCCTTGATCGGGCGGCCGCGTACCGGTTCTGGGTACCAGCACTTGTCAACGACCCCTTCGTCCCGGAGAACGCAACAGGTAAGCTAAGAACTAACTCAACAGCTACTTATATTCCATGCTTGCTAACAATCTAAAAGTGTTTGTTCAGGGACCATATCTAGTCCGATCAGCCGAATACGACAGTGGTTCAAAAACCCTCCACCTCACCGGAGACGAAGAGGATGCTCAATCTGCTACAATCTTCGCACCTGAAGCGGTGGAAACCATAACTTGGAATGGAGAAGATGTTACTATTGAATCCAAGAGCAAAGGCACTTACACTGTGTCCATTCAGGGACCGGCTAAGTTCCAGCTACCTACTCTTGGTCCCTGGAAGAGCGTAGATAGTTTGCCCGAGATCAGATCTAAGTACGACGCCACGGGAGAGGCCTGGATTGGTAAGTTCTCTTTTCCCCAAACCATACCCTTGATGTCACGGGATTAACATCAGCTAGTTGCCAATAACACCGAAACACCTAATCCGACGAAGCCAGCCGGCAACAACCCTGTTCTCTACGTTGATGACTACAAAATCCACTACGGCAACCATATTTACCGGGCTACTTTCCCAACTGCAAATGAAGCTCAAACCGGTGTGTCCCTTAGCCTGCTGGGAGGTCTTGCCTTCGGATACTCTGTCTGGCTCAACTCGGAGTACATTGGGTCTTACTACGGCCTTTCGTACAAGGGCAATAGCATTGAGACCTTCTCCTTCGACAACGCCACCCTAGCAGACAAGGGCCAAGATAATATCCTGGTTGTTCTCATGGACCAATCTGGTCATGAGCTGCGCGAGTCTGCTATTGATCCTCGCGGTATCACCAACGCCACACTCCTTGGGCCTACCAGCAGTGAGTATAAGTTCTCTGAATGGAGGATCGCCGGAAACGCAGGCAGGGAGGAGAACATCGACCCCGTGCGTGGGCCGATGAATGAAGGAGGCCTGTACGCCGAACGAGTTGGCATGCATCTGCCCGGGTTCCCTGGCAAGTGCTGGGTTGATGTAAACAGCAGTGCTCTTGTCGTCCCTTCTGCTGGCGTACGTGCTTTTAGAACAGTCGTGCCTCTTGACGTTCCATCTGGCCTTGATGTCTCCGTCACCTTCCGACTTACATCAACTGGCAATGAAGGGTACGAGCCCAGTGACCCAGGCCATTCCAATCGTCTACGGGCTCTACTGTTTGTCAATGGATACCAGTACGGGCGATTCAGCCCGTATATTGGCAACCAGATCGACTTCCCTGTTCCGCCAGGCGTTCTCAACTACAAGGGAGACAACACAATACTTGTCACGGTGTGGAGTCAATCCGCAGAAGGGGTGGAGATGAAGATTGACTGGAAGCTGGACTATGTTCACTCAACAAGTTTCAATTTTGCCTTTGATAGCGACTATCTTAGGCCTGGGTGGACTGAGGATAGAAGAAAGTACAAATAGTTTCCCGCCCTCGGCGAACTAGTAATGAGGCATCCCAAAAAAAGAATAGAAAAGCAATTGCATCCACGTGTTCCTCCGTCTCTAGACTCCAGCCATCGGGTCAGAAATGACATTTCGTGGGGTATAACCGTGGGGAGGTTTTGGATCCTTATTTGAATCCTGGATGAAACATGACTCCCAGGTAGCTCCAGAAGAGTTGGAGGAGATTTGGAGGCGGAACCTGATTGAGGTGATCGTCTCCCTCATCTTCACGGGGTTGGTCGCGGCCGGGCATCGTGTCGCTCGGGGGAGGCGCTTCGGGGAGAGTGATTGTTGTCGAAGGCACTGGATTTTATCGCGGATGTTCGGCACTTTCGCACCTCACTAGATGCTGTGACATGGAAGAACATTTGTTAGCTTCATATAGTGAGGCTGTATTGCCACCAGAAAGAAATGATGCTGTATTCTGGATGGCTTTTGACAACTGACGCGAAAGGGGATCGGAAGTGAGTACTGTACCTGCGGAGTAGCGTTGACCGGAGGAGCTCCAGGATAAGTTGTAATCAAAAAGTTTTGATCACGGTAGAGTTCTGAGACTGACAGAGATTGACTGCTTGGCAAGGAATCGATGGAGTTTTGAATTTTGTGTGGTTGGAAGAAGAAGAGTAAGAAAATGCGAGATGTGGGCGAAGAAGAGGTGATTAAATGAAGGGGAGAGGCCCACGCGTCACAGCAGTTACCTCCCCAAGTTCCTGCCTTGGTACCTTCTCAGGTATTCGGTCTGGCTGAAAAGGTAGGAGAGTATCTAGGGGGTAGGACAGAAACTGTACGAAACTGCCGCAAGAGAGTATTATTGTATGTTCAAAAACCGTTCACTTAGTTCTGTATTACACCCTGATTTTAATTTCTCTGCAATGATCTGAATACCTTTGTCTCAAAGGTTTGGCTGAAGCCATCGAACGATTTGTTCCCAACTTTGCACCTGCGGGCGGTGTGCCGAGGGTCCAACAGCTCTTTCCATTTCTCCTCTCTTAGTAGCTACTGCCACACCTTGCATGCTACGCCCTCAATGCAAGAATGCTGGCCAACTCTCTTGTGCTGCACATGGCCACTGCACAGCCAAATAAAGTCTAATATTGCTCACGAATTGAACTCACCATTGAATTAAACGAGAAATCGACCCTGGTTTTGACATTTCTTGACGGTCCAAACACGCAAGAATGTAAGAATAGCTTTGGGCAGCCGCGTCTCTCCTTCCTCCGTTTGGACCCGGCTTCTTTCCCTTCGCCACCTGATCTCGCCAAGACAACACATTCAACCACTGCACCTTCCCGTTTGATTGACGCGTATGCTTCGAACTGGATGTTGTCGGAAAGGCGCCCGCGTCTCTCTTTCCCGATTCAAAGTGTGGTCAAAGTGTGGTCAAAGTATATAATGTACGTAAGTTCTTGAGCGAAGTTCTTGAGCGAAGTTCTTGAGCGAAGTTCTTGAGCGAAGTTCTTGAGCGAAGTTCTTGAGCGAAGTTCTTGAGCGAAGTTCTTGAGCGAAGTTCTTGAGAATTTCAATATACAGACCACACTTTGAATTCGCGAATACAGACCACACTTTGGATTCACGAATACAGACCACTTTGGATTCTCGAATACAGACCACACTTTGAATTCGCGAATACAGACCACACTTTGGATTCTCGAATACAGACCACACTCTGTATTCGTGATGTTCCCAACAATCTTCAACTAACCACTTTGTATTCCTGATGTGCCGCGAACTTTCAACTTCCCCTCCATCATGGCGCAGACACCCCGGGGCGCCAACCGACTCTCGCTCGCTCGTGAGCCCCTTTGACTGCGTTCCATCTATCTTCGCCGCTTTAATTTTCCCCTCTGAGCGCCCAACTTTACTGAACAACAATTGATAAATTTATCACCTACTGTGGAAGCCAAAGAACGCTGCAAACGATCCGAAAGACAGTATATTATATTCACGTCCCCTGGAGGCGAAAACATTGGGGTTCTCCTGTGATTGCTAGACGATGGGTTTGTTTGCAGGTGCATTTGGTCGTGTTCCTAGTCACTCATTTTAAATCAAGGTAAACTCGTCCATCTGGAGGATGATTTGAGCCCGAGACCAAAACTTGGATCTCACAGGGAAAATCCCTAGTCTCAATCCGTTTCCTGTATGGCCTGCCATGTCCATAATTCTAGAAGCCTGCTATTGGCCATGGCGTCTTCTCTCTTTGTCTTCGATGCTGAAAACCTCACATGAAATATCAGCGTCATCATCAATCTTCCCGGCATGCAAAGCGTCATAGTCTGTGCTGCAATCTACTGCGCCGCGCCTTCCTCGACAATTTGGTTGGCTGAAGAGTGCCCTAGATTCGAACTACCAGCACCTACCCTACACTCCGACTCATCTACAAATCTGCAACGATCAATGCTTGCGCCTCCGTTTCTATATAGTCAGAGATGGGACCGGAAGAAACATTCAATTAAACTCTAGTCCTCTGGCAAAGATAGGCTCGGGAAGGGTAGTTGGGGCAAATGTGGCAGTCGGCAAGATTAATCACATGAATCGCTGATGGTGAATAGCATCTCTCGTTGATGGCGACGAAGACAAACAATTGAATAGTAGATGTTAATTAAAAAAAAAAACTAATAGCATGAAAACACTCATTACAAGAGAAGACTGATGGTAAGAAAAACCAATTCAATGGAAGAGATGAAAGAGAAAGAGTCGTAAAGGCAGACCGACTACAAGAGGAAAGAAAGTGGGACAGGAAGGCATCCAGGGAGAAAGACCCTAACAAAGACTGACAGTACAAAGGAAGCATAGGAATCAAGACTGGCTGGAGAAAGGAATGACGATAAGAAAGACGAACAGTGCAAAGAGGCGGCCGGGTATACATTCTGACGTCAGCCGCCGTGACAGAGGTGCCATCCCTTTCCTGAACTACCTTGAACCAACTCTCAAGCCCGGAGGTTGACAGACTGAAGATCATGTACTAGAAATCCTCAGGAATTGCATGGAACGGAAGTTCGTTCAAATTGTGGCGTAACGCTCTCTCCACACGAGCGAGGGTCATCCGCTTACTGCCGCCAGAGAAGATCTGGACGTTGTGAGAAGGTAGTCATGATCAGGGAGAAGAGATTGACTTACACGTTCAAATGGGTTCTGAGAGAGATGGGTCAAGATAGGGGTCATGGTAGTTGCAAAGTTGATGACCCGGGTTTGGATGAGCTGCGGAGAGTCTTCCGCTCGCGCCTCCTCCCTCCATCGACGCTGAACCCGAGCGACCATTGTTTGAGCGGAGCAGTTGAGATATATTGTAGAGTATCTTGGAGTGATCTTTGTAGGCATTAGCAGGCATAGACGGACAGCATGGGATGCTTGGGACTCAGACCTCTTTCTCGAATTCTCGCAACTCGTCCATGGACGCGGGGAACCCGTCGATGAGGATACCTGAACCATCTGCCTGTCGGAGCCTGTCTTTGAGTAGGCTGATGGAGAGGTCCACCGGAATTGGGCGACCCCGACTGCGGTTGGTATTAATGGTGATGCCACGGGCTGAGCTGGGGTCGTTGGCCTCCTCCTCGATTAGAGCAGCCACTGAGATATGTTCAAGGCCGTGGGTCGCAGACAACCGCTCGCAAACGAAGGTTTTGCCGGAACCTGGTCCGCCTATGAGTAGTGTTAGAGCAAGGCAAGACTTCTTGGGTAAAGAGGAGGGAGGGGATGGAGGATGCATCAGTGTGACGGACCAAAGACGAAATAGATGGGGCCTGCGTTCTGGATTTCCTTGACGACAATCCAAGAGTCGAGGATGGAGTCGGCTATCACTTGAAGCCATTCGTTGCCGATGCAGAGGCGGAGCCGCTCGATGTAGTGGTAGGCGTAGATCCGCTGGGCTCTCTTCTCGTGCATGAAGGCTCGGTGGAAGCGTACGAGGTCTCGAATCTCGCGGAAAAGCTTAGCAAGGAACGTCTCGTTGGCACCATACTCTTTCCAAAGATTGAAGAGGGCTTGGGCCAGCGCGGGATTCGAGGGTTTTAGACGGGTTTCGAGGTAGAAGATGGTCTCTCTCTCTTCCCACTGCCTTTGGTCTAAGAAAAGGATTAGTGTGTGGTCTGGACGTCGGGACTGGGGCACGTTCCTTGGGGAATTGTTTCGTCAATGGCTACCACCTGGTTTAGATCGTGGATCATGCACATCATGACGAGCTTGTTCACGTCTCTGTCCTCAATCTACACAACAGTTAGCCATGCCAAACCTAAGTGGGCAAGTACTCACGTCAGGGTGTAAGTAACAGAGCCGAACCATCAGATCGGTGTGGACCTGGAGGAGCTCAGGGGGAGGAACCTGATGTCGGCGCAGGGTAACTTCTCTGATGTGCTCGGCCATGTAGCGAGCCTCGCGGAAAGGCAGAGGCACCGTAAGGTACGACATCGTGGAGAGAACCCTCCGCAACGTGCCAGATGGCAAGCAGGAGTGTGGTGAAGAGGAGAAGAAGCAGCAGCAGCTGGGAAAGCGAACGAGATCAGTTCTTGCGTCCAAGCAAGACCCCGCACCGGATGAAAGTTGAACCGCAATATCGCAATGGCTGGCATCGGAACAGGTTGGGATATCGAGAGGCCCAAGCGGGGGGCAAGCTGTGAGATAAGTTGGGATACTCTGGTCCAATTGGTTGCAGGGCGGGCTGAGTGCATGGACTAGACCTTCAGCTGATGCAAGGTATCATCCGTCCGACCAGAAGTGCAGTTTCTGAGATTATGCTTGTGGTAGCACACGGCACACGGCACAGGGGCAAGCGACTGGCTGTGCTGATGCACATTCGTCGTGAGCTTGGGTGATAGCCATCGGGCGTAGGTATTCACCGCGGCGTCTGATTGGACGACGGCCTGTGGGAGATCGGCGTATAGGGCCTTACAGGGACCTCGGCGGTTAGTTATGGAGACTGCCCTGGCATTAATCCCACCAGCTTAGCTTCCGAAACGCTTGGGAACGGGGTGGCCAGGGCTCTAATGCTCTAGGGGCATTAGCGGCAGCAGTTGGTGGGTGTTTGTGCTGTATTGGGCAATCTTTAGTGCTCGCCCGCTATCGATAAGCCGCCGATCTGCGTGGAGGGGCATCACTTGGGCCCAGGCGAAGGCCAGAAACCACCTAAATGTTTGGCCAGAAGAATAAGTGCCCTTCTTCGTCTAATGCTGTCACTTCACCCTGACCACTCAGACACGCATACAATCATCCCAGAGATCCATCAGCGCACTGGAAGAAATCTTTATTCATGCACTGAATCGACTTGAACAAAATTCAAAGAGAATAAACTGCCTCATTTTTTCTGTCGCACCAGTACGTACTTCATCCCGGGCACCCACACACCCAGACATACACCAGAAATCCACTGACATGCAACATCGCGTTCACAGAAACCAACAAGCATGCCACCCCTGGTCAGACTTCGCCGGGCCAAAGGGCAAGATCTGCCCCAGCTGCTGGAGGTCGAAACATCAGCGATGGCGGACGACGAACTCACCGGTCGCTGCTTTCCGGATAATGCAAGACCTGCTGGAGTCCAGACCCGGATGGCTGCATACCGCAGAGTCCTGCACGAAATCACCGTGGCCGTACTAACGGACGATCAAGGCCGCAGCACTGGCAAGATCCTCGGTTGGGCCCGTTGGGTGCGTCGCCCAGCCCCCACAGCACCATCCCGATCATCCATGCAGCGACAGCGACCCCTGCGACGTGCCGTGGTCAACCCTGACGACTTCCCAGCCAACGGCGACCAGCTCTTCGCAGCCGGTTACTTCCAGGCCAACCTGGACAACAAGGAAGAGGTTGTCGGCCAGAATCGCCACTGGTTTCTCAGCACCTTGTTCGTACGCCGCGAGGAGCAGGGGCGAGGGGTGGGGGGTATGTTGATCAGCGTGGGCACTGAAGCTGCCGACAAGGAGGGGTGGCCTGCCTACCTGAACTCTTCACCGGTCGGAAAATGCCTGTACGAACGTTATGGCTTTAAGACAGTGCGTATCAGTTGGTTTACGGAGACCATCACCACTCACCATATGGTACGCAAGGCCGTGCCTGGACGTCGCGAGGACGAGCACAGGAAGCACAGGAAGGATGGGAAGTACGGCGGCAAGTAATGCAATTGTAACTAGCCACTATGTGACACTGCACCAACGCAGGAGTCAGGATGTAGGACAGCCCAGGGACTGTCCAGGGACGGCCGCAGGGAAGCACGCAAACCCCCGTTGTATCGGGTGTGACGAGGCCAGGGTGACGGCCGCAACAATAGGCAGACGTACAGGACAATAACGAGTCGTGTTTTTCTTCTGACCCTTCCCATGATGCGTGACCCCTCTGCGCCTAAGTGGCAGATTGCCTGCCGATGCCTTGAAAAACCTTGACCATCGTGGCGGGAACTTACACGGACCCGTAGTATCAATTTGCTGCTGCAGGTGCCCGAGACGCTCCTTCCTCCTCTCCTCTCCTCCTCTGCTTTTCTCGGTACAGTGTGCATGTGTATCATTTCGCTTTCTTGTGCTGTGTTGCACAACGGCCGGCTCGCAAGTTTTCCACCCACTCACCTGCTTAGCAGCCCATCCCTCTGCCTTTTCTTCTGCCTCTCCCACCCAATCGTTTTCCCATAGACACAAACCATCCAGCATCGTTCGCCCACCTCCGTGCCTCTCACCGGGTTGGCCTCAGAGCAACCATTTGCGTCGCCACCACGGCCGTTCACTTACACCAGGTATAGCTCCCTCACCACCACCAGACGAGTCCCAGAGTGCTAACCAAGTGTCAGACACAGAAGACGACATCGACATCATCAGCCAGTGCGGCTCTCCGAGGCGTCGGACGACCTCCCCCGCCACTATGGACGTCGAGACCACTATCGAGACGGTTCCGTACGATATCATGTTGGTCATTGCCGAGCTGTGCACAAGGGATGTCCAACCTCTGGATAACGGCCCGCCATCCTCGTACGCCCGTTACCACGCCGCCATGGCTCGCACAAGCAAGCATTTCCACCGCATCCTCAATCGCGCGCTCTACATCCGCAACATCAGAAAAGACCCGCCCGTCGATTCCTGCGTCCTCTGGGCCGCTCGCAAGGGCAACCTGGGCACCATCCAGCGCGCCCACGACTACGGCGCCGACCTCGACGCAACCGGCGCACGAGACGAGTCCGACTACGACAAGACCTGGGAGTCCATCCCTGGAAGTATCCGTTACTTTGCCTCTCCGCTGCACCTTGCCATCAAGAACGACCACCCCGCCATCGTCCAATACCTGCTCGTCAACGGAGTCGACGTGCATTCGCAGGCTCGGGACTTTTGTGGCTGCCAGGAACCTCCGTTCTCGGGCAAATGCTACCCGCTGCATATTGCTCTTGCGCATGCCGATGAGGAGGGCTCCGGTACCGACTACGCCGGCCAGCTCGTGCAGCACGGTGCCCACAAGCTCGCCGACGGCATCCCAGCGCTGGCCGATCTCGCTCGCGCCGGCCGCTTGAACCTTGTTGATTCCTTGATCAAGCGCGAAGACGACTTCTCCGTCACCGCTGCCCTCCATTATGCCGTCTCCAAACAGGACCTTGGCCTCGTCGACGAGATACTCGCCCGAGATGGCGTCAACGCCGGCGCAAAGAACTGGAAGCGATACGGACCGCTCCACATTGCCATCTCGGAAGCTACCGATGATCTGTCAATCGTCAACCGCCTTCTCCAGCGACCTGAAGTCGACGCCTCAGACGTAACCCCGGGATGGGAGACACCCTTGCACATCGCGGCATCGAAGGGCCGGACTGACATCGCCAGCGTCTTGCTCGAGCGATCCGACGTGAGTCCCGTCGCAAAGACTCTCACCGGTCTCAATGCGCTGCACCTCGCTGTTCAATCTGGCCGCAAGGACATGGTCGACGTCGTGCTGGCTGTCCCTGGTTTCCCAGTCGGTGCTGTTGACGCTGACGGCATGAGCGCCCTGCACCATGTCTGCCGTACTCTGCAGGAGACCGACGAGGTCCGGGCTATTCTTGAGTCGCTGATCAGCCACCCGGACATCCACATCGACCTCATGTCCAACCAGGGCACACCACTCTTCATGGCTGTCAAGAACCGGAACTTTGCGACCGCTGCCGCCCTTGTCCGAGCAGGAAGCAACATCAATCCCCCATCCCCCGAACAAGCCCCCACAGCCCCTGCATCCCTTCTTCACGAATGTCTCCTGGGTTATTCGAATGGTCAGGCCGAGCTCGTCCACGAACTCATCCAGCACGGCGCAGACGTCAATCTGATGACCCCTTTCCACGGAAAGGACGCCACCCCCCTGTTCTTCGCCGCCGCCTTTGCAAACAACGTGGACGCAGTCAGGATGCTGCTCGATGCGGGCGCCAACATCCACTGCCTCGTCCGGGACCTCTGGGTCCCCTTCGAGAGCTGCATGACCCTCATCACCGCCATCCTCGAGACGTTCTTCGACCGCTGCCACCCGGGCCACCTTAGGAGGGAGTCCATCGGCGCCCTCACCGCCTGTCTGGTGCTGCTCCTCGAGTATGGCGCCGTCCTGGGCCTGCCGTCCCGCCCGTCAGAGGACAACTTCCACTCCGCCCTCCACTGCGCCATGCAGATGACCGCCGCGGGCTACCAGGACATCCTGGACGTCCTCCTGAGGCACTCGGAGGCCAGGAACATCAGCGAGGACTACCTCGACGACTTCATCACCGGCCAGATCGACATGAACCGGCAGGGGCTCATCCCGCGCGCGTCGCTGGAGAAGCTCATGGACTTCCGGACCCGCATCTTCCCGCGCAAGAGGTCCCAGAGCTGGAACGACTCGAGCTACGCTGACCTGCTCATCAGCAACTCGCTTCACTACGACTTTTGAGGATGTCGTGGCATGCACGCTCTGCGCTGCACTCTCTGGGCTGCATGGTTTGGGCTCTCAATGTTTGCATTTTTTTCTCTTTCTTCTTTTCAATTTATGATTGGCACAGACTTGGTCGTTTGTCAGCTGGAATGTCTCAAACTTTGCGGGCTGTTTTACAAGTCACCATGTTTTCTACCATCTGTCTTCCTTCAAGGTCACAATCACATGCTCACTGTTTGCAAACATTTCAATGGACTACACGGGGTCATTTCTTAAGAATACTTTGAATTGATGTTTCCCTAGGTCACATATTGCGTTGTATTGCCTGCTCAAGCGCAAAGCAGAGAATGAGAGAGCCTAAAAGTTATCTGCTGATCCACTGCGTCTTCTGTCTGTCCTCGTCGCGCGTGCTTGAGCTCCAGTTTGGGCTAAACCACTATCCCGCCATGGCCCTCGCCGATAGTAACCTTGCCATTTTCATACGTCTTGCGCATCCAGCCGCCAGGGGCGGCAGGGTCCCTGAGCCACTCCCACGTCGGGTAGTAGAGTTCGTTCTTCTTCATGGTGATGACAAACGGAATTTCATGCCAGGAAACGGCGCGGATCTGGAAGTCTGTTTTGTTTTCAATGTCGTTAGAAAGTTCCGCAAGTAGCAAAAATGAAATCAAGGATCAGCAGAAGCAAATGGCTACTACATCATAGCGGTGAACTCACATGTGTTGTCGGGAATGGCATTGATCACTTCAAGGATCTTCTCAAGGGAGGTTATCTTCTCCTCGTTGATGTGGGTGATAAAATTGGCGGTCTGCATGCCGTAGAAGCAAGATGGAGATCCGTAATACTTAGTTGCAACGAAGATCTCGCTTGGAATCTGTCTGAGAACCTGCCTGACAGCCAGCTGCGGCTTCTGGACCATCATTCCACAGAAACTAACGAAGTGGCTCGTCTCTAGGTCTTCCGCCGCAAGCGTGCTAATCCGGAAGCTCATATACTCGCCGTTTCTGACAACCTCCACGTCAATTCCGGTGTGCCAGTGTGCCATGTCGAGTTGGTTGGCCTGTGTAATCAATTCACCATTCATGGTGAGCAAAATGTCCGCCTCATGGATACAGGGATCGCTGACGCCAATCACTCTCTTGGCGCCGAACAGCTGATGAGGGCCGTTGAGAGCCTCGACCCTCTCAATCCACTCAGAGGGCACGCCGTAGATACGGGCATTGTACATGGTGATGACCTCAAACTCGGCGGGGATGATACGGAGAGAGGGGATATGGCCTCGACGGATGAGGTCGATCACTGGCGTCATGATGTCCGCGCCGATGCCAAAAGGGTAGCACCCGGTATCCATATCCCAGGTTAACCACACTGCTTGGACCTCGCCCTTGTCTGACAGTAGGACGCCACTGGTGCTAGTTTTACCGAGGCGGGATTCGACACCAATGAAGTCGACATTGATAGGCCTGTACCGGGGACTCTTAGTCGGATGGAGCGAGGACAGGTGCCTTCTTGTCACTGTAGTTGACGAATACAACATCTTTTGGCTTTCATTATGCCCTACAAAGTAGGTGGGATGGCCTTGAGTAATCTTCTCGTTGCTGAAGACCGCACTGAGAACTGGCGCATCCACGAGCTTGGCGTCGTACTGGACAACACAGTAATTATGTGACGGGTGGACGAAGCGCACCTTGCCCTCAACCATGATAGATTGCGCAACGACAATTTCCAAATCGCACATGATGTGCGGGACCAAGGCACGCGAAATCAAGACAAGGCCTTGGGCGGCGTCAATCACTAAACCCATGCCCGTGTTTCTGTGGCCGATGACAGCATCAACGTAGAAGGGGAGGATTGATGTAACTTGAACCCAACTTCGCGCCATATTGGCAATCAACTGGTTAGGCACATACTCTGGCATGGGGAATGATGCTCGGCAAGGCACGGGAGGCGCCGGTGGGAGAGCTTCCGCAATGGTCTCAAAGTCCCATGTTCCTGTTGTATCGTTGCGGGTGACCATCTTCATCTTGGCGGCCCAATGCCTGTTGACTGTGATTACGTTAGTTCTCAGTCTGTTCATTTCACCAAGATCTCGGAATGCAATAGGGACCCGTGTTCGATCAGGGATCTTCTTCATCACAGAAACAAATGTGTCCAAGTCGGGAGTCGGCTTGTTGGCCATGCGCTCGATTAACCAGCCATTTCTACCGCCAATATTGACGAGCCCGGTCTCGCTGACGTAGACGCCCTTGCATCGGACCACATATCTGTGTGCCATCAGGTACGACAGGTCGTGGAAGCATCCTCCGGCGACGGAGAGGAAGCGGGTGGGTGTCGTTTTCTCCAAGTCGTCAACGACAATCTCCTCATGCACCTCTTTTCCAGCACGCAGCACATGGAACTTGACCACCTTGCCAACGTTGTCGTTGAGCGTATTGTCAAGCACTAGGAAATCCACCACGAGGGTGCCGTTGATCTTGAGAAGTATGTCGCCCTCTTTGAGCTTTTCATCTGCGGGGCCTTCAGGCAGCGCGTCTCGCACAAAGAGCATGCTCGTCTGCTTGGGGAACTGCTCTCGCACATGGGACTCCCAATCTGCAGTTAGTCCCAAGCGGCGACACTCGTCGAATGTCTGGAGCCTAAAGCAGGTTTGGATATCGCCTCTCTTGGGGATTCTTCCCGCTTGGAGTTCGCCCAGAGCACGCAGGGGCTCGTGAAGGGGCAAGAAGTAGTCTGTCGAAGCGCCGTCGGAGCGACTACCTGCCTGCAGCGCAATGACTTGACCATTGACGTTGACAACGGGACTTCCAGAACTTCCCCCGCTTGCTGCCGCATTCGCCTGGTAGTAGGCAGTATTGAAGTCTTGGTAAAAACCTTGGTAGTTGGGGGCGTTCCGATCGAGGCGGCTGATGAAGCCGGAGAGGATCCCGAGGGTCTCCCCCCCGTCGTTGCCAATCACCTTTATTTCAACGCCAACTACGTACGCGAAGAATGTCAGTTACTTGTGGCTTTGTCGAGACGTTTGGTGTGGTGACTTACCTCTGGCCCTCTCCGGGTGGAGGTCTAGAGCTGCCAGCTTCATGTACTTGACTGTCTTGGGATCAAAACGCAAGATCCCAAAATCGTGGATCGGGTCGCGATAGATAGGGCGAGCGTCTGCCTCCTCCTTGTTGTTGAAGATAATGTGACCCCAGAAGGGTCCGGAACCCACGACGTGACGATTGGTCAGGACATATCTGTGTTTTGTGTTGTGTTAGCATCTACAAACCAAGTCGCTACATATTGGCATACGCAGTGCAGAACTGTAGATGGAAGACTTACCCTCGTTCGGCATCGACGATGAAGCCTGTGGCCTGGCTCGTGTGGGTCGAATCTGTGTCAAAGGACAAGGGCCGAGTGTAATGGATGGAGACGACGCTGTCGGCAACCTTGGCAATGGTCTTTTGCCAGTCGGCATCTCGGCCGTATCCTGGGTCGTAAGGCAGATCGGGGTCTGACTCGGAAGAGGAGCTCTCGGACGAAGTTCGACCGAAAACAATTCTCCTCGCGCTAGGAGGCACAAGAGGCCGACGCTGTTCCTGCTCTGCTGGAGGCGAGGCAGGGGCAGTCTCCGGGGGAGTCACCTCGGCACCGTGGAGCAACATGATGTTGGATCAGGACTTTGGTGGGTGAGGAATGGGCTGTAGGTGTAGAGTGATGATGAGAATAAAGGGTCAGGGCAGTCCGCTTTAACAGGCAGAATGCCCAGCTTGTGCTCAGCCCCAAAGTAAGCAGGACTCTGTCTGCCTAACGGGCGTCAATGGCTGGCGTGCGTCCACAAGAAAAAGCAAAGCTGGAAATTATGTTGGACAAAACAAGGGTGAAGTTGAGAACTGAGGAGAAAACAAGATGACGGGGCTTCGTTTTGGGTAATTTGGGCGAGCGTGCAGGAGGAAAGGGGAAAGACGGGCGCGACTGGGCAGAAGCTGCACTTGCTTAGGCCACACCTGCTTTCCTGAGGCACCTGTTCCAGCTGGTCACTGCAGTTGGTGGCACTCTGAGCAGCCAGTTGACTGTTGGTGCCAGCCGCCTGGCCTTCCGTGCATCAATGCATGCCAGCCTATGTGATGCCCCCCGCAGCCCAGCCATCTCACCTAAAAGGTCAGATGAGAGATGGCTCAGTCCCTTGGTGAATGTGCACTTGCATCTAGCTGGCTAGATCCTTGCCAGCTGAGGAGTGGATGGTTCCACTCTGCCGCCTCACGCCCAGAAGTCACTTCCCTATTGTCCATTGCCCAGCGACAATAATCCCCTTACAGGGGACTGGCCGATCGTGACCCCTCTTAAGGCGTCGATTCCTGGGGCTGAACTACTGAAGCCCAGTTGCCTCTTGCCCCACGCTACACATCACATTGAGAGGGGTTCGAGCACCAGCTTTACATCAGGGATCACCGAGTCAGCAGAGGCTGACTACGGTCAGTTTTCCTTTTTCAGGAAATGAGCTGCAACACAGCTGGAAGGCGTCACCTAGTATCATTTATCATTGGTCATAATTCTCAATCACCCCTAGGACAAGAACACGGCATATGAGTCTATGGAAAGTCGAGAATCTGAACGCAGCCAGCCAGCCTAAAGCTTCGGTAAGACTATTGAATAATGTGTAAATATTTGCCCCGCCATGTAATGCAGCAAATCGGTCAGATCTCAGCCAGAGCTGGGCCGTAGGCAGCAGTGTTGGATAGGGAGTGAGCAAATTAGCTCCGTGGCACACATTGCAAGCTTTTATCCAGCCTTTCCAAAAATAACACTCACGGCCACGGAAAGAATAGGATAATTTTGATTGAATACTCGTAATGCTGCATTAATCTCTACTTGGATATAGGGAGGATAATTTGTCGTAATCATCCCAGAAGCGGATCAGACCGATCGTGAATAAGAAACACCAAGGATTAACGTACACCGATAGGGTCAGTAGAAGAGAACTGCTTCCACAGAATGATACTTTGACACCCTGATTCCCCCCTGCTCTCCCCTGTTTCTCTCGTCTCTCTCATGCAAACTGCGGGAACCAGTTGCGTATATCCCTGTCCCAGGGTGCTATCTCCATACCAAGAGGTTTGGTAAAAGCACGATTGTTCAGCCAGGAATCCTTCATCCATTTCTGCCACTCAGCATAATTGCTGAAGAAGGGCTCCGGTACCAAACAGCCCCATTCTGCTGGGCAATGGCGCCAATGATGGTAGATTGGGTTGATCGGACGGTCTTCTCTTGGGGCAGCATAGAGACAATTTGGCCTCCGTGTAGCGACTGCGTGCTCAAAGTCGATGATCACCACTTTGCCAGCAGTGTGGTCTCCCGTGATGTCCGTCGCAGAGGAAGAGGATCCACGCAGTATCACATTTCTCGGGAATGGATCGCGGTGGGAAACGCCGGCAAATTGGAGGAACGCCTTGGCTTTGAGAATATCGTTCAGAACGTAGAGCCGCTCTTGGGGCGAAAGAAGTAACTCCACCTTGACCTTGAAAATCTCCTCAAAGTCAAGTCCCTCAATATACTCCATCAAAATCATCCTGACTGGCCGTGTATTGGCGCGAACAGAAGCCCTTATGCTACGATCCTTGTATATCGGCAGGTTAAAGGTCCATGAGCCATAGTATCGCGGGCTAAACGTGCCATCGTATCCGAATCGCTTGATGTCTTCGTACGCGGCTGCCTCAGTACTGTATGAGGCGTCGGCGGCGTATGTCACATCGTACGGGTACTCAACACTGAACGCCGGGTCGTATGCCTTAGCCATGTAGATTTTCTCTTCATCTCCGTCCAACTGGCACTTGAAGACCTGGGAGCGCCTGTGGTAGCCCACAGAGATGACCTGCAAAATCTTGAGAGAGTGTTGTTGTGCGCCCTCTTTTGGCTGCGTTTCAACCTGTGGACACTTCAAGCACCACCCCAGCTGACCTGACGCCAGGACCTCTTCTTCTGGTGCTGGCTTTCGGTACCAGGACAGCTCATAGAAATCTGATCTGAATGGTTCTGGCGGAACGTGCTCGGTGATGGCTAGGACGGTGCCGCTACGATATATCCTTTCTAGGCGTCCAGGAGATACATGATGGCCGGATCTCCTCGGCGTGGCCATTTCGTTTCCGGCTGGGGGGAAATCTTTATTATCAATAAAGTTGGGTTCTGCTTTTTGATTCTCAGCCATGATGTGATTCCTGATGAATCCTCGGGGTTCGGGGAATAATATTACGAAGGGGCATACCTCAATGTGAAATGCTGCTCAGAAGGATACGAGTTGGTCTCTTGAATGTAGCGATGCTTAGGAGCGCGCCTGGTTGGGAGATACTAGGAAAATGGTACATTGATGTGTTGGTGTAGCTGGAAGAAAGACGCGCCTCCGTGTGCGTATCTACCTCACCTACTAGAAGAGTGCCTGGCTGCTTTCGCCCAGCAGTGATGCAACCTGTGCGACCTTGACCAATCACTCATGGTAATCAACACCTCGGGACTTCGGAAGACGGTGGTTTTTTTTAAAGGAACCAAAAAAAAAATATTTAAGTTATCATTATATCTGCTTTTCTTTCTTATGTGTCGCCCGCCTCCCCAATGTCATCCGAGGAGGGGACTCATCTAAGTACAGCTTTTTCTAAATTAGGAAGGCAGCTCTTTTAGGCCTCTGGCACCAGCCTAGCACGCCTAACACACCTAAAACACACCCGACAATTGTCAAGAATCGCACTGTAACCTAGTGCCTACAAGGCCACACCTCCTACTACCGTAGACAAAGACACAGTCAAGCCGCTCCTTGACAACCAGCCCCTGTGCATCATCAGGTCTACACAAGCCTGCCGACGCAAGCCTTCTCAGAAACCACTCGCAGACAAGTCCTCGTCAAATTTCTAGATTCAAAGCTGTTTTATCGTCAGACAGCGAGGCAGTCTTCGATATCGATGGCATCCCCGAACCGAACTAGACCAATCGACTTCACTCGGCATCTCCATCCCGTCTCGATTTCCGATCTACAAAAGTCCTCGAGTTCAGACCAGCCGATATACACAGCCGAAAAATTTCCTCGCAAACGTCCCAAAGAGCTCTATTCACCTTCACCGTGATCCAGCGAAAGGCACGTATTTCTAGAGTTAGATATTGGGTCATTGTTCACTCCTCCGATACAAGCTTCTCCGCCCCAGCTTCTTGGAGCACACACTTCATTAACATGAACCGACTGTTTGCCTTTCAGTGCCAACAAGGTCTGATCCTCCTCGGCGAAGCGTCCATCTGAATAGACCTTGCGAAAGGCGAATTAGCGAGAGCGTGTCCACTTGTAAGTCACAGTGGCAGGCATATTCATGGCTAATCCAACAAAGGCACGTCTGGGAGCGCTCATAGGCTTGTCTATCGGAGCTCCCCAAGGCAGGAAACTATTTGTGCAAATGCCTGACCGAAAAGCCCGTGGTACTTCTGCCTTCCAGACAACAAGGCAGGGCACACCAACGATTCCCCTTATCCGAGCCGATCTCTATAGACCATAGAATGGTCTTTACCTCAAGAATCTGTTGAGATGAGCTTTCCTTTGTCGTCTAGGCACCTATTAACTTCTGGTGTAGTAGAATATACGCACCTGCCGGGACAAACGGCTGCGTGAGTTCCCCTGATTTGCCTGGTAGCTTATGTCTTCTCTCATGGACAGTCAGGGTGCCCACTCGCGAAGGGTTGATTCACACGAATCACACACATGGACGGCATGTTTGCAACTCTCTCACTCTACAGGCTCCCCTCAAGGGCGCTTGACTCACCTGTCTCCTGCTATTTGGCGCATTGGAACCTCACCTTACAGGAGGTAATAATCAGCCCATGAACAGCCTGTCCACTCGAGCTGACACAGACGTTTCCTCTAGCTCGTCAAGAACTCGTTTATCCCTAGTACTAGCAACGAAACAATACAACCTCGTATCTTCGAACACGATTCGTCGTAAACCGACACCGATACAATCAGAAGAAACCCACGTTTCGACTTGTGCCTGCCAGGAACGAGATCATAGGTCCTTAATAGCCGCTTGTCAAAGCTGGCTTACCGGGGCTAGCTAGACCGATTTAAGAAGACAAATCTTTTGGCAATAGCCAACTGGTCTGATCCGAAAAAGACCGCTGAAACCAATGGGGTTATGCCCCTAACAACCTCTTATACGAATGCCCTTTGGTTGTGTTTCAAGGAGCTCATAGTACAGTTGCCTACTGGGCTCACATGCCTCCTAGGCATTGTGGTACTTCCCTTCCATCTTAGCTCCCGGCCAGTTGGCTCGCTAGGTTGAACTACGATTTGGCGGGAACTTGAAGCTAATAAACCTTGTCTAAGAAGGGATTCTATTCGCTCGACGACCTAGACGATCTGTCTAGAGTTACGCTGGTGGCACGCCTGCACCCCTTTTCATTCCTTCCGCGACGCATCTCTCTGCTCTCAATACCGAAAAATTCGAGCTAAATGTCGAGTTTATCTGTAGGCACATGCGGTCTGGCTCGAAGACAAGCGGCGTTACGTGACGGTTTACCTCTACATCCCCACGTTACCCGTCCCACCAAACACATCTATCCGAACCCAGGCGCCAACCTAGGTCTTAACACTTAGACGTACTACGAGCACTGTTGTTCTATGCATAAGTACCTTGGAAAGCTGCACAAGCTACTTGCAGGTGAGTCTCTGCACAGCTCGCTCTGTCACTCTTCCAGACGTGTTGACCACCTGATCCTCACGTCCGCTAATCTGTCTGCTGTCAAGCTTTCAGAAGTGATCGTGGGAACTCAGGCCAACGGACATAATATTCAGGCCAAATCTAGAGACTAACGCCTTATGTCTAGGAAGAGCGATATACGATGGCGGTACTCTGATCTATGTGATAAGCATGTTTTGGCCGCAGATCTTGAATTCTAAATGGAACAAGTCTATCAATTGCGGAGGAAGGAAAAACCACATTAGCATTTGGTGCCTGGGTAAATGAACATGCCATGAAGCAGGGCAAGCACAGCTAACGGAGAACAGAGATGAAGGGCCCATGCCCACAACTGCAAATCAACGTCGTCACTAACCTCCCATTGCCTAGTTAATCACCGCCACCCTTGAATAAATCGACAGATCGTAAGTGAGAAAGTAACTACCCACTCCTTCATATACGGCAATACCTACTGGTGAAGCACTGGATCCCGTCTACTCTCCGGGCGTTAAGCTAGTAAGGGGCCGATTAATAGCGAATCCCGGCTGTTGTGTGTATCTTGGCTTTTGTTTGTTTGCTCCTTAATGTGGATTATAAACGCAGAGCTTGCTAGTATTATTCCAAGGTGTTGCACAACGCTTGATGATCCCCCCCCCCCCCAAACAATATCCATGGAATTTAGTGTGATTGCCCTAAAAGTTAAGACATACTAGAAATTCTTTTTTCCCTACTGTAATTGAGATTCCTACGTTTAAACAATTCATATGTTTTTTTGGGGGGTTGTACGTAGTTCGTTGTATAAGCCTACCTACGAGAATGACGAAATACTCACTTACCATGAGAGGGAGGTGCTCGAGCTATCTTTTAGAGATGGAACGGTTATGGTTTTGGAGCAAGTCGCCCTGAAAACATGATCGGGATACAAAACTTGCGCGTTCTCTCGTCACGTCGAGGCCCATCGGCATGGTTCATTTATTTAGCAGGAGATTCATGTTTCCGAAACAATGGTATACTAGGAATTAGCAAAGCCTCGGATCACAAGAGTTTTAGTTCGTGGCATGGAAGCAAGAAGAGCTGTGGTCCCCAGAGACCGAATCTCAAGGGGCAGAAGAGTGATTGTGGCAGCCGACAAAGAACAAACAACGGCCGGCAAACCACGCCATGCAGCCTAATTAAGTGTTTGTCTAATCATGAAAGGACAAATTTGGTTTACTACGTTTAGGCTACTTATTTATGACTATCAATATGGTATGGCCAGCTGGAATCAAACAGACAAACAGGGTGCTATCATAGGCTCAATATCGGTGGCACTTTGGTCCAAGCAGCGAGATGTGTTATAACCTTGATCATTCTAGTAGCTCATCTTTCCCGGATCTTGAACTAAGATAGAAGCGTTGGTCGGTACTCGTGCATATGACGTGCGCTCAATATAGGGATATTGTCCCCCTTTTCTTAGCAACAGACACGTACCTGAACTCTTCTCTCCAACCCAATGAGTTATTTTCTGAGCTCTTGGTCACAGAAACCAACACTGAACTCTGACGGATAGAAGCTATACCGCATGGATAGGCTTAGAATCAAGCCCTGACTCAGGTAATAACCGATACTCGGACGAAGCAGGAAGTCTATCTACTTTGGATATCGTCTACATCATCTCCTAGCTCTCTAAACAACTTATAAACCTATCTCAAGTCACCTGACGATTCCCATTCTGCTTTACTTCAAATTCTGTGGCTCTTCGTTTTCTATCTAGTATTTTATACAGCAACATTCTTCACTATCGCGGCATCTGGCGTGCTTTAAGAACCGCCAACAGGAGCCTAAACCACTCAGCTTAATCCTAATTTTGCCATTTCTCTGCGTTCATTCTCAATTTGCGCCATTGTCACAGGATCCCATATGTGGTTCTTCAGTTCCAGACGTTGGTATAGAAACCGGTCAAAATGCGAATCCTGGATTTCGTCCGAAGATTCCAGAAGTGGCTGCTCGTTAATCTGGAGCGGCAGATTAATTCCGTGAAAGGCAGGAACGCCCTCCCAGAGTTCGAGGGCTTGATCATCAACTGGTACATACTTGCCTCCACCTACTCTCCAAGTAAGGGCTGCCTGGTTTTGCTGAACCTCATACCGCAGGAGACAGGCGGTGCCGGAACGGTGGGAGCCAAAAATCTCCATCAGTCTGAGATTTGGCAGGTTCCTAGCTGCTTGTGCTGCGTCATATATCGCAATCTGAACATAGTCACTGCTTAGATCTTCTTTGGAAAACTCGGTCGAGCGAAGACACATGCGCTGGAGGTTATTCCATTTTATGGTCGAGAACGCAACAGAAATTAGAAACGCGGTTGCGTGTAGTTGGTAACCGGCACAGAAATCAGAGAGTTGACTAGAAGCTGAGCTACCGGTAATGGCCCTTGCCAGCTCCTCTGACTGGGTAAAACTTAGACGTGCCGACCCAAAAGTTGGAATTGTGTCCTGGGTTAGAAAGAGCCCTTTTAGGGACGAAGGTAAAGCGGGCATAAGCCGGTGAATAAAGTCTAGTAAGTTAAGAGATCAGTGTCAAGACAATATCGGGTTAATCTTGTTGTTCTCCTACCTTGAATAAAAGCGCTTTCTTTTTCAGAATCGACTGCATGTCTTCTTTCTAACCGGAGCCACTCCAAGGCCATCAAACTCTGTTCCAAAATTTGTGCAAGCGATGCAGGATGGATACTCCTGTAAGCGGAGCGACGAAGAAGAAGGCCCTTTACTATCGGAGCCTTTTTTAGAGCGTCAGCTCCTGGTAAAAGCCGGAGAGCTGTCCCATATACTCTTTTTACCTGGCCAAGGAATTCAGCTCCATGTTTAATGTGGCATTCTGAACCGGAAGTTCGACGAGCATCACAGTCGTGGTGGTACTCTCCCAGGTTTGGTGTTTTGTCGAGGTCTTCCTCAGTTAAGAATGGATACTTGGCCTCTGATGTGCAGGAATAGAAGCAATGTCCATTGTCACTGGGTGATATTGCACAGATTTCGAGAGTCAGACCACGGGATATATGCCTTGAGCAACCATGAATCTCAGGCTTCCAACAGGACAGTACCCCAAAAAGGTTGCTGATACAAGACGAAAATATCTGGTTATTTCTTTGATAAAATCTGTTAGCAATCTAAATGGGTCGGGACTTCGGACAGGGCATGCTCAGCTCACGCTTCGGCCGTTTCTTCACTTTCCTCCGTCCCACACACATCGCAACCATATTCCGGCAACTCGATTCGAAGCCATATGTGTTCTACACAGCGCAGCCTCATAGGTCGGCTGCTAATAGCCATTTGGAATGTTGGAATGGTAGCTTCACCGAGCACCAGGTGTTTGAATGTGTATTCTTCGACAACTGGCTGCCACCTTCGACACACAGTCGCGAGACGAGAAATGTTGTAGCATTTCCCATCCCCTGTTGGAGTATAATACCATAGAGTGCGCTCTTCTTTGATTATCTCTTCTAGAATCATGAGGAGGATCTCTGGAGGAAGTAGAAGGCTGGCCATTTCTTCGGACATTGCAAACCCGTTGTTTCTGCGATCTTGGCTTGTTTGTCCGCAAACGTATTTGTTTACTGCAATACGCGCTGTAGCTTGAAAGATAAACTGGGATATTCTTTGTTCTGTGCCCAACACCAAAAGAGAGGAAATGAAATGGGAGGAAGCCTTAGGAAAGTGGCGGGTTTTTGTGTGGTGTGCGGGTGGAGAAAAGTTTCATCGAAATTCATTCATAGCAGGATAGAGTTGATCCTACCATTCTCGGGCACAAGTTCGGGAAGTTCCTTTTATTTTAAATTTTTGAGGTCTTATATCCCGGGCGATTTAAGTTGTGGCTGAGGTTGGTGGCAAGCGTTGAACAGTAAAGCATTCGCATGAAGTTTTTGTCAGCAAATGGCACGACAGGCGCGGATCGGAAGTAGCCATGTATTCCTAGTATTCGATGGTTTGGAATCAGGGACTGCTCGTCATTGGCTTTACCTGCTGCCTAAAATTAAAATGTCGTTGGTTGCTTTCTCGGGACAACAATAAATCGATTAGGAGGAGAATACCTTGGTCTGCTCTGCTGCATCCGCCTTCATCCCCCCCCCTTTTTCTTAAACAACCGAATGCGGCTCGACCTAGACTTTCAGATATCCTGTCGCTCCGCTTAATGTTGATTTTGTTTCTTTGACCTTAGCTTGAAAATGGTACTCTTCGGACTCTTGCGAAAATTGAACATCTGCTGCTGTTTGTATAACTTGACCTCGGCTCTTCCTTCACCTCTTCTGTGCGACTGCTTTATACCCCACCTGAATCTAAGCTTTCAATAAAAAATAGAAATTCGAACTCGTGACTAATGACTCCAAAACGGGTGATTAACAAGCTTGAGGACTTCAATTGCGACAGCAACCATGCATGCTGCACCCGACTCATCTTAGAAACTTGCCACCAAGTGTAATATCGAATCTATTTCGTTGGAGAAAAAATGGCCTCAGCACTCACTCGTATCTCTTCTAGGCGTTCTTTTCATTCACAAGGGCATATCTAAACCGCGGCCTGCCTGCTTTCAAGTCGAGGATGGCTTGGTTGGCGTCCTTGAGCGGCCGCAACTCTATCCAGGGCTTTACGCTCTTCTTGACCGCCAAATCGAGCATCTCTCTAATGTCCCCAGGTGGCCCAATTGGACTTCCTCCGAGCTTAATTTCGTTAGAAAGGAGGGTGAAGACATTGATTGGAGGCAGGGCGCCACCATCCGGTGCACTGTGACAGGTCAGCGTCAGCCTAAATACTTTAACTTCCAATCCGCAAAGCTTACCCAACTTGAATCAGACTGCCTTTAGTCTTGAGAAGTTTCAAGTACCCATTCATCGGCATCATTTCGCTCGACACCGTGGATATGATGAGATCAAACTTCCGCCTATATGTCTCTTCCCAATTTGACTCGTCATCGGTCGCGATATACTCATCGGCGCCGAGTGAGAGAACCTCGTTCCGTTTCGACTCTTTCCTTGAGATACCAGTAACCCTATCTGCGCCGAGAGCTTTGGCAAACAGGATACCAAAGTGTTCTAGACCGCCAACGCCTGCTATAGCCACCGACTTGCCAGGGCCACACCCGTTCATTTTCAATGGTCTGTAAACGGTGATGCCCCCACAGAGCATTGGTGCGGCATGTTCGGAAGCCAGTTGGTCAGGAATTTTGACGACAAAGTGGCCATTCGTCCGGTTGTAGTTTGAATACCCCCCGTAGGATATACCCATGTCGTCGGGGTACTTAGCAGCATATGTATTGATCTAGCGCCAGCGAGTTAGCTTTGCTCTTATCATCAAAGTCATACTTCTCCCATCATCAGAGAGAGCAAAAGGGCTGGCCTACGTTAACATTGTTGCAGGCCATCTCTTCTCCCGCGGAGCAGGCAGGGCAATCGGGCTACAAACAGCTGAGGGACTGGGCACCGACGCCGACGAGGTCGCCAAGTGTGATGTTCTTCACGTTGCTCCCTACCCGGACAGCCTTACCGACAATCTCGTGACCGACACAGCAGGCTAGAGTGCCATGATTAGCAAACACATATCTCCGTGGTAGCATACCAGGCTTACGGGGATGTAGACTTACGGTAGGGTACCTCTCCCCATCCAGAAGACAGAGTATGTAAGTCGCTGCCGCACATGCCGCAGTGCGTTACTTCGATGTCAACATCATCCTCAGTCCACTTCTTGGGCTCGAAATCTCCCCATTCCATCTTTCCATTGATGCTATCAGGACTTCGCCCAAGCCATCCTTCAAACTTATAGTCAGTGGGTGCCATTCTGTCTTTGATGATCGAGATAACCTTGCGGGAGTTGATGTCTAGGAGGTAGAAAAGGTGCCTTGGTAAAGTTTAGGGATAAACAAACTGAAGAGTGAGGCTATGGAAACGTATGTCAATGAGCAAGTCCACTTATCTTATATACGCGGTACTTAGGCCGTTGATTGTATGTAGTGTTTCATCAAACCTCTCATGTGTCATGCTAGCTCGCGGACGTTGGAGATAAACGGACGGACATGTATTCGGGCGCTAATGCAGCTGGCTTACGGCCACGGTCCACCCTTTGACGTATCTAAACCAATGTTCAGCTACCGGTGGTTAAGAACAGCCAATTAGCTATGGCTATTGAGGGATCAGAGCTCAGTGAACTCAGGGGCTTGCCAGATGCGTCTTACTCCGAAACTTCAGGATTCGGCCCGGAATGTCAAGCAAATCTGCTGTCGGACTTTCGAATTTATCTCCCTTTGCGTAGACTTTGAAGCCTATGATGTGTCATCGAAGCCTGTACAAGAGTTGAGAGACAGCTCAACAATATTGGGCCAAGAAACTGTCAATCAACAACCAGCATTGATCGTAGAGGCCGACAGACCATTCTCCTCCGCCATCCACGATGTATCTGATTCGCAAGAATGGTCCATCTTCATGGCCTGATTCCACTCGTTGGGTGGGTGAATCAGTCTGCGGGTAGCCAGCCATTCCGTAAGCTATCCTAATCAAGTTACTGGTTCATTAGTCAATGGCCATGACGATAACTCCCCACTTCATATGGTCCAGCAACGGCTGCCTCGTGGCGATCAATATCGTCGTCACTATCGTGATGGGTAGTGGTCTGACCAGGTACATTTGTGTGAGGACATCTCGATGGACTTCCAGGAATGCGCCGACACTATCATCGCTCGTGGTACACAATGATACGTGATAGCTGGATCGAGCTGTTCGTTGTGGCTCTTATCGACAACTGTTGACTTGCGTTACCGGGAACCGGTAAATCTCTTTCTCCCAGAGCGATCGTTCAAGGGGTCTCTGATAGGACTCTTTTCCGACGGCGAGACTCGGAATGTGGCAGCGGATGATGTCGGTTCTTGTGTGAGTCCATTGCAATGATTCGTAGCAACAGCAACTAAAACCTATAGAAGCATCAGCTCTGAAGTTTTGAGGCGTAGTTGACATCGAAGTAATGTACAACATCATGTTCAATCTCGAGAAGGGTAATTTCTTTCTCGCAAATTCCACGGACAAAGCCCTCAGCCTACTCAGGAGACTCCAACCCGAGAAGGGAAATTCTTTGCCCATCGCCTCCGACTAACCATGGCAATTATAGGACTCTTGTGCTGTAAAAAGTGATGCTACTCCCAGCAGTCTCTCCGCCGTCTGTTCACTGTGTTGTTCCGTCGAGGCAGCACAGGATTGGGAAACGATACGGCGCTCGTTGCTGTTCGGAGCGTATCTCGAGCAGGGATTCTCTGGGACTGCTCAGGTCAGAATGTATTACACGAACAAGAGGAGGGACCAATAAGCCAGTGATTGAAACAGATGCAAGGATATGGGTAACTTGCTTGTGTTTGGTAGCATATACGCCCTGATCGATTTCTGCTGGCGGGCACTGCATGCGACTTATGGCGGGAATTCATAGGCTCGAAAGACTAGGCCATAATAGCGATTATTCGTCAATCAAAATGCAACTTGGATTCGCGGGTTTGGGGCATGGAAGGTTGATGAACGTTGGAGACGTGGTTGGTGTTATGTTTAGGTACTAACCAAAGCACGTGTAGGTAACTGAGTTGATGACGGCACCGCGGCGGCCACCACCCGCAGCAAGTCACTGGCTGTCCACCCTTCTTCAGACACTCCATATTCCTTTCACACCCATTTGCAACATTCCTTCGTCCTTCATCCGTTTCACTATCGGCGCACGATTGATATATCACGAACCACCATTGCATCAACAGCTCGACTAATCACGACTGCCCCTACCAGCCCGTCAGGAGCTTCGATCCAGTACACCGAGCACCTAAGATGGTCGGGTTGGTAATTCCAACCTCTGTTCCCATAGCAGTGAGTAAAACGTCCAATGGGCTAGGCTAGGAATTGTTCCTATTCGATGACAGGTCTTTCCTTCTCCGAGCAATATCGCACATCGAGCCACCCGAAACCTAGCGATCCTCAATGCTTCGAAATACCTACATACAACGCATGACAGCCTGATGCTCCCTTTGCAAGGCCTAACGAGCCACAAATTCCCCATCAGATGCTTTGTTCTAAGGCAACCCAAAGCGATGTAACGCCCGAGAATGCGAGCAAGGCCACTTCTAGACATCCGAGCCGCGGGGCAAAGCTCATGCGACGTCAGCGACATAAATCAGAAGACACGCCAACGTTCGCATACGTCTATCACGGACGATATTACTCGCTAGTATACAACTCATGCTCTACTATGACGCCGCTTATCCAGACCTGATGTAACTATAGTACTTGTACTGATAGGAGTGGCACGGCACTTTCTTTCTCGACCTCCGCAAGATCGAGGGACTTTGCTCGTTGGATAAGCACTGTATCTCAGCATCAGATTGTCAGGGGTGCTATTTACATCCTGTTGAGTGAAACCAAATACACCACTTTCTCCTGACGCTCACAGCTGGACTCATCACTTGCTACCATAACAATTACGACAATCTATGCGAGCTGGTTACCTTAACTAGCTCTACTCTTTCGCGCGTCCAGAATACGACCAACGATTAACGATCGGCAATTCAGTTGATATAGAAAGATAAAGAAAAGTGGAAATAATTCCATCAGCAACCGCATGATTTTGACAGGTCAACTGCAGGCGCCCCCTTTGGGCCAGTCGCTTACATTCAACATGCCAAGCGGCGGCCCCCAAAGCTCAAGTTAACCCAACAATGCCACCATACCTGCAAAACAAATCACACCTCCCTTGCCCCCAGGAGGGGTGTATAGTCCAACGAAACATATCTCATTGGACGCTAGTGCAGCTCAAGGCGGCGGGTTCAGGCGTTATGAGACCGAAACAATTATCACGTGCCAGTATATTGCGACCGATGACGAGCCAAACTGGGAAGAGACATATAGGCAGAGACTTCGTATCATCGTATCCAGAGTGCAATTTCTACCGCAAAACAATAATCGCCCGCTGTTATCTAAAAAGGCGGGGGAAGGGGGGTTGACTCCATAGCTACGTTAAATACGGAAACAGCATGGAACAATACATCAATTTTACACCAATATTCTTCATGAATAGGATACTCTCTACCTTGGGTGTGAGAAGGAGGCGATGCTTGTCGGTGCCTAACAGTGAATCACGGATCTGAAAGCCATAAAGCCTCACTTACAACTGACTCCACCATGCAGCAACTCAAATGCCACCAGCGCAGATGACGTGAAGGGAACACAGAAACCTTAGATCCTAGTACGATCGAAAACTCGGTTGTGATTCATCGGCACGTTGTACGTCACTCCTCGTACAAATGGCTTGGCAGACAAAGACGTTATTCACTGAGGCTCCAGCTCGATGCACATGATTCATCTCAAACGAGAAACAATCCTCCGCATAATGCGGGGCTCATGTAGTATATTGATGGGAAACGTTTACCTGACAACCCCAACGCTTCAAAAGCTAATGCATTATGCACCAAACCGTAACATTCGCTTCTCCTCAGATGCAACCTCAACAGCCCATTATCGACTATCCACGCCGTGCCAAGCCATCAAGAGAAATCATAACATACGTGGTTCCATTCAAGTGGTCAGATAGCCTTGATAGCTGCGGTGGAGACGCTTCTGACGACTCGACAATAGGGACGCTACTTTTAAACTCAGACTTTGATCGTCTATCACCACTCGCCGCGCCCCCCACGCTTCATGAGAGCAACTAAGTATAAATTTGGCCACAGTAACTTCTACCCAGCCTAACCAGAAGACTTTCATCGACATAGCCTCCACTAAGAATTCCTACAATGGATCGAGTTGTACTGCCCTCGATGCTGAAGTCAGCCCTTCTCTGGGGTGGGAAAACCATAGTGTTACTGTGTGTATTCCCATTAATGGGTGTGGTATGTGGTATTTTTGTCGCCGCAATGTTTTGAGAATCAGAGACTAATGACACACTGCGAGCTTCTTCAGTTTCTACTGTCGGGACTATACAACATATACCTCCACCCACTCGCCAAGGTGCCAGGTCCAAAGCTCTATGCTTTTACTGCCATACCGCACTTGTATCATATGATCAAAGGCGACTGGCATATGATACTCAAGAAATTACACGATCAGTATGGCCCTGTCGTTCGCTTCTGCCCGATCAGTGTCTCCTTCACCAATTCTGAAGCCTTTAATCATATATATGGACACAAGAAGGCTGGGGAGAAGCCCTATGAGAAAGATGAGACGTTTTACGTTCGCCCACGCTCGACAGAAAACATCTCGTTTACCTCCAGCGTGGGGCATCGACGCCATCGACGCTTGATATCCCATGCGTTTTCGGCAAAGGCACTCAGCAGCCAAGAGCACATCCTGAAGCAGTACTGTGACTCGTTCGTCATCAACCTTGAGAAATACTCCAAGCAGCAAGGCGGCTCTGTGGACATTGTCCGCTGGTTCAACTTTGTTACATTCGATCTGATCGGTGACTTGGCGTTTGGGGAGTCCTTTGGTTGTATGGACCAAGGAGGATACCACCCCTGGATACACATCGTGTTCAGCAGTATCAAGTTTATGATCTACCATTACGTTCTATCTCGGCTTAACCTGCAAAAGGTTGTCCCCCTGTTGCTTCCAGCCAACATAAAGAAAGGCGCCGAGGAGCATCACAGGTTCGCTCGGGAGACTTCAATGCGAAGAATGGATGCAGGTATCAAGGATCGACCAGACTTCATGTCGTACATCCTTCGGTACAATGACCACAGAGGCCTGACCCCAGAGGAGATATTCGAGAACGCCAACTTCCTGGTCCTCGCAGGTAGTGAGACTACCGCTTCGCTCCTCAGTGGCCTTGTTTTCTATCTTCTGAAGCATCCTGATATCTACGACAAGCTTGTCAATGAGATCCGAGGCGCGTTCAACAGCCAAGAGGAAATTTCTCTCGATGGAGTCGGCAGGCTTGACTACATGCTCGCTGTTCTCAAGGAAGGCCTCCGAATGTGTAAGTCAACCCCCTTTCCCCAGCTTACTTCTTCCGGCAGGACTAATTGAACCACATCAGGCCCTCCAGTCCCAATGGAACTTCCCCGCAGGGTACCCGAAGGTGGAGATGTCATTTCAGGCTACTGGCTGCCTGAGAATGTAAGTGAAGCTATCTTGCGACTTTGGGCCGTCTCCGAAATACCACTCAACTAACCTCCGCGTAGACAAGGGTCGGCGTCTCCCATTTCGCAGCCTTCGTGTCGTCCTCAAACTTTCGGGATCCGGAATCCTTCGCCCCGGAGCGATGGCTGAATGACCCCCGGTACGCGGATGACAAGAAGGACGTGCACAACCCGTTTTCGTTAGGCCCGAGGAACTGTGTTGGTCACAAGTAAGCGTCTACACTCCAAAAGCCCCGTCGTCTGCGAGAATACTAACCAAAGAACCAGTCTTGCCTACGCGGAAATGCGGTTGCTCCTTGCTTATCTGCTGTGGAACTTTGATCTGGAGTCGGGTTCCCATGATTATGAGAAGTGGGCGGATCAGCAAGTCTATGCCACATGGCAAAAACAGGATCTCAACGTCAGGTTGGTTAGGGTTGCTAGGGGATAGGTTGTGGAACTGCCCCCCTTTGTTGCTGGAATGAAGTCTGCTCGGGATTGAATGGCCACTGGGTAGGATTATACAGAGAAATTGATCAATTTGTTGTCTGTGTCTCAAACAGCGCGAGTCGCCTGCCGTAGCGAGGTTGGAGTGACGGTGCCGGGATGCATGTGTGATGCGGGTTGAAATCCGGAGAAAGATCCCATTTAAAGACCTCGCTGGGACTGTTGCAGTACGTCACCTCCAGCAGTCGCCCGACTGTCCAGTTGCAATTGGGAAAGACCTTCCAGGGCGTAACAGCGGTGACTGCCTGCCCCCAAACTGCCGCCATGCCCCGCCACAATGGCCAGTCACAGTGCATCCCTCCGCTGTCAGCCCCCTGAATGCGCCGCCGCCAGCACCATCCAACCCCAGTCCAGCCGCTGATGAATGATCTGTGCCCCTATAACGCTTGCCCTGGCTTTCCCTCAGCCAGCGCAGATCACCTCGAAAATCACCACCTAAAATTCCCGTGACGAGCATGCCGCCAACGTAAACGTCGTCTCTTACCATTTTCCTGGATTCACAGCGTGGACCTTCGATATTCACGGACAATGACCTGGATTGGGCCGCTCAGCTCGGTCAATACTACATCCATGCTACGCTGCAATCAATCCATCCGATGTCGAAGCCAGCCAGCCCCAGTAACATAGCCTCAGCACTCTTCGACTTCTTCTTTGATAAGAATGCGACTATGCTTCCAGGTTGAGCAGTTTTCAGGTATGAAGACCTAGATACGTATCCATCATGCAGGCAGTTTAATAATCAACTCTCAAGTCTTCTGCCACCGATGACCACCTACTGTCACATCCGTGGCTGCGCAACCGAGCCCGACTCGGCTGACCACCGACTCGCGCATAAGTGCTTCCAACCGAACCTCGGTCACTCTGTTCTAGCTATTGCGCCACTCGGCATCGAGGATCTAGAACTGAGGTTACCGTGCCCGGGGCTCCCAAAGGCCAATGGCGATGTTTTCATGGCAACTCCACACGCCGCCAAAGGGACCCAAGAAATAAGTGGTGGCTTCTGCAATAAGTAGGTCGCAACCATCCACTGTCAAGTCCTGTGCCGCGCCAAAAGCCCCCAATCTCTTCCTGCCTAATAGGTATGGCTTGTGGAATATACCGCAAGGCGGCATCGTGACATTGCATTCGCTGACTTCAGCGCGTAGAAGCACAGGAACCTTTGTCTTGGACGCAAACCCGCGCGCTCTAGCTCCCGATTCGCCTCTGCCGACCCAGCTTCCTAAAGCGACAGTTACCTTTGCCCATCATTATCAATGCGCGCCGGAGCTTGGACCCGGGATGACAGAAGGCCATGTTGAGCTGCCTCATCTTGTCCAATGCCAAGGCGCCAAACCCCCTGTCATCTTCAGTGATGCGACGTGAAATTCAGGGGCAAGGAACTTTATTAAAAAGGTTGTCCAGATGGAGTACAGAAGACGTGATCGACGGTCTAGGCAGCCCGAGGGAGCGTCAGGGAATGGATATATTTGAAGAGAACGCACCCCAGGAAGGATATTTTCGCATCAAACTCAGGGCCACATTCTTTTTGAGTGACGATTAGTAGAGTCCGCTTGCTCCATCGTCCGTCCATTCTTTATAGCCACAATGAAGTCTACAGTTCTTCTCGGCCTGACTGGCCTAGCGGCAGTTACTGCCCACCCACACATCCACTCCCGTAATGATGGCGGCAAGGATGCCGTTACCCTTGGCAAGCGTGGTGTAAACCTCGACCAGTACCTAGATGTACCAAGCCTCGGATCATACACCAAAGCTGAAGCCGTCAGCAACGATGCTCCCTCTGTGTCCGGCTCGGATTACATCCAGGTTGCTACAGACCTTGTCAAGAAGACATTCCCAGACCTTACCTTCCGTGTTGTCGATGATCACTACGTTGGCTCGAACGGAATTGGCCATGTCAACTTCATCCAGACCATCCACGGTATTGACGTTGACAATGGCAACTTCCATGTCAATGTTGCCGCCAATGGCAAGGTGTTCTCTCACGGAAACAGCTTCTTCACTGGTACCCTGCCAGAAAAGCCTGCCAGCCGCAAGCGTGACTCTGGAGAGCCAGTCGATGCTCTTCGAGCTGCTGTGAGCACCCTAAACCTCCCCGTCCAAGTCAGCCCCGACGCTGCTGTGTCAGCGAGCTTGACCGGCACTGATGACGTCTACACCATCACCGGAGTCTCGGGCACTACTACAGAGCCCAAGGCTCGCCTCGTCTATCGCCAAGACGATGCGACCAAGGTCACCCTGACCTGGCGCATCGAGACCGACGTGGTTGACAACTGGCTGCTGTCATACGTTGATGCTGAGACTAGTTCCGAGGTCCTCGGCGTCGTCGACTACGTCGCAGACGTCTCCTACGAGGTTTACCCATGGCACACTAGTGACCCAAGCCAGGGCGAGCGTGTCATTGAGCAGGATCCTTGGCTTCTCGAGGCCTCCCAGTTCGGCTGGATCAGCGATGGGAAGACCAACTACACCACTACCCGTGGTAACAACGCCATCGCCCAGATCAATCATGACGGAGGCGACGAGTACCTTAATAACTACCGCCCAGACAGCCCGGAACTCGCCTTCCAGTACCCTTACTCCTTGACAGAGCCTGACTACAAGAACTACGTGGATGCTTCCATTAGCCAGCTGTTCTTCACTGCCAATAAGTTCCACGATCTCCTGTATCTTTTGGGTTTCACAGAAGCAGCGGGTAACTTCCAGGCGAACAACAATGGCAAGGGAGGCAGGGAAGGAGATCATGTTATTCTGAATGCTCAAGATGGCTCTGGAATGAACAACGCCAACTTTGCTACCCCCCCTGATGGCCAGAATGGTCGTATGAGAATGTATATCTGGAACGCCTCTACTCCTTGGAGGGACTGCAGCTTTGATGCTTCCGTCGTTCTCCACGAGTACACTCACGGCCTCTCTACCAGACTCACCGGTGGACCCGCCGTCTCCGGATGTCTCTCGGGCACAGTTCCAGGTGGTCTGGGAGAGGGCTGGTCCGACTTCTTCGCCGTCGGCGTCGGTCTGAAGCCCAACCACACACGATCCACCGTCTACCCAATGGCACCATGGATCTCCAACAAGCCTCTAGGCATCCGCCCCTACCCATACGCCACCGACTTCAACGTGAACCCCCACACCTACAAGGACATCGTCGGCCTCACCAAGGTCCACTACGTCGGCACCGTCTGGTGCACGATGCTCTACGAGATCCTCTGGAACCTCATCGACAAGCACGGCAAGAACGACAACGACTTCCCCACCCTCGACGACAAGGGGAAGCCCGACGACGGCCGGTTCCTGGCCCTCAAGATCGTCCACGACGCCTTCGAGCTGCAGCCCTGCCGGCCCAACTTCGTCTCCGCCCGCGACGCCATCCTCGACAGCGATCTCGCCCTCACCGGCGGCGAGAACAAGTGCGAGATCTGGGCCGGCTTCGCCAAGCGCGGTCTGGGACCCAAGGCGACTGCGAGCCCCGTCGCCGAGGATTTCGAGACGCATGCTGATTGCAAGTAGGTTAGGCATTTAGAATTCAGGAGAAGGAAAGGAACATGCACGGCCAAAGTACAAAGATCTACATCAAAAATTTTAATTGCAAATTTTATGACTACATGTTGACGAACAAAAAACAATGAGAAGTGTAACTAATCTAACCATGTGCCCCTGAAATTTCCGAAGAAAATACTAGGTCTGGCTTCGTGATTCGTGATGTCATAACTTCCCGCACAGAAATCCCGGTCGTAACAATTGAAGGCATAATGAGGCACCGCCGTAGTAGGGACTGGGGCTACTAAGTAGAATCGAAAACAGCGCTCACGTCTGATTCACTCTCCGTTCGCCCCCTTTCCCATCGTGCTAAAGCATGAAAGGCCTCATCGCCTTGGTTAACAAAAAGCAGCCGCCCTGATCTGACCTTGCCTCTTCCTGGCAGGCATATTCGATATTAAAACAGATAACGAGAAGAGAAACCTGGTGCGATGACAGGCGGCGAAAATGACTGTCGAAAACACTATTAGGTGAAGGTGTAGGTAGGTGGTCGATGGGTCAATATTAATGAAAACATTTGTGAAATCCGTTACTGGGTGTTGAAATTCCTCTGTACTCCTTTTTAATGCATGGCCATTCATTTTCATTGCATCCAATGCCGATTAGGGATCTTGATGCGTTCTTTCGTCTCTTTTTTTTATATTTTCTTTTAAGCATAGGATTGCTTGAGAAAATCCGTTTTTGCTCCTGCGGTTGATCTTAGGCAGTAGATGACTGTCTGTATTCGGGCAACGCATCCGTCGTGTAGTTCTGGTCTCGGCTAGTCACCGTCTATCAAGATGTCAGTAAAGCCCGGAACGTTATCTGCGTAGAGAACAAACATACATATTTCGGCAACGTAGGGCTTGTCAAATCCCGGACAATAACTTGGAATGGAAGCTCAAGAGTCGATCCAGAACCGGATTCCGCCGCCAGTCCCACGCGAAGGGCGTAGGACCGGGAGATCAGGCAGGCGTTGAAAGTGGGCAGAAACGTTGTTTTCTCATGATTCGGCATGTCGAGGGAGAGGGTAATAGTAGATAGATACTTTGTGGTCTCCGAGCCGGTGGGGGTCTCCGCCTTTTGCCAGGTAGACTGCGACAACTGGACGGTGACCTTCTTCGACTTGGTGCAAAGCACTACATGAGGCAGCTGGGCTGCTTGGCGACCATTCTCGCCACTTTTGGGCGCAAGGTGAATTTGGGCGTAGGTGGTAGTCGTCTGGACTGCGGCCGACTTTACCTGGATGACAGGAAAGACAGTGGCCGGCTTGGCCTTGGTGACGAACTCGAGATGCGCAGTGATCATTGGATTGGAGATCTTACCGCTATCACACGAGAGATAAACCAGGGTAGGCGGGATACCGGCGATTGTCAAGGAGTCTGACTTCGCGTAGGATCGGCCCAGTTTGATTTCTTGGATGGGATCTGTGGTGCAAAGTGCATCCTCTTGGAAATTAGAGGGGAGCAACCTGACGTAGCGGTGAGATTCGACCAGCTTCAGCGTTTCAATATCTTTGAGAGCTGGAGTAGCTCGGACTCGAATGGAGTACTCGATTTTCGCGGTTTCGGGTGATTGATCCGTCTTCTCCCAATTCCCTATTGTCGGGGGAAGCTCGAGATGGGTTTCGTGAATGCATGCCTGCAAGGGGCGCTGCTGGGGCACAACGAAGAAGAATGGTATCTCGATGGTCTGCTTGGCAGCGAGCCGCTTGTCCTCTGGGAGAGACTCGGGCGGAATTGGCATGGACAGTTGGAAGAAGGTAAACTTGGTAGGGAGTGTGTCATTGAGTATGCCACTTGTTCTAGTAGTGGAAGTGCCAAGTAGGTCGATCTGGAGCTTGTCGAAATCCACATCGCGGATGGGAGTGATAAGCACCTTCCCGCGGATTGCTGAGCCTGTTGCGTAGATTTTGGCTTCAAAATGGTTCTCGATTTGGATGTCGACCTGAAGAGGAAGTTTGCACTTGATACCAAGCAGGGGCGCGGACCACTTGGCCCAAGTCCCGCCAAGTGCAATCATAGCCATGGGCTAGAGTCGAGAGTGACACTTTAAGTGGCTTATTGATGCGCAACAAGGGAAGATGAATCAACTTCCAAGCTCCTTCATCGCGTCTGCAGTGTGTAGGCGTTACAGGAGGCTGTAAGAGGGAAGAGCGCGTCTCCCGCCCACGTGATCGGACTCGAAAACAAAAGGGTTCTCACCTCATCTCAGATCTGAGATCACTTGCACGATCGGATCCTGATCCGATATCGGTAGGGTCCACTTTTAGCATAATGCCTACACAACATTCACATGGAATCTTGAATATTGTGCATACTCCCACAGTGATTCTAGCTTTAGATTACCCAATTCTGAATTGCCAAGTAGGTAGCATTTTGGATTCCCCTTTAAGACTGGGATTGTTATGTATATCCTGCCAAAAGTTTGGTCACCCTAAATATTCAGCATAATTCTTCTAGTAATAAACTTGAGCGGCATCCGTCGCTGTCTTTCTCTTCTGACAAATTGCGCAATGTTTCTCTCGGGTATTCCTCAGCTCATATGCAAGGAGGCGGGCTGGCACCTCGCCGGGCAACCCCTAATCGAACCGGTAACGCACTTACGCCTATGGAAAAAAGACACCCATCGACTTTGATTCCTTATGACGTACTACTTCCAAGATGCCTTTGAATTACTCAAAATCCAGTGTCATTCTACCTTCACGCAGGCTTCTCGCCTGAGATCCTCCGTATTCGAGTCTACGAAAACACGACCAAAGAGATTCGGCCCTCCGCTAGCACCTTCTTCGGAGGCCTCCCTCTCCTGTGAGTCACTGCATAGGTAACTTTCTTTCAAGATGAACCACATGCCTCTCTTCGTTTGGGTTGCTGTAACCGCAAGGACAAGGGCAAGGCTGTCGAGTCGACCAATTACTACATTTCTTTGTATGTCTCAGATATTTGTATTGTCAGGGACTGGAATAGGAACATCCGCATCTAACTTGCTTAGATTAATCCCTAAGGTGTGTTCCTCGCATATGCCGTTCGGAATCGCTCGGTCGTTGGAATTGTCTAACACTTCCGTCGATCTGGAACCGATGGATGGGTTTTGGAGGTTTTTCCAGCCACCTGCTGCCTGTGAATATATCAGTCACCTGTTTTGGGGTAATTACTCAAGTCTTACTCTAACGTTGCTCGAATACTGCATCTCTTCGAGCAGGTGTGGCATCAATGCCAAGTCAGGAGGCAAGGTGAACGGGCTTGCTGTAAGACTCTTTGGGACCTGATTCTGTTCGAATTCAGGCCGCGTAATCAATGAAGCGAAATCTGAGTAGTCTGATTGGTTGATACAGTGTGTATCTTACCGTTCAAAGACAAATCGTAGTCTAACGGCCGTGGGAGACGCAACAATTGCTAGTGTCGGGGAACGCTGAGAAGGTGGCCGCAGATAACGCGCTAACAGAGCTTGAACAAAGAAGTCCACACCAAAGGTGTAAGAGGAAAGCCATGCTATGTTTACACGATTGTGAGGGTAAAAGTAAATGCCATGCATCCATGTCATAGGCCTTGAAGGCAGACACATGGGCGTCTTGATGTTCAGCCTAAGCCAATCATTGGATGCTCTCATGCTTGGTCCACTTGACGGACCTCGGGAGCTAAATTGGCCGGGAGGCTAGTGTGGCGCGGGCCGTGGCTTTCGAGTCCGTTGCTTAGTCACATCTTTTGACTCGCACTCAAGGCCCCAACACCGGAATCGAGTCTACTTGATCCCTACCCTAAACCCCCAAACATAATTGAAATAAGCGCATCAAATATTGAACATCAACACTTTATCTTTACGGTGCCAAGTTTTCTGTACTAATTCTTACTAATTGTCTGGTCATGATGCCCTGATTTAGAGAAAATGCGATGATAACTATTGCGCTACCTTCTTCCATGTCTTGGGCCTTTTCTCGAGAGCTTCAATCCCTGTGCTTAAAGTGGGCCTCACGAGCGATGAGAGCGACAGTCAATTCGAGAACCAAACACCCTACTTCGGCACTGCCACCTCTTAAAAGCAGCCTTCCACCTATAAAATTTCGGTTGGGAAGTGTACTGTCGACTGGGTTTTGCCTGTTGATCCACGAGGAAATTAACGTCGGCTATGCGCGCGTATTTAGCCAGGTGGACCTCCCGAGCGAAGCATAAGCCAGCCACACCTAAAGTCAAAGCCCTTGTCCAAAGTATCAACAGACTACCTGCTGGGGCGTCTACTCTACGGGACTTTTCAAGACTTTTCAGAACGCAAGTACAAAGTTTTGACGTCAGTATGTCTGGACACCCAATTGCTACGAGTTAGCGGCCTGCTAAACTACTGATTTAGCTCATCAGCCGCTCTAGACTAGACAGGTAATGTCCGAATCGCCCCCAGGTATTCAAGTTCTCACTTAGCCTCAAAGGTTGAAGCAGGCAAAATTATGGACACATTGAAGGAGTTGGTACTTTGGTGTGAGCGACAACCTTAAGTCTCATCCTTCTGATCTCCCTGCCCTGCCGAATATTCCGGATTGAATTCATAGGTACGTTGCACATCGTAGTGAACTTTGGCTCACTGTTTAATTGCTTGTGTATTATAGGTAGCGTCCTCTCGGTCGACGTGATGAAAAGCCTTATTCGAAGAACTAGCCTAGATGTGGCTATTATTAAACTACATGTAAGATCCTCTCGACTGCCTAATTGTTCGATTGCCGGTATGAAAGGAAGCCAGACCGCATGACAACATGCCATGAGCCCACCATGGCCGAGCCGAAAGAGGGAAGAAGGCGATTATGGTCGCTTGGAACATGAGCTTGTGGGTGGGCCGTCTGTTTTTAGCAACATCGGGAGATTGCCACTTCGATAAACGGTAGTCGCCGAGCGGATCATGGACCACTTGGCTAATCTATTTGCGACAACGACGCCTCCAAGGCGGGAATTACCTGCATTGGCTCAGCCCAAGTGGGTATGAGCTGGTCTGCCAGTGCCTTGCTGTAATCGTATAAAGAGTTGCGAGCAATCGACGTGTTCAGGATGGATCACCAACGACCTCATCGCCCGTCTCAAATCAACCGAGCCAAGCCAGCCCTGATTGAAAGATGATTTCTCCCATGAGCCTGATCGGGCGGCACTTCGCCGCCCTCCTGCTGGCCACCTCCTCCATCTTCGACTTGACTGAGGCCGCCACCAAGATTAAGGGCGGTGCCGATCCGGCCATCATGAAGAGCGGCGACTACTACTACTCGGCCAACACCTGCGGCAGCAACAACATCTGCGTTCGCAAGGCCAAGACCCTCGTCGGCCTCGGCGACGGCGCCGAGAGCAAGACCGTCTGGAGCGACACGGACGGCAAGGGCGAGGTGTGGGCCCCCGAGATCGCCATCGAGGACGGCAAGACCTACATTTACTTCGCGGCCGGCAAGTCGAGCAACCACCGCATGTACGTGATCAGCGCCGACTCCCCCCAGGGAACATACTCCAAGGAGGCGAAGAAGATCAACCTGCCCGATGACCAGCCCGCCATCGACGGCCTCTACTTCAAGTTCGAAGGCAAGCGATGGTTCGTCTGGTCCGGCTGGACTCCCGGCAACTCCGAGCAGACCATCTACATCTGCGCCATGAAGAGCCCTACCGAGGCCACCGGCAAGAAGTATGTCATCTCGCAGCCCCGCGAGGCCTGGGAGAAGAAGGCCGGCCTCATCAACGAGGGACCCGAAGTCATCGTCGACCCCAACGGCCAGTTGCACATCGTCTACTCTGCCAACGGAAGCTGGGCCAGCAAGTACTGCCTAGCCGATCTCCGCCTCAAGAAGGGAGGGAACCCAACCTACGTTTGGGACTGGTACAAGTCCAACGGCTGCCTCTTCGGCTCCCACCAGGACAACATGATGAAGGGCTGGGACGCCACTGTCCAGATTGATGGTCCCGGCCACCACACCTTTGCCCTCGCTGACGGCGACACCACCAAGAGCCCTGGCGGAAGCAGCAAGATCCCCTTCGTCTTCCACGGCGTGCCCAAGGGAACCGAGTACAAATGGGGCAACCGAAACTGGTACACAGGTTCTTTCGTTTGGTGGAGCAAGACCACCTACAGCCGTGCCAACGTTCCCGGAGACAACAAGGACACTGGCTACAGCTTCAAGTTTTTCGAATAATTGTATACTCTTTTATCTTTCTTCCATTTGTTTGGGCCACTTTGTATAGACAGGGCTCGCCTGAGAGGCACATGATATCCTCAAGCCAAGCGCGGGTGTACTTTTAACTATGACAATCATTTAGCGGATACGTTGAATGGTTTAAGATTCTATGTATATATTTAAATAGAGTATACTTACCATTAAAATGGAGTTACAATCAAGCAGAATTGGCTTGTAGAATCTGGGATCCTCCTTTGCAGCAGCTCGAAACTCGCACGGCGGAATTAACTCTTGAAAATTTCATCTATCTGCGCAATGGTGATTGAATCCCAAGGTTGGTAAAATTGTCAATTCGTGTAGTAAGAAGTGTCATATAAACAAATTGAGACGTTGAACTAGGCTGCCTCGAGGTACCCATCGCTTCTCAGGAATCGCTGCCTGCCGAGGTAGTTTTCCAGTGTGGTCTGCATGGATGAGAGAGAGTGGTACTCTATATCCTCTGACGTGCTTGGAAAGGTGACATACTCTAAGTCCACGACCATGATTCTCCTCTTGTCTGGTGCTAAGACGAAGTTGGAGATATTTGCATCTTCTTGAACTGCTCCCTGGTCTGCCATCTCCTTGAAGGAATCGCCGAGGAGCTTTTTGCTCTCGCTAAAAGACAAAATGGCCGCCTCAGGTTGCTCTAAAGTTGCCCCAGGAAATTGCTGTAAAATCAAAGCCTCTCTGCCACCAAAATTCGTCAATCCATAGCACCTGGGAATCGTCAAACCCTGGATAGGCCTGAGCCGATGTATGCTTGGTGCTCAGCTTTAAAGAGTTGTTCAAACTCCTTGTCATCCCCATACGCAACGTCTGCACCCTTCTTCTGGCATTTTAAGATAACTTGATTAGGTAAAAACCACTCAGGCAAGTAATGATGAGCCCATGAGCAGATCGATGGGGGGAAAGACTGAAGCAGACGGAGTAGAAACCTGATTAAGGCCGATGGAGGCTGCAAATGTAGAGCGTACACGTTGGGCGTTCTATGGCTAGTAGGATGCCCGAATGCGTATACTAGACGAGTTCGAAACCGGAAATTCTAATTGGGAAAAATTTAGTAGGGGGTTATAGGATTGCAACTTGAAGCCATACCAGTGGTCTCAATGGGGAGACATTCTTGGGCTTGCCAATGGTCTTTTCGGTAACACGGTATCGTTCCGGCTCTCCGGGTAAGGGTCTGGGTTGCATGCGCGCAAGCAATTGCATGCTCTCTTCGTGCGACAAGAGTGGCATGGTAAAAAGCGATGGATAAATTGCTGGCTGTGATGGTGTTGGGGTTGTGAATGAAGAACCAGACGAAATCGTACTTCGCTTGGGTATGAGGAGCGAGGCCTTATTAATCAAAGACGCGGCGACAGATCTGCCTGCCTCAGGTACTAATTTTCCACGTAGCGCATGCTGGGTTGGTACCTAAGGTATAGTAGGGTGTTGGGCAGAACCTGCCTCCCTGGTGATAATGGCCAAGATAAGGCCCAGCCATTGGTTGATTGAGAAGTGGCGTCGCAGCAGGTCTGAAATTCTGCCCTGCACCTGAAAATATCAATGCACTTCTGTATATGCTGATGCTTTACTTTCTTGCTCCTCTTTAAAGAATATCCTTCGATTACGTTCTCTGCGACAATAGAACCTCTGTCCATGGCGGACTGCTGCCCGGTTTTTCAGCGAGCGCACTCCCGATGCGACATAACATGCTCAATCCCGGAGAGCCCCAGCCATTGACTGCGACAGGGACAGAGTATTGGATGAGATGGAATCTGCACATTCGACTTTGAAGGCTTGCATGCTCAGGTTTGTCATCGCCTGTTGCTAGTCACTCCCAAGCAGCCACGGCAGACTTGCAAACCTGGCGCCGCGAACCAGGGGTCAAGTGACATTCATGACACTCCTCTACCCAACGCCAAACGACAGATGCCGCTAACATATACCAACATACACACCCTTCTAGGCATTACAGAGACCTCCAAGTGGAGCAATTGTCCCCGAATGTGCCTCAAGACCGAAGCCAGTACCTCCGTCCTATTCCAGCCAACTGAGCCGAAACAACAAGCACCGGCGTCGGAAAAAGAAGCCTACACCCTGAGCCTCATATGCGCCTCGAAAAGGCAGTGGATTCCTTCTCTGAGCTATGGGTTGGTTGGCCTTACTGGTCTAGGTACATAGAGCGTCCTGTTCGTCTTGCAGACCATATTTTTCGCTTTATCGGAAGACTAAAAGCATCGGAAAATCTCGAGAATCCCAACAGACGTCTGTAAGATGTAGAATCGCATAGGGAGACCATTGGCTTGGCGATCGTTCGGGACATTGACACTGATGCCAAACGAGAAAAGAACGAGCTTGGACTGTTGATAGGATTTGTGGCTCGGAGCAGAGTCTACCTGGAACGCTTTCGTTTTTTGCAAGGTTCAGGCTCGAAGATACGCCAAGCAGTCTATAATTTGACGAGAATCCGCCTACATGTCGATCAGATGTTGACCCTTTCCATCTTCGGGTTTATTGCAATTTGATCGGGCGATATCACGTAACATGGAAGTAAGACTTTGTAAAACTTCAAATACTTTTCATTCTCCCGTCACAGCTAATAAGCCGTGGTGCCCATTACATCAACTATCTCACTAAAAGCTAACACTATGAAATTCACTCCATACACATGTATATTAGACCTACACCCTGAATTTTGAATCCCGAGCGATGAGAGCCCATTCACATGTATGTTTACCTAAACCCCAATTTTGATTGCCGAGCGGTGAGAGCCCAGCCACATGTATATCAGACCTACATCCTTGATTCGGATGCTGAGCGGCGAGTACCCATCACATGTATATGGGGCCAACATCCTCGATTTCGGATGCCGAGCGGTGGGAAGGAGATACCACCCATATTCCCACACACTTCTCCGGGACATAACCATCAGGGCCTTGCTCTGGAAACCCATGATACTGGACCTGATCTTGTCTACAGCCCAACGACTCTGCGCTGGGAAATTGCGCATCAGGCAGAAGCGCAAAGACTGCAGCAGACAGGATAGGAACCTGGCGAGGCACAGCCCTGGCCGTGCGGCCTAGAGTTGTCTGAATCTGAAATGCAAATGGGTATTAGCGCTATCTCGGACGAGTTACGTTAGGACTGCAGAATAGTTGACGTACCCCGAAGCCTTTTCCGTGACCCAACATGTTGAAAACGACGAGGACGGCGAATGTCTCGCCTCTGAGGGAATCCAGTTGCATTGAACACTGGTTGCCGTTGAGTATGCCGTGACGAGTTGATTGCCTGTTACGGTAATGAAAAGCGAGTCCAGTCCAGCTCCCACTTCGATCGGCAGATATATCAATTCTCCCTACTGACGACAGCCTTTTGCTTTCGTCCGCATTCATAAAGAAGAAAGTTTCACGATTAAACTCATGTCTCATGGCGGCCTCAACGTGGTGCGCTACAGAAGCATCGAATGTCGGGCTGGGGGGAGAGAGATAAAGTCGCGTAATCCCTTCAGCCAGGTCCAATGGGCGCTCGGTCCGAGTTGCATGCGACAAGACAAGCATCTTAGTTGACAAGAATGAACTGGCGTTCATCCGAACTTGGATGTCGTCCATACCCTCGCAAAATACCCACGTAATCGAATCCTGCGACAGATATGCCATGTTAGCTCGAGTAAATGGAGATCTACCTGGTGTAGAAGATTGAGAAAAATTGACGTACCAAATCTTCGAAAACTGTTGAATGGTACCGCAGATACGATTGCGGAACTCCGCTGTGCTGCGGCAGGCGCAATTCGAACTTATTCTGAGTCGTTGCAAACGTAATGCCGACAACTTTTCCGAATCGCTCAATAGAACGTGACAGTTCCACTTCCACTGTAGTCCAGACGGCCACTTCTAGGATTCTTTCGCCTGGGTTGAGCTGAAAGCATGTTCTCTCCTCCAACCACTGGCCAACAACTACGTCGCCTCTACCGCCCTCGTACTCAATCCACAGGCCGCTTATATGGTTCTTAGAACGGGAGCTTCCACTTTCGGTGCCCATAGAGACGCGGATACGGCGGATCCGTTTGAGACACGCTGTGGTACAACAACAACCTTCTCTCTGTTGCATCCACGAACAGGCATGAACCATGGCCGGTGTAGCAGGTAGGCTACTTCCCGGTCTGATGACGATGTTCGTTGATCTGTAGGGCTGTTCGAAATGCTCTGCTGAGATACTCATAAAGCGCAAGTCAGGGGACTGTTTTGCATCGGAGTTAGTTACGGCCAACTGAATTTAGGTTTACCTTGACCTCATGAAGGGTAAAAGCCTTACCTTGACCTCGACCATCAAGGACTCAATGGGGCCTCGGCCTTGCATGACCTCCCCATATCTGACGGAGTAGCCATTGGAAGCACCAAAAGTATAATGTCTTCCAAAGTTGGTCCAAACCTGGGCGACTCAGAGTTAGCCAAGAGTTTGCTCATTTTGGAATTGCGAAAATAACAGGAGTAGAGTGAAGGATTCCGAACATACCTGAATGTTGCCTACCATAGGGGTGTCGCTTAGCATAGAACCCTGAGAGAGCAACATAATTCTCTCCGAATTCGGCCCATCTATGACAAAAGTCTGGGCTACACAACTTATTGATTCTCCCCTCTGCCCTTTAGTCTCTTTGGTGCCGTAAAACAGTGAGTCTCCTTCCGCATATGCGAGTTCAAGGCCATATATGCCCGTGCGCCCATGGAAGTAAGCCGTGACAGAACGGAGAGAGGACAGCCTAGAACCATCTGGTCCCCCCAAGGGAATGTGGAGATTAATGGTGAATGCTGGTGGCAACGATGGTTGGCCGTACTTATTTGGTCCTAACTTAGATGGAATCTGGGGGCTCCATAGGACAGGGGCCTTCGAGATGGGTCTTGGAATGTAGGCTTCTTCAATGAGCTGGATCGAGACGGCTTTATATAGCTGGTGCTCTAAGGTTAATACAAAGACAATGCCAAGGGGTTGAAATGGGTACATACATCAAACCCAACAACGAACCCGATGACCGCGGATTGCGGGACCAGCTTTGTCGTGGCGACTAAACCAGGATATCTCGCGTTTCCAGTGCTGTAAACGCATGTTTGGCCATCATGTCTGGTGATGAAGAACTTCAAATAATGGATACCAGATTCAGAAATGAAGACATCAATACCCGAGATTAAATCTCCAGGCTCGATAGTAATTGACGTCAGGTTTGATGAGCTGATACAACCGCACTGTCCAGTGACGCTGGATTGACCGTCTGCGGATTGGACAGAAACTCGAATGCCTGAGACGTATGTACTGCGTACAAGAGAGATGGAAGAGATCTCTATCAAAGTTGAATCAGAATGGCTTACATTCTCCAGGAATGCGACAAACTCATTTCGAAGCCGAGTGCCCAGCGTGATATACTGGCCAAAGGGTTCCAGAGTGTCGTAGTGGTCGGGGAGCTCAGGGCATGTCACTCGTGTTCCCAGATGTCCGAAAGGCGAAATCTGATTCACAACCTCCCACGGGGGAAGATCGACTTCCAATAACGCACCGAGAATGGTGGAAAAATCCTCGAGGCAGTGCCAAATTCGCCGGCGATTCTTGAAGCCCATGGCAGTGCGATCGTCGTTGATGATCAATTTACACAACTGGTATACTTCCATCCAGTTTCGATGGCGTATAGCTGAGGATCTTGTAGGGGTAGGGAAAGAAAGGAACCCCATCTCTCGGCCAGGGAGAAAACGAGTGGCCCAAAATTCTTGAGGGAGATTCTTTGGGGCTGAGAGAGCAGCCAGGCGTGGGCAGGAAAGTCTCAGAGAGCACACGTCTTTGGATGGAAGCAAAGTAAAGACCTGGACGATTAGCTCGTCCGGAAATTTTTCAAACGTGCCACAACTCGATGGTGTGTTGGGTTGTTGGGGCATATCGGCGGGGACCAAGTCTTCAACAGCCTCCATCATACTCTCTAGTGATGGCCTTATGAAGCCTCTGCTGACTTCTAGTACTGGCGTCATCCCCAGATCTGGGTCCTCCATCAAATCCGATGTACCTCGGGTGGTTTGAAGTAGGTCAAGGGCACCAAAGAATCCATGATCGGGTACTAAAGCTCCATGCCTCGCCCATGGGAGGGAATGCAACACGTGGAAAAGTAGGACACCGACCCGTCTGGGATCTGGTTCAGAGCCGGTTTCAATCTTGATTCGGCAGAGTAGAAACTGCCAACAGAACTCGTGAATGTTAAAGTTTCTCACTTTGTCGATGGGGAAGAGCAAGTGCTGCAGCTGAAATTCTTCTTCTCCTACAGCATCAGCATAACCAATGTCATAGTCGAGGCGAGCTGCCACACGGTGTCGAGTAACATAGCCGAGGCCCGTTACTTGTGGAACAGTGTCTTCTTCGCGCCCATCTGGCCCGTGAACTATTTATTATTAGTATAAGGTTGGAAAGAAGCAGGTAAACGCAGAGAGAAATGCCATTCATACCTGATCGGGCGACTGTAGTCCAGTGCAGAGGACCTGGGGGTGGATGCTCGCCATGATGGTTTCTAAACTTCCCTGCGCAGAGGGCGCAATGCGGGATTAGGTCCATGGTTGTCGTCGCCATGCGCTCCAGCACAGAACAAACGAGTTCTTGTGAGGGAGATGAAAACGACGAGTTTTTTGCTCGCTGGAGCTGAGCTGAAGGAGAGGAGTCGGCTGAGGCCTGAGCGCACTTGCCCGATTTGAAGTGCGAGGCGAGACGAGGAAGGCACGCCCCAGACCGACATGATGTGATTTAGCGAGTCGTTGCCAGTGGCGCTGGTGGTTAAGCAGGTGCATACCGGTATAGGCAGCTTTACAGCACCAGAGGCCATTTGACGCCCCTGTAGATGTCTATCTACAGGACAGTCCGGTGATTTAGTGCTTGAGTCGCTGTGGTTCCCTCGAGGCTGGCACCGAGTGAGCTTGAGGTGGATGATGAGGTGACTGGGAAGAGTTGTGCGGTGCCTACATGCCATCTGTGTTCGGTGGAGTATCCTGCCGATCGCACTGCCATGGGCTTCAAGAATCGCCGGCGAATTTGGCACTGCCTCGAGGATTTTTCCACCATTCTCGGTGCGTTATTGGAAGTCGATCTTCCCCCATAAGTTGCAGTAGAGAAGCCGCATAGGTGCCTCAGGTATCTTGAATCCCTAAGACAAGCCGAGGTACATAGTATAGTGAGCTTCACTCTAGAAGTTAAGACGGAGTGCAGAAACCAAGCACCCGATGGCGATGATCAACCTTTCTGCCTTTCTGGTCTATTCACGTCTGATTGGAATATACATGTCTATTTTGATATCTTCTCCATCTATCAAGTACCTACAATTTCGACCCGTTCCTCCATCTCCTCGAGCAGCAAACCAGGTCTCCCTAGGCCTGGCCGTTCTGGACGAGAACATTGGCGGTGCCAGAAGGAACACCATTGATAACGCCCTTCAGACCTTGGTCCACGATATATCTGCACGCACCGGCGGCCTCGGTAGCCCCGAGACTCAAGTAGTAGGCGACCAAACCAGCAACGTGAGGGGTAGCCATCGATGTGCCGTTAGCATCCAAGGTCGAGCCGCCGGGCTGAAGACTCCTGATACCGACACCGGGCGCATAGACGTCGAGCAGGGCACCGAAGTTGGAGAAAGAGGCAACGCGGTCCTGGCTATCGCTTGCGCCGACAGTGCAAGCGGAGGGCTCGGAGGCAGGCGAGACAAGGGCGACATCTTCGGGGAGGCGGGTGATTCGGTTGCCGTTTCCAGCAGCGACGGCCAGGAAGATTCCAGCGCTGACGACGTTGGCTGCGGCATCATTGACGGCCTGCGACTTGGGACCGCCCAGAGACATCGAAGCGACGACTCCCTTGGGGCAGTCTTGGGTAGCCGCATGATCCGCGATCATGTCAAGGCCGGCAATAACTTGGGCACTATGAGAAGTTAGCATCTATTGTGCAAGAAGAGGGAGATGTCGAGACCAGGAGGTACGTACTATTCACCGTTGCCCTCGAAATCGAGGACCTTGATGGCGAAAAGCTTGGCCTTCTTTGCAACACCGTACGTGTTGGAACCGACTGTACCGGCGCAGTGAGTGCCGTGGCCTTGATCATCCTTGCCTGTTCCAATAAAGTCACCAGCCCAGGATGCACGCCCACCGAATTCCTGTTTTGACGTAAGCCGACACGATCCAGGATGGAGAACTTGGGCTACTTACGCTCAGCTCGGTGTCAATACCAGTGTCGAGAACATAGACACAGGTGCCCTCTCCAGCCGCGTCATCATAGGTGTAGGTGCTGGAGCCAGGCTCCTTGTTGGAGAGGCGAGCCAGTCCCCAGGGAGCACCGGTCTGGGTAGCGAACATGGTGGCCTTTTGGTCTTGCTCGATGTATTCAATCTTGGGACACATGTGAGTTGATTTCCCATATACTAAATCAGGCGAAGTCACTTACATCAGGGTTGTTGCGCAGAGTCTCGACCTCCTCGGACGTCAGGCTGGCAGAAAACCCTCCCAGGTTCTTGTACACATGGTCGGCGTTGGACGCAATGCTGGCGATGGCAGAGTTGATGGATGCGGAGGCTCCGTTCTTGACCTTGACAATGTACTTGCCCTCAATGGCCTCCTCCCGGGTGTAGAGAGGAGCACGAGTCGCAGGTGCTGCAAGTGCCAAGGGCAGCAGAGAAAGGAGAGCGGCAGAACGCATGATGAACCGGGTATTGAATTATCGGGAAGATGGATAAGTGTCCCAAGAGTGACGAGCAACTTCACGGGGGAAGACTTGGTCTATTTATGCTCTTGATGGAGCGCCACATATATGGTATTTCAAAGTAATATTTCAAAGCCATTTGCGCTTCACTTGCTCCCGTGGGGAAACATTCCGCCTTTTTAGGTATGTGACATTGAAAATGGGTTGCTATTTTAGGCTGGTGTTTCTCTAAGCCCAATCCTCTCGCGCTTGGCTTTATGCTTATTGATCAGGAGTGGCAGCCAAGGGGAATTGTAAGGCGGCTCTCTGAAGGATCTCGCGTGCCTGGAGATCGATCCTGAAGAGGAAAGTTGGCGAATGACTTGATGTTTTCTGGCCGTTGGGGCAGGAATCGCGAGTGCTCATTGGCTGATCAGACCTGCCCTGGGGCTGATGACTGCCGCATTGGGTCAGATGTGCGGGTCCAAACGCGGCGGAGGCACACACCATCGCAGAGCACCAGCCATCGCAGCGATCAACCCGGCACACACCCTACGTCGCAGCAGTCAATCAACCACGCGCACCAGCCATAGCCATCGCAGCAATCAACCCGGCACACCACACACCCTACGTCGCAGCAATCAATCAACCAGCGCACGCTACGTCGCAGCAACAGGGCATCGCATCAATCACCGCATCGCACAAGGCATCGCCGCCCATGGCATCACCGCAGCGCACACCGTATTTATTTTTTGGCATGTCGGGTCTGGCATCTTAATTGCTGTTTTTACTGTGTACTTCAACTCCCTCGTCCTCCCCAGCACAGCGCACATTCCTACGATCCAGCTTGGTAACCCCTGGCACACTGGAGTCATGCCAAGTCTTGCTCCCGACCATAACCTAAAAGAAGCCCGACTCTGACCTGCCAGAACAGGGAGTTGATGGGCACAGGGAACTGCTTCGCCACGAGTTAAATATGAGGCATGGTGCGATCCCGGAGATTGAGTGTGCTGATCACTAGAGGTGTGTACGGGTGCGCGCCAATAAGCTGCCTGCTCTGGTGGGTTGGGGGTTGCTGCAGCTCCTGCTCGACTCTGCCATTACTCAATTGCATCTACCTCTTTCGGCAATCTAGCTCACCCGCCTCCGAAACCTTTGTTGTCAAAAGTCCGCCGATACCCGGCCATTGGAGATAGGCGGGGATACGAGGGGCGTGCCAAGATGATTCGAAGAGGCAGTTCGGACAGCTACACCTAAACCTTTTATAAATACAATTGATAAACACGAGGGCGGATAACTAGGACCAGGTTTCATTGATAGTTGTGGCAAGTGATTAGAAGCGATATGGCTACCAGTATCTCTACTAGTCGAGCCCTATTACCATGAAGACCGTGGTGGAACTGTGCTAGTATTATAGGTGGGATTGACTCATCAACTAGCAGCAGCGGTAGCGATTACAGACATCTTCTTCACTAACTTACCATCTTGAGTTGTCTAACTCTAGAATTGTAATAATAAAATAGAGGTTGATCTAGTACTAATGAAAGGAGACATGTAGACAACCGACTATGCCTACTACTGGTCTCTATTGCATCACCAACTCTCTAGCTAGGTCTTGATTCAATATGATTGGCAAACATACTCAGATACTTCTTATGGACAGGACGCCTGGATGAATGCTAAGTACATTCGTATTATCGGTGTGCTATTATCGTTGTGAATCTAAATCTGCCGTCTATATCTCCATCCCCAAATATTAGATGTAAAGAAATCCATCCCCTTAGTCCGCCAGACCCCTTCTCTACTCCTTCACAGATTGTTTAAGGCAGCTGCCTCCCAGTATGCGCTCAAACACTCGGCATTCTCTAACAAGAGCTTAGCCGCAGAAAACGCTGCCGACTGTGATAGTGTTGGTGGAAAGGTAAGAAGGACGGTCCTTTGAAAAGGAAGCGCCAGCATTCCCGGTGCCATCGGGGTTCTTGAAAGGGGTGCAGCTGACGGTAGTGATATCGGTTCCGATAGCCCCATCAAGGATGAGGGTAGAGACGGCCTCAAGAGCTGGGTGGCCGGTGAACATCTTGCCAAGAGGCACGAGGATTCTGGTGTCGGTGTGGTCACCAGTGACGCCTCCGAGGTTCTTTCTAACGATGATGTCGGCGTAGCCGGATGATCCCTCAGTCTGAGCTGGGGCGGCCATAGCCAGAGACGACAAGGCAGCGACAATGAGAGTGGTAGCGACACGCATTTTGGTGATTGTCGGTTTTGGACGGAAAAGGCTTGAGATGGTGTTGTTGAGATGTTTTGAATGATGGAACTGTGCTTCTACTTGGCTGATGTGCTTGATCAGATTGAACAGTCAAAGGGGGGAAATGGGCGAGTATTTATCCATTGTTAATTACGACGGAGATTGCCAAATTGAACAATTCATCGTCGGTCATGATGAGCCACAGCGCAGATCCTCGTGTTGAAGAATTCAGAATGGAAGCCTGCCCGAGAGAAGAGCCAAAGAGTCGAGGAATCTCGTAGTGAGGATGCTTTGCCATTGAGACCCTCGCGAGCAAAGTCAGCACTAAAGCCTCATCAACCACTCACATGTGGCTTTCTGGCTGGTGAACGCAGTACGCACGGCGCTTGACTGGCTGTCCCTACTTTTCAGGGCAATGATCAACCTCGTATTCATTCAGTTGGGATATTCTTGTCCTCGCATAGCCACAGCCGCCCTTACAGGTGCACGTTAAAGAGGGGAGGCATGTGAATCTAAAGCCAATCTTCGGTATATTCTTCCTCTGCTATAAAAACAACAGCCGATCAATGTGCGGCGCCGTCCGGAAGGAGTAATTTGTCGAACATTTGGTTCTCTTGGGGTCGGATCCGAGATAGTAGATCGTGTCGGCTCCGGATTAGTCATTCGTAGCTCGTCACAAGAACCTGACCAAGATGCGCCACCACTTTTGGGAGCCATTCATGCTGTGCATAAACCTGCAAAAAGGGCTATGTAGAGTAGCGGAAATTGAACATTCTTACAATTGACAGGCGGATTGCACACGCAGAATCGCCAGCCATCGCCGGCATGCAAGTAGCTGGACGTCGTGTGGCATGTGAATCAACTTTTTTTCGGCGGCCCAATCAGAGAGGAAATTCAAGCTTAAGCACTCCGGGAAAAAATAGCATGTTCTGGAAGCGGTGCCAGCATCTGAGCTTGTCGTTTTTGGGCGGGCTGAATGCTGCGTCAGCAATGCCTTTGGTCCTGGTGCATCAATGCAGACGGCACAACGATGACGGAGAATAATTTACGGCCCATCCGTTCCTCTGGGGTGTTTCAAGTGTGTGATGGAGATTAACGACGGCGACAATCCGATCTCCGCATGGCTTTACCGTCCGAGGCGGTTATGTGCGAGGCAGCGAGACGCGTTGCAATGAGCTGGAGTCGTGGCCAACGGCGCACTCTATCCTCAATTTTTTCCTCTGTTCTCAGTTTTCCCTCTTTTCTCAATTGTTTTCCCAGCCACCGGATGTCGCCCTCAGCGCCATGTCTCAGCATTCAGTGATCTTAGTGGTTGCAGTAGGTGCACTTTCTGCTCTCGATGCTGAGGCTAGCTGCCACACCGCTCATGTGATAAATATTTACCAAGACTTGCATGTGCCGTGTCGGTAGATCGCTCAATTGCATTTCCCTTGTCCCAAAGTTGCGGGATTGGGCTGCTTGTCTCTTACGCCAGGAGCAATAAATAGAATAAAATATTCCAAACTGGCCCGTGGCGCTCGCGAGGGCCGAATCTCCCACTACACGGGCATTGCATTTCGAGTCTCGTAAAACAGTGACGCCGGTAGCTTCCAAGGGCATCCCTACTTCCTGCTCAGACCTACTTGCTGCCCAGATCACCTACGTAATTCCAGGCAGAGTCCAGCGCACAGTCTACGGTCCCGAAGTAGGTTCTTTCCACAGAGCCTCAAAGCCCGTGCCCTCTCTAGAAGAAACCCACTAGCCAACGCAGTCGAAATTCAGGCGTGAAACGGTCCTTCCTTCCCAATTAACCAGTGTCATGCACCCCAAATCATCGCAGCTGGCCGGTTTGGTCCCGTTTCAAGCTTGGGAAGGCGCACTGGCCCCATCTGAGATCGCCGCCCGCCTGTCAGTCAAGTAGGCTCCTGCCAGGCCCAACGCTCAAGCCCCTCAGGACAGTCTGAGCAGGAGCTGAGCGTCAAAGCGACCTGTCGTGAGGGGCTACTATTAGAATATAAGCCATTCAATAGGCTCTCTGGCCAGACTATTGTGTCTCAGACTTGTCACCGCCGCACACCACTCCGAGTCCAAGCAATCCTGGAGAACAAATGCAGCTTGTCCCCCCCCCCCAGCTCTCCAGATTCCTAGCTCTCTTTGTTAGATTTCCTCCCTTCTTAGTCCCAAGACAACACAACGCATTGCGGGTTCAGACCAAGCAAGTATGTCGCCCGCTGATCCAGCTCAGCTGCCTACGCACATGGCCCCGACCGGGTTTGCGGCCACTATTCTTGCTGTTACCTGTGTTCTGGCTGGCCTTTCATTCATCACTGTTTCCCTGCGTACTGTGGTACGATTCTCTGATAAATTATTCGGCCTTGACGATGGCCTGATGCTTCTGGGTTTGGTCAGTATTCTGTCAAGTGCTTCACTACTTGGCAACCAGCCCTCTGACTCCCATCTAGATCTTGTTCCTGGCTGAATGCGGGGTCGTCTCCTATGGCACCTTCGTTGGGCTTGGGTACAAGGATGAGTCGACCGACGATCACACAAAATTCGAAGCCGTCAAGTATGTCATCCTTTGGCAGATCTTCTACGTCACGTCCCTATGTGCGATCAAGTGTGCCATTTGCATCACTCTCGCCCGGATCGCCGAAGCTACAGTCCACCGGTTTACAATCTACGGCATTACCGTCTTGACTTGTGCGACGTCCCTGATCGGTTTCGTCGGCATCATGATATCCTGCCCCCCAATTTGGGCCGACTGGAAGCCCGGCACCGCGATATGCACATCCAACCAAGTCATCACCTACATCAGCTACCTCGTCTCCATCTCGAGCATCGTAACTGACTTTGCATGTGCCATTGTTCCCATATTCATCCTTTGGAGCACCCAGATACGAGCCCGGGCCAAGTTCTCGGTCGTGGTTGTTTTAGCACTCGGTACTTTGTAAGTCTTCCTGATACATCCGTGCTGCCAATGGACTGTGTTGGAACTGGTTAACTAACAAGATAGCGCCTCTGTTACTACCATTGCGAGAATACCTTTTTTGAAAGCCTACCGCGAGCCGGAAGACAACTTCCTGTGTAAGTCAAACGTCAGCCAACCCCTTAAACACCAAGCTGACCACCACATGCCTCCAGACAAAATAGGATATGTCATCATACTGTCACTGTCCGAGTGCGGCATCGGCCTCATCGCCGGATCGCTGCCCATGGTCCGCCGGCTCGTCCGCAAGTGGCGCGGCCAAGACGACGAGTCGAACGAGACCTCGCGGCTCACGCCCCTCTCATTCATGACCTTTGGCGGCAGCGGACGCAGCCGCCGGAACACCATTGCCAGCCTCGGTCCCCGCGGGCGAAACGGGAACCCTGCTAGAGGCATCTCCCAGGCCACCGTCCGCGCAGCTCAGCCAAGCGAGCAATGGGAGAAGCTCGAGAGCGGCTCGGGCTCAGCCCGTCTGCCCACCCCGGACAAGGACAAGGACAAGGGAGAGAGCCACTCCTCCATTCTCGAACGCCGGTCGGTCACCATTGAATACGAGACCAGGGGCCTGCCTGGACTGTCCGAGACCAAGAGCTTGCCCAGATTCTCTAGGTCGAGCTGGGCCAATTCTCTGAACAGGTCTCGCAGCAACAGCACTTGATGAGGAAGCAAACAACGGAGAGAAGAGTGCAGGTACGAATTAGATTATTCATGATGTTAATCCCGCAGAGGAAACGAATCAAACTGTCGACACGGAACGAGATATGACACTTTTAGGGATGTTTTGTTTTTTTTTGGCATGGAAGAGTCGAGGCGAACTGACTTGCTTTACTCATTGGAGGGCGACTCGGATCAGGAACGAGAGTTATTTTTGGGACGAAATTGCAATTGCTTGAGACCATGATTGGTATTGAAACAATAGATCTATCCTTATGTGTGTGGTATAACCAGATAAAAAACGCCGAGAAATAAACAAACCAGAAGACTTTATATAATAACCAAACTATGTGTTCTTTTAATGCCCCGTCTATGTTCATCAAATGCGACATCGGTGTCGCATTGTAGTCGTGAAAGTCCGTTTTACTCGTACTTGATGGTGTCGTACTGGCTCTTGGCCCTGATGCGGCGGCCAAACTTGAAAAGAACCCATGGGATGGGCATCATGGCGATGGCGATGAAACCGAGGAGGCTGCTCGCCCATGCGATATCAAGCTTTTGATACACTACAAAAAGAGACAATGTTAGCCAAACGTCACCAATTATCGATTCGAGAAAAAAGAAGACACTTACTCTGAACGGTGAAGAGGGGGAAGGCAGCGGCGAAGCCGTATCGGGCCAGGCTGTTTGCGCTGGCGGCGCTGGCGACGACATCCGGCGTGTAGGCATCTCCCTTGTACTGGAAGGTGCTGATGAAGATGCAGATGTTGCCCCAGGCGAAGAAGATGATGGCGGCGGCGGGACTGGCCCAGGAGACGCTCTCGCGGGCAGACCAGCCGAACCAGAAGAGGCCAATGGGAAGCACAATGCTACCGACCATGGCGCCGTAGAGGCGGTGCTCGGGGGGGACGAGGTTGGGAGGGTGGCGGGCAACCTGCTTCTGGTAGAAGAGCTTGTCGCAGACGACCATGGTCACCAGACCCAACACGCAGCCAATAATGACGGCAAGGAAGACGAGGCCGCACTGCTTGACGGAGAACTTGTACACCAGGGTGAAGACGTAGGGAACGGCAGCGAAGAAGCTGAACAAGGTGCCGAAGCCTAGGGCTACATAGAGGCATACGCAGGTCACAATAGGCTCGAGGAAGAGCATACGCACAGGGCGGAGAACTGAGCGGAAGAAGAACTCATGAAGGCGCTCAGATACGGAGGGGGATTCGGGAACCGGGAGACCGGCCTTGATGGCGAGACGGCGGCGGATGATGGGGTGGAAGGTCTCCTTGGAAAGGAGGGTGAAGACGAGGGCAACGGCGGAGATCATCAGCAGGCAGTACTGCGTCCATCGCCAGTTGTGCTCGACTACGGCGTAAGCACCAACAACCGGGCTGCCAGAGTTGTTAGTTTCCAAAACCAGTTGATACGTGAGAGGGGTAAGAGATGTACGAACCCAAGACCTGGACCGAAGAAACCCATCAGCACGACGATGGCGCTGACTGGGCCTCGCTTTTCTGGCCTGAAGAGTTCACTGCATGATCCGACTGCGATGGCCATGGTAGGGCCCCAGCAGAAACCGGCAAGGAACCTAAAGATGCACAGGGCGGCGAAATTAGGTGCCTCAGCGGCACCGATTGTGAAGAGGGCACCGGTAAGGACACATCCCACATAGACCCATCGACGTCCCAAAGTCTCGGAGAGCGGGCCACCGATGATTGGACCGAAAGCCAGGGCGATGACATAGAGGGTGAGGGTGAGGATGATGGTGGTGCGGCTGGTAATGCTGAAGTGTGCTCCGAGATAGGTGATGGCGGGACTGACGATGGAGGCGGAAATGGAACTAGAACAACTGTGAGCGTGATGACATCTCATAGTAGACTGCAAATATATCTTACGCTAAGCACGATACCAGTGAGAGCATGATAACATGGATTGCCTTCGTCCCAGAGCCCCAGTTATAGGGGTTGGCCGGGTCCTTGTCCCAGATCTGGTCGGCCGTTTCCTTCTCTGAGACTTTCTCGGGGAACTTGTCCGGGACGGGTGTTGCAACTCGAGTAGTGACACCGCTCGGTGCTTCACTTGGTACGGCGGTTGGTACCTCGCTTTGGAAAAAGTTCGGAACGGGGCTCTGTACGGGGAGAGTGATGACCGACTGGGACTCGAGGTCCCCAAGTTTGATAGAGGAACTCATCTTGGGCGTGAGAAGAGATGACCGAAACTCTTAAACAGGCGATGGATGGCGGAGAGCCTCTGGAAACAGACGAGCTAACGACTGCGGCAAAGTGTCTCGTCTCTTGTTGTCGATAACGGCCATGTACTTGGTTGACGGGAGAGGGCCATCAGCTTAAATACCAATGAATGTCAGCCCTGAAGCCGTTGCCAGGGCCAGAACCATAAAAAAGGGCTGCGGTCCCTCATCCCGGCAACACGGACACATCGCAACTCGCAAAAAGAGGATCCGCCATTACCAGACTAATAATACAAACGTGATAACCATGACTAGTCGTCCACGTTGATCCATGTTGTAAGATGAGGGTCTTCCTAGATCCGGGAGGGATTGTCGAGCTTATGTCGGGGCAGGGGTGGGAGCCAAGGGCCCAAGGCCCTCTCACCCTGGACACGCTCTGCGCAGGGCTGAAACCGCATTAAGCTACCGGGACCGAGGCTGCTTTTCCCGCGACCAAATTTTACTTGGCTCTCCTGGCGCTTATGTTAGGCCATCTATGCTTGTATAAGTGAGGGGTGAATATTACCTCAACGGGTAGCTTGCTGCGCTTGAACGCTTGGCCTGAGCCTGGGATTGCCCCTAACTAACACCACCAGCTGTGTGTGTGTGTGTAGCCTTGGAAGGATGTCTACAGTGGAAGGAATTACTAGATGTGTGGTGGTGTTGAGAGTCCGTCTGTTGGTGGTGTGTGAGCCGCATGTCTAGTGGCGCCTAGTGATGGCACCATACATATGCGTATGCACCATGGCCACCATCAAAAGTCCTTGGATCAAAATAAATAGAAGCAAAAAAGAATGAAAGAATGTCCACAAAAAGAAGCGCCAGGCGTTTGGCCGAGGCATGTGTACGAAAGAAGGGCAGGAAAACAGGTCATCTCGCACCGCCACGGTGCCTGTTGGTTGCGCTCATGCGTTGTTATCTCGGGTCGGTCAGCAAATATCCACAGAAGCTTCGAAATTTGATGTCTGGATGGGGGCCCACGGCAGTCTAGTTGCGACGGCTCGGACTCGTAGAGCCAACGGCGCTGGGACGGTCCACTGCCGGCATTAACTGCAGCAAACGAGGTCTGAAAGGATGAAACGAGAGCCAACAACCCGCGGCAGCCACCCGCAGCGCCACCGATTTTGGCAGATTGTTGGCGCCCAGCACGTGGGACCATCCGTTAATCTGGACGATGAGTGAGATCAGGCGCCTGGAGTTCGGCGCACGCTCCTAAAGCGGAATCAAGGTGCGCGATTACACCGTCTCGTTGTTGCTGACTGCAGTGGCTGGCGCGTCAACGAGCCTAAAAATAGGAGGCCTGTCCTCGTCGCTGATGAATCATTCTTGCCCCCGGCAGCTTGGCGTAGCATGGCTGTGGGAGCATCCCGTCCCTCCCTGATCGGCGTGGATCGGTGTTGCTTTTCTGTGGCGTGGTGTGCTTGCAGGTGAATCGCGATGGAATTCTCCTTCGCAGAAATACGACCAAATCGGGACACTGCTGTCGACAGCTCGCGAGAATATTGAGCTGAGCGGCTCTCTGTGTGCCGGAAACCAAGCCAGGCTATGGGCAACGTCTCGTCGTCCGTAGTTGGGGCATACCCTGTCTCTGCCGCAGCTTGCATGTCAGACGAATGATAACAGACCCAGCGAGAGGAGACTGAGTGTACCCACCAAGAGATTTGAGGCAATCAGGACGAGGAAGGAAACAACTTTCAGACTCGTCGATGTTTGCCAGTTCTTACTCATGTGGCTACGGGCCGGCTGTCTCGCAAGTGATTTCGCCGTAAGCTGATAGAGCTCGTACCAGAGGCCCGATGATGATGATCGGCTTTTTTTTTATTCCATCTCCTCCTGTCGGACTTTGAAATGTAATGTAAGGCAGTTGCGACGAGGCTAATTATGTAAGCGGAGAAACAGGTAAGCGGCCCAAGCCTGGACAACCGCTAGTCCGAATGTGGTGAGCAGGGCACTAACACGACTGCCAAGAGGTGCGTAAGCAGCTGTAATCCCGTGCATCATCTGCTACAGCAAGCGCTGAGGTTGGAGGAGCTTCATACTACATGTGTAATGCGCTGGAGGCCCAGGATTGTCGTATTTGCAAAATTACCGCTTTCCTGCCTTGACCACATCCATTCATTGTTTGGATGCCACTCACAAGAAGTGATTGAAATGCATTGATTGTTCCATACCCATGCTGCAACAGACCATTGCTTAATTCGAGGAATTGCGTACTAAATCCAAGGATAATAAATCCAAGGAGAATAAATCCAAGGATAAACACAGTTCAGTATCCCAGTCAGCCTTTGTAACGTTGATCTGGGTGTCCATTTCGTGGTCACCCCACCCTATAGGAGCATCCACTCCGACAACAACAGGGTTTGACACAACTTGCTCAAAGGTATAGCCGCTGCACATTGAAGATTGCCGAAGTAGATTGATTCCCAGATTTCAATTAAATTATCCCTTACCCTATCGCGCTTCTGGCAGCCTTTTTACAGATACTACCCCTCCCACTAACCAACTTTCTTCTCTACGGGGAGTAATATAGCTACTTCACCCTCTGGTCTTCAGACATGGCATCGAAGGTATAGGATAGAGCTCTCTACGTTTTTCTCAAATGACTTAACAAACCTTTAATCTGACATTGTAACCATTATTGCCAGTTGACGACGGTCGTTTTCCAGGCAGTGGCGAACATACAGGGACGTGGATTACGCCAAGCGGTGTTTTGACGCTGCTAATCCACCTCGCAGCACAACAGGTATCGGCGTACACCATGTAGGTTTTGGCATGCAACATATCAAGATCATTCTCCATGTAAAGCTAATCATTTGTGACTCAGTGCAATTTACAACCAGGAGAGTGTTCAAGCGGGAGGCGCACGCCCCCACCGTCAGCTGTCAGCCATGTCCCTAATATCTTACTCTCCTTCTCGAATTCATTTTGTCAGCCCCCTGAAGTCCTTTTTATTTCTAAATTTAAGGAGTCGACGATCAATGAATTGTCAGAATTCGGAACGGATCAATCTCTAGTTGCTTGGAGCCACTGCCAAAAATTATCTGCTCGCTCTTTCCCAACTCCAAGCAATCGCAGATAGGTGGGATTTTTTTTCTGGGGGTTATTTCCCGCATGAAATCATGTATCGCTTTGCGTTTGAGCTCTCTGATACTTGTAGCATAATCCTCTAAGCACGGCGAGTTTCTTCGCTATGAGGTTATATCACGGCATGGCTAAGTCAAGCCGCAGTTAAGACAACCAAGGCTATCAGCGGCACATCTTTCGAAGCATGGCAGCTGTTCACAATGCAGAAAGCAATCAAGGCCTTTGTTTGCCTTCGACGATCTTGACTGCACCAGATGATCACGCCAGTTGGCAGCTCACTGTCCACCAGAACGGGGATGAGCAGACCGCCGATAACCTGGGCTCCTTGACAGAGAATATAATAGGTTTATATGATGATGAATTTTTCCAGGCTGCCGGTAGGGAGGAAATGTTGGGCTAGGAAGCATCGGAGTGCGCAGGGCGAGATCAGACGATGAGATCATCCATCTCAGATCCAGAATTTGGACGATGCGGTGTTAACGAAGCCGCTAGGATTTCTTCGCTGATGGAGCTGCCATAAACTTCGGCAAGAATACTCATGCAGAGTTTGATACTAAGAAAAAGGGGCTGCCCAATATTGGAAGACAACAGGGTGCTAAACCCTACAGGACTCATTATCAATCTGTAATTTGGGCTACTAGCTACATGTTATGTCTCAAGACAAGACATTTGGTTGTGAATAGGTCTCTCTTGACTAGCTGCAGAAGGGTATGTGGGTGAGATTGAGCGAGAGTAACAAAGCCGGTGGGTTTATTCAATTCTTGTCGGATCGATGACCAAGATTCGGTTGATCTGGAATTTCTCCAGGCCCCAAATGAGTTCAACTATTTACGCACTCATGACCTTAAATTGATATTATCCGCGCCACTCGTTCCACATACCCTATGATTTTCTTCAAGAAGATGAAGGATGGGAGACACTGCCTAGCGATATAATCCCCATTTTCAATCGTGAGGCACGAGAAGATCAGGTCTATATTCAGTGTGCCATGGCCAACGGCCTGCGGCAGAATACATCGACGAAGCTCTTTATGGGAAGCGACTTAAAAGGTCAGCAAACGGACAATAATGAGCAAGAGATGGAACATATATGTATTCCCCAGGTTGGAAACTTACTGTTTAACATCCAACAACACAACTGGTAAGTCGTTTGCAGGGGTTGTGTGGAGCAGACACATGATGGAATAGCGACTGTGCCGTCAAGGCTCCACCAAACGCTGACAGCACAAATCCATCAGCCTTGACACTACAACTCTCGACTCAATCCTTCACGAAGACATAGCTATTTTCTGGAGTTTACTTACCCCCCCAAAGCGCAGAACTCACCCGAAGTGGTAACCCTCCCGCCAGATCATGCGCCTGATTAGCACAAGCACCTACACCTTGCGAGAGTTCCGAGATGGGGAAATCCCGCGGCATGCCATTTTATCACACGTCTGGGGCGAGGAGGAACTTACTCTGCAGGATGTTGTAGGCTCCCGCCGCGCCAAAGGCAAACAGGGCTATGAGAAACTCCGGGGCTTCTGCTCCGTCGCTGCTGCCAATGGCTTCGAACACGCCTGGATCGACTCTGCCTGCATCGATAAAACGAGCAGTGCTGAGCTGTCCGAGGCTATCAACTCGATGTACTACTGGTACGAAGAAGCAGATGTGTGCTATGCGTACCTGGCTGACGTAACCGCAACATATGACATGCCTTCCAGCAAATGGTTTACCCGGGGCTGGACTCTCCAGGAACTGATTGCCCCACGGTCTATGATTTTCTATGATAAGGACTGGCAGGTGCTTGGGACAAAGGAGGAGCTGGGAGAGATTATTTCGGCATGTACTAGAATACCCCGAAGTATCCTCTCTGGAGAGGCGGATCACATGTCGCAAAGCGTTGCGCAGCGAATGTCGTGGGCTTCGCAAAGGAAAACCACCCGGATCGAGGATCGCGCCTATTCTCTTCTTGGAATCTTTGGTATAAACATGTCCTTGATATATGGCGAGAGAGAGAACGCCTTCATCAGGCTTCAAGAGGAGATTATGCGTAGCTCGGACGACCAAACGATTTTTGCCTGGCGTTCACGGGATCAGCGTGGCGGGTTGCTCGCCACATCCCCAGATGCTTTTTCCGATAGCATGAATATCGTCAGTTTTGACAAGCTTGATACTGTCGACGAGCCTCCTACTAGCAATAGCCGAGGCATTCATCTGCATGTCAATTACTTGGGCGTGAAAGTCTGCGGAGTAGGACTGGCTATACTCCACTGCTGCGACACCACCGACAAAGCGAAGCCGATCGCCATTTATGTCAGAGACCTAGACTTCAAAATGAAGCGTTTCGAGAGATTCCAATCACATTTAACTGTACCGATAGATATGACATCTTTTTCGCCCTCCAGATTCTCTGTACGGCATATCTGTGTTCAGAGGGGTAATTTGTTACGCCAAAGAAGAGCGAAGGAAGAATCCTCCTTCGGGGTCGGAGACATCAGCAATGAGTCTGCAGAAATAGCTATCACAAGATTCCCAGGGGCAAGCGGCCTCACCGAAGCAGCGAGTGCTGGCCACAATGATATTGTGTGGCTTTTACTTACTCTCAACGACATAGAGGCCGAGCTTCAGGCTGGCAAACTGTCCAAGGTCTTTTGGGCAGCAGCGGAGTATGGCCATGCTAAGGTTCTCGAGGTTCTTGTCGGTAGGAGTCATTTTACGATCAACGAGGTCGCTAAAAATGACGAAGGGGACTCACTTTTAATAGGGGCGGTGAAAGGGGGAAGCCTTGATGCTGTTGAGCTGCTGGTGAATGCGGGCATTGAGCTAATATCATATCCTCACCAGTCAGCGTTGGGGTACGCCGCGATGCTTGGTAGGGAGGACATGGTGCGGCTGCTGGTCGAGAGGGGAGCAAATATTGCCTCAGTAGATGCCCTCCACAAAACACCCCTCTGTTATGCTGTGGAGAATGGCCGCACGCCAGTTGTGAGATTGTTACTTGAGATGGGTGCTGCTTCCGCTCCTCACGGATTTGCCAAGAAAGATGCATACTCAAGGACACCGTTATCATATGCTTCAGAAAAGGGTTACGTCAAGATTGTCTGTATGCTTATACCCACATGCAACAGAGAAGATTTGGAAATGCCCAATCAAGGTTTGCGAACGCCGTTATCTTTCGCCGCAGAGAAAGGCAATGACTCTATTGTGAAGTGTTTTTTGGACAGCGGCGCCGACCCCCTGAGCCGTGATGTTGCAGGTAGATCGCCCCTCCATTATGCGGTGAGAGACGGTCACGAAGGCGTCGTAAAGTTATTGATCGAGAGGAGTGTCGCCGCCCTTGAGATTGAGGATGGCGGTGGTAAAACACCCTTCTACTATGCTGTCAAAAGGGGCAGCATTGGCCTTGCTCAGCTTCTTATGGACATGGGCGCCAGTATAAGGACAAAGGACCGACTTGCGAAAACGCCTTTGTCTTATGCCGTGGAGGCAAACGACGGTGAAATGGCCGGATTTTTGATCGAAAGAGGGGCCCTCATTTCTGATGAGCCTCGAGAGGTGCGCAGAGCATATAAGAATATTTCCAGTAGACATGATACTGTAACTGCTCACAAACGAACTTCATCAAAGCGGTTCGGGATAATCTAGAACCACGTTCCTCCTATGATCTGATGTCCACATCATTAGCCTTTCTCATTGTACGGTATTATTTGTTGCTCTGTCGTTGGAAACTTCTATCCGTTTGTCTCGACCTTGATTTTCGATGTGTAGATAGCCAACTTTTTCCTCGGCAGAGTACATCGATTTTTCCATATCCTCTAGCAAGAGATTTGGGTTGATTTGTCCGAGTATCCTAAATGGATCTGTAGCCTTGAGGCTGTTATATGACACAATGATGCTCCTACAAAACTGAAAGGAATATTCGAGAACAGTGGAAGCATCCCGTCTGTGTTCGTCACCGCTTCCGTCGAAGATCCACTATCACCCTCTTATTTCCCTTCACATAGAAGGAGTTGCTAGGTTCTTGCCCCTCATGATCTGGTTGAACACTGAGATGGTTGGCTGTTCCCGAGATAAGATCTGATTGAGTATGATGTTGTTCACTTGATGTCGTCAGTGTGTCGGTCGTGCGAGTTCTTTCATCGTTTCCGATGCTCATGTTGCGCCTCGTGTGTCTTGCGTTTCTTCAGTTCTTTTAGAATGTGCTCTAGAATAGCATCTCCTGACCTGGACTGGGCAGCCCAATATGCCCCCTGAGGAACTTGCACTCTAGGTTATCAGGCACGGTGAAGTCTCCATCACTATCATCCAGCAAATCGAAGTCTGGGATGTGACTACTATGTAGGCCGGCTTGAACTTCGCGAACTTTGAGTCCTTGCGGATTGCGCCCTTAATTCTTGGCGGCTTTCCAGATTTTCCGAGCTCCCGAGCCCATGCTCGTCTTCCCAACTATATGCGCCTTGAGCCCACCTTACGCCTTTTCCAATTCGCATATCGGACAGTCAGGGAAGAGTGAATCGGAAACTCGGCCATTTATATCTGTAGGGACTTTGGTTCGATGAGAGGTTTTGAGATGCGATATATGAACTTCTCTTGTCGTACTTGGCAATCTCGGTTGTATATTGGATTTGCAACGCCTCTACAAGGCGCCCTCCCATATGTGGTCCAACCACCGCGGACGCACTGCTTGCTCATCTGGCGTAGTGCACTCGTCACACAATCACCCGTATGAATATAGAGCACTATTCATATGTGTTCTTGTAAGTTGTTGGAGCCGAAGACGATAAAGCGGGTCAAGGCAAAAAGTTGAAGTAAACGAACCTCCGGTTTCCTTCATGAACTGCCTGCTCAACAGTGATAGTATGCAAAAAAAAGGGGGCGGCAGGTCACGTCACCCAAAGATCCAAGGCATCCATGCCAAGCCACCCCAAACTGAACACGATGCTGGAGTTCAACTGTAGCTATTAGATCCCTATGCAGTACCGAGCGCTGCCTTGGACCGCTGTGGTCAGGTCATCTTTCCTGGCACGTACGGTATTCACCATCATATGTTCTTCCTTCAACTTTCTCAGCGCGCCGGCACAAGGAGAAGGCAGAAAGTATATATCTTCATGGCGGCTCGGGGCAGTTTCCTTCGGCGTTGATATCTGAGACAGTGCGGGCTTTGAATTTCTCTGGAGAAGATGTGGTCGCTGCCTAGGATAAGGATTGTGTAGGATAGGAATTCTAATGGCTACAGCCTCCTTTTATGGTTGGTCGGGCTTGGCTTCACCGGCGGGCTTAGTTGCAACGTCAGCCCGGGTCGTCAAACAGACACTTGTGAGCAAGCCGTCTATATCCGGATAGAGTTCTTCCAGTAGCGCGCCCTCCGATACAATACTCTCTTCCGCCGGAAACCGTTCTCCTTGCTAGTGGCTTCCGGCGTGTGTCACCGGCTCCAAAAAAGCGCTCATGAATGGAATGCGTCAAGGAACTTATTCAGCAGGTTAACGTTGCCTGTCATGCCTTTGAAGACTCGATTGACATCGCTGTCGACAGGCACCGTGGGCTGACTCCTTAGCTCTTCGGTCTGGAGGGATCGATTTTCGTCACCTGGAAATCATTAGCCCAAAATCTTTCTTCGAATGTGCTAAAGAACTCCACATACATTCCTTTAGGCGATAGTCGAATAATTCAAGCACTGTGGCTACTGCATGCCAGGCTCTGGCACCTCGCGAGGCCTAGGCTAAGTTGGTAAACACCCAGATGTTGATAGCCCAGACGAAGAAGCTTGCGTGCTCCTCCTCAAGCAGCGAGAGCTTATAGGCGTGGTCCGTTGTGGTTTTGTTAAGACATGGTCGAAGGTTTGCAGACGCGTGTCTGTGAAGACAGTTGAAGCAGCTTCGCCCACGACTCCTTCAGTCGTCGCCTTGGCGCTAGACTTCCACTGGTCGAGCAGATAGCTGTAAGGTACGGGGGATTAATCGTTTGGGCGGAAAACAAGCCAGGACTGAGCACTGAATCGAGCTGGACTGCGCATATACTCTTGTGGGTGCAGGGTTCAATATTTTGCTGCAACGGAAGGCGAAACCAGCCTCAGGCAACAATTAGATGTTCACTGCAGGTAAGGTATAGTCCCACTGCGACACTCATTACTCTTCATGGCATCATCAATGATCTAGGCAATGTTCTCTAATTGATGGCATTTTGATCCGTAGTATTACGTTAGCCATCAATCCAGCCAAGTAGGCTCTGGAGGTACAGAACCGCGATGCAACTCCCCGTCCGCGGTATCAACTGGACGTTGATAGATCTCCTTCCATTGGGAAGATATTGAGAAAACTGCCGAGAAACATGATGAATATGAGCAAGTGCATACCTATGTCTGTCGTAGCCAACTGTACGTAATGGAACAATCAACCTAATAATAAACACAATATCAAGACAAGTATTTTAATTTTAGAATAATTTATTATTCTCTTATTTGCGTTTAGTATTAGTTTTAAGCAGATTTGGCCCCTGCCTTGCTTTTGGTTACAGGCATGAGTAAGGGCCAGATTTCGATGACGAAGACCCATTTAATTCATTAACAACATGGCATCGCTATAGTGAGAAAAAGGGAGAAAATAAAAACAAAACACGATCGTCATATCACGTCGATCCTTCAGCGGCTGGACTCGACGGCCAGCCTTGTAATTGAAGCTTCAATTTCACCAGCAGATCCAATTTAGTGCAGCCATCCTCCCGCACGACCTGATCTTCCAAATCCCTCAGAATCTCATCAATGTAGTCCCCAGCACCAGACAAGTGAAGAATATGCCCAATGGCATTATGAATTGCGAGTAAACGTGGTGAAGGGGGGTCAATGGTCCGTGATTCGGTCAGATAGAGTGTGCGGGTAACGGGCAAATCATCATATAAATTGAATGCTGAGAAGGGTTTGATTCGGTATGTGTGCGCTTGTTCCTCAATAGGGTCAAAGAAGATATTGAACGCTCCAAAACCGTGGTGCATATCGTGTGTCAGTGTTATAGCATTTCCAGGTCGATCAATATTGACTCCTTCAATCAGGTATGCAGCGCCGTTATCGAACATATTAAGAATCGCGAGGGCTGTAGCTTTGGAAGTGTCCTATGGGAGAAAGGGGTCAGCTGAGATAGACGTCTAGGGAGTGGCATAAGAGAGTTATCCGCACCAGCTCGTTACTAGCATTCAGCCGGGTCAACGAATGCGGTATGATGTGTGCCACCTCCAGAGCAGAAAATGAAGTTGTGTTATCAAGGGGATTCCCGTCGTCGTCTCGTGCCACAGTTCCTTCCCGAGATGCAATTTTAGCTCGTTTATTTGCTTCATCGAGGTCGAATCGGCGCGTGATAACACATCTATGATGATCGCGGACAAGACAGGCACCTCGGAGGGCCGAAACCCGTTCTGGCGTTCCGAGAAAAGCTAGGTCTCCTTGCAGGTGGCGAATGGCCGAGTGGGACGCAGGTGATGGTTGAGGTGTTTTTCTCGTAGACGCTTTCACTGTATGACCAGTTCAGTCAGTTTCCGATTACTAATAGGTTCCGGGCGAAGCAGGGAAGAAATTGATCCTACATGGCAAAAAGAAGTTCTCAAATAGATAGTCGGCAAACTTGAGGATAGAATTGTGCAGTGCCGCCCGCTGGCCTGCATCGGCCAGATCAACCTCTTCGCCGTTGAAGGTATTCACTATCGGAATTCCGGCCGAGTCGAAGAATGCACGCAGGAAGTTTCCTTTAGATTCGTCGGTGCGAGCATATTCATAGGTCAGTCGGACCAATTTCACGCGATTGTAATCATCGTTACGGTCGGCGGGAAGGGAGTCAAAACAATCGATCAGCTTATTAAATAGGCGTGCGGCTGCTTCGCGTCGAATGGGATCAAGGGGTGGTTCGGACGAAAAGTCTAAGATTCCCTCGAGCGAAGACTGGTGACGATGGAGAGGCTCTGGGGGCATTGTGTACCGTAGTTATGGAGGCATGGAAGAATAGGAAAGAAGTCGCGATTCTATTATCGTGAGAGCTTATCAATCTATTTTTGGAAGGCGGTGTACTTGAGGTTCCGGCAGAACTGCTGATCTTAAGTGGGTCCGAATACTTAACAGGCAAGTAAGTGGCTGTTAGAAAAACAGGGACTACAAGGGCACCTCGACAAAATCATTGTGGCAGTCAGTGACTTTAACACAATGCTTCCTATTGTGTAACAATAAGTAGATAATACTGCTCAATAATTGCTCAACAATTCATTATTATTATTATTATTATTATTATTAACTACCTATTATTTATTGATATCGTGGCTTATATTGGAAAGTTGAGATTGAAACACCTTGCACGCCGCTTCATGGCTGGGATGCAAAGCCACCATATTTCCAGGACCAGACTCGCCCCGAGGTGCCAACATATGGGAATCCCCGCTGCGTTATGGTTGTTGGGGAAGATGGATCCGCACGTCGTGCCGTGAATGCCCCGCCGCCTGGATCAACCCGCATACTCCTCATAAGATCGCATCGCTGGAACATGGCTTCAGCCTTCCTAGCTGCAACTTAATACACCATGTGCACCAAACACCAAACAAAAAGTATTTATACTTGCGGTGACAGAATAACGGAGTACTCCGATGCTAAGCCATGCGTTAAATAGTCTGAAGCAGGCCACCAAGTCACGATGAACACTCTAAGCTCAAGCAGACAGAAAGGAAAATCTGATCCGTATGATTGCAGTAACCCACAATCGATTAGTAAGGTAAGTGTCGAAATATCGCCTTGGCAGCCTTTAAGAAGAACCTAGTATATGCAGATCAAGACACACTTAGAGTTTAGTGTCGATATACACTATTCACCACTACATCGATGATTCTATATCATGTTTAACATCAACGGCACTCTTATACTGATCAGTCCAACAGCCCATGATAGTATAGCCTCCCCATAGAGAAGAAACATCTGGAAACTCCCCTCTTTCGAACTTTTCCGTAGCCTGCGCATCGTAATCGGCGTCCTTTCTGTCTAACTTGTTCGTACTGTTGGGCTCGCAAAAGGGCCACCATCCGGTCAGAATGACGTACATCACAGAGCCCAGAGCAAATACATCTGTAGCTGTAGTTGTCTCGAACTTCAAATTCCAGAATCCCCCATCAGGTAATTGTCCGCCATCCAAGCCACGCTGTTCGCATACTGAACCATTAAAGTCACTAAGCCAGATATCCTGTCCATGAATCAAAAAATTCTCAGGCCGAAGGTCGGAATGCATAACCCCACAATCGTGAATGTATGCTATCACACTTGCAGCCTGAAAGCACCATCGTTTTCGCTCAGTAAATGTGGCATTGCCATCGTCGAGGTGTTCTTGTAAATTCTTGTCGGCCTGGGCTAGCAATAATCCTTGACGGCCCTCGAATTCCTGACATCCGTAATATCTATAATATGTCAGTTGAAGCGAGGTACTTTAAAACAAAGTAACTGACGGAAGGATTAGATTGTTCACTCCAAGTGCTTCATAGACCCCTCGCTCCACTTCGAATGCTTTTGCCCTGTCTCGATTGAGAATTTCGTGACCATCATTAGTGCTGGGTACCTCTCTTGGTACTTTTAGAACCTTTCCTGGCTGAATTTTATATATGTTTGACGAGGAGCCTCTCCAGCACGGCTCGTTCACAGCTGCCATGATCTTGTTGGATCTTTTGACAGACGCTGACCGGTCCCTAACTTAGATGATGCTTAGGGGATAAAAGCTTGCGTTAACTATGCCGCAAAATGAACTGTAGCTCTCGGCGAAACTCCGGCGAACCTGGCCTGGAAAGGGCGCAAGTCTGGGCGGGTACTACGAGCGTTGACGCAAGGCTCTCATCTCCAGTAACTCGACAAATTGAGCCGGATGGAACATTCCATGTTGAGAGCCTCGGTCAAAGCTGCATGATTTGAGAGCTCTTCTGAGTAAGCACTGGGCGTCATACGATAGGCCACGCGCTAGAGTGTATCAACAAGTCGTCACTCATTCAGCATACTGAACGGAACTGGCGAATATCTCTCTTCTATCATGTTGGGAAACGGTTATCTCATGACGCATACATAGAACCACGCGCCAAAGAGCTCTTATTTTGCAGCAAAGAGATTCGCGAGTCCCTCGATGCTCACATTTCCTCCACTCAGAACGAGACCAATATCCCATCCCGCATCGCCTGCCTCCTCTTCGACCATCCTTCTAAACTCCTCGTTATAAAGCGCGACAGCCAGCGGAACAGCTGCGCTAGGCTCAACAACCAGCTTCATTCTTTCCATTATCAGCCTCGTCGCCTCAAGAATTTCCTCCTCTGTGACTGCATACATTGCCGAAACAAGCTTGCGCTCATAAATAACACCCCAAGTATGGACGCCAACCGTGCCCATCAGTCCGTCGGCGATGGTGCTTGTTTTCACCTCAGTAATCCTCTTGCCGGCCAAGAAGCCACGTCGGACATCATCTGCCCCTTCAAACTCTGGTTCGGCTCCGAAGACGCGAATGCCAGTCCCTTCGCAGCTGAGCGCGACCCCTGATAATAGACCTCCGCCACTGCATGGTGCAATGATAGCATCTACCTTGACCTGTTCCTGCAACTCTAGGCCAACGCTGGCTTGACCAAGGATAATGTCTGGGTGATCGAACGGCGGCACGAGGCGTGCACCTTTCTCGGCTACAATCCTAGACGCAGCAATTTCTCGCTCGAAGCGCCCGCAAAGGACTACCTCAGCTCCATATCCCTTGGTAGCTTCAATTTTGTTTGGTCGCACAATGTCGGGCATCACGATATATGCAGGTATTCCGCTCTCTCTGGCCGCGAGCGCAAGTGCTTGGGCATGGTTGCCTACAGAATCGTGTCAGAAAACCAGGTTCCGTGGACACCAATATCACGGCCGATGATATGCTCATACCGGAACTAAAACCAACAACACCGTTCTGCATTCCTCCACCCTCGAGCCAAGTCGGATCTTGTTTCAATTTCTCGATGGCATAGAAGGCTCCGCGAGCCTTGAATGCTCCAATGCGCTGTAAGTTTTCGCACTTGAACCAGAGCCTTATGACTGGTTTTGCAGGGTTGACTCCGCCAGCCTTCGGGGTCGAGGCCATCTTGTTCAGGGTGGCGCTGCTCATGACGGGCGTGAGATGAATCAGCGGCTTTATGACCTTGTGAGCTTCGATAGCGCTCTCCCTGGTCAAGGGGAGACATGTTGAGAGGTCAGCCATGATGCAAAATATCCACAGGCACTGATGTGAAAAGAATGTCCAAGGAAGAAGGAGCTTTCCCACAGATGAGGGTGATTGTCAAGATATAATCACTGCGCCAGTGAGGAAACGGTTTGCATTAGTCACTGGGAACCTAGCCGGCTTTCGGAGCAATTGTGACTTGGCGCCCATCTTGGCGCGATCCTGGTCAGTTGATCGGAGCAACTTATCGCTTCCTTCAACGATGACTAGATGCCGCTTATCACCCCTGGCACTTTAGCATTGGCCGATATACGAATAGGATACCGCTTCCCCCGCTTGTTTCTTGTTCCTGGATCTTCTAGGCAGATTCCTTTCTCCGTAACAGGAAGGTATGTAACAGAGAGACAGTTCAAACCCCGAGGAAACACTAGAATTTGTTGAGTGACGACGACGGCATTTTGAACGCTCTGTGGCAATAACATGAATGTTCCTCTTCTGTAGCCTAAAGTCTCTATAGACTTTAATCGCCTTTGTATCATTGCAATATGTGCTCGAATTTTTTCTCAAATGAAATTCACTCTCAGTAGTTGCTATCTTCTTGGTCAAAGACTCTCTTCATTTTTTTAATCTTCATCTTTCTTCCCCTGTTCATCTACTGTCTTCTTTGATGCAGGCTACACATCAGCTACATTTGAGCGCCGTCCTCTGTTGGTCCAGATATTCTCCCGATGGTTAACACTGGTTCGGCGATTGCAAGCGGGGCCGAGTTCCGGCGGCGGTCTGTCCATAACTGAATTCTACTCCCTCGAAACCCCCATCTCAACAGCAAAGAGCTTTTACCTCTAAAAGTACAGAAATATGGCCGTAGCACCCTCAGGATACTATAAGAACGACTCTGGGGGTGGAGAAGGGTATACAGGTTTCCTGGCTAAGCCCGCTCGATGTAAGAACCCATCAAAGACCCATCTTGTGTTCCTTTATGACTCTGGAGTGCGCGAACCTCGGGCAGTGGGTTGCGAAGATGGAGAGTAGCCTCCACCGCCATATTGAGGTGAAGATGGAAGATTTGGCGAACCCGGGGCGTTGTAGGGTGGCGAAGATGGAGAATACGGTGGTGAGGTGCTGGAGAAGTTTGGCGGATTTGGGCTATAAGCTGGTGAATTTGGACCATTCCATGGCGAACCCGGTGGTGAGGATGGGTAGTAGGATGGTGAGATTGGGGAGCGAAGATGGGTGACGCCCCCAAAATCTGCACTAGGAAGTTCTGATGCGACTGACGGCTGCTGCTCGGAGCAGAGATCTGGCTTAGCCTCTTCGTTCTCGATGCTTGGTCCTGCAGAAAGATCCGAACCAGACACCCCCTCCTGGTTCATAGTGCGAGCTTGCTCAGGGCGGCAGCCCTCATCAACGATTTGGGAGGCAGATTCAACATGCGTTGTTGCGTCCTTGCTCCCGCCCTCCTTGCTCTGGCTCATGGTGTCAGGGGTTGTTCCCACAAAAGTCACCTGGGGCTGTTAGAAAGAGGCGGTTCGAGGAAATCGGCCTCACTTACGAGTTTCTTGTCCTCTTGCTTGACGTTCGACATTTTGTAGGTCGAAAACAATATGGAAGGAGAGAGATTCTGATTTTTATGGCGTATGCCGCGCGGCGGAAAGAGGAGGAAATTCTGGCTGTTGTGGCGTTTGTCACCGGGCGGCAACAAGGTGGTGGGAGATTGGGTGCAGAGTGAAAGCTTGAAGAAGTAATGTAGAAAGCGAAGGTGGATGGGAAGAATGATATGAGTGGGAAGAAAGACTGCTTTCTATGCTGTTAGGTGAAAGTCGAGGGTCAGTGGTCTGCCTCAGGCAACCACTGTATTGCCAAGCTCAATCCAAGAACCAGGTGAGTTGATATCTCAGCTGTGAGTCACGGGGGTTGGACGGCGAGTTCTCTGCAAACAAGGCCACTAGCATTAGTCCTTGCTCAATCAACAACACCCTAAACAGCAATCAAATATCATCAAGACAACATTGAACACAAATTCTTGCTATTCATTTAGTTCCCCATTTGCTACTGCCAACGAGATAATGGGTTCAATGCATTTCAGGGCTCAGCGCCTGCCGTGACAACCAGCCGCTTAGGGCAGGGTACAGGAAGGCAGGAATTACACACGCCAACGAACGCCAGTTGCCTCAGGCCCCAACCATGGACTGAGGCCCGAGTGAAACATCTGCTGAGGTAATATGTCAGAGGCGCTTGATAATCTATGCCATAATATTCTTGACCAGTCGCTTTTTGTGGCCTTTTCATGCAGTGTGCTCAACACCTGCCACTGCACAAGGTCAAATCGTACGAACCAACAACCAATTGTGCTCAAGACAATGGAAACAAAATTCTGCGCCTTTACTACACTATTATGCATAAAGCAATTCGATGCATAGTCCTCAATGATTTGAAATAGCCTCGCTTCTTCTACCGTCTTTGATAGCCAGTGATCTCTCCTGTGTGCGCTACTCTCGAGCAGAGCAGCCTCGCCTAGTTGGCATCGAGGGAGAGACAAAATTTGCAATTATGTTTTCTCATAGTATTCAAGACCTTGGGTATAGTCTTTTGAAAGACCGTTTTCAAATCAGAGCGTGATTAAATGCACATAGTTGTGTAATGAATCCAAGAACTGCGCACGAAGAGAACAAGGGCTCAGAATAATCAACACAATGTCTTTATGTGAGTTTTCTATTAAGTTCCTGTTCGGAGTTCTATCATTCTTTTCCCTTCCTATCAATAGTCTTCTGTAGATCATTGAAGGCAGTATGATAAAGAGGGTGCAGTGGTTGTGCCCACCCATGCAGATTATCCAGGGATTACATATTGTCTTTACGAATACCGCGAAAAGACCGAGCACCCACGTGCACGTAAAAGCTAATCCAATGGGGACTCGATGAAAGATAATATGCATTGATACTATACATTGCCACATTTATTAATTCCACCAGATGCCACTCGTAACCTCGGATATATCTGCTGCCTGCATTGCCGAACAAGAGTTATCTCCATCTGTGCGCGCGTAATCCTGGCCCGCTTACAAACAGAGCCTTATCCACCAGACGCGAGCCCTCCCAGGGGCTTGTAGTAGCCTGTCTGATTCTAGAACGCGATCTCTTCCTCGGAAGGTGAGCTAGATGCATGCATAATGTGCCACTGGCTTCTCGTCACGCCAGAAAAGAAAAGCTGCCTGCCTCGCTAGGTAGACTAGGGTATTTCACAGTGTAGAGGTAAACTCTTCAGGTGAGAGGTGGATCTCGCCATCAATCATGGGGTTTAAGTTTACAGTTTGAGGTAGACTTAAAAGAGAACGGGGATTCCGAGTTCCAACTTGATGTAGATCACACGAAGATGCGAGTTAAAACACTGGGAATCGTGGATGGGTCCATGGCTGGCCATGGTTCGTCACCGTCTTTCCCTGCTCGGATGGAACAACGCCGATCGAAATCCATAGTGGAAGACCAAAGTGCAATTCTCAAAATCGGAACCGAAACACAGGCGTTATGCTCCCGGAATTAACTCCAGACTGCCCGTGGCATTATGTCATAGTCAGCTTGAGAAGTTGCGCGCCACCTGGAAGCGTCAACGCTCCAATATTGATCTCGAACCATTACCCCTGTGGATTTTCGTGGAGCCCTGCCTCTCTTTGATTTGCTCCTTTCGCTGGAAGGGAGACTGATCGGCACAGAATTGTCTCGTAGATCTACAAATAAGTGATGTTTTCTCGTCGTCACACGGTGAGCAGTAGTGCCGGATTGCCGAGTTTCCAGAACATGACTGGGGATGGTTGTAGAGACCCGCAGTTATCGGCACATTGGTGCCGAACGTGAAAGGACATCTGCTGCAATAATTGGCGAGAAATTCGGGGATTGGGGAACGCGGGGCTGCGGAGTAAGATAGGGTTGGAGATTGGAGTTGGCTCCCTCACCAGAACTACCATCGAGCGAGGTAGGCAAACCGGGGTAGCATACAGCGGTCCAACGGTAAGATGATGGTATCTGTGTTGGTGGCACTTGAAGCAAGGTGTGAAATGAAGGTTTGATAGTACCTGGCGCCATGAACTGGGAGGAGTTTAGGGTGAGGGAGCCAACCACAGCTGTCACAATTCGGTGCTGACAGTGACATGGCACACGGCTTGCACGGGCCCGGCCACGAAACACCGTCGAGGTTCCACTCCCCCAACTCGAGTAAGTGTTGGACAAGGCATGAAGGATCCTGTGACAGTCGTATGATAAGACACAATTCCGAGCTAAGCTCGGGAACGTAATCCCCGCAGACGAAGTTTTGGGGGAAGTGTGGAGAACCGTCAGAAGTATATCAACCTGGCAGCCGTCGTGCCGTGTTATCCTGCCGTGGATGAGACCCTACCCAACCCTCCTATCACTGCCCTTTTCTCGGTTTTTGGTAGGCCTCCCTCTGTCTCTCATCTCTCGTACACATAAATTTGACGAGAATAGAGCTGCAAACAACCATGGCCGGCGACGAGTACGATATCAAGGCGCCGCATGTTGGCATGTCGCCTCGAGAATATGCAGCCACCAGAGTGTCGAGTCTGAAGCCTCCCATGCTGAACCTACCCAACCCCATCAAGCTATTGCGGATGCTGAATCGGCAGCAATGGGCCTTCTTCATGGTCGCTTTCTGCGCATGGGTATGCTCTCATTGCCTTCTATCGCTCATTTGATTTCGCGCGATGGGTTTCGATTGTCCGTCCGATCACTGACAAAGAAATATTAGACATGGGATGCGTTTGACTTCTTCACTGTATCACTTACCGTCACCGAACTGGCCGAGAGTTTCGACAAGTCCAAGACAGACATTACATGGGGCATTACCCTCGTGCTTATGTTCAGGTCTGTCGGGTCAATTCTTTTCGGTGTCGCGGCGGATCGATATGGAAGGAAGTGGCCGTTCATCATCAACAACATGTTGTTTATCGTTCTCGAACTTGTAAGATACTCCTCCAGCCTCAGGACAAGCAACGGGCTGCTAATCGGGCAATCAGGGAACCGGCTTCTGTCAGACATACTCGCAATTCCTTGCCTGCCGTGCGCTGTTTGGCGTTGCCATGGGTGGTCTGTACGGCAATGCTGCAGCTACGGCCCTGGAAGACTGTCCCGAGGAAGCTCGTGGTCTGATGAGCGGTATCCTTCAGCAAGGTGTAAGTGATCGAAATGATGGGCATCTTGTCTGATATGTGGCTAACAGTCGCTCAGTATGCGCTCGGTTATCTCCTCGCCGCCGCTTTCGCTCGTGGGCTTGTTGGCACGACGCCGCATGGCTGGAGACCCCTGTTCTGGTTCGGTGCCTGCCCTCCTGTTCTGTTCATCCTTTGGCGTCTGGTCTTGCCCGAGACGGTCGCCTACCAAGAACGCGAGCTGTTGCGACAGGAAGCCATCCACGGGGGCAATGCCGGAAAGAGCGTCGGTAGCGTTTTCATGACCGAGGCCAAGGTCGCAATGAAGAAGCACTGGATCCTCCTCGTCTACCTCGTCCTTTTGATGGCCGGTTTCAACTTCATGAGCCACGGAAGTCAGGACCTGTACCCCACGATGCTCACCAACACGCTCGAATTCTCGCAGACCATGGTCACCGTGACACAAGTGGTTGCGAACCTCGGAGCGATCACCGGCGGCACCGTAGTCGGGTATCTCAGTCAGTCGGTCGGTCGTCGCCTGAGCATCATCATCGCCTGTTTCGTTGGTGGTGCTTTGTTGTATCCGTATACCTTTGTCCGCGACGAGTCCATTATGGCAGCTGCCTTTTTCCAACAATTCTGCGTTCAAGGAGCCTGGGGTGTGATTCCCGCTCACTTGATCGAGCTCAGTCCTGGTAAGTTGGCCTCCAGTTTCTCCTCCACTCCTCTTGTAAATGAACGTTTATGGCGGGTCGACGTGGCGAGACGCGCGGTTGGGCGGGTGATTTTGGGCGGTCTAGTGTGCAACACGCTTGCTAACCTGTTGCAGGTGCTTTTAGAACCGTTGTCGTCGGTACATCGTACCAGCTGGGCAACCTCGTTTCGTCCGCATCTTCAACGATCGAAGCCAGGCTCGGGGAGCGATTCCCACTTGCGCGGAGTGCTAAAGGCGAGAGCCGATACGACTATGGCAAGGTCATCTGCATCTTCATGGCCTGTGTATATGTGTATGTCATCGTGTTGACGTTTGTCGGCCCTGAGAATCTGAGAGCCAAGTTCGATGTGGCACACGACGCAGATGCGCAGGTAGTGGTAGGGGACCAGGTGCTGGAGAAGGCTAAGCTGGGACGCCGAGACGAGGAAGAGAAGACTCAGGAACAATGGAGGGAGGTTTGATCAAGAGAGCATTGCTTTGTTCTTAGGCTCGCTTAAATGTACCTAACGGGAAATAATTTAATAGCCTTGAGACAAAGCAGGAGCCACGTGACTCTGCTCATCCAACCTTGTACCTAAGCTAGCACCTATGCTACGAGGAAGTCCAAGGATTGCTCAGCCTTTGAAGACCTTGTTGACCGCCCAAGCAAGTAACCGATAAGTAGAGGTAATGAAAGCTTCTAGATGCCAGAAGAGACTAAGCAATAAGCCAACCGAACAAAGGAAATGTCCTGTTTGGTTCCCTCGTTCGCATTTGAGGTCCAATGTCATGTGGACCTGAGGAGTTGTTTCGCTCAAAAGGGCAACTTTTCTCATCTTGGATGTAAGTACACGGATGGTATGGTTACCAGCTACCTAGGCTGAGTTTTGGTTCTCTTACTCTTAAGTGATGGCGGTAATGGTGATTATTTAGACTGAGGGGAAATAAGCAGGTGAATGTTGTGATCCAATCATAGGAATAACATTCAAATCAACACCAACTCTTTGATTTCGGGTAGCTAGCGCTTATATCGTAACTTGGATAAATCAGCCGTGCGGTTGAGCCTCACACCGATCATCCTCACTGCTATCTCCAGCCAGTACAAGGCCCTGTTTAAGCGAACCACAGTGTCCCAGAACATTGACTCTCCAATCTTCTCTCCGATTTAAGCGAGAATCCGTAGGTAGGTCACGCGTCTCCGGCCGAAGGTAGTGATGAAAGCCCAATGGTGATTTCGAAGTCTAGTTATGTAGTACATTCACCCCTTCGGCCTATTCATGATGGATGGCAGCTTTTGACTCTTTGTTCTACAGCTCTGGCTAAGCGAGAACTCTTGTCTGCAATCAGGAGATCTCGCTTATTTGCTTCAAATGCTTCATTTTGCAACAACAAAATCCATCTCCTGTGAAACGTCTGAGGGTATAAAGCTGAGCCATCATGGGCCTCCTTCAACCTCCTTCCTCTCTATATTTTTACATCGAATCAGATACCTCATCAAACCGACCATCTCAAAAATTCGAACACTTCAGAAACTTGCAGATCTCATCTACTCAATCACAATGCCGAGACTTTTCCTAGAATGGTCCGGTGAAACGTCAAATGGTCTCGAGCTGGATGTATATGAAAGACATATCCAGCTACGTAATGAGGGTACCGAAGAGCATGATGAGGCCAATCGCGGGCCAAACCTCCCGCCAGGCTGCTATCAAATTCAACGGCGGCGGCCACATCAACCACTCCCTCCTCTAGAAGAACCTAGCCGCCTCCTCCTCCCCCAATGCAGATCCAAGCAGCTCTCAGCTCCTCGTTGCCGAGATCAACAAGGCATTCAAGAGCTAGATGATGAGATCATCGAAGGATCAGTACATGCGCGAGAAAGCGTTGATGAACCAGATGGTTACAGCTCTCCAGCGTCCTTAAATGAAAACGAATGCTACGTCAGTGGCGGCGCAGCAGGCTTCCCCGAGTCAGAAGACATTTCCCCCAGAACGTCCGTCGATGGACCGGATGGGGGCTTTTGGGAACCCCAACAGCGGCCACAAGGCCAAGTAAGGGGCGGAGAAAGGGGGAAGCCAGGAGAGGATCGTAAGCAGGGGAAGAAGGAAACAGAGAAAAAGAAGGGGGGAAATGGTAAGGAGAGGAACAAGGATAAGAGCGAAAAGGATAAAAAAGAAAAGGGGGTTAAGTGGAAGGAGGATAAAAATGGTAAAAGGGGAAAGAAGCTGAATAAGAAGGAAAAGCTGAATAAGAAGGAGGAGGAGCTAAAGAAAAAGGAGGAGAAGCTGAAGAGGAAGGAGGAAAAGCTAAAGAAAAAAGAGGAAAAGCTAAAGAAGCAGAATAAAGAAAAAGAGGAAAGTAAGAGGAAGAAGGAGAGGGATAAGGGGAAGGGGAAGAAAGGGGAGAAGGAAGGCAAGGGGATTAACAAGGTAACGGATGAAAAGGACAGGAAGCAGGGTAAGAACAGGAAGAAGCGCACCAGAAAGGTATCCCCCTGGCCATCCGTTTTTTGTTGTTTCGGATGAGGAATTTGATTTTGAATTCAAGTTACTGAGCCCCCGTATGATATCTTGCAGAGGAATAATTTCTAGCCTTCAGAAATGTAAGCAAAATGAGTAGTGGTTTTTTTGGGGGGAGAAGGTGGCGGATATCAAGGCCAGCAGTAGGTTGTTGGTTGGTGGGAAGGTGCGCCCCTCTATGCTTCCTTGCCAGATGGCGGGCAACATTCTTTGAACCATCAGGCTTCTTTCTCACAAGTTCCTGACCGTCTCTGTCTTCAACATTGAGCCTCTTAATCTTCTCGTGACACCATTTCCCTCCCGAGTGTCATCAGCGAACGTCCCGGGAATTGGCAGGGTAAAAGACAAAGGGAGCCTATCGAGCCGCGACCGACGAATCAGCGAGCGATCGCAACCAAGCCTCATTTCCTACATCGTCAACATCAGAAAAGATCCTTTCACATACCGCAACGATGCGGGCGAACATAACCATCTTCTTCTCGGTCGGAATTGAAGAAGACGATGCAGTGTTTTTCAGGTGTTCAATCGTGGCGGAGGACACCAGGCCCGGTCGACCCCCCCAAAGGTACCTCATGGGAGACTTGGTTCTGAGCATACTCCCTTCCCTGTGGGGTCGACTCCGGGATTTATGCGTCGAGGTCTAGCTGAGTGTATGTGAATCCTTAGCCCTCATTTGTTGATCATTTCGAAATCGGAGTAGTGCTAATCGCAATTTGATAGCAAAAAGAACCGAGGAAGCATGTACATGCAGCAAAACAGGGCGGAAGTGGCACATGGCAGTTTTGCAATAGACTTAAAGACCGAAAGCCTAAACGCATCTTTTAAAACGCAAAGATAGAAATAGTGGCCGTGCAGCTCCAAACAGAGCCATTTCAGGCGCACCTAACAAACAAAAAAGTATCATTCCCAAGCGGCCTCCAGCTCTTTTCCAGTGAACTCATTTGTGAGCATAGAATGCATTGTCCCGAATGCTTGCCCACATTAAGCTCAATTTCCATCGGTGCAGACCCAGCGCCTGCTTGAGGTTGTTGGCTGGCAGTGATACGTTGTGCTCAATGTTTCTCAGTGCAGGGCACAAAGTCTATTTGAAACTATTAACCGGCCTCTCCACGTTATTGACTAGCTATCCGTATAGTTTCATGTAGATCTCATACTCCCAGTCTCCGTCCTACCAGATGCTGGTGAAGTCGATATGCTAGCTCATTACTTCCCATACCCTTCTGCTCTTTAATCCTGCCTTTTCAGCCTCGTCCTGCCCCAAATCTATCCAAGCTCAGAATGAGCGTCGGGCGTTCAGCCTTCCAAAATTTCGTCCAATGGCCGGAGAAGTTTTAGAGTTTTCAACTCGACTACTACTCAGGTGTTGGCCAGGGCGACAACATCCCGTTGGCCCACGTCAACTCTGTTCTTCGAGTTCATGCATCGGCACTCCGTTCCTCGACACCGTACGGCCCATTCCGGTGCGATGTAGCACTCAATCTCTCCCAGCCCACGGCGCTTGAAATCTTGATCGTCTCAAGGTGCTTTTTTGGGCAACTCTCCGACTCTGGCCCCAAGGACGCACGCAATCTTGCCCCAACCAAGACTGAAGAGGTTTTTAATGGCCATTGTCGCTTTCTTCGAATACTCTACCGCAACCTACGAATACGGTGCGATCCGAGCCTGCCCGGAATTGGAACTAGGTTTCGGACAAGTCGAGGAGAGCTAGATCTGAGGCTTGGCTCAGCTCGCGCTGAAAGGTTCCACCGGACTATCTGAGATCATCATCACCAACTCTCACCTTTTTGAGATGGAGCCTTGGTTCAATCTCTTCCGTCGCCAGACGACCAAGCTTTGGGACCACTTAAAGCCGCTCAAGGAGTATTTGAAGCCTAAGGGAATCAATATTACGTACAGTGAGTTGAACTCATCTGAGCCACAGTTTGTCTAGCCCTTACACAAGCTGTTCGTGATGTTCTACCGAACTAGATGCAAGGGTTGCAGAGACTAAGGAAGAACCTGTTCTAGAGGAAGAACCTGTTCTAGAGGAAGAACTTACTCCAGAGGGAGACCTTGCTTCAGAGGAAATTAAATTACCAAGATCAGACAGCGAGCATGCCAGTCAGTTTCCATTCGCCTCGATGCTTTTACAATGTTATAGCCTCATCGGACCGCCGCGGTGGCCATGTCCTTATTTTGCCAGGCGCCTAGGTCAGGGGGAGGGCCTCTACAACGAGAGGAGCTGCTGGAAAAGTTCTGGTTTAAAATCTCCGGGACATGTATTTTCGATTAGACCATCCATGTTGGCCCATAATGTAACATATACGGAGCTAGTCAACACCTTGCCCACATTGTCTCCTCTTAGTGATCAGCAGCTTCCCAACTCTCGCACTAGGCCAATCAAGACATGCTTTTCCCAAGCATTCGGAGACTTTCACCTCTCTCCAACCTCAGATGCATTCTCCTCTGTCTGAGCCCGAGACACTACTAGCTAGGGCTCAAGATGGAGGACCGCCGCCGCCGCCGCCACCGCCTCCTCCAGAGTTGGGGTTTGTGACAGGCCCTTCCTTGTATCGGAACACAGCAGGTTCAATATCCTGAGATCTGGAAGTATCAATGCCAAACGCGATCCAAGCAAACAGTCCGTCGCTAACATCGTCACCGAGGAGCGTAAACTCCATGACCGGGTCCACTCCGTCAGTTCGCGTCTCCTCAGCCAGGATGGAGTCAGCAGCGTTGGTGGTCAATTGCTGACGGTTAGTGCTATACGGGGACAGGAGCTCGACTTTGGTGATGAGGGACTGATCGAAGAAAGCCTGGCCGACGTGGCTGGCCTTGATGTCGTTTCCAAGGGTGCCGTTGTCGTAGCGGGTGGCACCAGTGTGGACCATGATGTGGATGTGAGTGGCACGGCTAGTGTAGTGGCCTGGGAAGATGGACTCAAATTGGGCGACTCCATCCGAGTCTGTCTCCTGGATACCACGGAGCCAGGTGTTATAGATGTTGGAAGTGTCAGCGGAGTTGCCGTTTCCTTGAGCGTTGACGCCTGAGTAGACTCCGGTGGAGTTGCAGTGCCACATCTCAAGATAGACATCTGGGACTGGGTCGCAAGTGTCGACATCGATGACCTGATAGTCGAGGATAGTATCAAGGCCAGCTTGGGACTCAACAATATTGACTCGAATGTCCTCTCCGGAGACATCTTGTGTCGCCAATTAGCAGTGTTTCGACCAAACGTTTATCACAAAGCATTATCAATCCTGCTTACAGTAAGGGCCTTGAGTCACTTCGGGGGTCAAGATGCAAGAGTTGATGCCAGAGAAAAGAGTATCAGCAGGAGTGTCAGTTGTATACCCCTTTGATGTCATATCATGGCTCTTGTTCAAGACATCGTTGAGACTGCGCTTCTTACGGCGGTTCTCGCGCTCTGCCTCGACAATAGCAGAACGGCGCTCATGATTACGGGCGTTTAGGCCGCTCTCTTCCCACCTCTTGAAGCAGTGGCTGAGCGATCGCTTGCCGACTTTGGAAAGTGCCTCACGGCGCTCAAGAGCCTCAGCCTTGACGTCGTGGCCAGGGTGGGCGCTGATGCCGCTCGCCAGGAGGGCAACTGCGAAAGTTTGAAAGCGCATGACAGAATTGCTAACCAGGGTAGGGTAGAGCCTCGCTTGTGGGAAATATACTGAGAAAAGGGTTAAGGAGAAGATGGCTATGGAAACTCATGCGTTCATTCAGAGCTCTTTATACTTTTCGTCTCTGAGCTTTCGTCTCTGCTCTCCCCTTGAACAGGCTGCTCTACTCACCGGTCTTTTCAGTTAACGCTCCTGCGGTCCGAGCTCGATTGGAAGGTAGCATCGTTGCTTGAGTTGCAGGCGCATGAAGCCAGACACGATGGCCTCAAGAGCCAGCCGAGGATATCTGGCACTGACCCCTGACACTGGAGCGAGCTTGTCTAATTCGAATCGCATTGGCCTATCACGCAGCGCGTATTTCCAAGGAAGAAGGAAATGTTTGTCTAATCCCAGCCGCGGAGGAGCATACAAAAGGCCCATACATAAAGAGTCGCATCGAGTTCTGACCCTGGAACATCGACCGGGTGTCCTGCAATGAGAAAGAGGCAATTTCTAAGCGTTGAAGTCATTAGAAGCTTTTCCACTCACGGGCCAAGAGCAACGTCCGATCATGTTCATGGGTTACTTACCGAACACAGCAAAGACTACCCCTGCAAGATCAGTGTTTCCCCAGGGTGGGGATACGCGGATGACCTTAGGCCTCGGACCCAGAACCCCATTGAGGCAAGACGCGCGGCCTCTGAATAACCTCAAACACTCGTAGGTTCCATTGGCTGCATCTTTGGGGGCATATTTCCAAGTTGGTCAGGTGAATTACACCCTGCCGCGCGTCTATTGTGTGTCTGCAAGATGCAGTTCGAACAGAGCTGAAAGGGTGCCACGGCGCAACTGAATGTGCTGATATTGACGACTCAGTAAAGTTCCAACCAACATGATGTGCAGTTAGCGAACATTCAGTAGTTTCTGGACTCTTGCTCGTAGATATGGTAAAAGCAAGTCCAATAAAACGGCAGGGATCGAGGAACACAAGCTTCCAGCGTTGCATAGAGATAACAAGCTTACAAGGATTGTAACAGGGCTCTTAGAGACATTCTGGCTACTTCATCCGCGCTAAAACCTTCTTTTTGATCGCTCTGTTCCATTGGTCGCATTGGAGCCACGGTACTGTAACCTTCTAAGTCAGCCATTGTCTCAAAAGTAACTTCCTTTGTCAACACCCGTTGATTGTGAGGCTTTGTCGGGTACTTCAACCTCGAGAGCTCATACCCAATCATTATTGTAGATGCAGGATCATGAAAGTATTCCTTCCGCTGGCTATGCGACAATTCTGCCCCTCATCGGCCCGCCTCCCCCGGTGGGGTGGTTGAGAACTCGACGAATACTTGACTAGCAATCTTTAATCCAAGCTCTTACGTTTGCTTGTTATTTCTCCGGCGGGGTTGTTTCGGCATTCTTAGCGAGATTATTCAAGATTGGGTCTTGTTTTCGAAGCGGTGGGTTGACGTGGCCTCGACAAGGATTGATGTTCCAGAGGGGCCAGGAGATCGTTGCAGATCCACGGCGCGCGTGGATAAAGGAGGTGTAAACCACTTGGGAGGGGAAAATAGTTGTTGCTCGAATCAAATGGGCTCCGAGAGAGTCGGTGTCGAGGGGTGTGAGTATTCTCGATGCTTCAACTCGGTGGAGTTCGCGGACGAAGGAATTCCGTTCAAAACAAAGACAGGTAATTCAAAAGGCAGAATCCAAAGACTGCCAAAGCCAATCAGATTGGATCTCGATTTACGGGCTTGATTCTTAGGCGCGGGCTGTCCTTCGATGGGATGGATGAGCGGAAGCGATCTAGGGAGATCAAATCGAGGCTGAAACTGACAAATATGATGGGAACTAATACAACATCGAGTCGTTAATACCAAGGATGAGCGAGTTTCGAGTGTTTCGAGTTTTCAAACAGAGGAGAAAATTAAAGAGACATCAATTGATGACAGCATCAGATGGCGCAAGTTACCGAGGTACCCAACCTTTGGAGCAGGCGCAGGGAGAGGAAGGAGCGAAGGAGGCAGAGCGACTCGGGCCGATGCACGTGACTGAAGCACTCCAACGATGGCATGTGTCGAATCGAACAAGAAAATGTATAGCAGCGGCCCTACGTCGCATTTCAAAATGAGATTGATTTCTCCGAAAAGATGACTAGATTCAACGATGGATTGATCGAAGCATTCATATTAAAAGACGAGGTCCCAGCGTTTAACAAGTTGCTTGGGTCGAGACGAAAAGGCTGATAATCAGACAGCCAGGGCGATATACATCAATGGGGGAGCATTTTCTTGCAATGATGTTAGGTTCTTCTCTTGACAAGCTGTTTGCTTGCTTGTTCCAGTGTTCTCACAATCGTCAAAGAGCGATAATCAACACGAACATGGGAAATCATTCAGTTGTCAATATACCAATGTCTATATTCATCCATTCATTATATGAAAATTATCTGTGATGCATCAGGCACCGTGTCTCTTCAAAGCATCATGCGGGGCGACACCGCCCGCTCCTGCAAATGAAGGTTGTTCCTAAGAATATCATCCGCCTCCCTGTCCACGGCATCGTCCGGAAGTTCCCAACCGGCGAAGCTGGGGTAGGGGCTCCTGGGGTACTGGACCTTCTGCCCGTCGGCGCCCTCGACCAGGAGCTTCCTGTTGAGGATGTCATCGGCCTCCTGGTCGATGACGATGGTCGAGGTCCGCTTGACGAAGTTGGCGGCCTGGGCGATGCCCGGGAAGTCGGAGAAGTCGATCCCCTTCCACGTGCGGGCCTTGAGGCCGCGGTCTTGGAGGTTCCTGTGCACGGCGGCCTCGGTCGCGTCGGCGGGAGCCTCACGCGGGGAAGGGGCGGGCGTCGCGGCAATGGCCGACAGAGCAGCCAGGCCGGGGAAGTGAGTCATGTCAAAGACCTTCCACTTGCTGGGCTTGGCGTCGTCCTCTGGGAGAACGGGGGCGGCAGCGGCCTCCGTCTCGTCCTCCTCCTTGATGGTGTCCTCGCTGTCAAAGAAAGTGGTGGTCTTCCAGTGCGCGGTGGCTGGAGTGTTGAGAGGAACGCTGAACCGAGGCGCGAATGCCGTGACCGGGGTGGCGACGGGACTGCAGAGGCCGTACTGCTCCCTCAGAGGAGACATGATGGGTGTCCCATGAGGGCTGGCGAAGCGCGCACTGGTGGCAGTGGGAGGGCTCGCGGCAAGCACAAATTCAGATGCCGCGGTGAGCAGCAGAGCTGTGGGAATGGGGCCTCTCTTTGCACTAAGCATTTTGAATTAGTTTTGAAGGGTGGAGTATTGAACCTGCAACACTCTGTAATAAATAAGGGGTAAATTGAAACAATGGAAGAGAAGATGCTTAGTGGGTTGAGACCAGCTCAAGAGGTGTGAAGTGTAGACAGGTAGTGGTGGTTGTGTGTGATGGAAGGGAAGGATTTGGGACGAGAGCATCGGCTGGCTTCCTTATATGTGAAGTGAGGACCTGCTGGCTGTTGCCACTGAGCTGGCGCAGGGCAACGTGCTGACCAGCACAAAGGAGGGCAGGCGCGCATCAACGACAGGGCATGTCGAGCACAGGCAAACGCGCACGGCAGGCCTTCATTCGCTGTTGTGTGAGCGCTGACGGCGAGGTTCTGGGGGGCCATGGCAGCATCAGCAAGAGTGCCCACTCTGGTGCTTCGGCTGGTGGCAAGCAGAGACAGAAACCACTGTCAAGAGACATGTCAATGACAATCAGCGGCAACGGCCCCCAGCTCCCGGGCTTGGGTCCTCGCCACGCCTGTCATGCCCACCGCCTGTTGTCTTGTTTCTGGCGACGGCCCAGGGATGATTGGCTCGTGCATCGTCAAGGCCGGAGGACACAACTATCGCAACGGCACAGCGACCGTCTTCCTTACACGCTTCGAGGCAAGTGGCGTGGGTTCTTACAAACAGCATCGCCGACAGTAGACGGAGAGGCAGCCAGCAGGGGAGATGTCATTGGGTGAAAGCTCGCCCCATGCACAATATGTCAGCAAGGGTGGATATAGAACAACAATTTGATTGGCAATGAAATCATCTCTCGTCAGAGCAATCCGAAACGTGTTTCAGCTGTGTCTGCAGTTTGCCTCTGCCCCCATCAAGACCAATTGATCCCCAAGGCGCTGCTCAGCCTGCTTGCCTCAGATGCTGTTTCGTGATGGCTATCAGATCTGCGGCCGTGCCATGCTGCTACTCTTACAGTACTGCCTCAATCAGGCCAACGAGCGCTGTCTGGTTTGAACCCTTGATCTCGTCCACCTTGTCGCCGCCCACGTAGAGCTGGAACGTGGGCATCGCAGTCACGCCGCGGTGCTTAGACAGCTGCGGCAGCTCGCCAGCGTCGACTCTGAAAAAAGATACGGCGTGGAATTTCTCCCATTCGGAGCAGCTGCCGTAGTCAGCGATCATGATGCATAAATTGCCTATGATGTAGTGAATTTGTAGGATTGCTCGTAGCGTAGCGAAGGGGACGTACTGATCAAAGACCGGGGCAATTGCTCTGCATGATCCCGATGTTGAGGAGTAGAACTCGATAACCGCCACACGATTCTCCACCAGAAGATTATCGAATGCGTCCTCGCTGCAGATGAAGGATTAGATTAAGCGACCAAGTGTATTTTTTTTATGGTTTCCCTGCATCTATTCTTCCATTAAACAAGGCGTACCTCGTGATGTTGCTTACTGGCATGATGGTCTAGGGTAAGTGGGTAGAAGGGTTTAATGAGGAATCAGACTCTGAGAACGCGAGGAATTGGTTTCGAGGGTTGCAGCTCGCATATTTCATCATTTTCTCATCTTGAGGTGCTAATGAGCTAATGTGCCTAGAACTCACTCACTTGGCTCCTCAGCCGTGAACTCTCCCGCCATGTGATGCTATCACCTGGACTCGCAGTCCGCCATGACGCAATCTTCACATCACCAACGCGCCGTTTGGCGTGAACGGCCGTCCCCAATTGAAATAACGAGCCAGTTGGCGGGGCTCGTCCGGCTGCCGCTTTTTTATCTTACGTGCCAATTGATGCAGGTTTCCTATTGACAGATGCACATGCATCGAGTCATGTTGTCAATAATCCAATCTTAGACTTGGACCCTGGAATGACTTTCGATCGCGTCTCGCACACTGGTCCCACTTTTCGTAGCTGTGGCATCCATTGGTGAGATACTGTGCAGGCGGTGGAGAATCGAAGTGTGAGCAAGGCCAATTCTGTAGGCCTCTTCCCAGAATGGAAATAGCTTTTGGGTGGTACCACAGAGCAGTTGTATCCAATTCCTCGCAACGCATCAACAATTAGAATCAGGTAGAAGTACTCTTTTATTGTAGCCAATTGAATTAAATACCGAAACGCTCGAATATTCCAGCTGCTGCGTATCTGGACATAGTGGCGGTGCGTGCTAGATGTTGGCGTGACATTCGCTCAACTAACAGCGGTGGCAGTATGTTGGCTGAGCCTGTTGACTACCGCACGCCAGTGATGCCACTCCAGAAGTTGCCTTGTGAATGCAACAAACAATCAACAACAGCACCAACAATATGCCGGTGCCATTGTTAATGCCTGGCTGTCAGCCTACCTGCATCAATCCTATTGAACACGCGGCCAACAATAGGCCCTGCTTTTGTATTTTTCCATACGTGTTGCGTTCTGCGAGCGCCGGGGTTCCGATGTACTCCCATCCCTCGACGACTATTTCACCTGCGCCGACCCTCCCCAGCGGCTCCTTTTTTCGTCACTCCAGTCAACATCCCACTTTCAACGAGAACCGTATGCTTGGTCGTATCGAAAGAATGCAGCCTATCCGTGTTTGGCTGGCCCGTAAGTCCCTGCTCCTCTGATCAGACGTGTTTCTAAGCTAAAACCGCACTGCAGCTCCTGGGCCGAATCCTTGGAAGGTATGCACCGCTCCGAAACGACGAGAATTCCGATCCTTTTTTCATGCTCATCCGCCGTGGTTTTTAGGTCATCACCGTCCTTGAAGAACTTGCCGTGCCCTACGAAGTTGTGTCGATTCGCTTTGAGAACATCAAGCAAGCTCCGTTCATCGACATCAACCCCAACGCCCGAGTTCCTGGTATGGCTTAAAGAAATGATCGATAGAACACGGGATATATCTAACAGGTGTACAGCTATCGAGGGCCCCAATACTGGCGTCAAGATCTGGGAGACCGGAGCCATTATTCTCTACCTGATCCAGAAATACGATATCAACAACCAGCTGCATTATGATTCCATGGACAAGGAAATTCTTTGCAAGCAGTGGCTCATCTTTCAAGTCAGCGGACAGGGTCCATACTTCGGACAGTGTACCTGGTAAGAGACATCTGGAACCTACATCAGTATTCCCTTGCTTATCTATTTATAGGTTTACCTATCTGCACCCCGAGAAGCTCCCCTCCGCAATCGAGCGTTATTCGAAGGAGATCAAGCGCGTTCTTGGAGTCTTGGATAAAGTACTGGGAGCTGATCCCAACAAGGAGTGGCTGGTAGGGGATCGCATCACATACGCCGATCTCGCCTTTGTTCCTTGGAACGACCGACTGGACGTCACGCTCGGAGTCCCCGCCGATAAGAAGTTCGAAGGCTTCCCCAACGTCAAGAAATGGCATGAGCGCATGATCAATCGACCTTCCTGGATCAAGGCTATGAAACTCAGGGCCCGTCTGATGGACGAGCATGGTCTAGACTGGAATGGCATGCCCAAGGGCACGACAAACTTGCAGAAGTATCAGGAAAGTGTTGCTCAGGACGAGGCTTAAGGGTTAGATGGAAATCCAGTACGATTTGTTGGTGATGTCGCTCGGCCCCGAATACCTTAGCTTTAGATCCTCTGCACCCGAGTATTTGATACGAATAGCATCTACGAGAAATGTGATCTCTGTACCCGGGAAAGAATCTACGTAGGGTTAGGGTTAGGGTTAACCTCGTAGAAGAAAAAATTGCAATGCTGCGTCACTGAGATTGGGACACTATCTGGACGGTAATCAACGCAAGTAACAGTAGTGTTTGTGCAGAAATAGGGGCAAGGTCGCCCGCCAGGCAACTTTGAGCAGAGTTAGTATATGCCGAAGGTTCACGCTGGGCCGTCGAACTATCGACGGTGCAATACCCTCAATGTTCAATTTGCTATCGTAACCAGTCTAATGAGTCCTCCAGCACCCGCTCGCATACTTGGCGAGGTCTTCAAGCACAGCAGGCTATATCTTGATGAATTTCCACGTGGTCCTCCCGTTCTGCCTGACCTCAAGCCCCTTCCCGTCCGCCGAAGTCGTGACCACATTGAGCCTGAAAGGCGTATGTGGGGAAAGCAGCAGATTGCCGCCCTCCGGATGCGGCCGTAGAGTGAACAACTCCCACTGCTCAAGCACCGTTGACGAGGCGCGGACACCACTGATCCCGCCCCCCTCCCAACTGCCATCGTGGCCCATGAACCGCCCCGACGCGGGGTTCTGGAAGCCTAGGTAGCCGTCCTTCTCGACGCAGAGCCAGTGTTTCTTTGCGGCGAAACCATCGCCGGGCGCCTGGAGCAGGAGACGATCGCCGCCGACAAGCGCCCCTGGCACGCTGATGGCGCGACCGCTCGAGCTCTCTATGATGAGGTAGGTCCTTCCATGCTCCGGCGCCGAGCCAAGGCCGTCGCCGAGAACGGAGTCGCTGACTGTGGGGGTACTCGACCCGAAGCTCGAGGAGAACTTTTCGTTGAGGCTTGAGTTGGCGTCGCTTAGAGTGGACATTTTCGCTGGTGTGGTTCGTGAGGCCCGAGGGTGCGATGGAAATTCTTTCTCGTTTGGAATTTTTGAGAGGAAATGGGTTTGGTTAACTGCGAGAATGGATTCGGATCGCTTTTCTAGGAGGAGATGTGCAACCTGCTGACGTTTCATCAGCCGATCAGCACTGCCACATGATCATGATCAGGGAAGTCAGTCACGTATCGGCTTCTGTTTCCATATCGTCTGTCAAGAGGCCAGACTATGCAGCTCTCTTGATACCGTAGGTTCGCCCATAGCATTGCGCTGGAAGATTGTATCGAATGGTGAATCTGAACCCGAGCGTAATATGAGGAGGGTTGGTGACTTGCCAAGTTGTAAGTGGTGTCGGTTGTAGGGGTCAGGGTTCAGGGCCAGCCTCAAAGGGGCAAATCTGATAAGCGGGGGATAAGATGAACATTTGGGCCACCCTTGCTTTTGACAAGAGGTCGAAAAAAAGGAGGCAACAAAGGAAACACGCCGGCGGACTCTCAGGGCCTTGCCTGGCACAAAGGGACGACGTAGCCAAGTGCATGCCATCTGTGCGAATGGATTGATGAATGTTATTTTGTAACGGCATAACGTCTGGTTAGTTGCGCTGTACTGCACTACAGTGGCAAGTGGGGCTCTGCTGGGCGATCTTCAGTTGAACTTGCAGTTGGCAGCGCTGCCTCAGGCCTGTTCCCCTGTTCCCTCCCTTACCACGACATTAATCATCACTGGCAGCTGCTGATTCAACATCACTCATCGCACTCCAAACCACCCGAACGAGAATAAGAAAATTCTTCTCTCTGTCTTTGAAGTTTATCCAATGGTGATCGCAGAGTATTGGACGAGATTGCCGCCGGCGCAAAAACGCTCAACGACCAATGTTCAACGCTCGATGATTGCTCCCTGGAAACCTTCACCCCTTGCACCGGGAACACCCCGTTTGTCGGACACCCACGTCGGGTCCCTAGATGCCGGAGGAGTGACAGATGCATACGGGAAATATGCAAATTCCAACATTTTCAGCGCAGGATGCTCGGCAAGAAACTGTCACTAGTCCCCGTCGGGCAAGGTGTGTGATTACCGAACATGGTGTTGAACGTTGGTGATTGCTTCGTCATCCGCGCCGGCCCGAACTACAGGATGTAACGGTTGGAGTCTAGGGGTTGGGAGTTGGGCGCCCTCCAACGGTGCACTGACAGATCTCTTTATATGTAAGCATTCCCCAGGAATCTTAACCGACGTCCCTCGAATGTCTTGAACTTCGTCTTTGGTCACCTGTCTAATGCATTGCTAACACGGCCAGTCTCATCCGACCCGGAGGACAGAAATTACCCACACCCGCACCATGGCACAAGGCGATATTGAGAGCCATCTCGCAGGTGGAGAAGAGACTGCCGATGCAGTCAGCACCGTCTTCACTCCCATACGGCTGGAAAGAGAACGTACCGCGGCGGGACGATCGAGAATCACGACGACCGAAGCACTGGCTCATTCTTGGTCCCAAAACGGATACAGCTGCGATCCTGTACTCAATCCCGACGAGAGCTCCGAAGATGACGGGCCAGAAAAGAATGATTTCGTGGTGGGCTGGGACCAGGGGAGTCGGGATCCTCTATGTCCGCGTAGATTCAACACTATGAGGAAATGGATTATCGTCTCGATTGTTTCCATGGCCAGTCTTTGCGTGTAAGTCGCACCCCTTCCCAACCAAATTTCCGGTACTTAGGTTGGGAGGTCAATGCCCTGCATCACATGAAGTATCTGTTGGTCTGTATAACGACAACTAAACAATCCCTTCCATAGCACGAGCGCGAGCTCTATCTATGGGTCGACGTATACGCAAATGGAAGCAGAGTTCGGCAACTCTCGAATCGTCTCTACTCTTGGCCTGTCAATGTTTGTGCTTGGAATCAGCCTGGGCCCGATGCTCTTGAGTCCCTTGAGCGAGTTTTACGGACGAAGGCCCATATATCTCGTCTCCTGGACAATGTACATCATCTGGCTTATTCCGCAGGCCGTTGCTAAAAATATCCCTACCGTGATTGTCGGCCGCTTTCTCGATGGACTGTCGGGCAGCGCATTCCTGGCAGTGTCAGCCGGTACGGTGGGCGATTTGTTCAACCGAGACGGACTTCAGGGGCCGATGCTCATGTTTTCATTGGCACCTTTCGTTGGGCCCGCGATTGGTCCTGTCATGGGAGGGTTTATCAACTATTTCACAGACTGGAGATGGACCTATTATGTGTTGCTGATCTGGGCTTTTGTTATCTGGCTGTGTATCATCTTTCTCGTGCCAGAAACTCACCGTAAGTGGCAAAAATTCATTGACGCTACATCCGATTTTCTAACCTGGGGCTGTTCAATCTAGATTCTCTTATTCTCAAAAGCAAAGCCGTAAAGAAGCGGAAGGAAACATCCGACGATCGCTGGAAAGCACCCATGGAGATGTCCGACAAATCCGTTGCCAGCGCTATCGGCCACTCGCTTCTCCGCCCATTCGAGCTCTTGATATTTGAGCCCATGTGCCTGAACCTGTGCCTCTTCTCTGCTATTCTGCTCGGCATTCTCTACCTCTTCTTCGGTGCTTTCCCATTGGTCTTCCGGGGCGTTTACGGGTTCAACCTCTGGCAGAGCGGCCTGACCTTTTTGGGCATTCTAATTGGCATGCTCTTCGCAGCGGGTTTAGATCCTATTTTCCGACGTATCCGCGTGAATCTTGTCAAGAATCTTAGCGCTGAGACTGGCGTCGAGGGTTCGAGCGAGCCCGAGTTTAGATTACCCTCTGCGATTGTGGGATCTGTGCTAGTTCCCGCAGGTATCTTCATGTTCGGATGGTCTTGCTTTCCTTGGGTACACTGGATTGTCCCGGTGATTGGATCAGGGATATTTGGAGCCGGGTTAGTTTGAATATTTCTTCAACTCTTCAGACATGCTCTGGCACTGGTTCTAATTGGTGTGTTCTCTAGGGTTGTGCTCGTGTTCAATGGCATATTTACGTTTCTGGTAAGTGGCCTCGCTTCCTCTATTCCCTGGATAATGTAGTAACTGTTCCGATAGGTTGATGCATACCCTCAATCTGCTGCAAGCGCACTCGCTGCAAACGCTTTCGTTCGCTGCGCATTCGCAGGTGAGTGTTCCCTGGAATCTATCCCCGCCACCCTTGATAAGGAGCTGGGGAAGCCCAGAAGTTCATTAGCTGATGCTAGAGATTTGTAGCTGCGTTTCCCCTATTTGGAGTTCAGATGTACAACAAACTCAACTACCACTGGGCGTCATCACTCCTCGCCTTTTTGACCGTTGCTATGATGCCATTTCCGTATCTGTTCTTCAAATTCGGGAAGAGAATCCGAGCTACAAGCAGATTTGCAACATCATGAACGTCTGAACAAGGATAAATGACTAGTTTCTTACAGTTTTTGCTGCCGGAACTGGCATTGTTGTACACATAATCAAGCTTTATGAAGATCATCAGTGTCTAGACGATGCAATCTATTGTGAGGGCTACCCCTTTTTAGCCAAGTGAGAACTGAGTGCGCGTTTAGCTGGTCAGGACCCGTATCACGATGGGCTGACAGTGGAAGCCACATCTCGTATTCATGTGCCGACACACAAAGTCGTATTGGTTTTTATAAAACCATCTACCGAATCGCAGAATACGTAATGGATGCCCTGGCAGCATAACTTGACCTACAAATACGCCTACTCCCAATATTGTGGTGGTCATGCAGGGGCATCAGACCGATGATTGGCTGCTCCTTCATCAATGGCAAGGCATTTTCCTACTGAATCCTACTTGGTCTAACCCTGGTTCGTGCTAACTTATGCTTGGAAGCTAGCGTAAGCAACTGGTTCTCTTTGGCCTAGTTGACGGACTGTTAATTGAGCCCCCCATCACGCAGGCCGTGTATGCGGTTGATTCCAGACACAGTCTTGGTCTTAACACTAATTACAATGTCTCTGACGGAATCAGCGCAGGCAACTGTAGGTTCGCCGTCAAATGCCTTGACGACCCCTTTTAAACAACCGAGAGGCTGCGGTGATGAATTTCCAGTGACAAAGAACTTCACCAGCATCTACAGGACCAACAGTACAACGACGAGCTCAGTCCACACCGTCATTGCCTCTGGCCCTGGAGCCTCAGGGTTTGCGGCCTGCCAGCCCTCACAGTGGGATGAGACAAACACACAGTTTTCGTTCAGCCCGGGTGTCTGTCCCAGTGCGTGGACAGTCTGGCAGATCTCGCAGTATACCAATGGAACCTGGACAGCCATGTGCTGCTCGAGGTCTGCATATCAAACCTGCCCTGTATCTCTGATTCTATGATGGTAGCTGGCCAACGTGGATCTCCAGAAACTTCCATCCTCTCTCCAACACCTGGAACATCGAGGGAATTCCCAACGACGCCTGTGCGAGCATAGTGACGAATAACATAACCACATCCTACACCACGTCTACCAACACTGTCACAGTCGGATCAGTGATTTACACAAACACCTACACGTTCAGCCCCAGTTCGGGAACCACTACAACGTGGATTCACAATGCCTGGCATATCTCATGGGACCCGACAGACGTTGTGAGCCTCACTCCCTCCCCACCGACGCCTAGATGTTCAACATCGGGCATCTTGCGTTGGGTACCTGGGGAGAGCCTCGGAAATAACAGCTCGGTACTCGGCTCTGAGTGCCAGAAGCAGGAGTCGGGCAATACCGCGGGCTGGGGACTCTACATTTTCCTGGTAGCTGGCTTGCCCACGATCTTCGGCTTGGCCCTCATTGGGTGCTGTGTCTGCGCTATTCTAAGCAACAGCACACAGAGAAGACGCCAAAGGGAGAGGGTGGCCGAGGCTAATCCGGCATCAAGCCAGGTAAGGGAAGCCAGCCAGAATCAGGGCAAGACGCACCCAGCGGTTCAAGAGACGATTCCACTCGAGACCGTGGGACAGAAATGAAAGCTGGATCTGCAGCAAGCGTAGCTGCGGAGTACCACGGGATTGTTCGTTTCTTTTAATCCCTGTGAACCATGGTTGCCGATTGGCTATACGTGTTAATGACGAATGCTGTAATCCAAGCATTCGGTGGTATCAATGTGATATTGTCGATAGTCTCGTGTCATTAATAATCACACGATAAAGAATGACGAATGAACTTGAGACTCCCATACTAAGGAGTGCAGACATGTCGTTTGTCTACCTCTAAGAGTAGAGTGTGCCATGTGATATATGAGTAAAGAACAGGTTGAGATCAGTTGCTCTTTACTGGGACAGGATAATATACCTCGCATCTCAAAAACGCCTGGCTCTTGCAACGGGAACCTTTGAATGCAACATGATATTTTCGTCATCGCCATCCTAGGAGGATCCTAAGAAGCAGTTTTATCGATCTTCATGATGATGGGAATGTACTTGGCATGGGATCCGGTAAGATCGAAATGGTGCCACTATCCGGAGGGCTAGGGTTGTAAGGCGTACATGGACATGGGTCAAAGCCCTTGGGTATACACCATCTGGTAGAAATTGTATTGCTTTCTCAAAAAGTAACATTCCCTTAAAGGTTCCGACCTTGAACAATCCTACTGCGAGATAAGCAGGTGATTTAATACGGGTCGTAGTAGTTCTTAGCGTTCTCCGCATCGTAGTAGGCATCTAGAAACGTTCTCTCCCTTCCCAAGCCATACATTATCAGAACAATGGCGATAATGTAGTTGACTATGAATGGTACGCCGAATAGCGTTGCTTTACTCCTCGAGGTGGTTCCCGACACCAGGGCCAAGGTTGCCCCAAGGCAGGATCCAGGGACAACTAGCCATCCACCGGTAAAAAGGAAAAAGGGTATAAAGATTGCACAAACAGAGAGAAACGCCAATACTCTGAGGTTGGTGCTGGTTTTCACTGAGGCCAATATCGCGGCGCTTATGGCGAAGATACATTTGGCTGCGAAGCTAGTTATGATAATGGCCTTCTTGTACCAGGTGAATGCATCGAGGATATCGAGACTACATGCCAGGATGCCCCAGAATAAAGCCAGAAGGAGCCATCTTTGCCGCAGTATCCCTTGCCGCAGGCTGTAGAAGCCCTGTGGCAGGGGAAGTCCTGTAACTGAGCCGCCCTGTAAAAGTTTCTCGATCTCATGTTCAAGCTGCTTGTCGTCTATCGTTAGATATTCAATCTTAGCAGCTTTTAGTTGCCCGCCAAGCACTTCTGTAAACTCAAGGAGACCTTTCCAATCGTTATAAATGGCCGCGAAGCCGTTGAGTTTGAGCGTCAAGTGGCTTTTTATCCAGACGAGAGCCATTCCAATAGTCCATAGCGAGAGAAGAATGAGGTTGATAAACACTTGGAGAAATGAGAACCCCCACTGGTATCTCTGATCAAGCACTTTATTAGTCCAAGCTTGGCGAAACATGTTAAGTCTTGAGTACCTACATTCTGAATGGGCTGGCAGGTGCCGTTCTTTTGCATTGTTGCCATATCGAAGGCTTCGTTGGAAAGTGAGTATGTCATCAAAGATTTATCGGTGAACAGAGGGTCATCTTTGCTTTTAGAGGCCCAGAAATCCTTGGAGTAGTTCGGACGGAAAACGACCGGAGGTAGATAAAATGCCGTTATGTTGAGCGGCGGACCCTGGAGGGTTTCTGTACCCCAACTCGTGTCATTTCGGTTCTTTACGATTGCGCTTCCTGCCGTATTGGAAAGGCCATATGATAAAACATCTATGAGACACAATCAGTGAACCATCAAAAAGTCCGAGGTACACCAGAATGTCTTACAAGTGGTAACATTCCCTATCAAATCATGATGTTCAGTGGGAGCTTTTATGCTGGCGTAGCCAGTAACCATGCGGGGAAGGTAGGTTGTGCTTTGTACAAGTAAACCCCTGGCTCCTATTTTCTTCTTCAGTTTATGCTCTTGGAGACCGGGAAATACATAGATTACCTTCATCATAAGGGACGTGTTGATTCTCACTCAGGCCAACCCGGTTGCCATCGTGGATGATGAATGCTAATGGGAAAGCTTGTGAATAGCTGTCAAGGCCATGTTCTCCTAAATCAACCCATGCTTGATTTGCGGTCGTATATCCAGCCAAGGAACTCATCAAGGTCGGAAATGCAACAACGAATAGTGCCGCGATAACAAGAAACCACATTTTGAAGGCCGAAGCAAGCCCCCGTCCGAGGCAGAATTGTCTTGCCAGTCGTAAAGTAGATAGTGTCGACGGTTCTGTATAAAATCTCAAAAGCCACACTGTGGTGTAGGACGCAGGCTTTGTGGCAATGGAGACTGACAAGTATTCGATCCAAATTCTTGTCGATGCTATCGCAAGAATTGCCTGTCCTCCTCGGCCGACTATCTGAGCGGAACAGACTGTTAGTCCTCTTCACCACCGCGCATATAACTGATGCGCTTTTGCAACAAGGTAGCTGGTCCGACAAAGAAAACTAACCAGATTCCAAAAAATATCAACAGCCTTGGCTGAATCAAAGGATAAAGTTCCTATTCTCAATGTGATTTGAAACAACCCTTTTGGTGACCACCAATCGAAAGTGTTCGCGATCGCGTTGAATTCTCCATCTGGTTGACAGGGGCTGTTTTCTTTGGAAACTCCTGAGCCAATAGACAACAAAAGCAACCAGACGACTAGTACGATGAGGCAATGTACCCAGATGGCAAAGAGATACATGAGACCTTCGCGCTGCCATTTCATGGATCGTAAGTCATGCCATGCTTCCCTGAATGGCCTGGTGAATTTTTGACTGAAAGAGATCTTTGGCTTTTTGACGAGGGTTTCCCGCAGGTCGGATTCGCTGTTGCCATGCTCATGCGTAGCCATGGCAGCCAATCGAAGACCAAGCGTAGCTAACGAATGTAAGCGGAATTAAGCTGGATGGACAGACTTGATAAACATCGTCGATGAATGCTGGAATTTTGTGAATCAAAGCCGAAAAGATAGGGCCACTTGGAATATTAATAGAGGAAGACTGGTTGATCCACGTGGACTGAGGGTTCCTTGGCATAAATCCTCAGTGGCGGAAAAGGTTCTGTATTTGGCCAAGTCAGCTTACTTTTGGGTCCTTCGATGGTGCGGTGCCTGTTTTGTTGGAACTTCAGTCTTTAGATCCATTCGAAATTATTCTCATGCAGTCAGCGCGTCAATGCCAGCCCCTTACTGGCTTCTATGCGCAGAAACGCCAAGCTGGTACGAGATAATGAAGCCCCGTAGTAGACAGAAGAACCTTCACTGTTCAGCCTGATGCCCAGCGGATAGAAGTTGTCTCATAATGGCCAAGGCCAGGGGCGGTGAATGCTCAAATGGGCCATGCCAAGATAATTTCTTGACTTCATTATCTCCTGGGCTTTGTTCGTGGGGGCGGGGCGAGGTAAAGTTGCTTGGTTTTCGGGTAAATGCGTGCAATGAAATGCCTAGAATTCTGGGCAAACATGGCGCATAAGGCTGATTTAAGGCATTATTCAGCTCGCCTATCGCACAACCCTCTCTGCAATACACCACGCAGGTGCTGCGCCACATTGGCGAACCGCCCCACGTTATGCCTTGCCAGCAGCAGTCGAACGGATATATAAGAGCATTGGGCTAGGTAGCAAGTTCCTGAACTTGAAACTAGAGGGCCGATCAGTTCCAAAGCCGTTGCTCGTATATTGAAAGGTCATCTGCAGTCCAGCAATTTTCCTCGTCGTTTCCTGAGAAGATAGCGCCATGGCGGACACTTTTTTGACTGAAGTACCTCCGGAAATCCTCGATGAGATACTGGACAAGGTCTGGGATCTAAAACATTGCCGTCCTTGAGCTCGGAACTGACTGAGAGATCAAACACAGCTGTCAAAACGTGACCTGAAAACTCTGACCCAGGTATCCAAGGAATTACACAGATTTTTCTTCGATAAAGTCTGGAGATCGGTGACTATAACGCCAGTCGACGAATACCACCAGCAACGCACGCCGATGCAACTGTTGTCCGAGAGATGCCTTGAGAATGCACAAGAGCTTCATTTCAAGGCAAACTTTCAATACCCAACAACCAATAGGTGTCTCCATGGGCACAAGGAAAGCGATGAATGGTACACTCGTGAAGGCCTCTACCAGGGAGCTCCGCGAGCCGAAGTGCTGGAAGAAGGCGGAGAACAGACACCGCCGTTTGAATCTCTTTCACACAAAGCAGCCTCGGTACTTGATAATGTCAAGGCAAACTCCTTATCCAGTTTCAGGTATGAGATGGACGATGGCGGATTGCGATCAAGACATTGTTCCGCAGAACAGCTGACACAGGTGTGATTGCAGCTGGGATCTAGGAACGTGTATTCCGGCCGAGATTCTAGGCCGGAATGGGATTCTACCCCAAAAGCACCCGAAACTGCAGAGTCTCAGCGTGTGCGGTGATTTTTTATGTAATAGAGGTGGCAAGATTTCCGTCTCCGCATTCCGCAGCCTTCAAAGACTAAGATGGAGAGCGCCAAACACAAGGCAGGTGGACGCCTTGTCCGAAGCTATTGAGAACAATGCAAGCCATTTGAAAGAGCTAGAGATAGACTTTGCTCGCTGGAAGACACTCGAGGGTACTATCTCGTACCCTTACGGAGGCTTGGGCGGTGGCATATCGAGAAAGGTTTTCGGGGTCGGCCACCAAGGCCTTTATACGGAGGTCACCCAACTTGTGGGGATTCCAAGTCCACTGCAAGGCATCATCTTCAAGGAAATCCGCTCACTGTCCCTCACAGAGGTCCCGCTCACGGCAGACCTGGCGCGGGCGATTAACTTTCAGACACTACAGTCCCTCAAGCTCCGCACATGCCCTGACTGGTTTGGTTTCCTCAATGCGATTGTTGAGGATAAGGTGAAGCTTAATCTGAAAGCATTTGAACTGACCGACGATCTTGGCGAATACCAGAAGACACAGGATGGATATTATGCTGCCTGTGTTGCATCGATGCCTGCTTTCTTGGCTTCATTCCAGGGACTCGAGCAGCTTCACCTGGCCGTCTTTGGCATCCGGAACACCGCTGCAGAGTGGCAGGGGTGTGCCCGCGATCATAGAGAATCACTGAAGAGCTTGGTGTTCCATGAACGATTTGCAAACTGGGACCGACAGAGTTATGGCAGTGGACAAGTTTCCGACTCCGGATATCTTCTGCTTCCGGACGAGCGCAAGCTGTTCAAAGAGGACCCCTCACAGAATCCTCTATCACTTTTTAACCTGAATTTCCTTGGTGTGTGCTGTCGAACGGAGAATGTGGTAAGTGCACTGGCTCCTTGGCTTCGTTCCCCAATCTAACACACGCTCAGCAAAGCCTACTTGCCGGTCTCAAAGAGCGCAATACTCTCAAGATTCTTCATATCCGAGCGAGTAGTGCATATCTGGAGATGGTTGAACACTCCGAGGCTGTGAGCCAACTGGATCTGGAAAAGGCTATGATTGTAAATCAGCAGGACTTTGACAGTACGAATTTCGATGATCCTTTGCGTCATGTTGTCAGACCAAAGCGTCCCGTCAAAAAGGAGGCTGAAGAAGTCAAGCCGGAATTTTTAGATATGGTAAGATGGGCGTTTGGACCAGAAGGTATCAATTCTCTTGATGTCCTTGCATTTGGAGACTTCTCGAATGGTTGTCGAGAGCCTCAGAACAATCTCGTCTTCTCCAGAAACCGCACGGGTAACAAGTGGGGGTTTTCGCGTATTCATGTTGATGGTGAAGAATGGCACGATGTTCTGGACCAGTATGGGGATGCGATCGAGGCGTGCCCGACAGACAGGCTGTTACACACCTGGGAAACCTTGAGTCAGCGAGTCCCAATCAGTGTTTATTTGTCTCAGATGAGGGAGTAAATGCAAGAGACTTAGTTGCACTTCTCTTCTGGATCATCTCAGCTCTTGACATGCCCCTTTGTCGTTGTCATTTATTATCAGGGGCGGGTTCTTGGGAGAAGTGGGTGACATCGAAATTGAGACACTCAAACATTAAGCTGCTTATTCTCGAGTTCTGCGAGCGTATTGTCAGATTATTGAGTGCCAACAATACATGCTTGAGAGCCAATACGGCATATATTGTCACTTTATTTTGTTTAATACTAACTGGATTCTCGATTTATCGCCGAAAGTAGTGTGTTAAAGCCACTCCTCCATTAGTTCTCTCATCTGCCCTGTCGCCCACTTGCCGGCTTTTCACGATCTGTATCCACCCAACTTCGCAGACTGCTTGTATTCATTCTCTCGCTCCGGTCAATGCGAGACAAGGCTCGGGTCAAGTCGTGCATATACTCAGTTGCACGCCGTGCAGGTGGTTCGGAAGCTTCAAAGGGGCAGTTGAGTAATGCCACGCCTACGTCGCGGACTTTGTAGGCCTGAAAAAATGATCGAAATTGTTAGCGTCCAAAATATTTCACTCTCGCGGGATCGCAAAAGACCAGTTGCTGGTCAACTCACAAAATATAGACCGTTTGGTTCGATGTGTGTATGGGGCATGCTATGCACCAAATGAAGCATCTGACGGCAAACGTCTTCACGTTCCGACCAGCTCGCTTTCAGAGCTGCCAAGTGGCAGTCTCTCTCAGCTTGCGATATATCAGTTCTCTTCAACATATCCTGCAGAATGAGATCAATCTGGTCTAACAGGGCGCTTTGGAGCCATAGATGCGTGCCGTGTAGGTTTGCCCTCATGATTTCAAACTGGCCAGGGAGCGACTTTACATCATCCTCGTTCATATCGATAGCTTGGTGACTCGCGCTAGAATTCTGTTGAACACTGGCGGGAGATACTATGGATACATTGTCTGGGAAAAATAAATACGACCGAGACGCCTCACTCCAGGATGAAGATGCCCACTGTCGGATTTCAGAGGGGGCGTCATCAAGCATGTAGCGCATCTCCTGCAGAAGATTCCGGAGATGTGATAATCTCTCTTGAGGCTTTACTCGTCGTTCCCAGTCACACAGGGCTGGCGTTAGTGCAAGCTGGGCACTCTTACGAAACAGCCTTGAGTGTAAGTTGAAGCCTGCAGCTAGGTTGAATTTCGTAGCCCTGGGATGATACTGGGCTATAGAGACTGCCGGGGAATAGGCTGTAGGCGAGGAGACAGGAGATTCAAAGATTTTGTCTTCGAGGATTTGTTCATCGTCTAGTTCTAAGGGGATGAGAGCATCAAAGTGTACCTCGGCTAGCATCCCATGGTCGAAGAAACTCAACCGTTCTTGACGTCCGCACTGATACCACGCATGACTTTGTTCTGGAATGTTAGAGAGATACTGATACAATGAGATGGGAGCTTCGAAAAATGCTTACGCGTATGTGTAGAAGCACAACCAGAATGCCTTTTTCCGCAGCTGAGTTTCGATGTAGTTGAGTCCCTCGTAATCCGCGATGCGATGAATCCCAAGCAAACGGCCGGTCTGCAAGAACTCGACCTCTAACATGCGGCTACGATTGGCCTGCCCGAGCTGGAAGCAGCCAACAGACATCAGATAGCTGCTTGCCCACTTTTGGTGGCTGACTTGGTCCCAGTAGGTGGCCTTCCGCATGGACATGCACATATCGATGCAGGCATTGACAACCGATTCTCGTGTCTGAAACTTGGATGAGGTGCCGGAAGCCATGGACTGGTAGTGAGGGAATCTGGAGGGCAGGAGACCGACGGTGACCACCACCAACGAGAGGATCAAAGCGAGAAAGTCTGGATCATCCACATCCTCGCTCAGGGTGAGTCGACGGCGGAAGGTTGGACGGTGCACAACCGGGATGAGCGGGTAGATGCGGGCCAGATAGTCGCCCATGATGGCGAGAATTAGGTTTCGTGGGCCGATTTTGTCTGTTTCAAACCAAGGACCACCAACAAATGGGTCGATCTGACGACTGGATGGTTCAGTTGGGCTTGCATCTTGGACATTTGGTTGCGCATAGACTGGAGCTTGAGACGGAACTTGGGACGGGGGCAGGATGGAGGACAGAGTAGGGATGACTCTGTTCTTTCGAGCCCGCCATGGGGATTCTAGTGCCCGGGACGAGCTATGGATACCCTTTGGCATGATGGTTGAGCCGGTTTTTCTATAGATAGCAGTTAGACACTACCATAAAACTTTATTTGTGACAACACTACCTTCGCTTCGGGCCTCTTGTCTGTGTTGGCTTGAGAAAGGTACAGACGAGGTCGAGTCTGATGCACTCGCTACATCGTTCCGTCTCCGTCCTCGTCCCCGTTCCTGCCTCCGTTCCCGCCTGCGCCTGCGCCTGCCGTGTGTTATTTTCGACGGCAGGAGCATCCCCGAAGACGCAACGGCGGCGCCGCACTCGGCAAAAGTCACATGCTCGTCTGGCAATTGTCGACTGCCGGCTGCTGCAAGTGGAATTGGGAGGGCCGCCGTCTTTCTCGGGGCTGCAACTCCTGCTTGTGGTGTCGGCCTCAAAGTCCACTAACACCGGCGATGAGGCCTCGTGAGAGCTGCCGGAGCGCCGCATCACTGCCTTCCTGCACTTAATAGTTAATGCCCCTAGCAGTTCATGTCGCGGACTCGTGGCGGTGCGGGCAATTGGCGAAGAGGAGAATTAAACAGCGGAGAAAAGGGGCCTCACCATGTGGTGCGTGGAGAAAAAACCTCATTCCCGGTAGCCCATCCATGTTTCCGACGTTCGAATCAGGCAAGGTGAATTCGTCACGACGACGGGGTAAAAGGACCGAATATGTCACCATCACGACTTGCCCCAATTTAACCCCGGATGGGCAATTCCCACGTTCCAAATAGCCTTAAAATCCATCCCGCATTGCGCTCTCCGCACCTCGTGAACGCAATCGACAGGCTAGCAAGTGGGTGACAGGAGGAATGAGACACCAAACCACTACTTCAAGCCACGCTTTTACCTTCATTTTATCCAGACCCTGACTCGTAACCGATGACTGAATTGACTGACTATTCGTCTTACCTCTATTCCTTAAAGCCGGCTGTAACCTCAAGAGGCGCTGTAATGAGGGTTTTAAATGCTTCCTTGTTGGCTTTGTGAGAAATCCCCCTCTTCTCAATTTGTTCAATCGCCTAGGACAAGGAAAGTCTTCGTACGATGATTTACAATGCGGGTGATGAAGCTATCAACTAACAACATTGCCTCTAACTGGCGCTTGCGTATCCCTGCCATCATACGCCTCCGCCTCCGGTCTATATGCACCCAAACGTCCAAGATATCAGTACACCTGAGCCATCAACCCGAATATATATATATTATATATCCTGTGGGAGTTGTCGTAGGTGTGATAATCTCTCCGTAGGCTTGACTCGCAGTTCCTAGTCATACAAGGCTGGTATCAGAGCAAGTTGCGCACTCCTATAAAACACCCTTAGGTGTAAATTAAACCCGGCAGCCACCTTAGTTGAATTTCGTGGTACAGGTGCATAGATACTGCCGGTGAAATAGCCAAATACCCAACATGTCAATACATCAAGCCGACAGGTTGACGATTTTGTCGGTGGCCTTTGGTTCGCAACAGGCAGTTTACGAGTTACGAGCCGGCAAAAAGGTGGGGCGGGCACAAGGAGACCTTCGAGTTTTGCTCAATGCCGAGCCCAGTTAGTGGAATGTCACTGTCAAACTCACCAGACATGGGAGGGAGGCAGTGGGTACATATAGTACACTGGTTATTATCACCATGGGTAGCCAGATCAACCAAGATACGATGAAACCTTACTTTATTATACCCATCATGTGATTGATGATTTCAATCAATTAAACAAGTCATTTTCTTATTTATACAATAGGGGGTATCTTTTACTAAATACACACTTCAATGAATACAATATTGCTCGAAGAAAAACCTCACCCGCAACCGTACGTGATTGATGATTTCAATTGTTCAAGTCTAGGTCTATAACAGGACTGGCTAACTTCGACCGAGCACTTGGGAGGCCAACATTCGGATGATTATGCATCGCCAAGCAGACCGTTCGGTTTGAGGGTGTTCGCTGAACGGATTATGCCTTAGCGCCGCCGTCTCTTTCAGCATTTTCTTCATGCTGCTCGACAATAGCACCCATCTTCTCGCTCGCGATCGCCACAGCCGCCATATCGTCGCCGTCGAAGATGACGGCCATCTGCTCCAGACTGTACCCGCGAGTTTCAGGGTAAAAGAAGTAAACGGTGACAAACATGACAACGAGCACAACAATGAACACGAGGTAGTACTTCCACTGGATACTGTCGAGCGCGATAGGGTTGACAAATGTGTTGAAGAAGATGGCGGCAATCGTCGAGACCCAGGTGACGGTAACACCGTGAGATCGCAGGGTGAACTGCCAGATCTCGCAAGGGTAGGCTGTCATGAATGGAGTTCTGAGAATATACTAGATTAGCTTTCCATTGCAGCAGCAAAAGGGTCACGCGGGACTCACAGCGCGATATCGTAACCCAGGTAGAATGTGAACAAGAACGGGATGACAGCAAGGCCGACACTCGGCGACTCATTACGGGCGAATGTTGCACTCAGTCCTGTCACAATAACCATGCTCACGAGCATGATGCTTGCGGAGCAGAGGAACAGAACACGTCGGCCAAGTTTGTCAACACTGCATGCAGCAGCAACAGCCCAAATTAGGTTCCAGACATTCAGACAAGCAGAGATCAAGGTCTGCTCAGTGACAGTCCTGACGCCAATCGAGTTCAGAATGTTGGGAAGGTAATATGTGATCTGGAAACTTGTGAGCTATCTGCATCAACATCGTAACGAAGCCAAGGAATTGTACTCACAATTCCATTTCCAGCCCACTGTCCAAAGATACCGAGGGTAACAGAGATGAAGAGACGGTGGCGGTTTCCAGGGGTCTTGGTCATGTCAGCGTAGGATGCACTGCTGGCAGCCTCCTTCTCAGCGTTAATGGTGGCTGCGATCTCGCGCATCTGATACACGACAAGATCGCTGTTCCGGTCACCTCCAGCATGGTACTTGGCCAGAATCTCAGCAGCCTCCTCATTTCGGCCGACGCTGACGAGCCAACGAGGACTCTCGGGGCACATGAGGAAGCCTGGAAGAGCAAGGAATGGCAGGACGATCTGCATGATGGCAGGGATACGCCAGCACCAGTTAGAGGCAATATTGCGGCAGCCGAAAGTGACCCAGGCGCAGAGAGTACCGCCGACATAAAAGCCGCACATGAAGAAACTGGAAGCCACAGAGCGGTGGGTAGGGTAAGCGATTTCGTTGATCAGGAGGGGAGGGCCATTGCCCAGCCATGCCGATGCAAAGCCAAAGAACAGTCGAGCATAAGTAAAGGTGACCTCGTTCTGGGCCGCGCCTTGCATGCCCACGCCCAGAATAAGAAATCCATAGCCGAGATAGATGCCAGGCTTACGTCCGTAGCGATTGCTTACCCAGGCGGCACAGGGGAACGCGAGGCCGGTACCAAGCCAGTAGATTGAAGCAATCCATCCCAAGTAGGCTCCGCTGGGGTTGCCCATGAACTCATTCCATCTTGTGAGAGCCAGCAATGAGCCCATGATGGAGCCGTCATATCCATTAGAAGATGCTAGCAATACTTGTCAGCAGCATATCCTACTGTTGGCGCGCGGCATGGTGAGTCGGAACTTACAGAACATTACAAGAGACAGAACAATATAGTTCAATTTAATGAGATGTCCGACCTTGTACCAAGGTCGGGTGTCCTTGGACAACGTGTCCAGAGGGTTCACAATCGTCGTCATTGTGGCCGATTGTCCAATTTCGGGCCTTGACAGATTTGGTGAGTTTATGAGGAGGGTGGTTCCAAGAGTTGAGGAAGATGTTGTGAGAACCGCGATGTAAAGCCGGGGCGACGAGGATCTATATACAAAGCTTCACTGCGAACGGGGGTGGTGTCCTCGGTCTGAACTTCTGATTCCGGCGGCCTGTGCGCCGCAGAGGAACAGTCTCCTAGCCGAACTGGCCAATTCTTGCCGTATCACGAGGTCGCCCGCGTGGGGACTGGGGCTTCAGCCATTCACTCGGCTCTCAAGTCACGTAACTTGTCACCGTTCCCCGTGGAGAGGAGCTCAGTTGCATTCAATCTCCTCATTCTGGGGACGCTCAGTTTTCACCCCCTGGTTAGCTTTTTTTCATTAGTCCAGGTTTGGGTTGCTGGACAGCGGAGAAATGAGTCAGGCTCTGCCGAGAAGTGGAAAATTAGCACTTGGTCCCACTCCTAGAACATCGTGACGAGGTAAAGTGGTCCATGTCACTGCGTATTTCTCCCCTTTTTTCTCCTCTGCCCTGTCTCAACGGTCCATGGTGGGTACAGGACAGGCGAAACCAAACACAATCTGAAGCAAACGCGGAATTAATAAAAGCGTCAAGTGATGCTCAAATTCTTCATCAATGACAACCTGTGGCGCCGAGCGATTTGAACTATTGACTGACCTGACCGGTAAAATATCTCAATATTCTGGTTAGCGTGGTCAGATCATACGAGGAAGACACTTACATTTATCGAATATTCCCTCGGGTGAGAAAAAGGCTGTCCCAGTAAATCGTTTGACGGTGTTGCAGAAATGGACGTTGAAGCACTCATCGATCAGCTAACGCTGGAAGAGAAGGTTGCTCTCACAGCCGGTAAGATTGGCCCATCATTCTCGCACTGACCGTTTCGTCACTTGCAAGAACTCACACAGCTTTCGCAGGAACGGGATGGTGGCACACAACGGCAATTGAACGCCTCAACATCCCCTCCATCCGCCTCTCGGACGGGCCAAACGGCGTGCGCGGCACACATTTCTTTGATAGCACGCCTTCAGCATGCCTCCCTTGCGGTACTGCCCTGGGTGCTACCTTTGATACCGACATTGCAGAACGCATTGGTCATTTGCTATCGGACGAGGCCCATGCAAAAGGTGCACATGTCGTGCTCGGCCCAACGATCAACATCCAGCGCAGTCCCCTGGGTGGAAGAGGCTTCGAGTCTGTGTCGGAAGATCCTGTTGTCTCTGGTGTCATCGCTGGCCACTATGTCAGAGGACTCCAGAAGTCGGGCGTGAGCGCCACCCTTAAGCACTTTGTATGCAATGACATGGAGAGTGAGAGAATGGCAGTCGACTCGCTCGTGACGCCTCGAGCGATGCGTGAGATTTATCTTCTGCCATTCATGATTGCTACTGAGCTGGGTAAGCCTCGTGCGTTCATGACTTCATACGGCAAGGTCAACGGAACCCACTGCTCGGAGAATAGCCATGTTTTGCAGGACATCCTTCGAGACGAGTGGAAGTGGGATGGCTTAGTGATGAGCGACTGGTTTGGAACATATAGCACATCCGAGGCGATAAATGCCGGCTTGGACCTAGAAATGCCGGGTGCAACCAGATGGCGCGGTGTTGCATTGAGCCATGCGGTCTCCTCCAACAAGGTCAAAATGTCTGTCCTTGACGACCGAGTTCGGAACGTTCTGAAGTTGATCAAGCACGGGCTAGAAGAGACATCAATCCCCCCGACTGCTCCCGAGAAGCAGTTGAATACCCCAGAGCACATTGCGCTGCTTCGGGAGGCTTCGGCAAAGTCTCTCGTGTTGTTGAAGAATGACAACCAAGTCTTGCCATTCAACCCCAACAAGAAGACCGCCGTCATTGGCCCCAACTCCAAGATTGCCACATATTGCGGAGGTGGGAGTGCTAGTCTGCGTGCCTATGCTGCCATCACTCCATTTGAGGGCATCAGGGCTGCTGCCGATGATGTTGTGTTTTCTCAGGGCGCATACGGACACCAGATGCTGCCTCTTCTCGGTGACTACCTGGAAACTCTCGATGGGAAGCAAGGATTTACTCTGCGCACGTACAATGACCCACCACCCTTGACAGGCAAGGACACCCGCATGGTAATCGATGAACGTGTCTTGGACGCAACCAACCCCTGGTTCGTAGACTATGAGCATCCCGAGCTATCAGAAGTCTGGTTTGCCGAGGCGGAGGGTATTCTCACCCCTGAGAGGTCTGGAGATTGGGACTTTGGCCTTGCCGTCCACGGAACGGCCGAGTTGTTCATCGATGGAGAATTGGTTGTATCTAACAAGGAGAACCAGCGTCCCGGCAGCAGCTTCCTGGGCTCTGGAACAGTAGAAGAGACTGGCAGCAAGAGCCTGGTCGCCGGCCAGAAATATCGCCTCCTTGTCAAGTGGGGATGCTCCAAGACCAGCAAGCTAAAGATCTCAGGTGGTGTTGACTTTGGGCAAGGAGGTCTTCGCTTCAGTGGATGCCCGAGATTAGATCCCGCAGCCGCCATCAAAGAAGCCGTCGAGATTGCCCAGTCAGCCGACCAAGTCGTGCTCTGCATTGGTACGAGTGGCGAGTGGGAGTCTGAGGGACAGGATCGCGCAAGCTTGGCTCTCCCGCCAGGGACAGATGAGCTTGTTACCGCTGTACTGCAAGCGAACCCCAACACAGCCATCGTTGTTCAGAGTGGTACCCCGGTGGCTATGCCCTGGATCGATCAGGCGAGTTCAGTCGTTCAGGCATGGTTTGGTGGCAACGAATGTGGAAATGGCATTGCCGATGTCTTGTTTGGCAAGGTGAACCCGGTAAGTATAAGCGATGAACCTGCAGCTGTGTCAATTAATATTTCTAACCACCGTTTTTAGGCCGCAAAGCTTCCACTCACCATTCCTCGCCGGATTGCAGACAACCCTGCCGCTTTAAGCTTTCGATCCGACAACGGAAGAGTGCTCTACAGCGAGGACGTTTATGTAGGTTACCGATGGTATGACACTCTCGACATTGAACCTCTTTTCCCATTTGGGCACGGGTTATCATACACCAACTTTGCTGTATCCAACCTGGAAGTTGAAGCATCCAACCCTGAAGAGATGACTGTCAGGGTTCAGGTCAGGAACACAGGTGCTGTTTCTGGCGCCGAAGTTGTTCAGGTGTACATTGCACCAGCGGCATCAACTCCCCTGAATGCATCCCCAAGGGAGACCATCACACGGCCATCCAAAGAGCTCAAGGGCTTTGCCAAGGTCCACGTCGAGCCAGGGGCTACTGAGCAGGGCGAGATAAAGCTGGACGTTCTACGCGCCACGAGCTACTGGAGCGAGATGGAAGATTGCTGGCGTAGCGACGCAGGCGAATACGGTATTCTGGTAGGTACGAGCAGCCGAGGGGCTTTCCTTGAGACTTCGTTTGTGCTTCAAAAGACGCGACGCTGGAAGGGTTTGCGCGCATAGTCTGGTTGAGTAGAAGCTTGAACTGGGTGTCGAATCGAGAAACCTTTGCGGGTTTGGTCTTGAGGGCGCGTTTCATCTGATCTCCCTGTGAGCTGTCAATTCGATCGATTTGCTGAGGAATACATGAAGTTAACTGCTGGTGGTGACTTACCGTTTTGGAGAAGCAGACGAAGCGTATCGGACTACTTAACGGCCTGTAGCCGAAAAAGGGTCTTCCATGCTTGCTAGATGTTTGGGAAATTGGATTCATGAGGTTGAAGAATTTTTGTACAGCAACATAATTCCTGGGCTTGGATGTAGAGGAACAGGAATGGAGTCATGCGAGGGATGTAGAAATCCTGGAAGGAACCCAGCTGTTGGGGGAGGTGGCATGGGCAGCCCTGTAATCTGAGTGAGTTGCCCTGCCGCAGTGGCTCGCCCTCTGTAACTGGATCTCAGGTGCACTCGTTGCACTGTGGGGGCAGCGCCTGCCTCCGGAGAAGTGGATCGCCGAGCTCCGTCTGCCGAACAGAACAGATGAAATGCGGCACCTTCTTGGGAGCAGATGTATTAAAGGAGCACTTTTCTATAGAATTCGGGAATGTGACGGAAAGACGGGTGGCCTCGAATGCTCCATGCTAGCAGAACGCGGAATTCATGCTTCTCCTGATACAATTTGTGTGATTACGCTGTTCGCCGTCATCAACGGGCCGGGCGGGGAAGCTCGCTGTCCGAATATACCGCCAATGATTAAGGCGGCAGTGAACATGCGACTGAACTCAAATGTCATCATCGACCTGATCGACGGCCACCGAGAACGGCATACCGGTTAAACCTTATCGCAGCGTGGCTAATGACTTGGGATTAAATAAAGCTACACATTTAGGTATAAAGTGGCCTCAGCCATGCATACTTCTCATTCTCGACAGCAATTAAGTTTTCCTCTCACCAAAACTCCCAACCAGCAGCCATCACGCCCCCGTTCTAGTCGACAAAGACCAAAAATCACCATGTCCAAGATTCTCACCATTTTCGGCGCCACCGGTACCCAAGGCGGCTCGGTTATTGACGCCGTCCTAGCCGACCTTGCTCTCTCCAAAGAATACACCATCCGCGGCGTCACTCGAGATGTCAACAAACCCGCTGCCAAAGCACTTGCCGACAAAGGGGTCCAGATGGTGTCTGTTAGTTGCCGCTCCTCAGGCTGCAACCATATTCTTCGAAAACTAGTACTAACCCAATTTACTAGGCTGATATGAACTCAATTGAGACTGCCAAACCTGCTGTTCAAGGCGCGCACACCGTCTTCTTCGTCACCAACTACTGGGAGAAGGGCTCCGCCGAGCTTGAAATCTCCCAGGGTAAGGCTGTAGCCGACGCAAGCAAGGCCGCTGGCGTCGAGCATCTCATCTTTTCCTCTCTCATCAACGTCACTGAAGCCAGTAAGGGGGCTCTCCCACATGTCCATCACTTTGATTCCAAGGCTGCCATTGAGCAGTATATTCGCGGTATCGGCATCCCAGCCACCTTCATCCAGCCTGGATTCTACATGTCCAACTACATAACCCAGTTCCGAAAGAACGATGATGGGAGCTACACGCATGCTATGCCAGTGGACGGGGAGAAAGCTCGAGTTCCAGTTTTCGACGCTGCCAGTGACACTGGTAGGTGTAGTTCTAAAGGAACATCTGCCGAGAGCAACGTTAACAATTCTCTGTAGGACTTTTCACCAAGGCTGCAATCAAAGACTCTGCCCCCTCTGGAAAAAGGATCTTGGCCGCCACTGAGTACTTGACCCCGAACCAAATTGTGGCCGACTTCACTGCGGCCACAGGGAAAAAGGCCACATATAAGCAGGTGTCGAATGATGTCTACAAGTCGTTTCTTCCTGCACCTGCCGCGCAGGAACTGCTTGAGAACATGCTTCTGCTCCAAGACCCGGGATACTATGCGGGTGCAGACCTTTCCAGCAGCTTGGCCCTTCTCGACCGCAAGCCGACTACATGGAAGGAATTTGCGAAGGCGAACAAGGGTAAATGGGCATAGGAAGGAAGTGGATACAAGACGTGTAGGTAAAAGTGTAAAAAAGGTGACCAACGATGCATCAGGCATCACTTTTGCTACTGAGATAAATCATGCCAAGTTTGTTGACGTTGAGGTCCGTAAAGGGTTGTGAATCACGTTGAACATTTGTTTACTTTCCACCTAACTCGCGTGGCGTTGTTACCCAGGTTGTCCAAAGTGAGAGTTCTCAACTCACCTAGGCAATCACCTGTGAGCTGCTCACCTGGCCAGTCACTTGTGAGTGCCGACACGGCAACGGTTGTGGTGAACGCGTCCCGTCCGGCAAGGTGGGGCAACAACAGTTTCAGGAGGAGACTGTTCACCCCCCCCCCCTAAATGTAGCTTCCCGCTCCTCCTTTCTCATCATTTTCTTCTTTTGCATCAACAACCACACTCGAACCAGCAGACGAGATGGCGGACACGATCTTCGCCTGCGTCATCTGCGGCACGTTCGTTTACGAGGAAGACACAGTCCCTCAAGGTTATCACGATGCCCAACCATGGCTGAATAGATTTCGAGGAAGTATGCCAACCATGCCGCTCCTCCATCTCACGAAGAACTTCGAAACTAACAAAAATTTTCTTTAGTCTATCATGATCGGGAAGGAATTCATCTGACCGGAGTCAGTCGAAACGATGAACATCAACGACCAGGATATACAGCACCTAGGGACGTTCATGCCAGATATGACGACCCAGAGTACGACCCTCAAGACGACAGCGTTGAGTTTGGTGCCATGACACAGCGTTCTGTCAACGGTCGATACGGCTTTGTCTTCCATGAATCCTGTTGGTCGCTTTTGGAAGAAACCTTTGCGCCAAACGAAGTTCCACTTCAACGACTCTTTGATGTATGCTTGTCAATCCCAATCGCCTGGGACGTCATGGATTGGGACCATACTTACGGTGGTCTTCATCAACAACTTGATTTGGCCTACTCATTCCCTTGGGAGCCGCGCGGGATGGTTCTCCGAAATGAAACGTACCTAGAAGTTCATGACCCATATCAGTATTTCAACCTTACGGGCGAAGCACCAGAGTACCCCCCTCCAACAACGTTGGAAGGACCAAGCCGACCGACACAGGACCCGTTTCTGCAGCTTCCGCTAGAAATCTTACTGAAGATAGCTGAAGAAATGGATACTTCCGACGTCCTGAGATTCAGACTGATCTCGAGGTCCTTTTGGCCCATCTTTCACATGCCGTCTTTCTGGCTTTCACGCTTCAGAGACGGCGGTGAAAGGGCCTGGGCCCAGACGGCACTTGGTCCCCATCGCCGCGATTAGCGATCGCTCTTTAAGAAGACCAACTATACCCGTCTGTCATTTGGGCTCGAGAACCTAGAACGGATTATGGGAACTATTCATAATCTCGTGGACATCTTGCATCTCGAGCAGATGCCGATGACGCAACCTCCTCGCACTATCAAGTCTCCTGAGCGTTACATCTGGGAGGAGATCTCAGGTCAGCTGGTACCAACTAGAGCGGAAGCTGAAATCGCCAACAATAATCAGGCTTTTCAATCTGAGATCATTGAGTTCGGCTCTGGATGTCGGGAAATGTATACTGCGTCGATGGATTACCCATCTCACCCATCGCATATTGCATTCTATTTTGTCAGCCTTGGCGGAGCAGCATACGCACCTCCACCAATGTTCCTATGCGGCCTTGAGGTTTTCCACAGAAATCCAGATGATGGCCAGTTCTTGCTGGGCTACAGGTCGCCCATTCGCCGAATCCACACACTAGACCCGGAGACAAATGTGAGGGGCTTCAACGTCACCGTGGGATCACGAGGGATCTCCGGCATCCAAGTACAGTTGACGGACGGCTTCGAATCATGCTGGTATCAAGGCGATGCTGGAGACGAAAACCCGGAGAGCATGAGGGCAGTGGGCCTCGGCTCCATCTGTGGGATCAAAGCCTCCTTTGATGTGAGTAAAACTTGTAGGAACGCGAATCAATGTCATGACAGCTAACACTACTTGCTTCTCAGGGGTTGAAGATTGTCAGTCTTGGTGTGGCAAAACGGCAAGTGCCCGAGCCGGGAACGCCGCTGAAGGAGTCCGGCATTTGGTATCCCGAGATCCCGCGCTACCCGGTCTCTTTGAACGAAGAAATTCTCCCGAACCTAGTATTCTATTCCACAGGATATTTTCCGTTGTTCTGGGTACCTTTTGGAGGCGCTGGAGGTAAGGACCTCGAGTTACTGAACAGTATTCAGATAACCATGGTGAACGGTATCTGGGGTATCGAATTCTCGTATTGCGACGGTCGAAAGGTGGAAAAGTTGGGACGGCATCCCTACGACATCGATCTAAACCCAGAAATTCCCAATATCTCGACCTTTGAAATCGACGGCCCGCATGGCGAGCAGATTTCCTCCATCTCGTTGTGGTACGATAGCGACACCTTTGTCCAAGGACAAATCAACAAGCCGTGCGGCATCTCGGTGAGTTCCTCTTCTCTTTTTTGTGCGGACCAATACTTACCGAGGTAGCTTCATACGAACTGGGGCACCTCTCGACTCTTTGGCGATGGTGGGACCGCCCCGGGATACCTGGAGAAGCACCTGGTGCCTGAAGAGGGCACAGTTATCACGGGATTTTACGCAAACCAGGTAAGGGGTACCTTTTGTTGCGATAAATTCGGGCGCAATGCTGACCTGGATTGCAGCTACCCACCGCTGGGTTCACTACAGTTGGGCTCATGTCAGAAAGAGTCGAATTGGGACCGCGCAGTCTTGCGTCACTGCGAGGACTACGACTGGATTCTTGAACAAGACGCTGCAGAATGGACAGGAGATGTGTGCTTGGGAACCCATTGAGGTTGCTAGATTTGGTGTAAAGGGAGTAAGATTTCAAGTTACGTGGAGGTGAAGAGACAAAAAAAGGAGCAGACAAGGGACGATCACAAGGAAGAGACAAAGCTGGACGTTCCTGCTACATCGGACGGAGTGGGTCCTCGCCAAGGCATTGAGACGCCTCCCATGGAACTTGTTCAGTTGAGATTGACTAGAGGAGACAGTAATTCTAATGAAAATGGAGCTTGTATTCTGACAAATTAAGATTTCTACGAATTGCAAGCCTTTTTGTTGCTAATATTGTGGAGTGGATGTGATAGTTCTCAGTCGGTGTGGCCAACTTCTTGCTTCTTAGTGGCCATGCCACAATAACGTCCCAATTAGACAAGTGAGCATTGTTTTATTGAAGGGAAAAAAGGTAAGAGGGTCAATAACTGTTATTCTTATCATCTGATATATCCAGGTGGCTTCCGAGGCGACTTGGCATCACCAACCGTTGTCACAGCCGAGTCACCCAGTACCTGAGCTTCCGAATGCGCCTGCACCGCAACGACGCATCATAATTCACCGTGAGTAGCGTCTAAGCAAACGAGCGACTATACTCTCCGAGGCGGGTTCTCGAATCTACGCAACGAAGTCGGCCAAAAGAATTCCGATTCGTTCTTCGACGACCTGAAGATCTGAATCGGCGATTCGACACGGTCGGCATTCACCGCAGTCGTGTCGAAACGCTCTACCAAAACTCCTTGCCAAAGAATCCGAAGCTTCGAATTATGCCCGTTACTTGTTTCAGTCACCGACTTAACATTCCGGAGTTGGAGGTCAATCTGAACCGGCTATATTGCTAGCTTGCTAAGGTCTTGAGATGATAGGATAAGCAGACGAGACATGGTTGAGGATTTATTATGAAATGCAGGAAGCCAAGTCGGGTTCGAATGAAGATGATCGGGAGTTTAAACGGGCTCGATGGGTTTGGTTGGTAATGCAGCTTAGTAAAACGAGATAGTCTGCGATGCATTCTGCAAACTCCGTCCGGAGGCTTTCAAACTTGTCCTCGTTTCCACCTCGGATTTGGGACTATGTTCTGACAGCCCCCTTGCTTTGTGTCGAGTTGAAACAGGCTGAGCATGCTCTCCTATCGCTGCCTTGGTAACTCTCTTCTCTTCATGTAGGCAACCCGGACTCCCAGACTTATCATTCCAAGGATAAAGATAACACCCAATACAACACCAAAGATAATTGCCGATCCAACATCTCTCTTGTATATTCCGTTGGTCGATCGAGAAAAGACGTCGCGGGTGTGCCGGGACGAGCCTTCGAGCGGAGCGGCGTACGCTGTCGAGATATACAACCGCAAAAGAGCGAGCCCTGATAGCGAAAAAAGGGAGAGTGAGGTCCATCGAGTCATTTTCAGCCTTCGGGGAGAACCGATGTTGTTGTCAAGTTTCGGTGTTGTTCTTTTCACTTTCAGCACTTACATGCGCAGCGTTACCCCTTTTATATAGCTCTTCAGCTGTTGAAATCACATCCTCACTGTTTCTAGTCTGCCTTGCATGGGTTTCCCACAACAAGCTTTGGTAATACCAGCACTGGGATGTATAGGGAGAAGGAATAACCCCCCCTGATCCTGCGATCTTTAAAGGGGTAAGAATATCGACCCATGATAGGTAACCTACCATTCTTGGCAGCTTGCTTTATGCTGCCCAACGGGATTGGGCTGTGACTCACAGCTAAGGTCACTAAAATAGCCAAATAGCTGGCGACTGAAGCTGGTAAATTAAGGGACTGCTCATAGTACGAGTACTGAACTATCCTTGTGTGGGTTGACAGGGATTCGATACAGCTGTATGATATAGCAAAGCAAGCAAATTGAAGCAAACGATTGATTGATATCTGAGGGGAAAAGCTAACTATCGTATAGTCGAACGGAAGGTTTATACAAGTAGGTTTACGGGTTATTAATAAGTTAATAACCTAATAAGTTATATTAATATAGATAACTTTTTCTTTTTCCTTCTAATAGAAGGAAATATTAATCTAATAGCTATTTATAGATAATTATAAATCTATAAACCTATAAAGTTAATAAGTTATAAAGTTAAATATTTATAGATCTATTAGATCTATTTTAAAATAATAATATAATACTCTATTAAATATATTATATCTATTAGTCTCTTATAATCTATTCTTCTTTTTATATAGTTATTTTATTATTATTAATAAAGTATAATAGTAATAGATTAGGTTTGGATTTAGTAAAGCAGTTAGCCAGATTATCTTATCTATTAATCTAATAGATTTCTATTAGTTCTTATTACTTATATAATTATCTTATTACTATAATATTAATTATTAGATATTTCTCTTTAGTTATACTGAGCTTAACTAAATACTTATATAATAAGTATAAGTTAGTATAGATAACTATTAGGATTAATAGAAGAAAGAGTTTATTAGTTATCTATTAAAGAGTTATTAAGATTATATATATAATATTAACTCCTATAATTATACTATAAACTTCTAATACTAATATACTTTAGATAACTTATTTATATTTTATTAAACTAAAATATATAATATTCCTATTTAAATAAAAAGATAATTTATTATTAGTATTATATTTATTAGCTAGGATAATAATAAATCCGAGCTAGGAGGTTAGATTAGTATTATTTATAAATAATCTATTAATAAAGATAAATAACTTAATTATTCCCAGATTAAGCAGAATAAAGTTTAAACTATAATCCAGATTATCTATCTACTATTTAATTCTATAGTTAAATAATTTAAATTAATCTTTTTTAGGGTTTTAATACTAGGTAGTAGTTAATAAGTTAAAGTATACCTTCAGCTAGCAGATAGATATAATATATATACTATAGGCTTATTATTTAATATATTACTATCTAGTATTCAGATTATTAATATTAATTAGTTATAGTTTCTTACTTTATTCCTTTTACTATAACTAGATAGTACTATTAATTATATTAAGATAAATAATCCTACTATTAAAAATAATTAGATTATTATTTATTAGATATTATTTCAGTTTAGTAGTAAATTAGATATTAACTAGTTATTCTTCTTTATATTAGTTAAAAATATTATCTAATAAACTAATAGTATTATCAGTCTATATTCTAATAATACTAAATATATTATTTTTAGATATTATAATTAATAAATACAGATTATAGGTTAATAATTCTATCTGGAGATTCTTTCTATAGTATTTATTATAGGTATTCTACTAATATATTCTAGCTTTAGTAATATTATATAATAGTTTCTTAATAATTATAATAGTATTAGATAGATAGAGGTATTATATTTAATATAGTAGTCTTATAATAATAGTATAATTTAGTTTAGTAGCTAACTAAATATATACTTATATAATATTATATAGCTATAAATATATTTAATTATCTTATTATAAAAGGGATAGGGTAATAGAGAGAATTAGATATTAACTTATATATTAAATTATTAGAGCCTATATTAGAATTATCTGTTTCTTATTATTAGTATATCCTTAGATAACTAATCTTAATTTCTTATATAGTATATTTATTCCCTTACCTTTAACTTTATTAACTATTTAAGAGTTAAATATATATATTCCAGTATATTATAAAAGATTAAATAGAATAATCTTAAAGATATTATAGTCTATTAATATATTAATTTCCCTCTAATTAGACTCTTTAAATAGTTTACTAGATATATATATTTTCCCTTCCTTATAAAGGGAAATTATAAGTTTAAGATTAGCTTTCTCCTTAGTTAATAGAAAGATATTAATTTCTTCTGTAATATAATATAGTCTATCTGATTTACTATTAAATAGGAAATTATCTAAATTATAATTATTAATTAGATTATTAACTTTAAGTATAAAGATAGTAGGTTTATTATAATATCTTATATATCTATATTACTATTCCTATAATATATTAACTATAATAGTATCTAGTAGTTTATTATCCTAATAAGCAGTTATTAGTTTATCTTAATAGGTAGTTAGTTTATTCTTATTATTAGAGCTAACTAATATTTCTATAGTAGGATTAGTTATATTATTTAACTTATTATTAATTAGTTTATCTATATAGAATAGTTTAATAATAGTTAATTAGAAAGTATATAGGCCTTAAGATATCTAAATAATATATTTCTTATCTTTAATTAATAATAATTTAAATAGTCCTTACTATAACTTTATAACTTCCCTCTAAATATAGATATCTAACTGTAATAGTTGTTGATATTACAGTGGGTTTATAGGGCATTAGCCCTTATAAGCCTCTATAATATAGCAGGGAAGTTCGCTATAACTCACAGTTCTCAACTGCTAACTCTGCTATAACTCAACGAGTTTCAGTACTAGAGGGACCTAATATAGTGCAAAATATAGCACAAAAGAATCTTATTTTTATAAGAGAGACTAGAAAATTCTACTAATTTCTCTCATAGGTCTACCGACTAAAAACTACTCTAAATCCCGCAATAGCAGCTTCCCGGGCCACTTTTGATTTTCCGCAAAATTCATTACTATAGGAAATCTAAAAAATCAACTCACAACCACCAAAACCTTCGACTGATATATATAGCTTTTATAAGACCCACTTTTATCTGAAAGAGGCTCTTAAGCTGATCAGTTGAGTATAGATATTGGATATCTTATCTTTAAAGCTGAAGAAACTATCCAAGATCTAAGACCTAGTCTAGGGTAGGCTGGCTATAGGGTAGCCTGGGTATAGGTTAGATAGTCTGAGATTATCCTAGGATTTTTCCCGGATTTTCTAGACCCTTATCTGGGCTAGATAAGCC